TCTTCTTCTTCTTCTTCTTCTTCTTCTTCTTCTTCTTCTTCTTCTTCTTCTTCTTCTTCTTCTTCTTCTTCTTCTTCATGTAATGCGGAACTAATGGGAATATTCATCGAGCTTCTCATATTTTGCTCCAATTCTAGGTTTGGCTCAGATGCAAGAAAATTCTCTGTGTCTTCAGCATCTATAGACATAGAAATTTCGCTGTTAAGTTCCTTTTCCATATTTTCACCTTCTACTGGAAGATCCTCAGGTTCTTCATATATGCTGGCTTCATTGACATCACTACTTTGCAGACCTTCTTCAGTGGCTAAACCTTCGATGGCGTCCTCAAATTCAGGGTCTTTGTTATCTACTAATAGCAGATTAGAATGGCTGATTTCCTCTACAAACTCATTTTCAAGAGATTCATTCTCAAGTACTGTATCATATAACTCACTTATAGTGACATCTTCAGATTGGTTGACCTCCTGATCTTGGTTTAAACCCTCTCCATTTACTTGATCGAGTTCTCCTATTTCGTCTTTGATGTCTTCTTGAATATCATGAGCTAACTCTTCTGCATCATGATAAAGTGTGTCGTCTTCGAGTTCTCCTATGACCTTATAACTATCGTCTTGGCTGTCATGCAATGGTGTGGATCTCAACAGTCTACGCTTCAGAACTTCGTGTTCCAAGTCTGGAACTGAGCTCAATTTCAACCCATATTTGGATTCGATCTCCCTTAATTTGTTCAATTCTTCTTCCGGTTCTTCCAGAGGTACCGTCTTGAAAATAGGAGCTTCCAGTAAGTCAATATCGACACTGTCATCATCATTCGTTTCGTGTTCGCGATCAACTTCTTCCACCGACGAGGGGACATGCATATCTACTCCAGCTTCCTCTTCATTAATGGGGTGGCCATCTAGATCCGCTGGTGAGGTTAAATCGCCAGCGGTATCTTCTTTCGATTCTATTTCGATTGTACCGCTATTCCCAGTGTGAGGTAACTTTTCTTCTTCGTCATTTCCAGTACCTTCATCAGCTTCTTCTTCATTTTCTAGTATCTTGCTCTCTTCCTGTGCAAGATCTATTGAATTTTCTAACATAGTATTATTTGCAGTTTGATATTCCATAACTGTTTTATCAAACGTGTCATTTGCAGAATCAAAAACATTATCTGATACTATTTCTGGTCCAAGAGCAGATTGAGCAAAGCTCAATAAATCGGAAAGTAGCTGTGGGTCCGTTACTCCATCATCCTGAGTATACGCTTCGCGATTTTCTTGCTCTTCCTCCAGATAATCTTCTTCCATTCTATCTGCATACTCTTTTCGGTCATAACCATCTTCATCCATCTCTTCATCATCTTCTATAACCTCTACTATATCTTCATCAGCTTCACTCTGCTCGACATCTTCTTCTTCTTCTTCTTCTTCTTCTTCTTCATCTTCTTCCTCTACGTCTTCATCAGCATCACCTTCTTCTTCCTCAAAGTGAATGCCATTGTTATGGTCTACTTCCAATCTTTCTATGTCTTCGTCAGCATACTCATCATCCACATCTTCGTCATCGTTATCTTCTTCGAATACATTATCCCTTGGCATATGGTCAATCAAACGAGGTCGACCACTACGAACGTTATAAGTTATGTTTTCGTGATGTGGTGTTCGATAAGAATGCTCTAGATCAAATGCTGTATTTGTGGGCGATTCCAACGGACGCTGTATATATTCTTCTTGGACATTCACAAGCTGACTACGCTGGTCTTTAAAATGGTCCAGTTGTCTCTCTTCTTCGTAATGTTGCTGACTATCTTCATCCTCCGCTTCAACATCCACATCATTCTCATCGTCATAAAATGCATGCTCTTCTTCATCTTCATCGTCTTCTTCTGCTTCTTCTTCGTCATATTTATGCAGGTCCTCCTCTGACTCAATGATTTCTATTTCTTCTATGTCTTCGTCGTCAGCATAACCTTGTGAGTGCTCTTGTGGGAATTGGGAATATTGAGGTGCAACAAGCTCTTGTTCTTCATATACTTCTTCGTCTTCTTCTCGTTCTTGCTCTTCTTCACCTGCATCCTCCTCTTCTTCTTCTTCTTCTTCTTCTTCTTCTTCTTCTTCTTCTTCTTCTTCATCTTCCTCTTCATCCTCCTCTTCTTCTTCTTCTTCATCTTCCTCTTCATATTGTTCGCTCTCCGCTTCAACTTCACCTACCTCTGCCTCCACTGCTTCCTCCTCGTCTTCCGATGAGATTATTTCAACTACGTCATCCAGATCTTCAGCCTCTTCTTTTTCCTCTTCTTCTTCAGTACTCTCTTCTTCCTCTTCAAAGGATGCTTTATGTACTGAATTTTCTAAGTTGTGCTCCTGCTTTACTCTCTCTTCTCCCGATTTTATCATTTTCTCCAACTTGTCGAATTCATCAGTGAAAATTCTGTTCTTCAACTCTTCAGATTGCTTCTCAAACCGCAATTGCTCATAAAACGCAGTCGTGCTCTGCTTCTCTTGTTCTAGTGCAGACTTCGCTCGTAACTCTATTCGATCAATCCAAGATTCTAAGTCATCTACTTGCTTTGAATTGTCTGCTGGTGTTGCAAATGTCGAAGTGGATCGACTCGAATTTGCAACTTCCTCTACTTTAGTATCTCTAGGCTTAATGGTGCCATTTTTCCGGAATAAATGCTTCGATCCGAACGGTGATGGGAAATGTGAAGGCATTGCATGTACACAGTGAATATATTTCTTTCCGTTCGCCGTATGGCTGTGTGTTTCAACTCCAGTTCTTCTTCACTTCTACTGCTTGTAAACTTTTCTGAGATTGATAAATAACGACTGCATATTGGGCCGCGCACGACCATGTGGGTTGCACTGGAGAGTGTTCCACACCAGCTATTGGCAGTGTATGGGGCAGGGAAGCGAGTGCTCAGGAAAGATTGGAAGGTTGGGTGCTAGAGGGGGAGGTCAGATATGCTCTATGATGTAGAACGAAAGAAATCTTGTCAAGTTCTCACTTCCTGATGTCAAGGTTCCAAGTGGAGTACTCATGTATTTTCCATGCACTTGTCAAATTAGAGCAGATCTACAAACTGGCATGGCTCAGAAATCAAGAGCCTACCTCATATTCACAATAAAATACCTCCCAAGGATTTGGAACCGTCCTCTTTTAGACAATTTGAGGTAGAGAAGGCTTCGTAGTACTGATTCACTGGCTTTCTGTGCAGTTCAGCTGCAACATCGAGGAAAATTGAGAGAGATGGTGGGGCCCAAGTGTCACCAGAGTGAAAAAATAAAGTGAATTTCTGCCATTTCAAATGTACGAAGAAAACGTTAGAACCAAGACAAAAAAAAAGTACACACTATGCATGCGATGAGATTTGTTTGGTTTAGCGCCCTCGGATAATTAGAATCGTTAGCTTATTTCCTTAGGAAAGGCATACAAGCATAAACATCAGTTGATATATTTTAGAAGCTCTACGCCCAAGCAAGTTTCTCGACTGTCCACAACAGTTCTCCGGTTCAAATACAAAACAGTGCAGGCTCACAGTGCAAAATAAAAAAAAAATATATAAAAGAAAAAGAAATGCATTAAAAATAAAAAAAAAATACAATTGATAAAAAGGAAAGAGTGTGAGAGGCACTCTTGATGTACTGCATTTTCAACAGGCTAAAACTCGTTGTAACGCCTACTAGGCTCTTATGGGTCCTCCTCGATGCCTTCTTCTAAGGCCTACCTAGGCGTACCTCATCGCAAACCTTCTTGATCCAACATGCATTCCCTTCCCAAAAAATATGCTCATCGCAAAACTTACTTCTTTACTAAAAATATTTCACTAGAAAGAGTCAACAAGCCTTAAAAAATAGAAAGTTTCCAAAATATTCTTACTGTCCTCCCTTGCATTTCATAACAATACTTACTTGCGGCTTTAACGTAACCAATTAAGGCATTATAATCTCTTGGATAGAGTGATGCATTTAACGGCGATCACCCACTAGCCATAAGGCTACCTAAATCGCAGGTGGTGGATTTTTTTAGCTTATTTTTTCCCGTTGTTTATTTAAATCTGGTCCAAAAATGCTTCTATATCCGACGAGGTGCATAATTGGTGTATGAAACTCCAGCAAAATTAACAATTATTTACGAAAGGGATAAAGTTTAAATAAATTCTCGAAAAATCTCTGATATCCGAATATTTTTTTTTTCATCGAACAGTGGAAAAGGCACATCCTCGATGAAAGAAGTACTGTAATACAGAGCCCTCGAAGTAGGCGTGCTGAACCACCCAACCGCACATCGATTGCACTGCTTCCTGTACGTATGGATATTGTTTCTGTATTCGTCGAGGGGGCAAGCACTGGAAATCTAGAACTCATTGTATACGTTATTCCACATTTGGCCATGCTTTTGTCATGCTTTAGAAGTACTACCGCATTTGAAAGGTTCGTGCGTTGGCGTTTCTAACACTGTAAGCCTTTCCTTTTTCTTCATTTAGGTAACTATTGCACGCTGATTGTTCAGAAATGGGGAACAAAACGAGGGATAAAACCTCTGAGGCGACATCGTAAAGTAGTGCTAGAGAAATGGTTTGGAGAAATAAATGCTTGACCTTAGATCGAAAAGCTTATTGCACACTGTATGATAACGTTCAACCAAGACCCCTCTGCCCGATAATATTTTCTTTCTTTCCTTGCATTTGGGCTATCTATATTTGGAACCAAACGTATAGTCTTTGTCCCATGACTTTTACTTGGAACCAGAGGCTGGCTGATGGAATACCAATAAGCTGAAAACCAAAACAAAGCATGATCATCACTAATTTCTATTTAAAAGTCTAATAAAAGAACTTGAAACAATGTCATCATCTCGTGAAGCCAGGAGGGTGCCAGGAAATAATATTTCACACAATACAAATTCGTACAGATATTTCCTGATCAAAGGGGTGTATTCCAGATTATTAACTAATGTGGTGCATGATGCACCGATGTGGAAGGTAGAATAACCTCACAGAGAACGAAAGGGACAATACACGGTATGCTCAAGTTCTAATTATACTGCAAAACGTTCTCAATTTTGATAATATGAGAATGACCCGAGTAGGAATTCCCAGGCAAGTCTTGCAGCTGGTAGCTAGGCTCTATTTGCTTTCCCCATTATCCATAGCACTTCATTTGTGAATCTGCTCTTCGACACCTATTTTAGCTCTCGATGATCCTTCACCCACATTTGGACCTTTTCTCTCCTGCAGTACATGCATGCATTTTCTCTTCTTATTGTTTCTGATTTATTTTTTCACTCCCACATTTCATCCAGAAACGTACCAGCATGCGCCATCGCTGTATCAGGAGTAATCTCATCTGATTCAATTGGGAAAGCTCATTTTTTTTTCTTTCTTTCCAGCCTTGTATTATAAAAGGAACACCAATCTACCCGATTCAGACTGGAGAGAAACAGTTGATTTTTACTTTCTCTTTTTTCCTTGTATTTATTGTAGGTATCTAAAGACTGATCTGTGCATACATTCAAATATTTCAAAATGGCTGTCGAAGAACCTGTAATTGACCAAGAAGCTCAAAAGCTCGAAGAATATGAACCAAGACAAAGCGCATCATCCGCTTCTGCCTTGAAGAACCATGCTATTGCTGTCCTCGGTGAATTCTTTGGTACTTTCATTTTCTTATGGACTGCGTTTGTCATTGCCCAGATTGCCAACCAAGATCCAACTATCCCAACTAAAGGATCTGACCCAATGCAATTTGATTATGATTTCATTTGGTTTCGGTTTTGGTGTCATGGTTAGTGTTTTCCTTTTTTTCAGAGTCTCTGGTGGTAACTTGAACCCAGCTGTTACTTTGACTCTTGTCTTGGCTGGTGCCGTTCCACCTATCAGAGGTGCCTTGATGATGCTTTCTCAAATGATTGCCGGTATGGCTGCTGCAGGTGCTGCTTCCGCTATGACTCCAGGTCCAATTGCTTTTGCCAACGGCCTTGGCGGTGGATGCTCCAAGTCCAGAGGTGTCTTTATTGAAGCTTTTGGTACTGCTCTCTTGTGTATCACTGTGTTATTCATGGCTGTTGAAAAGCACAAGGCCACCTTCATGGCTCCATTTGCCATTGGAATTGCTCTTTTCCTTGGACATTTGATTTGTGTCTACTACACCGGTGCTGGATTAAACCCAGCCAGATCTTTCGGTCCATGTGTTGCCGCTAAGAGTTTCCCTAACTACCACTGGATCTATTGGGTTGGTCCTGCTTTGGGTGCTGTTATTGCCTTTGGTATCTGGAAGATTTTCAAGCTTTTGGACTACGAAACCTGTAACCCAGGTCAAGATGCTGATCATTAAGCAAATCTGCAAAATAGAAAAATAGAAAAATAGCAGAAAAAAAAAAAAAAAATACTGAAGTTTTTTGACTAACAAGAAATGAAGAAATATCATAAAAAGACTCAGGATAGGCTCATGACAGGTAGGGTGTACATTTAAAGTCCTTCTAAACAACAATTTCCCTAATACTTTACATATGAAATTGTTGCTTATCTAAATACATGAATGCGTTCCAAATTTTCTGTAAGTGAATGTTTTTGGTTAAGAACCTTTGAGACGCAGCGAATGATTTTGTCTGCGCCAACAGGGGCCGTAAGGTGTAGAGAATGTCCTACACGAGGAATGTTTTCCGAGCAACTTGAGATGGATACTACCTTGTAAGAGAAACACACTAAAGAACAACTACTTCACGTAATACTTCAATTAAGCTTTTAAAATACGGTACTATGTGTCAGGTACATCTCTTCTTTGGGTGCCGCATTATGCACGATAGTATGGTCCTGCAGCGTAGTATGGACAGGTGCATTAGGGCTGCACTTGCAACCCCACATACTACTACAGTCTTCTCTTAACTTACTACAGTCGTACGATAGACATCAGCCTTCTATTAGTAGAATACACACTATGCAAATCCAAAAAAAAAAAAGAAAAAAGAAAGTAAGATGTACTAGATCCAGTCAAATCGTTAGCTTCCCGTTAGAAGAGCCCAAAGATGTCGTTCAAACTCTTGAGTCTATTAAACTTTCCCATATTGTTGATTTCTCTGGATTGCAATTTCCTTAAGGTTTTCAACTCGGAATCCAATAACAACTGGTCCTCGTTTCCCTTCACATCTTCTCTTTCACATTTCTCAAGCAAGATCTTATGGTCGCTCTTAAAGCTCTCTATATTATTCAAAATCTCGCCCATATTATAGATCAAAGAATTACTTAAGAACAAGTATGAAATGTAGCGCTTGTGTCTAAATAAGTAGAAGGTCTTCAGGGCTGCTCTATCAGCACTTTTTGGGATTTCTTGAATCTCCACAGCGTTCAAGTTTATCAATTTACAAACTTCATTTCTAACCGTCTTCTCCTTTAATAGGATCTTTTCTGCAATGGTCTTCTCATCTGCTAACTTCAACATTCTTAAACATCTAAGGATTTTGAATGCGTCGATTCCTAAAGTTGTCTTTATGATGTTATCGAAATTATGTTGCTTTAACTCTTGCATGAGGCTGGTGAGGGGCACTGTAAACACACCAGGTGAAACTTCAATGAGGAAATTCACCGGCGTTGATGAAGTAAGGAGCTTCAAGTGTGATAATATCAAAGAATGTGAATGCTTGTCGTCAGAATTGTCAAAACTATCACCACTTGCCATAGTGTTAAAAGAATTATCGTTTTCATTTTCATCTTCGTTTTCGTTTTCGTTTTCGTTATTTTCTTCTTTAACAACGAAGGAACCACCATCTTCTAACTTGATCTTCTTTTGGGCACCGTTGCCACCTGAATTGACTCTTTTCTGTGGCTTCAAGAAGTTGTGAGTCAAAATACTATTTCTTAAGTCAACTTCGTTATCCAAAAATCTTGCTACATCCCGCGCTTGGAAAGTAGTTTGCTTCTGATCCACAAGTTTATTCTCCACAGAATGTATTAACAATCTAGCTTCTTCAGGGTCACTAATTAATCCTGAAATTTCAAGGAAATTCTGACTCAAATCTGCAGTTTTCTGTTCGATGGTGCTCAAAGCAGCTTCGTAAACTTTACTTGTTAATGACCCAATCTTTGACTTGCTGAAGTTTACCAACGCTCTAGATCTCAAATGCTTTTCAAATCTAGATAAATCGAAACTAATGACAAGCGAGTTTCTTAAAATCTTGAGTCCACCATCCATTTCATAGAGATCTTTGGACTCTTGACCAGACTCCAACATATCCGATAATTTAACTTTGGTCTTCTCCTTCGCTTCATTGACTCTTTTCACTTCACTGGTGGTGGAATTTCTGGGGATCTGCTTCAACGTTTCCTGGTATAGCTTGCTCCAAAGATCATTGATAGGACTGTAATGGAAAGGTTGTAATTTCTGCAACCAACCATCGGCGAACAATTTGAAGAATCTAGTTTGCTGCTCAAAGTATAGCTTGGTCTTCTCACTCTTGTCATCTTGGTACTGAGCAAGGTAATCCAGAACTCTTACGTGACCCATTTGTATTATATTCTGAATGATTTCGGCGGACTCCGCATCGTAAAGCTTGTTGATGCAATTTATGATGTCACCAGAGTGAACAAACACAAGTAAACCTCTCTCATTGAAGGAGTAGTGAACGGCTTTTCTCTCGTCCAGCCAGTAGTAGATGCAGTTCAATTGAATTAATGATACAAGCGCAGATTTGACAGTTTTTATAGGGAGCTGACTCCTGTTTGATATTTCATGTGCGGTCAACTTCCCATGGGAGATCAATGTCGATATGACTATGGATGCAATGGTTCCCACATGAGTCCTTGCTATGGATGTGTAGAGGAAGGACTTTGGGGACTGAGTCTTTGCGGAACTGGATAGAGCGACCATTTCTGAGGCAATCTACGTTCAGAATGGGAAGATACACGGTGCTTCTTACCTACTAAGACTGATTCACTGGGGGCCACTCGGTGGTAAAGCAAGCTGAGAAGATCATCGTGAAAAATCACCAAAAAAAAAAAAAAAAAAAAAAAAAAAAAATTTAATCTGTGTGTTATGTGCAGGTTGTTAACATAGGCTACATGCTACCCATGAACAGCCAGTATACTTCATCAAAGTCACACATTTTGGGCTATTATTTGTCTTGAAGATAATCTATAGTGTCGTCGTTAGATTTCCACAACTTCTACTGCCACTCACCTATTTTCTGTCTATTTTCTGCCTATTTTGGTGGCAATTGGTGCACCCTTTTATCACTCTTGTTTCTCATTCGCACCCAATTTTTCACTCGTGGAGCAACTCTCACAGACACCGTGATAATCTCTTCTCCAACGTACGGTTAATTTGACACACCTTATATAGCACCTACAGCTTCTCTTGTTTTCGCCTCATTACCTTCGTGTTTCGACTCTGCATGTCATCCCTTAAAAAGTGCTTGAAGCAGGCAAAGCAGTACATAGAAGTTAATGATCCTGAGTCCGCTCTTGATTCCATAACCGATGCGCTTGAGTTCGATCCAGATAACTACTTTGCCTATGTGTTCCAGGGAAAGTCATATCAGCTCCTCAATGATTTTCCAAAAGCTGCCAAATCCTTTCATAGAGCAACAGAGATAGAACCCGACAACTTGTTAGGTTGGAAAGGATACTTCCAATTGGCGAAGTCTGGTGATGATATCAACTTGTTCTTTGATACATTGACTGGGTTGGTCAGCAAACAAATGGAACAAGAGTTACCAGTAGCTGATACTGGTAAAGATGCAATTAACTATTTACAATACCATGGCTATAAAAATAACGACGACCTATATGAAAAGTACCTTAGAAGCATCTTGCCTGGAACAGTCCTTGGCGACTCCCAGCAGTTTTTGTCGCCTCAGAGGGCATTGACCGATTTGGTAGAATTGACTAAGAGGAAAGAAAAAGCATCGATTACGAGCTTATTATCTAAGGAGAAGATGAGATTGCCAAGAGTATTGACTGCTGAGCACAAGGCGAGATTGAATGACTTGAAATGGTCGGTGTATAAGAAATCTGACTTGGCCAAGTTAATGGAGCAATTGATCAATGTAACTGACGACGACGAAATCAGACAAAAGTATGAAAGTGAATTCTTAGAATACAAGTATGAGTTGCTTTTATCCTCGCCTCAAAAGGTGAAATTACAGACGGAAATTAAGGAATTGGTGGAAGGACTAATTGTCGTTAAGCATCCAAGTTTACTTTGTTGGCAATTGTACTTCGATTGGTTAGATGTGAAGAATTTGGGAGAAGAGTTGGATTTAAATAACATCATTTTCTTCTTACAGAATTTTCAATCACTGGGACTTGGAATGGTCATTTATGCATATGTTATGAGTGACATCTCTCCGTTTAATAAAAATGAAGTTGTGAAAAGATTGAAGGAATCCAAGGGCCCATCTTCAACATCAACTTCGGATAACGTTGGTGATGTAGACGCTAAAAGTTATAACGCTGCCAGTGACTTGTCTGATGAAATGGATGCCGACGCTGCCCTTTTAACGCTTGAAGATAATGAACCAATCGGTGACCCCGAATTGAGTATTTCCCCAAAGCAAACACTCGCCATTTTAACTGAAGGATTTGAGAGTTGTTCGTCTTCCGTATTCGCATCAAGAATTGTTTGCAATTACTACATTCATCTCAGAGCATACGAAGAAGGATCTTTAAAATGTCGTGATTCAATTCGCTTGTTGGCAGATCTACAGAGATCTACAGGAATTGACTTAGTTCACACTAGAGAAGACTTTTTGAGCTCATTGGCTATAATATATACGTATTACGAAGCACCTAAGAATTTTGGTAAAGCTCTTCAATTATATGATCGGATCTTGACTGATAACAAAGATAATGTTAAAGCAATCGTCGGAAAGGGTTTGATTCTTATTGAAAAAAACCAATTGCAACCTGCTAAAGAGATTTTGCAGGAGGTTGTTGACAAATTCCCAAACAACGTTAGCTCTCAGCAGGCCTTAATCGAACTTAACTGGTGTAATATTCGATTAGGTGAATATTCCAAGGGGAGATCGGGATTGTTAGAAGCATTGTCGAATATAAGAGGAACTGATGTTCATAGTGGCGAAACACGAGCTGTGATACATTGGAGAATATCAACAAGTTATGAGAAGGAACAGAACTTTGAAGAATGTTTCAAGCATCTTATTCAATCTTTAAAGGAATCGAAAAACTTTGCGCCAGCTTACACGTCATTAGGTGTATTGTATGAAGAGCAATACCAAGATAAGTCAAGAGCACAAAAATGCTTCTATAAGGCGTTTGAATTGGATGTTGGTGAAATTAGGTCGGCAAGGTATTTAGTCGCAGATTTGACAAACAATAATGAGTGGGAGGTCGCCGAAGTCTTATGTAAAAGAATAGTCACCACGGAAAGGTCCCGTAGAATGTTGTTCAACGAGGACAAAGATAATTTGGAAGATACTGATCGTTCATGGCCATATAGGGTCTTAGGCTGTGCTGCCTTGAATAGACAAGAAGACGATAAGGCAGTTGAATGGTTTCAAACTGCCTTGCGTATGACAAGTATGGACGTTCAGTGTTGGATTGGATTGGGTGAAGCATACTATAACTGTGGAAGACTCGACGCTTCAGCTAAAGTTCTTAGACATACAGTTAGCTTAACTGCTGCTAGTGATAAGGATAACGCTTCTACTCTTTGGGTGGTACAGTACATGCTTGGTGTAGTATTGAGCGAAATGGGTCAATTTGACAGTGCAATTCTACAATTGACCGCAGCCTTAGAGTTAAGGGACAACAATGAAGAATGCGTCATTCATGCTTTATACGAGAGTATGATCAATAATGCAACAAAATTGGTTTTAAGTGGATTTATTGGTAGAGCAATTGAAATGAACTCCAGAGCCGTGGAGCTAATTTTGAAAGGTGTTCAAATTAATTCAAAATCACAAAAGTTGTGGAAAGATTTAGGTGACTGTATTAGAATATTCAATATTATTCAAGATGAAAGTAATGAAGAATTACTCAAATCGAAAGTTATGAAAATCTTACATTCTGTTGAAGAGGATTTGAGTAATGGTTTCATGGAAGAATTAAAGGAAATTGATGAATTCGAGAGAGAAAGCGTTAGAGGGATGGAGAACTATACTAAATTTGTTAGTATCCTCAGTATTCTTGCCGCTAAAAATGCAATACATGTCTTACCGCCGAAATCCAATAAGCTTCTCAGATCGATGGCATATTACAATTTAGGCTTAGCTTATTTGGAAGCTTTCAAAAGTTGTAGCCAGAACTCCCTTAGAGAAGCATCTATCAAATGTTTGAAAAAATCCATTCAGCTAGAAAACTCAAACGCAACTTACTGGGTGACTCTTGGAAATGCATTTGCATCATCTAATCCTCAAATTTCACAGCATTGCTTTATTAAAGCTACTGCTTTGGAATCTAGAGATGCAGACATTTGGACCAATTTGGCTGCGTTGTACTTAAGATACGGTGATCACAAGTTGGCAGAAGAGGCATTTTTAAGAGCGCTGTCGGTAGCCCCACAACAACCCCAATCTTGGCTCGGACATGCATTGACAGTACAAGCTGGTGGGAAACAAGAGGAAGCCACTAGACTATTTAATCATGCATATATATTGGCTAATGGAAGATCCTCTCTTGCTCAATTGTTATATGGTTTATCAATTATTACAAAGAGACTTAAAACAGGTGTTGATCCCAGAGATATCCAAGCATCACAAGAATTCAGTGTTGCTAATTTTGCCATGAATAATTATTTGAAATTTTCACCAAATGATGAAGTAGGTTTGAGTGTTGCATTGATTATTAGTGAACGTTGTAAAGACTACATTAAAGGGATTGAAATTGGTAATAGATTAATAGATATATTGGAGAAGAAGTATGAAGATGATTCAGAAAATGAAACCACTTTAATTTCATTTGCTCGTGCTAAGACCCAAGTTGCAAGAATGTACCTTGGCATTGGAGAGTATGACAAAGCCCTTGAAAACGCTGAATTTGGATTGAATATAATTGGTGAAGAAGATGACGATGATACCGTGGAAGAGTCAAGCTCTTTGGTGTTATCTGCCAGAATAACTATTGGACTTGCATTTTTCTTTTCTGATCAATTTGATGATGCTTTAGATCAATTGAAAGTAATTCTAAACAAGAGACCCGACTCACAGCGACTTGTTACTTTGATTGCCCAAATTTTGTATGCCTATAGTAATGAAGATACCAAACAAGCAGCAATTGACCAATTATTTAATCATATTGAGGAATATGGTTCAACATTACTTGTTGTCCTAACATTGGGGGCTATTTCGATTGTGGACGACTTGGATGATTACCTTGGAGCAATTCGTGAAGAATTACAAGGGTTGTCATTGAATGAAGTTATTGGTGATTCTTTCAGATCAGTCCCTCAATTAATTAGTGAGATTAACAAGAGAATTGATAGTAAGGATGCTCCTGATTATACTTGGCAGAGAAATGCGGTGTTCTTCCCGCAAGATTACAATGTGTGGAAGAACGTGAATACAGAAATGGCCTTCAAAGTGGCTACTCTTAAGGAGACCAAGCTTAATGCAGTCGATGTATCCCATGCTTACGTAGAGACTGGGAAGCTTAGAGCCATTCAGAGAGGTATTATTTTTGATCCTATGAACTCAATTGCGGTGGAGGCATTAAACAAGTGTATCTAGCTAATGAAAGAATAAGAATATAGAAATTCATGCAATAGATGTTAATAGAATATAAAAATGTAGGATAGCAGAATATTGCGATGACTTCACAAGTTGACCTAAAGAAACCTTGATTCTTGCCATTGTTATCATTAACCAAGCGCTTTCGATGTGCCGTTTGGCACAAATCAAATAAGTGTATCCGAATAGAAGTAATCGAAGGCTTTTGCTGTCCGTTTGGCCTAAATTGAGCGGGTGTGGCCTAATTGATGCAAACCGGAGTTGTCATGTTGGTAAATAATTGCATGTTCTAGCCGAGCTGTGTACTACAGCCTCACAATATTCGAGGTTCGAGTTTCTCCGAGAATTCCAGTTAAACCTAAATTGGATCAAGGGATCGGTAGAAGGAATGATGAGATAAGTTTACGTTCGAAGAAGATGCGTGCTAGAAGATAAAAAAATTGACCATATGCCTAGACTGCACCCCAATGATAAAAACACCAATAACATGCTAAGAGCCAAAGCTATATAATTATCAAAAGATAAGAGGTAGTTGGCCCATCCTTCTACGATTAGATTGCCTTTATGCACATCTCTTAATTATTGTTCTCGTAATTGGCTATTTTCTTCACTTTTGTTGGTATTTTCTGTAACCAACTCAAATAAAATGCCTACGTTGTGACTTGATGGTCCCCACCCTTTGGAACCTTTCGACATTATGCAACAGCACCCTTCCATAATGCCAAAAAAGCCGACTTTATGCTGGGTGAGTCCCGTGACCTGTGCGATAAGCAGTTAGCGATATTACTACGAACGCTGAGGGACCTTCCCTGTGCGCCATGTAGTGTGGTGGGAATGTAGGGCCGCTAGGTCAATTTCATTCCTATTGTTGCAAAATAAGGTTTCCAGTGTTTATGGACTAGTGATCGGAAGGAATACAAAGGTATTAACAAAAGGCTAAACGTTAAATTAACAAATAGAATTGGCCCGAATCGACCCACAGCTCGTAGCTGGAATAGGAGGTCATTGGAGTCTCCCATCCAACTCTGAAACCTAGGGCTTCTTGGCTTCTTTGCTATGCACCATTAGTTAAACTAACATTAATAATAAAAAAAAAAAATAGTCATTTCCGTCTTGCATACACTATTATTATTTTCCTTTTCCTGTCATACATTTTTTTGGAGTCAGGCTCGCTTGCAAAGGGAAATAATTCTTGAGTCACTACAGCAAGCTAGTTTATTGGTACAGTCCTAATTTACACACTTGGAGCACCTTTTCTTTTCTTTCAGCAGCAGCACCGTAAACGCCTGCAACACGCAATTTCTATCCCCGACAGCAATTTTTCTCTCCCAAACCATTATCACGCTAATCATCGCTCCTTCTCCCAGCCGTCTGTTCAACTACAAGTCTTGGATCATAAACTGAGGCTCATCAGACTGCACACAGCTACCAGTACCGTTCGTATTTACCTTATCTAAAGGGAAATTACAAAATAGCTAACTTGATTTAGCATTCCTCTAGGCTATACTCCCAAAGGCAAATTTTCCAAAAAAACTGAAGAGATATTCTCCATAGAACAGTTCTATAGGGGTAAATTGCTTTGATCACCAGCTCCAATTGTTAAATCTATTTATGTACACCCCCACACACTAGGATATTCCTTATCGTGTCATATTGGAGGATACATTTGCCAGATTCATTCCACCATTGATCTTCATCTCCCTACAGTACCAGCCATCATCACAGAGTCCAAACAGCACCACTATCCACTGACTCCATTCCGGGCACAATTCTCTCACCTCTCTTTTTTCTTATTTATTTATTAACCTCTTCTAATCTCTCAAATTGATAGTCTTTGACTAGTTCATAGTTCCGTCGGATATACCAGCAGATCAACCCACCCACATAACATATCATGGATCATTCATACACCAGGAAGCAGAATTCCAAACTCACACAGGTAATTCAGAACTTCTTCGCCAAGACCGTCCAAATAGTGCACCAATCTAGGGTGGCCAATAGCTGGGAGGAAGAAGAAAAGAAGATAAATAAGTGGTTCAATCTTCTTTTACCCACAATATCATCGGAATACATACCCAAGGAGGACCTTCGACTATGGAAGACTATCGGCACCTCCTCCAATTCTTCCATTGCATCAGAGTTGGGCTCGTTGCCACCCATGATCATTGAAACATACTTGGATTTACGCAGATTGGGTCCCAGGCAAACTATTGTGTTGAAAGATGATACTGGGAACCCATGGACCGTGGCAAAAGGAGGAAGCAAGAAGCAGGAGATCGTTTTAGAACGTTGGCTTATTGAGTTTGATCCCTTGGAGGTGTCGGGATCAATAATAGATGAATTGCCGTTGATATACAAGCAAGCCATCATCTTATTTAGAAGTCTCTACGCATTCACCAGGCTAATGCCAGCTTACAAACTTTACAGAAGTCTAAACAAATCCAAACTGCATTCTAAGACAATGCCATTATCAGTTGGCATTAAAGTATTGGATGGGAAGCAGCCTATCAGCTCAAAGGGTAGAGTTGGATTGTCCAAATCCATAATTCCATCTCAGATGTATGTGACTGAGTCTCATATGCAGCAGAAGCATTTCCAACCAATACAAACTACTTTGGGTACACTAAAGGTTTCAATAGCCTACAGAATACATCATAACTTCTGTGTCCATGATAGTGAAGAAGTGTTAAGTACCCATTTCATTTCTATAGATAAAAATGATTCCAATCAAGGAAGTGTCAACAACGATGGGAATAAAAAGAAGAGGGTTTCCATTGCTTCCACTTCGGTCTCGCCTTGTTCTAGTTTGAAGGAAGGTTCAAGAGACGATTCGCCTAGAAAGCAATACCCCTCCCTGTCAATAACGGGAAGTACCCCGATCACCCCTGTTCGTCCTTCTATTCAGCCATTTAAGATTGGATCCATTAGTAACTCGCCGCCTCCAGGTTCGTCTTCATTGGAGAGAAGGATTTCTATAACAAGTAACAAATCTACATCAAATGCATCACTTGTCGCTATGCTTCGGAACCCAAGAAGTAGCACTTCATCATCTAATACTGCCTCCAATATTCCTATTTCTAACACCAGTAATAGGGATTCTATAGGTGCATTTCCTAGATCTGTTTCGTCGCTTCACACTGATGAATTATACTCTCTGTCGGGTGGCAGAGATGTCATAGGAGGCGGTGGTCCAAGTGAGGGAAGTGGTGCAGCTATAGGAGGAGGTGGTGGGACTCCGACTCCTAGGTTTTCTTCCAGTTTTGGGTCAAGAGCAAGCAGACGATACTCAAGTACTAGTATGCGTAATAGTAGTATTCCACATGACGGGGCTTCACTTGTGGCTACACTGTCTGGCCTGGTGTCGTCCTCAGGAGCACCTATGTCGGGACTTTATATTGATGATGATATAAGTGATTTTGTTAAAATGATTGACAGCAAAACTGACCTTAGATTTCTGTCATACAACTCAAATAACGAATCATCAAAGTTGTCTTATCAGGGTGGAAGCAATAGTCAAATTGATGCTTTAAGCAGATTTCAGCTGTTGAAGCATCAGCACCAACAGTTGGGCGAAAGTGTCAGTGCTAGCTTAGTGTTACAGTATCAAAATCTCCAACAGCAACAACTGCAGCACACACCTTATTCGCCAACATCCACACTGATCCCAAGGCAGTTATCTCCACTCTTGCATCTGATGAGCAGAGCATCTTCAAGGAAATCATCGCATTCGATGCATTCGCCACCTCCATCCTTAGGTTCTTATGATAATTCACATTTACCTTCCATACATTCCAGACTTAGGGAGCAACACTCGAATAATGAGGATGAAGGAAAGAGTAGTAGCGAAGAGCCAGTAATTATCGGAAGTAGCAGTAATTCTTCTAGCCACGTCCCTATTGCGGCCGGCCTAAGTCCAGGTGGAGTTCTTAGCACTTCAAGGAAGTCATCTTATAGTCACAGCAATAACTCGTTCTTAAGATCATCCAGCAAGCTAGTTGCATCTCCGGTCACATCAACTACCATTGCTCATGCACATAAGACTGGAGAAGATGGTATTTCCGGTCTTGCAACGACACCATCCACCTATAACAAAAAGCAACAGGTGCAAGGTGATCAACAGCAATCGCTGCATATTAGATACGAAGATGTATTTGAATATGATGACGACGACGATGAAGGAGAAGACTTTTATTTATCTAAAAAGAACGAATCCAAGGAAACGAGAAGATCCAGGGGTGATCATCATGACCATGATGAAGATGATGATGAACTTTTGTTCACGATGAGTGACATGAATCTTACGAAGTAATAAAGTCAGCTTGAATAACAACAAATGAAAAACAAAAAATATATTATACATAATACAACTGAAAAAAAAAAAATGGGAAATTCAGAGATACTTATATGCTGTTATACAATCTATGTATATAAGTTCTTATTTCTACGTGTTTATAGCATTAAGATCAATAAATGGGTCAATAAAGTGTATTGAATCGTAGACTTCGTCAAATTGCAACCTTTTTATTTTTTTTTTTTTTCTTGTTGGTGCAGCACCGGCTCGCTCGTAAATTTAAAGATCAGTAAGCACAAGCATATAAGAAGATCAGAAAGAAGCCTTCAAAGGCTATTCGTTGGTTACGCAGCTAAGAAATGTCAGCTCATAGTTTAATAGCTCACTTCTTGAAGGAAAATAACTACCATGATACCTTGAAAGAATTTGAAAGGGAGCATGGAAAACCAATTGAGGTAGTTCTTCATGATAATGAATCACTTGCTGATATTGTGCTAGATCGCAATAAGTTTCGCCTGATTAAACAAGAGGAGGAAGACGATGGTATGGGAGGTAAAGATGATTTTTTACTTCCGAAATACTTACAAGAAGTTGCCAAAGCACTTCCTAACTGGACGACACCCTATCCAAAGGAGATCGCTAAGTTTGATGTAGATATTCATGGGCTAATCGTAAGTAGCTGTCTCACTCGAGGTGGCTTGATTCTTGTAAGCACCAATGATTGTGGCCTTTACGCAATTGACTGGGAAGGTAAGGCTACTAAATTGGCTAACGCATTCAACGACAAGAGAGCTGTTGTCAAGAAAATTGTAGAAGTTGACGATAACTTTGTAGTTTTAGTAGGGATGGATGGATCATTGTCTACATATTCTGTTTCAATTGATGGAAGTGTAGTCGATCTTTCGTTGGTGGATACTTATCAGGCGCACAAAAGAATGGTTACCGATGTACAAGTTTACCATTCTAAGAAAGATGGAAGCAAAGTCACTTACTTGGTCTCGTTGGGATGGGACTTCCATGTCAAAGTGTTTCAATTGGTGGAGGGAAAGTTGACCTTTCTCAGAGAGTGTAAGCTTACCATTCAAGGAACATGCTTTTCGATCACTACTTACAAGGGTGGAGACTACATTATCGTAGGTAAGAACGAGCATACGTTATTGGATGTCTATGACGTTGAAACATTGACTTTACAGTACAAGATATCGTTGAACGATGCCATCTTCAGCACTGCAGGTTTCACTCCACGGTGTATCATCACCAATGGAGAATTAATTGTGGTAGGGACCTCTCACGAGCCGTTTATGAGGTTGATTGTAGTATCTTTGACGGATGGAGAAGAGCCAATTAGAAGAAACCAGATTATAAGGAATTTGAATACTCTCTCCCCACAGGATAAATTTAGTCTGGCCATCTTGGCATGGAGAAAGGACCAATCTGGAGTCTGGGTCGCAGGAGAGGATGGTACAGTTCGAGGTATTGATTTTAAGCAACAGAGAGTGATAACAGAGATTCCCTTACACAAGGGGAAGGTGAAGACGTTCATTTCCGGAGTGAAAGAGGGCTCAGAAGTGATCTTATCTAGTGGAATTGATAGAGAATTGAAAAGTGTTCGTTAAGTTACGATGTATTTAAACAAATAGGAACAGAAACTAATAAAAAAATATACCGTAAAACTCCACGAGAACTCAAACTTCCCATTAGTACATAGATCACACTAGATAGCTAAAAATCGTTTGTTAACTTGGGAATTGATGGAGAATTGATAAGCTTTGGTTATCTTGATACTATTAAAGCAATTAGGAACAAGAATAAATAAGAAAATACCATAAAACTTCACGAAAATGCAAAACTTTTTAATTGCACATAAAGTGTGCTAAAAGAAAGTTGTAGCTGGTCCTGGCAAGACCCAAAGATTTTCCTCCTCTTCCAAGCAAAGCGTAGACTTGTCTTGTTTATAGTACACATACGAAGTGCAACCCCAACGCGTAAGGTCTCTTCCGCATACCTCTTATCGTTTATCTCATCTCGACACGTGACCCAAGCGCTCATCGGTATGGTCAACCGGTGATGGCCCGGTACCCTTTCTAACTGCTACAGCTGATGCTCATGCTCCCACACAGCGGGTGGGACGGTTCCATCTTGCACCATTAGACGACTGCAGTTTCAATAACATTGCTCACATCTCCTACGTACCACCTCAACCGGCTCCGATTACACCCATCTCATTGCAAATCGCATCGAAATCAGCTTAAATAATTTGCCGAGCACCCGATTACACAAAATAAATATGTGGGGATTCCGCATGTGGATCGTGATATTATCCTCGGGCTATAGACATGGAAGTTAAACTTTTTACAAATTTCAATATAACCATTCTTAGATAAAATAACAGTCAATTCTTCAATTTGCTGTTCAAGTTGCTTTTGAATAAATTCTGATTTCGTACCATCTTTTTCTATTTTTTATTTTGCCATAGCTTATCTGTATTCTAGTAAAAAAGATTCTATTCGAACATTGTTCCCTCGCAACGGCATCATAAGGAACCCATCCATATTTATTAGACATAGAGTGCACTTCAATTAGAATAGCCATAGTTCTTTTATCATACGCTCTTGGTTTTTTTAGTTTTTGTATTTTTTTTGTGAGTTATTTTTGTGAAAAATTACCACTTACATTCATCATAGCAAATCTCAGAAAAGATGTCGCTTTCTCCCCTTGAAAAGGCTGCCAGTGGAGCCTTAGCTTCAGCAATTGCTAGCACGTTGGTTTACCCCCTTGATTTGAGTAAAACTCTCATCCAAACACAAGTGGTCAAGAAAGAAGCAAAAGCCACACCCAGCGGATCTGTTGATGACTCCACTTACCTTCCTACGAAGAAGGATGGTAAGCTCAAATACAAGAACACCCTTGATTGCTTGAGCCAGATCTACAAGAAGAAAGGTGTGTTAGGTTGGTACCACGGATTGATATCGTCTATTTTCGGTTCGGCGGCGCAAAACTTCTCGTACTTTTACTGGTACACTATTGTCAAGAGAGTTTACGCCAACTTGAATAAGCATATACCCAACCATAAACCCAATACAGCTACTGAGTTGTTCTTAGGAGCATTGGCAGCAGCCATTTCCCAGATGTTCACCATGCCTATTGGTGTTATTACCACACAGCAACAGACAGACAAGTCATCCAAGTCATTGTTGGAATTAGGAAAAGATATTCTTGAACAAGACGGGATAACCGGCTTGTGGAGAGGCTTGAGAGTGTCATTGGTGTTATGTATCAACCCATCTATTACCTACGGGTCTTATGAAAGATTGAAGACGATTTTGTACGGTAATAAGCAATTCTTGGGACCATTGGAGAGTTTCTCCATTGGAGTGTTGGCCAAGTCTTTGGCTACCTTGGCTACCCAGCCTTTAATCGTCTCGAAGGCCATGTTGCAAAAGAAATCCAACGTTAAAAAGGATAAAGATGGCAATGTGATTGTTTCAGCTGAAGGAGACGAAGACGTGAAATTTGAGACATTCACTGAAGCATTACAATACCTTTGGAGCACTGAGAGGTTTAACGGGTTATATAAGGGAATTGCACCTCAATTGGTGAAGGGAGTGTTTGTACAGGGATTGTTATTTATGTTTAAAGATCAGCTTGACATTTTATTTTTATTTTTGTTAAATTTGTTAAGAGCCAAGAGGGGTCTAGCTGCAAGAAAGTAAGTGGGTATACGTGCTAAATGAGAGTTTTGAGAGAAGACAACCCTGATAGACAGAAAAAGTAGCTAGGTAATATATCTAGAATACAATCAACCAGTACTAGAAGAAGCAATTGTAGCAGCCTCGTATTGGAAGAGATTAGTTATGCTAGTAAAACATTACAAGAAGTAACTAGTGGAGTACCTATAGGGGATGGAATGAGGACATCGTAGTAATAGATCATGGTCAGAACAGTGAGTGTGGAGAATAGTTTAGTTTATAGTGAATAAAGCTCATTATCATATGGTTAAAGTAATTAATAAAAGTTTGTAAGACTTCACGCGAGCTTGGATGGAGAATCCTATCCTTTCTGAGTCATACCTATTAGCCTTCATGATGTAATAGTCCTACAAAGAAGATTCAAGGTTCAGCTGCATACTTCATACAGTTCATAAACCATACATCATGCACTAAATAACCAAACACTACTTTCTTCATACAGCACACGCTAGTCACTTCATGCTCCATACACCACACACCATTCACTACTCACCATTCACCAAACAGTACTCACTCCATACAGTACTCACTCCATACACCATTCACTACTCACCACTCACCAAACAGTACTCACTCCATACAGTACTCACTCCATACACCACTCACTCCATACACCACACACCACACTCCACTCACCATGCATTACTCACTCTACACAGTACTCACTCCATACACCATACAACACACTCTACTCACTCCATCACCGTACACCAAACAGTACTCACTCCATACACCATACACCATACACTGCTCACTCCATCACCATACACCACACAGTACTCACTCCATCACCATACACCACACAGTACTCACTCCATCACCGTACACCACACTCTACTCACTCCATACACCATACACCACACAGTACTCACTCCATCACCACACACCACACTTCTTAGTCCATACTCAACTCACTCCATACACCATACAACACACTCTACTCACTCCATCACCATACACCACACACTTCACCTCACCACAACTGTCTCATTCTGCAACCAAATTATTGCCTAATTGGGATCCCAGCTGCCTCCCTCCCTCCACCATACCCACCAGGGTTCAGCCCTCACCGTCACATGACTCCCCTTCTTCCGTCACGTGACTCCCTTCCCGCCGTTTTTTCACCACTTAAATTTTTCCCTCCTGCACCTAGACCCCCTTCTTCCCAATTCGTGCCCTCTTCCTCTTCCGCGACAAAATAGTTTTCATAAATTTTTTTGCTTGAAAAATCTTTGTTACGTTTCTCTCTCTCTTGATAGAACAACTAATAACATCAACACATCATGGGTAAAGGTAAGCCAAGAGGTCTTAACTCTGCCAGAAAGTTAAGAGTACACCGTCGTAACAACAGATGGGCTGATCAAGCTTACAAGGCTAGATTATTAGGAACAGCTTTCAAGTCCTCTCCATTTGGTGGATCTTCTCACGCCAAGGGAATTGTATTGGAAAAGATTGGTATTGAATCCAAGCAACCAAACTCCGCTATCAGAAAGTGTGTCAGAGTTCAATTAATCAAGAACGGTAAGAAGGTTACTGCTTTCGTTCCAAATGATGGTTGTTTAAACTTCGTTGATGAAAATGACGAAGTCTTATTAGCCGGTTTCGGTAGAAGAGGTAAGGCTAAGGGTGATATTCCAGGTGTTAGATTCAAGGTCGTCAAGGTATCTGGTGTCTCTTTATTAGCTTTATGGAAAGAAAAGAAGGAAAAGCCAAGATCATAAGTCACTCCACTATTCTTGTTGGTTTTATGTGTATATTGATAATATAATGCATACTATAGTATTATGAAAAACGCCAGAGTGGATGCTTTTGGGATGGGAATTAGGGGTCACCCGCTGGGGCTGGCTCTCCCTCGTCCAAGAATGTAGAGAGAGATGGATAACGTACGGAAAGATGATTCTATTGATGAAACGGCTGGAGCTTTTTCACTGAAGAGCAAAGCTTGTGTCTGGGCGATAGCAATCCACTGTGCCGTATATCCACAACTGTAGGCCCTTTTCATGCTTCTCTACTTTGCCCTGTTTGCATACTCTGTTGTTGCTGGTATGGCGATGTTGTTGTCATATTACTCAGCTATTGCTTGTGTAGCTCTGCTGTTGCTTGCATTACTCTGCCACCACTAGTGTGGGCTAGGGCACAGTTGAACTTTTCCCTCTGCCTCTATCTTCTTGTACTGCACTACGGGCAGATTGGGCTTCTTTTTGGTACGCACCATCTCAGGCCCTCCTACAATACATTACACTCCGCCCTCTTTATCCCCCATATCCTCTCCCTCCTTCTATTCTCTCTCCATCTTTTATTTCTTTTATTTTACTAAATCTCTTTACATAGCCAAATTTCTACCTTCAATAGATGGTCCTCCCTTTTTCACCGTCTTCTTAACTCCCATACTAGTCAACTTCTGGTTCAATCTTCTGAACCTCTCGTCTCTTAATCCACTTCCTGATGATCTCATCTGTTGCCTTCTCAACAAACTAGGATCAACCCTAGGTGCGATCTTGTACGCAGTTGTTCTCGCAGCGGGAATGGCTGCTCTACGACGTCTTTCGGCACTCTGTTCGTACAATGTCTTCTCTTCTTTGGGCTTGAGTTGACGTTGTGATTGCAATTGATTGGTGAACTTAGATTTATTGTACTCGTTGAATTGGATAGTTCTATCCTTGTATGAGTCAGATTTGTTCAAAATCGGTCTCGTCCAGTCCCCGATAAGTTTGTCAACGATTCTCTTCAAGTTTCCCTCGGTTCTCTTGGAACGCTGGTAGAAAACTAATACTTTTCCTATTCCTGATGCAATTAAGTGATCTGTCTTTATTGGAAGACTGGTCAACGAGTGAATCAACTCCTTCTGGATCTGGTAAGCTGGCATAGACGAATCTGGTAATGGTTCGAGCCACAATCTAACAGCTTCAAGTAAGTTGTTATCTAGGATAGAAATAGCCAAGTCAGCCTTGGATAAGACAGCACTCACCTCGTTCAACAACTTCAACTTTTCTGTAGCAATATGTCCTTGGGAGTTCTTGTCAACATCCAAATTGGCTGCTTTGATCATTCTATCCTTCAAGTCGTCGATCCTATCGTCCTGCATTCTTTCCAAATCATCTTCGTCCGCCTTACGTCTTCTGTTAGACTTCAGCTTAACTGCTGAGTCCATTCTTTCTTCAAGTAGTCTTCTCCTTTGTGTTTGTGGGTCTTCGTTATGATAAGAGGCCATTTCATCTCTTCCATCATCTCCATTGTCATCATTATTATTACTACTCAATCCAACGAAAGCTGGCTCATTACGGTCATTACCATTACTTCTTTCGAGCACATCCTTCTTTATTTTCCTAACGTTTTTCTTCTTGGTGATTGCACTTTCTCCCTCAGAGAGTTTGTGGGACTGGGTGGTGAATACATCATCATCACCGTCATCATCGTCACCCCTGTCTTCGTATTCTTGTTCATTACCTTCACTACCGGCTTCTTCTTCGTGGTCCACTATATTATTTTGTTCATTTTCGCTCTTATATTCTTCTTCTTCCCCTACAACATTATCAGTGTACTCCGTTTCCTTTTCTACGTCCGACATGGCTAACTTAGAGGCTTCGTACGGATGGGAACTCGATATTTGTTCTTGAGTAGTCTCTTAGCCTTGGTATTTTTTTTTGCTTCTCCGTTTTTGCAAAGTTGATATTGAGGTTATATGCAGGTAAACTTTTCACGATCCACACTCCCGCTCCAATAGTGTAGCACAGGTAATGACTGCAACATAGAGTGTCTCACTGCTATTCGCTGCTGCCAAAACATGATTGAGGAGCTGGGTGAAGCATTATAAGTCCTAGTTACTTGTTTTAAGGTGTTTCCAAAAATTAATTACATTTCTGTTATTTGATTTTAAAGTATATTTCACTTAGAAATCGCAGTTGCCATTAAAATTATTCACCTACGAAGAAGCTAGTGTACTTCTCTCTGGAGAAGGGTCAGATACTGAACGCAGTAGCATCACTTTTACGTTAAAAGTGAGGCTGGTCTTACTCCCTACATTTCCTGTATCCATATCTGATCTTCTATGTCATGATACTGAAGAGCTTTGTATGTTGCGGTACTCTCGTTTCACATTAGTGTGGTATTTCATTTGCAGCCAATAGCTAAAAACCTCCCCAGCACCCTCCCATGGGTTTCAGTACTATTTACCAATATGCTACACAAATCACTCCTACATTCCAAACAGACAACAAACAGCCTCGAACTAGTCACAATGACAGCCACCTTCACTTTGCCATCTTGTCTCCTCTAGTACCATATCCTGGACTCCTCCATCCTGTCACTAACCCACAGCGTAATCGAGCCAGAGTCGTGTGCTGTCCAACTATATTTTTCTGCCTGTGTCCAAAAGATTTCAAGATATGCCATGGTATCCTAGCAATAGCGTACATTAAGAGACCTACCAGCACCATGTCGCAATATATAGGTAAAACAATCTCTTTGATCTCCAATAAGGGTCTCAAGTATGTCGGCTTGCTCGACAATATCAATGCCGAAGATGCTACCGTTGCCTTGAAGTCAGTCCGTTCATTTGGTACGGAAGGTAGAATGGCTCAATCTGGAAGTCCCAACTTGGAAGTTCCACCTGGAAAAGATGTGTACGAATACGTTGTGTTTCGTGGATCAGACGTCAAAGATTTGACAGTGTTAGACACTCCTATCGATGACGTGAAGCCAGAAAACTACTACCAACAATATCAGCATCCACCTCAACAGACACCAGTTGCCCCACAGCAGCAAGAACACGTTCCACCACAGCAACAACAACAACAACAACAACAACAACAACAACAACCTTACCAGCAGCCCACTGCAACATCTACAGCTGGTCAACAACAGCAATACCATCAACAGCAGCCTACGAAAACCGCAACTCAGAAGCAAGCCGCTCCTGAGTCAAGACCAACACCAACTGATAGGGCACCACATAACCAACAAGCAGTCCCACAATCACAGCCACAAGCTGCTCCTAAGGCATCGAAGAGAGACACGGACGCTGACTTTGATTTTGAGTCTGCTAACGCTAAATTCACCAGAGAAGAACAGCCACAACAGGAAGAACAAGCTAATTACAACAAGCAATCGTCATTTTTCGACACAATCTCTTCGTCAACTGATGAAAGAAATGCTTTGAAATGGTCAGAGGAGAAGAATCTCAACCTTGACACATTTGGTGAAGCTTCCGTAAATAGGGAGAACAACAGAGGCGGATTCAGAGGTGGCTACAGAGGCAGAGGGGGTAGAGGCAGAGGTGGTAATGGTAACTGGAGAGGGGGAAGAGGAGGCAGAGGTGGCAATAGGGGTGCAAGACAAGAGCCTAAACCAGAATGGGCTTAGACTTATAAATTGTCTAGTAAATCATTGCACCAATGTAAATCGAAACCTAGAAAACAAAAAGAAGTGTATATGTAATTATATGTATATGCAAAATAAAGGATATAAGATACTATAAAGAGGAACTTAGTATATCTTTCGTTTTTTGGTGTATTCGAATTTCATGTTTATTTATATTACATTATACCCTAACTACGCTACCAAGGAACAATTTCCTTTGGTTATCTAGAGTTTCCTCATCAATCTTCAATACTTGTCCCTTGGATTGAAGTGCATTGTTGATTGGACTGAAGCAGTGATTGATAAGAAACTTCCTTGCATACCTTTGACAAATTTTGAGAGGGCTTCTTGTTGCATACTCCTTTCCAGAGTATCTGTGAGACCTTATCAACTCATTTTCAAATACGTGTAGTATTGGAATGTTTGCTGTATGCTCAAGGATTCCATTGTTATTAAACCTTTTAACAAGCTCACTGGTATCCGGGAATGAATTAAGAATTCTGTCCAATAGCTTTTCGTCAATCTTAACTTCTTCTGAAAACCCAAACCTAACAACGCATCTGAAGTGTCCTGGAATCTTCATATTGGCCACCAATATTCTCTCTTCTTCAGGAACGTTTGGAATTGATATTACTCTAATAGCGCAGAAGACGAATATCGTTGGGATAGAAGAGAATGATTGGATCATTAATTTATAGAGCCAAGGCACTGTATTTGGAGAGTTGATGGTATGCATCACATCGCTGTACATGATTGCAACCCCATCATATCTTTTCAACAGATGGTTTCCGAAAAAGGACTTAACTGAAAGAGACTTCACTTCAGGCTCAGTTTCTTTCAAAACTTGCCCTACATCAATTGAAGTTCTGGAGTCTAAACTTTCTTCATCATTCTTTTCATTGAGTTCATCTTCATCTTCGTCACCTTCAATTTTACCAGTTCTGCTCTCACCATTGGGAGGCACGTTCGGAGTCAAGGGCGAATACTTCTTCAAATCTACAGTGTCAGCGACTGGTACCCTTTTAAGTTCAGGGTATAAATCACCAATTGATACTCTAGACTTAAATTCTTGTTCCACTTTCTTTGACCTGGCCCATCTCCAGAATGATAGGAAACAGTAAGCAACACCTGCCATTAAAAGTGGAAACCAGGCTCCATGAATGAATTTCTTTAAATTAGAGATAACCAACACTGCTTCCAATGGCAAGAAAATCAAGCCGAATATTATCGGTATAATATAGTTCCATTGATAGACATAAATCATACAGACTATGAGTAAGATTGATGTCACGAAGAAATCTAAGGATATACCCAAACCGTAAGCTGCTGTGACTTTGGCACTGCTCCCAAATCCAGCGGTAGTCGCACAGACTCCAATCATTAATAGCCAATTGACCATAGGGATATATACTTTTCCAGCATAATTTTTGGATACGTGAATAATTTTAAACTTAGGGAAACAATCCAAGTTAATTAATTGACCAACGATGGAGAAAACTCCCAAAATTAATGCTTGAGATGCAATAATGGTGGATAAAGTCGCCAACACGAACATCACCCAATAAAAACCACCATTTGTTCCTCCTGGAATTGATAAATAGAATGGCGATGTTATTCCTTCTGGGTTCTCTATGCAATATGCAGCTTGGCCCAAGTAAGTGATTATGAGACAAGGATACACAAATAATGTCATGGAAAATTGGACAGGCAATCTACCAAAATGACCAATGTCTGCAAACATTGCTTCTGCGCCTGTAATCGACAACATGGCACCTCCTATAACGTCTATGCCACCATGTTTCAACAATTCAATGGCATAGTATGGGGATAACGCTTGAAATACTCCTGGGTGGAATTTGACAATGTTGATAATACCAATAACAAATAAACCAATGAGCCATAGGAAGATTATAGGAGCGAATGCCAAGGCAATTTTGGCGGATCCAAACAGTTGCATTAGAAATAGGAATACTAACACTGCTTCCGATACTCCCAATGAACTATGAAATGATGGCTGAGCAATCTTGATACCTTCAATTGCTGACAACACTGAGGTAGTAGGAGTTAATAAGCCATCTGACATAACCAAAGCACACCCTAAGAAGCAGCAACCTAAAATGAGCTTTGAAATGAACTTGATCATCATCGGAGAATTTTTCACCTCGTTGAATTGTTTATTCATGGAAAGAAAGCTCAGGGAAGTTTCTTGTCTCGCCAAAAGTACCATATCATCCTTTTCCGGTCCACCAGGGATTGTCACACCTTTTGGCCCGATTTTTAGATGTCTTGCAATTTTAGCGTATATTGCAACTTGTCCACCTTCGCCGTTGTTAGGACCAATAAAAAGTACAATCATAACATACTTGATCACGACGATCAATGTGAATAAGTAAAAGATTGCAGATATACCACCATATATATCCTGTTTAGTAGGAGGGCTGTTGGGGTATTTAATTGTATTCAAGACATAGAGCGGTGATGTACCAATATCGCCATAAATAGCTCCAAGAGACGTAAAGGAGAGATACGCTACTTGTTTCCAGGACTGCTTCGTATTATAGGAGTCAGTATGGTGGTCGCTTCCTGCGTCCACACTGTCAACTTGATCCAGGATGGTTCCGGCTTCTTCGTCAACAGAATCGTTGGAATCTGCTGGGCTCAATTTTGGACTTCTAGCTGTTGACATTTTAACACTAAGTAGTGAGGAACAAGTTTTTCCTTATATAGGTTGCAAAAAGATGCGAGTGGTACAGTGGAATTAAATACTATACGAGTATTTGATTAGAACAGGAAGATTACTCTCTGGATTTACGTTAATGAAGGTAGAATTTTGGTACTATAGAGGGGAAATGGAGAAGTGGCTATTTATATGACTTTTTCTGTAGACATTAATTACGTTCCAATAATAATTCAAATTCAAGAAACAATACGTTTTCCTACAGTAGACCAATGAATGTTTAACTTTGTAAAACTGGAAAATTTTTGCGCTTTCGGGTAGCGAAAGATGCATAGCCCTACGGTCCATCCTGTTCCTCTTGTCTCGATGTAATTAAACTCTGCGTCAAAGGTTGCATTTACTGATATTTTTCTTTTCTTTTTCGCTTGCCAAAGTTTCTTCTTTATGCGCTTTGGGCATTAACCCACAATCAGCCCTCGTAAATATGCGTTGTGCGGCGTTTTCTTTCAGATTATATTTCGAACGATTTCAGTCACTTCTAATGGTGGAAAATTCTAATAAAGACTAGATTTCGAGGAGAAAAAAAATACATAAGTAGTATATCAAGAATATATAAACAATTTATGTAAAGAAAAGTCTCTTTGTCTTGCAACTTTCATGTCAAATTTGAGTGAAATATTAAAATCGCTCACCTTATTATTTGCAAAATTATTTTTGAGAGATTTATTTTCGATCTACCACGCAGAAAATGACGTAGGTTGAAACTTTTGGAGCTTTTTTCTTTACATGGGACATTCTGATTTCTGAGACATTTTTTCTATTTGATTTAAAATCCCTCATCAGCTTATGATTCCTGGCTGGTACAAACAATGTACCTAGGGGAAATGTGGGAAGGATAATAGTAAACTGTTTTGAATAATTACTAGAAAAAAAAGTGCTTTGCGTGGGATGTTTGGGGCTCTCTAGCGTACCTACCCAATTGGCAGAAAATTGAAGATATTTTAAAAATATACCAATAGATTTCCTTGCATTTTCATGAAGAAGCCAAAATTTTCATATGAATAATAGGAGGTGAGTATCAGGCAAATGGATATACAGGCTAGTTTTTCCTCGGAGTACGTTAAGGCGAAATAGCACACTGTCTCAATGAAATGCTGTTTATTTAGCCTGAGCGAGCTAGTGTGAGCCAGTGTCAGCTTGTCTTGCCTGCGTGAGATGCCTACCTAGTATATCAGTGTCACGTGAAAACCACCAACCACTACTAAAAGAGCGGTAGCGTAGCTGTGAAAGAGCAAAGAGCAAACAGTAAATGGTCCTCATGACCAGATAAGCGTCCCTTGTCATTTCGGATCTTAGTCCATCGAGCACATTACAATCTCTCGGTCCGGTCCACGTTCAACAGCATTCGTGTACTATCTTATAGTGCTGGCCCTTCACTGCCGCTGGACATTCGCTACTGGTGTCACTATACCGTTTTCTGTTCACTTTGCAGCCCTCTAAATTTTCCTTGCGCGTGCGCTTTTAGCGTCTCTTTTCTTTCACACCCCAGTAGCGTAACGACTGTGCTTGCGTTTGTGCAGCGCAGCGCAGCGTCTTCTTGTTTTTTCAATCGCGACGCGTAAATTTTGTTTACATGTTTTAAGGTTATGATTGATCTAGAGACATAAGTAACGACTCTTGATATACAGACAAGATATTACATATTCTATACGTAGTGGCGGAAAGATGTCTGAAAACAGAATTACTGCGTTTCCTGATGGGAACTCTTTTGTCTTTTTCGACACCTTGAACCTGAAATTGGTTGTTGGTAATTCCGGAGGGTTGATCAAGATCTTCAAACCTAATGAACCTGAGCTAGAACCAACTTCAATCGATATACTTGAGAATCTTGCAAATCTCTTCATAGGAGACAACAAGGTTTTGGTTTCTACAACGAGCGGGAAGCTCGAATGCGTAGACTTACTCACCAACGAATCCAAAGGAGATCTCTTGAGATCGGAGTTGCCTTTGAGAGATGCAGTATTCATCAACGAAAGTAAGAGAGTCATAGCTGGTGGTGACGATGCCGTTTTACATGTGATCGATTTGCAAACTTCTCCGTCATCAATTTTGAAAATCCCAGTACCAAACCTGGTGTTGAATGTAGATTACAACCCTACTGGCGAGATGGTCTCTGTGAGTTTATCTAACGGAGACGTCCAGATTTATTCTGTCATAAATGAAAGACCAAATTTATTAGACACGATTAAGAGCTGTATAAGAGAAAAGATCAACACGTCAATGGATGAGATTGACTATGTTAATGAACATAGGTCGGAATTTTTCGTCACCAAGACACAGTGGTCCCCGAACGGCGAGTACCTCCTTACTCCTCTGGGCACCAATAAAAACAGAATAGATGTGTTCAACAGATCCGATTGGAGCGCCTTTGAATTTTCCATTGGAAAAGAATCCGACAGTACAATCGTAGACTTTGCATTATCACCTAATGGGAAGTATCTTGTCACAGTGGATCAAGATAGTCAATTGGACTTATTCGACTTCCAAAAGAGAGAACACATCAGGAACATCGTTTTAACTAATACAAGCAGTTCGAAGTTACCGCTCAACTTAAGCTGGAGTAACATAAAAAATGGTAGTACAACCTTTGACTTATTTATTGGGACAACTAATGGTGATTTTCTTACTGTCAATGAAATTATCCTGAGATCAACCCTAGAGCTTGACAGTTTGTTCTTGAACGAAGCAGAGGAAGACGAAGCTGATGAAGAAGAGGAAAATGAATTAGCAGACGATGATGGCAGCACTACCGATGCATTGCTCGATATGAGTGACACAGATGTACCCTTGAGAAACCGTCACCATCAGGAAGATTCCATGGTCATAGATGAGGACGACGCAGATGACATCGACAGAAGGTCTATATCCGACTCCAGAAGGAAACGTCCATACAGGTCATTAAATGGATCAAATGGAACATCAATTCTGCATTTGTCTTCATCCAGTTCATCTGCAGTTGTGATTCCCAATTTAAAGCCATTTTCACCAGGATCTACTCCTTGGAACTCAGATAAGTCCGCAAACACTTCCAGAAGATATCTTTCAATGAACTCAATTGGTTACACATGGGCAGTCAAATCTGATGATACAATCCAGCAGCAGAGTATCACAGTTTCATTTTTTGACCGTGCGATGAATAAGGATTATCATTTCACAGACTACAGCAACTTTGATTTATGTTCAATGAATTCTAGAGGGATATTATTGGCAAGTTCAGGGTTTGAGAAGTCAGGAGGTAATATCTTTTATAGGCATCATGAATCATTACAAGATTCATGGGATCATCAAATCCCATTGATAGCAGGTGAGTACATCACTGCAGTAACGATATCTAATAAGTCTAATGCCAATGAAATTATTATTGTCGGAACCAATTATGGATATATTAGATTTTTCAACTTGTACGGAGTGTGCGTGTACTTAATGAAATCTACTCCGGTTATCAGCCTTATATCTTCAGGAACAGTTGTTTTCATAATTAACCAAGTGTCATCTGGCACGTACACTTACTCCGTTTTAAACATTGCTGAAAACTACAAATACGTACAACAAGATGTAATAATGCCATTGACAGTCTCAACCAAAAGACAGCATCAGCATACACCGTTAATCAAAGGAGTATTTTTTAATGAAAACAATGATCCATGCATTGTTGGCGGTCATGACGACACCTTGATTATATTATCCAGCTGGAGACAACCAAACAATGGTAAATGGATTCCAATTCTTAATATTCATGAATGTATCACTGAAGGTGGATCGAATGAAAGTAAGAGAAATTGGAATTCTTGGCCATTAGGCTTATACAAGGACCAGGTGAGTGTTCTTATCTTGAAGAGTGGAAACAAGTTCCCAGGGTTCCCCTTGCCATTACCAGTAGAATTACCTATAAAATTACCAGTAAAATTCAAGAGAGCAAAAAAGACGAGTGCAAATGAAGAAGATGAAGATGACGTTCTACAAAAAGAACAACAGGAGAATTTAGACGATGAAGATCCAGCTGAAGCATTCCTTAGAGCGTTGACGATGGGTAGTATTGTGCATGAAGCTCTTACTAATAAAGAAGATGAAGAGGATGATGATGGCGATGAAGACAACGACGAGATTGTGGAGAGATTGGAAACTTACAGTGTATTATTCGACAAATCGTTATTGAAGATATTTGCACAATCGTGTCAGGATGCACAATTATCAAGAGCATTTAGTGTTGCAAAGTTAATCAAAACGGATAAGGCATTATTTGCAGCCTCTAAGATTGCCGAAAGAATGGAATTTTTAAGCTTGGCAACTAGGATTGGTAAGTTAAGAGAAGATTTATTAGATGATTGAGGAAATAACCCCCCCACTTACATAATACAATGTTATTTTAAAACATATATTCAATAGAATAAATAATATATACAAAGCTATCTTTATACGTTATACTACTTTCATAGTCTTTCTTTTTCAATGTTCACAATTTTGTGTAACAAGCAAATGAATGGAAAAAAGATTAAAATTGTTTCTTCACGAAATGGAAAACAATTGGTGTTACCCATAAAGCAGCAGCGATGACACCAGCTGTCTTCAAAGTATCATAAGCGTATTGTTCTTGTAATTTCTTTTGCTCTTCGCTTGGTTGAGCACCTGGACCTCCGAACATCTTTGTCTTCTTTTGTTGGTGATGTAATCAAATAAAGCACCTAAGCAATTAATAATTTTTTTAAATGATCGAAGATTTCGGGAACTCCAGTGAGTGAGAGTGCTCTGAGGTGCAGGATGCTATCTATGTGCAGGATACACGATTCGAAGCGAGCTCCTAAACATTGTTAACTCGCTAAGGAACTGGGTACTAGCCCTATATATCCCTGCATAGGTTAAGGAGATTCTTTGCAAAGCATGACGTCAATAAAACCATTTCAGATGACTGATCTCTTCGAGACCAATTCAGTTAATCTCGATACGTTGACTGAAAACTTCAATGGGTCATTTTATCTGCAATACCTAACCCAGTGGCCATCGTTATTTTTCAAGTCTGTTGAAATAAACCTGGATTTTCAACATTCTGGAGAAATTAGTGGATACATGATGGGGAAAACCGAGGGAAAACTAGACAAAAAGGAGTGGCATACACATATAACGGCAGTGACTGTAAACCCTCAATATCGTAGACTAGGATTAGCATCATATTTGTGTAAGCATTTGGAATATTCGACTAGTGGTGATCCGTACAATACGCTATTTGTAGATTTGTTTGTGAAGGTCAATAATGTATTGGCAAGGCAGTTGTACGAGAAATTGGGGTACGGAGTGTATAGAAGAGTGATCGGATACTATGGCAAAGTAATGCCCACAGATCGAAATAAGATCGATAATGACATAGATGCATTTGACATGAGAAAGAGATTACCGAGAGACGTAAAAGGAGAAACGGTAAGAGAAAACGGAGATAAAGTGTATGTGTTACCGTACGAGGTGGTTTTCTAAGTTATCTAAGACAAACTTGAGCAGGAATGAGTACATATGCTAGACTTACATATATCAGGACCAGGCATTGGAAAGGAATCGAAGAGATAATGCAATCAAAAGAGAAACAAGAGATCCCAGTGCTAGAACTTCCATTACATGAATTACTAGGGCAAGCCCTTCCAGTACAGGAACCTTCCAGCGAAAGAACTCACTATGACTGATAAAGGTAGGCATGAAAAAAAAAATTAAAAATAAAAAAAAAAATAAAAATAGAAAAAAAAGAAGTAAAAGAAACGAAAGGCAACTGTCCTAAATGGTGCAGGTCTTCTTTTCTAGATAAGCACATCACTTAAAATGTGTACTAAACAATAAACATCGAACGAAGTACAGCGCAAACCCGTAACCCTTATCGCGAGCCGAGATGTTCTCATTATGACTGTGTTGCATCTCGGAGTTTAGCTGACTCTTATTCTTACTGATAGGCTCCCTATGAGTGGCGGCTTTCGGGTCTTCTCACAGTCTGTGCAGCATTACATTCTATTTGGACTGTACACGACTTGCCCCATATTCGTGACCCGACTATAAAAGAATTGCTACATTCCAATGTTTAGATAAGTTTCCTTCTGATTAAGTATAGAACAAAATGCTAAGACGACAATTTGGTAAATTAGACGAGACGTTATCGAACTCGTCCTCGAGATCTCAGTCGAGAGTGAGGACTCCAATGGTCGACGGAGAGGAAAATGGATCCCTTGACGTAAACTTCCAAAGTATAGAGGAAATGTTGGCCACAAAGTTGGATTCATTGCAACTTTTGTTAGAGAAAAAGCAACAAGAAATGCTTCAAGACGCCGCTATTGGTACTGGTGATACCAATCCAATATTGGACGGAAACTCACAGGATTACTTGCAGAAAACTGCAAAACAATTTAATCAGTACAGAATCCAATCAAGTCACACTTCTATCAACGAGATTATTGTATCCTTGGGGGCCTCTAGGTCAAGTGTTTCTTCTAGTTCTCGTGAATTGATGTTGGCCCAGCTTTACAAGTTGATTGTTTCAAGACCCTTGATTGTGTATAATGAAGAGCAAATAGGAACTGACCAATATGTCACGGACGATATGGTTGCACTTTTATTGAAAGTGTTAACCAGTGGCGACTACAGGTCCCCCACTGAATTCTTGTTGTTGTACAGATCATGCATTGCTCTCTTATGTAGTGACATTGAAGAATTTGGAACCTTGGTGCTGTCGGATTTCTTGTCGTACATCTCCAAATTAATCCAAGAACCTGCTACATCTGTAATAACAAATGAAAACAAGGCTAGCGTTGTCACCGGACTTGCTCTGTTGTTGACTATTTTACACAACGGATCTTCGTCATTCGGTATCGACGACAAAATCTCTTGGCTCATAGAAATAGCGGAGGGATTTACCGAAAGCTCTATCCAATTGCTGAAGGACATTCAAACTGGTGACAGAGAGTACTCCACTTTGATCAACGATGAAAGTGACGACAAGAGAATTGTAAACGAATCCAATGTTAAAGCTTCTGGTGAAGCTGCAGTCGCTATAGCAGCTTTACATGGATGTGCTTGTTTGTTGACTTTAATAGCAAAGGGAGAATTCTTGAACGAGTTCGTTACAGACTTGACAGCAAAACTAGTAACCATCCTCGATAATGACGTAAATTATGAAATTTCGAAGGCTGCTGGTAGGGCCATTGCAATCTGTTATGAAATATATTCATATTCTGAAGACGAAGAAGATAATGACGATGATGTGGGTGACGATGGAGAGTTAGAATACAACTACAATGCGCCATATTATGAACAGGAGCAGTTATTCTCCATATTATCTAGACTCGCATCTCTTTCTACTCATAAAATATCGAAAAAGGAGAAGAAGGTAACCCATTCCATATTCAGAGATATTCTCTCTACCGCTAGAACGTACACCAACCCTGAAGAGAGAATCGAAATTTACAAAAAATCTCCAAGAGGAATGGAAATTGTCTCAGAAATGATGGAATCTTCAAGTTACATAAAGCTTTCTAAGTCAAGATCCTTACCGATCAATAGCTGGTTCCTCTACATTAGGTTGATACATTTGAAATGGACTTTCAGTTTCGGTGTACACAATCAACTCACGAGTAATGAAAGCATTCGTGACATATTGAGGGAGCCTGCCACGGACTTCCAAGAGAGATATGGAACCAGCGGAGCTGATCATATGGAAGCTCACGGCGACTATGGAACCACTGAGAGATTCGAAACTGACGATAAGAAGAGAACCAATTTGATTAGAAAGGCAAGAGTAAATAAACTAACCGAAGAGATTGAAGATTTACAGTTAGGTGAAGGTGCTGAAAAGAAAAAGTAGTTGGAATGAAAATTAACTAGTATTATTATTTAGTTATAGGCATAGGCAGTAATAAATTAATCATTAATAGGCGTTTACGTTGGATATACCACTAAGTAGTACTCTAGATTCATATTATTATTATTATTATTATTGCAAATGGATACATACTTCGGACCTTGCCTTACTTCTTCATGAGCGCAGACAAGTCATCAGGGTCAAGCTTAGCAAGGTCAGAAAATTCATTTAATTCGAAAATGAATTGCTGATCAAATACTAAGTTGTATAAGTTCAAATCATCTGAGTACAACCAGCTGCCGTACACATTGATATTATAGTCCCTATACCATTTCATATAATCGATCCATACTGAAGTAGTCTTAAAGAGCAGAAATCTGCATACAACACATAAAACAGCATAATAATATAATAGCTTCAATGCAAATTGATTTTTAGTTTTCACAATAGTCCTTAATTTGCCGTCAATAGCCAAAATCCATCTGAATAATGGGATTGGGTAGTTCAGCTCGACTGCTCTAAAGTAGCATATATCTAACAAGCTAATCGAGTCATTGAATACCTCAATAATTTCAGAAGATTCAGAATCAATTAATTCATCAAATTGGTTGATCATTATCCATTCTGTCAAGCAGCTTTTCAATTTGATTATCACTGGATAACTTTTATGGGTAGTTGGGAGCTTACTATACCTTTCCACGTTATTGAAGAGTCCCCGAAATGCTGTGCCCAACAAAGTAGGGGAGGCAGCAATAAGCGTATTGTGAATACCCGCACAAATTGATATTAAATCAGTTTGTTGCGACCCATCTTCCAGGTCCTCATCAAAGGCAATCAACGGTATTAATTTATGTGGATGTAGTCCAAGAAATGAAAATATAAGTATCCCGGATATTACTAGCTCTGCCGATTTGAAAACCAATTCATCCTTAGTGTCGAAAGCTCCCTGTTCCTTCATGCTAAGTAACGCTCCTGATTCAGATAAAGTTTGCGAAGTGTTGCTTAAACTATTCATGAAGTACGAAGTAGTCTTTTCAAATAGACTACCCTCTCGAGCCAAATCCGCCCCGTCTCTTGTGGAATACAGAGAATCACCAAGAAACAACTTTTGTACTATCTCGCTCTTACCTTTATTGCCAAGCATTATCATTAATTGTTCATCATCCATGACATTAACGTATATATCACTATCCCCACTGCACAATGGCCACATATTAAGCGCACTGAACAGAAACACAGCTTGTTTAACAAGGTCTGAGCTTTGCCAAAGCTTGGGGACTTCGTACCTCCACACTTTATCTATTTCGAAGTTGACATTAAAGGAAAACAACGGCACGCAGAATGTCTGAAAGAAATGGAGTAGCCTGTATTCGAATTTGGAAATCCTCAAATTTTGCCAGTTTGAATTCAATAGAGTTGCAGCATGAAACGATAATAGTCTAGCACTTTCGTGATTATAATCCTCAGTTTCTGTACCTGTTACCACGACTTCTGGATAAAGACAATCTCTGCCCGTGTGGTAGCAATATTCGCAAACCGGTTTATTTTCGTCACACTAGAAATTGATGTTAGTACTTGGATTAAGTGATTTCTTGGGGTAAACCAAGAAGTGTATCCTACAGGTGGTAGCTCAGCTGCTTAAACTGGTGAGAGATGGACCAACCAAAAACGTCCTTAGTCTTATACGGCCCAAGTATGTAACCCCAAATACTAAGGTGCAATAAGTTCCTCACCACTAGCAAAGTGAACAGTCTACTTACTTTTATCTTCAATCTTTTACAACTCAAGCATCCTTTTCTTGATCGCTTTTTTCTAGGTCTAACTTCCTTTTCACTGGGTGGAGAGTTTTTCAGACTACTTGAAGAGGAACTTATATACCCACCACTGCCTGCATTGGTTTGAAAAGAAGGCATCTCAAGGTAACTTGTGATTTGAATTGAGCCACTGTTTGTGATAATTTACGAGCTAAGCAAAAAAAAGGGTAGAAATAAATATTAATAAATACACTTTCGATCTTATTGATGCTATATGAAATTGTTAGCCGCAAGCGTATCAATCGAAAAAAAAAAAAACGAGAACGTCAAATTTCCGTCAAATAGGGACAATATGTCACTTGTTTTACCTTAAACATGTCAACTTAAAGTTGTGAGCCTTAGTGGCGAAGCAAGTTTAGATTTAGATTATGTAAGGAAGGGAGCATAGAATATGTTAATTTTTTGCGCGATGCGTTTCCTTAACCGTGCTTTCGGACCGGTTATCTAACAAAAGCATAGCTATACAAAGGTTAAATATCTGACACAATACGGTATGCGCGGCCCGTGGTATGAACACTTCCACCCATATGATGGGATGGTCGTGAAATTTAGCTAGTTTATTGTTTCTACGGCTTTCGATAACTACTCTCTCTTGCTGAACTTAAAAAGGTGCATATACTATTTATCATGCATATATATATTGATGTGAATCATGCAGATACACATTGCCCCGCGGACATTATTTTTAGGTGATTGCATGGAACGGCCTTTACACTGAAACATATGGGTCCAAAGTCCCAAGATCTTCAGCTGAGACCACTCCCATTCTGTGCTCAACAACCATTCTGTAGAGCAAAAAGTCATCCATATTTTTCCAAACCCCATTCCCATACTTTTCGTAATTGAAATCTCTATACCATTCCATGAAATCTAACCACATGTTTGCCTTGGAGAACAAGTGGAAGCGACAGACATTACATAGACTAGCAAATGAAAATAGGATTTTCAAGCCAAACTCATTCTTCGATCTAACTATCTCATGTAAAACATCCTGCATTAAAATCCAACGGAATAAAGGCACGGCATACTTCAATGTCACTGCTCGGTACATGCATATTTCAAGTAAATCAATTGAAGATTTAAACGTCTCGTAGTGTTCAGAATCTACCTCATCCTTCAATCGAAATCGCAAGTTTTCGATTATGGGGTAATTTAGGGCACTGGTAGGCTCCATACATTCGTCTGAGCGGAATATTCCACTATACGGAGACTTTAATAAAGCATGGATGTTACTGATATAGGCTACTCTTAGACCGTCACATATTCGTAATAGATCAGTAGATTCCTCATCAAACGATACTAATGGTGCTACTCTATGGGGATGCATTCCCAAAAATGAGTATATCAATATTCCTGAAACTAAGACTTCTGCAGATTTGACTGCTGGTACTTCACCATCTCCCTTCGCTGTAATTTTCGAAATTGACTCGATATTCAACCGTAATGAAGTGGCAAAGTATTCAATGGTGTTGATATAAAGATTTCCACCTTTTGGTGTAGCCTCTGGATCGATAATTACACCATATTGGTTGTTATTGTGTTTGGAAATTTCGAGAAAGAGCCTATCTTCGTCAATTAATGAAGAATCTACCAACGATTGCACATCACACAAAGGCCAGAGATTCATTGCGCTATACAGGTATACTGACATTCGGAAAAGCTTTGATCTACTCCATAGCATAGGGATTTCATTGTTCCATACGCTACTTAGCTTTTCGTCCGCATTCCTTCGGAACAATGGAATGCAATAGTGTTGAAAAAAATGCAACAATCTCATCTCAAATGCACTTAATCGAAGCTGAGATGATGTAGTGAATAGTTTGGACGGTGGAGGATAGTACTTTATTATCGGCAATTTGCTCATCGAAGGTTCCACTTCCCTTGGGGATCTTATTTTTTGTTTCTTATACGAAGGTGGCTCGTCTCTATTATCTACGTCAATCGAGAACTGTGTCAGCCATGCCTCATCTGCTCTATTCTTAGCTAGGGTAATATCTTGTGCTACAGAAACTTCGTTTCGAACCTTTAGCGCTACATCGATTGCCCAGTCTGGGAACTTGTCCTTGGCTAAATACTTACTAGATTTGATGCTCTTGGGACTATGATTGGACTTCGCAATGTATACACACTTCCTACCCGTGGAACTGCAATATTCACATGATGGTCTTCCTTCGTTACACTAAGAGATGTTAGTATTCAGAATAAAAAGGTACAGCTGGAACATGCGGACCAGCGTGCACGTTCATAAGCACTTACTTTTATTTTGAGCTTTTTGCAGCTCAAGCAACGATTCACTCGGGGACTCATAGTTTCGAAATTTGCAAAGCTGAATTAAGAGTGTATCAACTTTTGGTATTCAGTTTTCTTCTTTGAAACGAATGTTAAGATTTTACAATTGGTTATCTCGATCTTTCAAACAGAATCACTCTCTTCTACGAAATCTAAAACGTGAAACACAATTCAATACTCGGAATGAATTTCGGGAGGCTAACAAATTATTGTAGGATGACTTATTTTCTAGGTTAACAACTCAAACAACGTAGCACTTAGAGAAAGTGGGCTGTATATATCATGACTATTCTTATTGTGTAGGGAGCCATGTCTTCCTGATCCAAAAAGAAAAAACATTTGCGCTTACGTAATCGCTAAACATTGAGTCTGCATTAAGTGATGGATGGTGCATAAATACGAAAATTCAGAAAAGAATGGAGGCGGAAAAGGCGCCCTTTTTCGAATAGTTCTAATTTTTCAGTTGTTTGCGCGCTAAGTTTGGGCGATAGATCTTCCTTGTATGGAATCAAGCGTGGGGGTAGCCAGCAGCTCGTACTAAGTCTTCACTATCTGGATCTTTGGTTGGTTTGTGAAAATTCATTGTGTCCTCTATATCCATGGCGTTAAAGCTGACACATGTCCCACAATTGACGAAGGTTTAAAAAATATGTCAACGGGCGCTTAATGTGTTAATGTGGAAGCCCCAGAAGTATCTTAAAAAACTATATTCCGCAGACGTAAACTCAGAAAATAGTATATTAATTAGTGTGAACAGAGCCCCCAATAAGCCGCACTGTGTCAGAGAAAAGAAAAAGAAATGACCAGAAGAAGCCTCGCAATGATTAGCCGCACCATTCTCTCTTTCTTTGACGCTTACCTAAGAGATTTCTAAGCGCAAAAACTTAAAATGTATGGAAAGGGTAAAGATCTACTCGTATGTTGAAGGCTGCCTACGGGCGATGAATGAAAACTTGAAAATATAAATACCCCATGAGAAGTCTACAATTAACTGCTCAATTGTAATAATCAATAACTATCAATATCAAATAAATCTAAATCATAATGGCCGTCAACAGCTGGAAAATTCTCACCTATGTCCAAATTGCATTCTACGTAATAATTGCAGCCGTGGATATCATTCAAAAAATTCAAGTATTAAAGGCTCGCCGTAATGCAGAGGGATCCTTTGAAAAGGGTGTTTCTAGAATTTTCAGATCTTATATGATATATGCATCTCTTTTCATCATCTGTAAGGTCACTGGTGGTATCTGTGGTGCTGTACTTTTCAGCTTAACTGACTTAAATACCAATCTTTTAATCGCTACTTATGTTTTTGATTCTGTTTCGCTTGGGTTTTTAATTAAAACACTTTTACCAATAATTGAGTTTATCGTTGACAAGCGTTCTGATATCTTGAACGGCCTTGTTGGCCTTGACCCAGACGTTAAGTATGGAGGTGAAGAAGTTGAACGTCCAAAGAAGGGTAGATTTCACCCATTCCGTATCTTAACTCTTGTTTTGTTAGCTGCTGTCATTTGTACAATCGTTGCATCATCGTCAATGTCAGATGATATTTCAACTTACAGAGCTTGTCTTAAAGCATCCGCATTACTTTTCCTTTCGGTTGTCATCATTATAATAGGATTTTTGGTCTACTTAATCATGTTTTTCAAGTCAGCAAATTATGCTCATAGTGACATTGTAATTCAATTAGCTTCCATCATGCTTATTGCAACCCCATTTTTATTGGTAAGATGTGTCTACTCCATCTTGGCTGCGTTCAGTAATACTAACCTTTTCGTCGGAAAGGCAAGCAAGTATACTTTATTCTATGGTGACTACGTTTACTATACCTTCTTGGCATTTATTGAAGAATGTGTTGCCATAATAGTTATTATCTGTACCATCTACTATTTCTTACAAAAGGTAGAATATCTCAGAAATTAAAAATCCAACAATGAAATACTTTTTTGTGTTATTTTTATAGAATTTATTAGCAAACTGATCAAGTGAAATATGATAATAAAATTTAAGCTGCAAAATATTTTAAAATCTCTGCGTTATGCATCGAAGCCTGTCAAATTTAATTCTCAGTACACCAGGCACTCCCCTGCGTAAGATCCTTATGAACACATTCTGTATTCCAGTAAATGCAGTCAAAAGGTAAACATTACGAACAGCATACTAACAATCTGTAACTCTTCGGATAATTGATAATGTCTCTTAGAAGAGTGTTCAGCTGCTCTTTCCTTCACTGGTGCACATTTGATGCACTCGCACTTACTTTAAACTTTAATTACATCCGTACACCAAAAATGCACTCACACACTCTTGGAAAATGCTTGATCTACGTACAACTATCGGCTATACGTATAGTATATATTAAACTCTATTCTTGTTCAACTAAATAAATAATAAACATCTTTAACACATACAAAACACACAAACAATTCATGTTCACTTTCCTCATACGTCACATTTCTAATTACACGTTCATAATTATTCTAGATATAGCTTATTTGACAACGATATCTTCAACATCGAATACCTTAGGCGAAATACCCATCTTTCCAATATAATCCTTTGCATCAGCTCTCATCTGTTCTGTGGTCTTGGAGTCCCATTTCAAGTCATTCTTCATGATTTCAACAACACCATCAACAGCACTTAAAGCTTCTCTAGCGTTCAAGAAGGCCAATCTGGTTCTTCTAGCCAAGAAATCAACTGGAGTTCTAATGTATTCGTACTTCAAAGAGTATTTCAATTCAGCAATAGTGAATGGCTCATCAAACGATTGGTATGATAAGTTATGTTCATCAGTAGAAGTAGTCAAAGATGGCTTGAATTCATCGTTAGCAGCTAAAGTGATTGGCAACTTGTTGTAGTCAGATTGATGATACAATTCCAAAATAAGAGAAGCTCTCGAACCGTAGTTATGGGACAAGTGCTTGGCTAATTTTAATGGAATTCTGTATTCATGGATCAATCTTGCACTATAGTTCTTAGTGTAGTCTTCACCACCATTTAAAATGATTTCATTGGTTTGGCATGGCTTCAAGTTCTTACCACTGAAATCGAAATTTTTCACTACAGTATCAACAGTGTCTTGAGCCATTTCTCTGTATGTGGTCCATTTACCACCGGTTATGGTGACTAATCCAGTGTCGGACTTAACAATTAAGTGCGATCTAACTAAACCTTGAGTGGAACCAGCGGTGGCATCAGTTTCAGTGCCTCTTGGTGGCAAGTGCTTTGGATCACGAGCCAATGGTCTAATACCAGACCATGCAGATAAAACATCTTCTCTCTTAACAGGGAAAACGAGATACTTTTGCAATTCTTTCAAGATATCTTGAATTTCTTCTTCAGTTGGGACAGGGTTTTCCTTGACTTCCTTTAATGGGGTATCAGTGGTACCGGCCAAAACCTTTCCTTGCCATGGCAAAAAGAACATGACTCTTCCATCAGAGGTAGAAGGGTCTAATAAACCCATATCTCTTGGACAATAGTATTCAGGGAGAACAACGTGGACACCAGATGATGGAACAACGACTCTTGGGGCGAAAGGCTTAGTAGGAGGTAAACCTTTTGGATCTTCATCCATTTCCATGATTTTATCAGCAAATGGACCAGTAGCATTAACAGTAGCGGTGGCCTTAATTGTATATTCCTTGTTGGTTTCTCTATCAACAGCTAAAACACCGGTAACCTTATCTTGGTCATCCTTCAATAATTGCTTCACGTCCATGTAATTCAAGATAGTAGCACCGTGATCAATACCAGTGATAGCCAAAGTGGCATTCATTCTGGCATCATTAAAGGAACCATCATGGTAAACACAGGTTGCCTTCAAGTTAGAATCGTCAATCATAGGAGCAACAGCAGAAGTCATTTCTCTAGAGAAAACAGTGGAAGATCTCAAGTTTTGGTGACCAGCAAACCAATCGTACATCTTACAACCAGCAAAGAAGTAAGGAACTTGCCACCACTTGTAAACTGGAATCATAATTGGTAACACGGTACACAAATGAGGGGCGGTTCTTAACATATTACCTCTTTCGTTAAGAGCTTCAATGACAAGATCCAATTGGGCCTTAGACAACTGGAAAATGGCCTTTTCCAAGTATCTGACACCACCGTGAGCCATCTTTGTTGACTTGGATGAGGTACCAGAAGCAAAATCACTTTTTTCTAACAAGCAGACGTTTAAACCTCTCGAGGCTGCATCCAAGGCTGTACCTGTACCGGTAGCACCACCACCAATGATCAAGACATCGAACTTGGGAGTAGTTTCCAAGTTTTTCAACAATGTTTCTCTTGTTGGAGGAGTTGGTAATTCTTTGACCAAAGGCTTGTATGAAGTAACAGTGTTTGAGGGTTTAAGCGGTCTTATATAATCCAAGTAGATAACAGCTGAACCTGCGACACCAACAGCGGTTGCGGCTACTTTAGTAGCCTTGTGGTGAAGTATTGAGCGGAACATGTTCTTCGTCTTGATTCTGGTTTATCTATAATACAAATTCAAAGAAAGACAAATCACTTTATAAAATAAATAGGATAAAACAAGTTAAATAAATAAATAATTAAATAGGATTAAATAACTTTTTATGGTTTGCTTATTTACGTGTGATTTTATTATCTCTACCTCTGAAATTTTAGCTTTTCTTCTGGAAAAATTTTTAATCACTTCCTTTGTATCTATAATGAATATAAAGGGACAGTCACTTATTGGCTGGAACAAGTGAAAGGAAAGAAAATTAAAGGAAAAGGAAAAAGAAAAGAATAAATAGAAGAAGAAAAAGAAGAAAAAAAGGAAATTCTTACAACATGAAACTGGTCTAGGTGAACGTTCTAATCACCTCTATATAAATGTCACCTTAGCAAAGATCCACGTACATTCACACTTAATTTGCTGAAAAGATGGCAGGCCAGCCGTTATGCCGAGCTCTGGTGACTAGGCATGCAGGAGAGTCATACATGCCGAAAGGAAAAAGGAAAGAGGAAAACAAAAAAAAAAAAATGGAAGAATTATAATTAGAGTGTAAGAAGGGAGAAAAGGAGAAGAAGTGGAAAATATTAGGCGCTCGCGAACGCAAAGTCACTCAGAAGCTCTCTGGTCCTTGCTTGGCTATATGTTGGTGCGGTTTGAGGAATAGTCGGGGGTGAAGTAAACATATCAGATGAGAGTCTCTACTGGCACTACGTGCAACAATATCGAGGATTTTCCATGTTTTTTTTTACTTCTTTTTTTTTTTTTTTTTTTTTTTTTTATTGACGCATTTCAGTGTGAACATGACTTGCTGCAATATTGATGGCACGAGGCGACTGTAATATCGATACTTACTGTATAGCTCTTATCCTGCCCAACACTACGGTTCCCACTACCTTTGATTTTGTTATGAGCATTGAGAAAACTAAAACTCCAGTCTGATCGAGCTTAGCAATGGTTAGATCGACCAATACCTTTTTTCTCTCTTTTTTTTTTGATTATAACCCTATTTGATGGTTGACTCCAAAGTCAATGCAAAGTTGCTGCAGCATTTCTTTTTTAGAAGCGAGGTGGCTCTGGAGCAATTATTCGACACATTGCAAGGAAAAAGTAAAATGTTTCACACATTGAAGTCCAACATATTGGAAGGTGCTTAAAGCCAAAGGTGCACTCACGTCCACCCAATCCATGACTCTGGTGGCCTGCTCGCATATCTCTTCTTCCATAGAACCTAATTTATTGATTGTGAATAAATGTTCCAGCTGTGAAATTCAAATTCCTCGGTAATAAGGAATCCCAAAGAAATTCAGTCCATGCCCATCCGCAGCCCCGCATAGTTGCTGCAATATGTGCCCCACCTGTCTGTCCGCCCTTGATCGTGCAGTAAGAATTCAGAAATGGTATGCCAAAAATGCACTATACTGTTCGAGGATGAAGGAAATAAAGATTCGCCCGGAAAAGCTATGTAAGACTCCAATGTAAGCCACAAGCCATACACTTTCATGGTGCCAATTTCTCCTGGTTACTGATGAAGAATTTCACGAGATTTAGGTTTCGCTTAAACTTCTAAAACGGTTGATGGAAATCATGCAGATGATCTGTTTGCAGCAACTGTACCTATTAGGCTTATGCAAAGTGTGCTGCATTGCTACATCAAAGTACAATAAAAGATTCAGATGGTAGTGAGAGACGGAATACTCGCTTCCACATATGTGCGATTTCGGAGGAGATGTCTATCTGAATAAACATCTCTGTAAGAATAATGTCAAATTATACATGGTTGTACACATCTGAACGCTTATATGCTTATGTCCGCAGCACATATTACTTGTAACTAAGTGAATGATACGACTGTTCCGTGCGCGCTCGAAACACTTTGTAGCATGAATGGCTCTTATTCAATCCCATAAATGATAATGGCCCATTTGAGAAGCGAGCAGTAACTGTAAGACTCCTTTTGAAGCTGAAATTTTGAAAGCATGGAAGATGTTCGATCTGTGACGTAGCAGGCTCAATTCCAGTTCCTCTAACTAGATTGTACCCCAAGGCACCGCGGAACTGAGTACATTTTTGGGATAGATTTTAGAGTCGTCAATACAACAAATGTTGTCCGACAAGCTCAAAGAAATGAACAAAGCCAAGGGCATCAGAGAAACGAAAAAAATGTATCAATGTACTCCAACCCTAACTCTTGCACCCTACTAAGGCCATTTGGCACATTTTGGACTGTGCTACAGCGCTTCGAAAGCAGCAATTTGGTATACTGCATACAAGTAGCCGATAACAATCACTAATATAAGCTTCGTTGTATGCAGGATATTAATTTACCCAATACGTAATTGTTAAGCGGAATGGTGAAGCAGTGGAGTAGAAAGTAGAACACCACATTCAGTACTTACGACCTCTTAGACAAGTACATAAGCACAGTTCAATATCGAAACATGGATGAAGATACTCGGAGAGATTTAATCGAGCAATTTCGTGCCGTCACTGGACTTGCAGAAGACTCCGACGCAAACATCACAGATCTACTTACTGTGAATGGTTGGAACTTGAACAACTCGATCTCGGTCTATTTTGATACGGGTTTTGACCTGATAAGTGCTGGGGTCAATCCAAACCAAGAATATTCACATCAACTGCCAATTGAGCCTTCCGACGACGGGAACACTGGAGGAGTTTCTAGTGGCGTGGAGGAGCATGAAAGCACCCTTTATCATCGAGAAGATTCAAGAAGTGTTCTGAATCTCCAGAGTGAACTCTTTTTTGATAACTATATACCAAAATTGCCCAAAGCTCCTAAGATTTCCAACCACTGGCACTTGGAGATTGGGCTCAATTTGAGCTTAATAGACTCTAGTCGAAAGGAGGGGCTTGGTGCTAGCGAAGACGAAAAGACACTCATAGATGAAAAGTCCGACGGGGTCAGCACGTCAAATGCTTCTTCTCCAAGAACGACTACGCTATGGATCATCTTACTTTTCATTCCAAAGTCATTGCTTTCCATTCTTGTATCAATATTCAGGTACCTCTTCGGAGGTGTGGCCAAGAAGGTTGGTGGACTGTTGAACAATTTCCCTAAGAGGTTCAACTACAGCACTTATAACCCTGAGAAGGAGGATAAACTAAGCATAAGTGTTCCAGAACCATCGCCAAGTCGTGGTACTTCTTCCGCCTCGGTCGTCTCGTCGTCGTTCAATGATGCTTACTCTGATTCCCAATCTAAGTATTCGTGGTTATTAGTGATCTTGACTAACAATGACAGAAAGAGTAGCCAGCTTGCACAATCATTTCTTACAAACCCAGAATTCGGCAAACTTGAAGATTTAACATTGTATACAAACAACATTGAGACGTCTCGTGAGGCCTTTGAGGTAGGAAAGACTTACAAGGTTAAGAAGTTGCCTTATGTCATGCTTATCGGTAATGTTACCAATAATCCATCGATCATGTCATCCATGAGCATTGTTTATAAATCGAACATCGCGTTATCTTCTCTTGAAAACGATGAAAAGATAGAGGCAACTGTCCTGAAAGTGTATAGGGGACTCTCCAAAGTTATTGAGCATTTCAGTCCACAGCTAATAACCAAAAGAATAGATCAGCAGGAGATTGAGTATTCGAGGATAATCAAGGAGCAACAAGATGCTGCTTACATTGAGTCCTTGGCTTTGGATAAGAAGAAGAAAATGGAAAAGGAGTACCAAGTTAAGATGGAGCAAGACCAACAAAAGTTGGCCAACTTGAGGAAGCTATTCTTACTTTCCAGGATTCAAAACGGCTGGATTGAAGATGTTATCAAAGAAGATATCTCTTCCGGTAACAAAGATTATGTAAAGGTTGCTATAAAATTGCCCAAGGGAAAGAGAATTATTGAAGTTTTCAAGAAGCAAATTTCGACGATAGAATTATATTTATTTGTTGAATTAAAATTGTACATAAACGAGTTGGTTGAAGATGAAGAGAACGAAGAGTTCAATGATGAAAATGATGTGATTATGCATTCTAAGGGGCTTGATTGTACCTGTGAGTTGGAATTAAGCGAATATGTAGCCAAGTTCCCATTCAAGTTCGAGTTGATTCAGCCCTTTCCAAAGAAGGTGATTGAACTCGTTGAAGAAAAGATAGGGGAAGTGAAGGAGTTGAAGAATGGGGGAAGCCTATTGTTTGAATGGGTAGAGGAAGACGACGATGACGAAGATGAATAAAAGGAAGAAGAAGAAGAAGAAGAAGAAGAAAAAGGGACTCGCGACACTAACACCAATTACTTTAATAGACGAAAACTTTATCACAAGCCTAACGACACTGTAGCTGTGCAATGGAACCCTTCGGCTAAGCTGCAGCCTTTCTATGCATACCCTTTCCATGTAAGCTTTTGCGCACGTGACATTCTCCAAGAAAATACTCTCATTTTAAAAGGGCCTGGGAAAGAGAAGCCTCCCACCACTGGCGGCAGCTCTACCTATAGACGGTGCTGCTGCCCAGTTGCACAGTGGGCCTGGCGCCAAGTAATTCTGAACCACACCCACAAAATATTCCCAGGTTGAAGAAGACAACAGACGGCAGACAAACTGTACTGGCCATCTTCGGCTACAAAACTAGCTACCTACTGTGAAACATACTCAAGAAGAGCCTGATGTTTCCTTTTCCATTGTTCTAGACGGTATGCTGCTCATTCCTCCCGCCGTTCATACTCTATTGCTCATTATTGTCTTCGATTGTCTCCTAATTCTCCCCCATTGAAAATAAGCGAAAATCAGTCGAAACCTCACACTATCTAGCGCCTCTCTGCAGTACCGCTTCAGCCTGGATACGAGGGTGCTCACACTTTTATCAGTTCAATTTTCTTCTCCGCAGCGAAGTAATTTTATAAACGTTCCTTTTATTACTTTGACCAATTGTGTTAACTTAGCAGGAAAAAGGGTGCTAGGTAACGAGCTAGGGAAAAAAGAACATTGATAGTTTAGTTTTGCGTAATTTCTTTTTCAACTTTTGGTACAGTTATTCTTTCGAAGTGGAATATATTATACCCTTAGATTTTTCTTTCTTTTTTTTTTTCTTAGTGACAGCAGCTGCCGTTCCCCATTACATAGAAGTATAAGAAAAGATCTTGAAACATGGCCTCTCGTCAATCCAAATTGGAAGCAGAGCGTATGGCAATCATGCACCAGTCGCAACCTTCAATTCCTGCCCGTGGCAGAAGCACATCCCCTGGAAGAGCTAGGGGTATCAACAGCTCTAGATCACCATTGAGGTCTGACGGTGACTTGAAATGGTCTATCACCAACCATGACCCACTGGAAAGACTAGAGAATGTGGAACATGATGCAGAAGTCTCCGAAGAAGAACATATAAGTGATGATGACGAGAATGAGAAATTCCAATACGATGACACTGGGAATATCTTACCCAACTATGCCTGTGGAGACGAAAAGATTGACGAAATTCTGAACATATTAGAATCGTCTAACCTTAACGATCAAGAAACTGTGAAGAGATTGGAGGAATTAACTGCCGGGGAAAGAGCTTTGGCCAACGCCAGCAGCGTAGGTATCCAAGTTGGGGAGGATTACAAGAAGAGATTGGTTACAGACAAGCAAGAGTTGACTGGGCTGAACGAGTTGGACTTGCTGACATCAGACCAAGACGCCCTTCGTAGAAAGAATAAATTAGAAGCTTATTCTTCTTATAGAAGGAAGATCATTGACAAGGAAAATGATTTATCTCCACAGGCTACTAGAAGCACCATTAGCCCGCCTCCCCAGTTGACTCCACAGTCTTCTAACTCTAATGGTGTAGAATCAACACCGTCCGCTGAAGTGAAAGAAGGAGGTGCCGTAGACGGCTCTAACGAGGAATTTATGATTCCCTACACTTCTGCGGTAGAAGATAAGCTTGATTCAGAATTTGCATACCAGCTCAACGAGACAATCAGAGAAGGTGAGATTGATTCCAATAAGGCACAATCTCGAATCATTCAAACCATTACTAGAGGTAACTTTTTTCAATTGATTAACCCTGAAGTCAAGCCCAAGATGTTTTTGGTGTGTATGGATTTTTCCCCTGAATCTATTTTTGCTTTAGAGTGGTGTTTGGGGACTGTTTTGGTTGATGGATCAGTTTTGTTTATTGTATGTGTAATTGAAGAGACTGATGCTAACCATATCTTAAAGGGTAATAGCGCAAACGAAGCACAAAGAGAACAGGCTAGGTTGAATATGTTAAACAAGGCCAAACAACAGGTATTGAATTTACTTAAGTTGACAAAATTACAGATCCATATCGTCATTGAGATTATTCATCACCCTATTCCAAGACATTTGATTTTAGAATTCATTGATAATTTGCAGCCTACTTTGGTTGTAGTGGGGTCCAAGGGACAATCAGCAATCAAGGGTGTGTTGTTAGGTTCTCTATCCAATTATTTGGTCACTAAGCTGTCTGTACCGGTTATGGTGGTTAGAGAAAAGCTCAAGAAGATCAATAGATTCAAGAATGGATCTTCAGTATTTTCAAATAACATTAAGCCTTTGACTTTATCTGAGGCAAGAGTTGATTAAAGATGATCGACTTATTAAATATTGTATAATATTAATTACGATAGGCAAACTCATTGAGAAGTTTTAATTAATAGCGGCATGGTACGTGAGATGATAATAATGAACAAACACATTGGAACAGATGAAACAAAAATCATTACTACAAGAAAAAGACAAAAAAATAACTGAATGGATAAAGAAATACTGAGATTATAAAGATGTATATATGTATATATATATATATATATATATATATATATATATATATATATATATATATGCATTTAATGTGAGCTAGTCATACGATTGGTTTAATTCAAAATGTAGAAACATTGTAGCATATGTGCGGAAGAGTTAAGATCCATCTGTGGAATGCATTGATGCTCAGCAGAAAGCATGGATTTAAATGCAGAGTGCTTTGGCTGGTGTTATACCAAGTGACAAAACCCGAAATTAGCCAACCTGAGCCCCCTTGATTGCCTCGCTTAGTACTACAAGCCTATGGGGGGAGAATAGAGATCAGGTACATAATGGAGATGGCACTCTACTACAACAATAAGAGCTGAGCGAGTTGATGTTAAACAGGCCCTAGCTATTTCTGATCTGGCCACATAAACTTAAGGTTGCAGTGTGCTCACTACATGAAGTATATGAAACATTACTGTTTCTTTCACTTCGGAACTAGAATCGGCGACGTATGTGAAGAATATGCCAGATACGATACAATTTTATATAGTTCAATTGAATTAGCTCGCGACGTCATTATGCTCTGTACTAGTCTGAACAATCATCTTTTATTCAAATGTGCAAGGAAGCAATTGCATGTTGTAACATTTCCGATATTATTTTCGCCTCGTGCACCGAATGGAATTATCGAAGCAAACATCTATGACCACATCCGACGAGAGAACGCGGCCTGGTGTGCGATAATGGATAGAAACAAGTTAGCCCCACGTAAGGCCCCAAATTCTTGTACATGCATGCCAAGATGCGCTTATAAAACAATAATTCTGCGAAACTTAATAGTAACTCCAGTGAAAATATCAAGTAGCGAAGTAGTATAGGTCAGTTGATTCGGCGCAGCCACTTCTATTCCTTTTTGTATTTCCAGCCCTACTAGAAGACTATGTTGTAACACGGGCCCAACTACCTTATTTAAGTAGTCTGCTCGATGCTGCAGAGAGATTTACGAGATTTTACCTTTCATGCACGATGACCATGAAAGTTTGAAGATTCCAAAATAGGAAGACCGTTTACGAGAACGTTGGTCCATGGTGGAGCTTATAAAGTAGGTGATTTCCCACCATGCTTGTGAATTGAATTATTCAGTAGACACAATGCGTTCTATGTTCGCACACCCATGGTGGGCAATTTATAACCAGATAGGTGAGCCTATGAAGACGTTGGACGAATGGGTTATGATCGAGATCTGCAACTCCATCCGTGAAAAATCGGATTGGAAAACAAAGTACAAGAATGAAGAGATTTCTAGTAAATGGAAAGCTGAAATAAAAGAAAGCTTTCAATCTAAGACTGAGAATTTGGGAGAAATTATTGCTTACGTATTTAAAGAGTTACAATGGATTGAATACTTGGAGCACACATTTCCTGGGGTGGAAGCGAAAGATTTCCATGTTGGAATTGATGATAGAATAGTATACAGTGATCAGGCCATTGATCCGGAAACTAAGTCGGAGCTCGCTAAGGCTGTTGAGCGGTTCTCCAGCAAAGAATTCAAAGACGGCTATGATTACCATCCAGGATCGAATAATCAGGTCGTAGATTTGGTTCACCCATCGTTGTACCCATTGCAGTACGGAAAGACTCCCGTATTCACTAACAAGTCTGTTACAAACCCATGGGAGTTCAACAGTATGAAACTGGAAGAAAGAAACCGGGATAGGACATTAGGAATTGCTCAATACGATGACAGTATTGCGAAAGTTAAAAAGCTGGTCCAAGATTTTGGAATATCAAAGGCTTTCCAATGGTTGCCTGCCAAGTTAGCTATAGACCATACCCATAAGTATTCTTTCAAGTCTTATATTAACAATTTACACCCTAAAAAGTATGATGACTTATATAGCGTGATAGCCAAAGTTATCGATCTCCTGACACCGGGGATCAATCTTTGTCTCTCTAGGTACTCTACTGGTCCATTTTCACGCATTCAACTTCCAGCCTATGAATCATGGGCAACCGAAGAATGGCAAAAGAAATATGACGAGATACAAGATCCCCCTCCAGACCCAGAAACAGGTGAAGAAGTCGATCCTGACTGGGATGCACTTGAAGAGTTTGAAGAGACTAAAAAGGATAACTTTAGGAAATTTCCGCCCGTGTGGGAGAATGATCCGCCAGTCAATTACGCTTTCGATATAAAGAATAACTTTGACGATTTGAAGGTTATTGTTAAGTTGGCTAATATAGAATTAACCCCTGAAAGACCAAATTATAATGGAGGTTCTTGGCACGTGGAGGGGACGATCAATGAAGATATTATTGCTACATTGATTTACTACTATGATTGTGAAAATATCTCTGAACTGAGCTTGTCTTTCAAAACAGCGTATGAAGATCCGCATTATGAACAAAGTGATAGTGCTGGAGTGGAGAAATTCTATGGCTTGCTGGATGAGGATAGTATGACTAAAGTAATCGGTAAAATGGAAACAAAGGAAGATAGAGTGCTAATTTTCCCAAATTGGTTTCAACATCATGTCGATCCATTTGAGTTGAGCGACAAAACAAAACCAGGACATCGTAAGATTTTATGCCTCTTCATTGTTGATCCCTACAATGAGAAAGTTCTTTCCACCGATATGGTTCCTCCGCAACAGAAGGAATGGTGGACTGATGGAACTGACCTTAGCAAGTTTGGTTTAAACGAGTTCGTTAAGGAAGAAATCCTAAAGCTTAAAGCTGAACCAGTGAGCTTGGCCGAAGTAAAATCTGTTCGTGATCAACTAATGAAAGAACGTAGTGTACCTGAAATTGATGAACATGATTATACAGAAATGCCGTTCGAAAGAAAGTTTAGTTTATGTGAGCATTAACTTAGGTTGGTGTTAACTCTATCACTTAAACCGCCCCAAAAAGCAGTTTTGGCTTTAATATAATATATGACTATGCACAGTTATCCCAACATGTACCTCAGATGAGAACCACTGTAAAATCTAACCTACAGTATAATAATCTATTCTATCCCTATGTTCGATTTCTATATAATACCCAAATAATGAACCTCAGAAGAATACCTCAGTAAATGGTGTCTTTCCTCTGAATGTGCAGCCGCAGCCGTCCGCAACACATGTCCTTGGAGAGTAAGTCCTCGGATTCTCAATAGAAATTAATCCACTTTTCTTTCTACTGATTCTTGCCCTACTTCCAATATTCTTGAAACACCTACCGCAGTAAACATGTCCACATCTAGTGGCTGCAAATACTCTTTTAGAGAGGTCAATGTCTACCTGAGTAACCTGTTTGAAGCAAAACCAAGGAGCAGGAACCCTATACAGTTCCTGGTACTTACTCAACTCCTCATCATACTGAACATTTGGTTTGAAATCTTCAGGCAATCCTTCGCCTAGCACGACGCCACATAATTCGCATGCTGGTGTTATGCTTTCGCTAATATCATTGGTATAGCCCTCTAGTTCCTGGTCTGCAATATCCTTCTTGTCCTGTAGTGCTTTCCTATTGAAAATATTCTCGCTTTGAAGTCTATTGTCTACCCTGTTTTCATTGTCTCGTTCAATTCTTGCCAAGATGGATGCCTCTATCTCATCACCGTCTTGTTGTTCGTGTGCTGGGCCTAGTATCCCTTGCAAAAATGTTAAGGAGTAGTCCCTTAAATTACCTCTGGTCAATAGACTACTTATATGTTCTTCGATCTGTCTTTCCCTGACCAGTCCTTCGTCTAGCCTACGTATTGCCTCCATGTCAGCTTCAAGATCATTGTTTCCTTGGACGTCACCAAACGGAACTTCTAGTCTGCCCATCATTTGGCGCAATATATGTCGCCTGAAACTCTCCTCCCCACTTCTAGTTATGGGTCGATGAGGAATCCTCCTCTCGTTGACAATCTGGATGTCTTCGTCCGCTATTCTTCTCCTAATGTTTCTTCCGCCTTGACCTCCATGAGCTCTCCTTCTTAAGTTTTGATGTTGTTCTTGGGTCCGCTGGCGTACCTCCTGCGGAGAGATCGGCCTACTTGAGGTGGAAGATATCACTACTACGTCTTCGTCGTCCTCTTCATCCAATATTTCTTCAGGTTCATCCTGATCTAAGACACTGACCACGGCTTCTTCTATATAGTCATCATCGTATTCATCATCACTATCAGCTTCGTCTTGGTCTTCGTCATCCGCTATCGTGCGGTGGGTACGGCGATTTACATGTATATAGGGCAACTCGCTGCTAGATCTCAGCTCCAGTCTGCCCATTTCGCCCTCATCTTCATCATCATCTTCATCTTCTTCAGATGGTATTTCAATAATCTCATGTTCAGGTCCAGGCTCCTGGCTAACAGTGGCGCTTGGCTCCTGCTCAAACGGCGTAACTGATGAGTTCTTGGGTAGTAGGCCAGAATCTGGCATCACTCTATGTTCTGTTGACATGTCCAGTCTAACTTTACAGTATGCTCTTTGGTTCTTGTGTGCTTGCTATGGAAACTACCTTGCCTAGTGGGAAAAAAGGTATATATATATTGTAGAACCAGTGTATCACCTCTCTTGCCAGATAACTTGCTTTCTAATCCGCTAGGACTGTGTACAGATGCTACTTTGTGGGTATGTATGTGTGGATGTATGCAGGAATGGGGAGGCAAACAAAAGAGGTAATTTAAAAAAGAAAATGGAAAACAAAAAAAAAAGAAACTAAAAAAATTAGCTCCGTCTGCATTTTTTTTTTTTTGGCTCTTCTCTAGGACTGCGAAAGCTTAAGGTGTGCAGGTGAACACGATGTGCAACTATATGTATGCGTGTGTAGATGTATATGTGTGTAGATGTGTAGATGTACATGTATATATAGATGTATACCTACGCGTCGGTCTGCCTTCTCCTATCTACGATATCTACATGTGTATGTGCTTCTTCCAGTTATCTTATTTAATATGCATTAATTTCTTCTTTTCTTCTGATTCCTAATGTGTCTTTCATTTTCTTGCCTTCTTCTATTCTAAAATACATGATTTCTACTCAAACCTATCATCATACTTCTTAGTTCTTTGGTTTGATTCCACTTCTGATGTAACGACCAACGACAATACAATGGTCTCTTTCATAAGGTTCCAAGGTCAATTGTTCTAATGGCTTGATTCTTTCATCTCTCAACTTGGTAACTTCTCTAGCGAAAACGGTTTCAGCGTCAACGGTAGAATCGATACAGTTAGCCTTGATGGAAATAACAACGGTACCTTGATCCTTTAAGAATAAATGGGAGTTTAAGGCAATAATACGAGCTTGATCTGGTTGGGCAACATCGGCGAAAACACAATCAACCATACCAATAAGCATTCTGTACTTTTGTGGGTGACGAGCATCATCAATGATTGGGATAACGTTAGGTCTCTTCTTGGCCATACCGATCAATTCTCTACCTGGTCTGTGAGAGAATTCAACAGCGTAGACTAAACCTTCTGGTCCGACAACGTCAGCAACGTGGGAAACAGAGGTACCGGAGGCAGCACCCAAATATAAAACCTTCTTACCTGGAGCAATACCTAATTCATCGATACCACCCATAATACCAGCAGCCAACTTGGATCTGAAAGGATTCCAGACACGATATTCAACCTTGGTAGCTGGAGCACCTTCTTCCTTAGATGGTTCTTCGATAGAGATTCTCTTTTCACCGTAGACAGATTCACCTGGAGCGGTGTTTCTGGTGACTAACAAATCTTCCTTACCTCTGGCAATGAAGACACCGGCGTGTCTATGTGGTTCAATGACAACCTTGGCACCACCACGGGCACCACCTCTGGCACCACCTCTACCACCACGAGCACCGCCACGAGCACCACCACGGGCACCGCCACGAGCACCACCTCTTCCACCTCTGTCACCACCGAATCCACCTCTGGATCCACCTCTACCACCACGAGCACCACCGAATCCACCTCTGGATCCACCTCTTCCACCTCTGTCACCGCCAAATCCACCTCTGGATCCACCTCTTCCGCCTCTTGGAGCACCGAAAGCCATTATTTTTTGTGAAACTTTGTTCTTAACTACTCTTTTTACTTCAAATTAACGTCTAGTGTTTACCAGGGTTAATTACTAAATGAAAAGATTGCTTTATGAAGGAGAACTTTCTTTCTTTCTTCTTTGCAATGACTTAGTAAATTTTTTTTTTGTCTCTGTAAATTTTCCCCTAGCGTTTTGGTGAAATTTTCGAATTTTGGGATGAGCGAAAAATTTTAGGTCCGGGTAACTGTGACCATCTATTTCATTGAAGTTGGTAAGTTTTTGGATTTATTGGAGGATAAGAGTGTGTTTTATATAGACAAGGTAGGTATTTTAGTAGATAAGGGAGTAGATATGAGTTGTTAGCATCTCTTAATGACTTTAAATTTGTGAAATAGTAGGATAGTCATCGAGATATTGTCCTTATGGTGCAGATTTAATTCTCATATAAATCTAGTTATCACTGTTTCCGGTATTCCTGTCGCTCAATTTTCATGAAAGTGGTACCATATTGTAGATCTTGCTCTGCTGGCTAATATGGTCTTCTTAAATGGCCAATTGAAGACTTATTGGCACTTTTATGCTGGACTATATGGTTCATAAGCTGGGGTAGTACGATGAGCATCATGCGGCTCAACACTTTTAATTACACAATATCGAGGTTTTGTTTGCATAAACATACTACAGTTTATGATAACGATGTGCAATCTCTTATCTTATCAGTAAATAGAGGTATATCGAGCGAGGGATCGCTACTGAAGGATGAAACCTTTCAAGACATAAAAAGGAGCGACTTTGGCGAGAAAAATGCCGAAAAGAAACGCACACTTTGGATAACTTGCTTGTTTGACTGAGCAGCGTAGGTGTTGGCTGCAAATTTGGACTAAGCTATAGCTGAAACGGGCTGGAAGAGCAAAAGATACTAGAGGTGAATTACCTGGTCACTTGAGTGGTTTATTTTACTGGGGGGCTGAGAATTATGGCAATTGTTATAAGAGTTTGAGCTTGGCTCTGTCAGAATGTTGTGTTGGGAAGTCTGCATTCCTCGCTTTGTGCTATGTCCAGTTTACTTAGCAAGCTCCTACACAACGGTGATATTGAAGTAAAATGCTAAGAGAAACCCAATTTTCGATCAAAAATGTCTTTACCACAGGAGAAGATTAACCTTAGCTCAAAAATTACACTAGAAACAGAATAGATAATCCTCGATCTGAGCCTAAGGAGGAGATTAACCACAGTTAAAAATTACATTGGAAACAGAATAGATAATCCTCGATCTGAGCCAAAAGTGTTCCTATAAGAGTAGTATTGAAAACTGTAAAGTTAACAAAGCAGTTACTTTTCGTAAGAGGGAGATGGAAGCGTGATTTTTAAAAAAGAAAACAATAGGAGTTAGGATTACCAGAGATGTTTCCTCGACATCGGGGCTAACTCATCCATAAATGAGAACTACGTAGAATTGACAGGTCACCACATAGGCCTTGGGCTAGGGCTATTCAGAGCGCAGAAATGATTTCCAAAGCGAAAACATGGAGCAAAATAGTCAGATATCAAACTCACCATTACTCCCATAAGGCACGAGCCTATCAGAATCCACCCTCACATCTAAGCACAATGGCAAGTTATAAGTCTACCTCAACAGTCTAGTTCAATCTACTTCCATGTCATACATCCGTACACCCTCCAACCTCCAACTTCCTAATACGACGATCTAGCTCTATTAATTTCGCGTTTATACATCTTGCATAACCTGCATGGTAACGAGCCTTTCGACGGAGAGGACTTTCAATATTTTAAACGTACGGACACAATGGAATTGGCCATCAAAGAACCATTAATAAAGATTCCATTTCTCTTCGATCGTTATCTCAATTGTCTTCTTGAACAACTTTCGAGGAATAAATACCTGGGCAAAGATTGAAAATTGAATTGAAAGTTCAAAACTTTTTTCGCAACCATGGCTTCCCCGGCATACCTCTTGCTCTTAGCATTCGGAACCATCACCACTGGATGTCTTAACTCGCTCTTTACCAAATACCAAGACAACCAGTGTGTGCGCAATTGTAATAACCCAGATGTTTCAACTCACAAGAACTTTGAACAGCCAGTCCTTCAAACACTTCAAATGTTTATAGGTGAGTTTTCTATTTACATGGTTTACTGGGTGCTCTATAAGTCTAAATATGCTCTTAAACAGAGTAACAACGGATACACTGAAATTGGAAACCCTTCGTCCAGGGATATTACATTCGTGCAGTCATTTAAGTTGGCTCTCCCTGCAATCTGTGACATTTGCGCTACAACGTTAGTTAATATTGGTCTCTTGTACACTCCCGTCTCCATCTATCAGATGACTAGGGGCTCCGTGGTACTCTTTGTTGCAATATTTTCAGTCATCTTTTTACACAGGAAGATTACCAAGCTAGAGTGGATATCGTTAGTTTTGGTTTCATTGGGCGTTGTCATAGTGGGTCTTAGTGGTATTTCAAATGACTCCGCAAGTACAGATGAGAGCACCGACGGTACTTCTACTATCTTGATCGGAATGGTATTTATCGTAGTGGCAATGTTATGCCAGGCAGCTCAATTTGTAGTGGAAGAGCAAATTCTTTCCAAGCAATCCATCCTACCATTGAGATTGGTGTACTTCGAAGGTTTCTACGGGGCCTCTATCTTGTTGATAGCCTTCAGCTTCATGCATGTTGTCATTGGAACCTTCTTCAGTTCCTCACCAAAAGAGTTTAAAGACTCACCATTCAACATTGTGGAGTCGTTCTCCCAAATGTTTAGTAACAGAATAGTACTTATATCCTCCATTTGCATCATGGTATCCATTTCGTCATTTAACTTCTTCGGTATATCCTTAACGCACGAATTGTCTGCCACCTCTAGAAGTACGGTTGACACTTGTAGAACATTATTGGTCTGGATACTAGCAATCGCCATGGGCTGGGAATCCTTTGCATTTTTACAGTTTTTAGGGTTTGTGGTGATGGTTTTCGGAACGTTGTGTTTCAATGGAGTGTTAAATCCTGAAAAGTGGAATTGGGTCCCTGCTTCGTTGAAAGAAGGTGTACATGTGCCAATTCTTGATCAATTGGAAGAAGACCCAATAGAAAGATCATGATATTACGATTAAATAGATGATTAACTAATACCAAAAATAACTTACATGTATAGAAATCGAATTACATCATGTAGGAACGATCCTAGCCTAGTAATTACGGTCTTTATATCGTACTTGGCGCCTTTTACTCACCTATCTTACTCCTACCCTATCGTAGAGCATTACACTGTATGTTATATTTGAATCCTGCATATAGTCCGACTACTTCCATGGATCTCCAAAATTCTCAAATCGCCACCTTTAAAGAAAGGACTGCTTAGCTTCACTTCTTCATTCACCCAATTAGTACAGTACTGATAAAATGGTATGTTTATCGATATTTATGGATAAGTGTAGCAGTCCAGCTTATGCATGTTGAGGAATTTGCATGGTTGGTTCAGAATCTGCTCTGCTCTGCCCTTGTATAACTGTTATCATTCTTTACTAACTCCTCTGCAGTCTTTAAGAATTATCCCTGAAAACAAACAAATTTCCTCCATAAATAGCACGCAGTTTGGAGATGCAGCAGTCCACGCTCCGGGATTACAAGATGTTTTGAGAAACCAGGAAGGTCCACTCAATTTGTCGTCGAAGATCAATAACCGTCACCCATTGGAAGCTAGAGTAGCAAACTGGGAGCAGACTCAACATGACGCCAAGATGGAGTCATACAGAAGAATCTTCGGGTCGGGAGTGCCAATTCAGAGAGCCATGGAGTTACAAATTGTAGAATCTACGGACTTTAAGCCTCAAATACTTGGAGGTTCAGATTCCATGCACCGCGACATCTTACTTAACAAAGATGCCTCGTTAGACTGGGAGGACGTTTACAAGGGAGGATTGGAAAGCGGGTCAAATGTCAAGGACTTCCATTCCGACATGGAGAAGAGAATGAACATCTGATAACGGAGGAAGTAGAGTGTACATCTAGCCCCGACTGAGAAATGCTATGTAAAATAATTATACAATAAACCACGACGACTGGGAAGAAAAAGAAAGAAAAAGAAAAAGAAAAAGCCGTCATAAACAACGAACAACGAATGAGCTTATCGTATACGTGAAACCATCTCGTGCTAAATAGAAATAGAATCTGAACTGATCACAATACATTAACGATAGCCAACATTCTCGTGTAGATTACCATGTATCATAGCCCGCTCTCACCACTCCCCATTTAATTTAGACGAAAGTGCAACGCATGAGCTTAATGTATGCGTAGTCTGATTGTATACGTAGACCTTCTGCCAAGTAATTCAAATGAACAAATCACATTACACCAAGCCAATGTACGCTTGTAGATTCCTTGTAGCCCGTCTCTCCCTTCCATATCTCTTACTTTTCCACGTGATCTCGCTCACCTATTTTTTTTTTCACTTTTTCGCCAGAGCGAACTACCAGTCAAAGATGCTGCAGTTCCTGGCCAGTCGAGGCTAGTGAGGGTAGAAAAAAAAAAGAAAAAGTTCGAAGATGTCTCTTCTTGAAAAGTCATCCAACATAAACCGTCCTGACTTGCTTAGTGAAACACTGAATAATTCAAAGTATCAATTCCATTAGTGTATAGTTATATCCTAGATCTTGATACTGAGCCACAAAAAAATAAAAAAAGTTGAAAATACACCGAATAAACTTACTTAAAAGTTAACCGTTTTATATCCCATTTGAAGATGTCCCAAACTTTATGGTACGTATAGACGAGCTCCAGTCTCGGGCGAATGAGATGCAACTAAAACAAATAGATGAAAATTGGAATTGATGTCTAGGATGGGGGTGCTACAAGACAAGATAAGAAGAAGAATATCCCTCACGGGTGGAATTGGACTGGATTGGATCAACTGCTCGTCCATCTACCCATGGGATTGATCACCTCCATTGACTTTTTGACATAAATTCGATTAGTTGCAAAAAAATAAAAGTCTTCTAAAGACCAACATATTTTTGAATCACAGTTTACTAACTATTCTCTGTTATAGGACCCGTAAGACTCGCGAGCCTAATGTCAATGTAGAAGAAAATTCGACCACAATTCCTTCCACAACTTCAAGTTCTAGCAGCTTCGCTGGAGCAGATTCGCCGTACCATCGCGTCGCTGTACCTCCCAATGAAAAGGGGAAACGCTACACGATGAACGAAGTTTTCCAAGTTTGGTATGATAACAAGGATAGCATCCTTAACAAGCATACGACCCAGAAACCTAGTGAAAATTACAAGCTTGCTCAACCAAGTCCAATTTACCATTTAGAGCTTCAATCTCAATCGCTGTTCCAAAAGAAAATTGGTGGAGACGTTAACGGTGAGGAATTTGAACAACGCGATGTGAACCAAGCGGGGGAGGTTCCTTCTACATACGATAATAGCGGTATTGCCGTTGGTTCATTAGAAAGACTTTCTATCAATGAGCAATCTGTTCCAATTCATCCGAACCAGCAATCTCAGGGCCCTCCACCTGGGATGATTTCTGCTACTCAATCTCAAGCAGATCCAAAAAAACATGTGTCCTTTGTCACTCCGGATAAGATCGAATGGATCTACGTAGATCCAAGTGGAAAGGAACAAGGTCCTTTTAATGGAGAGATGATGCAGGAATGGTTAACTGATGGGTATCTTCACCTTGACTTGCGCATTAGAAGAAAGGAGGAATATACATTCCAAACTTTGAAGGACTTGTGCGAGACTGTTCAGAATTACACCCATCCCTTCAAGGTTCCACTTCTTGACTTATCAACCCCACCGCCACCAGTCCCCCCTCAGCAGCAACAGCAACAGCAGCAGCAACAGCAACCTGCGAATGACAATGTTCCATTGCAATCTCAAATCCATCAATTTTTGTCAGGAGGAAACGATTCATCTTTGAATTTAGGTGCTGCTAGTATGAGATTGAACTCCAACATCAACCAACAGAACTTATTTGGGAATGATTTTATGACCCATGGTGATCCATTTGTATCACAGAACTCCACTGGCGGATTCCAAAATGGACCCACCACCTCGAATTCATTTGGGATTGATACTTTGAATTTCAATCACCAATCTCTCCCAATGAATACTCATATGCCGTCGATTCTTCAGCAGCAAATTCAACAGCAACAACAGCCTGTTTTATCTCGTTCCAACAGTGGATGGGGACTCGACAATGGTGGATTAATGGGAAGTAGCCCAGCCACCCCAGTTGGTCCTGTTCCTTCTGTTCTTCAAAATTCCATCAATCAGCCATCCCCTGTATCTCCTTGGTTATCTGGTGTACCACACTCTCGTGTTAGTTCACCTTTTATTCCTGCCACGTCTTTGGCAGACACTACTAGTGGTAAGAAGGATGATAATTCAATCTTAAATATCACAAGAGAAGACGCAGTTGCGTTAGATAATAGTAATGGTCCAAATAAACTGATAAAAGAGGATTTGACCGATGAGATTCAAAACAAAGAGACAAACAAATTGAAAGAAGACATCGTAAAAAAAGAAGAGGAACATAATGTTGAGCAAAATACAGCAGAACAAGCAGCTGAATTAGCAAGTGCTACTGAAACAACATCTATTTCTACATCTAATTCGACAGCCTCTAATGTCATTGCCGCTGCCGCTGCTACTGCTGCCTTATTATCTTCAGAAGTTCCTGCATCCCCAGCTACTACGAAGTCTACTTTAGCTCCATGGGCTACGAAAGAAGCTGAAGCTAATGTCAAACCAAAACTTACATTGAAGGAAATTCAACAAATTGAGGCAGAAGAATTAAAGAAACAAAAGAAACTTCAGCATGAATTGAATGAGCAAGCTTCCAGAGCTGCTTCACAAGCTTGGCAAGAAGAGCAAGCTGCTGCGTCAACTGCCCCTGCTCTTCCAAAAGGCTCAGGTTGGGGAAGCTCCACTTCAGTCTCTGCAATTCCTGCCGCTACCAAGAAGACTTTGGCTGACATTCAAAGGGAAGAGGCTGAAGCCGCGGCCTTGAGAGCCTCCGCTTCCAAGACCGTATCTTCTCCAATGATCAGCTCCAAGCCACTTTCATTTGCTAGTGCTGTAGCAAATAGTACTCCTAAGGATGATGCTAGTTGGACTGTGGTCCCCAAGAAGGCCACGGTTGTTAAAAAATCGGCCAAGCCAATGAGCCCTATTGTGAACAATGCAACCTCTAAGGTTGACCCTCAAATGTTACGTTCAGTATCGGCAAGTAGACCAATTACTTCAATCAACTCTACTGTTCTTCGTGAAGAATTTGTAGTTTGGGCTAGATCATCTATGACTAACTTATACCCTTCTGTCTCGAAGGATGATTTGTTAGACATTTTCTTGACTTTACCAAGTAATAGTTCTGAGTCATCACTGTTGATCTCAGAAACAATTTATAGCTCCTCTCCTACAATGGATGGCCGCCGTTTTGCTAAGGAATTTCTCGACAAAAGAGCTAAAGTGGAGCAACAAGTTGGAAACTCTAGCAGCAGTTGGTCTTCAGCAATTATCTCAAGTGCTGATAAAGTTCAAACTGTTGACGAAGAAGGATGGAGCACTGGTAAGAAGAAGAAGGGTAGACGTTAGTTATTGAGTTTCTTGCAGAAATAGAAATTATGTAGATTATCTTAAGGAAGTGGATACATAGCCACATATGTGACGTCCGTCTAGGATTCAATGCTTCTAAAGTACTGATAGTAGGTGAATTAAACAGAATATCCTCGATCTTGATCAGAACTGAAAGTAGGTTTAAGGTTGCAGGCTTCTGGATATGATTGCATCAAACTAGCCAAAACTTCGTCGTCTAAAGATAAACGAGCAATAAATACACAGCATATATCACAAAGTTTAATAAAATACCTGTATATATTAAAAAAGTAAAGTACTTATTATTATGTATCTATATATTATTCCAAGCGTAAGCTATCAATTGGATCTACCAATTGGCGAGTCACGTCTTCTCTTAAAATGTTCGAAACCAACTCGACGTCTTCTTGCGGGATCATAACAATCCCTGCTTTTGCCATAGAGAGATAACTCATTTCCAACGGAATCTGTGACTTTTTCTTACTACCGCTTAATAGTTTACTTGCTAAACCTGCAACGATACCAGTGGTGTCTAACGGTAAAGCATGTAAATCTATGGTAATTGGTATGATAGCGTCTTGGGTGGAACCGATAATGCATTTAGAGGGAAATCCCAATCTCCCTCTGAGTTCTGAGGATTTTGGAAGTAACAAGGAAACTTCATTTAACGAAGTTCTTGTTATTGCAAAATATTGTGGGAAGTATACAGATTGGATATCTGTTGATGCTAAAATTTGTGCTGTTTTCAATAAAGTCCGTGATGCTTCACTAGATCTTGCACCTGTCAAGAGGAGCTTGGTAGATTTGTTTATGATTGGGGAAACATTTGCCTGTTGGAAAAGGTCAAAAGCCCGTTGTTCTATGTCAAGGTTTGGGGAGGCACCTCCGTCTAACTTTGCAGTTTCAATGGTATGGGAGCCTTGATCTTGTACGTTAATGTAGCTGTTTGAAAGGTTCGAAAACTCAAAGTTCTTCAGTGTTAAAATGTCAACGACCTTCTCCTTTGAAGATTCGGGGATAAGTACAATATCACCAAAGTGAGTAGAAAGGAAGAAGAGAGGTATATTGTTAGTAGAAAGTGGCTTTGTTAACAGTAATACCTTGGAACTATTGTCATAGCCGTCGCTACTATCCACTTGCAAGGTAATAAATTCATCATCCAATAACTTCACTTGGGAATTGTCAAGCTGCTTGCAAGTTTTCAATGGTTCAGCAAATATGGATCCCATTACAGTGGAATCACACATCACTGTACATTCCTGTGGAGTAAACGCAATGTGAAAGAAGTAGTTCATCTCATCGTCCAGCGAATCCTCAGTGGTATAGTCCTCGTCTGACTCAGATACGTTGACTTGGTCTATGGAGTTTGTTTGCTTAGATGTATTGTCTATTGGAGAAGAGAGTCCAATATGCCCGTTAGCGCCAGTGCCATGGAGGCCATGAGTGCCATGAGTGCCATTAATGTGCCCCGATGCATTGCTATGAGTGGTTCCCTCGTGGTCAGAGGAAGAGTCCGTGTCGCTATAATCGTTAACAGAACTTTCATCATCCGATGACTCAGTGTCTGAGTCATTACTAGGATACTTCAGAGCTTCCTGATGTAATAGTTGAAGTATGGGCGAGGTAAACATCCAGTACTTATCCTTGGGTATGGATAGCACCGATATCCGTGTGGAGTTGAGTTGGACCTGGGTATTCATGGAATGAGTCTATGCTACTGGCCTACCTTATTGATTTTCTGTATGCTAGGATGATAGTCTAGCAAATGGTGGGGAAATGCTAAAGTATGAAACAAAAATCGAAACTTTGTTCACTATTTACTTTCCAAAACTCAAGAACTACTTCTTTATTTATACAAACAAAGAAAACCTGGTAGTAACGATGTAATTATCGGAATAAAAAGTGCAAAAAACAAGGAGAGAAGGAAAGTGTCTGAGAGTATAAGCTTTAAGTTGAGAGCAGCTCATAATATTTTTTTTTTTTTTTTTTTGCTTTTTTTTTTTTTTTTTTTCAAATCTCCACCAAATTTTATTACCTTATCCCCCAGTACAAAGCAAATAAATGTCAGGTAAACCTTAAACTGTGGGTGTGTTTACACTGATGGAATCAATTTAAAGTTGGAGGGGAAATTATTTTTCAGTTTCCAGTTAATTGATTTTCCCAGGATACTCAACAATGTAAGCTGTTTCAATTAACTGTGAAACGTATGATTATATGTTTCAATTGTATTGTTCTTCCAGGGGGACTCTATTGCAAGGCCTATTATGTGCGGAATTCTTTATCTTCGTTAAGCTATGCCTCACGACAAGAGCAAAAAAATAATACTACTGCCAGATAGATTCCAAAAAAATAAAAGAGCTGTGAATCATCAAGCACAACGCACAAAGGGTGTTTTTAGGCGAGGGCGTTTCTTCGAAGCTAAAGGATTTGAAGTAAGGCCATTTCACGTGACCAGATATAGGTGAGATAGTGCCCCGAAACTCTGTATTTAGGTGAAATTTACGAAGGGTAATACAAGGCATTGCGCGGAGTTTGGTTTTTGATTGCATGTCGCAGTATGCAGGGTCGGGCATTAAATGACAAGGCATAGATAACGAAGGGCCCCTTGCACACCCCCCAGCAAGCGACTTCCAGCCGAGATATAATATCCCAGGGGGGGGGTAGAAGCGCCGGATGTTACTATTGCAACCATATACTATGTTGGTCAAGAAGCGAAGAAAAGTGGCAAAAGCAAAGTCAAGAAAGCAAAAAAAAAAAAAGAAATGGATCTCCTATTGATTATTTGCACTTTCTATTGTCCCCACACTTTCTGAAACTACAACAAGTGTTAGTTGATGAGGTTGATGAGTAGTCGAAACGATTCAAATTCCTAATTTAAACGGTATCAAACAAATTTTGACCTAAAACTCTATTCCACACCATCAAGGCATTCTATCGGGACGAATTCGAACCTAATTGATCCAGAACATGCCCAACTGTTCTATTTTAGCTCTACTGTCTACATTCTTGCATCGGTACAAGATTTTTTTTTTTTTTTTTTTTTGTGCATATTTCCTTATGCGCACTATGTACTACCTCCCGGATTTCATAAGTGGCTAAAGTTGAGATGTCAACTTTCTACTGAATTGTTCTACGAAACAGATTGGCAAGTCGACTAGTCTAAAGTACGAACAGAACTGAAAAAACTTGAATAATATACATGGTACTCCGCCTCTGTTTACCAAACATTCGAAATTCCACTTTAATTGAAAAATTTGTGCTAAAAACATGGTCTGGCTCGGGAAAGATATGCTATTCTCAGTGCGACATCTTTGTTGATAAGTGTTGCATATTTTTTTAAGGCTGGGGCCTTGCATATTTGATCTTGAGGCATTGAAATCTACATTCAAGAGATGATAGAACTGTGAGCTGTGCAGCTTCTAAAGTTAAAGAAAACAGAATTTGCCAATGTACACAATGGACTGATACTGCTTTGAAAAGGGCACGTTTCCCAAAAATTTGGTTGATCTGCTAAGAAATATTCAACAATAGTCACCGGTAAACTGGTATGAGGATTAGCCGAAATGCAAATTCTGAGTTGACTGGAATTTGTTTAGCCGGTAATAGCGAATGTGAATATACTAAGCTGACAAAAGAAAGGGGAATTTGCAAATATGATTGTCAATGGAATTTTTATGCTTATTACAATATGTGGCGATTACGCGAGGTGCTATAAAATGGCGGTATAATACCTTTTGAGGAATTCTTTTAAATAAAACATCCAACTTTCATGTTTCTGGTAGCCTACATCATTAATATTATTACAATTTTACGAAGATATGAACCATCTTATTTTCTTTCATTTATTTTTTAAAATCCTACCTCTTATCTGTATTCTTCTCTTTTTGTTTGCTACCCTTCACCTTCTTCTTTTAAACCTCACCTAAATTTTGACGTTCGTAGAATGTTTCCCATAACTCAATTGCTTCCTTTTGGCTCTCAATTGAACTTTCGATAAATATCTCCACACTATTTCTAAAGTCATCAATTTTCTCAAATTCGAACCTTTCTAGCTCGTTGGTTATTGTTTCACTTATTACAGTGAACTGTTGCTTAAACTTTAATGTCTTGGCTTCAAGTTTATCAATTTCGAATTTCATCAAGTTGATTTTTTCACTCTGTGACTTGTACTTTTTAACAAATTTATCAAACAGCGACTGCTTCTTATAAAGTTCTTGCTCGCTGGTTTGATATTTGTTGTATATCTTCAATCTTGTTGAAAATACGTACTTGATGGAACCAATAATTCTTAAGTATTCTTCTATGGTGAAGCCCAAGGTCAATTGATCTTGCAAATTGGTACGATCTAGGTTATCCTTTAATTTCAAGTGAATTTCACTAAATTCTGCCAAGAGATCTGTAGTCTTCTTCAGAATTTCCAATGATGATAATTCCTCTGTCAAATTTGAAATCTCTTCCACGAGTATGATAATTTCATTTCTTTGAGTTCCAATTAGCTCTAATGATTTGAAAAAATTCCTCAAGTTGTATTCTAAGTCTTCAATATAAGTCTTTTTATCCTTAATTAAGTCATTTGGTTCATTTACTTTGTTTGAAATTGAGAAAAGAGATGACATGAATCCCGAACCTGCGGAGCTGGGTTCATCCAACAATATGGAAGAGTTCATGTCGCTGTTGCTATGGTTACCAGTGGAATCCAACGAATCATCATTCTGATTCGAGGCTTCACTGCCGCTTAACCTTTCTCTTTCTTTTGCTTCATTTGTAAAATTAGGTGAAGTTAAAAACATGACAAAATCTGGATCATTGTAGATGCTTGGTAAGTTGGAAATCTTCGTCAACATCTTTTCCAAAGATAACCTTCTATTTTCGATGAAACTCTCATTGAATCTGCCAATGTAGGTCTGTTTAGTAGGAGGGGGTGGGATAATTATACCTGGATGATTGTTCTGTAACTGATGGTAAATCCATCTAAAATCTCTATACCTCCTTGATACAGGCTCTGGTGATGAAGGAAAGGCGCTTGCGCCTTCTTCTGCTCCTTCTTCTGCTGCCACATTCTTCTTCTTTACATAAATAGTATATACAATGTGCGCAGTGGTGATGTCTCCTACCTTCATTGGGTCACCTACAGTGATGTCTAAGTTATTAGTAAATGCAGAAGCTGCCGACTCGTCGTTGTTCGCCGTATTTGACGAAGAAGTTGGTGCTGCTGTAGGTCTTGGGATTATTGGATGTCTTAAGTCCTCCAACTTACCTTCCTTTGTAGCTTCCTTGGGAATCTTGTACAATGGAGACTCGACTTCTTTCAACAATTGGTCTCTCACGTTTCCAGAGCTTTCACTTTCATGTGCCTGCTCGCTGCCCAAGGGACCCAATGGATTGTTGTTGAGGTTCTCGACAATGGTCTTAGAGTTATACCTTCTCGCCCTCGTAAATAACCTACTTTTCCCTAGATCACTGGCATTGCTGTTGTTATTATTAGATGCAGATGGTGATTGTAGGAGACTAGATTCTTTCACCTTCAATGGGCTCGTGGTATCTTTGAAAAGGGATTCTGATGGGTTCTTGGGGCCAGGAGACGAGGGTGCGATCGATTCTTCTATATCGGCACCTTCTGTCAATTCAGAAAGAAGGTTTGACCTATGTTCTTTTCTTTCCTCCTTTGCCAATTCTGCTAGCTGGTCCGCTTCTGCATCATTATGGTTGTTAGCGCCGACCCCATACGAAGAATGGTGGATACTGAGATCGTTGAATTGCGAATGAACACCTCTGTTTTGTTCCTGTACTTCGCCTTCATCCTCTTCGTCATCGTCTTCACTATCACCGTTGTGCTCTCCATTTGAGCTCTGCTGATTGAGAGGATCATCTTGAAACCCGTTCTCGAAAGCAGCATTGATGTGGACACTCCCAAAGGGAACGGATGGCGTAGTCAATACATCATCCCAATGTGAAGCCGTTAAGTCGTCTTGATCCATCCTATAGATATTGAATAAGACTAAGTACAAGCAAAGATACTATTTGATTTGAGTTTGAACAGCACAAGTCAACTCTTCTCTGGATATCTGTACACGAGTCCTTGTCACCCAGTCAACTTTTCATTTGGAGCTTGACTATCAAAAAGTATGAGGGGTCGTGTGGGGAGGCAAGGAAATTGCAATCACTAGTAGAAAAAGGAAGAGTAGGTGGAATCGGAAGAAATTGTGGTGTCGGTAAATATGCAGGTATCCTGTAGTCAGATGGTGAATATAGGGAGTGGTAAATAGGGTTTCCTTGAATCGCCTTTCATTCCTGCTTTAAGAGCTGTGCTGTTGGTCTCTCTTGCACTGGTATCGGTGGTGTGAGCTAAGGTGATACATTGTTCTGCATTAGGCCGCACTGGGATTTCCATAAAATATATAAGCGCCTGGTTAGCTCAATCGGTAGAGCGTTTGACTCTTAATAGAGTGCGATCAAAAGGTTGCGGGTTCGACCCCCGCATCGGGCTTATTTTTTATACTTTTGACCTAGTTTATTTTGCAAGTATCTATTCTAAACTCAACATGTATAAGCAATACTACGTACGAAATGGAACTTTGGGTATTGGAGGAATTCGGCTGTTCTGTTATCGGCCCTTTATTGTTTTTCTGAAGATAAAAAAGAGCACTACCTCAGTGTGTAAACTATATGGTGCTATTCTGCGAACACGATACTACATTAACGACTCAGAGATCCGAAATATCTACTGGACGGTTTACTTTTATTTAAATATGTTTTTTATATATTATTTTCGGTACAATTATCATGTTAAAATGTTTAGTGCTTTCCATTAGTTCTTTCATTTCTTAATTGCTTTTCTTGCGATTCAACTTCAGCATCCCATACAATGAAATCGTCCAATGCATTACCAGCTGGAACCATTGGTAAGACTGGAACCTTCTTTTCTACAATAACTTCTAACAAGACTGGTCCCTTACAGTCTAAGAACTTCTTAACACCTTCAACCATTTCTTCTTGGGTGGAAATCTTAATACCCGTAACACCCATTGCTTCAGCTAACTTCATGAAATTAGGGTTAGATTGATGAGTGTGTGCGTATCTGTGTTCGTAAAATAATGATTGCCATTGAGTAACCATACCTTGTTCTTCATTGTTTAAGACACAGATTTTGACAGGAGCATTGGCTTGAACTGCGGAAGATAATTCCATCAAAGTCATGTTGAAAGATGCATCACCATCAATATCAATAACGATAGCATCTGGCTTACCAATTTGGGCACCAATGGCAGCTGGCAAACCGAATCCCATGGTACCTAAACCACCAGATGTGACCATAGTTCTTGGCTTAGTCCACTCGAAGTGTTGAGCGGCCCACATTTGATGTTGACCCACACCAGTGGTAACAATAACTTCCTTACCATAAGTTTGTGATTGCTTGGAAATTTCCTTGATAACAGTTTGAGGTTTTATTAAAGAACCTGGAGTTTCTAAAGTGTAAGCGTATGGAAACTTTTCCTTCCATTCTTTCACTTGTCCCATCCATTCAGGTCTGTCTGAAACCTTATTTACCAATGGTAAAAATGCAGCTAAGTTGGTAGTAACGTCACCTTCAATAGCTTCGGTGGCTTCAACAACTTTATTAATGTTTTTAGGAGAGATTTCGAAATGCAAGATACCACCTCTACCTTGTTGAGCAGCCAATTTGGCGGCTGGGGCAAATTTAGGGAGAGCACCAGTGACTCTGTCATCAAATCTAGCACCTAATGCAATGATACAATCAGCTCTTTGAATCGCAGTGTTGGCTGCAGCGTTACCATGCATACCCAACATATCAAGAGACTTTGGATCTCTTTGATCGAATCCACCTAAACCTTGTAAAGTAGTGGTTACCGGTATGCAGGCCTTATCAGATAATTCCTTTAACAATTTTGGACCGTCTGGGTGGTTCAAGACACCTGCACCAGCATAGATGATTGGCTTTTTAGCCATGTTCAAAACATTTGCTGATCTCTTGATGGCTTCCTTGGTGAACTCAGTGGTTGCAGCCTTGGTGATTTGTCTTAAGGCGTCTGATGGTAAGGTGGTCCTTATAGGGATAGCTTCCCTTAAAATTGAAGCAGTAACGTCCTTTGGTAAATCAACCAAAACTGGACCTGGTCTACCACTCTGGGCGATTTCAAAGGCTTCGTTGATTCTTCTTGGTAATTCTGCAACATTCTTCACCATAACATTCCATTTAGTACATGATCTGGAAATACCAATGACATCTGCTTCTTGGAAGGCATCAGTACCAATGGCGGTGGTTGGAACTTGACCAGTGAACACAACCAATGGGACACCATCCATTAAGGCATCCGCTATTGGAGTGATAACATTAGTAGCACCTGGTCCGGATGTAACCAAGACAACACCTGGCTTTCCTGTCACCTTGGCATAACCTTCAGCCATGTGACCAGCACCTTGCTCGTGTCTTGGTAAGACAAACTTGAACTTATCAGAGTTGTAAATGGCATCGAAGACTGGTAAGATAGCACCACCTGCGTAACCGAAAACAGTGTCAACGTTATGTCTAAGCATCATCTCGTGGAAAATCTCTCCTCCGGATAATCCCACTAAGGAATCATCCATGGTGTCCTCATTCTGCTTGTTTTTTGGAAGTTCCTTTTCAATGGTCTTCTTCTGGGATGGTTCTTGGTTGAATGCAGGAGCTGGAGTGGGTCTTGGTCTAACAGAACTAGAGCTACTTGTCACAGTGGCTCCTGTAGCATTATTCTTGGTGCTGTTAGCAATGCAACGAGTGGCGTTATAGTTAGATAAAGCTCTACGAGCAATATTTATGGTGGCTCTTCTATTTGTAGAAAGCATATTGAAAAATTTTTCTTTCTGTTTCTGGCAAAAGCTTAATGATCTGGGATGAAGTGTAAGAGAAGTGAACAACTAAATGTGGTTTTTCCTCTTTTTCTTTGATATCTCGCTTTCTTTACCGTCAGTGAATCTCTGTATCTTTCAAGAAGTAGTTAAATAATCCGATTTCTTATTGAATGGTGGAGATTTGCTGAATATATCTAGTCTACCCTATGCAAAAAAAAAAAAAAAAAAAAAAAATTATTCACTGCCTTTTGTGACTCAGTCAAGAGCGAAAGCGGAGCTGCATGCAGTAACGATGGCAGTTTATAGAGGAAAACTAAAATTTTTTCTTCTATTGGGCTTTGTGTGACTTTTCGGAGGAGCGGAGAGCACAAGGTGATGGTTCGAACGAACGGATGAACGCAACGAGGAGAACCTGGAAGTTATATACCGGTTGGAATCGGATCGGGAGTAACGATATTGTAAACAAATCTGAAGTGCATTTAGATGTAACTCAGTATAGAAGCTCTGAATGATGATTTTGTCGAGTGTTGCTTTTCTTCTCTTTAACCGCCTTGGGCATCGCTCACGAGGCAATAACCGCAGTCAGATCTCTTCCGCTAGGTTTGCTGTGGTCACGTGATAATGTTCCATGCATAATTTTCTATGAGTCTGGGGAAATAGTGCAACACTTTTTAGGTAGTTCTATGGGTGGACTCCAATGGTCAGCGACTGATCCGAAAAGAAAGGGATTCAGACACAGATTCAAGACTAAGGAGGATTGAAATGGAGAAGGTGAATTTTTCCCTGTTCATGTTATTTTTGCAAATACTTCTAGAGGCGAAGTGTACTGAACTCTGGCTGAAATTTTATTATGTTAATGCATGAGGATTGGGTGCAACTGAGAGATGAAGCCAAAACAAGGGTGCAAAAAAATTTGTCTCGTTTAATTTATCTTATTTATTACTTGACTTACGTTGGTGTGTCCTTGTTCGCGTTGGGCTCTTTCTCCTTTTAATCTGATATCTCATTTTCTACGTCTATTACGCTGTTGTAACTTTATTCTTACTGGGCTACTCTCTATTTCGTCCGTTTTCTCCTGTTTTCTACATTCGCCATGTTGATCTGTGAGCTACTTTCTCCGTCCAGGTTTAACTGGCTCTTTATCTTCACCACTTATGTTGGAATATCTCTGTTTCGCATGGCCTTTTCCCCTTTCCGTTTGATCTCTCCTATCTTACACGTCCCTTACGTTGTTAACTCTTTATTCTGTTTGGGCTACATTCTCCATTTTGTTGATCTCGCTTATTATCTACATTCCTAATATTGGTCACTGCGCTAATGATTTCCGATCAGGTTTATTTCGCTCATTACCTATGTCACTTCTTGTTATCCTCCATTCTCATGGGCTAGTTTCATTCGCGATTCTCGCTCCTACAAGACTCTTTACTTACTCTAAAAATCCCATTATTACTTACTATACACTTCTCCGATACTTTCTCTCGAAATTTCTTGGATTAATACGTATAAGTATCTTTTTTCCTATCTTCATTCTCTCTTGTTCTTTATTAAGTTTTTTTGTCCTTTCTTTTTATTATGATTATGATAAATTCTGTTAAATATCGTTTCGTTACTATCAAAAATAGTGTTAGTCAGTCTTCTCGATCATTTGAGACCCAGCAGATGACTGGATTGCTCCGTCCACACCCTTTCCTTGAATGATTTCCGGTTCTGGGTTCCCACTAGATGAATCTTTCTCGACATCTTCTTGTTGAAGGTCAGGATTCAAGTTTGGGTTCACGTCTGGATTACCCCAGTCTAAGAAATCTCTTCTAACTTCGACATAATCGTATGCGAACTCACCAATCTGATCTTCATCTACACCAGCTTCTTCACCATTGTAGTCAATTCTCAAGTGTAATCCAGGAATCTTGTCGATAACAAAGCAAATAACTGCAGTTACACCACCAGCATAAGCCATACATGCTAAAATGTACGCAACCTGAATGTACAACTGCTTCCAATTATGGTCTAACCATCCACCGTCGTGATCAGTGACACCATCGTATCCAATGACGGTTCTCAGGCCAAGTAAAGCATTGAACAATAAGCCAATAACACCTGCCATTCCGTGCTCCGCCCAAACATCTAGAGAGTCGTCAACTCTACACAAGTACTTGATTTGAGTGGAGAAATTACAAATGGCACCGGCTACGATTCCCAAAATTACAGAAGCCCACAATGGGATCATTCCTGATGAAGGGGTAGCAGCAACCAATCCTGAAATACATCCAGAACAAAGTGCAACCATAGACCATTTCTTTTCCAATCTGAAATCTAATAAACACCATGTGATTCCTCCAAATGCACCACACAAGTGAGTGTTCATCATCGAGTACGGCACCTTCAAAGAAGCGTTACCACATGAGAAACCATTGAAAAATAACCACCCAACGTAAAGTAGCGAAGTACCTAAGAAAATGGTGGAGATGTTGTGTGGTCTGTAGTTGATCATCAATGTTTCATTTCTTCTTCCAAGGAAGGCACTGTAGACGAAAGCAGAAATACCTGACAAGATTTCCACAGGACCTCCACCAGCATAATCCAAAACACCATATTGGGCGGCCCAACCACCACCCCAGATCCAAAAGACTACTGGACAATACACAATGGTGGCCCAAATGAATAAAAATACCATACATGGCAAGAATCTACCTCTTTCTGCAACACAACCACCAGCCAAAATTGCCAACGTAACCAACATGAATTGAAGTTGGAAAAGCGCAAATGAAATCTGAGGATAAGTCAGCTCGTCTGTCAATTTACCTAATAAGTTCTTGAACCCGAAAAAGTGCAAGTTTCCAATAAAGTTGTTGGACAGTGTGTTGGAGAACGCTATAGAGTAACCCCAAAAGTACCATTGGAAGCATCCGATAAAGGAACTCACGAAAACGATCCAAACCATAGATAAGGCATGCTTTCTTCTTGCAAGACCCGAGTAAAGAAACGCCAAACCGGGCACCATGATCCAGATCATAGAGGATGCAATGGTAAATACAAGGATGTAACTTGTATCATATTCGGAATTTTCAGTGAAGATTCTTCTTCTACTAAGTGATTCAATCATGTATAAATTTTATGTTTTATGAAATAAAATGCTGCTGAATTGAATAAATATTGAAAAAATCTGATCCTCCTTTTGACAATCCTTCTTTTTTGTATTTCTTTATATGCCTTTAACAAATTGCTTCTGTTTCTGTTGTACACTATTTCTGTAATACACTATTTCTGTGATGCTTAAACTTTTGCAATACTCTCTTATCTTGATAGATCTTCTTTTAGAGAGTGTTCGAGTTGTAAGTGCGCCGTGCTTGTCCTTTATACTTTAGGCTGGACAAGAAATATAAAGATAAAGAAGAAAAGAGCAAGAAAAGTAAAAATAAAAATAAAATAAGAAAAGGGCCAAGGCAGAAACCAAAGGTGTTTTTAATCAAAAATAATAATTAATAACTTATAGATAAAAAAAAAAAAAAAAAAGAAAAAGAAAAAAGAAAAACTTAATACGGTACAAAGAAGAGATCGGCAAACTAATCCAGCAGGCTAATTTAAGCTAAACATAATGGATTGCCCAAAACCCTTGTTGCAATGGATAAAGCCCATGTAAGACCAAAGTTTCTTTTTTTCATGTATCTGATATTTTTCGCAGCACGAGATGAGGACTACCTTGTTAGAGCAATGTAGTTCATACAGACAGAGAGAAGAACGTGAGACCAAAGTAGGAGGATAGTAGTGGTATGACAAGAGATATTTAACAAGGTGGCTTTGCTCTGCCAAACCAGGCATCAGATTGAACCCACCTTGCTTGGGTTCCTAGTCACGCTCTGTCGTTTAATCTGTACCACAGGCTCGATGACTCTCTTAATTGACCCTGCCGATACTCATTCATGCATGAGAAATTCTGCGGCATACTATAGAGAAAAGAAGAAATGTTAGACGTTTAGACTTCTGCACGACCCTGATAACGACGGCAGGACTACGAATCAAAATTTAAGGAACAATCAAGCAATTTTGTGTCATGCTTTAATGTATAGACTTTTTTTTTTTTTTTCTTAGGTGCAAAGATAGTAAAAGATAACGCTTACCTTGAAAAATAATAGGTTGGGTAGAGAAGCAACAGGGGCTGGGGTACATGGTTTAGATCATTTAAAGCAATTAGAACTAGTGTGGGTTTGAGCTATTCGAATCACCAAGTGTTTATTACTTGTTATTGGCTTGTAAAAGCTAACGTGTACTGTATAGGACATCATATTCCGCTACTTGATAAGAGAATAGAACACTTGATTGGTCGATCTGTTTTTTTTTCATTGGCATTCGAAGAAATGCCCCGGGTGGAAGCGTACTATTATTTTTTTTTTTTTTTTTTTCGGTGTTCAATCGAACCGCCTAAGCAACGAATTGGAAGCTAGCACACTCCATACAGGATCCCATGTGAAGCATCTGGAAGGTGGGGGTGGTTAATCTACAAAGACTCGTAGACCGTTCCATATATAAGGTGACAAGAAATTGCTTGGCTTTTTTTTCTGAAAGATTGCAAAGAGGATTTGCCCAATGCGGATTAAGGTCTAGAGATAGCAAAAGTAACTCTAAGCAATGGGGCTATAGTCTTTTTTGATATTGTTATTCATATAGAGGAGGATTCTATGTGCAGCTCAACTATCTATTTACATGGTGATACTCTAGTGCCAATTAGATTCAGGTAGAATCATGTGTTGCATCGTTTTTGTTTTTGTTTTTGGTTCGTTTGAAGTTCAAAATTCCTTTATCCTTCTTTCTATCTCGAATACCACTTCAACAGTAATTAATATAATAATTATCCACTCCAACCTTGTTCCCTTTTTCTCATTTAGAACACTCAATAACGCTCTACTTTCCTCGGTAGCGTAATCTAATTTCCTATTCAAGATAGATATTCTGGGCGATATATCAAGCGTTTTTGAGATTGAATCATAGATCTTTTCCAATGTAGGCTCAGCCCAGTATAAATCTGGGGTTTCAATTAACTCACTGTACAAATTTAACTTCCCTCTGAGTAAGAATAGTCTACCAGTCAGTCTGATAACCTCACTTTCCGAAATTTTCAACTTTATCCCTTTTGAAAGGTTCTCACTATGCACCCTAGACAATTGTAAATGTTCTTCAAGCGCAGTTTCTAAAACCGCTAATCTAGTTGATCTAGATAACCCAATTGCGAACGCAGCCTTTTCAAGCAACTTTTTATTTTCGCTTTCGCCCTGGATCACCATGATTTCCCCATGCGTGAATGAAGTCTTCCCTTCAGTAGTTGTGTCATTGGTATTGTCACTATTTATATCATTCTTCAATTCTATCCAGTCGAACTCATCACTTTCTATGTTATACTTATTTTCCACACAAGTCTCCAATTTCTGAGAAAAATTTTCAATTAAATAGTTCTCATTTACTCCCCAACCAACAATTGTCCCGTTGGAAAGAATCATTATATCATTGCCATTCTCTTTTACATTTAAAACTTCATCTGGAACCAAGATCAGACTCTTGCTCAATTGGTTCAACTCGACATATTTATCTAAATTAATTGATTCGCTTACGGTAATTGCAGTGACTATAGATAAATATTTCTCAAGTACTTGGTCACTTTCAATAAATTCTTTAGGCTTTTTGTTCAAAAGTGACCTTATGTAATTAATATTATCCAAGTCTTGCTGAGCTTTTCTACGTATGGAAGCAAGATTAGTTGGAGACTTTTTTAAGTTGTGCTTGGGTAAGCGGATCTGAGAGAGAGTACTATTGGATCTAGATAAAGACGGAAAGAACTTTGAATATGTGGGCTTCCAATATCTATACATCGTATGTTCTACTTTCGTGGAGAAGATGAAAGGATAGTAACTAAAAATTAAGTGATAAGTATAAAGAGAAGTGATGCCATCGATAATGTGGTCAGGTGATCAGATTCATGTGATCTCTTCCTGAAGCATTGCTGAAAAATTAGTTGATTTACCAGGTTAAATAGGAAAGCTCTGCATACAATCTCGGTTAAGTAATAGGCGAACCAGAATTGGCCCAGAATTGGCTCGTTGCGGTTATTGACTAGCGCATTATACTCTTCTTTCACCCTCATCACGCCCCCACCTCATTGCGCCCCTTCATTTCCAGATGCTCATGCACGTAACAGAAAAGAATAATAAACAACTAGGTGTCGCACTTAATTTTGGCACGCATGCTCGGACTTGTATGAAGGACATGACACGTACCAAGCAGAGACATAATTACGAAAGGTTCACGAAAGGAGGCTATAACTCGAATCAACAAGCAACCTGGACCAACTACGATCTTTTGATTCGGATTTCTAAAGTGCCCGTTTTAGTCTCGTCGCCTTATAGAGATCTGTTCTAGCATAATGGTCACCCATTTTCCTCTAATGTTTCTTCCGCATTTACTAAATTACCAAAAGCTTTGTTTACATCTGACCTCTTTTGGGAAAGTTAATGATATCCTGATTTCACAGACTTGAAGACTATCCATGTGCAGGAAGAGTAGCCAAAATTTCGACCTGCCATGTAACGAAAAATAACTGCATTATTGAGATGCAGCATTCACTAAAAATAGAAAATGAAGGTACAGCGATGTGTAAGAGCTTTGAATCTAATACCGTTCATAAGTGCCTCCACGTATACTAGGATAACAAATGAGCGAATATTTCTAACTAAAACAATAATAATAATAAAAAAGAAGAAAATAAGAGAAAATTAGGGAAGGAGAGGAAAGCACAGAACTAAGAATTATCATGTAAAACGGGAACCTCACTTCCTCACTTTAAGCATACGAGGTCCCCCATATATTGCAAAAAGGTGATACACACCCTGCAAACATATTCTGAAAAAGACATACTCTAAAAAGGACAAGCTGCTTCAAAACTTACTGGAGTACTGCTATATTCCTTTCTTCGTAAAACAGGCCTAACGTCGGGAAGCTTAGGTGGTTATGGCTTATATCTCGCTTGTAGCTCTTCTTCCACCTTTCTCACATTCTTTTAAAAGATCCCGCTAACACAGGCTCCTCTATTTGTTCTCTCTTCTTGCTTTTTTTTTTTCCGGAAATTTGTGTCGTACTTTATTTATAAATCACAAAGGCACCACCTTTGAAAAGAAGCTGATGCCAGCAAAGAAAATTTAAATTCAAAGACCAGTTATCATTCATACGTAGCTGTACTATATCTATATATATATAGGTAGAGTTCTGTATTACATTGGCTATAGAGTTCAAAAGAGAGATTACTGCTTTTCTTTTTCATTTTCGCTTGAACATTATTGTATAAGAGAAACAATGTGGTATGTATAATATAGTAAAATCATATTGAGCAAATTCTGATTCGATCTACTTGGCCATCTTCTGAGCAGAAGACCTGGTTGTCTTTTTGTTTATTACCACTGAAACGCCACCACCACAAGTGTTCCAGTCTTATCATAGACGTGTCAATACACTCGTAACCTTTAGCCTCCTTTGGATCACGTAGGCAAACGGGCTGATGGCACTATTTTTGGATTCGAGAGGCTCGGTTACATGTGGGCTTTGAAATGTGGTGATCATATTTTCGAGTTAAATCATTCTTGAAGTAATGGAGTGCAAGAGCCCTGGACACCCGGGGCCGACTTCTACTGCAATTGACCTTTATCCTATGAGCACCAGAGAGGGTTCGTTCCAAGTATCATATCTTCATTCGTACTAACATTTTCTCTTTAGTGGTATTTTCGGTTATGTTAACTTTTTGGTGGACAAGAGTAGAGGAGAAATTGTCGACAACCTTATTGAAGGTCTCTCTAGGTTAGAATATCGTGGTTACGATTCTGCAGGTATTGCTGTCGATGGAGACAAGAAAGGTGACACCTTTATCGTTAAGAAAGTTGGTAAGGTTAACGCCTTGAAGCAAGAAATTATTGATCAGAAGTTGGAACGTTCTACACTTTTTGATTGTCATGTTGGTATTGCTCACACCAGATGGGCCACACATGGTCAGCCTATGACTGTCAATTGTCACCCTCACAGATCTGATGTTAATAATGAATTTGTAGTGGTGCATAATGGTATCATTACCAATTACAGAGCCCTCAAGACTTTATTGGAATCCAAAGGAATGAGGTTCGAAAGTGAAACTGATTCTGAATGTATTGCTAAATTATTCAAGCATATTTACGATACCAACTTAAAGGCTGGGTTGGAAGTTGATTTGAACGAATTGACCAAGCAAGTGTTATTTGAATTGGAAGGTTCTTACGGTTTACTCGTAAAGAGTACCCGTTACCCTGGTGAAGTATGTGCCACCAGAAAAGGTTCCCCATTGTTAGTCGGTGTAAAGACTAACAGAAAATTAAAGGTTGATTTCGTTGACGTTGAATTCCCAGAACACGATGCTCCAAGCAGTAACAACACCAGTGGTTTGGCTGATGGTCTGAGTAACTTGGGTTTAATGCCAGTGGCACAAGGGGACAACTTAAGAACTTCTCAATCTAGAGCTTTCCTCGCAGATGATGGAATGCCAATGCCAGTTGAATTTTTCTTGTCTTCTGATCCAGCTTCAGTCATTCAACACACCAAGAAAGTCTTGTTTTTGGAAGATGATGATATTGCTCATATCTATGACGGTGAATTACATATCCATAGAGCTAAAAAGTCTTCTGCGGGTGAAGCTACCACAAGATCTATTCAAACCCTTGAAATGGAATTGAATGAAATTATGAAGGGCCCATACAAGCACTTTATGCAAAAGGAAATTTTCGAACAACCAGATTCGACATTTAATACCATGAGAGGTAGAATTGATTTCAAGGATTCCAAGATCAACTTGGGTGGTATCAAGGGATGGTTACCTACTATCAGAAGATGCAGAAGAATTATTATGATTGCTTGTGGTACCTCATATCATTCATGTTTGGCTACAAGATCAATTTTTGAAGAGTTAACTGAGATTCCAGTTTCAGTGGAATTGGCTTCAGATTTCTTGGATAGAAAGTCTCCAGTATTCAGAGATGATACATGTGTATTTGTTTCTCAATCAGGTGAAACTGCCGACTCTATCTTGGCTTTACAATATTGTCTTGAAAGAGGTGCTTTGACAGTGGGTATTGTTAACTCTGTCGGATCCTCAATTTCTAGACAAACTCATTGTGGTGTCCATATAAACGCAGGCCCAGAAATCGGTGTTGCTTCCACAAAGGCCTATACTTCCCAATACATTGCCTTAGTCATGTTTGCACTCTCATTGTCCAATGATTCTATTTCTAGAAGCCCAAGACATAAAGAGATTATTGATGGTTTGCAAAAGATCCCTGAACAAATTAAGACTGTTTTACAATTGGAAGACAAAATCAAGCAATTATGTGACGATCACTTAAATAGCCAAAAGTCCTTGTTACTTTTAGGTAGAGGTTATCAATTTGCAACTGCATTGGAAGGAGCCTTAAAGATTAAGGAAATTTCATACATGCACTCTGAAGGTGTTTTGGCTGGTGAGTTGAAGCATGGTGTATTGGCATTAGTGGATAAGGATTTACCAATTATTGCCTTTGCCACCAAGGATTCCCTTTTCCCCAAGACCATGCTGGCCATTGAACAAGTCATTGCAAGAGATGGTAGACCAATAATTATATGCAATGAAGGCGAGAAGGTTATTGGCATGGAAGAAAAGACAATGGCCATCTTGGAGGTGCCATTGACTGTTGATTGTTTGCAAGGATTATTAAACGTGATCCCATTGCAATTGATGAGTTACTGGTTGGCTGTTAATAGGGGTATTGACGTTGACTTCCCAAGAAATTTGGCCAAGAGTGTGACTGTTGAGTGAGTTCAACCTTAGGATATTTATGAACCTTGTTCCTCTTTAATTGTATACCAAATGTAGTTTATTAAAAAAGAATTTATTAATTGAAACATAGTGTAAGAAGAAATGTAAGTAAATACTTCGGTAATGAATGAACCAGTCCATAAGTATCTAGGTATATTGCGTCATTCTACAAGCAGATCGAAATTATCACTATTATCATTATTAAATACACCTATTTACAAAAACTATTTGCGCTTAAAATAATCTGAAGAACCCATATAAGCGGCACTAAAGTCAAAAACCCTTTCACCTACACCAAGATACTTCTCGGCGTAGTACCTGACATCCTCATTTTGAATGGTGTCAGTGTTGAGACTAAAGGTTAGTAGTGAAACGTACAATAAATAATCAGAAAAAAAAAAAATCTAAAAATGTTTTACTCCAGCCATACTTACGCTAAATTTGTGTTTCTTCTAACACCTGCTAAGAATGCAGACAACAATACTAAATCTGCCCCAATGTGAGCAACCTTTCCAATCTGACGAATCTAAGTTAGTTAATTAGACCTATGAACTATAGCAATATCAAAAAGAATGAAAATAATAAGAAAATTAGTCAATCAATATACATAGTTATATAAATAAATATATATACATATAGATATACACATGCTTCGATTAACCGTAGCCATACATAATGTCGCAGGGAAATTAGATCAATGCCATCTCCACTACTGTCTTCCTCTTTCTCTCTCTCGTTTTATCCATTGACTTGCTAATTATCGTCCCTAAGACATCTTCCAAGGGTGAGTGTAACGTACCATTTGTAACTATTCTTGTAAATGAAACCTTTATCTAGGGAAAGAAGGCGTATGAATCACTTATACAGGGGGGCGAGAAGAGAGAACCAGGTTATATACTGTCAGTAGTCACACAAAATAAATAAATAACCTGCATACGTGCCACCCCATAAATTTTTTAATAAAGAACGAAAGTGAAACTGAGGAAGTTGATTAATTTCCTCTACACTCTTCTTCAACACCTGTAACATTTTGGTCAAGAGATAGACTTAACGTAGATATGAACAATGAGCTAGAGTAAGCCATCTATTGCACGCTAAATGATGTTATTATTTCGGTAGATTTGCGATTCGTGTCCAGAAATGGATGGGGGTGCTTTTGGATAGGGAGGTGAGATGGAGAGCCTGAGAAACTAAAGGTGGGCCGTAGAAATCCAGAGCGCTTCCGATCCATTAATCCCAAATAATATACCTGTCGACTTAAATATGAGAGTTTGAGATTATTAGGTGGAATTAAGTCTCTTTTGATACCAGAAAAGTTTGCTTAATGAGTCCATCGGCCTGGATGCTAGAGTACGGTGCTTCCTCTGGTCCACCCAAGAGTGCCTGACGAAAGAAGGAAAAAAAAAAATCCAGAGTATCTTCAGCTCGCAGGTAAAACTCGGTGCACTATCCCCTGAACTAACCGGCCCTGGCCCTCAATAATTGTATAGACATCAGCTGCTGACATTATCCCCTTTGTTTTTGAGTTTGGTTCCGTGGTTTAGACAATAAGGGAAATCCCCATGTCTCCATCTACTACTCGTTATCAGAGAAGTACCTCTGGTTTGTCCATGAAGTAAGCAACGCAAATTCTTAACCAGTATCCCGCGCTTTTCGAAAAGAAAAAAAATTATCCTAGTCTCCCCTTCTACACACTGTCATTTTAGCTTCCTCCTTTTCTACCCTTCCACAACTCACTTGAAACCTTCAACTCATGGTGATCTGTCCTTCGTAATTATCTATACCTCTTTTTAAGCTTGGATCTGGTTTGAATTGTGCTTTTTCATCAATGGTTGCATTTGTCGTTTGGTCAATTAGACATAGCTGAAGTATCCGGGTAACCCAGTGCTCGCTATTTTTTTTCTTCAAGTGCACAGGCGCTCTCAATGAAATCCCAAAGGGTAAAAAGAAAGAGTTAGTGAAAAGCAGAACCAATAATTGGGGCAAAGGTTATTGTCTTGATAATTTGATTTGTTTATCAGTTAAACTTCTGTAATATATTGATAATGTCTGATAGATATAGACCTTCAGGTCCCAAGTCTTCTAGATACAGCGAGGGCCGTGATATAGAGCGTGAACGAGAGCGTAATCGCGATCGCGAGAGAGATTCTAATGTTAGAGATGACTACAGAGGAGGAAATTATAAGAGCCAGTACAGTAATAGTAGTAGAGATTCAAGTGTGCGAGATTACTATGCTGGGCCACCTCTGTCCAATAGCAAGAGGCAGGCATCTGATCGCGATGGAGATAATTACAGGTCTGGTAGTAAGCCTAGTGTAGCAAGTAGAGGAAGCAGAAACGGACCTGGAACTGGGCCACACATGCCTTCGAGAGATTCTGCGAATGGAAGTAATGGATTCGCAGACCGTGAGATTCCTGGTGGTCCAAAACTGAGCAGACAGCCTCTCCAGGCGCCAGCATCATCATCATCATTATCATCATCATCCACAGCCAAGGGCAGACCTCCTCCTAGCGGACCTAGTGGAAAGCCACCAATTGGCCCCAAGGGAACTTCGATTCCTACAGGTCCTTCCAAATTCAGACCCGCGGGTCCTTCTGGTTATAAAGGCAATAAGGAATCGACTCAAGACAAGGGTGGAAGAGATACATATAGACCAGCCCAAAGGCGTCAAGCTTTACCACCTCAAGAGAGTACAGTAGGCGGAGGCAGTAAAAGGCCGCACGATTCCACAACAAGAACTGATGACTATAGGAAAAGGCACCATTATGAAGATGATTACGACTATGATCAATCATACTCAAGTAGCAAAGGTAGTTACAGATCCACATATGGCAGTGGACAAGGATATGGTGGACGAGACGATAAGTATGCATCAACCAGGAATAATACTAATCCCAATAAGGCCAAAAATGGTCCTCCTCTGGGTCCTCATGGACCGCAAAGGGGACCGCCTGCTAAGACGAAAGGTAAAGGTAAGGAAAACAGTGGTCCAGGTAATCAGAAGAAGCCCAGAAAATTGCTTACCAACTCTCAGATTTATCTGATTCGTACTATTAAACCGAACGAAGTATACGCACGAGTTCAGCAAGTTGGCGAGGGGACTTACGGGAAAGTTTACAAAGCCAAAAATTCTATAACCAACGAATTTGTAGCATTAAAGAAATTGAGATTGGAATCTGAAAGAGAGGGATTTCCAATCACAGCTATGAGAGAAATCAAATTATTGCAATCTTTCAATCATCCTAATATAGTTGGATTATTGGAAATGATGGTTGAGCAAAATCAAATTTACATGATTTTCGATTACATGGATCATGATCTTACTGGGTTGTTAACCCACCCTGATTTGAAACTTGAAGAAAGTCATAAAAAGTTCATTTTCAAACAGCTAATGGAAGGTTTGAATTATTTGCACAGGAAAAGAGTTATACATAGAGATATAAAGGGATCCAATATTTTATTGGACAACATAGGGGTTGTGAAAATTGCTGATTTTGGATTGGCAAGAACGATGAAAATTACCCTGAACGGTGAGCTGCCTGATTACACAAACAGGGTAATCACTATATGGTATAGACCACCCGAATTATTACTAGGATCTACGGATTATGGAAGAGAAGTTGATATTTGGGGTGTAGGATGTTTACTCATTGAATTGTATTCTAAAGTTGCTGCATTTCAAGGCTTTGATGAAGTTGGACAATTACAAAAGATCTTCAATGTAATGGGAACTCCAACTTTAGATAGTTGGCCATCGATGAATGAATTACCTTGGTTTGAAATGTTGAAACCTAAGGTAAATAAGGCATCTATATTTGGTTCGGAATACAAGCCAATTATGAGTGAATTGAGTTATGACTTGGCAGAAAACTTGTTGATGTTAGACCCAAAGCGAAGATTAAACGCTGAGCAAGCGTTGAAGCATCCTTATTTCTGGCTGGATCCCAAGCCTGAACCATTATATTTTTTGAAAGAATTGAAGGGTGAATGGCATGAATTTGAGACGAAGAAGAGAAGACGCATGGAAAGGAAAAGGAAACAGGAGATGAATAATATCATAACACCTAGTGTTCAACTGGTTCCAAACGTAGAACGAAGTGTGCCACCACAAAGTGTGCAGCATAGTGCCGGGCCCTCTGCCGAACAAGCAGATGAGCCGAGCACGGAACAGGTAATTGAGCAGGTTGTTGAACAGGTTGTAGAGCCAGTTGCAGAACACACCAATGCTGAACCGGTTTCGGTGCCAAACCCAGAGCAACCTGATGAAAATATTGCTGAACTGAGTGTAGAGGTCACTGCAGAACAGGCTGAGAAGTAAGGCTTGCGTTGTATTGATACATCTTCATTCAAATATATCAATATTATAAAGTGAAATTCTTCCAAACTCAAGACTAAAAGGAATCCAAAAAGCTTTCAATTAATGAGTTGTATATATATATGTAATATAAGTTGATAGCGACACAATCATGCTGTACATATACATGTGCCATAGACAAGATCAGCTCTCCAGATTCAGTAGCTCTTCAAAGCTACTCTCTCTCTCTAATAACATGTGAAATTTTTGTTCTCATCCTTTGCACCGAAAGCTTTCCAGGAACTCCAAACAATTCGGCACTTGCCAAACTGATTGGCAATCGATCTAGAATCGGGCATCAACTTGGCTCACCTATGGTCAGCGGGGTCTACCACTACATCGAAAGCAGCTCAGACTTAATTTTTATTTGCATTTTTACTTAAATATACTACTTCTAATCTATTTGGTAGCGAATTCAACACCTTTTTCGATGTTCTTCTCTAACTGTTCGATAGCAACACCCAACAATTTCTTTTCACTGTCACTAACTTCGTTTAAGATCTCGTACTTAACTTCTTCAATACCGTTCTTACCTAACAAGACTGGTAAGGAGAAGAAGTCAAGACCCTTGACCAACTTCTTAGCTTCAGCAGCACCCTTGATGGATGAATCCAAGTTTAAGAAAGTACATTCTACGATGGACTCGGAAGATGTCAAAGCCTTCAAGATGGAATCGGCCAACTTATAACCAGCATAAGCCATAGATAAGGTAGCAGAACCAGCTCCGCTCTTAGCTTGGACGACTTCATCACCACCGAATTGGACTCTGTGGATCAAAGCCTTTTGCTTCTCTTCATCCAACTCATCGTACAACTTCTTTGAGTTACCGATAGAGTACAATGGAACGATGGTTTCACCAGAGTGACCACCAATAACGTTGATGTTGAATTGGGATGGGGTGGTAGAGTCTGGGTATAATTGAGAGATGAAAGTATTGGCTCTAACGATATCCAAAGTGGTGACACCAAACAATCTCTTTGGGTCAAAGACACCGGCCTTCTTTAAAGTTTCAGCTACAATTGGAACAGTAGAGTTGACTGGGTTGGATATGATCAATACAAATGCCTTTGGACAGTTTTCAGCAATCCCTTCAGCCAATCCCTTGACAATTCCGGCGTTAATGTTGAACAAATCGTCTCTGGTCATACCTGGCTTTCTTGGCACACCTGCTGGGATAATAACCAAGTCAGAGCCCTTTAAGGCAGAAGCAAGAGCGGTCTTGTCTTCTCTTGAAGATGGTAAGTGGGTAGTGGTTTGCGAATCAGAGCAAATGTGCGACAAATCAGCACCTACACCTGGCACGTTAACAACGTCGAAAAGAGATAATTGCTTAACGGCTGGGTGAAGCTTGACCAAAAGGGATAATGGTTGTCCAATACCACCAGCGGCTCCTAATACTGCAACTTTAACCATCTTGAATATATATGTGTTGTTTTAATTTACTTTTGAATGTGTTTGTAAGAGAATTCGACTTCGATATTTCTTACTGCAATTGAAATTTTTAAAACCTCGATCCCTTTGAAAAAGTGGGGTTAAACTCGTGGTTTATATATAACTCGAGTTTTTCTTCATCTACTGTCTAGCTAATAGTATGGGGTAATTTTTTCACATAGTGATGTCGCCGGGTAAATGGGTCGTCCCCACTCTCCGGGAGGTCAAAGTCCGGGGCCGAGGGGAGCGGCGCTGGAGAAAAACTCTCAAATACAAGTAGATGTCTGGTATGGCAGAGCGGCACCAGCACGAAAATGCGTATTTTTCTCCCACTTAAAGCACTGCACAGTAATTCTGTTTTCCTGTGCTTCTATTGCACAGCTGAGTAGGGCTTGCAGGGTTTCAAATATCCGAGTAGTGAATTAGAGTATTCATATGAGTTTCCCGGGAGAACTTGGGTATATTTTCGGGAGAAATCGTAATGGAGGGGAGCTCGTGTATGGTGTTCTTGGGAGAAAGGTATATTAGTAACGCTTTATGATGCAAATTCTAGTGAAACATGGATGCCAGATGGCAATTGGAGAGTCTGTGGTGGAGTTTCTCCACTTTATGGGGTTAAGTGTAGAGTGAAAAATAGAGGGATATAGGGGGAGGAAAGCGAAAAAAAAAAAAAAGAAAGAATGAAAAAAGTAAGACAGAAGAAACGTTGGGCCAATTGGCATACTCCTAACACGAAAGGCTTGGTTTTTAGAGATGGCTCCGAAACGGAACCAAATTGGAGTTTTGCAGAATATGCCCAGATCAACAAGGTTTGAAGTCTCATACTTTCTCGAAGTTGCAGCTGTGTATACCGCCGGCATATACCTAAAAAATAATGCTGCTCTAATTTCTAGCATGTACCTGCATGATTTAGGGTTCCGCATACCCAAGGTAAAGCCTGAGAATTAGCTAATTAGCTTAGAGCATACTTGAAATCGGTTGCAGAGGGATATTGCTACGAGCTTACTGTGACGAGAGATCATAGAATTCACCTTTTGGTTAAAGTGCAATTGGAGAGGTTGAAATGGTTTCCACTGCTACGTGCTATTAAGATGTGCATTAATTTTATGTATTACGTAGTGGTTGCACTACTGCATGCTTATTCTATATATTCTGTCATATTCACCACTTGTCTTGCCTATGACATCTTCTTTCTATTTCTTCGGTCGTATTCACTCATCGCTACTGTCTATGGTATCTTCTCTCTATTTCTATCGTATTCACTCATCGCTGCTGTCTATGGCACCTTCTCCCTATGTTTATGTCGTGCTCGCTCACCGCTGTTGTCTATGACTTCTTCTCATGATATTTCTTCTGATCTTCCAAACTCCTCCGACTTTATTACCACTGATAAAACTGACATATGGCATCTTTTTCATGTCTTGAACGTTCGAAGTATTTTTCTTTAATTTCTTCAAGTTACTAACTTGTTGTTGAACCAATTCTGGCATAAGTATTTCTTGGCTTGGAATGTCTCCATCTCCCTTCACTAATACTAGTTTGTACCCTCCAACTTTTATCATTTCCTTCAACTTGAGGACCACTCTGCCATCAGGGAAATACACGTTGAAATACTGCTTTCCCTTGTTCACACTGTGGATCATGCACAATCCCATAAACATGTATGACCCGTGGCTCACCGTTTCGTTAAAGAAATCCGTCGAGTTTATATACAAAGGCAACTTTGCACCCAGTTGGAATTTGTTAGAGAAAAACTGTTCATTTTCAATTAAGTAAATACCAGCAATAGATGAATCAACCATAAGAAGTAAATCCTTGTGATCAAATTGAAGGGAAACATCAAAATTACTCACAGAGACCGCATTTACCCCTAAGAAGTTATGGTCATTGGGATCAGTTTGATAGGAGATTTTTATGGGTGGTGTATGGAGTAGATGAGTGTTAAAGTTATACGACGGTGAAGTAGTTGATTCATTTTTATGGAAGTATATTAATTTGTTGAACGTTCTCAACTGTGCTGGCGAATATTTGGAAACCTGATACATTCCTGGCAAAACATGCAAATTTTGGAATGCCAATCCTTCTAAAGTAGCATCAGCTTCCACATTGCTCTCTAGAAGTATCCCCAGCCCATTGAGATAGACGAGATGTGTTGGGTTGATATAAGTCGTAATACTTTCCAAGAGCTCCTTTCCCAAACCTTTGATCCAACCAGGTGTGTTGATTATTAAGTGGTTTCCGCTTTGATTCTCCTGGTAAAATCTGAAAAGCTTTTTAATTATTGCAAGATATAAATTGGGTTGCAGTTGTGGCGACGTGAATCCATAATATTCCGTCAAGCCATGTTTATTACCTTTCTCAATATTTATACCAAAGATTGGTCTCTTATAACTGCTAATAGATAAACAGTAAGGATCTGAAAACTCGGATTGACCGGGGTCTAGGTCAAGGTAAGACACTTCTCTATTCCCATCGACAAAGAAATTATTCAAAAGTGATTTACTGAATGTAGACTTACCACTATTCTTATTTCCAATCACCAATGTAATGGTAGCTGTAGTATCGTTTTCGTCATATCTGCTCAACTCTTTAATTTTATTCACCCAACTCCTATCTAGACTTAACCCAGTCATTCCCTTGTTTTCGAGCACAATTTCAAATGAAAAACTTCGCAAATACCCAGCATCTGGATGATTCATGAAAGAGATAGAAGATTCCAGCTGTACTTGTTCCTCGTCATTCTTATTATAAAAAAATCTCTTTAACGGTGGGCAGTATTTTCCTATATCTTCTAGTCCTGTTTCCAAGATTGACAACGTTATCACACTTTTGTAATCACTGTGGAAAAGGTGCTCATTGTCTACAGTTTTTGAATCCAAAATGCCACAAGATCGGTCCAACACTTGGGCACTTGCTATTATGGGAAGGGACTGGGATTGCGAAGCTATAATTTGATAACTATGATCCGGATGTGCGTAATGATAATGGCAGTTATTTATAAGTATGGCTCCTCTTTGTATCTTTAGGTCTGCTTGTCCATTTACTACCAAATATTCCCCTTGTTTTAATCCAATGATTATTTCTCTACCACTATTATTTACAAGGAAGTTATCTTCATTTGGAGTAAAATTAGATTCAAAAATTGGTAAAAATCCACCTGGTCTCTTGAACTGTGGCACTGGAGAGACAGTGGGCAATGGGTTGGATCTTGTACTTTCCCTTATTACATCCTCTTCATCTACATCTTCATCTATATCTTCATCAGAAGTGTTTTTCAGGTAGCCTATAATCTGGTCAGAGTCGTCGACATCATCCTGCAATATCGAGACCATAGAATCCGAGCTCTTCAATGCTGCAAATGCACTCATTGCCTGTAAGCTACTGGTCAGTTTTTGCTACTAAAGGTAGTACTGAAGAGTTAGTGTTCACTCTTCAGATTTTTTATAGATGAACCATATTGGGGTTATATGCAGGTGCGATGGGAGCAACTGTGAAACTTCTGTTGAGTAGCTCAATTGCTACTATTGAGGGTGTTTCCCATCATTGCAGTAGGAAAATAGGGTAATAGTAGATATCTTAGGTGCAACTGGGATCTGATTTTAGTGAAATAATAAGGAACCGGACGCATTCTGAGACCAAGTAGCAAAGAAGACGATTTTGCAGCCGCTTTCGATGTGCTCATAAACGGATAAACCTCGTATCTGTCAACTTCAAAAGAGAACTAAGTTGTAGTCTGGATCATATAGCCTATACTGTTTCTTTCACTCAATATAGTAAAAAAGACAAAGCCAATGATGAAAAGAAATGCGCTCCAAGATATTATATCTGAAGTGTGCTGGGAGTTGTAGAATCACTTTGTGCCAGTCTAATTAGAGCTGAAGAGTCGTTGATTTGATCCTGTATATAGTTGGATCATGCGCTATGAAACTCCTCTCGCATCCTGCATGGGCCGAGAGCTAAAAGCTCTAACATGCATGAATACTGGTCCTGCATCTCGTCCGAGGTACTTGAGTAGCTTCTACATTGTGATTTAGACTATGTAATTAACCGTTTTTGAACAATACCAAAAAATAAATTTGAAAAAATAGAAAGAGAAGGCGAGTAGTTAAAGCGAGAGAAGAATACGATATAACATAGTCCGTGCATACAAATGTACCCATTTCGAGTTAATTCAATCTAATCTAGTTTCTGTACTTGAGGTAAAAATCCGAAAGTCTTTCCAGCTCCATGAGGGCCACTGTGCTGTGATCGGAAATTTTAATCATTTTTATTTTTTTTTTCTCGTTATTTATTTAGCTAATCTTAAGTTCCACTAGCGTGAAAGCTAAACACTGTTATTTTCCCTGCAATTATATTACATTTGCTCTAGGGATAGTGCAGAGTTCACACATCTTGCAGACAATGTACATTCAAATGGCCCTATACTGAAACTCGGGAACTTGTTAATCCGCCCACTCACATACATCAGTAGCTGTGCTTCACAATAAGCAGTAATGAGGCTAAAGATGACACAAAAGCTGTCATCTTTATCGAGCCAATTAAATTGCACGATAACAAAATAATTTGTAGTATCAATCTCTTGCAAAAGCTTGCACCCTCTATAGTGGGCGGGAGCTTCGTTCCGCTAAGACCTTTCAAACGGGAATCATGTTGGCTACTATTGAAGGATGAATCCGGGATTAGGGAGTTTTCCCTATGTAATAGCACTTTTTGCTGAATTATTATCTAGTGTAATTCCAGCGAAGGAAAGGTGGGCAAAGTCGTGGGCCCCTAGTGGCTAGTTTGAACCTGGCGGATTGCTGCAACCATGTAAGCTCATTCACTTGGAATGGTACGTATATGTTTGACTACCTTCCACACATTCTAACCTTACGTTCTTCTACTTCTAATATCTCGTAAAGCAATGAACATGCCCTACTCTGTGGGTCATAAAGCTCCTGGTCACTATATGCTAACATTCTCTTTAAATGTATGGTTCCTCTCAATGTACAATGCGATCGGTTGTATGGGAAATTTTCCAGTGATTTTGTTTTTCTTTTTTTCCCAATTCGTGGTTGAATAGACCCTTTGTACTGGGATATCCACAAGTATGATAATCCTGGTGATGATGACAACCTGCTTTGGCTAAATCGGAATACCAAGCTCATTCTTATTGTAAATTGCTCGATACAATAAGTGGTAGTTGGCAAGTTATTTCATTTGCTCTCTAAAAGAACAAAAAAACCTGAAAGCCCTAGAGGGACTGACTTGAATCTGAAACAGAACACTGCAAAATAGCTAATCATATAGTCCTCACAGAAGACGAAACCTATATTTCTTAAATTAATTCCCTAAACATTATTTGATTATTTTCACATTTTATCATAATGAACAAAGGTAGGATAACAAGCCGATTTCATTTTGACCAAAGGAACAGTGAACAGGACGGCGACGGTGGAATTACCTCGGGTAATTTGGCAGATCTCTTAAGCGACGACTCCATCTGCGCTGAGAGCCTTTGGAAAATGTACAATAAGGCAAGAGATGGTTTACCATACAAGGCAAGAATGGAGAATTTAACGTGGAGGATGATGTATATTAATGGACCAAAGCGCATGCAGCAGCAGAAGGAACGATATAGTCAACAGAGCCTGGGTGGTCAACTTAAGCAGGAAGACGTGCTTATGTTGGATCCTGCGGCTGATGAGTTTGATTACATCGAGCATATACGGAAGATGTCCAAGGAAAGTTCTTCGTCGTCGAGCTCTTCCAAGAAGAGGCCTGCCGAGTTCTCTCCTGTGGTTGGTCCAGCAAACGGAGCAGCATATCCAACAGGAAAGCAGCTCTTCTCCAACTTATCTGCTTCGTTGGCGGCTGAGAGAGAGCATCAACACCAAACTGACCACAATCAGCTTGGAGGGCAAGGCGGAAACCACCATCTTCAAAACTCTATGGATCTTAACATGGAAGATCACGAAAATGCATTTGAATTCAACTTGGATCAGTACGACTACAACGGCAGCAGCCTGACGGTCCAAAACCCAGGTGATTCACATTTCAGTGACTCCTTGCCGTCCGTAGCATCAACTATCTCCAACCAACATCACTTTAACCAACACCTGATTCCTCAGCATATACACCGCCCTCTGACGCTGCTGATGGTCCTGGGCCTAGGTGGGGGTATGGCTTCTTCCTTTGAATCGTCTACGCTGCCTATGGCTACTGTGGGGCCCTCGACCATTTTAAACAACTTTAATTCTTCAAATCCAACCAATTTACATCGTGAAGCTTCGCTAGTTAGTTTGCCTGATTACACGAGACAAAGCACTCCGTCTATGCATAATCATCCCAAGTTTAATGGCGACTTTGGCGGCTCCTTGCCACAACATCAAAACTCATTTTCTAAAAACTCATATAGTTCACCCCAGTATTTTGGCGTTAACTCGCCTTCTATAGATGGAGATGGTGTTTCGTACTTCGACAGGCTGAAGACTCCGGGATCTATTCCAATGTCAGCGGGTGGTGGCATTTCTAACAGAAAATCTATCCAGAATCAAAACTTTGCTCAATTCAACTATGGAAGCAGCTTGCCATTAAATTGGGATGATGATTTTGGACGTACTGCACCTCCCAGTGGTCCACAGCAACCGCTGAATGCTAATGGATCTGGAAATAATACAGCTAAGAAGGCCAAGGCGGCATCCAAATCTAAAAAGGTTTTGTCCACCACATCTCCTATGAAGGAATCTTCGTCCAAGAAGGAAAAGGAGACCCTCACTACCGTAGATGGGAACCCAGTTTCTTGTACCAATTGCCACACTAAAACCACTCCATTGTGGAGAAGAAACCCCGAGGGACAGCCATTATGTAATGCTTGTGGGCTCTTCCTAAAATTGCACGGTGTAGTGAGACCCTTGCTGTTGAAAACAGATGTTATTAAAAAGAGACAAAGGGGTCAAAACACCAGCAAAAAGCTGTCCATAAGCGGGCCAACCACTACCAAAGGTGGAAATAAGCTAAATGAGAGGGATGGGGATGATCTTAACCCTGCTCCAATAAAAGTTGATCGCAAGATACCCTACGGCGGAGGCAGTAGTAATAGATCAATCAGTCTGTCGCCTGGATCTATAACTGCTTCTGGACTCGCCCCGTCACTAAAATCCTCTTCAGGGCCGGGCTCCGGGTTCAATGATGTAAATAATGATAAACTAAATGAGGTGACTTCCTTGATGAATAGTCACATCAACAATAACCTCCATCCAATTCATGAAGGCGTATCAGGCAATTCTTTGTCGAAAAAGGATAGTGATTCCGGTTTAATGTTAGACAAAAACCTGGCAGGACCTGGGTACGATAACTTTTCACCTAATGAATCTAATAATTATGACGTGATGGACATGGATATGAATAATGCCAATAACCATAGCCATAATAGTAACAATACCGGAGGAGAAGGTGGAAACGGAAATTGGAACCAATTGGATTGGCTAAGTATGACGTTGTGATTATATAAAGATATAGTTAAATTTCATAGATGACACTCAATATTAGATGGTAGACTATTAAAGAGAGCGAGTCTCATGTAGAGCCAAAGATCTCATCGATATAAGCGTACAATATAAACGATATTCAGAAGATCCACTCCTTACAATTACATTGGGTGCAACACATTATGTTGGCGTGTTTCCGAAGTATGCTAGTATGATATCTGAATTACAGGAGCTCCTTACAGATATGACACACTGACGATAATGTCCTTACTTATACTGGGTAGATCTTGGTTGCAGTTTCACTTTTCCATGTGGGGCGGACTTTGTAACCTTACGCATGGAGTTTAGGTAGAGGAATGAGGAGAAGGTCGCTCCAAGCGAGTGACTGAACACAGTGAAGTCGGAGGAAGGAAAACAGCACAGGATATTCAACAAGTTTATGCAAGCTAGTGACCTTCTAGACTTCAAAGGCTTTCTAGACCTTAATAGCCCTGGAAAGCGCTATTTCTGGCAACGATATCAGGGTATATAAGAAATTTATAGGCTCGAAGCTTTTAAACCTTAATGGCTGCGCACTAGGCTTCGACCATTAGCCAACAGCCTTGGCCAACAGCAACAGCATTCGAATTCTAAGCAAATAACATTGAAATGCTGGCTTCTATTGAGTTCAATATATATCATTTAGTCCAAAAAGGGAATATCAGTGTATATACATGCTTACCGTAGATAACTGTGGGCTCAAGCGTAGCTCGGTGTTCGATGTGCAACCATTTTTATTTTCTCACCCTACATGAAAATCGAAATTTCACTCAGTAATGCTCAACTCGGCAAAGGGAAGAGCTAACAAGCCATGAGCAAGTTTCCCAAAGTAAGTATTGAATTTTGTGCCAAATGCAAGTGGCACAATAGAGCTATATGGTACGTCCAAGAAATATTGCAAACATTTAGTAAGCCTGGTGTTAACTTGATCGAAGACATCTCCGTACAACCCCGGTACGATTTTCCAGGGTTATTTAGAATTGTAGCCCATAAGAACGAGAACGAAAGTAAGATTTTGTATCTGAGGAGATTCAAGAGCGACGTAGATGACAATTTGATAGAGGATTACGTCTACGAGGGATTTCCAGATAGTAAATTCTTGAAAACTCTTCTTCGAGATTACTTATTTCCAGACAACAATTTGGGGCATATTGATCGAGGAACGGAAAGAGAAGTGCTTAATCAAGGCGGCAAGAAGGAAGTGAAGAAGCAAGAGAAACAAGAGCCAGAAACGCCAGAAGCAGAAGCAAAAGCAGAAGCAGAAGGGCCAGAGTGTGTTGCTTGTAAGGTGGAAGAATTGTAAATGAGTAAAGATCATTTAAATAGCCTTCTCTTATCACTTTACTTACCATGAGGCTTCTGGTTAGTGTACTCGCATGTCTACATAATAATTTACATGACTACTTGGCGCGCTCACATTTAAATATAATACATTTACTATAATTATAACAATACCTTGTAAGACAGCACACTATCTTTTAACTAGAATTAAATACTATCAACACCTATCTCGTATACTCCATCATTCATTCACCTCTTATACTTTTTACTCACCTCTATCTATTTTTAAATCTTGATTCTTCCTGTCCTTAACGTTTTTTTTTTTCCTTTTTTTGCTTTTAGACTTTTTTGTTTCTTCCAGAAGATTGACGCAGGATTAACTAAAATCAAGCAGCCACGAATTTCTCTATTGCAATGAGTTCCCCTTTTCGCTCTCTTGGATATCATCCCATCCTCTCTCTGCTACAACATACGGCAAAGAAGATCCTAGGGATCCGAAATAAAGCTGGTTATTTGGTAATCCAAGAAGGGATTGGTACTGCTTAATTACGAAAGTTGGAGAAACATTTTTGGAATTTCCATTTCCATCACCTCTGCCACCGTTGAATGAGTCGTCAGTAGGCGAGGAAACTTGAGAGTCTGGTGGTAAATCATTCACGTCAGTTACTCCATTTCTCCTCATCAGAGCATGGGTATTGATATCTTTAGTAATCTGCTTCCACTTATTTTTTTCTCCGGTAACTAAAAGCTGTTTGAGAACTTGAAGGTCATGGTCACTGAATTTTGAAAGCACAGAATTTGCATCGCTTTCATATTCCACTTCCGAGTGAATTTGAGGTTGGTTGTTCTGAGGTTGTTGTTGATGTTGTTGCTGCTGTTGTTGCTGTTGTTGTTGTTGGTGATGCTGCTGCTGTTGTTGCTGATGTGGGTGGTCTTGCGGGTACATAGAAGGTGCTGCTGTGGTGGTAACGTTAGCTTCGAAGTATATCATGAATCAAAGTTGACTAGATAGAATGTAGAAAAAAAAAAGAAAAAAAATTAAAAACTCAAAGGGAAGAAAATTAAATAAATAGAAAAAAAAATTATTACCTGAGAATATTTAACAAACAGGAAACAATTGAAGGGCCAGATACAAGAAACCAAGTGTGTCTTGCGTGGTTTGGATCCTATTTTTCGAATTTCTTTCAAAAGTAACGAACTGAGTCTTTCTGAGAATTTCGAGAGCCAGTTTATTTCTAGGGATGATTATATCAGTCGGCTAAATTTAAACTCAGTTGCCTTATATTGTGAACTGATTTTTATCAAGAGAATGCCCAATTGCACACACCAGTTTTTGTTCAACGAGAAACTAAATATCCACAATCAAATGGGAAAAAAATAATCAGATTATTTTTTACAAAGTCCGTCTCTCTAAATTTTTACGCTTCCTATTAAAGTTATGAGAAGCTAAAGTAATATTGAATTCCACAAGTCTTTTTCTTTCTTGAAGATTCCAGATGAAAGCGGATTGGCAGGCCTTTATCTATGGGAGAGAAAAAAGTACAATTTCTTTTTCTTTTCTTTTTTTCTTGTGGCATAACTGACCCATCTGTCTTCTATGGTGGGGAAGAAGCAATTTGACATAGAATCTGAGATATAAGAGGAAAAATAAAAAAAAAAAAAAATAGAAAAAAAGAAATTCTAACCAAACGCCTTAGATCTTGATCAGCTTTCCAATCCAGTATTTTCTGTAGGACTTTCACCGTCGGTTGTTGACACATACGTAGACTGCTTTCTTCAACGTGATTTCTTCGATAGTTCGTTATGGAAAGAAGTAAACAATAAAAAGCTCTGATAATAATAGCAGGTGCATGGATACCCAGATTGTCATTCACATTCATACACCTGCTGTCACTCTCGCACTCACCAACTCTGACAGGCTTTAAACAAGATTCTCTCACTACTAGCTTAACGACACTGAACGCCTCTCTCAGACAGACCTAAGGGTCATCTCTACCTCGTACCATTCAGCCCGAGGCACAATCGCATTCAGCACACAGAAATTAACATCTGAGCTGAAGGCTCCTCAGCGCTCTGGAATGATGAAAATGAGGTGAAAGAGGCTAGAAACAACCGAATTAAGCTTTACGAGGCTGCATGAACTTGCAGATTTTTAAGAGTAGGATTGTCCACTTCTAGGAATTATCGTTCTATGTTCGCGTTTACGACGGGTTTCCAATGCATACATAGCTATCTTTCTGTATTGATTTGCGGCTGTTGTATCTTTATAAAGCTTCTAAGGTTTATATACACCGAATACTTCTGTTGCAACTTTTGATTTCTCCACGCCCTTTTGAGCTAAAGCACCAAAGATCACATCATTGTAACTGCTAGGTCCAAGTAAGTAAACGTCGTAGTCTACAGAATTGGATGGAATATCGGTGCTTTCTATCCTTCTGTTAGATACCTTGTCAAGCTTTATGCTTCCTTCTTGCTCTTGAGCCTGTGATATGTATTCATTCAAGGTGAAAGTTTTGCCATATTTCTCTTTTAATTGTTGCAATACTTTGGTAAAAGGACGTACTTCAACTGAACTATTGGAATAGTGCATAATGACTTCTCTACCACTTTCTAGCGCCTGTTGCATAATTGAAACCATTGGAGTTATACCAATTCCTGCAGTGAAAATTAACACAGGTTTGCTTTCTTCATGTCTGTACACAAAATTTCCATTTGGAGGAGATACCTTGATAGTATCACCTACTCTCAATTTGTCATGCACAAAATTTGACACAATACCGCCGTTCCTATCTCTCTTAACAGAAATTTGATACTTGTTGTTCTTAACTGTATCATAGGATGATAAAGAATATTCTCTAGTGGTTACTGTTCCATCGTCTAAAGTAAACCTAATACCCACGTACTGACCTCTTTGGGGAATTTGCACTTTTTGAGTGGCATCCTTCGGCTTGAATTGAACCAGTTTAACATCGCTCGATTCATCTTCAATCAGTGTAACCTCAAACTCTCTGAATCCATCCCATTGGTTCTGTTCATAAATTTCCCTTTCACCGTCGATTAGCAATTTAGCTAAGTTGCCGTATGCTGTTGCCCAAGCTTCAATTAATGGTGGACTTGCAACTTCTGATCCTAAAACTTCAACCATGGTCTCAAGCAAATTTGTTCCGACAATTGGATAATGGTGCGGCTTAATTTGTAACCCTGTATGCTTGATGATGATCTGCTTCACGAAACCAACGAGTGGAGTCAAATCATCAATATTCTGAGCATAGGCAAGCAATGCAAATGCTAATATAGCAGGCTGTTCCCTGGTAGCTTGGTGAGCCTTATTGAAGAATGGTCTTACTTCTTCATTTTTCTCAAGCATATTCAGGTAGAACTTAGCAGTCAAGTCGACACCAGCCTTTTCAAGGTATGGTATAGTTGCCTTGATGTACTTCTTTTGCTCATCAGTGAGCTCAGTGAATGTGTAGTCCATTTTGTATTATTATGAATATTGTAGGTATTATCGGTTACATTTAAGGGCTTATTTGTACGAAGTGTATATTTATATATATATATATATATATATACATATATACATGTATTCAAACAAAAACTACGGCGTTCTTTGGCGTCATACAGGGGGCGTCCCTGTAGCATCCGGATAGTCGGATGGTATATATTGGCGTTAGTGTTGCATAATTTGGAAGTTGAAACCCTAGATTTACGGGTTCTCCATATGCACATTTTCCTATTAAACGAGAGCTATTAAGCTTTTGTTTAAACTTTTTATTAGCCGGCGGTATAATACCGATAAGTCCTTGCATAAAAGTCAAAAAATGGCATGTTCACTACAGTGGGAGCGGGGGACAAATGACAGTAGATTTAGTGCCTAGTGGTGCATAAGAAATGTATTTACTTAACCAGAGCCAATCACCTTTAGTGAATTAGTCAGAACGAAGTAATCGTTTCTGTGAGAAGTCATGTTTTATATGCACTAGGAGACGCTTCTCGAGAAACTAGTGGTGTGAAATATTTACAGATATGCAGCATGGTTCAGTTGTGATTGGATGTCAGAGTGAGGGTTCCTACACATATTTTGATTTGCTTAAACTATGGCTCAATACCTGATTCTAAGCTAAAACTTTTTCGACTGCAACCTCTGCCAAATCTTACAGGAGTACACTTTCCAATTGAATTTTACTTTTATTATATTTAATTACTGCAAAAAATACTGCTTCCTTTACTCTTCGTAGTCACTTTCATCATCATCAACTTCTACTTCTTCATCGCTCTCACTATCTTCCATTTCCACATCGCTATTCACATCGTAAACGGGAGTCTTTTTTGTAGTTGGCTTTCTACGTCTTGGACTAGGTGTATCTTTAAACGCCGTATCTGTTAAATCTGCAAGCTCGTCCTCTAAAGTGAGTTTTTTCTTTTTCGAGATTGGCTTTGATGACTCTTCACTTTTCTTAGTAGAAGACAACACTGACGTTGGAATAGAACTGCTTGACTTGTATGTCTTTGGAACTGAGGGTGGTGAAGAGTGGCTGAAACTATCTCCTAAAAGCTCTTCATCTTCACTGTCATCAAACAAAGATTTTATCTTTGGGACAACCTTTTTAGGAGGCTCTGGCTTTGGTATAGAGGGAGTAACCTCTTTCTTTATTTCAACGACTGATGGAGTTGGAGTTGATTTCTTCTTAGTTGCCGGTTTCTTTCTTGGTGGAAACACGTCGTCGTCGTCTTCTTCTTCTTTCACTGTTGATTTCTTTGTGACTGTCAGTGCTCTGCTTCTCTTCGCTTTCTTCTTTGAACCTTTTTGTGGAACTTCTGCCATTCTATCCGCCATATCATCGTCTAAGAATTTCTCCCAGCTAACTAAGAAGTCATCTAAGTCATTATTCCAAAGATCTTTGGCTGTTAATCTAAGTAAATTGGTAAGTTCCTCTTGCTTTTTATCCCTCAATTGCATGATCTTTTCATATCTTTCTTTCGTTAAGGACCAAATAGGCATACCAAGAAGATAATCATAAGTGGAGAAAATAGTAGTCGGTTTATGATCTTGTTCTCCATCGTCTCCAGTTCCAACAGCTTGAGAAATGTTGATCTGGCTCAAATCACCTTCATAGTTTTCTTCCTCTTCTTCTAACATCTCTTCAGCTCTGTTCTTATCAATAACAACATTTTCTTTCTTGATATCTTTGATTGGATTACCATTCTTGTCAAATGGAATGAATTTGAATTTTTGTAATATTTCTACCAATAAAGCTCTCTTTTTGTTGGATACACTTAATTCTTTCTCAATTATCAACTTGATAAATCTTGCCTGTTCTGATAATTTGGTTAACTGATTAGTTAATTCCTCACTGATGTGATCCTTTCTTCTTTGATAATATTCGAGTCTAACGTAGTAATATTCTTTCAACATCTCCAAAGGAGATTCATACCTTTTGATACGGCCAAGCGAGTCAAACGCTACCATGTTAGTCAAATTAATGGACGACACTAACTTAAACCTCTCCATAAGGCCCATTTTCAAAGATTTGGCCATTTCGTCACTGCTAAGCTTGATCACAAATCTAATATTAGTTCCGTGTTGTTCTTCCATATCTTTAATCCAAGGGGCGATCTTATCAGTTCCTAGTGCACTAAGCAAAAATTCCTTCATTGTATTTGTCCACATCTTGATTGGCAATTCAGTAATTTCCAACAGGGTTTCATCAATCTGTTCGATTCTACCACTGACTTTGAATTTATCTGGTCCATTGGATTCAATGTCACCCTCCCATCCTCTATACCAGGGTTTCATTTCGTTCATTTCTTTCCCTTCCATAAGATTTTGCAAATTCTCAACTATATCTTTAGGGTTGTAACTAGGTATATTCGTAGACCAACCCGTTCCAATACCTTCACCCCCATTGACCAAAAGCATAGGAAGAATAGGCAAATACCATTCTGGTTCAACCGTCTTTTCATCATCCTGAACATATTTGTACAAAGCATTATCCAATGGATTGAAGATCTTTCTAGTTATATCCATGATATCAGTGAAAATATATCTCGGAGCTGCATGATCTTTCCCACCTTGCGCTCTTGTACCAAAGGACCCATTTGGTTTCAATAAATTTATATTATTGGAACCGATAAAATTCTGGGCCAAACCAATGATTGTCAGCATTAAAGATGCTTCACCGTGATGGTACCCAGTATTATCAGAGATATACCCGGCTAAATTCATAACCTTGATATCAGTTTTCAGATTTTTCTTAAACAAACCAAATAACACTTTCCTTTGCCCAGGCTTGAATCCATCTAATACGCTAGGAATTGATCTGACATTATCGGCCATAGAAAATAAAATTAATTCTTTATTAATGAATTCACTGATAGGAATTGTGACTAAATCAGGATCTAAATGGGTACCAGGTACAAAATTCTGTAACCATTCTTTTCTATCGTCTGCTTTCTTCTTGGAGAAAGCTAAATCGATGAGTCCTTTATCTTCTTCTTGAAGTGCATGGAAGGTTTTCAAGTGCTTATCAAGTCCTCTGAAATATTCCCTAAATTCTTTATCGGTAGACGTACCTAAACCCTTATAGTACTTCAAGGACCATCTAACGCTTGTTCCCTCCTCGGTTCTCCATTTTTCAAATTCGGGCATCGAATAGAATGGCCTCACGGTGTCACCACCTCTGCCAGCTGCTTTAATTGTCACTTTAACAATTGGCGTAATAAATTCCAATAAAAATCCTGGGATTTCGATTAAACCAGGAAATGAACTTTCTAAAAAGTTAATGATCAACCCTTTGATATGGGAACCATCTTGATCTTGATCAGTCATAATCATTACATGGCCATATCTCAAATTCTTAACGTTATCGCTATTATAATGCTTCTTATGCTGCAATCCAATGATCTGTTTTAAGGCGTTAATTTCTGCATTTTTACTAACTTGATCCGTCAGAGCTTCTCTGACATTTAATAATTTACCTCTAAGTGGGAAACAGCCATAGTAGTCTCGTCCAACTACTGCCAACCCAGCAACTGCCAAGGCCAACGCAGAATCTCCTTCTGTAAGAATCAATGTACATTTGTATCCATCTCTGGTTCCTGCTTTGTTAGCATCAACCAATTTAACTTGACCTTTAATTCTTTGTTTCTTTGAACCGTCGACTTTTTGGAGCGCTTTATCTTCATTCATCCCGGCTATTTCCATAATTTTATCTCCAATTGAAGTTTTAAGGATTTTGGTAATAAACTGATCAGAAATTACAACCTTTGAGCCAAATTGGGATGGTTTTGTCGTAAGTTGTTCCTTTGTTTGTGATGTGAAGGCAGGATTTTCAATAAGACAATTGATGAATATGAACATATTGTTACGTACTTCATTTGGCTTGATCATGAGCTTCTTTTTACCTTTGGCTCTCTTATTCAAGGACTCAACTAATTTATTGATAACTTGGTCCGATATATATTTAACATGGGTACCACCAGAAGTTGTCGCTATTGAATTCACAAAAGAAATTTGATTGAATGAACCGTCTGAAACTGCAAATGCTAGTTCCCAGCGATCGTTGATAACCTCATGCACAATTGTATGGGGCTTCACAGTGGACTTCGCTGATGATAAGGCAGATAATGCATCGGAGGGAGTGACGGCTCTAGAATCGTCACTAGGTACTTCAGAGGCAGAAATGGAAGGAGGTTCAGGTGTACCCTCAGATCTTCTTTCAATAGCCTTCACGTACATTTCAACATAGCCTCTGAAACTCTTGATTCCAATTCTCTTTTCATTTAAATACACATTACAATCTTTCACCGTACCACACAAATCGTAGACTCTTCTTCTCAAAACACTCAAAGTCTCCTCGTCTAATTGCTCCATACCAAACTTTGATAAATCTGGCTTGAAAGTTACCTTAGTGAATTCTCTTTTATTTTTCATTTTAGTGATTTTGGGCTTCCCCACTGTCGACATGTTATTTTTCCATATTTGCTTATAATTTGATTCATGGTTCAAATCAGCAGTTTCTACGGTGAATTCAGTAGAGAAGATATTACATAATTTGGCCCCAAACCCATTTCTACCACCAGTAACTTTCTTTTCATCGTCATCATAATTCGAACTGGTCAATAAATTTCCAAAAATCAACTCCGGGATGTATATCTTTTCCTTATCGTGTATTTCAATGGGAATCCCTCTACCATCATTCATCACTTCTATGGTATTGTTCGCCGCATCGATGGATACTTTGATATTTTTCATACTTGGATCTCTGATCTTGTTGTCAGCAGCATTCACCAAGATTTCATCAAAGATCTTGTACAAACCTGGGACAATTGTTACTTCCTTGTATACCATGGACTCAGTGGGTTGATCAAAGCACCACATTTCTGAGGAGGACTTCTCCACTGATCCGATATAGGTATCAGGTCTCTTAAGTATATGCTCAAGTTGAGAAAGCTTTTGGTATTGATCTGAAGCATTCAGCTTCTTTCCGCCAACACTCGACGCATTAGAGGATGCAGTCAATGGGGGTGTAACGCTAACGGATGATCTGGAACTACTTACCGATTTCTTTCCTTTCTTTGCAACCGGTTCTTCTGAGTATGAGCCATCTGACATGTACTCAGATTCTGAAGAACTCATTACGACTGGAGATTGGTGTAAGTCAAGTGGAAAATAGAGAAAAAATCCTGGAAATGACAAGGTCCTCCGTAGCCTTTATATGTACAAATATGTGCTGCAAAAATTGTACAAGAGTGCCTCTAAAACTGAGATGGTGTCTGTTTTGATTTACGCGTATTCGTGAAAATACATACAGGATGATAATTTTGGGTTCAGGATATGCCGAGCTATGGCGATGAATGGAACGAAGATACCTAAATGGGGGCCTTTTGGTTTGTAAATCATATGAAGAATTCTGTTCCCAGCATTATGGTATCCTTTTAATCATAAGATAGCTGAAAGTCTTTAAGTTGTAGCAATTAAGTCGCCATATTTATTCGTATTGCCAGTTACCACTTTTTGCAGCCTAAGCTATATGCGCAGATCGCATGCACAGATTACGGGGCTACAGGGCTACGGGGTTACACACTAGGAAACCAAAGTGCTTGGTCACTTTTGACGTACGGTTGAAAGGTTGTCGAATGTATTTATTTAGGTATGTGTTTACGTATTTATGGGCGTATTAATAGGCGTACTTATGGATGTACTTATGGATGTACATTGGCATGTACGACGATGTATGTGTGTCTATATGTAGGTACAGCGCTGTATGTATGTATGTATGTATGTATGTATTTACGGAGGTGCCTGACTTTTCACACTTCAGTTACCTCTCGGTATTTACCTATGCTAATTATGTATTACTACTTTCTTTTCAACCCCCTCTGGATTCTTTCAAACTCCTCATCATCTATGTCGTCGCCGCCCTTTCTCTTCTTGCCCTTCTTCAGAGCACCATATTTCAGCTCCAACTTCTCAATTAATCCTTCGAACCTATCATTTCTCCTACTCTGGATCAAAGACTTCAAGTCCAGTTCACTTCCTCCTACAATACTCTTCTTACTACCTCTTCTGTTACCATGCTCGTTTCTTATCTTCTTTTCCAACTCTGCGGCCTCCTTGGCCTCTTTACTCAATTTTTTCAACATCTGTTTCACTTTAGTCTTCCTACTTTTGACATACTTGTTCCAGGTGCGTTCTCCGACTTTATCCAATTCAATCTCACCCGAATTTAACCCTTCCTCCACAATATGAAACACTCGTTCTTCCTGTTGCTCGTCAAATTCTAAATGTGGTATACACTCAAAAATCTTGAGGAAATCTCCATCATAAAACGTGAAATTTTGTAAAATGTCCATTTTTTCTTCATTTGAACCTTGATATATTAATTTATCTTCTTCAATCATATCTATAGTAATGCCCTCATTGATGGAGTCAAAGAAGTCCTTCCAGGAGAAATCGCTGTCGTCGAGATCTGCCAGTTCGCTCAACGACCCAGTATTGTCATACCTCTGTCTTTTGCTGCTATCACTGAGTATACTGTAGGCGAATTGTAATTTCGGAAATATCTCATTATCTTGGTCCACGTCTTGGTTGGATTGCGCAAGTTTGTCTGGATGATACTTTAAGCATAACTTTTTATAAGATTTTTTTATTTCTATCGGTGTAGCAGTTTTAGAAACCTCTAATACTTCGTAAGGGTCTATATCATTAAACGGAATTCCCATTATGCATAAATATGTGTATTGTTGATTTCCCAGCCGGTGTGGTGATCAGTAATCAATTCAGCTAAATTTTATTAATTTTTTTTTCTTCTATGGAGCTCATCAGCCCAAGTTGCCAAAATATGGGGAGTGCATATAATCCCTCCACTACACCTGTGCATAGTACTATGATGACCTACGGTATGTTCATGAATAGTCAATGAACAGGGAGCATTGTGCAAATTAATGGGTGTAGAGGCATAATTGTTCAGCCAAAGAAATGAGCTGTGTGGGCTGGACGAGGAAAAAGTATGAACAGTATCCTTGGTATTGTGGTTATTGCATCTCTCTATCCTGGGGCTACTCACCATTTGCAGCCGTTCGCTTTGGATAGAGCATAGGTCTAACTACAGAAGCCTTTTAGTGACTTTTCCGATGTGGCAATTTCCCTTATAGTATGATTCAATCGAACATCTTTTGATATAAACTAATAATTCGCTAAATATCTAAAATATTATCTTCTATAGAATGAATAGTATTACTCATGGTCGACCCACTGGAGATCCCTAGCCAATGAAAAAGATCAGGCGAAATTTCATAGGGCCCGATCTTCTTTCACTATTCCATTTCTTTGCCTTATAAATGAGAACTTGTGAGTCGGGCAAATTCTTATTTAAGTTCCTTCAATGATTCTGCAATGGCCTTGGTAACTTGGTCAACATGACCTTCGTACACTGATACACCCATGTGTCCAACTCTGAAGTACTTACCAACAAGCGCCTTGTGGATACCACCAGCTACTGTGAACCCCTTGCTTCCTAACTTAGCCAAGAAATCACCACCGTTGACACCTTCTGGGAAGTAGACAGCGGTCAATCCATGTGCTGCGACTGTGTTGTTGACTGGTAAGATCTTGAAACCTAATTCCTTTAAATCGGCCTTGAACTTGTCTGAAACTTCGGCGTGCTTTTCAAATCTCTTTGTCAAAGTTTGCTCCAAGATATCCTTTAATGAAACACCCAAGGCAGTAATGTTTTGTACAGCAGGGGTAGCAAAATAGGCTGGCTTACCGCTTTCGTAGGCTTGCATAATTGGAGTCCATCTTTTCAATGAAGCAAAGAATGATGAATCCTTGGATCTGGAAAGGGCAATTTGAAGTGCTCTATCGCTCGCATAGAAAACTGATAATCCGGCTGGGGCTCCCAAGGCCTTTTGTGAGGCGGTAAGCGCAAAGTCAACACCCCATTTGTCAAATTCCAAATCTTCCACGGCAATGGAACAAACACCATCGACAATGATCAAAGTATCTGGTGAAACCTTCTTCACGACTTGACTGATAGCCTTAACATCACTGACGACTGAGGTGGAAGTATCAACGTGAGTAATGGTGATGGCCTTATAAGCGGTAGCCTTCAATTGGGCTTCGATCTTATCCAATGGGACAACATCACCAACTTCAGCTGTGATAACGTCCACATCGGCTTCATAAGTTTTGAGACAGTCAGCGAACGAATCTGAAAAGTATCCAGTAGATAACACTAAAACTTTGTCACCAGGTTGAATCAAGTTGGTAGCAGCTACATCCCAACCCAAGGTACCAGATCCAGCTAATACAAATGGTTGGGACTTTGGGTCTGTGGACTTGAATACCTTTCTTAAGTCTTGCAATACAGTTTGAAAGGTCTTGATGAATTCTGGTGATGTGTGTGCTTGAGATGGCGTGGCCATGGCAAAGAGAACTTCATCAGAGAACTCAATTGGTCCTGGAATCATAGTAAGTTTATGGGCTGCTTGCTTGTAAGGGACAGACATATTGGAAAAGATTCGTGTGTTCGACGTTGAAAAGAAGTTGATGGTACGAGGAGTGTATAGTTTTAATTGCTTAAATCTATTGAACATGGACTTCGAGAGAAAAGAAGCACCAATCGGAATTATTTGGAAAAAGACTTGAGGGAAAAAGTACCTATAGCAAGAAACTATGAGATTTTTGGAAAACGTGAAGGTTGGGGAAAAAAGGTGAAAGTGATTCATTTTGGTTGCCCCAGAATATGGAGCAACGGAGATTGCCGAGCTAAGATACAGTAGCCAGGTACAGGGCTAATTAATTAAGTCAACAGAAGTTGGAGGCTTGGGCCAAAGTACATATACTGAAGTTATCAAGAGCTGAAACCCGTACGCTGTGATATGTGAATGGCATAAGTCTTGCCTGGACTGAAAATTTGGCAATAGCTTTGGTAGGGTTCCAGAATTTCTGGTTTCCCTATTGGAAGGTGGGGTAGAATTTACGTAAAGGGTATAAACTTCCTTTGGTTGTATGCAGGTCTGGTGTTGAAATTTTTCATCATATTACTCTTTGTAATTTTTGATTACAGAAGACAAGTCGATGGGAAATCAAATATTAACGAGGGTTACAGTTATCCAGGCTGGTATGTAACCTCCTTGATACATTTTACCTAAAGAAGTGAGCTGCAAAAAAGCAAAAAAAATAAAGAATTGGTAATTATTGTTGGTGAAGGGAATTGCTGGTGTTAATGATACCCGCGAGATTCGAACTCGCGCCTCCGGAGAGACCAGGACCTTACCCTGGCGCCTTAGACCAACTCGGCCAGAGTACCCAATTCCTGATGAGTTGGTCAATTTTAGAATATAATATTGCAGAGAAAATAAGACCTCTCTTGAAGACCAGGAATAAGATCAGTGTAGGAAGAGTGATTGTTGTACAAAGGGCCTTATAGCTGGTTTACCTTACGTAACACTACAAGCATTCATGACTGCAAGTCATTTTATTTGCTTTAAGGATGGTGTCATCAAATGTCTCATTTTTGTCGCTTATTATATATATTTTTCATTTGAATTTTGAAATTTCAAAAGTAATGAGCTATCTTATTAAATGTTCCTTTGACCACACAGCAAATATATATGGGTGCATTTGACCCTTGGTTTTGGTAAGATACACTTAACAGACAAGTGAGTATTAGATTTAGTCTTAGACTTTCTAAAATATCTTCTTCTGAAAAAACGATCAATGAGTTGGGCTGCTATTTAGGTGTAGGGATGTTAAGTTAACCTAACTAATAGCTGCAAATGTTTGCACTGCCAAACTGATATATGGACTATATATAGAATAAACCAACTCATTGAGGTTTCCGTGTTTGCGGAATTTTGTTTGCAAGTTTGTAGCTCTTTCAAGATTTTCTTTGTGCCCATTGATTTCACTTGGGATTCTAACCCATTTTTGTTCTCCCTCAAAGCACAAGATTGGAAATAATCACTTTAATCGTTCGACATAGCTTCATTGTCAAAACTAGGAAGCGGATTCTCAGTTAATATACTAGTACATTATATTATCAGGCTAGATCTAGATCTATCTTTCATTTCCTGAAAGACGAAAGGACATAAATGCTGTCACCAATTGTGGCCGTTTCCAATTCCACAAAAACCATTGAATCTCCCAGTAACGACCAAGATGAAAGTGAGTTGAGAGAATTGCTTGAGGGAATGGAAGCCCTATCGTATCCTGAAAAGTTCTACGAATGTAGGTCGACAGACGTGCAGCAAGGAAGCGGAGTATTACAAGAGAAGTACCTGGAATCAAGCACGATTCTAGAAGAAGCTCCACATACCCAGCCTGAGAAAGCGCCCGAGATAAGAACCGGATCTGTAAAGGAAAGCAGCACCTCTTTCAATAACTTCCCTCAAACATCTTCAGCACCATTACTTGTGGAAAATGTAAATAGTTACACCTTTCCCCCAACATCAGCCAATGCAGAATACAAAATCAGTCAAGAGAGGAATACTCGAAAGTTTTACAGAATTCCATTGCGAACAACAAAAACCACTTCAAGAAGGCAGCTTTATCAAACTTATGCTCTGGTGATGCAGTCAGTTCAGTTTGATTCTTTTCAAGAGAGCACGTCAGACAGTAGGTATGAATTTGATACATGCTCAGTGGTTCTAAAAAGTGCAACCAATAGTAGTAAAGGTAGTACACCAAGCAGAGGGAGTTCTAGAGCAGAAATCGATAAAAGCAAGAAAGATACAGAAGGGGTTGACAAGCACAGTCAGAAGTAGATATACCATCAAGTATAGTATAGGAATGGCTGCAAACAGTATCTGGATGTTACTATGCAGGGTGAACCGATGAGCCTTACAGAAGCCCAAAAAAAGAAAAAGCCAAACAAGATTTCTAATTTATTTCACTCAAAGACCTTAGTCGGACTATATAATATAAAATGACGACGGTGTTGACGTCCAAATTAGATACTATCAACTTTGAAAGTAAGGCGGAAAAAATAAAACATGAGTTAAGTCTGTTGGTGTCTGTAGATATTTCACAGATAACCATTAAGAGGAATGACACAATGAAAGTGAAAATTGATGAAATTTTAAGCAGCCTAGAGAATACTAATTACGCTTTGGTGATAGGGAAAGGAGATAGTATTGCGAAATTGGTTTCTATTGTAGAGATTGTGAAAAAAAAGAAGGATTCTCTTAAACAGTACAATAAGTTATCGCTGATAACAGAAGTATTGAAGACCAAAAGTACTTCGGATCAGAAAGATCAAGAGAGCGCATTGTTAGAAGCTGCGGGCCACACCAAGGTTCAAGAGAAAGCTATATTGAGCGTTTTATTAGCGGGGGAAGAAAAATTGAACAACAGGGATTTGGAAGAGAGCGGGTGGAATGCTCAATAAAGACTTGGAACATCCTGCTCGTTTGCAGTCGATACAAGCCAAAAAAATAGTTGTACGATAGTGAGACATAAATTTATAGAATAGTTGCACTCCCAAAAGCATAGTGCGATGCTGCTTTGGACTCGCTTAACAGGCGTTTGCCCCTACACTATTTAGACAAGCACGAAGATGAAGTTACGAAACAAGAATAAATTGCATGAACAGAACATTGTAGAGACGAGAGATTACAGACATATTGTAGGCTACAAGCGTATGCTCAACAAGATGCTTTGGTTCATTCATATTGAAGTGTCCCTGTGATAGAGACTTCGCACCGGAACTCTACTCAAGATCCGGCCGATCACGTGATGTAGTTCGTTTTTCGTTTTTGCTTACCTCAGCGGCGCGACTTCATCCAGCCAACCAATTATCAGCATCGGATTTCATTACACAAAACAACGCAAGCAAAATCGTAAGACTAACCTTAAGTTCAAAATTGAATATGTAAAAAAATCAGAACGAAACAGAGCACCTACCCTTACTACCTCGTTACCTACCAAGCAATTCAAGATGGCCTTTGACGCTGAAACTTTCAAGTTCGAAACCCCACAATTCGACCCAAGATTCCCTCACCAAAACCAAAGTAAGCACTGTGCTCAAGCATACGTTGACTACCATAAATGTGTTAACGTTAAAGGTGAAGAATTTGAACCATGTAAAATTTTCTTCAAGACTTTCACATCATTATGTCCAGTCGATTGGGTTGAAAAATGGGATGATCAAAGAGATGTTGGTAGATTCCCAATCAAGTTAGATTAGAACCGTCATAAGATACTATACATTAATTGAAAATGAAGTACGATTACACATAAGCTTAAACATAGAAAAGATAGTAAAAAAAAATATAATATAAAGAACTTATTAGATTTAATAAAAATTGACAGGACAATTTTGTAGAAAGGTTCACTTATTTTGTAGTATTAATTTTGATAGAATAGTATGCAGCAACGAACTTGGAAAGAAGGGACTGTCCATGGAGGCGAGAGATGGATCGAATGCCATGTCAGTTGAATGTATATTATCTATAGACACCTACGAAGACGTACTAGGCGATAGTGGTTGATGATGTATCCATATGCAGGAAATAACATATGGCTATAATATATGAAAAGAAAACGGTATATCTCTTCTTCGGAAACAAGTATTCCACTGTTATGCCAATCTTCTACTAGGTACAGTATCTATTAGCTTATATATATTTAGACATAGATGTTAATAATCCGGAGGTGCTCACTCTGTAGTGTATTAGTTTGATACAGTTTATTGCACCATTCGCACATACTAAAAATTAACTTTTGAAGTTGCAACATTTTTTGAAATGGCCCATCAAGCTAGAGGCTATCTCTTACATGAAGTCATCTTCTAACCAGTTTTCACTTTTGTAAGCAGGGTCGTTCATCCTGACATTTTCTTCAGTGAATAAATCACCGTAGGGGTCTTTATTTCTTTGCTTTTGCTCTAAGTACTGCTTGGCCAAGATTCTCTCCTCATTTTCCAGTTCTCTTTCCTTTCTTCTCTTCTCACGCTCATACTCTGCAATCAAGTCGTTCTGCTCCTTGATGAATTGGTCAGTGGAGATTTCAGTTTTGGTTTTGGTTATCTTATTTACAATAGAGTTGTCTTTTTTATTAATAAACACCTTCTTCACTTTCTTTGGATTTTTGAAAGTTACCGTTCCATCATCCATCGATCCATCTGTGTACAAGTTATCCACCGGAGTGTATATGATAGTAATATTATTGACTTTATTGGCCTTTATCGAGTTTGCCTTAGTGAACTGAGCCAACAGCTGTAAAAGCAGATCGGAAATCTGCAACAGTTCGAAATTTTGCAACTGTTCCTCTTCGGTAGTTTTCAAGTACACATGAGCTGAGGAGTAGTTATCTACATGGAACCACAAGTTTTTAGGATGCGAATGCTTGATTAAGGGGACATTTTCAAATTTGTCTTTACCCATATAAATTATTCTTGATATTGAGTCAGAAAGACCGAAATCATCGTCTGCAGGTGTTTCAACTGAGGTGTAATAAAAGACCATTTTTCTTCTTCGTATTGAATTTCTCTCTCTATAATACTATCGTATTTCTTTCTTTCTTTTTTTTTTTTTTTTATCTATTTACTATTGGATCTTTGGGGTCGCTCTATAATAGATTCGTGTATACACCGGGTTTACGACTTGATACAACTACAACAAGGGAAGTGCGTTTTGAATGTATATGTCGGAGGCTTCGTAGACGATACCTGCATTCAGGATGTATGATTTGACGATATAGCGTTTAGTTAGCGATGCGTGAAAATTTCCACACCCTACACACCAAGAAAGCTGGGTTCTTAACTCGCGAAACTGCATACAAACCGCGAGCAAACTTGTGGGAAACGGAGGACCCAGAAACAAAAAATAAAAAGAAAAGATTTGACCTGCTATTTTCTGCTACATACCACCCGGAGAGGGCTGGTAGTATCAAGTTGAAGAATGGGTGAAAGCTTAATAAAAATCAAAAATAGAACTGATCCAACGTACTCAAGTCCTACCTTACCAAACCAAACCAATTGAAAACTCCTTTATTTTTCCCTCTTTGATCTTATGCCCATCTTGTATGCGCTACACCTCCCCAACTCTCTAAGGGTTTCCAGTTTTTTTTTTTGGCCCTTTTCCCTCGTATTGCCTACACTTTTTCCTTCTTTTCTTGCTTAGTTTCAGCCCTGTCAAAAATGTGACATCACAGTACTTTGCAACTCACCTAAATTTTCACAAATATTATTGTATTCGCGCTTGGCCCCTGTTTGCGCCTCTTGCAGGACTGCACCCACCTGAATGATTTTGTGTCGCGCAAGGCTACTTCGTATATATATAACCAGAATAGGCAACATACCTTAAACAGAAAATTTTTCTACGGTGTAGTTAAGATAGCTAATAATATTTCTACTTGTAGCCTGATTATAGTTGTGTCAGCCTAGTGTGTTGTACTTGCCCTTCCCCGTCCTTGATACACCCTTGTATCGTCCATTCCTTAAAATAAAAATTATATATTACTTACCTCAGTCATTCTTTCGGGAAGCATAAAGTTAACAACACCGCACTCACTTTTACAGAGACACACAGACACACAAGTCACACATACTATACATACGTCAGCCAGGTATCTTACCAAAACATATTAGTATCATATATTACCCTCATTATTGTTTCACAGAAAATATTAGTATTGATTTTCCGCTTTTATCATGGTGAATTGGGAATCGTTACTCGAGTTTGAAGAGGCGATTGCTTCATCAAACACCTCGTCATTCTCGTCTTCGTCTCTTCTCCTCCAGTCAATAGAGGGGAAGTTGATCGATAGGCTCAACTGTCCTACTCCATCGTCATGCCAATACACCGAAGAAGACCTTATCAAATCGATGTCCCTGTACGATTTTGCCTTGGATGAGTTTACATCTTGTTCCAAGTGTGGTTGTCAGCTAAACAACACAGGTAACTACAAGAGCTGCTGCAAGAACTACGTAGAACTGAAGAATTACATATCTTCGTCCATGGAACGCTCGTATTGGGTCTCGTTGATTAATAACCCAACGGGGACTATCAACACGTTGCCCAATTATACCAACATGCTTATCTTACAACAGGGGATCCCGCTGCAGTTAAGGTCAGTCATCTGGAACCGGTTACTCTTAGTTGGAGAAACGATCCCAGAGACTTCGTCACTTATATATGAAAACTTCCAGCATTCTTATAACCAAGAAATTCTGGAGCAGATTTCCAAAGATTTGCATAGAACTTTCCCCAACGTCCAATTCTTCACATTGCCTAAAACAGTTGAAAACTTGTCGACTATATTAAACGTTTATGCAAATTACGATGCAGAATTGGGTTACTGTCAGGGTCTTTTGTTCCTTGTTGGTGTCTTGTACTACCACTTCCAAGACGAATCTCCAGCGTTAACATTCCACTCTCTAGTTGTTATTATGCAATCAGAGCCTGAATTACACGACATCTTCACTGCATCATCAATGTCATCCACTTTGAATGAATGGCTTCATGAATTCTTGGACATTTTGAAAATAGTTGATCCTGCATTGTTAAACCACTTACAAAATGAAATTGGAATCGAATTCCAAGTATTTTTGTTCCAATGGTGGTTGTCGTTTGTATCCAGTCATATTCCTGATTTTTCGATTATAAATCGAATTATGGATGTATGCTTGACCCAAGGGTGGAAGGTTGGGCTTTTCAAGGTTTCCTTAGGGCTTTTGGTGGTCAACAAGCCAATTTTGATGAGTTTGAGTGAAGGTGACGAAGAAGTCATATATCAACACCTTTTAAATGAGTCCAGATGGGGTGTTGCTGTTAACGATTTGGACTTATTCTTCGGGAAGACTCTCATGAGTTGGGATGATGAAAAGTTATTCATGAATGCCAGCGAAGAGGAATTGTTCAAAATCCCCAAGCCAGCATCTGTCGCATCTTCTCACAAGAGATCTGCATCGACTGTTATGGATAAGTTCAAGCAACTTTCAGTTGGGTTGGGCTTACCCAGATCAGATTCCGATGAATTATCTCCACAAACTGCATCTTCGTCCTCGTCTTCGTTGAGTGTATTCTCCAACAGAGGGTCCACTGTCAATCCTATCCATAACAACGGTAGTAACAACAATATTACAGACTACGAATCTGTATACTCTGACATAACATCAACCCATAGTGGCGATGAAAATGGGTGTAGCAGTAGTAGTATTAAGGGATTTGGAAACACATTCTCCAGTTACATCAAACCGTTCCATCTGCGCTCTCCATCAAAAGTTGATACTATTAGCGAGTCTTCTCTTGTAAGTGAAAACAAGCATATGAAAGTATTGTTGAAGCAGGCAATGGAAATGATTGAACATGGAGAAAAAAACGAGCGAGTCTTGGATGATATCAAGTTGGTTTTAGGGTTATAGGTTATAATAAAGGCAATCAATATAGTAGATCGTAGAGTAGATGAGTGATGGTGTTCGTATAGAGAAGCGAGGTAGTTGTTACCCATAAAGAAGAAATGAGATGAAAGGAAAGAAAAATGAAAACGAACCCGTTAACTCACTCGACTGAGCGAATAACTTCAATTTCGGTTCCTCTTACTACACTACACTGACCAGATCACCACCCACCAGTATTCACACTACTTGTGCAGCACTTTTGAGTGCAACCTTGAGCAACTAGCTCACAGCTACCCCAGAGTCCGGGTAACACTTTCCGACACTTCTTCTTCCACTTTCTTTGCTCACCTTCATTTTTTTTTCGTGCACCGCACACCTCCCAGCATTGGTGTCTCTCACTTCAGTTGAGTAATTTTTTTACAGTATGGATCAACGGTGTACAAGGTAACATCCATTAGACCACAATTAGGATTATAGACACGAAAACGTATTCCAGACTACTGATTAGATCTGAATACTCATATATACACAAAAAGGGAATCCCCAAGACTGTTAATTGAACCAATTGATTAACCCCCCTTCTTCTGCATATAGCATAAAACGTACCGACTAGTTTTATACTTCATTTTGCACCGTGTCTTCACAAGCAAATAGCCCCAAGGGCCAACCAAATATTGCCAGTAATCCCCCAAGTAGAATCTCCGACGACAAGTTTTATAGACAAAACCTTGAGTTCACCAGCGTTCTTACAACACAGCTCTCTATCTTAACAAGTACCATCAAGCCAGACAACTGGGAATCTAACTACAAGCAGATTCGCTACATTCTTGCCACTACTCCGAACAAGTTAAGATTTGATTATTTATTCAAATTAATAAAGACTTACCTTAGTTCTGAACAGAAACAACAGACATCAGAGGTCAAAAATAATCAACAAGACCGAGAACAAGCACAAGAAGACTACATTGTTCGCATATTACAGGACGAACTAGTATATTTTAGCAAGGACTTTACCGGATTTCAAAGCTTCTTAAACGCCGAAGACGCTGTTGAGTTATTTCAAAACAAGAGCTTGTTACCAGTTCTAGAATTTGTTAAACGACTCGATATCGATTTAATCTTAGCCTTTACCCTCTTATTAAAGGTCGACCCAGATTCGGAATCTACCAAAGAATATCTCAGAGCCAAATCCCATTTATTACCCTCGTTGATCAAAGAAAGAGTCCCTAAAGACACATATAACGACTGGAATCCATTTTTAAGTCAAATCTTATCGTCAAACGCTGTCACCTTCATAAACAAGCTTCTTATTTTAGACTCATTAAATTCATTTGATTCTTCCAAATCTGAATCTGTCCACAACTTCTATAACACTATATTAAGCATGAGTTTCAAAGATTTAATCTTGGAAATTGGTCCAGAAAACTTATTGCCAGAGAAATTGTTACCAAATTTGCTCACCATCAAGCAAAAGGAGATTGATTCCAGTTTAGCATTAATTTTAGCTGAAGTATTGATCCCCGGTTCTCAAGGTTTAGGTGGTATCACTGCCTTAACATTTGTAAACAACTTACCAGAAGCATCCGCCAAGGGCGCCCAATTAGGTGCAGCTTTGAAAACGGTGGAGAATCAAATCAAATCCATTAATTGGTATCAGGTTTTTGCTCATGTCCATGAAAATTTGTTCGAATCTTCGAAGAGAGGTGTCCAGCCTTCAATTGCAAGTATAACTCAGTTTTTCACTTCTTTGGATTTTATCAAGTTTGGTATCATTGATATCTTCTTGAGCTACGAATGGTGGTTCAACAAGACTTTATTGTACATTCTTCATAGCTTGGACCCACAACAAGGTGGATACGACATCAGTAAAAGTAAGAATATATCCAAGGTTTTTGAAGATGATCTTGATGAAGATGTTTCCGGCTCTGGATTTTCTGCCGTTGGAGGTGTAGATAGCAAAAGGAATATCCTTAAGTTTTTAAATGTCGGTAAACTTGAACTCCAAGTTCTTACGAACATTTCTAAGCAGGGTCAATTGCAATTGTCTGAACAGGAAAGAAAGTTAAACATTTATCTCAGCCAAGTCTTTGAACATGACTATAGAGTGTACCCTGAATATCTTTTAGTTGCTGCCGTGTCGATGGTAGAAAAGATTCCATTTATTTTGGATTTGATTGACACTCTATTCACTTTATTACTAGATAGTGGAAATTTTTTGGTATTAAAGAAATTGATCAAGAAGTTTAAGGAATTAGACCTGGTTACACTTGTCAATAAATTAATTGACTACTATACTAAAAGACCAACCAACGAATCCATCAGTAAGATTATCAAATTAGCAGGCGATGGAGAAGAGAATGGTGGTACTAATTCAATTGTTAAGGAAATCATCGAAAAAATGTGGTCTCTAAATTTCAAACTTGGCCTCACTTTTACAATTGAATTAACTTCTTTTGATACAACCTTTGAATTTAAGAAGCAGTTGGACAAAAAGTTTGCAGAAGACAAACAAAATTTTTGTCAATCTCTTCTTGAAATATTAGAAGCCAAATCTACGCAGGATTATGAAAGAGCTCAACAACAATTGATGAATGACGATTTTAATAAAGTTTTAAGAATTCCAGTTGTTTATTACCTTTTGGATAAATTAAAGGCAAATGGGGGAATTATTGATGCAGATAGATTTAAAAACTTGCAATTGCTGCTTTTAACTACTTACCCAAGACTCATTAATTTTGGAAGTGGTCACGACGAAGCTATTCTTTCTGCTGCAATTGGAGGAGAGAATTTCTTCAGTAGTGATGTTGAACAAGAAATGAAAAGTTACTATTCCAAAATGTACAACAAGGAAATGGAGATTAAAGATATTGTTGACATGTTGACTAGAATGAAGATAAGTAACGTTCCACATGATCAAGATGTATTTGCATGTATGATTCACCTGCTTTTAGATGAATACAGATTTTTTGCAGAATATCCATTGACTGCCTTGGCTCTGACTAGTTTATTATTTGGTGCACTTTTACAAAAGGATTTGATTCAAGGAACTACGTTAACGGTTGCTTTGAATTTCATTTGGGAATCTTGTAACCAACCTCAAGATAGTCACTTATTCAAGTTTGCTGTTCAAAGTTTATACAACTTCAAAAGTAGATTGCATGAATATCCAATCTATTGTAAACATTTATTAGAATGCCAAAGTTTAAGCGGCCATGCTAAGATGTACCAGATTGTTAAGGATGCAGCAAATGGAATAGCCTGTCCCGACACTGCTCCATCGGCTGCAAGTGGCTCCAGTACGGCAGGACAAGCTTCTAACTCAGCAGCAACTTCAGGAAATGCAGAAGTTGAAGGAGGCGAAATTTATCATTCTATCACCATCTTGGAAAAACCAATAGTGGGCCCAAATCAAGAAAAACCTGTTGATTCAGTATCAGATAAACTTCTCTTTTATGTCAATAATATGACTGAAGATAATCTTCATTCGAAAATCCCTGAAATTAAATCACTCCTTTCAGAAAATTACTATCTTTGGTTTTCAAATTACATCGTTAGCGATAGAGCTAAACTGGAACCAAACAATCATGGTCTTTATGCTGATCTTGTCGATGGATTGGAAGACCCAAATTTCAACGAATATATTCTCAATGTTTCCTTAAAGGAAGTTGATCATTTAATCCGTTACTTCAAAGACTCTACTAGTGAGCGTAATCTGTTGAAGAATTTGGGTTCTTGGTTAGGTAAAATTACTTTAGCCAAAGATAGGCCATTGAGAAGAAATCAAATTGCTTTGAAATTTCTTCTTGTGGAATCTTTTGATCGCAAGACGTTAAATTACATTATTCCATTTGTTTGCAAAATTTTAGATCAAGCTCAATACTCTAAAATTTTCAAACCACCCAATCCTTGGGTATTGGGAGTTATGAAGGTGCTTTCTGAATTATATGAGTGTGCCGATTTGAAATTGAATTTGAAGTTTGAAATCGAAGTTTTATGTAATACTTTCCACTTGAAAATAAAGGATATTGAACCTTCTACGTTAATCAGACTGCACAATCCTAAACCTGAAGCTTTGGCTGCAATGTTTGGTGTTCATACTGAGGTCGTTGGCTTGACCAATGATATGAGTAGACTTGCTGTCGAACAGCAACAGCAACAAATTCAACAGCAACACTTGCAACAACTTCCACATCACCTCCAACAACAACATCAACAACAGCAATTACTTCACCAGCAAAGATTGCAATTACAACAACTTCAATTACAGCAACAGCAACAACAGGCTATACTCCAGCAACAACAACAGCAACAACAGCAGCAACTCAACCAAAAGTCACAGCAACAACCCCAAGATTCTCCTCTTGATACTTCGTTCTCGACTTTAATTGGTAATACTATTTTCACGCAAAATCCTAACCTTAGGAGAGCATTCCAAGCTTCATTGTCCAGAGCAGTTCGTGAATGTGCTGTGCCAATCTTAAGCAGAGTTTCAGAAGCAGTTCTTACTACCACGGAAGCTATGATTAGAAAAGATTTTGCCTGTGAAGCTGATACATTGAAGTTTCGTAAATCTTACCAAAGCTTAGCTCAACAATTGACCCATAGTATGGTAATCTGTAGTGGTAGAAAAATCTTGAGTGAAACTATTGAAGCAACAATGTTGCAACTCCTTGGATCCCAAACAAATCCAAATGAGTTACCTCTAGCCGAATTAGAATTAGCAATCCAGGAAAATGTTGATTTGTGCGTTGACATTGTCGACAAGATAGCAACAGGAAATGTCAGCGAATTAATCGATGAAAGAATGAGAAAATATATTACAATTAGAGAACAATATATTAAAGTTAAAGGAAGTGGCGAAGGATATGTTGAGGAAGGTGTTAGTGAGTACAGTTTAAAATTGCCACCTCCATTAGGATTAAGTGCTGGTGGTTTAAACGCGCACCAATTAGCAACTTATGAAGCATTTGGAAACAATGGGTCTAGACAGAACCAACCTCAAGTACAACTTCAACAACCACAACAAATTCAACAGCAAATTGCCAACCAGCAAGTGCCAGGTCCAATTGCTGGAGTACCTCATCGCCAAGTCACACCTTTGATTTCAGGTGGAGCTGTTCCTGAACCTCATTCGGGTGAGGAACTTTCAATTGATCAACTTTTCACAATCATTACTCAATACTGTGATAAGTCAATTCTGCTCTTATCAACTATAAAGCAAACTAAGTTGTCAGAGTTAGCACCAGATCATCCAATCATGATTGCCCTTCAGCAAACTTTGGCATTTGCTCAAGCAAATGCCTTGAAGAACCCCGAGTTACTTTTACGTACCGCTCAATACGCAGTAAATTGTCTTTTCACACAAGGGCATGAAAATCCGATTTCTAATGAAATTTACGTTGTGATATTGGATAAATTATGTGAGTATTCTCCTTCGACTGCAAAGGATGTGACATGGTGGCTAGTCTACTCATCTGATCAGAGAAAGTTCAACATGAGTGTAATTTACTCACTTTTGAAAGTTCAATTAGTTTCTCCTAGTAGATTAGATTCATCAATCGGTAAGTTAATCAAAGAGTCAGGAAACCCTGTTGTTATTAAGTTTTCAGTTAATCTTATTTCAAATGTTTTCGACTCTGAATCATATAGACCAATTGCTCTTAGATCAGAATTTGGTTTCACCTTGAACAGCTTGAGCCAATATGTTCCCTCCAATGCTGAAGATCCAGAACAAAAGGAGGCAAAAGAGGCAGTTGATCAACTTTTTGAAAAGTTACAAGGTTCTAACTATCCAATTACCGCATCTCAAGATAAAACCATAACCTTGTATGAGCAAATGGGTTATATTTATGTTGAATGGGTTAAGTTACTTACTCATGGTGACGATAGTGAAGATTTACAAAACCAATTTGTCGAAAGTTTGAATCAGAACGATATTTTAACGAATCCAGAATATTTTGAAGTTTTCTTTAAGGCTGCCACAGAAATCTCGGTTACGTCTTTTGCAACAGAACACGAGATTAGAACAAGAACACAAAGAGAAACTTATCTTTCTGTAGATACTTTGGCATTCTTAGTTGTTAAAATATTATTGTCATTTGATAATGCTCATGCTGCAGAAGCCATCGAATATTTGAAGAGTATTATGGGTATAATGATGTTGGTTCTTACAAATGATCACGAGGGCACCAAAGGCGATGGTGCCAATGCAGCTAGTGGTTGGAATGAAAGAGCATACTTTAGAATCTTTTCGTCCCTTTTATGTGCATATTCAGACTCATCAATCAATGATTCTGATAAAACTAAACACCTTGATGCATTATTCTATCCATTTATTGGTGAAGTATTCAATTCTCTTCAACCAATTGTTTTCCCTGGTTTCACCTTTGCATGGATTTCATTAATTTCCCATAGAATGTTTTTACCAAAACTTTTAGAAGAAAAATCAGCTGAAGGTTATGCTGTGGTTACCAAGCTTCTCACTGATATTTTAAAGTTTGAAAGCATTTATGGCCAGGATAATGAGTTTATTCAACACGATGTTGTCAATGTAATTTTCAAGGCCATTACCAGGATCTTTGTTGGAATTGCCCATGATTACCCTGAATATCTTGTTGATTGTCATTATCAATTGGTCACAGCAGTCCCACCAGGATATATTCAACTTAAGAATATTATCCTTTCTGCTACTCCATCAAATATTCAATTGGTTGACCCTTTCACTCAGGGATTGAAAGTCGAAAGATTGCCAGAGATCAACGATTCTCCAGCGATTGCATATAAACCAATTGATGATTTAATCAAAATTGGTTTGAAGAAGCCAGTGGAGAATTTCTTAAGAATACCAGCTCCAAGTCTCATGAAAAATATTTACAGTGGACTTAAGTTGAACCATCCAAAGGATGTTTCAGATTTAGGAATCTCCAAGGTGCACTACAATGTGAAATTGATCAACGCGTTGGTTTTGCATATTGGAATTAGTGCAGTTTCCGATAGATCAGTAAGGGGCAGATTCAATGCTAAATCGTCACAAGTAGCACTCTTGGTTGATTTGATGAACTACGGAAGTCAAGAATTTAAGTACCATCTTATCAATGCAATTGCCAATCAATTGCGCTATCCAAACAGCCATACTCATTGGTTCATCGGAATAGTATTGCATTTCTTTTCATCCACAAACATTTGGTCCACAAGCGGTAATAACAAGCAAGTTGTCCAAGAGATCATTACAAGGGTATTATTAGAGAGACATATGGTTAACAAGCCACATCCATGGGGCTTAACTATTGTTTTCACAGAGTTGGTTAAGAATGCAGAGTATGGTTTCTTTGAATTACCATTTATCAAGAATGCTGCACCAGAACTCAAAATTGTATTTGAAGCATTGTCGAGAAATGTGAGAGGATCCACAACGGAAGCATAAGACGAAAGAGAAAAAAGACCATGAAGTCTTCTCTTTTTTAAAAAAAAAGTATTCACATGTATATTAGATAATAGATTATCATATAATTAGAATCGAATGTAAACTTAAAGATACTCTATTTTTTTTTTTCAATGCTGAAGGGCTATAGTGTCTAAGAAAACACATGACCTTATACGCTTCGAGCGCACCAAAATCTCAATTTTTGTTTACCATTTTGCCCTGATCTGAGACTTTTTCCCAGAGCACAGCAAAGCAGGAGAAGGAAAACTTGCAAGAAAAAATAAACTGGTAAGAAAAAAGATTGAGTCACTTTTCTTTTCTCTCCTCAAAGCGTTTGGCATTATAGAGTAATTGTAGTACGAATAAGATGTCTAGAGTTAAAAGAATTGCAAAGGAATTGGAAGAATGTCGTCAAGACACACAAAGTGGGGTTTCTCTCGAGCTCAACAATGAAAATGATCTTACTCACTTGACTGGGTACTTCAAGGGCCCACCAGGTACCCCATACGAGGGAGGGTTATTTCAAGTGGACATAAACATCCCAAATGAATATCCATTCAAGCCACCTCAAATGAAGTTCTTGACTAAGATTTATCACCCAAATATTTCATCCGTTACTGGTGCAATCTGTTTGGATATCTTGAAAGATGCTTGGACCCCAATTTTAACTTTGAAGAATTCTTTAATTTCTTTACAATCTCTTTTACAATCACCAGAACCAAACGACCCTCAAGACGCTGAAGTAGCGAAACAATATTTATCCAATAAGGAAGGATTTGTGAGTACAGCCACTTACTGGACCAAGATTTACGCTTACACTGATTCTTCCAGTGCTGCTCCAGGGTCAGCGGGTGGTGCAGTTCCTGGGGCTGATGCAGCCGTGTTTGGAATTGATAATGAAGCTGTCAATCAATTTGAAAATATGGGATTTCCTAGAGACAAAACTATTCAAGTTTTGAACAGAATGGGTGTTAAAACTTTAAATGTATCAAATAGAAGTGAATTGGAGAACAGAGTTTTAGAGGAATTGTTACAAGAATGTCAGTAGTGTGGTGTATAAATTAATGTATGAAAGAAATGAAAATGAGCAAGCTTCTGTGTAGAGAGAGAGAGAGAGATAGAAGTTAACAATCGGAAATATACCGGTATATGTGTGTCGGTTCTGTTATTTTGGTGTTGCAGTACAATGGTACTTTCCCATACATAGTTTGTCTTCCTTTTAATTTAATATGATGAATAACTGCTTCAGATATGTTTCCCCCACCTAAAGGGTTCTTGGGTGACATAATCGGAGAACTGTATGTAGATAACCTCTCCAATGATCTTACCCCTTTGTGCAGTACGAAAAATGGTTGCAGAAGGCACATTATGATTGCCGATCTGTGGTAGAATACTTACTTTATGACACACTCTTTCATTGTTTTTGGGAGGTACTTATATATAAATAGTCCACTAGGCTCTTTATTGGAGTAGACCTGACTCTTGCCGACCATAAGTCGGTTTCGGGTCCAGTCTTATCTATGGACTTTCTTGCACCTTGCTGTCGTTCTACAGAACCGTAGTCGGCAGTGTCTCGACCAATTTTTTCGGTCGACATAAGAATTTTTTTTCCACTGTGGAACCGCAAATTTGAAAATTATTTCGACTGTATGCACTCCCGCACACTAACGATGGTATCAACATTTTTATTGCATTCAACTCTGTGGTAGATCGGAGGACTCTTCAACGAAATACTCCCCACAACGCTTGATACTTCGAAAAAGTATTCAAAGACAAGAGAAGGTTATAGAAGTAACTCTTTTCATTGTTATTTTTTTTTTTTTTTTTGTTTATTTGTTGATTTGCCGCTTTTATTTCTCCATTATCTGAAGGGAAATGACAACCTCTCCTGCACCTCAACAGGCACTGGCACCATTGCTGAACGAAAGAGCTGCTTCTATCGGTTGGTACTTTATCGAATCGTATTATAATTTCTACAATTCTAACATCGAATCAATTCATAAATTATACCACCCTAAGGCTTCACTTTCCCATGCCGGCTTCCCATCCACAGGAACTCTGGACGGGGATAAGATCCATCAGGCTTCGGGTATCGATGCTGTCAAGGCAAGATTCAGTAATGACCCACAATTGAAGAAAAATGATAGCAGAATTGTCGTTTCAAATGCAGACATCCAAGTATCACTTGGTGATAAGATTTTGATCGTCGTGACCGGTGAATGGTCCAAGGGCGGCCTGCCATACTGGTCATTTTCTCAGACATTCCTTTTGAGTCCAGGCAGAAAGGAGAATAGTTTAGACTTGACTAACGATATCTTAAGATTTCCAGGATTCCAAGATTTCAGTAGAAAGGAAGGTAAAGAAGAAATAGAAGAGGCCAAGGAAGTTGTTGCTGAGCCAAAGACTGAAGCCAAAGAAACTAAGGTTGAAACTAAGGTTGCCTCAGAGCCAAAAGCTGAAGCAGTTAAGGCAGCTGCACCAAAAGGAGTTGCTGAGCCAAAATCAGCGGAACCAAAGAATGAACAGGAAGAAAAGAGCGCTGAACCTGAGCAAAAGCCTAAGAAGGCTGAAGCTACCGTTGCAGCTACGTCCAACAAGGTAGCCGCCGCTGCTGCAGTTGCTGCCACCAAACCAGAAGTAAAGGACACTGCTAAGCCTGAAGAAGCAGAAGATTTAAGTTCCGGTTCTGCACCAAAACTTTCTTGGGCAGCAAACTTGGCAGCTACCACAGTTAAGCCCACCACCAAGACATCTTCGAAGTCACCAGTTGAAGCTTCAGCCACTCTTGCTGAAGGTTCATCTAATGCTACGTCCACTGTAGCATCACCTCCAAGCTCTCCTCTTGCGACTGCTGTCACTGTTGCAAGCACGGCCACCAAGACAGCTTCTGTACCGGCAGCGACCACGGGTGCCAATGGTCCCAAATACAAGAAGGATGAATGGTTCCCTATTTATATCCGTGGAATCAGAGACCCAATTTCTGAAGATTCGCTCAGAAAGCATCTTAGTGCCAAGTTTGGACCAATCAAGTTTCTCAAGGTCAATGTATTCATTGCCTTGTGTGATTTCGTCGACTTTGAATCTCAACAGAAGGCACTCGATGCCAAGGAGACTACTATAAGCGGAATCACGATTCAACTTGAAGTCAGAGAATCCAAGGGTGGATCTTCTAACAATAGCAGCAGCAACAACAGCAATGGAGGCTACACCAAGGTTGGTGGATCAAAGAACTCTAGTACCAAGGAAAACAAGAAACCTAATGGCGATAAGAGAATCAGAGATAAGAAACAGGGAAAGAAGGTCATACCAGCTAAATGAAATGAACAATAGGATACAGCAGTTAGGATGAAGATGAGATGAAGATGAGATGAAGATGAGATGAAAAATGAGATGAAAAATGAGGTGAAGATGAAGATGAAGAGAAGAAATTATAAAGAAAGGAAGTAGATGAAAAGAGGAAAAGTAAAAGCAGGTGAAGATTTAGAAGAAAAGAGGAAGAGAGGGAGATGAAAAGAAGAGGAAGATGAAAAAGAAGAGATGATGGATTAGAATAAGATGTACTGAAAAGAACTAATGATAGCTAGAAGAAGAAAGAGACAGAAGAGCGAACGAAAATAGTGAACAAGAAAAGGAAAATAGTGCAAACTTTTGTAATTAAATAGAGCAGATGAAGTTTGGCTAGTTTCTAGGTTAATAGATAATGGTTTATAGTCTTTTAGGTGTAGCTGTTCGTCCGCTGGTACTCTCCCATACTCTTAACCTGGTGCCTATGTGCAGCATGCACTTCATGGAACAGCGCGATCTTTTTATTTTTTTTTTTTTTTTTTTTTTTTTCTTTTATTTAGTTTTCGTTTTATCGAAATGGTTACACAGCCTAAGAGCATCATTTATTCTGCTACAAGTAGATAAAAGTCGGTACATCGTTTGTATCTTTTGTCCATACACATAATTGAGCATGAACTTCCTACGTAGAAGAGGTTCTGGGTCAGATTCCGATGCAGAAGACGAGGATAACCAGGACCAGTTTGCCTCGTCCACCACAAACAGAAAGAAACATGCCAAGTCTAGGAAGCCTCCAAACACAGCATTCAGGCAACAGAGATTGAAGGCATGGCAGCCAATCTTGACACCCAAGAGTGTCATTCCATTTCTCTTTGTTTTGGCGGTGATATTTGCTCCCTTAGGGATAGCTATATTGCACACGGTGTACAATGTGCAGTTGGTTCAGGTGGACTACTCGCACTGTTCAAGTGCCACCACGTCTTTGACTTCGATCCCGAGCAAATACACGAAGTATCACTTCCACGGAAGTAGCAAGAACCCTGAATTTAAGTGGTCGGTATCTAACGGAACAGACTCGTTTGGCGATGTACAGCAAACGTGTACCATCGAGTTCACAATCCCTAAGGATATCAAGGGTCCAATATACTTGTACTACAAGTTGACCAATTTTTTCCAAAACCATAGAAAATACGTACAGTCTTTTGATGCATACCAAATCAAGGGTGACGCGGTGTCTGCGGGCTCATTGTCGCTGGACTGTAAACCTTTAAGAGAAAACTCCGACGGGAAAGCGTACTACCCTTGTGGATTGATTGCCAACTCTTTCTTCAATGATACGTTCCTGTCGCCCAAACTCCTCAATGCACAGTCCAGTGAAGATTATGAACTCTTCAACATGACATCAACGGGAATCAGCTGGAAATCTGACCGCACAAATAAATTCCGTAAGACCAAGTATGACGCTGACGAAATCGTACCACCGCCAAATTGGTACAAGATGTATCCTGATGGGTATAACAGCTCCAACATTCCAGATTTATCAGAGTGGGAGCATTTACAGAATTGGATGAGAACAGCTGGGCTACCATCGTTTTATAAGTTGTACCTGAAGAATTTGGACGATACATTGCAGTCCGGTACTTATGAGATTGAGGTGGTTATGAACTACCCTACCTCTATCTTTGGAGGTACCAAACTGATTTTATTGACTACAAATTCTATATTTGGAGGCAGAAACTTGAGCTTGGGGGTGATATACTTAATAGTTGCAATTGTGTGCTTGGTGTTGGGTGTTGCTTTCTTATTGCAACACTTGATCAAGCCCAGAAGAATAGGCGATCATAATTATTTACAGAACGGACCAATAAGGGATGCATTATAGTGAAGCACATAGGAAATATGAAAAGCAAAATACTGAAATACGTACAGATATACATACAGACATAACCACATACCGTAGATCTGCGCCGCCCACCCTCTCTGCTAGCCTGTAGCCCAGCAACACTCTCATGGTTGCAATTCTGCTCAACCAAGAATGAGTACTGCATATAGTTGACGACTTTGTATTTTTTTGTTCTCTTTTTTTTTTTTTTTTTTGCTTTTTGTTCATTCACCTCCTCGAATTTGACTACGTTCTGTCGTATTAAGCCAAACTTAGCCGAAGAAGAGAGTACAAGAGATAGCGGCGAATTGCGAGAGCATCGAGATGAACGTCAATCCCCATTTACAGTACCTACAGCAACAGCAAGCGGGACAAAATTCAAATCAATCCCCACAGTTATCGCACCTTCAGCTCCAACAACAGCAGCAGGCACAGGCTGCACAGACTTTGCAAAGACAACAGCTTCTCAACCACCTCCAACAGACACAGCAGCAGCAGCAGCAGCAACATCAGCAACAGCCTCAAGGAATTAGCCAGGGTCTCAACCAAGGACTTAACCAACAAATCGGAAATGCTTCAGGTCCTTTGCTGAGCACTACTACCAGTAACCCGCTTTTGGCTGCTTTAAACGGCTCGACCTTCCAACCACAACAACAGACTCAGCAGCAGACTCAGCAGCAGAACCAGCCGCAAGTACAGGGGCCTCAGCCTCAGCTTCAGCAGCTTCAACAACTCCAGCACCAGCAACAACTCCAACAACAGCTCCAGCAACAACAGCAGCAGCAACTGCAATTCCAACCAGCGGCCCCAGCTCAATCATACCTCCCTCAAGTACCTATCATAAAAGAAGTATGGATCCATAACTTGGAACATGAGTTTCAGTCCCTACGTACATTTATTTCAGACAAGTCTTCTTCGATCTTCATCACGATCCACCAAGAAATTCCGGGAATCGTTGCTAGACCAGTTGGGACATTCAAGTCTTCATCAGATTACCACTTTCAAACTTTAAGATCCAACCTGGACTTACTTAACATGATCCAATTGTCACTCTGTGTCACCAAATTGAAGAAGAACTCCAGCATCGAGGTGCTGCCTACTGTTATCTGGCAATTCAACTTCTTGTACGACTTGAACACTGAAATGTTCAATGAAGAGCATTTATCTATGCTCAGCCAAACCTCACAGATCAATTTCCCATTGCATGTCGCTCAGGGAATACCTCACTTGAACTTTGCCGAATTGATAATTGAAAGTGGTTTATTGCTTGATCAATCCATTAATTGGATAAGTTACCATGGAGGATACGATTTAGGATTCTTGATAGCCCTATTACTTAATGATAGTTTACCAGTTGATGAGAAAGAATTCTACTGGTGGTGCTCCAAGTACTTCCCCAATTTCTACGATTTGAAGTTTATGGGCGGACAACTCGTAAAGGGGAACAATGGAGCTAACAACATCGGTAACAGTATTGGCAACAGCAACAGTAATATCAACAACAGTAATAACAGCAGCAACAACAACAGCAACAACAACAACAACAATAACACCAGCAACAATAATAATAACAGTAATAATAGTAATAGTAACAATAATAACAACGGTAATAGTGGCAATAATCCTGGGGATGAAAAATCGTCTACCAAACCATCGATTGAGTACCTTGCTGAAGAACTTCACTTATTGCCAATTTCGCCTATAGTTAGACAATACTTTGCACTGCAACTGCAACAGCAAGCTGCACAAACTACACAGCAAGCATCTCAACAAATGACGTCTACATTACATGCGTACCTTGCGATGGAATGCTTTAAGGAGTTGTTGAGAATCTCAAACGTGGGAGATCCCAATTTACTCTTGGCTCCATTCAAGGGCGCCATCTGGGGATTGAGTGGTAACACCTCATCATTGACGGCTGCAACTGCAAGCGCTGCTGCAGCAGCAGTGTCGGGAATGAATTTAGCCAATGGTCACCATTTAGGTGGAGAATTTGAGTCTAAGGGAGGTTTGACTCATTTTGGAAGACCATAGAGCTGTATTATGTATTTACATAGAAATGAAGAGTATTAGATTAGTAAAAAAGAGGGAGGCTGAAGACTTGTAAGATTTCATGAACAGGATTGAAAAGTTCAGAGAGTGCTACATTTCGTACATATTTAAGAAATCAGCTCCCTTTCAAAGTAAGAAGTAGGAGAACTGACTAAAATACACCAAATTGATCTAATAATTCATACTGGATCCTAAGATCCCTTTCTTTTGTAGCGAGACTAAACTTGGCTCCACTATGCTTCCATCAAACTCTGTCGTCCATTGGCGCTACCTTAGGTTCCCTTCCTGCAACATAACGAATATGTAATCCTGCATAAAAACACCAATTAACAAACTACTTCAGGAAGAAAAAAAAAAAAAGAAAGAAATAAAGATTAACCAGCACCACAGGTACATTTATATCAATCATTGAAAAGAAGGAATATCCCATTATTAACCCCAGGAAATACATTCAATCACTTATAATTACACTCACCATATTCAAAGTTATCAAGCGGGCTCTTTAATTTTTGATTGATTGTAGCTATGTCACCTAAAACTCCGCAAAAGAGACGATTATCTCAATCTCATTTTCCTTCGCTTTACACGCCTGTCACATCGAAGAAGAGTAAAACTGTTTCAGATGACTTTCAATCTTCGTTGCCCATAAATGAACCAGGATCTCCCTTGACTCCAGATAGAACACCCAAGACAGACACCAAAAGGGCAACAAGACATATACTACCAAATGATTATGGTGCTAGTTCCAGTAAATCTACCAGACTGAAACTCGAGGCCCTTTCGAAGGAAATTGGAGATACTGCACATAACCCTGATGACTATCATGGTGAAACATTATTAAAACCTAAGGCTCCTACTGGATTAGGTATTAGGGAACCTGATATTAATACAGACTTGAGCTTGCATGTGACCCAAGATCCCAATACGCCAAAGGGAAAGATAATAGGCAAAAATGACCATGAAGTGTGGAAGTTTGTGCACCCTGAGAATTTCTCAAGTGATGATGAAAGTGAGGGTGAAATACAGCATATTTCTAAGCAAACACTTCCTAATCCATTTATTGAATCCAACAAGCTTCCTAGTCCGAAGCTAGTAAACCCATTTCAAAGTAGGCAGCCAAGGAAGCAGAATCCCAGGACTGACTATTCCTCCAAGTTGGAGCTTTACAACAGTAGAACTGGTAAGTACACCGTGCAGGATTTAACTGCTCGTGAGAAACAGATAAAGCCCAAGATTTTAGATTTCTCTAAGGTAGGGAGTACCACTGCACAACCAACTGGAAAGGGAGAAGTAGACGAGAATACAGAGGATGATAAATTAGAGAAAAAATATCTTATGAAGAATTTAAATGGATTTATGATGGACATTAAGCCAAAAAATAGTCTAGGGTTTGAAATTTTCAAAGATGATGAATAGTGTAAAATAGTATGTACAGTAAATATAATAAATTAATTGGGGGTAAGAAAGGAAGAAAACTGTTTCATATGTAAGTAAGTAAAGTAGCGTAGACTAGACCAACGGAAGCACTCAAATTAAAGCTTTATGTATTAGTGCCATATATACCCATCGTCTCAACTAATCCCTATATTTCTTAATATTATCCCATCCAAGACAATTTGCATTAGGAATTTTAACAACCTCAATTTGAGTAAGTAAATGTGGGTTTACCAAATCGGGGGAAGTTAACCTTATATCTAGCACATCCTTTATGGAAGGAATTTCATCATACGTAGTACCAGTGTAATTTTCCTTTCTGTCAAGATCTCTAAGCTCCAAAGGAAACTTCTTAATGACTTCTGGATGTGAATTTGGTTTATCAAATCTAGAACTGAAGCGGAACTTGGGTGGTTCAGGTGGTATGATGACACTCTTAGGTTGTATTGGTTTCGGTGCCTCTGGAAGTTCAGGAGAGGGTGGCGGAGAAGTATCATTTTCTTCAGCTTCAGCAACAGCTGCAGCGTGTGCTTCACGAATTTCTTGGACTTCCTTTGCGATTTCAGCAGCTTCCTCTTCAGTTTTCTTAGCGGCTTCAGCCTGAGCTCTTTTGGCAGCCTCTACTGCAGCATTATAAGCTTCCAATTTAGCCTTTTCGCGTTGATTCATACCCAATTGCTCAAAATCAATTAATTTGAATTTGTAGTAATTGTCCCAAGTATCTTCTGAGATTTCTCTGTAAGCATTTAATAAAACATTAAATTGAAGATTATTATGTAATATTTCAAGGTTTGAACAGTCCGCCACGAAAGATGCCTGTTTGGTAAGAGTGTCATCTATTAACTCCTTTGTAAAAGAATCGTGGACAAATCCCTTCAACGAGGAATTGAATTTAGATGAAGAATTCAATTTTTTATTAGCAACATGCTCAGCAGTTTTATGTGGCAATTTTAATGACCTTTGAGGATGAAGAGTGCTAGTGGTGGGAATTTTATTGATTTTATTAATAAGAGCAGCATCTTTATAGTTACCACTTCCAGGACCCCTATAGGACATTGTATAATAGTATCTCGATATCGAGTTATCGGACATTTGGTCGGCGTTAACCAATAACAGTTGCACGTTCTTGGCAAGCTTGGAAGTGTCTGTATAAAACGAAGAGCCTCCAAAGAGCGCAGAAACAGACTTTTTAAGAGGTGGTGTACTAACTGCAGCACCAGTTGGAGTGTTGCCGTTTGTGAGTTGCAATGGAGTTGAGGACAGCGATTGCAGAGCACCCGGAGTGGTCAAAGAAGTGCCCCCTGGAAGATTGTTTGCAGTCATAGTATTAGTTGTCATATAGTAATTTGGAACCTTACACAAATGGTTGATATTGAATTCTTGGATAAATCCTTGACCTGGGATAAGTGACTCGGTTAAATCGATAGTATTTGGATCAATATTCGTGTTATACTTTTTAGAACGGCCAATAGGCTTTCTTCTCTTAGGAGCATCTGAAGTTGACGAAGATGGTTGGAAGCCTCTCTTCGAGCCAGTACTAGGTCCAGCACCGGTACCAGTACCAGCACTTGAAGTTGGTTCTCCACTTGCCGAAGTTGAAGGAGCTAAAGAATCGTCCACCTCGTTTTGCTCAGCCTCTGCTAAAGCAGCAGCAGTAGTTGTTATATCAACTTCGCCATGATCATTCTCTTTAATCATCATATCTAGTTCACTCATGCTCATTTTAGTACTGGGTAAGAACTTACTGAACGAAGGATTGGAGCTGTAGTAGTTGAACTTCAGAGTATTGGTTAGCGAATTGAACACTGAATGGTTGAAATCTACTGCTGCAGTGCCATTTACCCCACCTCCATACTGCGGGAATACTTGATTCACTGTGATTTTGAATTCAGAATCCTCCGTTGCACCGTCTCCTTTCTGTCCACTTTGTAACTTGGCTCTACGTCTTTGGAAAGTACCCATGACAAAGTCTCTCACTTCATCAAATGACTTGGCCCCCACAGCATCAGTTTCTGTGAGAACAGTGGAGTTTTCCAAAGCATTGAACATCCAATTAGCGTCTATGTATGATAATTTAAACTTCAAGTCCAGCGTGGAAATCAAACTAGCCTCTAGGAGGGCTTTGTTAAGTTCACCGTTGGTATACTTAACAACGTTCTTTGAATTTTTGAAGCATTTTTTCAATTTTCCAATCAATTGGTGAGGTGAAGGGTAGTACCAAAACCCTGCTAGCGTCTTCAATAGTATGTACTTTTCGTTGTTTAAAGTAAAGTAGGGGATTGGTAAATCTTGCGGGATAGTTTCTGTAATTTCAATTGGCGCTTGCTTGAAGGTGAGCTTTCTTGGGCTCACATAAACCTTCGAAGGAACGAAAGATTGCGAATCCGATGGCCACGTAACATTAACTGACATTTTTCCACAGAGATGTGACGATATACGAAGGAATGGAAGTGAAGTACTAGGGAAGTGTTTAGTTTATTTACCATTTCGGTTTCTCTTGATATGTACGAAAAATGTCGTGTGCATGACGATATTATATGCAGTAGATAATAGTATATTTCACTGCACCGAAGGTGTTGCATTTTGGACAAGCCAACCAGCTGAGCCAAGTAAAAGGTTAAAGTTTGTATTCATCAAACCACTCTTCTGTATTCTGCTCAATTGGTATGTCACAATATTGAATTATATCATAGTCCTGGGAAATCTAATTTCTTATCATGTGGTTTGCTTTTCTCTTTTAAAGTTGTTGAGCATAGTGTAAGCTTTGCCTCAAGAAATTGCAGCCATATATAAGATTTCATTTTTTTTTACCAATCAGCAATGCAAAGAAGGGCTCATGCCTGGATAGCCAGTATAAAATGGGAAGAAGTTACTTCGCTATTTGAACTTCCAATGCTTTCCCTTTACCCTAGCAAATCACCTTCATCTTACCTTCTTTCCTTGAAAGCTCATTGGTGCGAATATGACTCACCTTCTCATAAGATTTGACCAAGAGGTATATGAGATTTCTTCACGATTGCATTCAATATAAAATACTAACTTGTGCCAGCTGTACTCAAAATGGACCCAAAGCATATTAGGGACCCCGGGTTTCTTGAAAGGCAATATATTTGTCGCAATACCAACAAATACTGGACCAATTTTAATATCGTAGCTAAGTATAACCAAAAAGTTGACGCTCAATTGCTTTCTCGCGCCTTGAGGAAGTTATGCTTAAGTGACCTTTGGTTAGTCCTAAACTTCTTTAGAAAGTACGGTGATCACGCAGATGATCATAATCTCAATGGAGTTAATTTTGAGGTTAGACCTGTTAAGCAATTTAAATTTGAAGATGTAGTATCTTTCGAGCATATCCCTAGTTTCGATGGAACTTTTCTCGAAAAAGTCAATGAACTAGTATGTCCTATGAACACAGAATTACCTCTCTGGAGAATCATAGTAGTCAGTACCGATGCAAATGAGCAATACATTTGTATCTATTTCGACCATTCGATATTTGATGGAACAGCTGGTGTACACTTCCAAAGATTTCTTATCGACCAGCTTAATAAAATACACGAAGGAAATGACACCGAAGTGGTATCAGAGGAGTATATGTTCAACTACGTGGAAGATATTGATAGAATTGATGCTATTGTTCCCAGTGCTAAGGAAAATACAAATAGCCTTTTCCAAACTTCGATATTCTATAGGGTAAACGAGTTCCTCAAACAGTTATGGAAGAGAGTCCGTCGCTATTTGCCGTTCCAGTCCAAGAGCTCGACACTAACTTTCAGTCACAATGTGGTAACCCGAAACATGTCTGCTAAATACCGAACAGTGACTATACCCTCAAGCGATGTGGGGCAAGTGCTAAAATTTTGTAAGGGTAATGGGTTCACAATGACCCCATTAATTAATGTGATTGCGTTGAAAGCACTTGAAGGAAGTCTTTTCAAAGGCTTGGGATTACATCAGAATCGATTTCCTTCTACTATTTCGTGTCTACCAATCAATGGGCGTAAATTCGTCAACAATCCCTCAAAACTAGGTGTTTACGTCGGATACGACTTCTTTCAGTTTCCTAGCCCTATTTCCAATCTTGTCACATTCTCCCAAGACTTGTACGGCATGCTAAATCGAACTATCAGGTCCAAATCGTGTTTCAGTCTTGTAGGGATGTATAAACATGTAAACATATGGGACACCTATAAGTCAAAATTGGGCAAAAAGGATGGAAGAGCTACAATTGCAATTTCGAATCTTGGAAGAATGGAGCAAATTCCCAGCTCCGGAAGTGAAGACGAGAAATTTTGGCAGATAGAAGATATATGGTTTTCTCTGTGTATGGGTCTTGTACTCCATAGCATGATTTACTGTATAACTTGTGCCAATGGTAACTTAAATCTTGTCTTTGGGTTTTTGCCGGAGTATGAATTGTACTTAGACAAGTTTGTGCTGGAATTCAGGCGCATATTAGATAATGAGGTGCTCAGCAAGTGATTGAGATAATATGTAACCAATATATAGAAATATGGGCTGAATTAAACTAAATATATGACGACAGCCAATTTCATAGAGTATGGCCAAGTTAAACTAAAATATATGACGACAACATAGAGTATGGCTAAAATTAAACTTAAACATATAGCAACCTAAGAGTGAAAGTGAAAGCAGTAGATCCGAAAAGAGGTATGGTTACATTGTTAGCATGTATTCTGCTTGGTAGCATTGGCATCTCATGCATACAATTTCAGAATGGCTGCAAATGCTCAGAAAAGATTGGCCTTGGGCTCAGAAATTGGTCCGCCAGTTCTTTCAAGTGAGTGAGAGAGCAATCAGTACAATGAAAGAGTATATAGGAAGTTAAAAGAACGCAAAAAACATATGAAGTAGAATAGCAGAAAGAGAAGTACGGGTACATATCTCACTTTTAATCAATATTCAACAGGTGTCCCGTCGGTCATATCCTATACACTCGTAAGTACCAGTGCTACGCCTATTCCTTTTTTAACTTTTCGTAACGCTCTAGCGAGCTCAGGGAACAAAAACGCACACTTAAAACTGAAAAATCACAAAAAAAAAAATGACTCTACGCAGTTGTCAAGGTACACGGAAGTCCAATTTACCCCAACTCCTATTTTTGATGAGCTCACAAAGATTAAATCGAGTCCTAACAAGTAGGCTCCTGATTCAAAATTAAGTACTTATCCATGCTGTGATTCTTGGCCTACGGTGGCGATTCTTGTTACATTTTTCAAGCACTGTAGCCACCACTGAAGTCACTAACGTTGCGCCCCCTTATCTCACTCTACACGTCTATCTCACTATTCACCCTATTTTTCACTTTTAATTTTTTTTTTTTTTCACTTTTTTTGCTTTTGGCGCCTGAACGACTTCCTCGCCTGCATATACACCCAAAATCTTCCAAATTCGAAATCGAAAAGGATCCAAACAAAAGAGGAAAAAAAAGTCAAAGAAAAAAACACAGTCGTCGTCCTTTGTTATCTAAACACCACATCTGTAATACATACATACATATATTACTTGTAGAAATATAAATAAAAATGGGTTTATCATTCTCAAAGTTGTTCTCCGGTCTCTTTGGCCGCAAGGAAATGCGTATCTTAATGGTTGGTTTAGATGCCGCTGGTAAGACCACCATTTTATATAAGTTGAAATTGGGTGAAATTGTCACTACTATCCCAACCATTGGTTTCAACGTCGAAACTGTTGAATATAAGAACATTTCCTTCACCGTTTGGGATGTCGGTGGACAAGATAAGATTAGACCATTATGGAGATACTACTTCCAAAACACCCAAGGTATTATTTTCGTTGTCGATTCGAACGATAGAGATCGTATTGCTGAAGCAAGAGAAGAATTACAACAAATGTTAAATGAAGATGAATTGAGAGACGCATTATTGTTAGTTTTCGCTAACAAGCAAGATTTACCAAATGCCATGAATGCTGCTGAAATCACTGAAAAGTTAGGTTTACATTCTATTAGACAAAGACCATGGTACATTCAAGCTACCTGTGCCACCTCTGGTGATGGTTTATATGAAGGTTTAGAATGGTTATCTACCAACTTAAAGAATTCTATTTAAGTTCAGCATACGTAGGGAAGAATATAAAAGAAGAGATTTAATACAAATTGAATAAAAAGAAAGTAGAGTAGGCGAGAGAGAAAGAAGCAGAGGGAGAGTGAGAAAGTGTCAACTTTTAAAGGTAAGAGCGTGGATGGTATGAGTGGGTCCGTACAGAAGTGCGCGCTCTTTCGTCTAATTTTTCTGTCTTGTTGTTGTAAAAGCAGTTGGAGGTAGAGGAGAAGGAGGAGGAGGAGTAAGATAAGTAACGATTTTCAACTAGTGTGGTAGTTGCTTGTTCTACTTTTTTTTTAGTTCAAGAATTTTTCTTGATAGTTTTTTTATTGGTATTTCCTATTTGCTCGAAAAATTAACAAACCCATATATTCGTCCAAGTGGCAATATAAAACCATAGGCCTATAAAGATGTGAATTGAAATTACATCATGGGAAATGATAAAGTTAGTTGGAATGAAATTTTTTTGAGAGAAAAGATTTTATATGTTGTTATATAAGCTATATTTTAATCTTGAATTTATATTGTAATGAAGAAATAATTTGAAAAAAGCAATTTGAAGAAACTAGAAGAATCTTATTGTAGTATATATACGAAAGATGAATATCAGAGCAAGTGAACGTAAGTACAATTGGTCTACAGTAGCGTTTGCTTCAGTTTCATACACACAATGGCACAAGAAAGTCAACTGGTGGAATTACAGTAGAAGTATTCGGCTTGTTTTTTGTCTACCATTCGTAAGCTCCTGTCGTTGCTTCTGTAAGCTAAGATTTGCCAAATCGCGTTTCAATTGATTCCGATGTAGGCTGATGCGCTTCATTTCGACTACGTTGCTGTTACCTGGCGCACGTGACTCTATATGTGCAGTGCAACCAGATGTGAGTGAGGACGAGCCATCAGTGCAACTGTGGTGGGCAAGCTTAAAAGCACGTTAGCAGTGGCTAGGAAAATGGATATCTGCAGCAGAAATTGGCCGTTAAGGGTCTACTAGAGTTGACCGATTTTTAGCCCCAGTAGATAAGTCACAGGCGACACTGGTGGTAAAACCGAGGGTCACCAGGCCGAGAATATGAAGGAAACTACAAAGAGAAGTATTTGCCAGCGTGGGACAAACTTGCAAATCACCTAAGCTAATGTTTCTACCCCAATGTCTACCCCTACCATTCGGAGTTTCTCACAATATAAATCACTTAAAATTGTTCTAAAAGGTTCGGCCGGTCCACCCTCCACGGTATTTTTTGATTTCTTGCACATGGAGAAATCTTTTTCCCCAGAATTTCAAGTTTCCTCGGTAACAATTGACCCCGCGAAATTTTTGGTACTGCTTATATATCGGTTGAAAAATCCTCCTTCACCAGTCAAATAATGAATTGAGTAACTACTACTGGTATACTCAAAAATTATCTTGAAGTTACTTGCAGTGAAAAATATTGATACTTGATCATATTTTTTTTTACAAAGAAAAAAACTGGAAATAATTAGTAATTGAATTTTTAAAATGGAAGGACAAGATATTCTTTACGAAGTTAGGGATAAAGTTACCATTATCACCTTTAACCTCCCTGACAAGTTGAATGCATTAACAGGTAAGCAATATCTTCTTTTAGCAAAATTAATAGAAAGAGCTGATAAGGAAGATACTATTTTGACTTTGATTCAATCAACTGGAAGATACTTTTCTGCAGGTGCGAACATTGCCGATAAGAGTCTCTCTAATGTTGCAACCGAAGAACTCTTCTCCCATGAGTACTGGTTGAATAACTTCGTTTCCAGAAATGTATACTTGGCTGATTTATTTCACAACCACAGTAAAGTTTTGGCCGCTGCATTGAACGGACCAGTTATTGGTTTATCTGCTGCTTTGGTTTCCTTGTGTGATCTCATTTACTCTATTGACGAAAAGAAAACCTTCTTGTTGGCACCATTTTCTAACTTGGGTCTTGTAGCTGAAGGTGCTGCCCTGGCCACCTTATTTTTGAGATTAGGTTGGTCCAAGGCTTCAGAAGCAATTTTATTTGCTAGACCTATTCCAGGTACTGACTTGACTAAGTTGGGATTCATTAATAAGTCTTATCACGAAACTAAATTCAACTCCGTTGAAGAATTCAATAAGACCGTTCATGACGACTTAGTTAGACAATTCAACGGTTTATATGAGCCATCTATTTTGGAGAACAAACAATTGTTGAAGGCCAACAGAGATACATTAATTAACTCTGCAAGTCAAAGGGAAATCATTAAGGGCTTTAATAAATGGGTTGAAGGTGTCCCACAACTGAGATTTGCTCAATTATATCAAAAGGATATTAAGCACAAGTTTTAGACGGTACTTCCGCAATGGTTGTGGTATTATTAAGCCGGTGCTACGTATTTATGGATAAATGTTTATGATTTAAAACAAGAATGCAGGAAACTTATTTATATGATTCAATAGAATGCCGAAATGTAGCGTACATTAATATCGGCCCCATCACCTCTTCTTTTAACTCTCAGTCCTTATCTCAACTCGGAGTATGGATATCTGACTTTTTTTTTTTTTTTGTCCCTAGGAAAAACTAAAGTATTGAATCTACAAACAAAGTGGTCCATTTGAAGGTACTTTCTTCTTAAACATCACAACCCGGTAGAACTCATTATGAGCTTCAATTTACCCAATTCTTACCTTTTGGGTATATTGTTGGTCGTATCGACTCATAGTGGTCCTCAACTCGTATACAACTATCCGCCTGTGTTGTCTCACGAGCTGGTTGATCAGTCGCATACTGCGAAGTTGATGGTAAATTCTGAAGATGATGGCTCAATGGATGATCATGATGTAGACGATGATGAATATATCGTAGATAGCGAGGAAAATGATGATGTATCGCTGATAGAACTGAAAGATGACCTGAAGTGGAATACCAGAAACCTAAATTATTACATGGGAACTAAAAAGGAACTAATGGAGTTTTTGGATGATCAAGAGAAACATCGAGAAAGAACCCCAAAGCAGAAGAAGAGTTTGCGAAATAAAGATACCATTCCCTTGGAAAAGACATTATCTGCTAGGTCGGAGAGAAGCTTATTCTCAAATACTGCAACACTTCCAACAATTGCAAATGTAGTTAGTAATACATCCTTTCAACTAGGCGCTCCAGCAATTCCTACTCAGCTGCAACATTCACTGACACTTTCTCCATCAAATAATCAAAATAGCAGTACTTCGCTCAACCTGAACTCACAATTGGGATCGCCTTCATCCATACCCTCTGGTAGTGCCAATAAGGGTAATAGTACTAGTCCTGAAGTTGCTAGTACGATATTTGGAATTGAACAAGCTTACCTCTGCGAAACGTTATGTCCACCGCGACAGATGTGCAATTCAAGATTTGAAATGCTTATAGATGATCTAGTGTTCTTAGGTCTTCCTATTCATTGTTATGATAATGGGTCTTGGAGGTCTAAGAAGAAAAGAGTAAGAAAGAAGGCTAGTAAAGTGAGCAAGGATGGACTGTCCGTGGGAGAGAAGAGCAATGAGGGCGAATCGGAGAAGACTCGTAACGACGACAGCACTAATAATAATAACCTTGATGACGGAGAAGAAGAAGAAGATAATGATGGTATTCCTAAATCTGGAAGCTCCAATGAAAAGAAATCAAATACAATGTCAATGTTCCATTTAGTTTTCATTATGAACCCTCCAATTATTGAATGCAACTATAGAATAGATGAAATGTTTTATTACGTTATTTCTAGACTTTCGCTAGTGCTCCGATATGAACAACTGAAACATGATTATGTCTGGCAGCAAGTTAAACTTATCCAAAAATTTAAAGAGGAGTATAGAACAGTACTGGGCGGAATCAGTGGTGGGCTAGCATCATACCTAAACCATAGAGCATCACTCTGTAAGATGATTTCAGATTGCTACTATTCTATTTCTAAATCTGAAATAGCCAACTTATCTATCAATAATAAGCTCAGATCGTTTCAGATCCCAATAAAAACTGAGTTCCATTCATTGCCAGAGAGTACAGTTCCTTATCTTCCAGGAAGTCACCTATCATCAACAGTGAGTTTGTTAGGCAAAACTGGTTTGATCAATGTCGGTGACACAACCCGGTACGGAATAAGTAATATGATGTCAATATTAACAAGAATGGGAGGCGGGACATATGGAGGATCACTAGGAGGTGGTGGAGCTAGTGGAAATTCTGGGCCCAATGTGGTAGGAGCCTCCGACGAAGGCGACTACTTAGAAGACGATGATTCTGACTCTTCCGAAGATATTATACATTTTGCACTTTTACTTCTTGATGACCCTGAAACAATTGTTTCTGATATAAAAGCAGAGCCTCAGAGTACTTTAGCTAACTTTATTCGAATGATTAAACCAACTGAATCTTTATCCAATCTAGCTAGCAAACTTGAACAATCTCAGAAAGTTACAGAACGACTTTCTATTACTGAAATTAAATCTTTTGCATTCCACTTGATATACTGGAGAAGAGCAAGGGTTATACCTCCCTTAAATTCTAGATCGGTATATATTGTTTCTCCCATGGCTCCGGTTACATTGAATTTATACTTCGATATTCAAAAGTTCCTGAAGGAATTTACAACTTTACCATCACTTCCACATTTTCTTAAACTGTTATCATCCTCATCACGAAAGCCTAGACAATATGCCACTATTATACCTTCAAGAGATCATCGAGAAGTTTATTTAGATGCACTTGGATGGTTAATAAGATATGGGTATGTTACACAATTGCATACATTTATATGGCTCAAGATATCTAGAAAAGTGAAGATGAAAGTGGAAGAAGATTTAGAGAACGAATCAAGCTCTAAAAAGAGGGGTTTAAGTAATGCATCTAAGGGCGTTAGATCTTCTAAAGGTGTTGATTCAAAAATTGGGGAAGATGAAAATGACGTAAATGTTTCTATTCAGGCAACCTCTAATGTAGTCGGAACAGATAATACTTCAAAAAAGGTAAGCAAGACTAAACCTGCTCAAAATAAATCCTCCTCATACGTGCCATCTATGGAACATGATGGTGTTCCACTATTTTCTGGCCCAAATATTACACTTGAGGAGGACAGTGATACAATTATACTTGATCCAGATAGGGCTACTACGTTGGAACGTCGATGGATCAATAAAATTGTTTCTGAAGAAAGTCGCCTCTCTCCAGAATTGACTGCTGTTTTTTATAAACTTTTAAAGTACATGGACGGTAAAAATTCTTTAGAGTTACTTTTGTTAAAGGAAGACGTCTCCAGGAATGATTTGAGGAAGTTATTGTTTGCAATCGAAGACCATGTAATATCAGTGAGGCATTGGTAATCTACATATTAAATTGTCCGTACCTTCTTATATTTTTTTATATATAAAAGTTAACTTATTATTCTATATTCTAACAACTGTCACATAAGTATTTGTAATAATTATTTAGCTTTATCTTATATGCTAAGAAAATACATTCTCTTGGTCTGCTTCAAGTTCATTACTTTCGATTTCGTTAAAATTAGAGAAATGAATTGGACGATGCAATTCATGATAAAATGGTAATGGGATATCAGACTTCACTTCATAATCCATCTTCGCATTCCAGGTTGCGCCAATGAAAGAGTAATTCCAGATATCATCATCAGGGACCATGAAGGAACCCACAATACGGTCAGATATCAAAAGTTCTTGCTTATTACTGAAGGATGACGAAAATCCCTTTGGTGCCTGTGATATCAAGTCCTTGTTAGTTGTACCCCATTGATATCCTTCATCCGAAGTTCCAAAGCAGCTCAATGTGACTGAGCCTGGGGTAAATGATACAGTGATGGTAATCATTTTTTTGGTATCCCATTGTGCTGGATTGTGATCTTTAAATGATGCTAGAGTGGTTATATCAATAGGTGAAAGGATTCCTGCTGAATTATCTGCAGATTGAGTATGAATCCATCCCAATAACTCATACTTCTGGAGTTCATTTTCTTGATTTTGATCAGGCAACTTGAGTGGAAATTGGATTGAGTGGGTGTTGGCTAACTGTGGTACTAAAACTAAACGTTTCACTTCCTTTATTTCGTCGTTATCATCCGGAGATATACCATAGATAAATGCACCAACCTGAGTTCTCAAATCAGATATTTGAACAAACTTCTTTAATAAGTTCTTTGGGAATATATATGCGATACCTGATTCGGTATTCTCATTAGAACCGGATACATAAACGTTTTTCGTTCTCAAATGTAAATTGGATGAAGCGATTGCTCTATTTCTCCATTCATTTTTAGATGCAAAAGATGATTGTTCATAATTTGTTGTCGTCACAGTAACTATATCCTCTCCGTGAACATTTTGGGTCTTAGACTTGAGAGCCGTGAGCTGTGGATTTGACGCATCGTCTTCTTGCTTTTGTTGCTCTAAATCGGCAACCTCTTGCCTTCTAGCAGATGGAGCTCTGATGTCTTGTCCCAAAATCAAATCTCTTATCTCTGCTTGTGTCAAGCTTTGAATGTTTATATTATGTTCCTTTGCGTAATCATTAAGGATCAAATCACGCAACTCCTTTTCAACATCAATCCATTGTTCGTCGCTAAGTGTTGGCCAAATATGGTTATCTTGAGTTACTATCGTGTGGTCAGGTCTAAGAATTAAATTCGTTCTTTCCGTATTTATAGTCAATCCTCTCATAATCAAAATTATTCTAGAGAATGCAGTATATGCGGATATGCTATCAAGCCAGTCATCGTAGAGATTAAACAAAATCATTTGGGGTTCCATGGCTTTCAACACAACATCAGCCAACTTGTCAATTTTCAATGCTGCACCGAAAGGTAATCTAAGCTCAGACGATCTAATCGAAATGCTCGGAAAGTCTAACATATGTACTTCAAGTGGATCTGTCATACCTTTCCTTGTCACGATTAATTGTTTTGGTTGTTCTTCACGTGGTAAGGATCTTATTAAAGCCGAAACTTCTTCAGCAGTCTTCCATTTGGCTAATTGACTCAATCTCTTTTGTCCAGACCAAACTGAAGTATGAATAATCTTCAAGAACAATTGGCCAGTCTTCGCATTTAACATGAATATAGCACCATTGATAGGTTTCGTGGTTAAATTACCTTCAAAAGTCTTGTGGACTGTAACTCTATATACATTCGTATCATCAATGAAAAATTGGGTGTCATTATTGAATAATTCTGCATAGTTATTAGAATTAAGCATTGTCTCCTTGTGTTGTGATTGATATAACTGTAATCCCTTACGAATACGCTCTCGAAGCACATACAAAGCGGGATTAGCTTTCATGATTTCTTTCATTGCATTTTGCATTAATGGCTGAAGTCCTGGAACCCAGTTTCCATAAACATCATACATGTTGTAAGCAAGATCAACTCCAATCATTATACCAGTTGGGCATGGATAAGAACTAGTGGAATCAGTGGTGTAATCTAAAAATTTTGCTCTTGTATATCTTGAAATATCATGAGAGTCATAATCACCGTATCTTAACTGGACATCAATCCAGAATTTGTTAGATGAAGAAGTTGTCATGTCTTCATCCCTATGTTGATTGTTCAAATGACTCGGTCTTGTTACATTCCATCTATAAGTGCTGGTTAATACAATATCAGCACATGAGCTATTCATTTTGTAACTCTTTCTTGGATGAATTGCCTGCTTTTCAACTTGATCGATCTGTAGAATATCCATTTCTCTATCGAACACTTGACATAAATCTTGAACAATACTTTCATGAATCTTTTGCCATAAATGCGCCCTGAATATTTGGATAAGTGATATTTTTAGAGTCGGAATTTTTCCGTGAAGAAATATACCAGTTAAATCTAATTGAACTAAGAAACCGACGTACACATTGGCTCTATTAATCGTCGGACTCCACCAAAGAGTAAATCTTCTATTTGGAATTTGACTTAAACCAGATCTTTGAGCATTGGTAAGTTTCTTGAACTTTAATGAATCTTCAAAACCAGAAGCTTTCTCCCAAAATAACCCTTCCCACAGATCAAACCCTGTACCTTTGAATAATGTATGTTCCAAAATAGTCTCTATTCCACCTAGTGCTTGAATGACATCAGTTCTGTAAGCATTTAGATTCCAAAGTCTGCCATCATGTCTTCCATTTGTCCACCAAAATGGGTTAGCTCGTGGGATAGTAAATTGTTTGAACTCTAATCTAACTCTATGTCCTTTATCGTAGGCTAGAGTATGTCTATCTTTTTGAAACAAAGTACTTATTCTTGGTAAGCCTCGATCCCAATTAGATTCCATATCTTCAAATGTTATCCTTCTGTTTTGTTCAATTGCTTCCTGACGTTTTATAGCATACTCTGCCCATACTCTCTGAGAATCTAAAAATTCATTCTCCCAAGTAGTGATATATCTAAATATTGTCGGAATTAATTTTTGCTCCTGGTGGTTCATTCCTGCTCTAAAATGTGTAATTACACCAGTATCCGTCTGCAGCGACCATTTCAAATCGGATGATGGGATCAAAATGTGAGATGCACTTAACATTCCAAGTCCCCCAAGTTCCTTAGGAGTATAAAATACAGCAGGAGGAAATCTCGACGGCATTTTGGAGTTGAGGCCCATTTTTACTCTGTTCTGAATTTTCGTTTCAGAACGGACTAAAACATCCAATAGCCTTTCGGTCGATATAATAGCTTCTCTATAATACGCAAATAATGACACTAAAGCAGTATTCCACTTAGAAGCAACTTTTGTGAATGTAGTAGAGCCCGAAGACATCAAAATTTGCCTTATTCTACTTTCAAATTTATCCACATCTTCTGGTGAAACTTGAAGATATGCTTTAGCCGTTCTCTCTTTAGTTGATTGGTTTACGAGATCCCACACCCCATCCGTTGACAGAGACGAGGAAACCTCTTCGGATGATCTAATTTTGGGTAAAATTCTAATTTCAAAACCACACATTCCAAACAACAAATTTGGGTTATCTTGAGAATATATACTAATAAAAGTGTCTTCCCACTCCAAGCTGGTTAAGCTATTAGGAATTCTTCCGCTAAGTTCCCAATGAATAGCTCTGCCTAAGTTCACATCGTGTCTCATCAATCTCATTCTGGAGTCTCTAGGCCAACATTTTTTGTTGTTGTATCCAATAGCATTCTCAAAGTTTGGATCTGGGTGATCGCTTAAGAAGGAATGAATTAGATCGTTGACATCGTTGACATCGCCAAGTCTCAAGAAAATGTGAATCTTGTCAAAATATCTTGAATAAATTCTTATAGGGTTTCCTGACTCATTAGATGATTCTTGTAAAAACATGTTTGGACTATTGACAGGACCTGCAATTTCATTTGCTCTCTCCAACCCTAAGAGTAGTAAATCGATTGCTAATCCATAGTATTGCATAACAAATCCACTAAACTGTAAACCTCTAATTAAACCAAACTGATTAACATGCTGCATATCTTTGTACGACAAACTAACATTATTCTTTGCTGTAATGTAGTCAGCAATGTTAGGATCTACAATTAATCTTAAAAGTCTATTAAGTAAGGTCAAATCACACTTTTCACTAAATTTGGACAACTTAGTCTCAACCATAACGTTACATTGTCCATTTGAAACATCCCATACATTTCCATCATCAAGGTTGTTAATTCCCTGACACCATTTATAAGTAAGTAACGGAGGGACTTCTCCATCATTCGGCTTAATCCAATTAGGGAATAATCGTCTTTTATCTGCTTCATACCAAAGGTATTGATCTAAGTATGCATCTGTGATTTTCTCTAATGGATCAATTTCGTAAGTTGGAATCAAGTGAGTATAATAATCCATCATTTCTAACCCAACTTCCTTGAAAATTCTTTGTGTCAAGAGAAATTTCTTGATTCTTGCGAGACATTCATGCGGGTTATCATAGGCTTGTTCAATCAATAATAATTCTTCTCTTTGAGATGAGTTAAGTCTTGCATTAGCTCCATAGTTTTCTTTTAAGTTTTCCAAGGCCAATACTAATAATTTGGTATCGTGTTTATAGGATAAAGGCGGAAAAGGAATTGGTTGATATTTTCTACTTTCTAGCCAATGCACCATATTCTGGAATATGACAACCGCATGGTTAGGAGAGACAGAAGGTCCTGTTTTTGAAAATTCAGTTTGTCTACCTTGTTCCATTTTGATCCAAAGTCTTGTCAATCTACCTAGGTTTTTTCTGGCAACAGTCTTTTCAACAGTGGCACCTCTTCTAATTCTGTCTCTATTATAATGTGCAACTGATATCCACCCATCTGCTTTTGCCTGAATATATCTCTCAATAATTGAAGCTACTTGCTCGGGCAACCCTGGAACTTTCCATGGAATATTTGCTTTCCAACATCTCCAACTTTCACTGAGATGTTGAAGAATCGTTTTCGATGATTTTTGCTTTAAGCCTTCGGGGATCATATCTAAAATATCTTGCATTACCTGAGCTCTTAATTCTAAATCGTAATACGAATCAACTCTCTGTTTCGTTATTGTTTTGGCTACATCATTACTTCTTCTACCTTCAAATTGCCTTGCTAGCAAATTACCCAACCATCTTTCCAAGAGTGGAATAATTCCTCTGAGGAAGAACAACCACACTCTCCATGCAGGTTGCCAGAACCCACATCCAGGACCCTTTCCAATCAACTGATTGAACTTAGCATAAACCACATGTTTCAAGTCCTTACATGCCCTGATCTGATGCATCACTTTATACTTATACCTGTAAATTCCGGTCAATTGACCCAAATGATTCAAAATATAGTAAATCCCATCAGCCAATTGAAATGAATCAACATTACCTAATCTATATTGAACATGGGAGTCAACAAGGATCTTGACTACACGCAAAATTTCCCTTATCAAATGGAAAGCATTTCCGAATCTAGATTTTTTACGCTCTTTTGTCGTCAAGGTTTTAGTTGGTTTCAAATTGAAATTGTAATCTAGGTGTAGATATGTGAGTCCTTTTCTATGTATTAACAAGTTAAGCATGTTAAAACCTTGTCTGCAAACTTGTAGACCGGCCTCGACCCAATCAATAGTAGTCTCTTGAAAATACTTAGTGTTTTTCAAAGTTTTCAAGAGCTTTACTTTATTTTTGCTCTTGGATGATCCTTCTTTTGCGTGTAGTTCAGTAAGAACATACGATTTGAGAAGCTTCTGAAATGAAACTCTTACTTTTTGTGCACTCTTACTAGATGGATGTTGTTTGTACCAGGACTTGACCAATGCTACATCTTCCGCTCTAACCATTTTACCACTACGACGGTTGAATGGGAAAGGAGCATCGAATAAATCCAATGCCGAGTTCCATTTCTCCGGGAACAATTCGTTATCTGACATTAATGGCTTAACATTTTTAGGTAACGAGAAGATTTCATCGTTGTCTTTCTTTCCCTTTTTCTTTGGAGGAGGGGTAGGTATCAAGTTGAATTCGTTTGAAAAAACAAACCCGGACTGGCCATCCAGCTTTAATTTCTCTTTTCCAGAAGGACTACTTCGGAATGGTTCATGATACCAATTAGTTTTCACTTGAGTAACATATGAATTATATACAAAGGGAAATGCAACCCTGTATTCACTTCTAACTGGAATTCTAAATATAATTCTATCAATGGAATTAAATTCAGTAAAGTCATCGAGCTTTGCGTCATACTTTTCCTTGTATAATGGTTCAAATTTTGGCCCTCCAGGAAGGGCAATGTTCAAACTTTTCGCGGTGAAAAATGCTGTTTTGTCAAATAAGTAGTAATAGTTTGGATCATTTACTTGTGCTACTATGGGCATCGACATATCGTATAATGCAGACATTGTATCAAGATCTAAATTCCATTTCTTGTAAGAGTCTCCATTCACGTGGGAAGTTTCAATTAAAGGTTTTTCATCATATAACCACTCAGATATATCATTATATTTAGAATCATTATCAATTTCTTCCAATTCTATTGCTTCTGGAGGCTCAACGTCTTGTATGTTTTCCAGCCAATCCAATGGAGGTTCCTCGTCATCAAATGGTGGGAAATTCATTCTTTTGAAATTCTTTCTATCTCTCTTCTCTCTTCTCATTGCTATCCAAGTGGTGGCCCATTGAGCAGTATACACAGGCTCGATGACTCTGGGGCTTTCATTTACGAAAGTAATCGCACCAGTTATGTGATATAATACTTTCACTTCTTTCACTTGTTCCCAGGGCTGAGGCATGTTTTCTAGGAGTTTTAAAATGGCATGTGGCATGTATTTAAGCGATCCCAAATGTGATCTTTTGTCTGATGCAAACTTTTTGGACGAAAGGTCTCCATGGTCATAAATGATTTTACGTAGATGCTCAGGAGGCATCTCTACTTTTATTGGGGCCACTAGCGTCGTGTTAGTCGATTTCTTGACCATTGCATTCTTTGGAACGTAATACCTTTTCTTTTGAACTTGGAGCCACTGTTTTGTACGAAGGGGAAGATTTGCTGAGGAGGAAGGTGACGATAATTTCTGCTTTTTAGATGGGTATCCTGATGGGGGAGGATGCAGAAGATTTGGTGGTGCCGGTGGTGGAGCACCAGGAGCAACTGGTCTACTTAAGGATGGTAGCACCGTATGTCTCTGCGCTACTTTGTGTGATGCTGGTGGTGGTGGAGGCGGTGGTGGCAATCTTCTTCCATTATTAGATGAGGCCCCAGAAGGAGGTGGTGGTGGTGGTGGTAATCTTCTATTCACTCCGGTAGGTGGTGGGGGAGGTAGTGGCAACTTTTTATTGGATCCATTACTTCCTCCATTGGTTTTTCGTACCACACTCGGAGGAGGTGGTGGAGGCGGGGGCACACTCTTACCCATGATTTATATAAGTCTATGGCTGAAGAGTTTATTCTTGTAGTGAATGAAGTTTTGGGATTTTCTATTTCTGTGTACCTCTGTATTCTCTTGAGATGGGTTTTATATGCAGGGTGTTCAAGCTTGTAGATCCAGAGGGTAGGTTGAAGGGTAGGCACCTAGTTTATTGGCATTCAGTTCAAAATGCTAGGGTGTATGAAGGCGTTTGGTGGTATATTGAAGCGATTGTCTCCCGGATAGGCACTCTACTCTACACTACTATTTACAGTCAGGCAACAATCACACTTGACTGCTGCTGCACCCATGGTCTCGAGGTTATGAAAGTTATATGCAAAACATGTGGGTTCACTGTACGATGGTAGGGGAGGAAATAGGACTACTTTTTACTTACTTTGCCAGAATCCAGGTAGCCTCATATTTGTCTATACTAAGTTAATACCGGAACTAAAGCCCATACCATGGAATATCGGTATACATCCCAGAATCAAGCTAGATCAGCAGCCCTCAACTCGCTGCCATGGTTGCAACTTACCTTAACCTGGATTGGCTATATACAGGCCGGCTCCAGTCGCAATCCTCCGACTGTCTGTATGCAACTGTCTGGGCTCCTATGCTCGGACATTAATCTGTGGGTGACAAATGTGAAAATCTCCTTTAAGATCCCTATGGCCATTCGTAATTGATATACTTGCCTATCGTTCTTCTTTTTTCTTTCATTTTGCTATAGCATTGTAGTGTAATTATTACCAAGGTTCGCAAATTGGTCATGAATGGTTCAAATATCACTAATGGCACCAATGGCAGCCTAGACTCTATATTTGGTGAAGAATATGAGGGTCCCACTGTGGTAACCGTGACGAAACCACCGATAAAGTGGATTGTCGAGGCACTAGTTTCAGCGGTAAAAGAATCTGGGGAACTGTCGTTGCTAGATTGGGATAGGTTTGGGCCCGTATTGACATACTGCTGCTCTACATACGGGTTGGCATGTCTTATCATGGCGTTCATCCTCAATAGGACGCTTATACTCGCATCTGTTAACACTACCAGGTTACAAATGGGGACGGTAAATCGAAATTTGGGTGCAGGAGCAACACCCTCAAGTAGATCGAGTGGAACAACTAGCAAAAGGATGTTTGAGATGGTAAAGAAATTAACATCATTTGCACTTCGGTTGGCTGCAATTGGAACTCTTTTGTACAACTGTTTTAATGTGTTGGTGATGCTTGATTTCATTTGGAAGTCTAATAATTTTGATGAAAATGTTGATAATTGGTTTAGCAAAGGTGTCAGCTACCTCTTACGGGGATTTGAATATAGCCCGGACTACTATTACAACAATAAGTATATGGCGACGCCAAAAGACCAGGTCCAAATAGGCCCTACTACTGATATGTATTGGCCAGTGTTTTTGGGCTATTGTTGGCTGCTGTTTGTGGAAACATTTATCTCTGTAATGCAAGGTCGGAAACCATACAATGAGGCTGGAATCACCATATTTGAGCACTCTTTTGCATTCCATCAATCGAGATCCAAAACTGGATTCCTTTTCGGAGGTAGAAGGATACATGCCAGACCAACAGAGCAAGTTCTTATTTGTAGCTTGTACCTGATAGCCAATCATTTGAATATCCAAATTGGTGGGGCCATAAATAACAATCGATATAGATTGATTCCCCTGACCATTTTTGGAGCGTCCTTTATGGTTTACATCTATAAAAATGTGTTAATGGGTAACATTTTTGAGTTTTCATTTGTGATTATTTCTGCATTTATTCCACAGTTCTTATTTTTGGGTGTGATCTTCATTTGCACATTGATTTGTTCCTTGGCATTCATGGTTAATGGCTTCCAATTAACCAATTTGAATTATGCCAGCTTCTTCCAAATCGCTGAAGGAGAACAAGAGGCTGATAATGACGACTCTCATTTTGTCCACTTTTTATTTAAGAATTTCAACATTCAATTATCCGATGATTTTTACACTTCATTGCTTAATTTGGGTACGCTGATGATTTCTGTAGCTGGAAAATCTTGTTATATTAAAGAATTGGGTATAGTGACTGTAACTGATGAGACATGGTTAGAAAAAAGCATTTGGGAGAAATTGCTTGCAACGATTAATTTGGACACTAAGAAGCATGGCTCAAGTAGCATGTCAGTTTTTAAGTATTTAAAGGGGAAGAATATATCAGGCTATGCAAACCTTATTAAATCTCCCTCTGAAAGGCTCTTGAAAGGACAGACCTTAAGAGAATATGAGCTATCTATGAACTCCTCCAAATATGACGAACACAGTGTGATGAAAAGAAGAATCATGTTTGTGAGCGAGCTTTTTGGTAATCTTCTTCAGCTTTTTAGTGGACTAGCCAGAAAGGCTTGGAGATTTATTACGAGGACTCGGGCTAATGATAAAGATATTCCCGTATTCCTTCAGAGATTTATCCAACCAAAGACAGATGACGCTTTGCAGAGTATCACCGAAATGAACAAGTATCAGCTCGTCAACGTTGACGATTTGGATGAAAATGAACTTTCTGTTCAACTACTTTATCTGAAAGATAGTGAGTTTTCAGAAATTGACAATTCAAATGACTACTTCCTAGAAGATTACATTTCTGAGCAACTGGATATTGAACTGGATTTGGAACTGGTTGATGGTTTTGCATTTGAAGAAATCATGGGTTCTCCACAGGAATTTATGGATTTGGTCGGTTCTGGTCAAGAATTGAGATACCGTATGAGTTCAGATGCAGTGATGACTAGATCGGTGTTCAATAAGCTAAGTCAAAATGAGAATGAAACTACCAAACTCATGGAGTTGATAGTAGAAAAAAGGAGACAGCAACTAGAAGCACTCAAGAAGAGGGAAGGCGAGGATGAAGATGAAGTAGAGGATTTCAGTTCTTCAAGGTACGATTGCGTGGTTTGTCAAGTTAATCCTAGAGAAATAATAACTTGGCCATGTAAATGTTTTGCGGTTTGTGAGCTGTGCAGGTTAAGCTTGGTCACAAAGGGTATGGAGGGATGTGTTTGTTGTAGAAAGAATGTTGAGGGGGTAACGAGAGTTTTTATCCCATAAAACTGGGTAATATGAAAGACAAGACTACCGTTTTCTGTGTATAGGTTCAAATTATTAGAAGCTTATAACTTACAAATCTTAAGCAAATCTTCAGAAAGACCTACACAAAGCAGAAATTCCTCTGTCTAAAAGACGTAGATTTGGAATATTTGTATATTATTTCTACTTAAGTCCTACTCACGACAATATTTGCTATACAGGAGGGTGACATTGCAAAAAGCAGCTCTAATTCGATCGGTGTACTTCTATACTACTTGGCTCATTGTACACCTGCATGTAATAAAAGGTTGCAACCCTGGGCTGGCGGAAACTCGGACCAATTTGCACCCTTTAACAAAGATACCAAAAATTGAAACAGACCAGGGAATGGCTGGACATTGTTAATTCAAAACAAAATTCCTGGATTATCCCCCTATTTTTTAGTAATCAGCATGTACAGCCATTTGGGATGCGTGATCTATTGCACCAACCATCTCCCACTGCACCACCAATACGCCAATACGCGCGGAATTATACGGCGGTGTTAGTTCAAACCGTTTAAACCCAACTACAAATTTAATACAGTTTGAAGAAACATTTACTATCCAAAAAGTAGCATCTAATTCTTTAGATCTCTTTGTAAGTACCTAGATATCTCTGAGCTCTAGCATGGGTCCACCTCCCTGCTCCTATATTCCCCAGCACTCTTTTGACCTGCTCTCAGTATAGTGGACCCATAGCTTCTCCTATATTTTTGTTCCACGCACGACTCACGAAAACAATGAAAACAAAAAAAGAAAAATATGAAAAACTACACCAGCTGTTAACAGAGGCAACTAAATTCTTTCAGTTCATAGTCAACATAAAAGAAACTGAGATTATTTTGATACTGAAGAGAAGATAATTGTTTTGGTTAACGAGTCGTTCTTTTTTTTTCACGGATTCTTTTGCTTTTTTTCTTCCAACGCTCCGCATTCCTCAAGGTCAGCTTGTGAAGAAAAGCTCCCACCAGCCAAACACGCGTTACAACCTACGCTGCTTGCTCAATAGCGTCTTATTTTGAGTCACATTAACTGTTCCACCATGGCTGAACATTTGTTAACAACGACGGTCACGGAGACTACGACCACAACTCCAACAACGACAATACCGCCAACCTTGGAATTGATCTCGTCAGCAATCGGCGATTCTTTTGTTCACTACCTTAATAAGTTGGATCAAATCCCGGGCGGGCAGATTATTTTACGTTATATTCGATCCTCCTATAAAAACGATCCTGTCCGTTCATTGTTTGAGTTAGCTTTATTTATATTTGCTGTCCACTACTTCTTGCTGTCCAAGAGAAAGGAGAACAAAGCCGACATTGTCAAGTTTTCTAAACTTGAAATCGATGAGTTAATAAAGGACTGGGAACCTGAACCTTTGGTAGAAGAAGTTAATAACTTAGAAAAATGGCAATTGTCTGCAATCCCTAAGATCAAGGGCTGGAATAAGAGCCACATGACCTTATACAATGAAGCTTCCGGCAATAACATTAGCAGCAATGTGGTTAATTTGGCATCGTATGACTTCCTTGACTTGAATGAAAATGACAACGTACATAAGGCTGCAAAGGCTGAAATTTCTACTGCCGGTGTCGGAGCATGTGGACCACCTAATTTCTATGGTACCCAAGACGTTCACGTCAGATTGGAAGAAGATTTAGCAAGATTTTTACAGACCGAGCAGTCAATTCTCTATGGACAAGATTTTGTTACCGCTGGTTCCGTTATTCCTGCCTATTTGAAAAGAGGAGATCTTTGTATTGTGGACAGTGGAGTCAACTTGGCCATTCAGAAGGCTCTTATCGTCTCTCGTTGTAACATCGAATGGTACGAACATAACGACGTGGACCACTTGGAATCCATTTTGGAAGAATTGAAGCCAACTTTGGACAAGGAACCAGTTCGTAGAAGATTCATTGTTACTGAGGGTTTATTCTTAAACACTGGTGACATCTGTAATTTGCCTAAAATCGTTGAATTGAAGAATAAGTTCAAGTATAGACTCTTTCTCGATGAAACATTGTCAATTGGTGTCCTTGGTGCAAACGGTAGAGGTGTAGTTGAACATTATAACCTTTCAAGGTTGGAAATTTCCATTACCATTGGTACATTTGCCGGATCATTCGCCAGCTCTGGTGGGTTCTGTGCTGGTGTTAAACCAATGGTTCAGCATCAGAGAATTAATTCTAATGCTTATACCTTTAGCGCATCGTTACCACCATACTCAGCTATTGCTTCTTCTCAGTCAATTAAGGAAATTATGAATGAACGAACCGCAGCCGGAAATTCTAAATTGATCGCCCAATTGCATGAAAGGACTTCACACCTCTACTCCAAGTTGACTTCAATAAAGACGACTTTCTTTAAGGTCACATCCAATAGCAATTCTCCAATAATTCATATCTCACTTTCACATCAATACAGAAAGGCCTTAGGTTTGCCAGCATTTTACGGGAACACTCATTTTTTGAACACTGGTAAGCAAGCTAGAAGCTTAAATGAATTCTCGAAAGCGTACAACATAGAATCCTTCCTTTTACAAAAAATCATCGATGGCGTACTCTTTGAATCAAATATTCTTATTACAAGATCAAAGAGTATTCTCGATCATGAGAATTTGCCTGTGATATCTCCTCAATTGTTAATTATGGTCAACAGTGGTGCCTCATTAAAGGAATTAGACTTACTTGCTCAAACTTTGGAAATTATTGTTAATAAAGTTTGTAAATCTGTTTCCAACGAAGCCAGATTATTATCTTTAGAAGATGAACTTCTTAAATACACTAAGTATTGATTAATCTGGTCATAACTTACATAAATTCTTTTTTTTTTTGGGACATAATTTGTTTACTCCCTAACTAATATCTTACTTCCATAATTACATAACCAAATAGTATATATTAATATCATTAATTAAAAATATATTTCCTTTCCCAAAAATTACCTCAGCATTCTGTTTCTTGCCTCTCTTGCAATGGACCTGGCCTCTTCGATGTCGTGAGCATTGCTATGATTTAAATCTTTCGCTAGGGCAAGAGCTTCTTCGAACCTCCTATTTTCCAAAGCACTTCTTGCTAGCCAGAGTCTTGCTTTGGAAGTCTCGTCAGTAATTCCCCACTCCAACTCCAGCTCTAAGCACATTTTCATGTACTTCACAGTATCTTTCCATAACCCTAGCTTCTCAGAAAACGTCGCTAATTTATAAGTTATGTGAGGTTCCACAACAGCGGTATCAGCTTCAGATTCCGCACCGTTGATGCTATTGTTATAGCTATCGATATGAAGAGCCTTTTCAAAACTCTTGATTGCCTCTTCAAGTTTATCAATCTTCTCGTAACAATTCCCAATAGCCTGCCACATTCTCTTGTCCAATGGCTGCAAATTGGTAGCTCTTTGATAGTAATACAAGGCATACATGTGCATATCCAATACTTCATAGGCTTGGCCCAATCCGTACCAAGCTCTAAAGTCCTTAGGGTTGGTATCCACCGCTCTTCTGTAGGACTCGATTGCAGCATGAGAATTTTTCAACTCTACGAATTCGTGTCCCATGAGAGTCCAAGCTGAAAGGCAGTTCTTGTTCAACGTAAGTGCTCTCTTATAATATGTAATAGCCTTCTCATGTTCGCACTTCATTGAATGATAGTTGGCAATAATGCAGCAAGTCTCGGGTCTAAATTTATCGATCAGAGACAGGAACTGAGCCAAAAAGGATAATTTGGATTTCTTCTCCATGACGTAAAGCATATTAGAATAAGTATCCAAGTCGTCCAATCTTAAGGGGTCATTAATTAAGATCTTGTCGAATATTACTTCAGCTTGAAAGTAATCCAAGCTGTGATATGCTATGAGAAACTCTTGAACGTTTAAGAAGTTGAAATGAGGGAACTTAACAAGTAAGAATGCTAGGTTTTCATTCAAAATATTCAGCTCCTGATAAAATTCCTGGTAGATCACCACCTCAAAGAATTTAAACATTATATTGGAAGACAACGAAATCTTTGTTTTCCTCAACTTCCCAATAAAGGTTAGGGCTTCCTCGTATGTAGTCAAAGACGCAATGAGTTCTTGCCAGCATGACCAATTGTAAGGAAACAACCTCAACGAATGAAATAAGTTTGTCTGAGCAATGCCATATTTCTTCTTCTTATTGTAGATGATCCCATTTAAATAGAAAAGAAATGCGTTGGGCTTAGAGTTTGGTTTACTTATGTAGTTGTTGATTTCTTGAAGAATCTTGGAAAGTTTGGAATTCAAGAAATCATTGAAATCTGACGTACCGCCGATCAATTCAGAGCCGTTGCCCATAGAGCTGGCCCCACCGGGTCCACCACCGGCACCGCTATTGCTTATTTTGTTGCCATCTGGGTGGATATTGCCCACCTTGGTCAGCAATGACGTGCTGGATCCAACTTTGATACTCCCGTCTGTCTCCTCCATGGATCTCTTATCAGCTGATATCAACATGGAGTAGAGTCTTAAGAAGAGAGCATTCCCACTCCTACAGTCCTTCAACACATACGCTGCTCTGTCGAATTCTTTGCAATTGAAGTATGTTTTGGCTAGCAAGAACTTGTCCTGGTCGAAGATCTCGTCGGCGTCAAGCGGTGGTAAGTTGTAGTCTGAATGTGAGTGCGATTGATCTGTGCTTATTGCTTCCAAACCGTTAAGTGCTTCAGCTGACCATTTCGCTGCCTGGTAAAGGTTCAAATTTGTTAGCGTCTGTGTCGCCTGAATGAGCTTAATTCGTATGTCCGACATCTGTAGTCTAAGATCCTAAACAACAATGTCCAATTGACTCTGTCTAGCTCTGTGTATCTCTCTTTGCAACTGTGTTTTGATTTCGCTTTTCTTTCCTTCTTTAATTTTTCAGATTTGGAAATTTTGCCTGAACAGAAATTTTCAAATTCGATGTATGTGGAAGCAGGCAGAGACAGACTTCTTTTGCGATAACAGAGCTGTATCATAGATAATATGACCACTTCTACGTTCCAGTCTGCAGAGCAGCTTCTCTCGCATCATCTCTCAGGGAATTTGGAACCTTCAGAGCTTCAGCTCCTAAAGAAACAGTTTGTACTAGACTCGTTTAAGGTGAACCGATTCCATAAGAATTTCAAGAGCTGGGAAAACACAAGCACAGACGAGTTCGTTCAGAACGAAATCACCTCATACAACTCCAAATTGGGGGAGTTATCACGGATAAATTACGAAACAGAGCATTTGCATCGAGAATACAAGAAATTCTGTCAGCAGATTGATCTACCAAGCTTCCAGTTCGCAAGAGAAACGTTGGAGCAGTACGAGGATGGGAGACTTTTACCAGATAGCGCTAGTGGGGGCAGCGCCATTGCGCTTTCAGAGATATTCTCGTTGAATGTGGATGGCATATTGCCCAAGCCAGATATTGTAACGTTTAGGGCATTGCTTAATATCGAGTTTCGACTTCGAATTCAAAGGAAGATCAAGTACGAGATCTTGCTCATCATAAAGCAGCAGTTAACTGCCAAAAATAAGAAGTGGGCCACAAGAGACTCCACATTGAATGAGTTTATGAGAAAGCTTGAGAATGTCACCGAGGAGGTGGACAGAATTAGGAAGAGCGAGAAGGAAGACTTGAAAGAGTACGACGAGGAGGAGGAGGAGGAGGAAGACGAAGACGAAGACATGGAGCAAGAGGAGCAAGACCGTGACGACGAAGAAGCAGGGGACGACAACATCGAGGGCGAGGAAAGAGCAGGAGAAGAAGAAGAAGAAGAAGAAGAAGAAGAAGAAGAAGAAGATGCCCTGGTTGAGCCGGAGCACCTGGAATTTAGTGTGGGTCCAGAGGACGTACGAGATCCAGAAGATGGAGAAGCCCAAGAACACATAGAGGAAGGTAACCCCCCGTCTAGCGGCACGGACGATCTTCAAGGAGCAGACGAAGACGATGATATCATGAACATTGACGGCTAGCTACAGGCCAACCAACCTATGCTCAACGAGAAGAAGACTCCTACAGGCCCATTTCATATCAAGTGCACTTCTTACGTGAAAAGGATATATCGTGCACCTGAAACTCAGCTCTAAGCTACGCTCGCTCACCTAATAAATAGCCATTTCATTAAAACCTACATCCATTAACATTTGGTTTGGTGACTCCAAACAATATATATCTTATTCTTGTACATTTCTTTAAGGTTGTTTCTCTTTTTTCAATTTTCTATTCTTTACTATACTGCCCTGCTTAAAAACCTATGCCTTGATTGTGTCCTTGACTGCTGCTGGTGCTTCTGCTGGTTCAAGAGCTTCGTTACCCTTTAAGATGTACAGGAACACTTGCGCTGGAGAATCACCAGCAGTTCTTCTGTAGTCAACGATTCTGTATAATTGATAACTTGCAATACCACCCAAGAAAAAGTTCACACTGGCCAATAACATGTTTCTTGGTTTGATGACAAACCCAGCCCAACGGGTCCATATAACTCCGGTGGACATTAAGGCAAGTTGTTGGGTACCACTAAGTTTTTCAACCGGTCTTTGTAAATCATTAATCCCTGCAATAACAATACACCATTTCAAGACTGGTGCCCAGAAATGCACAGTTTTTGGTCCAGTTTCGGAGTTCAAGTAACGGGTGAACTTGGAAGCATGTTGAGCGGTAGATGCCATCTTGAGAATATCGGAAAGTGTCGTCTATAATCACAACTATTTCGATCTTTAGTTGAACCGATTGGCTCTTGGTTTTTTTTTTGGCCCCCAAGGGAAAATCGGTTACTTCTGAGCCGGAATTGTATGCAGGCACGGTGTGGGTTTAGCCAAACCCCGCAGAAGGATGAGCAAGGGCATAAAGGTACTGGAAGCTGGAGGGAAGTGTAAGAGCATAGGATGAGTAGAAGGGATAAAACGTTGGTATTAAAAGTTGGGGTTAAGAGGGAAATAGAATTGGGCAGAAGAAAGGAGGCCAAGGAGAATTAGTTCCTGGCAGGTTATGTAGACTCTTACTATTGCAAAATTGTTGAATACATTGTTTTATATTTCCGTTGATACTAATTACTTTGAGTGGTACTGTGTGTAAGGAAAGCAGCACTAATTGGGTGCAAAAAAAAAAAAAAAAAAAAAAAAATAAGAAGGAAAGAAAGAAAGAAAAGGAAAGAAAGAAAGAGAACTGTTTAAAGGTTAGTTCTTGCTCGTTGGCACCCTTCTTTCCGGTAGTTCTTCCTTTGAAAAATAGATAGCAGACGACTGTAGTTTTTCCTTAGATTCTTCTTCTTCTGCTAGACTCAGCCAAGGATGTTTCATTCTCTGTCTTTGATACCTTTATTGTTTAAAACTCGTATATTCTTGTGTGATCTTCTAACAGGAATGTCTCCATACTCTTCCCCTACGCCATTATATTCAAAACAATTCCAATTAAAAATGTTATATCTGGCACCGTGTTGGCTCTGTCCGCATTTCCTCTCAATACAGCACTTGAAGTTGAAGAAGTTGACAGCATTGATCTGGTGGTGGAAGATCTAGACGAAGAGGTCCGCCTTATAGTGGTACTGGTGCTGGAAGATGTAGAAGACGTTGTGGGGTGATAAGCAGTGATGTTGGATATTCCCTCGAGATAAAACGTTTGAGAATCAAGAATGAAATCGCCGGAAGTATGTAGCGAGACAATCTTGTTGTTCAGCACGGAATTACTTTGTACCAAAGCTTTAAAAGTGTTAGCTTCAGATCTCGGATTTAGGGCCAATCGTACACTGCCATCTTGTTGTTTTATAGTTGAAAATGCATTGCTATAATCTGGAGGATCAACGTAAGCTGAAAGATAATCATTCGTGGTCCTCAAATAAAACTTCCCATTATCAATATACACAATGGTTTGCTCTTCGTCGTGATCATAGTAAAACTTTGGCGAGGTGTAATATGCTGGATCTACCAATTGAAATAAGTAACTTTCTCCATTCTTTGTGGGGTACAAGATTTTTTCATCTAAAGTTGTCGTATAGTCATCCACTACGGGCCTTGATCTTATTTGGAGTTCTTCTACAAAGTTGGATTCTGAGTCCTTTATTAAGTACAAGAAAGGAATTAGGAAGAATACTAATAACATTGCAGATTGAATAAAGATTTTGATTTGTGTATGCTTTCAGAGCCTAGAATATATGACTATGGAGGGCGACAAGTATGACTTAAATATATAGTTCAAGCTAGTTTCCCTGAAGTGTTCCAAGAAAACCTTAAAATAAGCTTTTTACCTTTTTAAGATTTGGTATATGCCATAAAATCCAAACACCGAGGAAATTGATTCAAATTATCGAAAATAGCCCTTTATTTTTAATATATTTAAGAGGTTCTATCAAGGCTGCCGAGCTTGATTTCTTGATTAGTACTTTGCAACGTTTTACTTTCTTATTTGTTCATTAGCAGTAGAAAGATATGCCAAGTCTGCGCTCCAGCCGTACAGATATAAATGCGGCTGCAACTTTTCTTGACAATCAGCTGACTAGCTTGCTTCACGAAGCGTAAAGTTTAATCTTACATTGTACAAGTTTGCTATTTGAAATGGTCCTCTTGTGGGTCCTTAACCTTACAGTTAGCAAATAATCTCTAGTTCAGTGGTTTCTATATGGGTGCTATCATATTTACTTTAAATATCCACCTTGTTCGCATAAGTTATAAAATATGGAATCTTTGTTGTTGAGTAAATTTTCAGGGGTGTCAAATTCTTTTAATTCTCCATGATCAAGTGCAATAATTCTGTCACTATCCATAACAGTATCTAACCTATGAGCAATAGTTATGATAGTTCTATCTTTAAAATGACTTCTAATCGTATCTTGAATAATTTTGTCTGTTTGTACATCAACTGCAGCAGTAGCTTCGTCGAGGACTATAATTTTAGACTTGTTAAGTAAAGCTCTGGCTAAACACATTAATTGAAGCTGTCCAGCAGAGAAGTTCGATCCACCTTCAGTTATTTTGAATAGCAACCCATTGTTGCCAGATTCGCTTTCATTAGCATTTGGTTCTTTATGTTGCAGAACTTCTTGAATATGATCCTTTAAATGCGCCAATTCCAATACTTTCCAAATCTCTTCATCTGAATAATTGTTGAACGGATCCAAGTTTTGTCTAACGGTTCCTTCAAAAGCCTGTGAATCTTGTGGAATGATCAGTAGATGTTGTCTTAAAGCATAGACCGATAACTTGGAGATATCCACATTATCAATGAAAATACTTCCTTCCACAGCTTCTATGATTCTGAAGAGGGCTAAAGTTAAAGAGCTCTTACCTGCTCCTGTTCTACCCACTACTCCAATTTTTTCCTTTCCCTTAATTTCAAATGAAACATTCTTTAGAATGAGATCAAGGTTCTTACGGTATCTGGTAGAATAGTTAACAAATTTAATGGCACCTTCTGAGGGAAATAGCTCAGGTAATTCCTCATATTGCCCAACATCTTCGTTCTGTTCTTCTGGTAACTCACAATATTCTAAACATCTTTCAAATGCAACTATAGTTGACTCAACTTCAGCAGACATTCTAACAACGAAACTCAAAGAGTTCGCAGTTTGCAATGCATATGTCATAACAAAACCAGCAGTTCCGGCACTCAAAGGTGATTTCGTTAATAAAGTTAAAATGGATAGAATACTGACTGAAAGAATAGACAATGAACCAATAAATTGTAACCTTGAAGATAACCATCTATTTGATGACCTCAACATGTAAAGGGATTTCAAATTAAAGTCAAGATTAGCATCATCTAAATATTTGAATCTATCAAATTGTTTGAAAGCTCTGACAGTATCGACACCATTCAAAGTTTCCTGAAAATGAGCATAGATGGGAGACCTTGACACAGAAGTTAATCTCTTCAATTCTCTAGAGATAGACAGGAAGTATTTTTGGTAATAAAAGTAGGCAAGTGACAAAACTGCAATGACAAGTATGAAGGGTGGAACAACGACAGCAATTACACCTAAGGTGAATAAGGTGTTCATTGTTGAATTAAAGAATCCTCCAAAAGCTCTTGGTAAGACATCATCCACTCTATTAATATCACTTGTAAATCTATTCATTATTCTTCCAATAGGCGTTCTTTCGAAGAATGACATAGGAGCTGAAAATATTGACTTCGACATCCTATCATGGATGTTTCTTGAAGCATTGATTGATAAAAATGTCCACAAGAGACCACTTCTGATAAGAATGAAAAGACTACTGCTGAATCCTAGGAGTGCATAAATTCCGATATATCTGATTGCATCTTTATTGTCACCAGCATTTGAATTCAGTTCTGCCCAATTCTTTAACCAATAATTAGAGGCAACTGAAAATGAACAAGAAATGATGAGTGAGATAATCCAAATGATGGAGCCGGTTCGGGAAGACGCATCAATATATTCTTTGTAAACATGCCATTTCACACTACCAATCGCTTGCTTTTCGATAGTCTTATTGGTCCTCAGTACTGTGACCTCTTCTGTCACAGTATTGAGACTTTGATCTTTAGTGGGAGCATTATTAGTAGGTTTGGTGTGAAATATATTTGACAAAGACTCCCATTTGAATGGTGCTAACGTTGCTCCCTCTAAAGTGGCACTTGAAATAGTTCTAGTAAGTGCATTAGTTACTTCATCCTCCTCGTTATCGGAAGTGGCCGTTGAAGGAACTGTTGAAGGTATAGGCGTTGGAGTGGCTGAAGGCGTGGCACTTGAACCATGTTTTCCAAATTCTTTTAACAAAGTATATAACTTGCCGTTTTTTCCTTCGTTTGCCAAAATTCCACTGAATGTTCCACTTTCTACTATTTCACCTCTTTCTAATAAATCAATAGAGTTTGAATAATTTAATACCAGTAAGGAATTTGTAGCCAAGATAATAGTCTTGGTCTTTAAAATTCCCAGCTCTCTTGACAACACCTTTTCAATGATTTGCTTTCCAACGTGACTATCAACAGCTGATAAAACATCATCTAGCAAATAAACATCACTTCTTGCATAAACTGCTCTCGCTAAAGATAATCTTGCCTTTTGTCCCCCAGAAAGTGAAATACCTTTTTCCCCAACGAACGTTGCATCTCCATCAGGTAATACTTTGATATCAGGTCCTAATTGGCAACATTCAATTGTCTTCTGATAAAAGGCCTCGTCATATTCATGTCCAAATAAAATATTATCTTTTACAGTAGAGTTCATAATCCATGGCGATTGAGCACAATAAGCGATCGAACCACGAATTGAGACTTCTGGTAACCTGTTGAATGCATCAATACTATTGATTGCTTCCAACTGACCCAACATCGATGTAAGAAACGTAGATTTACCACTTCCAACTTTTCCCACAATGCAATTTAATTGTGATTTTTTGGCCCTAAAATTAATGTTTTTAAGTGCATATTTTATTGAAGTAACATTGGATTCGAGATCTTCTCCATCTTCAACGTCTTTTCTTCCCGGATCTACAGGTTTCTCCCAAAGGAATGAAGTATTCTTAATCTCAACAACAATGTCATCATTCTTATCTGCCTTAGGTAACTTCGCAATGATTGTAACATCAATTTCTGACGAAACTAAAAAGTCTGCAATTCTATTCAAAGAAACGGAGGTATCAACTAATTGAGTAATGACACCTGGTAATTGTAATAGTGGACCAGACAACATATTCAAAAGAGATAAAGTTGGAAATACAATATCCGACGTTAATGGAACATCCAGTGTAAGGGCAAAGGTTGCAAACGTGGTAAATGTAAGACAAAATGGTATAAGGATCCAAATCAAATTACCAAAGATGTTGACATAACGAATTTTCTTCAAGTTTTTCAATTCTTGGTTGATTCTAACTTCCTGCAACTTCTTATTCATTGGTTCTTCCCACGAATAAAGCTTTATACTTTTTATGGAAGTCAATATATCATTTATAGTACGACTTCTTAAATCAGTAAATTTCATTTGAGATTTTCTGAGCCTTTTCAGAATTTTGATGACGAATGAATTCAATGGTACTAGAATTGAAAGCACTGCAAAACTTGCTAAAGTAGGCTTCCATCCGACTAAGTAGTAGAGTGAGACCAAACAAAGAATAAGCTCAATTGGAGCTACGACTATAGTTTGAATGTTTTGAGTAATTTGTTGAATTCTGTCCACATCAGTAGATACAAGATTAACAATATCACCAGTAGCGTATTTTGATTTTGATTCAGCCGAAAGAATCAACGATTTTTGAAAAAGAAGCGATGTTAACGAAGACCTGCAACCCAAGCCTGCCTTCAAGATTAAAATCATGTATTGGTTATCAAACCATGTTTGCATAATGGTAACTGAGAACATTGAAAGAGCAATGATCAATGCACGAAGGATTGGCTCATTACCTCCACTTTCCTCAAATTCACTGAAGAACCTGATTAAATGTCTTAACAATTGAGGTTGAACAAAGGCCAACACCAGAGAGCCCATTTCACATGAAAATGCCAAAAATACAAGATTTCCAAATGCTAACGACAACAGCACAAATAATTTCCAAGAACTTCTCTTCTTATTGCCCGTGGATTCCATAGTGTAATGTTTTCTTAGCTTGGCAGTTTCCAACTCTGCTGAGAGTTCATGTGAAATACTAGGTAAATCATCGGTTGTCAAAGTCTTATTGATAAACGCCTTTTGGATAAGAGGATTCATCCAAGTGAAGGTCATAACCGAGTATAAGTTGGGCTTTTCAAGTAGGTAATCCCATCCTTCTAATTTGAAAGAGTGGATCAATTTGTGACTTGGTTTCCACTGTAATGTTTCGTAGAACAAAATTGAAACAGAATTGAAAATTGAAAAAATTTCCAATGCAAACAAGAAGATGTCAGATCTTGCTGAGAGTAAGGGCCAATTGGTATAATTATCCTGGAATAATAATACCACCTGTAATATGATTAAAATGGGCCAGAATGCAAGCAAAAGAGTGCTTGGGGTTGGACTGACAACAACTTCTACGAAATGTAAAGGCAATATCACGAAAGCCAATACAATTGAAATAAGAATTTGGGCCAATATCTTAAAGTCAGCATACCTCGCATGAATGTTCGTCGAGGTAAAGGTTAAGACCACGTACAATAACGCCTGGATCAAAACAGAATTACATCTTAACCAATGGTTGAATCCAGTATTCCTGGGGAGCAAGTTTCCGTACCAAGTTCTCTTTTTGAAAATAAGGAAAAGCTCAACTAAACCAAATGTACCAAACACTACAGCTATTGCAATGTAAAGCCATGATACAAAGCACGGATTGAATGCATTTTCCTTATTAGGAGCTAATGGTTGCAAAAAGGAATACAAGCCGCAAACCAATTGTGGGTATTTGGTATCCCCTTCCACCAGTGGGACCGAAATCAAGTTGACTCGATCCTCGGATTCAAGCAATGAGAATACCTGATCCATATTATACCGAAAGCAATTCTTCGCTACAAATTACTTATCAAACTGTATAATATATTATGTATATGTATATGCATCAAATAAGTGCAGACTTTACGTTACTATTTATATATTTTCCATTGGCATGATTACACCGTTATCTACTCTTCATTGTTGCCATTGCCTTCAGTGGATTATTTTGTAGTGGAGAGCCATCTGAAATGTCGCGGTGCATGAAAACGCATGTAATTGTTTAGGTGTATGGATGTTCCGTGCTACTTTTAAATTCAATTCAAAGGCCGAGCCTATGAGGCTGATCCTAAATTGGATATGATTACATTCACCTTATGAGCTACAGATTAGGGCACGTCAAAATGTGGCATCCAGTATGATTTGACATATGGTGCAGATGTGAGTATTATGCGACATGAATCTTCTTTTGCAAAAGGCGTTTTGTATAAGCGCCGCACGACGCATAGGCTTTTTAGGTTACAAGATGCAAGGTGAATGAAGAATGCAACCTACGATTCCTTTCTTGCCTTGAATTACAAGCTGCAAATGAATAAGCATTGCAGCCTACGGGTTCATATCTCGCTGTAGAATACAATATTATTATATGCTAACTAGTAAGTTTGTATATACTTTTTTTGATCCACTGTCCTTTACTCTTCAGATCTCCCATTTAGAGGTTCTTAGCCGAACTCTTGCTATAATAATCACTAGCGATATCCTCTAAAAGGGTAGGATTTGTTGGTTCCCATCCCAATTCCTTGCGAGTAATCTCATTTGAATGTGGAACGCTGAGACCAAAGAAGATTCCAAGGAATCCGAAGTGTTCCATAGCCTTTTCTTGGGGGATTGACTTGACAGGAACATTTATACTGCTTCCGATAGCTTCAGCGATATCTTTCGACTTGACACTGCCTTCACCTACTGCATGGTAAGCATGTCCTGCTTTACCCTTTTCAAGGGCAAGAACAAACACCTTTGCAGCATCATTGACATGCACGGCTGGCCAAGGATTTGAACCTTCTCCAATATATGCAGAATATCCTTTGCCTCTAGCAATGCCAATGAGACCTGGAATGAAACCATGATCACCTTCTCCATGTACAGTAGGAGACAATCTGACAGATAATGCTCTTACATCTTTGTCTTTATAAGATACAGCTAGTTTTTCTGTCAATGCTCTTGTGTTGCCTTCTTCCGCGCTTCTTTCATCTGTCTCAACAGCCACTTTCCCCTTCAGGTTGACAACACCACTGGTATAAATAAATGGACGATTTGTACCTTTGAGGACGTCTAACATTGTGGTGGTGGCTGTGCGATCAATTTGACAGCACTCTTCGTATCTGGTAAAGTCGTGAACAAATCCCAAGTGAATAACACCATCTGATTCTGCTGCACCTTTCTTGAGAGAGTCCAAGTCATTAAGGTCTCCGCGAAGAACACTGACCTTGGAACTGACCTCTTCTAACTTAGCTTGGGAAGCATCTGATCTTGCTAATGCGACAACCTCGTGTCCTGCAGCAAGAAGTTCGCGAACGACTTGGGTTCCAATGAAACCTGAAGCACCTGTAACAAATACCTTCATTTTATTAATTCTTAGTTATTGATTGTTAATATCTATACTGAAATTGGGATTGATATTGATATTAATTGGGAGAACTCAGAACCAATTGCAAGTTCTTGCCTTTTATAGGTAGAGCCCATATTGGTTGCGATATTTATGTCCGTCTTAACTCCTTTTTGGTATGCTTTTGAGAACAAATTTCAGAATTTGCAATATTTTAAGGTTGCAAGCTAAGTCCGCATTTAACTCCGTTGTGCTGCCGTGATTTTAGTAGTGGGGAAAAGAATTGGACAATGTTGCAGTTTATTCCAGTCCCGACATAGCTTCCGTTGCAGCTTACTTCCTTCTGCAGCTATAAACAAAATATTTCACGCTCAAGGTGATACTATACTCTAAGTTAAATTAAAAGCATTTATAATTCTCATGGCTTCTAGAATTTGAACTGACACAGCTGAGTGAAAAAATCTGGTAAGACATACCAAGCTTGCAAGCGTGAATGGCGATTTTTTTTTTTTATCTACACTTAACTCTAGTTAACATTCCAAGAAGTTCACTGGTTACAGAATTTTGCCAATTGTATACTGGAGATACAAGCGAGAAACACTACAAAAATTTTATGCGGTTTTTTATTCTCTTTCTCTATCATTATTATTTTTTTTCGCCTATTTTTAGCTACGTAATTTTGCATATTGATAATTTTCATAATGGGGGACATGAAAGTAATATGGTTGGACCAGTTTACTTTCACACATATCCGGTGACGAAGCCTCTACTCCAGTCCCTTTTGCCTAGCGGGACACCTTCCTTGCGCAAGATGGCATATGCCATGGAGACATGAAAATATACATTTGGCATATTCTTTAAACATACCACTGACTTAACTGGTACTTCCATTTTTCTCTCATGGAAGTAGAAGGTAGTAATTGTTTCACTGTCACTGTTGACCGACTCTTTATCGGCCTTATCCAACTCTTCAATGGCTTCGTTGATGCGCGCATGCATCTTCTCGTAAGAATCTAAATCCTCTTCGGGCTCTTCGTAGTCGTGGCCAGCTAATGCTGCAGCCACTGCTTGGGCCAGAAACGTAGCGTAGTGGACTTGGAATGGGAGTGGATTCATATCTTCTGTGAGTCTTGAGGTGAAGAAAGTAGCCGAATTTTCATGCTTCTCGGCTTGGGTAATGATTCTATCAAGGGATGTAAGGGCTCCTTTGGCCATTACTATAGTTGAGTCGTAAAGAGAGTGTGCCATCCTAACTTGTAGTGTAGGTGGGGGCTGTTTTGTCTCCCTCTCTACTAGACTTCAAAAATATTGGGCTCGTCGCCCTTTTATATTTGAGATGGATTCTTGGTGGTGTTTGGATGTGCCTCATATTCAGGCCCATTAACAATAAAGAAGATTATAAAACACCCAGGAAATACTTCATATTAGGTAGCCCAACTTATGTGTAAAGTATGTAGATTGTAGCAAGTGTCAGAAGAGTGCTGGGACCTTAGATATTAAAATAATAACTAGCCCTCTTACTATGTAGAGTGTGTAGATGGTAGTAAGAAGTGTGAGATAATGCTTAGAATTTAGATATAGAAATTTAGGTGCACGCTACGTACGGAATTCTTAGCAATATTAGTAAGTTTTTTAAGGCCTAGATTAAAGGCTGCTATTGATCCTCATCAGTGCAGACTACATTATTCACCATTATGAAAGTAAAAACAATTCATGTATTAGAGCCATAAAATATACCTATTTAGATTTAGATTTTTGGGTGCAAAATTACATCTGGGAGCAGATAATAGATTTAAATAACCAACTTCAAAACACAACAAGTTTTACCTTCGCTTTTTAGCTGACTAGTGATCATTTACATGCCTGGGGTAGAATTTTTATAATATTCTGTAGCGATCTCTTCTAATAAGGTGATATTTTTTGGTTCCCATCCTAATTCCTTGCGAGTAATCTCACTTGAGCTTGGCAGGTCAAAGCCAAAAAAGAATCCAAGGAAACCAAAGTGCTCCATAGCCTTTTCGCGGGCTACAGACTCTACAGGGACACCAAGAGTCTTACCAATAGCAGTGGCAATATCTTTGGTCTTGACCCCTTCTTCACCAGCTCCATGGTAGACATGTCCGGCCACACCCTTTTCAAGTGCAAGAACAAATAACTTTGCAGCATCATTAACGTGAACTGCTGGCCATACATTCAGTCCCTCTTCAATATATGCTGCAACTCCTTTGGCTCTAGCAACTCCAATGAGAATCGGAATGAAAGCATGGTCACCTTCTCCATGGACTGTTGGTGATAATCTTATAGATGTTACCCTTACTCCCTTATCTTTATAAGTTAATGCTAAGTCTTCAGTTCCTGCTCTCGTGTTAACAGGAGGGTAATATTCACTTTCAATTGCAACCTTACCTCTCTGATTTAAAAGACCACTAGTGTTTATAAATGGCTTGTTAGTACCTTCAAGGACATCTAACATAGTTGTAGTAGCTTTGCGATCGATTTGGCAACACTCTTCAAACTTACTAAAGTCATGAACAAACCCTAAGTGAATAACACCGTCTGATTCTGCTGCACCTTTCTTGAGAGAGTCCAAGTCATTAAGGTCTCCGCGAAGAACACTCACCTTAGAACCGAACTTTTCTAACTTAGCTTGGGAAGCATCTGATCTTGCTAATGCGACAACTTCGTGTCCTGCAGCAAGAAGTTCGCGAACGACTTGGGTTCCAATGAAACCGGAAGCACCTGTAACAAATACCTTCATTTTAAGTAATTTTTAGTTTTTAGTTTTGATTATTGATTAACGTTTATCAATTATTGATAATGATTTGTTTTTTGCAGCTTACTTCATGGAAACATGCCACTTAAATACCTTTTCAAAATGCATTGCGTACAAATCGTCAGTTATTTCCGCATCTAACTCCTTCAATACGTGCTATCGTAAGTTAGAATGTCATGTAAGAACTGCCCTCCTCTTTCAATTACGACTCTTAGAGGTTACCACTTGCTATGGCTTACAAATTATATCCGTCTTAACTCCACGCTTCACCACTATGGTATTTTTCACTTCATGTGTATTTCCGTAAAGTGTGCAGGAGTTTTATTTTCTGCACCGGAAAATATCCGATATTATTTCACTCTCGCGAAAGATGCAAACGGTTAAGTTACTAATTGGCTCTGATGGTGGCAAACCTCGGCTAGAAGGTTGCAATTATGAGCGGATTTGAGTGACTTGGCAATTGATGTTTGAAAGTACGGAAAGTACTCCTCAATATATGAGAATCAAAGCCGTTCCCCTTCGCAAGGCAAACTTAATGGTGGTATCTGTCATAAGCATGCAGTACCGAATGGGTGCAAATTGTAACTTGCAATTATTCAATTGATTAGAAAATTCGTCCATCATATCACCATTTGACTCCTACAGTAAGTGGTATTGTATGTTGGAATGTCATACAGTGACTCAACACCTCTTCAGCAGCGACCTTTGGTAATGGAAAATGCTACAAATTGTATCCGTTCCTAGCTGTTTATTCCCATTCTACTGCATTTCGGAGATTACATAGGTGAATAAATACGAGTAAAACTTGCTGGTATCGGGAAATTTCCGATACTACTTACACTATCTGGAAAAACGCAAATGTATTTGCTTACTTCTTGCATAGCTCTAATCAGACCAGCTTAAGGGCTGACACAAAAGTCGATATGTAGAAGGAGTACTAGGTGTTAGGGTGTGCAGTGTTCCAACATATATACGATCAACGCCAAGGCGTAGTTGAATATATTTTTCGTTGAGTTTTCAGCCGCTAGCAAGCGAAACCAAATGGGTGCAAATTTCAACCTACAATCATTTAAATAAACTTCATATTCTTATATAGTAACTACTAGCGCCTTATATTGTGATCTAATAATTAGAAGGTAGACGTGCTGTTGCGGTAAAAGTCGGTATTAATATCCTCGAAGAGGGTCACACCCTTTGGATCCCATTGCAATTCTTCACGAGTGATCTCACTCGACGTAGGTTGGTCAAAACCAAAAAAAATTCCAAGGAAACCAAAGTGTCCCATAACCTTATCTTGGGTAATAGATTCAACAGGAACATTAAGAGACTTCCCAATTGCTTCAGCGAAGTCCTTGGCAGTGAGAATACCTTCGGCTGCTGCATGATAAGCATGTCCAGCCTGACCTTTCTCAAGAACAAGTCTATATAAAACTGCAGCATCGTTTACGTGAACTGCTGGAAATTTGTTCAGACCTTCTTCAATGTATGCTGAAAACCCTTTGGTTCTCGTAATTCCAAAAATAAGCGGAACAAACCCATGGTCACCTTCTCCATGTACGAGAGGTAATCTCACAGTAGTGACTCTAACACCCCTGTCCTTGTATCCCAATGCTAGGGTTTCTGTTTTACCCCTAGTGCTAGGTTCCTTTGGATCCCTTTGATCTGTTTCGATGGTTACTTTTCCATCGAGTTTTATGGTACCACTAGTGTAAATAAATGGTTTATCGGTACCTTCGAGGACATCTAACATTGCAATAGTCGCTTTGTAGTCAATCTGACAACATTCTTCGAACTTACTGAAATTTTGAACAAATCCCAAGTGAACTACACCATCTGATTCTGAAGCACCTTTCTTAAGAATATCCACATCAGTGAGGTCCCCACGAAGAACAGCTACTTTAGAACTGATCTTTTCTACTTTAGCTTGCGCAACATCTGATCTTGCTAAAGCGACAACCTCATGTCCTGCAGCAAGAAGTTCATGAACAACTTGGGTTCCAATGAAACCTGAAGCACCTGTGATGAATACCTTCATTTTACTAATTATTGGTGTTTGTTCTTGCTTAGAGCCAGGAGACTTCAGGTGGATATTCTCCTATTCAAGTATTTTTTGGAATGTATTGTAAAGGCGGCAATGTTATATCCGCAATTGAAATTCATGGAGTTTATTATTGCAAGGTAAACATCATATGGCTCAGGTCTTTCATTGGATACTACTATCTCCAGTTGCCTATAGTCTTTTTTTTGGTTGCATGTTATATCCGGCATTAACTCCATTTTTCATTGCACGAGGCTGAAACACCTAATTCACTGAACCCCTAATTCATTAGCTATTCTTCATCATGAAACCACTTAACTGTTGCGAGAGTGAGTTGTACCCTAAGTGAGCCAGGGTGAGACAATTGACATTGTAGGGCCAATAACAAATTGAAAATTTACGGTTACTTTTCTGTAGTTTAGCCATTATTCAAAACATTTTAAACTGCGTATTGAAACTAAGGTTTCATACTAAAAGTGTCACTGCATAACATTATCTCCAGACAAGGTGTTTGGATGTGTCGTCTCATGCGTTAATAAAGCAAACCCCTTTAGGAAAGAGATATAACCCTAAGTACCTTAGTTATGATCTCCACCACTGGTATAGAAGTAAGAGAGCCCATGCAGTACGCGATTTACAACTTGAACCATTAACAACTACCTGAATATACTGTAATTGGTCATAACTCAGTTGTATTTCCTAATTTGAGTGCGAATACTAAAACTGCATTTCAGTAAACTGGGTACAGAACTAACTAAATCGAATGTATATATAAGAGTCATCCAAACTATCAGTCTACTTTACAATCATGCTCCACTACTGATAGGATTTTGACATCTATCATGAAGATTCAAGATACTACATATTTAAAATCACGTGAATGATCACGTGAATGATATTGAAATTAAATAATGCACACGAGTGTGTTGGTGTTTGGATGTGCTACCCTACTTAGGGCTGAGATCAAAGGTAGTTGTACTTAGGGTATATATAAGAGGACAAACAATGTAGAACAGTGATTCAAGTATCGCACGTTCCCAATAAGCTGTATAGACTAATATTTTACAGAAATTGGACTAGTTAAGGTTTGCAGTGGACAATTCTGCTTTCTGTTGATTGTCCACATTTAAAGTGTGTATTTTTTGCATCAATCTAACAAACTCAGGCAATAAATGGAAGTAGTGAATGTACACGGAAAAGGAAGAAACGAAAAACTTGAAATAAATACAGTCATTCATTGAATTACTGTATACTGGGGCAGTTATACTTGCCCCCGAGCCATTTTAGGTAAGAAATCGAGACTAGCCCTACTACCATACAAGTGGAATGAGAGATCGAAAATCCATGCAACCAAAAAATCCTATATATAACGAAGCCAGGCTCTATCCATTGCATGATAACCAAGTCTAATTAAGGCAGGGAGAGAATTGAATGAAGACAGAGGTAGAAGAAAGTGGGTGGTGGTCATGTACATGTACACGGAATAGTCGCATCATGTTTTATAGGGTCTGTTATCCTCCTACTTTAGTACCTTTGCTTTCGCTTTTCTTTTCTCCCATTACCATCACATAAGTGTTGCAGATTTTTTTTCGGTTCCGAAAGTGCCAATAACCAAAACTTCATATCCACCAGTAACATGTCATTTAAAATAATCTAAAACAGACCAGGGAGCCTAAGATGTGTCAAACAACATACACTATTTCCCCACACTAACCGCAATGCAGATATCAGAATAAACTTTTACAATGATACTTTTTGAATCAGAATGACATCAAAGGTCCATCAAACGATCAACGAAGGGCTGTGATTGCCCGTTCAGTGCCAGTCCGACCGATTGGAGAGCCTAAACCAAAACACACCCGAAATAAAATTCCCCTACAGGAAAGTGTGCAAAGCATTTCTTTTTTTTTTTTTTTTTTTACTTGCATTTGTTCCAGTTTTCGTGTGCCAGATCATTTACCGAATCGGCCCCGTCGCAGAACCATCATCACTTTAACCGTGGGCCGCACTGTTGAAATATGGGGCAGGAAAAAAAAAGTCAAGCAAATAATCGCGGACATCCCATTGATGATATGCACCATCTGAAACAACTACCGAACGTTCCAGTCGATATTCGTCTCTTTCCTACTGATTATCAGCTAATTGTGCTCGGAGTAGCCCCCCCGATTATATCTCTTACACATCCTCCTCAAAACTTCACCTTTCCACCGTCTCCTGTAGCCCAGATCATCAAGAAATAGTTTCTCCTGCATGTGCTGGATTTGAAATTTATTAGTTTTGATTGGCTGTGAATCCACAAATTTCCCTGCGCGCGCCCAAAAATCTTCCCTTCCTTGGGGGAGGGATCCATCCATCCACTAAATTCGCCGATATTTAATAAACACCATTTCCCCAAATTTTTTAGCTAGTGGAGGTAGAAAAATTTTCTTTTCTTTCTCCTTTTCTGACTTCCCATTCTACCCCATATACTCTACAGAACTCTGAACATGCTTTCTGCTAGATCAATTGCTAGAACATCTCGTCGTAGTCTTGCTACCGCTGGGTTAACTAGAGACTCTAAGGTTAATCAAAATCTCCTTGAAACCTTTTCATTTATTCAATACAAGAAGCATCTTGAAAATGTCGAAATTGTCAAGAACAGATTGAACAGACCTTTGACTTACGCTGAAAAGCTTTTATACGGTCACTTGGATGATCCTCACAACCAAGATATCGAAAGAGGTGTCTCTTACTTGAAGTTGAGGCCTGACAGAGTTGCTTGTCAAGATGCCACCGCTCAAATGGCCATTTTACAATTCATGTCTGCTGGTATGGATGCTGTTGCTACTCCATCCACTGTCCACTGTGATCACTTGATTCAAGCTCAAATCGGTGGTGCCAAGGATCTTGCTAGAGCCATTGACTTGAACAAGGAAGTCTTTGACTTTTTAGCATCTGCCTGTGCCAAGTACAACTTGGGTTTCTGGAAGCCAGGTTCCGGTATTATTCATCAAATTGTCTTGGAAAACTATGCTTTCCCAGGTGCTTTATTGATTGGTACTGATTCCCATACTCCAAACGCTGGTGGTTTAGGTCAATTAGCTATTGGTGTCGGTGGTGCTGACGCCGTCGATGTCATGGCTTCCTTGGCTTGGGAATTAAAGGCCCCAAAGATTATCGGTGTTAAGTTAACCGGTAAGATGAGTGGTTGGACCTCTCCAAAGGATATCATCTTGAAGCTTGCTGGTATCACCACCGTTAAGGGTGGTACTGGTGCTATTGTTGAATACTACGGTTCCGGTGTTGAAACCTTCTCCTGTACCGGTATGGGTACTATCTGTAATATGGGTGCTGAAATTGGTGCCACCACCTCAGTCTTCCCATTCAACAACTCTATGGTTGACTATTTGAACGCTACCGGTAGATCCGAAATCGCTCAATTTGCTAACTTATACAAGAAGGACTTCCTTTCTGCTGATGAAGGTTGTGAATATGATCAAGTTATTGAAATTGACTTGAATACTTTAGAACCTCACGTTAACGGTCCATTCACCCCAGATTTAGCTACCCCAATCTCCAAGATGAAGGAAACCGCTATTGCTAACGGATGGCCATTAGAAGTTAAGGTTGGTCTTATTGGTTCTTGTACCAACTCTTCTTACGAAGATATGACCAGAGCTGCTTCTATTATTGAAGACGCTGCTTCCCACGGTTTGAAGGCTAAGTCCATTTACACTGTTTCTCCAGGTTCCGAACAAGTTAGAGCCACCATTGCCAGAGACGGTCAATTGAAGGTCTTCGAAGACTTTGGAGGTGTTGTCATGGCTAACGCCTGTGGTCCATGTATCGGTCAATGGGACAGACAAGACATCAAGAAGGGTGACAAGAACACCATTGTTTCTTCTTTCAACAGAAACTTTACCTCAAGAAACGATGGTAACCCACAAACTCATGCTTTCGTTGCTTCCCCAGAAATCACCACTGCATTTGCTCTTTCTGGTGACTTAGGTTTCAACCCTATCACTGACACCTTATTGGACTCTGAAGGTAAGGAATTCAAGTTGAAGGCACCACAAGGTGTTGGTTTACCAGCCAACGGTTACGATGCTGGTGTTAACACTTACCAAGCTCCACCAGCTGACAGATCAGCCGTTGAAGTTCTCATTGCTCCAACCTCCGATAGATTACAAAAATTAACTCCATTCAAGCCATGGAACGGTAAGGATGCTGAAAGATTACCAATCTTAATCAAGGCTGTTGGTAAGACCACCACTGATCATATTTCTATGGCCGGTCCTTGGTTGAAATACCGTGGTCACTTACAAAACATTTCTAACAATTACATGATTGGTGCCACTAACGCTGAAAACGGTGAAATTAACAACGTTAAGAACCACTACACTGGTGAATACAAGAGTATCCCAGATACTGCTGGTGACTACCGTGACGCTGGTCACACTTGGGTTGTCATTGGTGACGAAAATTTCGGTGAAGGTTCTTCCAGAGAACACGCTGCCTTAGAGCCAAGATTCTTAGGTGGTTTCGCTATCATTACCAAGTCTTTTGCTCGTATTCACGAAACTAACTTGAAGAAGCAAGGTTTATTACCATTGAACTTCACTAACGTTGCTGATTACGACAAGATTCAACCAGAAGATGAAGTTGACATTGTCGGATTAACTGAATTAACTCCAGGTAAGAACTTGATCTTGAGAGTTCACCCAGCTAACGGTGATGCTACTTGGGAAACTGAATTATCTCATACTTACAACGCTGAACAAATTGAATGGTTCAAGTACGGTTCTGCTTTAAACAAGATGGCCGCTGTCAAGGCAGGAAAATAGGAAGAATAATAGCACTGATAATATAAGATTAAATTAATTAACTTTTCATTCTATTGTATTTATTCATACCGTGTTTTGTTGTTTTGTAGAGTTTACTCGCTAAATTGTTGTGATTCTGTAACTATTTTTATAGGCAATTAAAATATACATATTCGAAACGTAATCAACATTTTTTTAGAGAATTTTAGAGCTTTTTATGTTGTAAAAGGCATATTTGAGTGGGAAGATGGCTAAGAGGCTATTTTGTCTACATTTCCGATACCATGTTGGCATTAATAACTACGTATATATGTATCGAAGTATAGATGAAAACAGATCGAAGTTGAAAGTGAACAGACTGCTGGAGAGAATTTTCATTTAGTTTTCTTAAAATTTTTTCACCAGATATCGGATAAATCTCGGAACCGATCCGACTTAAGAGTGAAATTATGATATTAAATTTTTGACAAAATTACAAAACAGCAAAGACTTCGTGGCCAAGTTGGCTAAGGCGTGAGACTGTTAATCTCAAGATCGTGAGTTCGACCCTCACCGAGGTCGCACTGTTACATATTTTTTTTGGTTTCCGATTCTCTTACATACTACTACTTGATGATTGTAAAACCTACTTCCTATCGAGGAACACAATACATCGTTTCCTATCAAAGAATACGCTACACCTTAACCTGATTTCATTATAATATTCTGGGGTTTTCTTTATATACATTAAATATCTCTTATGTTCATTTTATCTTCTTTTGCTCCGGAGCATTTCATAATTTTACGTTTCCGGTGCTCAAGAAAACACCAAAAACTAGTTCATCAATAAGAGCCCACTAGCTTCAACACTCCGTTCTCTTTTATCTTTCCTTCCACTTTTACTTTAGTGTGACCTAACGTTGTCTCTTTAATGGCTCAACAACAAGCTTCTCAAATGTATACATTTGAGAAATAGTGGTCTGCCTAGTTAACATAGCTAAGTCAAGTATTCCTTGATTATAAAAGTTAGTAATCGCTTCGGAATCGCTGAGTCCCTTGTTAGCCTTGAAGGAATCTGTGACCTTCCTTTTAGCAAATTCTCTAAAATTATAGTTGTCGAACTTGTAAGCTTTTTCTAATAATTGCTTATAGAGGACTAAAATCTGTTTTGAGGTAGTCATTGTGCTCAAACTGGAAATGTTATCAGAAGAAGAGCCTACAGTAGTTCAGGTAAATTGTTAAATGGCAAATCTTCAAAGGTGAAGATGGGAAAAAAACCGACTATGTGCAGGAAATGAAATTTTCATGGATTTAAGGCTACACATTATGGAACCCTCTTACTTATCTCCAGTTGATCCCCTAGTTGCTTAGTGATGCTTGTCATATTAATGTTATCTATTGAATTCATATACATACAGGCGGAAAGAAAATAAATAAAATATATACGTATAAATATATATGTATACCTATCAATAATTGTAGCTAGTCTCAGTTAGACGTCTTCCTTTTTAACTTCAACTTCTTCCATTTGTTTCAATATCTCTTCAATTTCCTTGTCGCTCACTTTCTTTCCCTTACCTCCCTTCTTATTAGACTTCTTAGCATTAGCTTCCGCCATCATCTCTTCAAAGATCTGAGCTTCCTCAGCTTCTTCGGCGGATCTTTCAACCTTGCTCATAAGCTCACCTAAGAATTTGACCCCATGTGCTCTTATGGATCTTTCTTTTTTAGGCACTCCCTTGTCATTCAAAACTTTATCTACAACCTTATTTAATACGCTGGTAACTTCGAATTTGGTCAGGGCCCACGCCGTTGCGACAACTTTACCAGTTAACAATCTTTCCATCTCTGCTTGTCTGGCCCTCTCATCTACGGTCAATTCAATTCCCATAGCGGCTTTCGTTTCTAAATATTCTTGCTCCTTCATTAATTCTTGAATCATGGTTTGCGTTTGGAGTGCACTCTTCAAGATCCCATATCCGTTCTTGATAGTGTTTGATTTGGTCTTGACAGACAGGTAGAACTTGGTGACACCAAATGATTTAAGGGAGTTTAAGGTTGCGGTGGCCTGGTCGACATAGATTTTTCCAATAAGGTGAAGTAATTCAATCCCAAAACTTTCGATCTTCAAGTCTTCAAATTCAATAGCCAACAGCTTGGTAAAAGCCTGAAGAGCTTCTGGGGACTTATAAGTGGATTCATACTTTTCGACCCTGGAGAGAAGATTAGCGGCAAGAGTGTTGATCCTTTCAAGCTTGGCCTTTTTGTTTTCCTCGTGTATGCGGATGATTTCATCACGTTGCTTCTGGCTGAGCTTTGCCTTCTTCTTCTTGATGGAGGCAGCAGACATTGGGTTTTCTTGCTTCGAGGGGACTTCCGAAGGTTTGGAAGTATCAACGTGTGTCGAACTTCCTCCGGCAGCCGTGCTACTTCCGCTAACAGTCGAAATATCGGTGGTACTGCTTGCGACATTAGCAGTAGCAGCTGGAGTGCCAGCTGCAGCACTGGTTGGGGTAGAAGCTTGGGAGGAGAAAGCATCGGCAGCCGTGGTAGCATCAGTAGTGGAGGTAGTTTCGCTACCCTCACCTTCCTCTTCAGCCAATACTTCAGCTTGCTGGCTCATTTCATTCATCATTGATAACTCACCAATCCAATCTTTAAATCCATCACCTCCGAACACTTGCGTGAAGAATTCCGAAGGATCTATGTCATTGGCCACGCCAGAACCTTCCGCTTTCATACCCTCTACCCCAAACTCATCATAAGCTGCTCTTGAGTTGGGATCTTGCAAAATTCCGTAAGCTTCACCTAGTTCTTGGAACTTGGCCGCAGCTTCCGGGTCGTTGGCATTCTTATCAGGATGAAGCTTGATTGCCTTCTTCCTGTACGCCTTTTTTAATTCAAGGTCGGTGGCCGTTACCTCTACTTCAAGAATATCATAGTATGTAGTGTCTTTAACCATTCTGTGCTTGCTGTATTCCCGCGATCTGTATTGTTACTGGTTAATTGGGCCTTGGGAGAAGTGTTGTAGTACGTGGCTATGGCATGGCCATCGTAATAACAAAAACGCATGCCATGAGGATGAAAAGTTACACAAAACCCCGACTTGTATATCGCACAACGCAGAGAATAGAGAAGATGTATATGCAGAACCAAGTAATGACAGTGTGGAGGAACTGGAGTATGAGGAAACGAACACAGCGTGCCCAATGATTCTCTCAAGAGGGGGAGGAAATATTCCTGGAGTTATTCGAGCTACTTGAGAAATCTTCTGTAACTGCATGAACAGCCACTGAGATTTTGGCACTTGTACGTACGTGCTTAGCTACAGTTTAGGTACATGGTCACGCTACTTCATGTGGGGTGTACTCGATTCTGGATCAGACCATACTGTGAACCGTTTCTTTTCTGGCTTCTTTTAAGGAGCACAGATTCCCGTCGTCCCTGTAAGTGTCCCGTGTGTGTTTACCGTTATCCCTTCGGGGGCTATCACATAAAACATTAAGTTTATTAATATTTTTTTTTCTTTTTTTTTTTTTTTTTTTTTTTTTTTTTTTCCTCTATTTTTCATTCAGTCTGCCGCATGGGAGTTTGACACCTTTTATTGACGTTTTTATTTTATGAAGTGTTTCCCACATCAAATCCCCTGACAGTAACGCATGCTAGACGTACGTACATCTCTGTGAATCAGCTGGCAGATGTATATACTAGCTCAGATAGAAATTAAAAAAGGTGGGCCTCCGCTTTTTCTCTCACAGTTTTAAGTTTGCGGTTGGTGATCTCTTGTTTTCCACCGGGAATTAGGGCATCCCCGCTGCTCATCTTTCTTTTTCCTTCGGAGCTCTTGAAAATTTCCCATTCTAATTGCGAACTCCGGTTCCGAAAAGTTTCGAGTGGCTCAATATCAGTATGCATGGTAGTATATAAGATAAGGGAATTTGCCCTACCGTTCAACCGGATCCAGTCATAACTCTGTAATTACAAATCACAAAATAGTATTCTAGTGTTAGTTAATATAATACATACAATACCGTATTTTTAGGTAATATGACAGACATCAGAGCTGAAAGAATAAATAGTACAAGACTCTCAGACGCCCATGATAATAATTTAAGTAATGATGTTGCAATTGCAATAGCATCAGAGAGGGATTATTTGCACGATAATAAGGAACTCTCCGAAAGACTTGGAAATGCTCACTTGAACATATTGCCTAAGAAAAAATTAATAGTATGCCTTACGGCAATGTCCCTTGGATTGTTTATTTCCTTTTCCGATCAAACTTCAGTTACAATAGCATTACCACACATTGGGGCTGATCTTGATGCTAACAATACTATTAACTGGGCAGGTACCTCAGCATTGTTGGCGAATTGTGTCTTCCAAATTTTGTTCGGTAGACTCTCAGATATATTCGGTCGCAAGGCAGTGTTAATGACATGCTTGTGTATATTGGCCGCTTCTGATTTGGCTTGTGGATTTGCTCAAACTGGGGTACAATTTTATATCTTCAGAGCGTTTGCTGGTATCGGTAATGGGGGGATTCAATCTTTGACAATGGTTATTGTGAGCGATATTGTATCTTTGAAAGATAGAGGTAAATATCAAGGCTATTTAGGTGCAAATATAGGCTTAGGTAACGCGATTGGTCCCTTCATAATGGCAGGTTTCATTACACATCTGTCATGGAGAAACTTTTACTATATGATGACTCCGTTGGTGCTACTTGTTGCAGTAACGATCTTCTTCTTGGTTAAAAATCAAACTCATGAAAAATTAGACCTGGTTTTATCCAACAAGGAGAAATTTAAGAGCATAGATTATTTGGGTATGTTATTTTCAAGCGCTGCATTGACATTAATCTTGATTCCTGTCAGTGGAGGAGGCTCCACCTACAAGTGGAACAGTCCACTAATTATTGCAATGTTTGTAGTCGGGGGTATCTGCGTCTGTATTTTCCTTATTATTGAGTGGAAAACTGCCAAATTGCCAATGATACCATTGAGATTGTTTAAGAAGTTGCTGTTAAGTATCATCTTAGGATCCAACTTTTTCTTTGGAATGGCTTATTATGGGTTCATGTATTACATGCCATATTACTTTCTGATTATTAGGAACTTGGATGTCCTTCACGTAACGATTTTCGTGTTACCACTTGTCCTACCTCAATCAATCGTATCCATTTTTGCGGGCCAAGTTGTTTCGTATACCGGCCATTATCTCCCAACAATCATATTTGGTTACGTAATTTGGTTTATTAGTTGCTGTTTATTACTTATTTGGGGAGTGGACACCAACTATGGAGTTTGTGTGGTTATATTGTTGGTTATGGGTTCCGGTGTGGGTTGTACCTTCCAGCCAACTTTGGTTGCAGCACAGGCAAATGCAAGAAAGTCCGAAAGAGCTGTCGTTATATCCGCTAGAAATGTTATCAGATCTCTTGGTGGATCCATTGGGATTGCTGTTGGTTCTTTAATTGTATCCAACTCATTGTTGAACGAAATTAAAAAAGCTGAAGCAAACCCACAAGACTACGGAGACATCTCCCAAACTTACTTGGATTATTTGAAAGACCATATTTTCAATCATGTTCAAGTCACTGGTATTTCTGAATCTCAATCACATGTTGTGAGAGGCATGTATATGAAATCAGTAAAAGATTTCTTCTACTTAATGATCCCATTGATTGCCGTTTGCTTAATTAGCATTTTCTTTGTAAAGGATAGAGGATTGCAATGTTTGGATGAAATACCTGAAGAAGAAAAAAAACAAAATGATCCTGAAAGTACCCCTGAGAGCGCCAATGAGACTCATATTGAACAAAAATAGATTAATAGAACATATATGATATAATAGACTGCACTATGAGCCAAAAATGCCTGTAGCCCTTACCTTCGAACCTCATACAACAGTGAATTGCAAATGAGAATTCGCATTTTTGCAACCATTTCCCAATTAGGCATAAACTACTCGGTTTTCACTTACATTTACGGGCTGCAACAACTCGTTAATTTCTCTCATTTACGGGCTTGTATGGCTAGGTCCCAGCATTTTGCAGTGGTGCGAACCATTTGATCTCTCGCAGTCTTTACATCACTTCATAAGATGCCTTCCTAAGTTTATTTATTATATTCAGAGCTATACAGTTACTTTTTATTCTACTTAGTTAACGGTTATGTTGCATGAAATTGTTTAATACTTGATTCACGTCAATCCCCAGATCCCTTATCATATGCTCAATGTTTTCCATATTACCAGCTACGAAATCTTTTACTGTATCTTTATCTAAGTTTTCCTTCGCAAATTGCTTTGCATATTCAAAAGCTCTTTCGTCAAACTCAAAACCAAAACCAGAGTCAAAAGCATTCCCCTTATTCCCCCGGCTTTGGTTTCCACCCAGTAAAAAAAATAAGGATTCCGTGAGTAGGTTCCAAATTCCACCATTCGCCTTGGAGTAGCCCCACCTTATAACAGAGTCAAGGTAATCTGCTGCGCTACTGTCATTTTCAAATATTGAGGACCATCCATCGAAATTAATTCCACTTTTAACAAGATTGCTAATGAAGGCAAAGTCTTGGGTGAACAATTTGGAACCTCTAAGATATACAAGTGCAAGGAACATAATGAGAAATAAGAACAATGTGATTTTAATTAAGGAAATTATGAAATTTATCCACATTTTAATCATTTTCAAAATTAGTTTGTAAGATATATACACAGCAACAAGTGTGAGAGCATACGTGGTAATCTTGGGGTATGCACTTAAACAGTACTCCAAAGAGATTATTGAGTACCGTAATGCTAGTACTAATGTGGAGAAAACGTGAACTAAAACAGTTGAGATTATATCCGACGTAGACATTTCACGATTTACCAAGCTGCTTTCTTGGTTGATACAGATGGGTAAGAAGGTTGTACTTACAATGAATATAAAAAGAATACTTGTTCCTACTATACATCAAGTCTATGTGCAGTCCTACAAAAATTAAAGTCTAATCAGTTTTTTTTTTTCAGTAGTTGGATTTAAACTAGTAATGAAGGCAATTACATTCAAGCTTAACGAGGCAGAATTTCCCACCTAATGACAGAGTTTCTTAGAGATAAACATATTCAATATGTGAAGGATCTTGATTCCAAGATTACCCAGAAATCTTACGAATATTGGCTTCTGGAGCATCTCCGTATGAATGGGTTATATTGGGGTGTGGTAGTATTGGTCACGTTAGATGTGCTAGAGGAGACTTTGCCCAAGAAAGATGTCTTTACATACATAGAATCATGCTGGGACCTGACGCAAGGAGGTTACGGTTCATTCCCGGGGCATGATGCCCATATTTTGTCTACACTTTCGGCAATTCAAATCCAGGCTATTTATCAAAAGGAAGTGGAGGAGTTGGACTTCCCTCATAAGAACGAAGTAGTCCTGTACATAAAGGGACTTCAAAGGGAAAATGGGTCCTTCCAAGGTGACACATTCGGAGAAATAGACACGAGATTTACCTATACTGCTATCAATGCATTGTCCATATTGGGCGAGCTAGATACAGAACTAGTTAGTAAGGGCGTTGATTTCATAATGAAATGTGAAAACTTTGACGGAGGATTCGGAATGGTTCCAGGCGCTGAAAGTCATGCAGCGCAGGTATTCGTATGTGTTGCAACGCTCTCCATTACCTCAAGCTTACACTTGATAAAAAATAAAGAAATATTATGCGAATGGCTTAGTGAGCGACAAGTGTTACCCTCAGGGGGTCTTAATGGTAGGCCCGAAAAATTGCCCGATGTTTGTTACAGTTGGTGGGTTTTATCCTCATTGTCCATTTTGGACAAATTATCGTGGATCGACGACAAGAAATTGAAAGAGTACATATTGGGTTGTCAAGATGAACTCGGTGGAGGATTCTGCGACAGACCTGGTAACCAAACCGACGTTTTCCATACGTGCTTTGGAATTGCAGGTTTAAGTTTGTTGGAATCACTAGAACAAGATTCCGCCGGTGGTCCTGTACTTAATCCGGTAGATCCAACATATTGCATGCCATACTCAACTACCAAAAAGTTTAGGAAATGGCCATATGATAAGAAATAAAGGGTACAGTAAAAAATAAAAACATAAAGGAACAATAGAAAATCCTGATGCTGCAATGCGAAGCACTCCAAGAATAATCCATGTAATACCAGTTTCTCTTAGATATGATGGTGGCCAGGAGTGTTGACTACTTCATGTAGATCTTGTTAAGTTGTTTGTTAGAATTCTCCTGTAGCCTATTTAGAAATGCGTCAAATGTAAAATTTTTTGAAAATGTAAAAAAAAAAAAAAAGAATTGGACACTTGTAACCACCTAGCTGTATGTGAATTAGTCTACGCATGACAACAAGTAGACGGGTTTAATAATGTACAATACGACACTAATCAGAGCATTTATTTTCTAATCATGAAATAATTTTCTATACTCATGGATATGCCAAAGGATTATCTCTGTGAAATAAGCTTTTCAGCCTAAATTTACACATTTTGCAAAGTAGTAGATAGCAGGGCAGTTACGTGCAAAAAATAAAGCGTATGCAACAAGTTTAGGATCTTGATCTAGTGTTGCATTTCATAATGCATGGAATGAGGAGAATTGATGAAGTGCCTTGCAATTTCTATGGCTTTCCCAAAAGAGAACTAGAGAACGAAAAAATCAAGTAATATGCAAGCAAACTGAAAGGTCTTTTGCAGAGGCTGCCGAAAGATGGATTCCATCCCGGTTACAATTGCCTTCTATATGAAGAAAATTTCGATGGAAACTGCATTCTATTCTCTCGGCTACACTCGTTTCATCAGCGCGTAGTAAACCGGCATTGAACTGCTCGATAAGAAGCTTCAATAGGCAGGTTGCGTACATGCATGCGCATTGCTATAAAGAAATTAGGAAACGTAGAGCGGTTTATTTGTTCGGGAGATTGCGCCTTACACGCACGATTTTATGGTTAGTTAGGGTTTGGCCGAGCAAATCTTTTCTTTTACTCGACGAGCGATTTAAAATAGTCATAATATGTCGCCAAAGTCAATCGGTTATGCACCTCGGATCGGAAAAGTTTTATAGCAAATCGAAAGTGCGTGAGAGGGGAAATTTTGAGAATTTCGTTAGCATTCTTCTTGCTTATCCCTCTATACATCGCATTACAAACCGTTCATACAGTGTCCATGATTGAATCGATGGGAAAGGCATTCATATTGATCATCGCTGGTGCTTTACACTGCTGCAGCAAAAAATAATAGAAATGCATGGACAAAGCGCGAAGAAAAATATCTGCTATCGGCTTTGCTTACTTCAAAAAAAGAAACTTAAACGCATTTAAAATGTGTTAAAAGTAGTATGAATAAAAAGAGTATGAGTTCATCATCTGAACTGTCAACTCATAGAAATGTGCTAAGTCCTAGATGTTTCTTGAAATGAGCTGGTTAATAAGTCTGTAAGATTTTTTTGTCACTGTATATTCCCACCCACTCCGTCTATACTAGCCTGGTTCCTTGAATTAAGCTTTTATTTACCTCCACCTAGATTGGCGAATGCATTTGGCGATGGAATTAACATGCAGGTTTAAACCACATTGTCAGAAGAGCTGCATAAAATTTAGACTACTTTGGTGCAGCTTTCTGCAACAATGCGCACGCCGCCAAGCCCCATTAGCTACAAAAAGCAGATTTTTGCCGCGGGGGGTATTTTTATAGACTAGGCTCACACCAACTGTGAATGTTTGATATGAGTAAAGGTCTTCGTAAACAATCACTGGAAATGTAACTTACGTACAGTGATGAGCAATATACAGTAAAAAAAATAATGGTGAGTGAAAAGGGAAAGCGCCTACCGAAAAAGTGTGAACTTTGATGTCAGCTTAGCCTTGTAAAATATTCCGCACAAAATCCAATTCGACATGTAAGACGGGTATGTCTAGGAATTCTTTTCCATACTAGTTCGCTTCGATGAATGCCATTCTGATTATATATCTCCATGAACAATGAACAGAAATCTACTGGCACCACAACAAAAGAAGAAAAAAAAGACAGCAACCTAATCGGAAAGTTATTGTTTATAGAAATTGGCTGTTTTCCATTATAATGTGTCCTTGGGTTATTTTAAGCACCTCAATGCCACGCTGCTTAAATCAGATGTAATGTGGGTGAGTGAATTTTAATAATTGGATCCCTTTAGCCACTTTAGTCAACAAATGGCTTTGTCATTTTAAAAGCGAGTACGTCTACGAGAAACCTTGCCCATTGTGTGTGTGATCAACACACGCCATAAAGCTAACGAACTTGGTACGATTATGCTTCATGCACTATTATTTTTGGTTAATTTTGGCTCAAAGAGTAAAAAAATAATAGAATAAATGAGTGAAATATACTAATACAAATTAAATTATCTCTTTATTGATCTATAATCTTGGTTCCGCCAGCCATTTTACCTTCCATTCCATCACCAACCTGTGCTCACTTCTCTAATTACATATCACGCATGCAGCTGCAAAGCTAATTTCATTTCTCAGAACATTTCAAAAAAAAGGAAAGTCAGGCCAATGTAACATTCTAAGCTAAAACAAGTTTTACTAGTCCCCCTTCCAGCACATACTTTCAAATAGCAATTTGAAACATGTACTATATGGGTAAGGTAGAGCAAACAAGGTTTGATACCTGTAAGTGAACCTTCTTTTTCTTTTTTAGCGAATGCATTTCTTTTTGTCACTCTATTTTTAAACTTCGACTTTTCTGGTCCAATGCCTTCTAACGCAAGGGAATTGTGAGAGAACAACATTGACATGTTTTTATAATTCTATCAAAAAATACGTGACATTATTCGGTGAGGTATTAAACAAAAAAGGGGAAGGTACCTTCTCATGTTTAATATTTGGTTGTTTTCAGAGCAAACTTAGTAGGTTTTTTAAGGTTGTATTGCTATTATCCAAATGCATTTTATAAAATGTATGATAGTGTATTTTTTTTATTTATGAACTTTTCTTGTATTTTTTTGATTAGATGCCTCAATTGAGTAGGAAGTTAATGGACTGATTATGTTTCTCTTCCTCTGTCAGCGCCTTTCTAGGTTTCTGGGGTGACGATACAGATGACGATGTTATGGAAGAGGGCGTTGGAGATTTGTTTGAGGTTGGGGAATTTGGAGAGGTAGGTATTGTAGGATCGTCTTCTTTTTTGATATCAGTAGTTTCTAATTTAATACCGTTTAGGTAGTTGACGCTGTCAGACCCAGTGCTCTCTCTGTCTCCATTCAATTTATCACTGGATTCGCCTTGCAATTGACTGGCAACCAGAATATCCTCTTCATTAACTCCAAATTCTTTCAGCTTGGGCGACGTTTGCGTCACTCCGCTGACCAACCGTCTCCATCTGAATTGACACGCATTGGGAGTCCTATCCTTGAAGTAAGACGACATTTCTCTCCACCCTAATTTCTGAACCTCTTTCAACTCTCGAAGTAAGCGATCCTCACTAGAAGTCCATATGGTTGAGTGCTTAGATTTCTTGCGGGGTCTGAATGGGTGAACTGGGAGCATCATATTGTTGGAATATGTCATGCCTTGATACTGGGGCTGGCTGTAGTAGTACTGCGTTCTAGGTTGGACGTAGTAACCACTTGGACCAGCTACTGGGTTGTTGCTCCCTGGTGTTTGAGGGTTTCCACCAGGTCCATGTCCACCAGGGCCAGGATACTGCGCAAACTGGGCACTGGCCGACTGCGAGGACATTTGCTGGGGCATATAGATGTGGGGAGACTGATGCATAGAGGGTGGTAGTTGTATTGGCATTGCAGCCATCTGGTACTGGTGAGACAGAGGTGGCCCTCCAGGTGCATATAGTGGAGGGGCAGTATGGGGAACGCTACCAATCGGACCAGGTGGACCACCAGGAGCAACAGATGGGACAGGTGGGACAGGTGGATGTGGTGCACCACCACCACCACCGCTATGATTTATATGTTGCCCAGCAACCCCCTGCCCTTGCACTGACGGCACAATATGGCTGCTTGCCAAGCTAGAAGGAGGAGGTAACAACGGTGAAATAACCTGTTGTCCCATGATATGAGGTGGATACATATACTCAGTCTCTGCTCCTGAGGTGCGCTGGCCCTGGACCGGGTAGTACAGAGGGTGATGCGCTTGTTGCGCTATTGGTGGCGGATAGTGATATTCATTCAGGCTGTACAGTATCAGGGGGATATTCTGTATGTTCTGCATGCTCTGCTGTCGCTTCTGTTCGTAGACATCGTTATGCTGATTCAAATTCACGTTTTGCATAGTTGAACTTATTGATAAAGCCATCAAGGCAATGTAATGCTAAATATATTATTCGTAGGTTATGACTACCACGAAGTGTCCAATAGAATGCCAAGTCAATTGGCAAACAACTTTTTTTAAAGGAGCAGTCCTTTGGTTCTGAAACAGTGAATATGGTGTGGGACCTCTTTTGGTGCTTTCTCTCTCTTTCTCGTATCGATCGACAAGAAGTGGGCCTAGAAAGCTGAAACTGGTATCAATAGTGTCTCAGTGCACCAGTATAGCAGTTTTGGTAGTATAGCTGTCGATCTTTTGACTGGTATAGCCCTAGTTACCAGTAAACAAGGGAAGCTGACCAGAAAAGAATGATATAAAAAGGAAAAAAAGGACCTAGTTGTTATTTCTTTTTAATTTAGAGAGAACAAAAATTAAAAAAAAAAAAGAAAAAAAAAAATAAATTGAATATAATAAGATGAATAATAAATAAAAAGCTAAACGAAATAATTGTATTGTGCAATAGATACCAGTTATAAACAACAATTTCTAAACTGACAAACAGCCCTTCGTGCTTTTCTATGCATTGTTGCTATATCCACTCACTTTATATTTAATCAGCTTTGGAAGAATCATACCTTCTCGGAAGCGGATGTGGGAAAATGCGAGACTATGCAGAAAGATTTTTTTTTTTTTGCTTTTTATTAAAAAAAGTCATGGAATTGGGTAAATAATATTTTATTTTATTCAAGATCTAAAATGCTGCAAAGAAAGAGAATGCACAATGTTTTTTTTTTTTTTTTTTTTTTTTTCCTCATGATATTTTATTGTTTGGGAACTTAAATATAACTAATTTAAAGTGAGAAAGATTTCGTTATTTCAGCCAGCTGCAGTCCACCAGGGCTAGGCAGCTCAGTTTCACAAATGAAAAATGAAAGATTTAAAAATAAAATTAAAACTGTTGAAAATTAAAATGCCAGTAAACACCCTCTATGAGATTATAAGTAATTTGTTCATGTAGCATTTTATTTTTGAATAATTTTAGTGGTGGCTACAGTTCATGAATGGAAACTACGTGCGTAAAGGTGCTTCAGAGCTTACCATGCTGTGCATATCGCAGCGGCTGTCAAATACGCACCAATCAGAATTATTTTTTCTCTTTTTCACATAACAAGAAATTTGTGAAGCACCATATATGGACAATACAAGAGGGAGAAATTGCAAATTTTAATCTTTAGCTTTTTCATTCTGTCCGTTCATAGATTGAGAAATATTATTTCATTTCCGCTATTTTTTGGTACCACTTTGTTTGAAGTTCTGCGCCTGTCTGTTTGGGTCGTTATTCGTTATTACTCTCGGTGCTACCCTATTCTAGAAAAAGATCAAATTTCTTCTTTTGTAGCTAACCATCTGCATCTTTGGTCGTATTTTCCTGCTATGACTTTCTACACATGGGCAGAAAATTATTTGACAAAGAAAACAGACTAGAATGTGAACACCTTTAAACATGAATCGAATGCAGTTCACGAAAAATGCTACCTTCACAATGGTCTTCAACAAAAATATTTTTTATCAATGTACTACTTAGCTGTAATCAAAGTGCTTTAAAACTAGTTTGCAAAACACTTGATGTACAAATGCGATCGCTTTCATGCATGCTTGTGCGTGTGGAAGTCTTAAAACGAAAGGGAATAGCCCCGGAAGAAAGGACACAACGGGGATAACGACATCATTACAACCTTATATTCGAGCTCAAGTCATCCTGCTGCAATGATTTGCATCATTGCCGTAGAATTTCCCCCAGACTAGAAGAAATACCATTGCAAGCCATATTTAATTGATTTGAATCACTTTGCTGTTAGTTGCGGAACTAGTCCCCGATACATCCTTTTATTTCAATTTATTGGCTTGATACTTGTACTGCCCTTGTTTGATATCTTTTCTTTATTTACCTATACCCCCAACCTTGGCTTTCCCTTGAGGCTCAAATTGCACTATTTTGTTTTTCTCTTAACCATTCGCTCCAAATATTTTTTATTTTTTTATGTTGTACCCGATCTTTTTTTTTCATGTAAGATGAATAAATCCATTCTCGTAAATAATAATCGAAAATAGAAATCTTGCAACGAGATAAGCGTCATGCTGGTATGTTGAACAACGGAATATATTGCCAGATTCTGACTATAGGGGTTGGTATTGTTCAATCATACTGCATTTTCATGTTCATGTTCAATTTTTATTTTTTTTCATTTCCGTTTAGCATAGCATTTACTTCAAACTTGTAAAACTAACCAAATGTAACATGCAAGTGTGGAATTTACATGCCACAAAAAACTTCCATTGCCGAGGTCGAAAATTCTTCATGCATAAATATTCTAACACACAAAGGATTCTGTGTTTTAGAGGGCCTAATGCGTATCGGCTAAAAGCGAAGTCTCCACCCTTTGTATGAAACTACGGGGGAGTTGAACTGAGCGTATTTGAGCTGTTCAAAACCTCACTATTTTGAGAGAGAAGGAGCAACATCTAAAATAGGTGTGTCTTTCCTTGTAGGATCTGCTCCACCGATCCTCTTCTCAAACGTGTTGAAAAGGAAGGCATCGCGCACAACAATCGTTGCAGATGCATTATGCTTATTCAGTGGATCTACTTTTTGCTTTATTTCCATGTCCATTGACGGTTAATATTTTTTGTATTTTCTTGATTATCGCCTCTTTACTATGCATGATCCTGCAAAGGATATCCAAGCACGGGCTACTACCCACATGTGCCAAAGAATAGTTCAATACGATATTAATGTGTTAACTTTCACTTCTGATGGGTTTGAAAGCATTCAGCTTCAAGCCCCACGCTTATCCCGATATTACGTCACCTTGTATGAATGAAAATAAATAATATCACATACACTCGGTCAAGACCGAGAATGCTGCATCTACATGTATTTAAAATTATGATATGATAGATAATATTATTTAAAACAAATGCGAGCTTATTTTCTAATGCAGGCCCTTTTCCGTTTTGCTAACGTAACCTTCGTAAACTAAGGTTGCTCCGCGGAGTGAACTGTATATGCTAGCCCATTAATTCAAGTGAATGAGTAAAGGCGACTACTCACTTATATCTTGTTAATCTATTTTTCTAAACCTCGCTCAATGCTGTTTCTCTAGCTCTTGATATTTTAGTAAATGGCTACAGCGCTCGCTTTGAGTTTTACAATCTCGTGGCTAAATTGCCCACAGTTCATGAAAATTATATGCGTTGTTGCCATATCGACCCATTTTACATATGATCTACCCCGGAAAGTTCTTTTCTTCTCGAGAGCGAAAAAGCGGATATATAGGAAATCGAAGGCTATGCAGATATATTTTCTTTTCTTCATTTGAAAAGTAAACTCATGGCATTGGCTGAATTTTAGTCAAGATCTAGAAATCTGCAAAGAATGAGAATGCACAATGCCAACTTTTTTTTTTTTAGTATCATTCATTGTTCAGGAACCTAAATATAACTAATTCAAAGTAAAATTTAACTCTTCATTTCAGCCAGCTGCAGTCCAGAAGTCTAGGCTATCAGTTTCAGAAATTAAACTCTATTTAAGGCAAGGGGAAAATTGAACCCCATAAACACATTCTAAGGGATTACTTGAAATTCGTTCATGTAACATTTATTGTATCAATTTTAATGGGGGCTTCAATTTATGAATGGAAACTACGTGCGTGAAGCTGCTTCCGAAGTCACCATCTTTGCATATCGCAGCAGATGTCAAAAGCGCCTAAAAGGGGAATTGTTTTTTCTTTGCATTACATGAAGATTGAGAGGCACCATATATGGATAATGGATGAGGAAAGAATAGTAAATGCTAATCCGTTCCATTCTATCTCGTTGTTAAGTTGAAATATTTTTTATTTTATTCATTATTTCATTCCACTATTTCTTTAAAATTTTCGCCAGGGTGTTAAGTCGCTAATATCTTCGGTAATACGACTTTCTAAACTTGGGCTGAAGATTATTTGGCAAAAAGAGATCATACCAGAATGTGAACGCCCGAAAATTAGAGCCGAATGCCATTTGCGAAAAATGCTACCTTCACAATGGTCTTCAACATAATATTTTTTATCAATGTACTACTTAACTGTAGTTAAAGTACTTCAATGTTGTAGAACACTAAAACATACAATGCGATCACCTTTCATGCATGCTTGTGCGCGTGGAAGTCTTATCCAAACGAAAGAGAAACCCACCAGAGGAAAGAATAATACGGGAATAACGACATCGTTACAACCTTATATTGGAATTCAACTCATCCCCCTGCAATGTTTGCATCTTTAGCGTGAAATTTTTCCCCTGCAAGGAAGAATAGTGTCATATTAGCCATATTTTGTTGATTCGTTGTTAGTTGAGGAGCCAGAATCTATCACTTCTCTCATTTTTATTGGTTCGATAGTTATATTTCCCTTGCCTAATCTCCTTTCAATCCTTCACCGTACCCATAGCCTTGGCTGGCTTCCCTTGAGGCTCAATTTGAAATATTGTTTTTTCTTCTAACCATTCGCTATAATTATTTTTTTCATGTTGATTCCGATCTTTTCTTTTTTCATGTAAGATGAATAAATCGAATCTCGTAAATAATGAGCAAAATTGAAAACTAGTTGTGAAATAAGCGTCCTGCCTGTGAATTGAACAACTGGATGCATTTCAAATTCAGATGATAGGCATTAGTCTTTTTCACAACATACTTATTCTTGTTTCTTTTTTCCCATTGCTTTTTTTTCACTTCCATCCAGTGAATCAGTGTTTTAGACTTTAGAAATGATCAGACGCAACATGCAAGTGTGGAATTTACATGCCACAAAAAAATTCCATTGCCCGAGGTCAAAGGAATACTTCATGCATACTAATTTCAACACACAGATAATTCTGTAGTAAAAGGGGCAGAATGCGCATCGGTTAATCTCACAGGCCCTACCTTTTAGGGATTCCTTGAACTGAACATGATATGAGCTGTTCAATACCTCGAGTGGCACTTCCTCAAATAGGAAGTACGGAATGCATCTTTCTTTCTAGAATCTGGTGGGTCAATCCACTTCATAGACTGCTGCAGAGGCAGGCATCATCCACAGATCATTGCAGGTGCATTGCGTTTGCGGTGAGTTCACTTCCTGATCATAATTCCGTATCGATGGACTGCAAATATTTTTTGTAATTTCTTGAATATTGCCCATTTATCATGCATAATTCTGCAAAAGATACCCAGCTAAGTAATATAGGGCTGTCACCTACATTTGCGAAAGAATGTCCAATACGATAATGGTGTTAGCTTTAACTTCTGATGGATTCGAAAGCATTTATCACTAAGCCCCATCTTTATCCCGACATGATAATACCTTAAATGCAAAAAATAATTTATTTAGGTGCATTCGGTCTTGACCGAATGCTTTACTTACATGAACTTTAAGATTTAAATGTAATAGTTAAAATTATTTAAAAAAATGCGAGTTTGATTTCTAATACTTGCCCCTCTCCATTTCTCGTAAATTAGAGTTACTCCATGGAGTGATCCGTATATGCTAACCCAAACTAATTTCTACCATCGTACAATTGAATGAATGAAATGCGACTGCCGGCTTCTATATTTTACCAAGATTTTTCGATGCAATTTCACCAGCTTTTAACTTTTCAACTTTCATTCTCTCTCCCCAATTCCTAATTTGATAGGCAAAGGCTTTTACTCTTTGAGCTCATGTTTCTTTTGTTTAACAAGACACATTGTAAAAAAGAAAGAAGAAGTTCTGCTATAGCGTAATAGCAAAGAACCTGCGTCTTTACTTAGCCCCCGTAGGATCCATATAATGCAGCCCATTCTTCATGTTGGCCAAGTCCTTCAGCCAGCACACTGGGCCTGATATAAAGTAAACTGGCTTTAAAATCTTCTAAGCTAACTGGTCTAATCTGGTCTCTTGGCGTTGCCAAGATAAGATCACCCAAGCTTCTTAAAGGTCCCATTGCCGCATCCTTCGCCAAGGCAGTGATATCTGACCCCGAGAATCCTTGAGTCAATTTAACCAATTCGTCAAAATCTTCTTCATTCAATGTATGTTTCTGATGGCTCAATAAATGGTTCAAGTGCACTTTCCTGGTTTCATTCTCTGGCAATGGGATATATTGTCTCCGGACAAATCTACGTCTTGCAGCTTCATCTATGGCCCAAGGAACATTTGTAGCTCCAAGAATAAGTACCCTGGAAACGTCTCCATCTACATTATTATTACTGCTAGGGTCCTTCCCGGCTGCTGCACTTGATAGTTCCGACCATTGAATTAAAAATTCATTCTTTATTCTGCGCAGACTGTCCACTTCTCCATCAGTTCTGGTACTTAATAACGAATCTATTTCATCAACAAAGACAATGGAAGGAGATAGCTTCCGAGCAAGTAAAAATAATGCCTTAACCAATTTTTCAGACTCACCTAGGTACTTAGAAGTTAAACTCGATGCACTAATAGAAAAAAAAGTTGATTTGGATTCTGTGGCCACAGCTCTCGCAAGCATAGTTTTTCCAGTTCCTGGTGGTCCAAACAAAAGTAAACCTCTTGCAGGTTCTCTCAAGCCACTGAATAAATCAGGTCTTAGGAATGGGTACACGACGGCCTCTTTGAGAGAATTTTTGGCGCTTTCCAAACCTGCAATATCAGTCCAATGAACTTCATCACCGTGAATAACTATATCGTTAAGGATCTGCTTTGCAGAGTCAAAATCAATTCCTCGAATTGATTTTATGAGTAGATTTTCTTGTGAATCAGACATTCCTTCTGATTTCTGATCTGTCGAATCGATCAGTTCTCTATCATCAACTTCTATTCCATTCTCATCATAGCCACCCAAAATGTCGTCCATTGTGGGTGAATTAATTTCAGGTGGAGCAGACACAACTTTCTTGATGCCTGCAGGCTTCTTTGCACCACTGGTAGGATTTGGTTTCTTTACGTAAATTTTAGGAATCGTAGTAGATTTATATGTGACATTCGTAGCTTGTGAAGTAGGATTTGGCTTTTTGGTTACTTTTTTGGCAGTAGCCAAGGTAGAAGCATGCGTAGGAGTAGATGTAGTTGTAGTTGTAGATGCAGATGTAGATGCAGATGCAGAAGCTGCTGCTGCTGCTTTCTTCTTGGCTTGAGCTCTGATCATGCCATTTACATTCATGGGCTTGGGTTGGTTATAAACATACTTTTTCGGCTCTGCATTGCCATTTCCATTGCCATTGCCGTTGCTCCCACCATTAGACCTTACGTCTGGTGTACTTTTGGATGCCTGAGGTATTTTTGGTTTTAACTGCGAAACTGACAAGTTCTTACTAGATCTAGGTGGAGGAGGAGGGGGTGGCTGCCTACCGGTACTAACATCTTCCATTGAACGAGTAAAACCTTCACTCAATCCCAACCCATGTATTCCTTCGTCCAAGTCTATCAAATCAGGAGTAGGCAGTCTGCTACGGACCTTTTCCCAGTCCTGATCAAAGTCGGCGAACATACCACTATTTGAGGTGCCCCCTGAAGGGTGGCTATTACGGGCACTTGGTTGTCTCTTATCAGGCTGCCTCCATGAAACCGAAGCTGCCTTGGCAGCAGACTCCATCGACTTCTTGTTGGAACTACCGCTAGCAGCCTGTGGTCTCAAGCTTTTCAACATCAGTCTACTTTGAGTTGACGAGGACAACGATCTCGACGACCCTGGGTGTCCTGTAGACCTCAACGAGGGTACAGACATGCTACTACCATTGGCATTCGCTCCGTTAGTGGAAAGACCTTGAGGGTTTATCGAGGGCCTCCTTCTTTCTGCTTCGTCCATCCTCATCTGAACTCGAATTAAATGCTTGACATTCTGATCTCGTATGTTTTTCAACTCCTGAAGAATGCCCCGCTCCTGCTCGTCCATCTTCAGCAGCAGTCGGTCAAAAATGTCTGTCCTATACAACATAGAGGTGTGTAGACTCTTCCATCCCTTTAAAGCGGAATCAAGCTTGTTTTCCTCTTCCAATGTTAGATTGTGCACCGACAAGTTGCAACACTCGTCGTAGGCATTCTGAAGTTCTTCCAAAATGGTTAATTGAGGAGGTTTCTTTCGCGAGAACATTCTGAATAAAGCAGTCTCGGTGTCAGTCTGTAATTAAAGTATGCTATGCTATGGTTCTCTTCCACACTGCTTTCCTAGATTACTCTGTTCCTTGCTTGCTTGTGACGTTTCTTCTTCACCGCTCTCTCTATTTCTCAATTTCTGGTTTGATCAAGAAAAGCAAATTTAGTTTATGCAGGTAGATAAGCTTCAGGGCTAGGTACCAGGGAACACAAGATTAGGGACAAGGTTGGGTGGTCGAGAGGTCGCAAAAAAGCTACGGGAGGTGTCTAGAGAGTGGGGGGCAGGATAGGAAGATAGGGTAGAGCTGATGAGCTAGAATGGCTAAAAATGTCCCCAGCTGTAGCGAGAGAGTTAGGCGATGGGGACAGTCGTTGAGAAAAGTTGCAATTGCTTTCCTAAAAGAGTGCACCACAGCTGAAGCTGGTCATGATCTCGAGGACAGCGCTCGCCGACCACCCTCAATTGAGGGCAATATTACACAGTAGAAATAGATAGTTTCTGCCTCGAAAGGACAAACTGCCCAACTGAGGTCTATTGTCAGATGCAGAAGGGCTGTATAGTCTTACGCCGGTGAATGATGGCTCTTGCCAAATGCAGCATGGATGGACTGCATGAGGCTGTGTGAGACTCTACATTGATAGCCAAGATGATGATGTCCCGCTACTATGGAGTAATAGCCGAGCACGATCCAACGCCAAATCGCTGGTGATGGTTGACCTAAAGATATCGAATCATTCGTGAGTCAGTCTGGCTTCTTCAATCTTAACTAGTATTCTTCAGAGGGTTCACTAGAGTAGCGACAACGGTAATTTTTCACTGAGGAAAATCGCAGGTGATCCACAGCCAAACCCCACACGACAACAATTGCTTAACTATCGGCGGCGTTTAAGAAGGTGCATCCTTATAAGCGTAGTACGAGCAAGTTTACTTCCGTCGTTTAAGTAGGTCAGGAAACCTGAAGAAATACTTACACTAGGTCAGTCCCACACTGCACCAGTCCCACAGGAAACATCCCTACATCCTTACAAAGGCTGAAAAAAGAAAAGGAAAACCAGAGAATGCATTAAAAATAGAAACAAGTTCAGAGATCAGAGTACATCAAACACTATTAATAGCATTCAATTGTCGTGGCTTAACGGGACATCAAGAAGTGAAAACTTCAACATATTCTTTGTAACCACTTTTCATCTGACCGGAAAATTATCAACAGCAAACAACAATCAACCTAGTACCCAATGTTAATTTAACCTCTTCAACTTCCTAACTTAATAGGCAAGAAAATTCGTTTAAACTCCGCCCACAAGGAACGGTAGAACATTGAATACTAGGCCCATCAACTGAAACTGTCAAATTTCTGTTCCGGCGTCAACTTTCAATAGAGAAAAGAAAAGGAAACAGAAAATGTATAAAGAATTTTTTTTGCCTGGTCGCTTTTATAGTTGATGGCCCGGCCGGGTAACACTTGATGCATAAAAAAGAATGGTTGCAGATGTTGCATATAAAAATAGTCCTTGAAAGCAACACAACAACCAGTGGCCAGAGCATTGCACTACAAATTCGTTACTCCATAAGGATTCTTCTTATATATTGTTTAAGGTCTATAAAATATTGTGCGTAAATTTTCAGAAAAACACCTCTTTGAAGGTAAATTTTTTTGATGACGGTTGGTATTCCGCATAATTCAACTTCCTTGAGGTCCCAATTAAAGATCCAACATTCACTACCTTGCATCCATTGTAAGTAACTTCGAATGAGTTGCATGTGGAGTCATTCAATATTAATATCGTGGGAAGTGGCTCCAATCTGAGTACGTGATCATAGTATGGCCTAAAAACTTTCAAGTCCATTTTGAATGGCTGCAAGTTACCCTGATCCAATACAGTTTTCACTAACTTTCTAGCTTGTTGTATTTTGAGAGGTACGGTACTCTCAGGTTTGTTCAATATTTCTTCGATATCAATCTCTTGGCCCTTTCCTTCTTTTTCTCTGTCTTTATCTCTTTGCAAGTTCTCCTTTTCTAATTCCATTTCACTTTGGAAAATAATATCATTTCTCTTCAATTTTTGACAAATGTCATCCCGTGCAATAGCGATTTCCTGGGAAAGATAGTTAATTCTGATGGGATTCCACCCTATTAATAAATTACCTTTAGGTAACACTCTAGCTAATCTGTTAGTGAAAATTGAAGGTATTGGGGATTGTGGCCATATGGTGGTGCTAGAACCCCCTAATGCAAATGTAGATTGCCATGGATCATTCGACCCTGGTAATATGATAAATTTAACGTTGGCTACAATATTAGGGAATTTAGAAACCAATGTTGCCAACGAATCAAAGTTATTTTTATAGGAAGCTGAATTCGGTATCGCCGTGGATGAAGTATTAGTGGCAGTAAGCGGTGTGGAAATATAAGAGCCTGTAAAAATTATGGCTAAAGGTTCATAGTCCCCATTTTCAATTTTTAATTCCAACTTACTGAAGAATTTATTTAAACCTTCTACTGTCTTCAGTTTATCAAGGAAGCAGTCTGATCCCATAATGATGAGTCTATGATCAACCAATTGCTTTTCAAGGGAAGTGAGTTTCTTTTTGAAAGCCTTATCAATTCTCGAGATATGATTCGTCAGAGATTCTGTATCATGTATTCCCATGAAGTCAAGATTCCCATAATTTTCCAAGCTGGCTTCCCTTTTTTCAGCGGGTGGGTGTCCTATATTACTCACATGAAAGCAACCCCCAATAATATTCGCAGCAGAAGACGTAACTCCACCAGATGCTGAATAAATACCCTCAACCACTAAGAACATGCCTGGACAATAGTACGAGCCTTCAGTTTTGAATGCCTGGGTAATGTTTAGCACGATTGAATCTGTAGAATCTTCAAGGGTAAAGTCACCATTGGAGTTCTGCGAGAGTAACCCAAATAGTATGAATTTTTTTCCATCTCTTCCTAAAAGGTTCTTTATAAGAGTAATTTCGTGACTGCTACTATTCCTAGATAAGCTACCACTATTGTTTCCCTTGGTAGTATGGAAGGACGTCATGGACAGGAAAGTCGGCTTTTGGAAATTTTCGTTCCTAGCTAGCCTGTCCGACAAGAGACTATACCTGTTTATGAAAAAGTTTACTTTAGCATTCAAAGTAGCACCCAATTCGAATTCAGAAGATGATTGCAATGGCGGTACAAGGAAAAATTGCTTTCTGACCTTATCAATTTGATACTTTGGTTGACTATCTGCGGTAACAGTTTTGAAGTAGTCTTTCCAGTTAAGACCATCTTCATCCAATTGAGCTACATCTACATCTACATCTATAGTTTCAAGAACTTCCAGGTTGTTGTTATCCACGATTGTGTCTGATCTTCCAGCAACTGCTGCAGCCTCAGATTTAGACTTTCCTCCATTGAATGAAGATGAGACTGAAGATCTTCCTACTGCTTTAGTCATCTCATTTATAACTTGCTTTAAACCTTCTCCGTCAATAAATAAGCCCCTATCCTGGACTTTCCATATTCTGGCTATATCTTCTAAAAACAATTGTGATTGTGGGCCCTTCCAATCGGAACCAAATCTATTGCCCACAGTCTCTGTAAGCAATTTCAACGCGTCGGTCTTAACATTTAGGCCATGCTTCTTAGAGAGAATTCTGTAGGCAATGGGCCTTAAGTTTGAAGCCTGTAGCTTCACTGGTAGTATAGACGGATCCATAGCTCTTCAATCTTAGCAACTTAGTTGTATATACTTAAAAGGAGATGGGATCTTGATCTATGGTACGCGTATCCATCAGCATTTCACATAATGATAAACATTAAATCAGCTGACATATATCATGTGATGCGAGTGATGTGAGCTCATGGCGAACCATGCATGGAACCCATTAGTACGTCAGCATAGAAAGAAAAGCTGCAGCACATCGAACTACATTCAAAAAGGAAAGGAAAGAAAAGAAAAGAAATAGAAATAGAAATAGAAATAGAAGGAATGAAATATAGGGTTTTGCTCTTTTACTCAATAATACATAGGGTCTCAAATTTCTATCAGTTATGATCGATTCTACCATATGCCCCACGGAAGTTTTAGCCTGTCAGATTCCAAATATTCAGAAGGGTGAACATGACGTTTCAAAGTCAATCACCTAGATGTATTTAACATTACTGGATGTATGCATCCTCACTAGTATGGCTGGCTCTCATCATTTCACTGATGCCACTTCGACCCTTCCACTCCTTTCAACTTTTAACTTCAAAGTATATTTTCCCGCGCAAATAAATCTTAATCCTCAATACCTTATTGTTTAGATACTTCTGAAATTCCTGTATTAACAGATGTCTTGAAAGCAGGGACTTTCAATCGATCCCTAATTATTCCGATGGGCAGCGCTTATTTTTTTCTTTTTGAAGATATCCATCTAGAGGAGGGGAAGATAATCTGTTGACAGCAAAAGAACATTCTAATGAGCAATTGTTTTTATTTTATTTTCATGCCCTTATTATCAATGATTAATTTCAGGTATGTTCTTGTAATCTAGAATTGCTCCGCTTAGATATGAAATCAAGATCGATGCTCTTGGCTGAGCGGTGGCTTTGATTAAGGGGATTCGTGGCTCTATCTTATTTTATACGCTAGTAAACGGTCTCTCTATCTTGAAACTGAAATTTTCAGAGAATTCTAGATTCATTCGTTTTTCCAGCGCCAAGGCAAAATAAGCATTTTTTGAAGAAGTACATTATCAATTGAGTACTGGATCTTCGTTAAAATTGCTGTATCAGTCGGTCAAGCTCACGGAAGAATGTAGAATAGTCTATTGGAGATAATCTTTCGCCTGAGTGCTCATGTTTGTTGCGCGGTGTTGACGTAATTAAATTCCTGAAGTTATTATCATTAATGGTTAACAGTTCACCCTTTTCATACAATTTTACTGTTAAGGTATTAAGTCTTAGTAATAGTTCAATTAGTAATTTCATCTCTTCCAAGAGAGTGCCCTTGTGTTCGAATAATCTCAGGTACCTTAAGTAATTTGCAGACTTCAAAGTCAGACTTAAAATCTGCGATATGGTATCTGCATCTGCCAAAATCAAATTGGCTTTAAAAATTTCATGATCAAGTTGCTTGACATTTCGCTTACGCTTCTCTAGTGATATTGACAAGTTTTTCTCTAACTTTTCAAAGAGTGAGGAAAGCTGCAACGTTTTTGTAGACGTAGTTATTTGATTAAATGTGCTTGAATATTCATTAACTTTATCCTCCAATACCTTTAATTTTTCAAGTCTCTTAGTTGGCTTTGGAATTGCCCTTTGGTCACTTACAATTGAATCCAAGCTCAGAAAGAACGTTTCGTTATACCGAGGAAGTGAATCCGAAATTTTCAACAACGTTTCAAAAAACCTTACGTGCTGGTCTTTATTATTGTCAATCTCCTTTTGTATTTCAACTTTCTCTTTAAGTAGAATATCTTTGGTAGATGCATGCTCGTTCACCGTTCGGCGATCAGGAGTGTTGACGTGTTGATCAACAAATCGCTTCAGATCTAATTCGTACTTCCTCAATTTGCTTTCGACATCTCTCTTTTCCTTCATAAGTTTTTCTCTCTCATCTTGTATCTTTACTGACTCTTTCTGGATTAAAGTTCGTTCTGCACTCAACAGCTCCTTCAATTCCAACAATCTCAGTCTGTCCTCTAAATGTCTCACCTCATTTTCTCTCAAGCTCTTATTAAAAGACTCTTCCAATTTTTCAAGATTTTCCTGTTCCTTCTTGTCTCTTAGCTCCAACATTTCTTTTATGGAATTGTACTCTTGGTCCTTGAAGTCTAGCTCATCTTCAAGCCTACGCACTTCCTGTTCGTACGACAGAGTTAATCGTTTATTGCGTTCCCTTTCCTCGTTTAGAGCATCTTCATAGACCGAGGTATCAACTGGAGTCAAATTTTCTTGATTTTTTGTAAGCGGTAAAGCTTCAGAAGCAAATAAAACTCGTTTTCGATTACTACTACTTTCCAGCTTGTTTTCCTCTTTGATGATTCGATTGAAGAAATACAGGCCAAGTCTCTTCAAGATTCCTCCCTTCTGCGAATTGAGCTTGGATACACGGTATCCACCACCATTCGGTGCCCCGCTCTTAAGAATACCATCGCCAGATTTTTTTGGCTTGGTTTTATAAAGGCTAGAAGGAGAATACTTGGAACTAAGCGCGAATGGAATGGTACGAATGGGTGAGAAATCATCTCCCTCAGCGGTTCCGCCAAGATTATTATCATACTTAGGTATGAAGTTGATGGAAGAATAATCTCTATCATAGGAGTCGTCTTTCATAGGTAATTTGTAGCTGAAATCCTGTTTATTTCGTGTAGCGGCATTGAATCTAAGATCGTCCGCATAAGTCGAAGCATTATGACTTTCATAGGAGTGCAGCAATTTCTTTTCTCTCGGTGAAAACTTCTCAGCCAGTGTTTCTCGAGGAATGTAAGCTCTTCTTTTTGACTGTTCATACTTATCCCTGAGAGAAGACATATTTCCTGTTTTAGTGTGCTTTTTACAACCAAGTCTAGCCTACCCAAGTATTGTTTACATTTCTATCAATTGAAAAATATTTACAAAACTAAAAGCGTGAAAATAAAAAAGTTTAGGCGTTGTGAGCCGCAAATGGAGAGCTATGCGTTTAGTGATGAGCACAAGAAAGCTGGGGTAGGCTACATGATGGAGTTCTACAGCAAGGTCGATAAATTGCAATCGCTTTCATACAATAATATATATGTGTGTGCGACTGTATAAACGCCGTTGTGTATTCAAGTATGACTTAGGAAAGTTTCTTCTTATGCTCAAAGACATTCAAGAATTGCAACTTACTAAAATTTCCAATTAAATTCATTGTTTGATTCATATATATATAAATAATCTATTCTCTTTACTTCTAGTGCAAATTAAACTAGACTTGGTGTACTTCTCTTGGTTCCCCTCTAGCCCCCTCGTGGTCATTGTTTGACTCCACATCTGTTGAAAAGTCAGTCCTCGAAGTTCTAACAGAAAGGGCCTCTTTGTGAATTTGATCTTCCGGTGTTTCGTCAAGACACTGCAAGCCTCTATCTCTAATGAAAAAGGAACTGATCAAACATACTGCAATGAATGGGACCAATAAATAAAAGTAATTCTGAATGGACAGCATATAAATATGGCGGATCTCGCTGGCCTGATCAGCGTTTAAGTAGCTAACATCGATTTTACTAAAGATGTTTTCCTTTAATTCGTCCAAATAGCTCTGGGGAATATCGGAATATGTCGAAGGGTCCAGTTCAATAGTGCCGATTTCCTTTAGAAGTGAGTTACTTATCATTGTTGATGCAATTGCAATTCCTACTGCTCCGCCAAAAGATCTAAGAACATTTCTGGTGGAGATCACAACCGCTCTATCTGCTTTCTTAGCTTGTGCTTGTGCGGCGACCATTGTTGGCTGGAATGTACTTCCAATTCCAATTCCAATAATCAAGAGGATGACAACACATGTTCCATAGTTGGTGTGCTCATCCCAGACTAATAGCAATCCACAGCCAAGTGTCCAGAAAGTGTATCCAAATAATACAGTGTAAATATAGTGACCAGTGTATGAAATGATGTTTCCCAGCACTGTGGACATACCTGCTTGCGTTAATACTATTGGTAGTAAGAATACTGATGAAATCACCTCATCCTTACCTCTGACGATCTGGAAGTAGTATGGGATGTAAAATAAGAATGAATAGTAAACCATTCCAAAAAAGAAATTAGATCCAAGAATTAAACACAACAGTGGGTTCAAAAATAACCGCAATGGTATCATTGGAAGCTCCGGAACTTTCCATTCTATAATTAAAAACGAGAATAGCAAGACACCACCAACAATAAACATAGAAATAACAATGGGGCTGTCCCATGGATAAGTGGATCCACCACCGCTTAAAGGAATTAGTATCAAAGTCAAAGCAGAAGTGGCAGTTATGATTCCAAGGTAATCTATCTTCTTTAACTTTTCCAATGGAGTGAGCACTTCACATGAGGACTTGGGCTTTCCTGGTAACAAAAAGTAAATTGCAACCGCGATCATGATAATAATGGGTGCAAAAACGTGATAAAAATATCTCCAATGCTTGTTATCAGAAATAAATGCAGCCATAATAAATGGTCCAACTGAGTTACCAATACCTACACTAGTTCCTAAGATTCCCTGGTATTTACCTCTCTGCTTCAAGGTAACTACATCACTCATTATCACCATAGCTAGCGATGAGATCCCACCTTGCCCAATACCAGCAAACGCTCTAAACACATAAAATTGTGGTCCCGTTTGAGCAAATCCACAGGCCAAGTCTGCTATTCCCAAAACAACTAAACTACCAATGAATACATTCTTCCTCCCAACAATGTCAGACAATCTACCAAATAAAACCTGGCAGACCGTATTAGCTAAAAGTGAAGATGTCCCAGCCCAATTAATTGTGCTTTGAGAATTTAGCTCTCTTCCAATTTCATCTAAGCCAACGGTAACAGCCGTTTGATCGGCAAAGGCAATGAACATCCCCATGGAGATGGAAAGTAACACAACGACAAGCTGTTTCCTAGGTAAAATATTGACGTGGCTATCTCCGAGTCTATCTGCTAATTCTCCGGGAGCAGGACCTTTAGATGGTTCATTATACTTAGACTTCGGTTCCCCTCTTTCGCGCTTCTCCGCTACTCTTACAGTGACAGACTTTGACTTTGCAGCATTCATTATGTAAGATGAGAGTTACTTTCTTACAATATTTTCTCTATGGAAGGTCTAAAAACTAGGAATTCAATTTTTATTAGATTAGACTAAATAGGGAGCAAATATATTCTTAAATATGTCTATATATATATATACTTATGTAAAATTATTTCTAAGAAACAATATATATCTAATTTGTATTGGATTCTACTTAGATTAAGAAATGTAACTGCCTTGTACCAAAGTTCCACCTGCTATCTCCTTACAAATCTACGGGACAAAGGAAAGGCGCTCCTGCGTTATGTGAAACGGAAATGTCATTATGGTAACCCTCTTTATCCGGATATCACAAACAACATATTCCACTCTTTAATTTATAGAAACAGCGCAAATTTCATATCTCCTTGATCAGGGTGACTAGATTTTATTAGGTAATTATTTCAATAATTATTCTTGTACAAAGAAAACCATTTTCGGAACCAGGTTGCGGCTATGCCTTGGTGAAAGCTTAATCTGGAAATTTCACAATGCTAAGAAAAAGTGTTGCAAAATTCCAAGCGATTGGCAAATGGCTCCAAATTGTGAAATTGGATTCGGCTTCTGAAACTCTTAGTTATGCGAACTTTAAGAGAAATCATAATGTATAAGCAATTTAACAATGGCACAGTTGAACCCTTGTGCCTATGGACTATAACGGTTAAAGATATGTTTTGTAGCCTGTGGAAGGGGGTGCCTTTAGTGTTGAGAGAGAGCAAGATCAGCCAATGGAAGTTAAAGGTGGTGTCCCTTTCACACGTTTTGCTAGCAACCGATATCGATCTCACCTGTAAGCTCGACTCTTCTACTGCTGCTAGCAATGTAGACATTGTAGGTACCTGTTTGTATAATCCACAGTTGAGATTCGGTATCCCAAATACTCAAGTCACGGTGTAAAATTTCAAACTTAACTCTCTTGCTCTCATTCGGCTCAATAAACACTTTATCAAATCCTCTGAGCACTTTAGGTGGCAGAAGTAATATTGTACTAGGGAACTCTATGTACAATTGAGCTACATAGCCACCTTTGTACTTCCCGTCATTCTTAACTTCTGCACTAACTTCATAGAGTACATCCCATAGTGCCGGATTTCCTCCCAATCCTCCGCCTGCCAAAGGAGGGCAAGTTTTTTGATCAGGATTATACCCTTTGGGATATTCGAAATTTTCGTCATCTTCTACTGACCTTATGTTTTCATTATACAAGTAGGGATAAATAAATCCCGGAACTGGGCGAATTTCGTCATGAGGAAATAATGCATCTTCTGGGTCACATACATCATCTTCACAGGTGTTATATATAGGTAGATACTCTTCTGGATAAGGCAAGTACTCGGAGGGTGAATTGATTTCGATTATTTTTAGGTCGCATAATGTAAAAGATGTGTAAGATAAGCCATATCCAAACTCATATAGTGGCTTAATCGTATGCTTATCGAAGAACCTGTAGTCTAAGTATATATCTCTATCAAAGTTGTCTTGTGGATTTTCACAATCCTCTAAATCACTAATAATAGGAACATAGTGCAGCTTTTTCTTGGCAATTGTGAATGGTAACTTCCCAGAAGGATTAAATTCTCCGAACAATACTTCAGCCATAGCTTTTCCAACAAACTGGCCTAATGGGGCAGAGTATAGAACAGCGACAACATTCTCCTTATCAATCCACTTGTCTAAACTCACGGGCCCTACCGAATTGACGATGACGATAGTTTTTCTACATCTCTCTGCAATGGCGCAAATTAATTCATCACCATTATTCCAAAGAGTTAGATTATTTCTATCACCAAAGTTTCCATCCACTTCAATATATCCTTCTCCGGAAGATGCCCCAACAACTACAATGGCCATATCAGCATAATCAGCTAATTCACCGACATTATCTAACTCCCAGACATCGGAGGTATAGTCGACAACTATTCCTTGCTCAATTGCCTTCTCTTGAATTGCCTCGTATGGAGTTATCACGTAAGGATTATTGACAGCTGCAGATCCCCATCCCGAGGTTAAAACACCTTCAACGCATCTCTGGTCTTTACAATTATATCCTTTTGGATCAGGACCAGCTCCAGCACCGGCAATTAGTACTCTTCTAATCCCGTCCGATTTTGCAATAGGTAAGTTATGACCTTCGTTTTTTAAAAGCACAATAGCTTCTTTAGCAACACTCAAAGCTATTTCGTCACTAAAGGCTGATCTTGCATCAACGTGCCAGTTTTGTTGCATTATTGGGCCATAATGTTGATATGGAAATTCCTGACCGAAGGTATGGAAAGTCCAAGAAGAAAAGCTTGGATGATGATTCTCCTGCAATAAATTACAAGCCTCGATTGCAAAAAATGGAGCCAAAATTCTAATTGCCATATCATTCAATCTCAGTTGGGGAAGAGTCTGGTTATAAACTGCCCTCGTTAATAATGGCCCCCAATAAGATTTTCCTGAGAGCCAATTATCAAAAGTTTCACCAGGCATGGTCATATCCAAGCCTGCCAACGACGATTCAACTCCAGTATGTTGAGCTCCCCAGTCGGAAACAACAAACCCTTGAAACCCTAATTCTTCTTTCAAAAGGTAGTTTAACAAATAAGAATTCTCACAGGCGTAAGTATTGTTGACTTGATTATAGGAGCACATAATGCTTCCAGCTCCTGCTCTAATCGTGTCGGCAAAGGGCCAAAGATAGATCTCATGCATTGCTCGATCACCAATATTTGCACTAATTGAACTTTGTAGATTTTCCCAACCTCCTCCTTCATCACTCCACTCTCCTACTTGTCTGAAATGTTCTTGCTCATTTCCAATTAGATGTCTAACACATGCTATAACACCTTCATCTTGTATGCCTTCTACTGTTGCAGCTCCACAAATACCTTGTAGATACGGATCCGCTCCAAAACTTTCCCAGTTCCTTCCTCCTGCTGCCTTTAAGCCAATAGGGCCCACAGTGGGACCTAGAACGACATTAACACCCTTCGCTTTATGTTCACTACCTAGAGCTTTTCCTCTTAGGTAGATTAATTCTTTATTAAAAGTACTACCTGTTGCAAGACCGGAAGGGAAATGAGTTATGAAATCAGTAAATCTAACACCATTAGGTCCATCTTGAAGACAAAGACTAGGAATCCCGAGTCTAGGAACACTTCCAGTATTTCCAATACATGGTCCTGATCCCCAGCCTGTTCCTGTAGTCAAATTAACCTTTTCAGTAATAGACATTTTCTCTACTAGCTTTCTTGCTTTGTCATAGGCTTTTTGCCAGATCCTATCCATTCTACCTCCGTTTGCTAAATGATGCGTTAGTTTGGAAATTGCCTTACAAGTGTGAAGATAATGAAGCTATCATATTTACTTACGAGATGGGTAGTAACTTGGTGAACAATCTTTATTGCTTTCTTCAAATATCTGAAGCAATGGAGATTCTTCATGTCTGCCCCTCTTTTTCAATTCTTGATGGGTTATGTTTTTGGTGAAGACCAATTGCTCCCGCATCTCACCAACCTCCAAAGAGGAAACCGAAGACATAAATCCTGCAATAAAAATCAAAGTTGTAATTTTCATGAATAAAAATACTAAACTTCTTCTGATAACAAGGTAATGGTGTGCTATTACTAACAGGTATAGCACTGTATTGCATTACGTTTGCCATTTTCTGATTCCTATTATCCACAAACAAAAGCGCAATAAAAAATGGCTGCAAATTCCGGCATATAAGAGGCTGCAAACATAAATCATCAGTAGTAGAAGATAGGAAGAGAGCTATTTTACACTGAGGCTACAACCGCTTTTCTTTTACATATATGAATTACATAAAAATACAAATGCTAATGCTATGCTAATGAGGTGATATAAAGGGATGCGAGATACAAATAGTTAGCTTAAGTACTCATTCTAGTAGTGACTTGAATAGGAGTAATCACACCTGGTACAGCGCTATTGCTTGTCGCACTAGAACCGTCCAAATCAAACTGTGCCAATGTAGGAGATTTGATCAAACCAGAGCTTGATGTATGTAAAAATGGAGGTGCTGATAGTGACTCTGTGCTGGCAGTTTGGACTATTGGTTGTATTAATGGTCCCGGTTGCTTTAGCAGTTTATTGTTCTCTGAGCTTGGGTGTAGGTTTGTCAAGTTTTGATTTGTACTTAAGGGAGACAATGTCTTCGATTTATTATTAGTATTATTATTATTGCTCGTCGCATTAGTGTTTTTAAAATTATTACCATTATTAGTGCTGTTATTTTTGGCGGAAGGTGAATTTGGGTTAATGTTTGCAATTGATGTATTACTCGATGTGATGCTGTGGGTATCTAAATCTAGCCCCTTAAGTGGCAATAATAAACCACTTATTTCGTCATTGCTTACAAGCAAGGAAGCGGTTGTCTTATGCTGCTTTGGAGTATTTTCAGCTGATTGTAATCCGAAAAACTTTTCAAATGCTTTGAATGCAGATTCTGAATCTAATAGTAATGCACTTTCGAAATATCCAGGTCTAGAGTCATCAATCTTAATATTGTTTTTGTATTTAATCCCATTGAATAGATTGAAGAGATCTATTCTGAAATTTTTAGGAAGCAAGTTGTTGACTAAGTATACATTATTAAATTTGTCGGGATTTTTAATGAATTGAAGCACTATTGGTTTCAAGCTTGAGAATTCTTTCAACTTATTTCTCCTCAAGTCAACTTTTTCCAATGATGCAAGATTATTGAACCCTTGTAATGATACAAGTTTATTGTTATTTAAATTCAAAGTGGACAAATGAATTAGGTTAGTTGGTAAGTCTTCGAGGCTGGTGAGCAAGTTGTCGGCCAAATTTAAATACTTAAGGTTGGTTAATTGAGACAATCCTTCGGGAATCGACTCCATTAAATTATTAGATAAATTCAATTTCACAAGGTTACAAAGTGGCTTGAAAATATATGCTGGAATGGTAGTTATGGATGCTTCTGATATGGTCAATTGTTTGAGGAATGCCCACTTATTGTCCGAAAGAGAATGATAGTCCTTAGCTGCGACAGCAGGGGCGGTGGAAGAATTTGAGTTTGGATGCGTAAATGAAGAATAAGTTGACGCTCTCTCACGTTTTGGATACTTAAATACATTATCTTCCGAATCATTTTCAAGGAAGACAGATGACTCGGTCTTCCTATGCAGATGGGTGAACCCACTATTTGCCACATTGGGCAGCAGTCCTGCCAATATCCCATTCAAGTTTACAGAACTTTGCTGTTGTTTGTAATGACTGAAGCTCAGCCTACCACTTTCATCATCAATCACTAAATTGAATATAACTTCGCCCAAGCTACTGATCTTACTATTCTTGATGATCAAAATTCTCAACTGTTCACTCAAAATATGCCACCCAAAGATTTCATTAGGTTCATAGTCTATAATTTCTAGAACCTGTAAGTTCTTGAACATGTTTAAGGGCACTGAAGTATCACAGGGGTACTCCTCGTATCCGCTGATACTGTTCATCTTGGTTTTTGGGCTCAAGATCAAGCAGGGTATCTTAGTGAATGAGCTGTACATGTATTTAAGGTCTTTATTGATGACTTTGGGGTCTTTACTGAACCCCACAGATCTCCAGTACATGGAGGCACTGCTTACTATACTCTTCATTGAATTAATAGATGAGATGGATTTGGTATCACTCTCAAAGTGTCTTGACAGCCTGGCATTGTTTGCCATGAAGGAAATAAAGGTAGGCTCATGGTTTGGGTTGTCCAATTTAATGTTCAAAGGCCCGACGTCCACACCGAGCGTGGAAGACTCGATTCTCTCCAGAATATAATACAAATGGTGGATAGTAAACGAGAGCCTCAAGGGTTTGATTTGCTTGCCATTGGCATTCGATATAGGTCTGTTTTTGGAAAAACAAAGAAGCCCATTTGCCAAAGATTCTTCATTGCGTCGGATGTACGTCGATAGCCGTTGGATAAAGATTTCTCCTTCAATGGAGTTATCATTCGTGAAGGCACCCATGAGAATGAGCAGGGTGAATGTCTGTGAGTGAAGAGTTGTTAGGAAGGGTTCTGTAGCTTCTCTTGATTTCCTCTTACAAAGTGGGTATTGGTGGAACTAAAGGTAATTTCCTTGCAATCTAATCTGTTTTGTATCCCCGTTATTGGCTTAGTACCACTGCTTGTTTACTTCAAAGACCAGAGTTCCCTTTTAAACGATTTTCTCCTTCCCTTTCTGTTGTTTTGATTCGCATGTTGTTTCCTGCATATATGAAACTTAAAATATCTCACATATCTTGTCCCCTGAGTAACAGAGATATACAAGTTGTAACTATGAGCAACGGTTATCGCGATGACCTATGACTTATTGGGACGAATTATACACGTGTTGTAATACTTATGTACATTTATTTGGATATATGGCAAACGGTTATCAGACTTGTCTACGCTATTTTGAGGGGTTCTGGTCTCTCTTTTTGATACGAGAGTCAGTGTCAAGACTTGATGTGCTTCTGTCGCATGCAAGAAGCAGACGAATTTGTTTACGAAATCCTAATCAGGAAGGTGGACAAATATCGATTACATGCCGCGATACGAAAAATAATTTAAAATAAAAAAATGGCATAAAAAATCCGAGATATAAAAAAATCATTAGATTGCACCGACAATATCAACAACATATCCTGTATGATCTAAAGTAGGAGGAGGGGAATCAACGGCTGCGGTATTGCTTTTTCATAAACTGGCATATTTCTCCGAAAAATTGGTAGCTTTTATGAGTTACCTTGTCTCTCTTTTCCAATAGGCTTGTTCCTTCTGTAGCTGTCTAATTTATCCGTTATGCACGACATTTGCAGCCAAGGCTCAACTGAGAGGCCCCTACTGCCTACTGTCATGCTAAGGTAACGCCGCGCACGCTATTTGTATTGGTCTTTATAAGATTTTTGCATTTTAATTATCATAAATCATTCAATTAAAGTAAATAAACTACGTAAGTACATGCACCATGGTGTTATGAAGTCAGTCAAACATATATACTAAATTTCAAGTGTTTTCTTTTTTGTTGTTTTCTTGCAAAATGCAGTCCACTGCAACCTCCTTGGTTAAACGGGGGCATGACCTGCTCTCCACTCGTATAAATCTCTGTTCTTTTACCTGTGTAAGTAACAAGCGAAATTATCAAAGCAGCCAGTGTCACGTTTCTCGTAAGCATCCATCGAAATGAATCGGCAGCCCCTAGCCTTCTAGTCAGGGAATTCCCAAAGTAGGAAGAAAAAGAAAAATATTCTTAAGACATATTTCATAGTACGCTGATACTTCTCTTCTCTGCTTGTAGATCTCATTCAATCAGTTTTTTCCCTTTTGCTTCGTTAATTTTCTCTCGACATTTGCTCGCTAGTTTGCTCACTAGAAGCAACATCATTCAAACTTCCTCTGTCATTATTGTAAACACTACCTCTATCGTTATTGTAGACACTCCCCCTATCGTACATACTCACTGCATAGGTACTATTCGCAGCGGTGGGGTTTACTGATAGACGCTCCATTATACTAGCCGGTGGTATACCGGCAGTGCTACAATTCGTGTCTAGTGATCTTCTCCGTAATCTTCGGGAACTGCTGGCTAAAGTCACAATGGATTCACTATCTCTATCAACTGGTCCACCATTTGTAGGTCCAGTATTACTACCAGGTACCGCACTACTTATACTGACACTGCCTCCTTGTTGTACCAGTCTATCTGGTCCCCCGGAGCCCGAACCTGTTGCACTAATCAGATTACTCAATTGACTGTTAGGGTAGCTTAAATTGTGGCTGAGTTGTGGGTTATTTGTCACCGTTGGGGTGATTGACGTTTCAGTCGTGGAAGCAACATACAGCGAATTATCAATGTCATTATTGATGGCTGCACTTAAGACGGAGGGAGATTTGGTTGATGGAGTAGACCCAATGGACTTCAATGGCGTTGTACTCACATTATCCATATAAGAGCCTGTAGTTACATTATCAGAGTAAAAGCTCACATGTGTTTCTGTATCGTTTGTCATTACACTAATATCTTCATCTCCTTCAAGACCTCTTAATCTTTCGTCCTCATCATCATCATCTCCATCACCTCGCGGGTGCCTTGATTGCCTCTTGTTTGCATCATAATGCTGCCTAGGAAGCAGCAGGTTGTGAGATGTACCATTAGTTCTGGGTCCCTGGCCCTGCATGAGTCTCTTAACCCATCCAAACCTGTTCTTCACTCGTTTATCATCTACTGTATGGGGGTTAGTACGGGGGATCCGAAAAGATAAAAAAAAAATTATAAAAGTAAAATTTTGATAAAGTTAATGCATTTTGGCTGTACTTACCTTCCTGTATGCTCATGGCTTCAGAAACAACTTTTGTTAAGACTATACCAAGCTATTGTTCTTGATTGTATATCCCTTGAGCTTAATAGATTCGTCACCAGAGTGATTTTACTTCGTTATTAGGTTGTTTTTCCTAATTAGTTTTGGGAGTGCACACAGTATAAAGTTTTTGAGAAAATATGTAACAGCTTCTAGAAGAGCCAGTAATGCCCATTAATATATGAAACAACAGACCCGTGTGTGACCTTGATAAAAAAAAAAGGTAATACTAGATTAGGCGATCATGTCACTACTTAAGCGAAGATGTCAATAATTCAAAAAAGAATGCGCAAACCCGGAATCGAACCGGGGGCCCAACGATGGCAACGTTGGATTTTACCACTAAACCATTTGCGCAGTAAGAAAGAAGCTCCGCGACGGGGAATTGAACCCCGGTCTACCACGCGACAAGCGGTAATTCTAGCCACTAAACTATCACGGATTTTTCTGATGTTAAAATATCCGCGGCTTCCAAGAAGACTTTGGTGGTGCCTAGTTTAGTTGTGAGCCTTTAACTGCAACCATTGGGCTCGTTAAAGCTGGTAGACCTTCCTCAATGGTAAGTGGTTCTTTCAGGCTTTAGAATTGTTAAGGAAAAATGTAATATGCGTAGCCGTGGAAGTGGAAGTGAAAGTGGAAGTGGAAGTGGAAGTGGGAATAGAAGTGGAATTGCTGGTTCAATTGAAGAGAAATGCAAATAAAGATAAAGAAACGAGAACTATGCCGAAGCGTACTCACAGAACCGCTGAAGCATGCTAGAGGAGTAGGACTGGAAGTACCTGAAGTCCTGATGTGAACTTGGCTGAAGAGTGGTTTCAACTCTAAAAAACAACAAGAAAAGCAAAGAATAGCCAATCCCACAGTTTCGTTACTATCAGATAAATGAAGAAAACTCCGAACCAGAAATCATTATCATCAATGGCTGCAAATTACCTGTGGAAGCGACCCATTAAAAGTCAGTCACTAGTAACCAATTTATACAGGATCGTTCACATACTCTTCCGGGTCATCAGTATGGGCTCAATGTCATCTAAGCTGCTGTCCTATTGCCCACCTCCTGCTAGTTTCTCTTCTAAGTAACTGCTCCATCCCACAAGACATTACCATACAATTTTTTTTTTTTTTTTTTGCCACGGCCTAAGAATCATCAAGCTCTTGCTCCAGAGAAAAACAGCTGCCTACAAAAACTACACCTAAAGAATAAAAAACTACCATCTAGCGACTTAAACATACTCCGAAAAGCTCGTTCTATTACACTAGCTCTTCTCCCTGGGCCCACTACCAACAAATTTAAACCATCCAGACCCATCCGCCCTTTAGCCTAATCCTTCCCTACTGAAGTAATTTTTTTTTTTTGGGAGGAACCACAAGGTGACACAAAATCGAGATTTTGTCGTTGTTGTCCTTTTTTGATTTTTTTCCAAGTTTCGAAAATTCACAAGTCAAACTTCAAAGGTTAAATAGTGTCCATAACATACCATAGTAATTGCAGCTTAGCACCAACATATCATCCCTTATTCCTAACTGCTAATGGATTTCGAAGAAGCAGAAGATATTAACGGTATCCGTTTCGCCTGGAACACGTTCCCATCCACGAAAGTTGAAGCAAACAAGGTCGTGGTACCTACAGGTGCACTCTACACCCCATTAAAGCAAAGAGATGATTTACCAATAGCCTCTTACGACCCAATTTTTTGTCAGACTCAAACGTGTAAGGCAATTCTTAACCCTTACTGTAGAGTGGATCCAAATGGGTTCTGGATATGTCCTCTCTGTCAAACTAGAAATGGATTACCTGTTCACTACCAAGGAATTCTGCAGGAGAACTTGCCAATAGAATTGGACCCTGGTTCGTCTACGATTGAATACATTACTGCCAGGCCTGTGCAAAACAACCCTGTATTCTTCTTTGTAATCGATTTGTGTCAAGATGAAGATAGCTTGAAAGCGTTGAAGGAAACTTTGGTTATCAGTTTGAGTCTTCTCCCACCTAACGCGTTAGTTGGGTTGATCACTTTCGGTACTATGGTTCAAGTCCATGATTTGGGCAGCGAAACGATAAATAAGCTGTACATCTTCAGAGGTGACAAGGAGTACACGGAAGCTCAAATCATTGACATGTTGGGTAAGCAGCAGCTCCACCCTCAACAACAGCAAAATAACGCCTTCAACGGCGGCTTGCCCAACGGCGTTGGTGGAGCCAACTTCAGTAACTCCCTCCAACGTTTCTTCCTCCCAGTAGAAGACGTTGAGTTTCAATTGACATCAATTTTGGAAAACTTGACTCCTGACCCTTGGTCTGTAGCTCACGGTGACCGTCCATTGAGATCTACTGGTTCTGCATTAAACGTCGCTGCAAACCTCTTGGGTGCTACATTCTCTGGATTCGGTGCTAGAATTATGTTATTCTCGGCAGGTCCATGTTCCTTGAGCCCCGGTCTCATTGTGGGACAAAAATTGAGAGAACCAATTAGATCCCACTCAGACATCGATAAGGATAACTCTGTTGCTAAGCACTACAAGAAGGCAATTAAGTACTACGATGCTCTTGGTGCCACTATTGTTAAGAACTCCCACACTGTGGATGTCTTTGCTGGATGTTTGGATCAAATTGGTATGTCTGAAATGAAAAACTTGTGTAATTTAACGGGGGGTACCTTGGTGCTTACTGATGCCTTCACCACTTCCATTTTCAAACAATCCTTTTTAAGACTTTTCGCCAAGGACCTGGAAGGTTACTTGACCATGGGATTCAATGGTATCTTGGATATTAAGACATCCAGAGAATTGAAAATTAGTGGACTTATTGGACATGCATCTTCATTACAAAGTAAAAATAACAATAACGTATCTGAAAATGAAGTTGGTATTGGTGGTACTTCGCAATATAGATTATGTTCAATACTGCCACAACACAGTTATGCCATTTTCTTTGACGTTGTCAACACACAACCATTGCCTCCAAATGCTCAATCATATATCCAATTTATCACGCATTATCAACATTCTTCCGGAACATACAGATTAAGAGTTACCACAGTTTCCAACATTTTAACTGGTGATGAGCTGATTTTAACTCAATCTTTTGATCAAGAAGCTGCTGCCGTGTTGATGGCAAGAGTCACTTTATTCAAATCTGAACAAGACGATGGTGCAGATGTATTGAGATGGATTGATAGGATGCTTATTAGATTATGTCAAAAATTTGCTGACTACAGAAAGGATGTCGACGAGCTGTTTAGATTGGCACAACAATTTAGTTTGTATCCTCAATTTGTATATTATTTGAGAAGATCACAATTTTTGCAAGTCTTCAATAATTCCCCCGATGAAACTGCTTTCTATAGGCATGTTTTATTAACTGAAGATACGAATAATTCATTAATTATGATCCAACCAACATTAACCAGTTTCCTGTTGGATAGTGAACCTGAAGCTGTATTATTAGACTCGGTTTCTATTAAAGATGACAGAATTTTACTTTTGGATACTTTCTTCCATATTTTAATCTTCCATGGTAAGACTGTCGCAGAATGGAGAAAGGCTGGTTATCAAAATAATCCTGATTATGCTAATTTCAAGCAATTATTGGAAGAACCAAAGCAAGAAGCTGCTGAATTATTGGTTGATAGGTTCCCATTACCAAGATTTATTGACACTGAAGAAGGTGGCTCTCAAGCAAGATTCTTATATTCTAAATTGAACCCAAGTACTACTTATAACAATCAAAATGAGATTGGAAGTAGAGGTGCCATTGTTTTGACTGATGATGTTAGTTTACAAGTGTTTATGAGCCATTTACAAAAGTTGGTTGTATCCGGATCGAGCTAGAATGTTAAAAAAAAATTTCATCGTCTGTTGGGCAACTGAAAAGGAGACCAACTGAGTTGGGCTATTAGAATCTCCTTATAGGGTTTCTTTTTTCTTTTTATTTGTTTTGTACCCTCCCATAATCGACATTAAGCGTGTGATATAGAACCAAACGATTGAGACCAAAGGTGTCAAAATTAGAAGTAAAAGTAGATAGTATTGAATACAAAAAAAGAAAAGAAATGATTATAATTATAAATAATGTACTCTGTAGGCCCGTTAGTTAGTACTACATTTTCTAGGGAGGGCCCTAATACCCTAAGAATTCCGAAAGCAGCAGCTCGTACAGTTCTCCTTTGCAATAAAATTTTAGCTGTCTACCGTTTTTTTTTTTATGCTTGTTCTGAAATTTTCACACATTTCACTTGCGAACTGGTGCACCATTCTTCAGTAATCAACACAATTGCTTTGGTAAGTACTTAGTATAATTATCGAATATGGAACAAGAATCGCTTACAGCAGGTATGTACTATTCATTATGATGGTATCATCATTAAAATTCGAAGATTAAGAGTATAAAGGTAAGATATCTCGATGGTGTCAGCCCGCAAGATATTTCGATGATAGCCTTATGGAATCCAACCAAACGTATCGGACTTGGAAGTAAACTTGAAAAAGCTCTTACATGGCTTAATTCAATTCATAGCTTGAATATTGAATGGTACTAACATATAGATGAAATTGCGTTGTACGATAGGCAGATTAGGCTATGGGGTATGGGGACTCAGTTGAGATTGAGATCAGCTAAAGTACTTGTTATCAATCTTAGCGCAGTCGGTACAGAGGTGGTGAAAAACTTGGTTCTAGGAGGATTAAATTCCTTGGAAATTCTTGATTCTTCGAAGGTTAAAGAAGAAGACTTTCTGGCGCAATTTTTCTTGCCCAATGATGACAGTATCGTTGGTGACTTGAAATTATTGCATGCCTTGCCGCAGATTCAAGAATTGAACAACAGGGTTACCATAACTTCCAACACTAGACCGTTGAACGAAAATGAGGGTTCCTATTTCAAGAAATTTGATTTGGTTATCGCCACAGAGCTCTCATCGAAGTCTGAGATCTTATGGTTGAATGGAATCACCAGGGAACTGAATATACCTCTATATGTATCAGGGTTGCATGGTATGTTTGGTTACATCATCAACGATTTGATCAGGCATGAATCAGAGGCGGAGAGAGAAATTGGGAACCAACCTAGGGTGGTTGGTACTCTGATATCCGGTAACAAGACTATAATAGGAGTGCAATATAATAAGTTAACCAATAAGGAACTCGTCAAAGTTGAAGATGTATACTCACAATTGGATAATGTGCTATCCTCCAAAAAGGTATCTTCCCAATTGAATAAAAGACAAATGAGAAGACTCTCCGCTTCATTACCTTTAATATTTACTCTATTTGACTGGCAACGTCCAACTGATATTGAAGCTGATTTAGACAACTCGAAATTGAAGGCTGCTGCAATAAATATGTGTCAGCATCTCAACATCCCAAGTACCGTTATTACTGATGAGTACGTGGAATTGGTGTGCAAGCAGGCATTTACCGAATTTTCTCCTACTGCTGCCATATTAGGAGGCTGTTTAGCTCAGGATGTGATTCAATTCCTAAGCAAGAAGGAATCACCAATTAACAATTGTTTAATCCTTGACGGAATAAGATCAGAAATGCCAATTTATAGTTTATGATATTTATTATAAATTCATATTGAAAGAATTAGCTCTGGTGTATTTAAAAGAAGATTACACTAAGCTCAGCACTTTCAAGTTTCCAATTAACCTTTCTATAAATACATTTATTACTTCTAGATTACTACGTTGCTCAATAACTCTACCCAGTATTGTCTCGCTACTAAAATATACCTCTGCTGTTTCAGTATGTATCTACATTATCTACCTGGAGGAGTACCTCTCCCCTTCCTTTTCTTTAAATGCGACGTATGCTTCAAGAACTTCCAAGATTTACCTAACTTAATGGTTAGAAGTTTGCCTTTTTCTCGTTCAGGTCCAATTTCATCGACTATCTCAGATTTGCGCTTTTTGAACTCAGAATACACTTCTTCTTGTTGCTCTTCCAATTCATTCACTTTCCTTTTGAGGTCCTCATTTTCCTTCTTCAAATCTATCATATTTGTTTTAAATTCAAATAATGAATTCTGTGCGTTCTGATATTCTGCTTGCATGTATGATTTTTCTTCTTTCTTCAGAATGATCCTATCTAAGCTTTCTTGGATTTCTGCCTGAAGTGACCAAATTTTGATTTGATTTTCGTAGTACGTAATGAGTTTTGGGGACACTATTTTAAACTCGGAAATAAAATTTTTAAGAGTTGATTCAAAGCTGATTATTTCTCTCTTTGCTTGCTCAATTTCATCACTTTTCTTTTGATACCTCTTTTCAGCAGATGAGATTCTGAATTTTGCATGGTTAACATCGTCAATAATAGACGAAAGTACTTTTTTGGTATCTGAAAGGCGTCTTCCACATTTCTTCAACCCTTCAATTCGATCACCAATGTCGAAAACTATATTGCCATTATCATTGTCATCTTGATACTTCAAAAACTCTTGATGTTCCTTTTCAATCAATTTCCATTGTATGTAAGTTGTATTCATCCTCATGATGAGCTTATGGGTAAGTGCAACTTCAATTGAGGCACCACCACTAAGTGGCATGATACCACTTAGTACATTCATGTCGTTCTTCAATGGGTTTGTCACATAGTTTTGTTCAATTCTTTTGGATTGATAATAAGTCTTCTTGGTATTCGCAGTAGCACTGGAGCTATATCCTGACCCAAATGTCGAAATGTTGGCACTCATCGAGTTATTGTTGTTCGCTGTCAACCCACCATTGCTATTGTAATTCTCTGAAGTATCGTACGGTGTATAATGGTATTGAACTTCTGTCAATAAACTCCTTTCCACGTCAGTGGCGTTGAAAAAGGGAATGGAAGGTAAGTCAGGTAATGGCCACGCTGGAAATTCAACTTTATGAGATCTGTTGTCTTCTTCTGTCTTGATAATATTGTCAAAGAATGTATGACTTAAATAATTCAAGTTCTGATTATAAATTGGAATCAAATCTGGTGGAAGGATTCCTATATGGTCTCTAAGACAGACTATGGAAGAAATGAGATTGTATAGATGAGCCTTGTCTGATTTCCGTGGTTTCTGGCCATAATGGAATTGAACGTGCTCTATTGTTTTCATAGGAATTAATCTGATCATAACGCACTCATTATCTCCTCTTTGCTGGGTTCTTAACTGACGAACAAATTCAGACTCAGTATCCACATAACTATCGAAAATAATAAGAAAGTCAAACTTCGTAGAGTCTAACACGCTTTGATCTCGCGTCAATTGCCCATCATGAGGGATAAGGTGGATATTTGTTGTATTAACAGGTCCAGCTTTGGACTTACCGCCTCTTCCTGAAGGTGTACTTGGTGGTGCTGGCGTGGTTGTACCAGTACTACCATTGGAAGATGTACCAGAAGTTGTAGACAATGACTGCCCATTGCTTGTGGAGGTAGCTGCCGCAGCTGCTGCAGCGGCAGCTTGTGCTGCTCTACTCTTAGTCTCCTTCTTAACACTATTCCCCACGTATCTTCGAATCACTTTGTTACCCTTGCTCCCCAATAACAAGGCCTCCACCAAATCGAAGAATTTTCCATTATTGTACATCACAATTCCTACATTTTTGTCTCTTTTCACACTGGTCCTTCCAACTACTACATTAACCAAGTCTTTCAAGACATTAAATTTCCCACTCGTCTCTGCTAGCTTACTCAGTATATCCTTCAGGGTCAAATTTTTCGGCATATAGTGGTTAATCAATAAATAAGGATGAACACTAACCAAGATGCAGTTTTCGTAGCAAATTTGCAATGATTGCATTATCAGATCATTAGTGGAATCGGTTTCACAAAATTTCAAAATGTCTGGATAGTGTAATGAAACGATTTGATCCGTTAGTTCCTTTTGGAAATCATACATTGGCGTTGGAAGAGCATAATCTCCACTGGTGCTCAAATTCTGAAGATGGAGATCTATAATTGGTGGTTCAGGAGTACCATCTAAAATTCTCAAGAGATCCATATTCCAAATGTTCTATCTCTGTCCCAAGTATTCTACGGAAAATAATCACTATTGATTGACTACATTCGTAGGTGTAGTTGTTTTATTTTTGCAAGTTGTTAAAGAAATTTCCGTATACGATTATGTGGGTTATATGCAGGTGCGTCTGTACATCTGACCGAAAAGTAGCACGAATTGGGTGCAAATGACGTGGGAAAGATAAGTAAACAAAATATTGTTTAGTTTAAGAGCAAACTCGTTGGATGAAAAGAGCTTTTTAAGCTTTGGCTCACTTCAGTGCTTGATTTTCACGTTTTGCTGCTTCTCAATTTTTCTTCCTAAAAAATTTTACTTTTTTTATTAATTGATGAGTACAGAGGGGTTGCCAATGGACTCATATATGCAATACATATAATACATAATTTTCTTTATTAGTGAGACTAATATTGCCAAATCTTAACTGTTCTATCCCATCCACAACTTGCTATTGTGCCAGTTGGAGAGATATCACAACTCATAACCTTATCATTGTGTCCCTGCAAGGTTTTCACTTTGACCCAGTTGTCCGCACTCCATACATTGACCAAGCCATCGTAGGAACTTGTCACCAAGAAAGAACCAGCATCCGAAATTCCAGCATTATCATCGACGAATTCGTTGGATAATCTTTCTGGATTCGTACCGAACTCATCGGTGACCTCTGGTACTCCTTTTAAAACTGAATTGGATGTCAAAAACCTAACCTCACTGACTAATTTACTATGTGCTGGTATGGAGAAGAGTTCAGAAGTTGGGTTTCGAAGGTCCCAAATCTTCACCGAGCAATCCCCACTTGCTGTGGCTAAATGTATACCGTTAGGTGCCCAATCCATTGAGTATATTCCCTGTATATGTCCTTGTAGAATACTTATAGATCTACCTGATCTCAAATCCCATATGTACCCTATAGCATCAAGACCTGCAGAAGAGAAAATCCCACCGTCTGGGTGGAAAGAACCACAATATACTTCTTTGGAATGCCCTTCTTGCTGGTATATTGTTTTCAACGTGGTTGCGTCCCACAATTTCCAAGTTTGATCGAAAGATGTAGAAGCAAAATATGCGCCAGATGGGTGGTACAAAGTTTCGGTGATTCTTGCTGGGTGAGCATTAGATATCGTTTCATTTGACTCACTTTTGACATTCCAAACATTGATGGAACCTTCTCCCCCACCAGACAATACGTTGGAATTATCACGACTCCAGTCAATGGCACTGACTTTCTCTGTGTGTTTGCCAATGCTTTTGTGCTTTTCCAGAAGGTCAGAGTCTAGGATGTGTATAGAGCCATCCCAAGACCCAACTGCAAGAAAATTATCCATTTTTCCATTATCTACAATTCTACTATATCGTATCTTAGAAAGTGCTCTGGTAGCCAATGATTGAGAGCCGTACAATTCCAAACCTTCCAACTTAGAATTGATGCTTCTTCTGTATTTAAGTATCTTGATAAAATCGGTGCTTTTTGATGCATGTTTCTTCTGAGCTGCTAACCTGTTCCTAGATTTATCAAGTGAGTATGATAGTATCTCCTTACGAATGGTAAGTAGTTCATCACTACCAGGTGTGTAAAATTCCTCATTGTCATCATCCATCTCATCATCTACATCACTGTCCTCGAATTCATCTTCACTTCCAAAACCATTTCCCTCTTCCGTTCCCTTCAAATTTCTGTTGCTCAATAAGTCAACTAACCTGGCTCTTCGATCAGCCTTGTCTTCTCCAAAATATGTCACTGGTTCCCCAATTCCTCGAAGAGCTTTCCGTACTTGATCATCTGTTGTGGGCGCATTCACAAGATTTGCTGGTTTTCTTTCATTGATTACAGTGAGAGCATCTACGTCCATTTTTGACTGAGAGAAGAGCAACTGTCTACAGAACTCATCTCTTGAAATTTCTGGCTTCTAAATATTTTTGGTTTTTCATATCGCTACCAAAAAAAGAAAATGCTGCGCTGCTCTACACTAAGATGTGCTTGACGTCTATTCATAAGCACGTATATCTGAAAGCTATTTATTCTTACTTAATGATTCCCTCCTAGTATCCTATTTGCATACTCTCCAAAATTTTCTTTTGCATTAACCATTTCGTCAAGATCTGGTTGGCAAAATACAGCTAGAGTATTTCTTGCGATATGGTTCATATTAGTGCCCTTTACGAAATGCGACACAGCTTTAAAGGAACCATTGGAAACCTCTTGCAATGTAGATCCAGATTGGAATGCTAAGCAGTGTTTTGGGATATTTACTTTAACGATCTGTGCGTTTCTATTACGAATATATAAACCTGCTTCTTTGTCGGGAGATTGCTCGAGTTTGTGAGTCAAACCCTTGGACTCATCTATGAATATAGCAGATGTCAAACCTGTTAAACAAGAATGATCTAGATGTTCTCCACACCACGAGTCACTACCGCTTTCTACGATTTCACCTTCGGTGGGATAATAATGAAGCAATCTCGCCTTGGTGCATGTTGAGTCTCTTACTACTCTTTCCAAGTAATTCTTTTCGTACCCGTCTACCTTCTGGCCTATATACTTATCACAATTTGAGGCGACTAACTGTGCTACATCGATTATAAAACTACATAGTTTTTTGAGATCAGCTTGGAAGTCTTTTAGTTCAGATATTTCTCTTTCAGCCGGCCATAAATTAGGAGTGGTGTACGCTTTGAAATTATCATCAAATTTTGAGACTAACTCCTTCGTGGGTCCTTCTAATGTGTCGTCTTTATGAAAAGCACAGTTTACATAGAAGGACCCTTTTAAATTATCAGGAAGACCAGAATTTGCTAACTTTTCCTTCCCCCTGGACCACCCAGTTAGCCAAGTAGATTCTTCGGACTCTAATTTCTCAAGTTGATCTGATGGTAAATTTGCAAGTACAGAGGCAGATGAGAGCACCCTCTCTCGTAATTCCAGAAATTTTCCAGATAAGCCTTCCACTACTATTATCCCTAAAGAATCAGGTCCAAATGCATTTTCCAAGATCTGATCTTCCACCCCTAAAGAAAGTTGCTCCAAGGAAACGATAACTGGCTCTGCGATAATCATGGTTGCAGTATTCAGTAGCTTGCAAGAAAAATACTTAATGAAATAGAAACCTGAATCAATGTTACATTGTAAAAATGAACCAGAAATAAAAAGACGTGAAAAAAAAAAAAAAAAGTTTATCTAAAATCCAACTTGACAGAGTAAGGTGTCCACATGAAATGAAGACAAGGGCCGAGATATCCAATGCGCTAAGAATTGAGGACTTCTACTGTTTCTCTTTAGTTCATTCGGGGAAACGTTTTGAGTAAATATTTAGTAACTGATGTCTTGTATAGTTGGCTGCAAATTTCTGATATTAAAGATAATGAGATGGCATACTCAATCAAAGATATCGAAAAATAGTGTTGGTGTTATACTTCAGTTTGACAGATACGCAAAAAATCTTACATTTCTTCTCTATTCAGAGTAAAAAGAGTAAAAAGGAAGAATTTACTAATAATTCTAGTTCTTTTGCTGGTCATTGTGTGATATCCTATGAAAATCTTCTCGTTACACCCATGTTACACCAAACCGGGGGTGGTCAATTAAAAGGGAATTACTCACATAGTTAGTCTATACGTATGTAGATTCACATTCCGCTCTGAATTGAATAGCTAATCTTCGGCAGAAGCACTTTATGATGTTGTCACTTGAAATTTTTGTCTAAGATAGCTTTATCATGATAAATATCCAACAGATAAAAAATGTAACATGAAACAAAATGTAACCAAACAAGACGATAGCATCTCAAGCAAATGGAAAGAAATATAATGATGCACAGAACAATGTAAAAAATCTTATCTTAAAGGTCCATGAAACGCAATAATGGCCAATTAACTTGGGAAAAAAAGTTTTAAACGAACTAAATAAGCAACATACCACCCTAATGTGTAGTGTTCCCTCTTTGGAATGGCTCCGTCATTATTATCTTCTCCATGCAGGTGGAACATTAAGGTTGCATTTTCCTTGAATGTTCCACTCAAATCTTGTTCCCCCCGATGATTCGGATGGAGCGTTGCATTTCCCGAGTATAAATCAGGAGCATATCAATGATGCTAGTAAGGGCTAGGTTTACTATAAAGGATAGCATAATTCTATTCACTTCAGTATGTTTGTCGCTATTCTTTATAACAAGTACAATGAAGTTTTCTCTGGTACTCAGAAGTTCAGCCATTGCTTTACAGCTGATAGTTTCAGTATCAGCTGTAGTGGTAAACCCGTTGCCTGCTCCACGAAACATTACCTGGGGTAATTCGGGATCAATCGAGATCTCTCCGAGTTTAAGCCTAAACTTAGGAAATGCCAGCGAGATTGTATCCCAGGCATTTGAAAGGACTTGGGAAAGAGTGGTTGACTTAAAGTGGTACCCTGCGGCAATAGAACAGCCACTAGCTAGCTATGTCACCACCCCGTATAGGAAAAGAGATGTGTCAGGTGTTGTGGTAAGCAGAATAAATATTGATATAGAGGATGTAGATATACCTTTGCAATTAGGTGTTGATGAATCTTACAAGCTAGATGTTGAATCTGGTTCAGGCGAGATATCCATTGCATCCGCTACTACTTGGGGTGCATTACATGCGTTGACTACGTTCCAACAGCTAATTATCTATCAGAATGGATCATTTATTCTCGAAGAGCCGGTTTCTATATGGGATGCCCCATTATACCCACATAGAGGTATAATGATTGATAGTGGCAGAAATTTTTTGCAGAAGAAGAAAATTTTAGAGCAAATTGAAGCAATGAGTCTTTGTAAATTAAATTCGTTGCACTGGCACATTGATGACTCTCAATCTTGGCCAATTGAAATTATAAAATATCCCGAAATGACCGAAGATGCTTACTCTGCAAGGGAAGTGTATACTCAGCAGGATATAAAGGATGTTGTAGCTTATGGGAAAGTTAGAGGAGTTAGAATTATTCCTGAAATTGATATGCCAGGCCATTCAAGGGCTGGTTGGCAGAAGGTCAACCCTGAAATTGTGTCATGTGCAGATATATTTTGGACTGAGAGTGCTGTAGAACCAGCACCAGGCCAATTAAATCCCGTAAACAACGACACCTATAAGATAGTTCAAGATGTTTACGACGAATTAAGTGCCCTTTTCGATGATAATATTTTCCATGTTGGAGCTGATGAATTACAAGAAACATGCTACAATTTCTCAACGCTGGTCAGGGAATGGTATGCTGAAGATGAAAGTAGAACGATCAGTGATTTACTTCAACTTTGGGTAGACAAAACTGAACCAATATTCATGAATACCCCAGATAGAAGATTAACAATGTGGGAAGATGTAGTGATGACTACCCATGCTCGTAATGTTTCCAAGAATGTGATTTTGCAATCTTGGGATGTTGCTTCCAATGTTAAGAACTTAACATCACAAGGGTATGATGTCATTGTATCTTCGTATCTACATTTTTACCTAGACTGTGGATTCAGCGGATTTGTGACTAATGATCCTAGGTATATTGATGTTCCTGCCAATGATGATTTCAATGAAAACAATGCTGGTAGCTGGTGTGGCCCATACAAGTCTTGGCAACGTATATATGATTACGACTTCACTCAAAACCTCACCGAAACGGAAAAGTCTCATGTTCTTGGGGCTGAAGTTTGCTTGTGGTCAGAACAAGTAGATAGTGCAGTGATTACTCAAAAAATTTGGCCAAGGACTGCAGCACTCGCTGAATCCACCTGGAGTGGTAACAAGAATGCTGAAGGTTACTTCAGGACAAACTTTGTATCACAACGTATTTTCAATTTTAGAGAGTACCTTGTTGCAATTGGCATTGATGCAAGTCCATTAGTTCCAAAGTTTTGTTTGCAAAATCCACATGCTTGTGACTTGTATCAAAACCAAACCATTCTATTTGAATACGATGCTTAGGTGAGTAGAATATCAAAATCTATTTGAAGTTTTAGTTCACTTTTAAATTTGATCTTATTTTATATACTTCAACGTTTGTAGCACCCTTGACCTGGTGAAGCTTTGAATATCGATAACTCCGATATAGTGTAACGGCTAGCACGGTTCGCTTTCACCGAGCAGACCCGGGTTCGACTCCCGGTATCGGAATATTTTTTTGCTTGAGCTTCATAAATTGTTCAATTAGCTTCGATTACCTATGAATATTTAATATATGTTTATTTGACTGTAATTCGATTACTATTTTATTGAAAGACAGATGGTGCTCAGTTCAGTTCGGACTTTTTTCTCCAAATGAGAAATTTTGTGCTGCATGCTACGGGGTTATACTGAATCTGCAGCATCCTGCACACTCGTTCAATATGTGAACCAACTTTTTGCAGCCATTCCCTTTCACCAAAATAGCATACTAGCTGAATACTGTTATGTAATAGCTAGCGTCTTTGTATTTGGTAATGTTGCAATATACCTCGCGTGAAGCTAAGCTATCAGATTGCTGATTTATCTTCATCGAAAATGAAATCTGAAATTTCCTATTGCGATTACCAAAAAGGAAGTTTTCTTGAAACTCACACACAGTTCACAGATCATCCCAAGACAAGCTAATTGAGATAAGAAAGCGATTTAGAAAGGAGTTTAACTAAATAGTTTTACGTATTCGTTGTTGAACAATCATGACATACTTGCGAGCAAAAACAATCCCTTCCAATTTCATAATCCCACTCTCATCCTCACATCGAAATCACAGGCTCATTTCTCTTCCCAATGGATTAATTTGCCTATTGATCTCTGATGCTTCAAAGGAAGTATCAGCTGCATCTGTTTGTGTTTCAGCAGGGTCGTCTGAGGATCCTGATGCATTGCCAGGATTGGCACATTTATGTGAGCATATGCTCTTTGCTGGAACTGACGAGTTCCCTAGCCCTTCAGGTTTTTTTGAATCGGTCACCAAGGCAGGTGGTTCGTGCAATGCATTTACGACTGGGTTCAGGACAACCTTTGAATTTCAATTACCATCTGACGCTACCAATGGGGAAAATGGACATCCTTTGTATCACAAAATGCTAGAAAACTTTGCTAGTTTCTTTAAAAGCCCAATATTTGATCCAAAGTATATTGAAATGGAAATAAAGAATGTGGATAATGAGCATCAACTGAATAAGTCGGACACCAACAAAATTATGTACTATGGTCTAAAGTTATTTGCTAGCGATGGCCATCTGTTTAAGAGGTTTTCTACGGGAAATCTCGAAAATTTCAATAGAACAAAGTTATCCCTGATAAGATCGAAGCTAAAGGAATATTTCGAAACCAATTTCTTGGCTGACCGAATGAGGTTGGTCTTGATTGGACCACAGCTGGCAAATCAGTTACAAAAATTGGCAATTCAATATTTCGACGGAATTAAAGGAGAAGGGAAAGCGGAAACAGAGGCTCTGTCATCGGTTTCTATTCGTAGTAGGCTCAGCTTCAGCGATGTGATGAGCAGATCCAATAGATCTGATAAATCTATTAGTGTAAGTTTGGATAATAAACTTGCTGACACCAAAGATAACGACATGAGTATACATAATAATAAAATTTTTAAGACGGGAAAGGTACTATTCATAAAGTCTGACACCTCTAAATCAATCTTAAGACTTGTTTTTCCAATTGAGAATACTTCCCAAAAATTAAAGTACTACTCCAAAATCTGGTCTAGTTTGCTAGGAGACGAGTCAAAGAATTCATTGTTTATACAGTTGGATGGTTGTCTAACCTCGATATACGCTTACACTCTGAATCCCACTCAGAACGCAGATATCTTCATCTTGGAATATGGGTTAACTAAGAAGGGTTTGCGTTGCCTCTTTGAAATACTTACCGTCACCTTCAACTATATCAGCTCCTTTCTTTCCTCTAAGAGAGAACTAATATCAGCTTATCTTACCCAGTTTTTAACAATAGATAAGCTAAATTTCTACTTCAAGGACTTGCACCCATCTCCGATGGAGGAATCTGGAGAATTGGCAGGTTCTTTACAAGGCCTTTTTGGTACTGGAAATGATGATATAATAGCTGGGAATATATGTTACGAGAATTTGGAGCTGTTCGATATAGATGAGTTCATCGTTAAATCAAAGGAAATTATGACGTTTTCGAATTTTAACGTAATCCTCATGAGTCAGAGAGAAGCTGTATTAAAGGACATAGTAGCTAAAAGTGACTTAAAGTACATAAATGAATTGAAAAGTGACCCGTTTTATGGCTTTAACTATAATTTGTCTGACATTGATGTACTCAGATTTTACAGCAACTGCAACGAACTTAATTCTTACTTTCCTATTGAAAACCAATTCTTAGCATATACACTCTCAGACATTAGCACAATGTCCAAAGAGTTGACACAGATGTCATCTGATCCAGATCCTCTGTGTAATAAATACACCGTTAAAGATTCACTGAATTTCCTGGAACCCAAATTAATGAAAACTGCAAACAATATTGAGCTATGGTATAAGTATCAACATCATATGTCTGAGAGGGTAATGGTTTCATTCGAAATATCAAATAACTCCTCTGTACCATTGGTCTGTAAGTCAACGATTGCTATAGAATTGATGTGCTACCTCATCGGTAATTCTCAATTGGGGACTGAATTATATACTGCAGAGCAAATTGGATATACATGGAGCATCCTTCCTAATGTGAACGGCAATAATTCTATCTCAGGAACAGTCACTGGTTTAACATATGGTATTGATATGGTTTTGGGTAAGATATGGGAAGTAATTTTTAATTTACCAAACTTCCTAAGAACTTTATCATATATTAACTTACTGAAGAGTAGGATTTCTATAAGAAAAAAGTATCAAGAAATGATAACAAGTGGTGGTAGCGTTGAACAAATATTAGCTGGGACTCAGTCGTTATTGGAAGTTGGCATTTGGAGTATTGACGAAAGGCTAGAAATTCTTGAAGAATTGGAGTTACATGATTTGATTGAATTGGGACAGCAGCTAGTTAGTAGTTCAGACACAATGACTACCGTTTTTATTGAAGGTGATATTGAAGAATCTTTAGCACCCAAATTCATTGATATATTTGGAGACAGGAATCATGCGAATCTTCAACAAGATGAGGACGACATGATTCCTTCTTATTACGTGGAAAATCAAAATTTTGGTAGTTACTTGGTTCCAGGAGAGCAGTACGCTTTCTCATCGGATGCTCCAAAGGAGTCCCAGACAAACACAGTAAGTACTTATGTTCAGATTGGAGAAAGAGACTCATTGTTTGACAGAACATTCACTAAATTATTATCTATTTTACTCCAGTCTCTTGCTCCAATGGAGCTCCGCATGAAGAGAAATCTTGGATACAATATTTACACGGGACAAAGAATCAACAGAACAACAATTGGTGTATATATAATTATAATCAGTCGAACTTACGAAACGGAGTATCTAGCACAACAAATTAATGAGTTTCTATACGAATGGTGTATTGAGTTGGAAAAGCTGTTGGGAAGTAAAGACTCAACTATATTTGAAGAAAAAATATTGCAACCACTTTTGGACAACTTTGATAAACCAGACTTAGGAGGTGTAGGTTCGTCTAATATAAATTTTGGACTACTATCCCCCATAGGAAGTGATTCCAAGCCATCTGGTGATAAATTCATACAACATAAAAACTGTTGGACACAAATAATTGACAGGACTTATCGTTTCAAATCAATATGCGGAGAAGAAGAAATAGATTGCGAATTGATCCGCAATATGACGAGTAAGGAGTTTCTACAGGTATTTCAAGAAAAAATATCTCCATTCTCGACAAAGAGGGCTTCTGTCACCATTAATTTGAATAGTAGAGTGGTCTTAAATGAAAAAATGAAACAAATAACTGAGTTTCTTAACTCTAAAGGGCTCCATGAGGTGTTGACACATTCTGAAATAGAGAGGGTTGCAAAATCATCAAACTATATCCAAGAGATATTCAAAGAAATTAAAATTAAAGGGGCCAAGTACAGGTTTATAAGAAAGGCAAAATCAGAATCATTGGCAATGTTATTTATGAGTAAAGCCCAAAAAATAGAATTCCCAAAACATAGAGCTGTTTCTACTGAACAGTTTCACAGTGAATGTACAAGGCTAAGTAGATAAGCAGGAAAGATTGATATACCACAACCCAACCCAACATGAAATCAACTAGCTACAGTTGGATGCATTTGGTAGTACAACATACCCACCCACAGAAGGAAACACTCATTCTTGAGTGGGTTCGTATTATTTAGAGAGGTTCGTGCAGCGAGTTAAAGAATATCCCTCCTCTAAAAAAGTGGCTGGTACCCCAGAATATAGAAATAAATTCTAGCTAAGCGTCTTGAATTCAGCAGTCAATATTCTAGTAACCAATAATGAAATGAATTCCTTCCTTGATGTCACCCAGTAGATCCCCCCTTCTATCTCTCGAGTCTTGTGGTAATCTTGTACCATCTTCATCATAAGCTGAAAGATGTTGCAGCCATTTTTGATTCCCTGCATATGCACGTTCTAAAATTGGAAAATTTCCCCCTAATTAGACTTTGCAATCAAATTATATTTTTTATGTCCTTCACACACTCACTGAAAGTGCTAATAGAGTTCCAACGTTGTATTGCCAACTCTAAAAAAGAAACTTTCCTTCGTTGGTAGCAAAAAAATTGTGTTAAGGGCCAGCAGAGTTTAAAGATCCATTCTCAACAGAGTAGTCAAACTAGAATATACAACTGTCTCATATGAAATACGTTCTGGCATAAACTCCTCTCGTGTCATCCCACTCACCCATTTCCGTGACCAGCGCCTCCTCTCTCCGGATTTCGAAGCCAGTATAAGAATAACCAAAAATAAAAAAAAAAAAGAAAGAAAAGTAGAAAAAGCAATTAATATTTGAGAATATTACGTAATATCTTATATAATTCCAAAAACAGAGAGTAAATCAAATCCCTTATCTACCCATTATTTTCCCACATTACAACACATAATACATTCAACTCTTCCCATCATCGGAAAAGAAATACACAATAGAAAAATTGAAAAATACAATTACAGTATCTTTAGTGAGCTTCGTAGTAGTCATAAAGTTACATCCATGATAATATAAATTATGCCAAACCAATATATTTTCGGATATCAACAGCAGACCCTCCCTGCGAACAAGAATGTGTTATTAACCAATCACCCTAATAATGCCAACTTAAACTATAGCCCAACCTTTGCAAATACTTATCCTTTGGATACCGCAAGTACTACCAGTTCAATTTCTTCTTCTTATTCATCAACTTCTTCCTCCTCCTCCAGCTCCTCAGCCTCGTCTTCCAATTCGTATCAAAATCCAAGACTTCGCTACTACTTATCCAAATCCTTTGACATTGAAGATGATCTAGAATTTTGTCCTGATATCCCAGAAAATTTTGAGAGTTCACCTCCTGCTAAAAAATTTAACCCATATACTGCATCAATATTCCTGCCAACCTCAATTCAGGATATTTATTCAGGAAGTGGTACTCACTCACCTAGCAACAATATGACTGCGGCTCCACAATCACCTAGACTGAGAACCCCTCGCATTAAAAAACCATTAGAAATTATAAACCCTCAAACAAAGATGAGAGTTGGATCTTCATCACTTACTAAGTGATAAGTGGATTTATTCTCTATGTTATGACCGAACGAATGATTAAATATTAAATGAAATGACTAACCTGGGTTAGTTATTGTAGAGTAGTAGTATATACTGGTGTAAATTACATAAATCAATGAACAGACAAATATAAATATTGTAACAAAAGACTGCAACGAGGCGTAGGTATAGCGCGAGGTGTAATTATTAGCGTATGTTGGAAAGCAGAAGGCTGATAATGCTCATAGTTTTCCACCTTCAATAGGGTATAACTTTGGATGGGCCGTTCACTTATGCAGAGTCATATTTCGCACCCACAGTTTTTGCTGGTCGCTAGCTGAACTTAGCATGTGGTTGCAGAATTAATACAAGTGGACTAGAAGAATAAAGGAAAGACGTTATGTAGGAAAGTGCACCTAGATTACCTACATGAGGTACACACATACGAAGATAAGATGAGGAACTAGTCCCATCATCCCAATAGGAGTTCATTACTACATGCCTTACCTGAGCGCTGCATTCCGCGAAAGACTTGTAGCTGACCAAGTGCTTATTCCTGCAATTCGCCCATGCAAAGAGACATATTAGGAAAGAGACATATTAGGTATAGGTAGACACATGTACATAAAATGTGAAATATCTGGCTTGATAGCATCCGCTTAATCGTGGTCTTAGATCTTGGAACGCTATCGTTTATATTTCAAAGTTACAACGTATAATTCATATTGTGGGTGCACGGATGTGAACTCAAGCTCTACCTTGAAGTGCCTGATCTCCTCTGAATTGCTTGTATTATTACAAATTGAATCTACAATTATATGTCTTGCGCCCTTTTTGATACTAACAAAGTTGCTCATACTATGTTTCTATCTATATATTATCGTAATTTTTGAAGTAAATTTTGTACCCACAACTTGTTATTTTCAACCGTGTTTGCACATTTTTGGTGAATATTTCAACCTCGATTAACATTTAAAAAAAAGATCAAGCTGAGAACATAATAACCCACGAACAACATGTCAAATCAAGATAAGTGGAGTATAAAGAGCGAGATACGTATCTATAAGATTTTATTGGTTCTAAAATGCAAAATAGAGTAATTTTCATAAATAAAGAATTTTGAGTAAGCACACCAATCATGATTAATGCTGCATTTATCCAGTGTGTGAAAAATTAAGACTGCACATGGACATGAAAGGCATTTCGATCTCTACCCACATGAGCCTGATGGCATTACATCTTGATCGCACATAATAAGTTAATCTAAATGTATGTATATAGTTTTGATAAGCTGATCGCAGAGGAATCCTTTGTTTCAAAACTGCAAAAGAATTTCCTCTTATCCTACCCCAGCTCATAAATAATTGGAATATCATTCTCTCTAAGAATTGACAATCACGATAACTATTCAATATGGTATGTCGTTCCCTAGTCCGATTTACTGGCCACTCGCTAATTCCCCTCTAACAGGTAATATTTCACTGTTTCCTGAGTCATGTAATCCGGGAATGAACCTTACAAAGGTTAGAAGGGCCCATTATTGGTAGCGACTAATACAGAGGGCAGAGGCTATTTTTCCACTTCTGATCCGCTTAGACCATCCCAAAAGGGATAGATTAGGCGCGGATAAGTAGTACGAGTTTCCACCACGCGAAAAAAAATTATCATTAAATTAGCGAGCTTGCCTAATCGGGCAGTTGCAGCAGTCCGATAGTGCTGAGCATCTCGTAGATTCACTATATATAAATGCAACAAGGGTTCCCCTTGATGAAGGTTATATAGTTATTCATTATAAACTCTATTATTACAGAAACTTAGATTTATAAATAATGGTCGCTATTCATCCATTTGACACTGTCAGAGATTACGAAGTTAGATTAGCTTCCAAGTTAGTTAAGGATGCTTATCCTGCCTCCGCTAATGTTCACTTTGTCCAAATTGATAAGGTTGATCCTCCAAAGAAGTCTATGATCAAGTACTTGGAAGCTGAAAAGCTGGGCTTGAAGGTACCAGAAATCCCAAGAGTGTTATACTGCTACTACTACACCAACACTTTAGATTTCAACAAGGCCTTGGTTAACGTTACTGTTGGTCACATTATCACCAAGACTCAATTACCTAAGGGTGTTGTTGGTCCATTCTTACCAGAAGACATGATGGAATGGGAAGAACACTGTACCAACCATCCATTGGTTCAAGCTGAAATTGCTAAGTTGAAGTTGCCAAAGGGTTACTCTGTTAGAAATGATCCATGGATCTATGCTACTGATAACGCCAATGAAAGAAGACCATTGGTTCAATTCTTCATGTACGTTTTGGCTGGTAATGGACACTCTGAATCCAACCACTACTCTTTACCATTGAAATTTTCTCCAGTATTTGAAGCATTCACCAAGAAATTCATCAGAATTGACTACCTTCCAGGTGGATACGACGAAACTACTGTACCAACTCAACCATGGCAAGAAGTTCCATGTGTTGAATACCATCCTGACTTAAACGGTGAAGACACCACTTCAAGAATCGTCAAGCCATTGTTGATCTCTCAACCAGAAGGTCCATCTTTCAGTATTGAGGGTTCCAAGGTTAAATGGCAAGGTTGGGAATTCAGAGTCTCCAGTTCCGCTAGAGAGGGTTTCGTGATATATGACGTTTATTTCAAGGGTAGACAAGTCTTTTACAGAATTGCCCTTTCTGAAATGACTGTTCCATACGGTGATCCAAGAGCTCCATACCATAGAAAGCAAGCCTTTGACTTGGGTGATTGTGGTTTCGGTGTTAACGGTAACCAATTAGGACTCGGATGTGATTGTTTGGGAGTCATCAAGTACTTGGATGGTGTTGGAATTGACTCCACTGGTGAACCACATGTTATTCCAAATACCATCTGTATGCACGAACAAGATAATGGTATCTTGTACAAGCACGTCAACTACAGAACCAATAACGCCGTTGTAGCAAGAAAGAGAGAATTTGTCGTTCAAACCATTGCTACCGTTGCCAATTACGAATACGTTATCAACGTTAAGTTTGCCGTTGACGGTAACATTGACATTGAAACTAGAGCCACCGGTATTCTTTCAACCATGCCAATCGACGAAAACGTTAAGGTTCCATGGGGAACTATTGTTGGACCAAATGTTATGGCTGCATACCATCAACATATTCTTTCATTCAGAATTGATCCAGCCATCGACGGTCACAAGAACACTGTTGTTTATGATGATGTTGTTAAGTTACCAACTCATCCAGTTAAGAATCCATTCGGTATTGGTTTCGTGACTGACCGTAAATATGTCGAAAAGGCCGGTTCCGTTGATCAATCCCCTTTCACCAACAGGACCTACAAGATTATTAACGAAAACGTTATCAATCCAATCTCTAAGACCCCAGTTGGTTACAAGGTTGAAATCCCACCAAGACAAATGATTTTGGCTGATAAGGACTCTTTCAACGTCAAGAGAGCCAAGTTTGCCACAGAAGCCGTGTGGGTTACCAAATACAACGACCATCAATTATTCGCTGCCGGTGAATTCACTAATCAATCCCAAAGAGATACTGGTCTTGGTGAATGGGCTAACGGTGTTGATCCAGTTAGAAATGAAGACATTGTCGTCTGGGCTACCTTAGGTTTTACTCATATTCCAAGAGTTGAAGATTTCCCAGTTATGCCTGTTGAAACTCATAATATTCACTTACAACCTAACAACTTTTTCACTAGAAATCCTGCATTAGATTTACCACAAGCTAACAACAATTTCAACAAATCTCAATTAGTTGCTGGTAATCCTACTAAGGCTTGTTGCAAGAACAACTTATAGGTAAGGTCATTAATAATTTAGAAAGAAAGAAATTTAAAGCTTTCAATGTATTTATGGGATAATTTAATTTAATTTAGAAATAGAGAATATAATATGAGGTAGATGGTTAAGTGAGATGTAGAGAAGAGAACGAATTTGCAATGATCTTCTGATAGTACAAGTAGCAAGGAAAAGCAGCTCTTATATTTGGTAACATTTTTTTTCTTTTTCTTTTTCCGAATTAAAGACAGTTAAAAAGAAAGAGCTTTACTTCAAATGTGTTTCGACCCATTGGACATCTAACTAAAGACCGAATTTCATGGCCTGATGGTGAAAACAATTATACGCTTAACTGTAGAAATTTGAAGATCAAGTTATACGAGAGAACAAAGTGAAACGAGAGTTATGAGAAATTTTATTCTGATATGTCAAATTACAATAGAACCGTTGAAACTAGGTTCATATCCCAATGATTATACGAATGCACTGGACCCGTGAACCCATCCAAGCTTACTGAAATGCCCCGCAATTATCTCACGCTTTCCGCACTGCGCGTGTAGACAGCAGCAAAGTCTAAATCTACGAGAACAGGAGCTTCCCTGGATGAGCGGGAAGGCGCTTGCCAAGTCCTGCTAAAATCATTCAATAACCTGGATTGGAATACAATTCAGAAAATGGATTTGACCGGTACCAGAAAACAGTCCAGAAAATACCGCCTACTACTCAACATTTTTAGAACAATAAGTTGACTTCTACATAATTGAATGGTCTGGTGCTGAACAATTGGCACAACAACTGTGTGACCAGTTTTTGCTTTTGGCAAAGAAATACGCCTCACGACTCGCGACTGTATTCCATCACTAGAAACGAGCCGCAGTCCGGGAAAACCTTAAAAATATATGGAGTTAACAAAAAGAAAGGGTTCACAGTTTTCCTTCTCCCTGGTTCAATTGCCATGAAAAATTCAACGGGCGGTGCTCTCGCAACACCCATTGTCCAGAGTATAAAGACGTTAAAATATGTGGAAACTGTATATTTGAAATTTCTTGTAATTAAGGTTCAGGTAAAGGGCGTCAAATATATTCATGCATTTCTTGCATGACGAAAAATTCGCTTCGCAGAATACATACATATGTAAATACTTGAGCAGCCGCCCACAGTGTTTAATCTCCAGGCCAATTAATGAGTGGGTAAGGGTAAATAATTGATATTAATTCGGAGGTTTACACTGGATTCAATGCCCTGAGTGCATTCTCTCGAAGAGTAGGCCCATAGCTTCTAGGCAACTTCCAAACCCGTCGAAAGAATTGGGTTTCTTATTTTTAGAATGGCTTTGAAAAAATATTCATACAACCGCAGAATTCAGAAGAAATTATACGCGATGGATGAAGAAATGTAGGGCTTCTCTGACCTTCTATGAGCAGTCGAGACATGAAGGTCTGACAAGCCCTCAGAGAAGCCCTACCTGCTTGCCATCTAGCCCCGTATCTACGAGTATTCAATTGCTACATGTAATTATATAATAAATGAGTACATACACTGAGCCCTCAAGGGAAAGTTTAGGCAGGCTCCCGCTCCACACTTTGTTCGTTACTTTTTGCTTTTTCTATGGCTTATTCTTCATTACCCCTCTGCCAACGTGCATCGTCCTAAAGGGTGTTAAAATACAAGTCAAAATTTTGGTTGTTATTCAAGCATTTTCTTTTTTTTTTTTTTTTTTATGCTTTCATAATGGTCCGTCTCGGGCCATATTTAGTCGTCTTGGCTTAATTTGGCTCTACCTACCCAATTTTGAGATGAAAATTCCTACATGTAATCAAAATATGATGCATTTTCATGCACCAAGATGAAAATTCGCATTAAAAATATTTCTTGAGTATGGATTTATTCTCCTCACCTAGAGAAACTACAGCGCCCGTACCTCCCCACCCCTGTTATTCACTTGGAATTGCCATTGCATTCCAAGTTGGAAAATCCAGGTTAAAATTGCTAACATGAAATTTTTCATATAAATATTGAGCGATATTTTTCAATTGCGGGGGGAAACATATTTTTTGTTCTTTTTCTTCTACTTTCTGTTCCATAATTATCCACAAGTGTTAATAATAATAATATAATAATAATAAAATGAAGGCCTCTCAATTAATTACTGCTTCAGCTCTTTCCACCGCTGTCTTAGGTGCTACTTCAGTACCAGCTTCTGAAATTGAATTCCTTACCGTTTTGGTTAACGATTTAAAGTCCAACCAAGCTTCATACTTGGGTTACGTTGCCACTGCCACTGATATCCCATCTGGTGTTACTGCTTTAGCATTAGAAGTCCAAACTTACACTGATGACTCTTACACCACCTTGTTAGACTCTGGTAACATTGATGTTGCTGCCATTGAATCTTTCGCTGCCGGTCTCCCATGGTACACCAGACTTGAAGCTCAACTTACCGGTGCTGCATCTGGATCCGCTTCTGGTTCTGGATCCGCTTCTGCATCTGGTTCTGCTTCTGGTTCTTCAGTCGCTGCTTCTACTTCCGGTGCTTCATCTGCAGCTTCTGCTTCAGCTTCAGCTTCTGAATCCGGATCTGCTTCAATCACCTCTGCTGCTTCATCTGCTTCATCTGAAGCTTCTTCTGCTGCATCCGGTGCTTCATCCGGTGCTTCATCTGAAGCTTCTTCTGCTTCATCCGGTACTTCCTCCGCAGCTTCATCCGGTGCTTCCTCCGCAGCTTCATCCAGTGCTGCTGCCTCTTCTACCTCATCCCAGGCTGCTGGTGTCTTGAACATTGTTGATGCTAGACTCATCACCATTGGTTCTTTAATTGCTTGCTTATTCTAAGCTTTCCGACTTTAAATATTAATATTTAGTTTCAATTGAAAAAAGTTATCCCACATGCTGTAGTGTTGTCAGGTAGATAACCTGCCTAGTTTTGATTTCTTCCATATGCTTCGCATTATGGTCTACTTTACCAGCAGAAAAAGCAATAATGCGTTAGCGGTAACGGTGTGAGCAAAGAAAAGCGCAGTGACGGCCATACATTGCAGCTTTTTTGTTGCAGCTCGTACCATCACACACTTCTGATTAAGGATTTCTACCAAGATATAAATGGCAAATTTTTCTCTTTAAACAACTAATCAGTCCATCTTATTATCTCCGGACACTCTAATCCATTAATTCCTTCTTTCACTACTATGTGGCTGAATATCCTCTTCACCTCAGACGTTAATACATTTTGCAGCTCCTTTTATTATTCAAATGTCTTAATCGGTGTTCAGCTTACCCTCTGTGGATGCATATTATCATTGTGGTTGGAGCACGACCCGGGGGGATTAAAAATATTTTTTAAGTCTCAGCTGGAGAAAGTACCACAAATTGCGCCAAAAGCCCTCGAGCCCCTCTTTGCTACCCCCCGTCATTTTTCATCATCTCCGTATTTTCCAGGGCAAATTGGGGGAAAGTCGGCTTCTGGCTAACACAACTGGGCTGACTAGAAAAGGCATTACTAATTATTATACCCGGCTACACTTGTCTCCTATTTGGAGGTTTGGCGTCTTTTTTCAATTGACTGTGTTTTAAGTTGAAATTTGGTCTGGCCAATTTCGGTTTATTTATAAGTCAATTAGTCTACATCGCGTAGAAATATTAGATTACAGACAGATGAACTTCTCTAAATCCACGTTGAAAGTTTAAAAAGCATCTAATTTCGAATGTATAATGTGTGGTAAAATTGAAAACCGTATATAAATGTGGGGTAAAATTTTTTTTCTTTTACTTCGTTCTAAGCGTCCTTCTCTACCGAGCTCTGGCCAGTAAAATAATACTCTCAGCGAATGAACCCCGTGAGGCTTACATGTGAATGGGGTAGTTTCAAAACAACCCCGTTAAGCTAGTCTTAAGGTGATTAAAAATATTTTCATTCGACTAATTGGGAGGCGTGCATCTCCAAAAAGGATGGCTGCAATTTATTTTTTAGGTGGAATTTGATTCAATTCAGCAAGGTAGCTGCTCAAGTAGAATTGCCCATTGGTCCATGGCACCATGGCGGCTGTCATGCCAAAAATATTGTGGCATAATACATTTCATAATCAAAATTTCACACAAATTATGATACAGACGGCCCCAGATCCTCCAGATGAAAGGAGGGGATACACTAGCATAAATAGACACCAAGTTTCCTTCGAATCATGGTTTTAGAATTTATAAATTTCGCTATCGAACAATAATATAAATACCCCATTATAACAACACTCGCTCATTACTAATTCAAATATGAAGGCCTCTCAATTAATCTCCGTCTCTGCTCTTGCTGCTACCGCTTTAGCTGTCGATGCTGCTGAAATCGAATTCCTTACCGTTTTGGTTAACGATTTAAAAGCCAACGAAGCTTCATACTTAGGTTACGTTGCTACTGCTACTGGTGTCCCAGCTGGTGTTACCGCTTTGGCTTTGGAAGTCCAAACTTACACTGATGACTCCTACACCACTTTATTAGACTCTGGTAACATTGATGTTGCTGCTATTGAATCTTTTGCCAAGGCTCTCCCATGGTACTCCAGAATCGAAGCTGCACTCACTGCAGAAGCTGAAACCACTGCTGCTTCTTCTACTGCTGCTGCTTCTTCTGCTGCTGCTTCCAGTTCTGCTGTTGAGACTTCTGCTGCCGAAACTTCTGCTGCTTCTTCCGCTGCTGCATCTTCATCAGCTGCTGCATCTTCTTCAGCTGCCGTCGTTTCTACTGCTGATAGTGGTGCTTCCAACTCTGCCATTGGTGTCACTTTATTGACCGTAGGTTCCTTAATTGCTTGTTTATTCTAAACGGGCTAACTTTTTTTATGTATAGTATGCTATTAAACGATAATTCGAACATAACTGAAATAACGTAAAACAACCTAAACTATTACTTGCAATAAGCTTTCGCTCTATCGAATGCAAGATGGTCTAAAAATGTAAACCTAAAGGCTATTTTGCAAGAAAAAAGAAATACTAACACATGCGAGATACGAGGTAGACAATCATGCAGGGAAATGACAAAAAAAAAAATAAGTCCGGGGTCATGGTTGTAATTCACCCGCAGTGGGATACAGCGAAACGGAATTGGATAAGAGTATTTAAAGAAGACGTAAACAAAGAAACAAACAAAGAGAATTGACGCTAGGTGGTAGAGAATACAATAGATAACATGAAAGGCAAATTAAAAAAAAAAAAAAAAAAAGAATTAGAAAGCTATGACAGTAGATTCAGCGGTGAGCAAACAACAATGAAGCAGCAATGGTATACGAAGAGTATACGAAGAAATAACCAAAAAATTGAGAACTACTGTTTGGAAATAGAGAACACATTTTAAATCAACATGAAGTTAAAACAGCATATTTATTTCAATTAAGTAAAAACAAGAGATAGAAATGCCAGCTTTCGCGATCATAGGGCCTTCTCAGCCTTGAGACTATTATAAGTATCAGTAAGACTTTGTTCCACAGATATTGGGGTCCAGTCAAATACACTCTCTGCCTTGGATGCATTATACTTCATCTGTCTATCAGCAAAGTTGGCAGCATCCTTTAATTTGGGAACTACTAAACCTCCTGCTTTCAATATCCAAGTGGGTACATTTCTAGTAGGTAAATTGTGAACATTGGGATCCTTGGGATCTAAAACTTTCTTATATATCTTCCCAATTTCAAGCATAGAGTACTCTTTTCCGCCACTTACTAACAAAAACCTTTCCCCATTTGATTTTTCGTTTGTAAGAGCCTCTACGTGAATCTTGGCAACATCCCTAATGTCAATAAGCCCCATGTAAATCTTTGGAGCGCCTACCTTAGTCTCCCCTCCAACAATTCGTTTAATTAGGTCAATGGAAGACGACACACCAGGCAGTCCAGAAACAACCGGACCAATAATTAGAACAGGGTTAATAGCCGTGAGCTCAAATGGATTCGAGGTGTTAGATTTGACAAAGTCCCATGCGGCCTTTTCTGAATAATACTTGGATTTAACGTATGCGCCAGGAGTATTGTTTACATTTGTCCAATCCTTCTCAGAAATACTTGTATGATTTGGATGTCCATACCCAATGGCTGCGAATGATGAGGTTAATACAATTTTAGTAACACCACCTACTTTGCTTGCAATTTTCAAGACTCTTAAGGTACCTTCCTTTGCCGGAATAATCAAGTCATTCTCATTTTTAGGCTCTGATGTCGGAAATGGCGATGCCACATGTAGAATGTATTGCGCTCCGTTAATAGCTTCTTCCCATCCTTCATCTGTAGTCAAATCCGCTTCATAAAAAGTTAACTTTGAATCAATTGTTTCTTTGTCAAGTTTACCATCTGCAGTTTTCAAGATAGACTCCTTTAAAGATGAAGATTTTTTCAAGCTTCTGACAGTCGTTCTTACAGTGTAACCTTTTACAAGCGCTTCGATTATGGAAAATGTACCTACATAACCGGTACCTCCAGTTATTAATACAATTGCCATTTTTTATTGGTAAATAAAAGAATTAATAAAAGAACACAATTGCACAACAAAGGTGGCCCTATATTCCAATAATTTTAAATTTCCAGTACGAAAGGTGTCAGTTCTTGATCAGTGAGAAAACGGACTTCCTTTATATTCACATTGATTGCTGTTGCATGTGACAAAATATGCAACTTGATAGTGCAAATAGGCTAAAAGACGTAGGAGAAGTGTTGCTACATATGTCTGAGGGATTAATGCTTTGTTCCACCCTTCCAAATTGAGTATGGACTCTTTGGAAGTAATATATTGGAATGCAGTATAAGTTTTTACTGATTTTGGGCCCAGTTAACTAAAAGAAATGGCCATAACTAAACCCCAATGTTACTTCAAAATCGCTAAATTGTGGCCATTTCGACTTTTCAGTTTAAGTTCAAAAGAAATTGGACGCTTAAGCTTCTTATCCCACAATTTTTCAGTATCACGTTTATGTCATAGCCTCATCACATCAGTTAGACTTGAAGATCTCCAGGTTTCTTATCTCCCTAAGTCCGGAAAGACGTTTATGGCTGTGGATGTGAGTGCATCAAGCTGCCCTTTACGGCGTAAATAATTGAAGTGCGAAAACATCCTTACACCGAGAATTTCCTTGCATTTAGGGTCCGGGGTATGGAGCGCGCGGGGTTAAGCATACGAGCTTCGACCTCGAATGATGTTTCAATTCAGTAGATACACAAGTTCACATTGAACAGCGCAATATGGCTTGATAGCAGATAAAGCAAGAGGTTCAGAGCGAGAAATTTCCCTGAACAAAAAATGGTCCCTTTCTGCTTTTTTTCGTTTTGCGGTCTTCTTACAAACGCTATAACAATTGCCATTCAATGGCTGTGAAAATAATCTGAGCGATTGGGAAAGTATAAAGCAAAAAAAAAGGATAATGTAAGAAAGGCAAGGGAATATGCCCCAGTAATCCACGTCTATTCACTACATTCCCCATATTCATCATTATTCTTCACACTGAACAATGAAGCTCTCATGCTACTGTTATCTAGATTATTCATATTAGAAATCAATGATCCTAAATTCCTTTCCAAGCTTCCCCAGAAATGTTGAGAATCTTTTTATGTCTCTCATCGCTAGTGTTGTCGCTAACACCGTGCGCGGGCGCTTAACGCTGCGTCGCTATTTTTTGTTCTACGCCCTACATTTACTATATTCACTACATTGCTATTGTAGAATAAACTTTTTATTTATTTATTTTTTGCTTTTTTTTTGTGCATTTCCCCACAGTAGAAGTCTTTTGAACATCTCAACACATAAGCACAGCCAATCAGAAAGCCCGCCACTCAACCTGCGTCCATATACCAGCACCGGACTGCCAACAAAAGACTTGATCGACTCCTACTGCATCATATTTCTCATAACAGTTTTTGTCCCCGTAGATCAATTTTTTAGTCAAGATTTGCCAATCTCCGCACGGTATTTCAGTTAAGTTTTTCTCTTTTTCCTAAAAAGAAAAATCAAAGTCCGAGCGAAAGAGAACAGAGGAGAAAAATCCTCGAGAAGCATTGTAGAAGTAACGTTCTTAAGCAACAAATTTGTCTAGTGAAGAGGTACATTTCGTTTATTCAGCTATCGAGTAAGGCCAAAGAAGTGTTTACTCAAGGGTGTTTTTTATTTTTGAACAAGTTATAGTTGTACTACATCTCACACCTATCTCCGAGTTACATTTGTTTGAAACGTACGATGCAGTTAGAAGATTCGGTGCCTGACACCATAGCAGCTAGCAAGGCTGCCCATGTAAAATATTTGGCCGATGGTAAGGTAATGAAGGTGCAGAAGACACGGCAGAGGAAAATCCTCAGTTGTATTCACTGCCACTCTAAGAAGATCAAGTGCTCCAGGGTCCAGCCGGTGTGTAATAATTGTGATAAGTTGGGGATCACCTGCCAGTACTTTGTAAACAAGAGAGTTTCCAGAGGTGGTAAGAAGAAGGAAAATGATTCTGAGTTAATCGACATAAAGAACGAACCCATGTCAGGTTGCTCAGATGACGACGAGAGTCCGCAGCATGTTCATGCTGGTGTTGCTATTGGCGGACTAGATTCCAATGGGGATACAGATGCAAACAAAGCATTGGACAATTCCCAATTTACCACGGTGAGACAGCCACACGACTCTCCACTTCTGACTGGTAGTAACAATAATAGCGACAGGAGTCATGAGGGCATGCATTCGAATAGAAACAGTGAGGCCACATCCGAGAGCTCAGATTCGCTCCCTCAAGTGAGTGACCTTAACTTCAACTACATAATGGAACAAAAGAGGGAGCACCTTCCAGTTCAATCCCTTGAAAGTCAGCAACAGCAACAGCATCATCACCATCAGCAACAACAACAACAACAGCAACAACAGGTTCCTCCTTCCATCAATTCCGTCCTCCAAACACCAGTTATGAACACCAATAGTAATAACATAACGAACAACTTTTTTAACACAAACTATTCAAACCAGACGCCACAAGAAGGTGGTGATCCATACAACTTTAGTATGTCTACATTTGTTTTTCCAGGTGCCGCAGAGCTGCCACAGGTAAATGGAACTCCGCAAGTACTTAACTTCCCACCGCAGAACTTTACAAATTTTATTGACCAGCAGCAAAACCAGCAACAAAACCAGAACCAGAACCAGAACCAGACTGAGCTGCAACAAGTCTCACCGCAAGATCAGAGAACTCCTCTGCAACATCAACACATGGAAGTAAACAATTCAGTGGTGAAGGCTGCAAGACCTCAGCCAAATAATCCAGGGCTCCATAATTCCTTGAATGCCTTCCCATCAAATCCTGAAACTACAATGAATTACCTTTATGGTACCAATACAAACTATAACAATGAGCAACTCCTTGAAGAGCTTCTCAAACATCTTCCATTAAGCAGAGAGAGATCATATGAACTTACTGATCGTTACGTAAACTCTGTGCATATTTTACTTCCAGTTATGTGCAACAAGATGGAAGGCTTTTTATACGAACACGATAAGTTCTGGGATCATATGGATCGAGTGAAAAAGAAATCTAGCGCGGGAGGCTCCTTCAGTCCTACGAGCAGTACGAATGGGAGTGTATCCGGAGCTAGCTCAAATAATGGGAGCAGCAACAGCCCAGCGACAGATCTAGATATACTTCAATTCTATACTCTCTACTTTCCAATTTTATACGCAGCGACCATCTCAGAATTTGAAGAGTATGACAATTTACTCCTTAATCAAGATATAAATCTTTACTTGAAAGCATTCAACAAAATCTGTCAATACTATAACTATCCCCACGGGCTTAAAACCATTCCATTACTTCTTGGTAATGTTATTATACAGTCTACATCACCCAATCCATCGACTATGGAAATGTCACAAATCATTAGATATGCCAAGTTCCTCCATATGCATAAGGACCCTATTATCACGTTAAGAATCACGGATTGGAAAGTTGTTAAATTTAGAAGAATGCTTTGGTGGTGTATATTTGGATTAGATTCCTTAACCAGTCATAATTTTTGCTTACCGCCAGTTTGTAAATTTGATGACTTCAACGTTTTGATGCCACTGGAAGATGAACCAATAGAAAATGGCAATAATGTTGTCAATGGGTATAAATTGAATGTGGGGGTGCTAAGTTTGAAGATTAAGTTTAAGTATGATAGAATATTGAGCGAATTAGTCTACAGGTTACATGGGTTAACGGTAGACATAAGCCCAGAAGATACTGAATTGATAAAGACTATGATTGTAGAGCTTTTCGAGTACATTCAGGAATGTATGGATAAAATGGCAGATCATTATAGGGTTAACCCCCCTCTGACAGTTCAAGAAATGAATTTGATAAATTTTATCAAAAATCATTCCTGGAGTTATGTTGATAGGGCTTTGATGTTGTTACACAAGAAAATTTTACTAGGTGACCCACATTTCAGGGGGAAGAATGCTAGAAAATCTGCAGAAATGGGTGGACTTACGAATAAGCACAGTGGTAGCTATGATGACATAAAAAGTGAGAGTGGAAGACAATTGAGTGCTCTTTTGGCCAATTCCTCTCGAGGACTTTCTTTTGGCGAGTACGAAGACACTTTTGGACTTGTACAAGAGGCCAACATAATTTCCAATTTCGATGGTTCTACTATTTCTCAGCTAAAATTCAATCAATATGAAGATTTTACCTACCTGAATCTCCATAACAATCTTATTCCATCTATTCTTCATAATTTGAATGACTTCCTCAAGTACAACGACTTCATCAAGTTTGGTAAATACAACTGGTATGTGAAACGTACAATCCCGTTGGATCTGATTATTTTGATGTTTATTGTAATAACTGTCAAGTTTAAATACGAGTTCATGACCATAAATGAAATAGGTGTTTATGTCAAACTAATCAATAAGTCACTTTTTATTTTAAACAGGAAGTGGTTTAAGAATGAAAAATATAAGAGAATGCTTTCACTCGCCAATTTGACATGGGAATTTATGTTGAAAAAGTACAATATTATTAATATTATCAATCAACATAGCCAGCAAATGGAAATTCAGAATGAAGGATCTGGTAATGGAGGAAATTCAGAAGGAGGGTTTGGAGACTCTGGGAAGCCTCTGGGAAGGATAGAGTTCTTTGATTATCAAGTTACTGGTTATCTTAATATGAATGAACTTTTCAACGTCATGGATGTCCCACAGCCCGTATTGAATAAAGTTAGAAGTGCCTCTGAAATGAACAACAGAAGATCTTTAGAGAATGGAAACATTAAGCAAACCGGAGAGAATGGCAAGAGCAACAACAATGACAATGTGAAAAAAAATAGTACTTCTTCAAATTCAATATTCTTTACTAATAGTATAATATCTTCACAGCAGATTAACGAAAGTAACAACCATGTGAGAGAAGCTGAGTTAATGCAATTGAATGAAAAGATTTACTATGACTTGAGAAACAATTTTGTCGATATCAATGATTATTGTGCGTTCTACTCATCTTTGGAGAATATAATTCATGAATTGATGGATTACATAAATAGGTAAATAAAATTGATCTTCTTTGATTATAAACCCAAATGTAAAATGCAGATATAAGATATGTGAAATTGCATTTAGTGACTTTTTTTATAATGAGTACTTATCTTATTTAACTATTAACTCAATCTATCTCGTCTAATTTAATTTAATTTTCATTCCCTAACCGTGGTCCCATTTATCTGAACATTACCTGAACATTTTACCACTGGAGTCTCCCTGCTGTCTCCAACTAGCATTCAATGCGCTACTGCTTTCCAAGTTATATAATCTCCATGCCTCTCTGATATGTTCAGGTTGCAATGAATGCTGTTTATCTCCCAAATATTCTAATTTCACGTCCTCTACTTCAACATCCTTGCCACTTTCCAAGCTCTTCAATATTTCTCTCTTCTGTTTCTTCTTATTTTCTACATCTACAATCAACTTGGCCCTATAGTTACGTTGTTGAATTTCCATGGCTCTGGTTATGATTTCACCCAAAAACAGCTTGGATAACCCAGCAAGTACCACTGCTATATTCTGCGCTATCAGGTGACCCAATACTCCATTGCAAACCTTTTTAACCCCAGGCTTATTTACAGTCATTCTACGATACGATTCAAATTTATCCATCTGTTCATCAGTAAACGATGAAATTATTAAACGCTTCTTTTCCTCTTCATTTAATACCGGAAGTTCAGATACTGGCAAGTCTTGGAGTGACTTGAGACTTTCATATTTGGCTATAAGTTCTGGGTCATCTATATCGGAGAGGTTTAGTTCATCATCATCATCAGCTTCTCTTTTGCGCTTTAAGCCGGAACTCTCAGGCTCCGCCAGTGCCAGAGCTCGACTACTACTATATTCCTCAGATTCATAATCAGAGGGGTAACCAGAGTTATTGTTTGAATTTATCTTACTTTCATAATCTCCATAAAATACTCTCCAGATCAATTCTTCATCTTCTTCATCTAGACTAACGTCAGATAAGCTTTCATCCGTCTCAGACATATTTCAAGATATGTGTATGTATATTAAGAGGAAGGGGATGACTGCGATATATTTTTACAGCTAGAGTACTCCTTAAATGTATCTACCAAGTGTATCAGAAAGAATAGTGAACCCAAGTCTCAGCAAGGTAGAACTAGGTTAAGAAGGATCTGTATTTGAACTATATGCAGAACTGAAAACCGCTAAGAAGCCTCAGAAGCTCTCAAGGCTCAAGGCTCTGAATAGAACGTAGGTTGGCACTTGACCTAAATGCTAACTTGCTCTCAAACTTACTCCTTATCTCGGCAATTGAAATTAGACCATATTCGTTATCCCTACAATTATTTACAATAATTCAAAGAAACAGTTGAGAATCAAGATTTCTCAGAATGGTTCTTGGTTCTTGTCTTGAATTTCAAATTCTAGATAATACATACCTTATGCAACCTTATTTATTTCCTTTTCGTTTTCCTCTTCACCCTATATAGAGAGTAAATAATAACATCCCAATTAGAAAGCTTAGCACCAAATCAAAATAATTCCAAACAATCTTATAATACAATCTCAATATACTACCACCATTTTCTTCTACTAGTTCAATCTTTTGCAATAATTTTTCACAACGGTCAAAAAATTGCTCCCATGCGCTGATCTCATCATCTGCTGGCCCTGGTTGCATCCCGCCAGTGCCAACCAAATTTTCATATTCTTCCACATAGCTCTTTGAAGATATTACACCCTTTGATATCAATTCCATTAGCAACTCTCTTACTTTCCTTAGCTTTCTAACTGCCACTACTCTCTTAACCATTTGCAACTTTAATCTAAGATTATTGTCGGGGTGCTCTGGAATACCCATCTGTTTTTCAATGGCATATATACTATCAGAAATGAATTTCATTAGTTCTGGATTTGTTGCTATATACTTATAATTCGGATAAAAACTCACGTTTTGACTGCAATAGTAAGTAAGCTCACCGTCGTCGAGATTATTTATAGGACTCCAATCTCTTTGTATTTTAAACAGATCTACAACCATGCCTGCCTTCTGGTACAAAATTTCATAAAATGGCTGGAATATCATTTGCATAGCAGAACTCCAATCCAATTGGTTTATCGGATCGTCTTGTAGAGGAGTTGCAAAATTGACAGTCAAATTCAGTGGTAAATTAATCTCATGTTCATCATTTTGGAGCATCAAAATTTCTGATTTCATGAAATGGTGAATTACGGCTTGTGTGATAAAGAATGGTAAATCATTGGCATACACAGCACTTGCCGTATAAAACAAGTACGTCTTACACTGTTCTGTGTCTACCCCGACAGAAATATCACCCGATCTAAATAATACTATAGAGTACACATCATTGGAAATTTCTTGGTTTCTGTTCTGTGATTTTTCATCTACCCCAGATATCAATTTAGATTCTGTCACCTTCAATGAATTCTTCTCTCTATCAATATTTCTCGATTCTTCTAACTCATCTACTAATAATACTTTCCAATTTTTAATCTGTAAGTTTTCCAATTCGGAATTAACCTGCAATTGGGCAGCTTCAACTAGATCTGGGAATATATAGCCTTCATCACCAAATCGCACATGTATAGGAAGAACTAATGGGGGGAATTCGGAGTTTTTCTTCAAGGAGAGTGGGACTGTGGGAGAGAAGAGATTCAAAAATATTATCAACAGTATGAGAATGGATACCGCTATTCGATACAACATGGTTAATATAGAAGGAGATTGCCATATAATTTGTTTGTTTTGAAGAAACGTAACACCAAAGCCTAAATAAAGAAGACCTGGTGTGCATATATTGTTGATAATATTTGAAAAATTAGGCTGCGAAATCAAAAAATTGAGCCCGAAGCCTTGATCATCGATGAGATGGGTGCAGGTCAGACATAGGAAGCATATTAGTTCTTTTCTTTTCTAGGTACTTCCTTCAGATTGTCACAGAATGTCAGTACCCTCCATTGCTATAGAGAAGGCATTAGAACCTAACTTTCAAGAGCAAGAATTTGTACATAGTGTGTATAATGATATTGCATCGCATTTCTCACAAACAAGATATAAGCCTTGGCCCATCGTGGAAGACTTCTTGAAAACTAGGCCTGATTATTCCATAGGGCTAGACGTTGGGTGTGGAAATGGTAAATATCTTGGTGTAAATGAAAAGCTTTACATGATAGGTACCGATAGGTCGGACGGATTAATCACATGTGGTCATGAAATATCTAAGGGTCAGTACAATGTAGGTGTTGCAGATGGATTGAACTTACCACATGAAAATGGGAAATTTGATTTTGCCATTTCCATTGCAGTTATACATCACTTTGCAAACGAAGACAGAAGAATCGAAGCTATACGTCACATATTATCAAAATTAAGGAAAGGTGGTGAATTATTGGTGTACTGTTGGGCCCTAGAACAAGAAAACTCGAGAAGAGGTTACAAGGATGGAGATGAACAAGATATTTTGATTCCATGGGTCTTGCAAAAGAAGCAAGAAAAGAAGCCGAAGGTTAAGAAACAGAGAAAGTCAAAAAAGACAGCTATAGAAAATCAGCTAGATTCATTAGATTTGAAAGCAACCGAACCCAAGGCGGACGAGATGGAAGAGACTAAAATTGAAGAAGAAAAGGTGCAAGATGAGCAAAAGGCTAAAGAGGAGCAAACGAAGTACAGATACTATCACTTATATAAAAAAGGTGAGCTTCACGAAAATGCTATCAAGGCTGGAGGACTGGTTGTAAGAGAAGGATACGAGAAAGATAATTGGTGGTGTGTAATAAAAAATGAGTAGGTAACGAAATATATGGTATATACATAATTTATCGCAGATCAATGGCCGACCTCTTCTTTATTGCTTAGCGAAATGTGTTAAAATTTGTGAACGTGTAAGCTCTGCACCTCAGCTGCATTCAGTTTCAATTTGTCTCTCTTTGATTCTTGTAATTTTCGCATTAACTTTCTTCTTGTCGCCTGACAATACAGAATTGAATGCTTAGTTTGTAAGTATGTGTTGATAATGAAAAATTCCTTCTTAGTGTAGTTGCGATCTCTCTTGTTTCGTATTTTTTCAGGTACCAAAAAATTTCAACTGACTCGCTTGTGATATAAATTTATCATTTCATTATTCTTACTATCTGTTTACAATTAACTATGATATCTCCATTGCAAAGACACGACAAATTAGTTAGAGCTACTGACTTGGATGCTCTTAGTTGTAGGTTCAATGCCAACCAAAGAGGGTATTTCATCCCTCCAGATAAGTACATTCCAGAAATGATTCGATCTTATCAGAAACATTTACCCTTCTGTCAAGGCTACACCAATCTTCTGGTGAATAGGACATTAAGAGCAGCATTTCAAGAACCCAAACTACCTCTCATAAATCGTGGAACATACTTTAGAACTAAATCAATTGATATAGTATTGGATGATTTCATTTCCCAGCACGAGAACAAGTGCCAAATAGTCTCTCTTGGAAGTGGCTCGGATACAAGAGCCTTTCGTACGTTAGAAAAGTACCCTGATTCTGGAGTGATATACCACGAGATTGACTTCCCAGAGTCAACAAAGATCAAAAGAGCAGCAATTGTGAATAACAGTGAAATCATGAAGTTAATTAAAAGCGGAGATCTAATCGAGAATGTTGCTGTATCTTCTCGAGAGGAGTTTGAGTCTCTCAAGTCCGATTTCCACACAAGTGTATATCATTTGTACGGACTAGACCTTAGGAAATTAACATCTTCCTCAGTTGAATTCCCTCATGTTGACCCAACGCTTCCAACAATCATTATCAGTGAATGCGTCTTATGTTACTTGACTCCGGAGGAGAATGTCCAAATTTTGAGCTACTGGACAGATATGTTCACTTCCTCATGTCCAACTGCTACAATGGCTTTTCTTATATATGAGCCAATGTCACTCAATGATTCATTTGGTAAAACCATGGTAAAGAACCTCTCAGGGCGTGGGATTACCTTACCAACGTTCGAGAAGTTCCCAGACTTGGATTCGAGGAAACAATTCTACACCGGCTTTGGATTCAACAATGCTAATGTTACCGATTTGAGCGTGATAGGTGGATATGAGAAAGAGGGACAGTCTTGGATAACCAAGGAAGAATTCAACAGGATTTCTTCTTTAGAGCTAGTAGACGAAGTGGAGGAAATTAAGTTACTCTTGAGACACTATTGTTTGATATTTACAGGAATAGGGCAAAATATTCGAAATGTGAATTTGTTCAATAAGGATGGGTGAAGGGAGTAATTGAGATGGAATGGTCTATTGTTTATTTACAAGTTTAAGAAGCCGATCGGAGCAGCTGAAGTTGATTTCGGCAACAACGTCAAAAATTTATATACTTTACCCATGGATTTGTCGTCCTTTGCAGTGAGTCTCACGTACGAATCATAAATCTTCTCCTGCTCCTTGTAATCATTGGTAGATTTGATTAACTGGTCTACTCTATAGCCAATTCCAACTTCATGTAACCAGTCTCCTTGTTGCACTGGACCGTACACATTGCATATACCAGAAGTCATCTGCTTTATGCTTTCAAAGTCCACGTCGATGGAAAGATCAACTTCTCCTGGTTTGTAAAAGGGTGAGACAAACTTGTGCTTATAGATTCCACGGAGCGTGTTGTCTGGCACTCCCAGAGAGAGACCATAATCCATAATCAAACAAGCACCACTTTCTTTAACCAAATCGGCCATTTTGTTTGCATAAAGGCCAGAGTCAGGACATATCTCGATTCTAGAATCTATAGGGAGCTCAGCAAATCTGGGATTGTTCTTAGGGATGAATGATGAGGGTGTTTCCTTGGGGGCCATGGTCAAGTGGAAATCAGTGTTGAGGAGATCATCCGATACTAAAGTGGAGTCTGTAGAGTTTGAAGCGCTCTCGATTTTCGGTTGAGTATTGTTCACACTACCAGAGTGCTCCACAAGTAATTCTCTCCAGCCATCTTCAACCTTTTGGAAAGATTTGATAGGAAGTGCGTCAAAGAATTCATGCGCAAGTATATAGTTTGTGAGCTTTGCATCGCTTTCGATATCTTTTTCAGTATCTACCCATTCTATTGAGTTCCCCCACATAGTGGTTGATGTCAAGTTGTCAGATAATTCGGCGGCATGGGTCGTACCCGTCATATCGCTCTTGCATAAAAGCTTCCATTGTTCCATTCTCAATACAGGCGAGGCTTCTATCATGACAATTTTGGTATTAACTACCTTGTCTTTCCTCAATTTATTGAAACTTTGAAGTACATCATGCATAAGGGTCCCTTTCCCGGGCCCAAACTCAATGATTCGAACATTATCGGGCAGCCCTTGGGCCACCCAGACCGAGTAAAGCCACACACCTATCATTTCACCAAAAACCAGTGAAATTTCCGGCGAGGTTATGAAATCTCCCGTAGTGGAGTCGAGTGGATCTCTCGTTGTGTAGTAGCCATATTCCGGATGAGTTAGACATTGCCTCATATATGCAGAGAGTGAGATGGGGCCGGTGGTATTAATTGATTGGATCAATATATCCGAGAGTGAGTTGATCCCCTTGGAAGAAGCCAAGGACGGTGATATAGGTATCGTTGGCATGGTTCCCATCTTAGATCTGGGATCAATTTCACCTTTGATCAGCTTTTCTAGCCTGGTCACTTGTTCCTGGACTATCTTTGCAGCTTCATCGTATTCCTTCTGAGAAAACTTTCCAAAGTGCAATTTTTCATCTTTTTGTTGGAAATAAGGAGAACTATGGAAAGATCGGGAGCATTCAATAGCTTGCTTGCGAAATCGAGACAACATTGCACGAAAAATGGTAGTTTCCAAGGTGAACTAGCTAGGCACTGGTACTTAATTTTTTTTATTTTTCACTATAGCGTCAATGAATACCTGCATATAACACCATCTCTCTTTCCTGTATATGCAGAACCGTATAGTCAGTTTTAAATAAAAAATAGAAAACTGCGAATTTTGATTTTTGGGGTCGTCCTGCATGATGCTGCTCATGTGAACGCGATTTTTAGCCCCCAATTTTCCGATTACTTAACCAAAAGGCGTATATACGATAACCTTTAAGGCACTCCTCCGTATTTCACTAGGTAGCACAAGTATTACCATGTAAAGGAAAAGCCAAAATAAGAATTAAAAAAAAAAAAAGAATAATTAGACTATCAATGAATAACGTTTGAGAACTTTGCCTAAAATACTAGCAAATAAACGAAACATCGTGGAACTGAGTCATTATCATAAGATTAAATTGGTATTTTCAGGCCATGTTAACATTTTCCATTTTCCATGTTTTCATGTTTCCATGTTCCGTGCTCCATTCTTCGTATTTCCAAATTCTTTTTCTGTCCCTTTTTCTGTCACACACACACACTCTTCGTTGCTCTGCTTTACTCTCCCTCTCCCACTCCCTCACTCCCTAATTGCTTAGCCTACATGAGATCCAAAAATAGCAGATCCCGCCTTACTAAATTTCTTGCATAGAATCTGACACACCTCACTACTCCCTAACCTCTAAGCACAGAAAAAGCTAAGTTAACCGCTAACAATCTATAAATATCTCCCTGTCAAAGCCATGAATTTGATTGATTATTTTCTTTGTCTGTTGTCGTTCCGTCCACCGCTCCCGCTGATCACTGCCTAGTAACCCCATGGTGACTCCATGTTTTTTCCCTAGCAATTTAAGCTTGTAGACTAATAACAATCTGGGTCCTGTATATTGACCCTTTTATCTAACTTTCACTCTCTCGCAAATTTGAAAAAATATAGAAAATAAAAAAATGAGAAAAATGGAACAATCTGAAAGTATTTTATACCACACGTTATACAGACACCTAATCTAGTACTTAAATATAGTACAGTTGCAAAGATATACCCTTTTCGAGCTTTTTTTCAAAAAGTCCTGCATACTTCTCCATTTTACAAGTGAAAGCAAGACAGAAACACATTCCTAAACCCAAGTTTACCAGAACCGTCTTTTTGAAACACTTGGACCATTCTTTAATTTTTTATTTTTTTTTTGTTTTTTCCCCGTACAAAAAGCAAAAGCAAAAGCAAAGGAAAAAAAACTGAAGAGACCAAAAAAAGTCTTACAAGCCCCTCAATAAACGTATCCGATACCATAACTGCCTTCGTATTCTAATTATAGAGAATCGCGTCCGCTGTTGTATGATTATATAAGTGATAAGAGTTCAGTAAGACATTTAGCGAGAGATAGAGAGGATAGATTGCTTACTTTAACCTGTATCTATAACGAACGTATTAAAAAAAGGAGAAACGATAGACCGACTTCACATCGTCTTGACACCTATTGAAACCAGTATTAGAATAGAACTTTCCCGCTAACTACCATGGGTAATTCGCCTTCTAAAGATAAAAGGGGACCACCTTTAACCAGAACGGATACTTCTAATTCCACAAAGTCCACCAGGTCCACCCGGTCCAGGATGTCCAGAGATGACTCCAGTTTCAAGACAGCGGCATCTGAATCGCCCATGCTTGCCCCCAAGTCCCCCAAGGTGCTCCTGAGGAAGGGCTCTTCTTCGTCTGCACAAGATATGGGAGGTGTACCGAATTTGTCATCATCCCTATCCTCCTTGAACATAAATACAAACTCATCCGTAAGCAATGGAGGAGGAGACTTGCCACCTTCAATGCTCCAGGTGGAACCAAAGCAACCGATTTTAATGAGGAGGAATACGAATGACAGTGAATTCCCCATGTCACCAAGGAAAAGCGAATTTATCAATGGATCACCCAATGGCACCACTTCGAGTTCGAATTTGCTCGTGGGAAGCTCTGCCATCAGTAGAACTTCAACCAGAGGTTCGAATTATTCAGCTAATAATTTCCCGTTATCTCCGCAACCGACAAACGGGTCGTACAGGGATGAAAAGGAGTATGAGAAATTGCAAAATTTGATGATAGATGGTGTTCCAATAGAAAGAAATAATACAAATACAAGCACCCCGTTGAATGTCGCTACGCCGGTAGTTTCAAACGAAGTGTCACGTACAACATCCAGGAGTAGTAATATACAGCAAAACACGTTACAACAGCAACTGCTGGAACTGCTGCCACTGAATAGTGTGGACATTGAAGACCTTATACAAAGATTGCTAGATGCCGGTTACTCTGGTAAACGTACAAAGAATGTGTGCCTCAAAAATACCGAAATCCAACTTGTCTGTCTGAAGGCAAGAGAAATATTCCTTCTGCAGCCGTCACTACTCGAATTATCACCTCCAGTGAAAGTTGTAGGTGATGTACATGGTCAATACGGAGACTTGATTCGTATCTTCACCAAGTGCGGTTTCCCCCCGCTGACAAACTATTTATTCTTAGGGGATTACGTAGATAGAGGGAAGCAGTCATTGGAAACAATTTTATTATTACTTTGCTATAAGATCAAATATCCAGAGAACTTCTTTCTTTTACGAGGGAACCATGAATGTGCTAACGTCACCAGAGTATATGGATTCTACGATGAATGTAAGAGAAGATGTAACATCAAGACATGGAAGTTATTCATCGACACCTTTAACACATTACCCATTGCAGCTATTGTCGCCGGAAAGATATTCTGTGTGCACGGAGGACTTTCTCCTGTGTTGAATTCTATGGATGAAATTAGAAATATTGCAAGACCAACTGACGTTCCCGATTTTGGCTTACTTAATGATTTACTATGGTCAGATCCTGCGGATACAATGAATGAATGGGAAGATAACGAGCGTGGGGTTTCATACGTATTTTCTAAAGTGGCCATAAATAAGTTCTTACTGAAATTCGAATTTGATTTGGTTTGTAGAGCTCATATGGTTGTTGAAGATGGGTATGAGTTTTTCAACGACCGTACTTTGGTTACAGTATTCTCTGCACCAAATTACTGTGGAGAGTTTGATAATTGGGGTGCAGTTATGAGTGTAAATGATGAATTATTGTGTCTGTTTGAATTACTAGATCCATTGGACAGCGTAGCATTGAAACAAGTGATGAAAAAGGGTAAACAAGAGAGGAAGAGTGCACAACTACAACAACAACAGTTGAGCAGGTGATGAAGATGATGTTAACAAGGAAAATGAGAAAAAAGAGAAAGAGAAAGTGATGTAGCTTCTGAAGCCGAACTTATACTGCAAAGCAAGGACCACTTTATTTTGAACTATAAAGGTCTCAGGATACCGGTTGTATAAATGCCAGAGGATTCCCTAGTGCAGTTGGAGGTTTCTACCCTTTGTAGATGGCTACGCTATCAAATGAAGACATAGTATACACTGAAAATTTGATTCCAGTAACTCATTTTTCATAAGAGCCATTTCCGACCGTCAAATAGAGAGACACATTATTAAATAAAAAGCAAAGTAATATATGATTTTACGCATGGTAAACACGAAATTGGAAAAGAAGGGAGGATAGAAGAGATTGGAGCATTGTCATTCCATGAAAGTCCCCTTAAACCAATGTGGTTCGTAGAGTTACAGATAAACCGAGTAACAACGATTGATGATTATGTTCATTTTGAAACGCGGTGCACCATAACCAGAACCTTTTTTCCATTTCCGTGCGCCTGTACATACACGACAATAAGAAAGAATGTTTAGAGAGTATACTTGTAGCTGGCAGTGCTTGTAGTGAATGAAATAGGCTGTAGAAGCTAAAGATGTCAGTTTATGAGAATGGTAGCAGTTTCTTTCTCTTGCAAACCGAAAACTTTGAGCCACTTTTGAAGCTAATTGATAGTTTAAATCACAAGATAGCTGAGAACCAAGATATTATAGATAGATTAACGAAAGTGATTGATCATAAATTTGATTACCCAGATATAGACAAAAGAATAGAAGAAATAAAGACACCAGCAGCAGAACATGAAGACATACTAAGCTTGTTCTTACAGGAGAAATATAAATTAGATCAAATAAGGATACCTTCTGACGTTGGTCGGAGTGAGGTACCCAGAGTAGCACAACTTAGGAAAGACATCGCAAGGCTAAAGATACTTCGCGATTCCAACTCAGCTAAGAACCAGCAGTTGTTTCAAATAATACAAGATTATGAGATGTTTATAGTTAGCGACGTCTTACCTAAGATGCGTGAAGATATAGAGAGATATAGAGCCCAGCTGTTTCTGGACATCAAGTTGAGGCAATTGGACGAGAAGACATCGGCTGAGAGTAAACTATGGAGTAACTATACATTGTATGTAGAGCAGTTAAATAGGTTGATTATCGCTTGTGAAAAATTGAGTAATTTAATGGAAGAAGAAATTGATGGCGAAGAGATTAGAATCCTTGAGCAAAAGTTAAGAGTAATACATCAAATCAGAAGTTACTTAACTGAGGGAAGAGTATAGGAACTGGGAAGATACTTTTGAAGTCTGGAACTTTGGGAGACGACCCGAATACTTGAAAGTGTATACGAAATGAAGGAATGCAAAATTATTATTATTTATAAATATACTCTATTGATACAGAGACCTATTATTAATTTCTTTGTAGATGCAAATAGAAGGTTGGAATGACTGCAAATACGACTACAAGACCAGCTAAAAGGCAGTAGGTTCCCAGGATTTTTAGAACGGGATTTTCCAACATTGGAGGAAAGTAGAAAGGTCCCACAAATCCCAACACTTGTCTAACCAAAGTTACAAAGAGCGATATATCTGAAGCCCTAGTCGGTAAAGTGTCAATTGCATAAGTTATTAGCACAGTGGAAACAGTTTGCAATCCAAAACCTGCCAAGGCAAGCCCCACCACTGGCACAACAGTCCAACTGTCATCTCGATCGAGCATGACACCGTATACTATAAGCCCCACAATGACAAAGACATATCCAATATAGCTTAGCCAAAGTCTATACTCTGGTGGACCACTGTAGAGGTTAGATGCTTTCCTCTTTTTGTTCATCCACATATCACTCATCTTCCCTCCCAAGATTTCTCCCAAGATTGATCCTAAAATGAGCCCAATAAATTGAAGGCCAATCTGTTGGGAATTGAATGCATATTTTTCGTGGTATAATGTGGTCAATTCTACTCCTAAAGCAATGTTGGCGTAGGAGAAGCAAATTGAATATGCTATGGTAGCGAAAAGGACTTTGATGTTAAGAAACAAAGTCAAAGGCTGAATGAAAACCTTCCAATGCAAAGCATAGCATGTCTTGGGCTGTATTTTCCACAATGTGTTTATGCCCGGATGCCATATATTCTTATCGTAGACTGTTTCTCTACCAATGATTAGATATCCCAAAAACTGTATGGCATTCATCACCACAAATATCAAAAACACATTCCTAATGTGCCCAGTCTGATACTCCACAAACCCCATCAAAAATGGACCGAAATGTGTACCTAAGGTAATCATGACTGCCCATAAACCGGTTCTGGAACCTCTCTGATGACTAAAACTAACTTCAGAAACAACCGGACCACCAACAGAAACCGCAGGTGAAATCATGAAAGCTGCAAATATTCTGCAAACCATCATCTTCCCATAAGTGTTGGAGTACATGCAACCAATATTGAAAATCATAGACCCCAACGTGGAGACCAATAGTAGCTGTCTACGGCCATATCTATTCATAATAGGAATCCACAAGAAGGGAAAGCATCCCAATATGATAATCTGAGCTGACGTTAGATACGTGCATGCAGTTATAGAAGTATTGAACCTTTCAGCTAGCATTGCAAACGCAGGGATCAACCCCGCAGCCATGAATGTGGTAGAGAACGCATGGAAGGCCACCATGACAAGCTGAGCCATCTTGATAAAAGGCAGCCAGTTGAGCGGATCTTCATCGCTGCTTTGCGGCAATGGATCTAGGTCGAATCTACCATGTCTTTCTACAAGATATTCCTTATGAGAGCTTGAGATATCAAGTGAAATTTCAGGTGACAGCTCTGTTTCAGTTTCAGCTTTTGACATGAAATGGTTCTCTTTGTTTTTTTGTCCCTTTTTTTTTTCTTCAATAACTTAAAAGCCCTTCAATATAATGGCCACACAATCAAATAAATAACAAAAAAACGATCAATTTTCTAACATATAGATCAAGAAATAAGAAACTATTTTTGAAGGTGAATTAGCCACCATTTTATTATTTAAACATATACGATGGGCCTATAAAAAAAAGGCATTTCCCCAAATTATTTTCTCTATCAGCATGCATATACTGAGAAGCAGTGTACAATAGAGAAGCATTAAAATTAAAGTACTATTTACTCAGGCGCCAAGAAAGAAAATCTAAATGGGTAAAAATAACTGCCCTGATAGTTAAATAATCAAGAGAATGGAATCACTGGAAAATGCTCATACAAAGCACTGTATCTGATAAGATAAGGAAGCATGCATTAAAATAATGTCATACTCAATATATGATATTGTAATGTGTATCTTTTAGAGTGTGTAGTATATTAATCTAATCTTTTTTTTTTTTTTTTTTTTTATTTTTATTTTTATTTTTCACTTTTTTACGATTTTTCACCATGCTCTTGATGTTGGTCTAGTCATGACACTTCTATCGACACTGGAAAGATTAGAAGAGGATAAAAAAGAAGCTTAACGATGCTTTCATGGCTGCAAATGCATCCTACATGTTATATCTAATCTTTATTTTTGTAAAGTATTTGTAAAAATGTATGTACATATGTCTATTCATAATTTATTTGTATGCGTGGCTCGAGCTATTTTCTTTGTTATTCATATATTAATATAAAGATGCTTGGATCTATCTCCTAATAAAGTCGGAGTCCACTATTCCTGACTTTTCACAAATTTGGCTGAAAATTCCATCTCCCTTGAATAATGCCCAAGGAGTATCAAATTCTGACAAACATCCATCATCTAAGGTTAAGATTTTGTCATAATTAATGATTGTCTTTAATCTATGAGCAATACATAAAATTGTACAGTCACCAAACTCTCTAATAATGGTTTTCTGTATTTTACTGTCAGTCTCATAATCAACAGAACTGGTTGCTTCATCAAGAATCAATATCTTTGTATTCTTTAATAAAGCTCTTGCAAAAGAAATTAATTGTCTTTCTCCTAATGAAAAATTGGCACCTTGTTCCTCTACAATTTGATCTAAATGAAACTTGTGTAAATCTCCATTCGTTTCGAAGGAAGACTCCTTAACCTGCTTGAACTCACTCTCCTCAATAACACCAGCTCTCCTTAATGCGTCCCAAATGGCTTCATCATCTTGCTCATTAAACGGATCCAAGTTTTTTCTAATTGTACCATTGAATAATACGGGATCTTGCGGAATAATTGATAAATTCGACCTTAAGTCATGTAACCCAATAGAACTGATGTCGATTCCATCGATCACAATACTTCCCAGATGTAACTCTGCAATTCTGAATAATGCTGTCATAATTGATGATTTACCAGCTCCTGTTCTACCGCAAATACCAATCTTTTCACCAGGTTGAACTTTAAAGCTCAAATCCTTCAACACAAGAGGTAACAATGGTCTATAACTTAATGAAACATTCCTGAATTCCAAATCACCCTTTCTTGGCCAGGAAGTTTCTGGTTTAGTGTGGGAGATCTCAAAAGGAGCTTCTTGGGGCATACGGTAGGCGTATGCTTCCAATCTTTCAGCAGAATTCATATCATTCTCAACTTGAGTATATAATCTAATAAATTGAGATAACTCATTTCCAATACTAAAGGCATAACTTATAATCAAACCAGTCGATGATGCGCTTATATTGAACACTTTATTTACACACAACAATGTAATTAATAAAGTGAAAAAAAACACCATAACTTCTAACATCTGAGCTAACCATCTTTGGTTGGCAACAACAAGAAGAGAAGCTTCATTGGTGGAATCAATACAAGCATTGTTTTTTCCGATAAATCTTCTCTCAGCTCTAAATGCTTTGATAGTAGACATACCATTTAAAGTTTCAGAATAATTATTATGAATGAAAGATCTCTGTACTGCTTCAATTCTCTTAATTTCTCTAGTTGATGCTTGGAAGTAATTTGCAACACAAACAAAGACCCCACCAAATACTGGTACCGCAATTAAGATCCATGGTAAATAAATGCAACATAAAATCAAAATACCAATTAAGTTGGCCATTCCATAAAATAAGAATCTTAAATTTTCACTGATTTCATTATCTAAAGCATCTGTGTCTTTAGTAAACCTATTTAAAATTCTTCCTGTTGGTGTTGTATCAATAAAGGACATTGGTGCATGCAACAAATTTTTTACTGCAGCAAGGTTAAGATTCTTTGAAGCATTGGTAGATGTGTTGATCAAAAGGAAAAATTCGAGACATACGAATATAACCGCAGTAAAAGTGAATAAAGCATAGAGACCCATCCAGAAAGAGCTATCCCTACCTTCAAATTTGTCAGAAACCCAAAATGATAACCAAGTGTTGGTGAAAAGGTTTGTAAATGTAGACAATGCAGCTGAAATAGGAAACAAAACAAGGAATCCTTTCACTCCTAATTTCCCAGCACCAGACTTTATATACCTATGATATATTTTCCATTTAATTCTATTCACGGCTTTTTCTTCGTCCTCATGCAATTTTCCTTTTGTAAAATCTTTATCTTTTTCTTCTAAGTTCAGTTCACAGTCATCGTCAAATCCTTCTTTTTTAGTAGACTTTGCGGATATAATCTTGCCATCAAAATACTGATACTTTTCATCAATACTGGTGGGAGTGCCTGGAACTTGTGGGCTCAAAACAATTTCTTCTTCCAAATCCTTCTTGGTGCTACTAAAGCTCATCAAATTCCTAAATCCTTCATTTTTGTTCCTCAAATCCTCGAATGTTCCATTGTCCATTGATCCGTCACCATTCAAGAATATAATCTTATGAGCACTTTCAATTAAGGAAAGTTGATGAGTAGCTAATATTCTTGTAGTATCGCTTAATTGTCCTAAGATACAGTTTGTCATGATATGTTTACCAACTCTTGCATCTACGGCACTTAATACATCATCCAATAAGATGATATCAGGTTGCGCATATACTGCTCTTGCTAAATTGATTCTTGCCTTTTGGCCACCAGAAAGAGTAATACCCCTTTCACCAACTTCAGTGTAATCACCTGCATCAAAAGAATTCAAATCTTGTTGCAATGAGCAGGCATGAATGACTCTTTTATATAACTTTTCATCAAATTCCGAACCAAAAACAATATTATCCTTAATTGTAGCATTTTGAACCCATGGCTCACCGCACAATAAGTATTCACCATTCACAATTACCTTACCATTATCAAGTTTCATATTACCAGCAATGGCATTAAGTAAGGAAGACTTACCTGAACCAATAACACCTGTGATGACAATGAATTCCCCCTTTTGAACAGTAAGATCGACATTGAGTAACCCGGGGAAGTTAGAGTTTTCGTTTTGAGTGGTTGAGTTTTCTTTCTTATCTTTCTTTTCCTTTTCTTCATCATATTTCCCTTGCTTTTTCAACTTGGCGATTTTCTTTTCCTTAGCTTTCTCTGCCTTAATCTTTTCCTTTACTTCATCTTCATCATCTGGTACTACTGAAGTATCCCAAGAGAAATCTGCGCTCTGAATATCAATAGATACATCAGAATTGTCGTCTTGAATTGTAATATAGTTCTCATCAACAACAAGCTCCTCACAGGCTAATAATCTTTCCACTCTTCTAAATGCATGCAATAAATCGACACCAAGTGCCAAACACATAGGTAACAAGAATGTCACAGTAGCCAAAGCATTAAATGCCGAAACTGAAGAGAATATAGCCGCTGGACCCTTCGATGTTCCATGGATTTTGTAAAGACAAACGAAGGTAATAAAGGACGTGATACCTGTTAAATTTAATGCAAGTGCATCGACTATGTTTCTTGCAGCTTGAATCTTTAACATTGCACTAATTTCAGCACTTCTTGCTTCAATAATTTTAGACATGTATGGGATTTCCCATGAATAAAATTTAATCATTTTTAAGTTACCCAAAACTTCTTTGATTATGTCCACACGATTATCTGTTAACTTTGTTACAGCCTCTCTATAGGAAAACATTTTAGCAGTTCCAGCTCCAATAAGCACAATGAAAAACAAGAAAACACCCAAACCGATGAGTGTAGCAATGCCCAAATTTACGGCCAATATGACAATTCCAATTACCACACCGATAGGTAACACGATAAGCAATGGCTGCATCATCATACCCAAATCAACTCTTGAAAGATCAGTTCCCATTAAAGAAGTTATCTTTCCAGCAGTGTGCTTCTTTCTAGAACTTGCCAGTAATCTGAACGATTTTTCCAATACCAATGTTATCAATATGGATTTGGTTTTAATACCTAAATGCAAAGCTGCATTTATGTAGTGGTTAAATAAGAACCCCATTACCATAATTGCCAAACTGCTTCCAACAGCATAACCTATACCGGGGCCTAAAGGTTGAGTACTGTATGGAAGTTCATATGCTTCTACAAACTTAAGAAGCTGTTTCATTAACAATGGCATCAATGACATAAATATAATACAAAGTGACCCAAGCACGGTCGCTTTAACTACATCATGTCTCAATGTACTAACAACCGTCTTTGCGAGGGTTAATTTGGGCCAGGTTCTAAATGGTTTCCCCTCGTTAGCAGGATCCAGTTCCCAAGCGTGTCTACATACTGCTACTCTGGCTTGAAGATTCTCATCGAATTCTCTGGCCATGTTGGCGATCTTCAAATCATCGGTAAGATAGAAAAGATCCCTGGGTCTTATCGTACGCGAATATCCAGTCTTCAAAATAGGAGTAACCCACCAAAAAAAAATTTTACTTAGTAAATTAGCTTTAGCATAACCGTGTGGCTGTCTTTCCTCTTCTGTTGGAATTGGATATTCACCTTTTATGAATCTTGAAAGTAAACGTCTCTGAGGTTCATACTCAGGACCTATTTCCAAAACTTCATCACTCATGTTAGAAGTGAAGCAGTCTAGTAATTGTTATCAGCCCCAAAACAGCTGCGTATATATATCTCTATATTCCTAGATATCTCTCTCTCTTTAGTATATTTATGTCTATGCAAATGCAAGATATACCTGCGCTTTTATACAAATGGACCTGATTCTATGCGTAAAAATGTTGCATATATTTTTTCCTAGCCATTCTTCTTTCAAGATGCCGCGAACTTGCATCAATATGTATGCGCTCGAGCAAAAATTGCCACTATCCAAGCCCCGCATATGCAGATGGCAACAACTCTCTTTTTTTTGCCTCCATGGCAAAAAAAGGTTTGGGAACAATCTGATTGGCGTGAGCGCTAAAGTTGATGTTCCATCACTGTAAGTGAGGATAAAGGAGGAATGTTTCCGTATGGCTAGGGTCTTGAAATATGGCTGAACAAGAGCTGCACGTCGTACCAGAGGACTAATGTGTTGGCTTAGCTGTATTAACTCCGGAGCTTTTATCTCCAATCGAGTTAACTCCACATAAGGGACAATAAAAAGTAGTGATGAAAAAATCAACATGCGGCGTGGAATACGAACCTTGTTTTAGGGGCATCGTGTACTGTGTAAGATTAGCTTAAGATTGGCCCTTGATTATCTCAATGCCAGACAGGCATGCGTATCTGGACATGGTGATTTTACATTTCTCTTAGCTGTATTTTGATTACTCTTAGTCGCAGGTGCATGGACATGAGAAGTTTCCCCGAGAAAATTCGTATCCGTTTTGGTGAACGGAACGATCTTCAATGGATCGTTCTTTTACTTAAAAATCTAAATACCTTCTCTCTTGCCACTAATCGCCTACTTTTGCCGTAGAAAATGAGAGGAAAATGAGCGGAAATCGCCATTTCAGACTGAGTAGCACCGGACTTAAATTTCATTCAGTTGGTACATCTAGCAATTTATGAAATTTTTTAATATACTCTCACTTTTAGGGACTCACTCAATTGAAATTGTTCTTGCCGTCGTTACCATCTTTGAAACGTCATATCACATACTTCACCATTCTTTTCATTGTTTAGGAACCATACTCAAAATCGTTCATGGATAATTTCATATTGCAAAACTTGAGTTGCAGTCATGCAGGTGTACAGCCGTCTCGAGAAGGCGCTTTCCTGTCGTACTAGCTCCCTTTCCGCATTTGCCTACTGCAAGAACGCGATGCTTTTTCCGTCCATCATTATTGGTCAAATGTTGCCCTTGAATCGTTCATCCCCGATTTGCAGTGCATAAGGTGGCTAAGGTAGGATTAGATAAGCGCAAATCAGATTACCTTATACATTTGTCAGCGCAAAATAGATGTAACATACTATGTAAGCGGAAAAGGGCTGTACTTCATGAAGTGGGTAAGCGGAAAAAATGGACCTACTTAAGGGTATCAACGAAAAGTTCTTCTTTAGTTAACGCCGCTCTACTGGTTGGGTTGTCTGCTAACTTGTATGCTCTCAATTCTCTCATATATTCGCTCTCGTTTCTTTCTTATATGATACCATGGACACCCTCCACAATGACATTAAGGGTAGAGCGGCGTCAATAGCTACTTCTTACCGTACTACACTTAATTGAAGTTCTATAATTTATTTTTTTACCTTACTAAAATTTCCTATCCTAAATAAAAATTACTTATATATTTATGTGTATATATATTCCCAAACGATACAAAGATCGATACCATCATAGTGAATCCTAATCTTTACTCTAATACGGTGATAAAAGCAGGTTGATTGTTGGTTTCTTGGATTCAAGCTGAACTGGAGCCAGAAGCTTACTTGGAGCTGGCTCTTCATTCAAAACCCCTCTCAACCACTGCTTAGATGTACCATTTCCATATTCAGTTTTGCCAGAATTGGAAGATTCAATTGGTGCTACAAGCGGAGGAGTTATTGAAGAGTTGGACGAGACTGACCCATGTCCAGAACCAGAACCAGAACCAGAACTCATACCCAAGCCCAATCCTGATGGATTAGTAGATGTAAACGAATTCTTCCTTTTGTTCACCTGAACTGGAGTTAACTGTATTGCTGAAGGAATGCTGAAATGTGAACCAGTCACCGGGGGTAAAGTTGTAGTCAGATTGTTACCGCTACTTCCATTACTATTTCCACCAGCGGATGTGGGGATCAGAAAGGAGTTCATCTGATATGGACTCTGAATGGTTTGACTAAACAGATGATGGAAAAGCGGCAGCAAGGGGGATATCATATTTGGAGTTAGGGAAGCAGATTTTGGCCCATATATTATGGTTTTGTTAGAGGCAATCAAAGGAGCTGATTTTAATGGTGGTACTATGTACTGCAGCAGAAGCAAAGTCAGTGAAGACGTAGCAGACGGTTGTGGTGATGGTCCGTAGAATGAATGCAGTAAGGATAACGGTCTTGGTCTCCTCTTATTCCTAGATCTGATATCAGAGAGCGGCTTAATTATCCCATTGGACGAAGTGGCCGAGGAAGACGAATTAAGCGGATGGTGCATGTAGGTGCTGTAATATGAAATTGGGGAATTGGCAGTACCGGAATATTGGTGATTGCTACCGACGGAAGAGCTACTCGATGGTATATTTGAACCGGACAGGAACACAGTGGTATTTGGAGTTTCGGGATTGGACAGCTTTTCTGGTAAAACGAGACGGGAGGAAGGCACCATAATGTGATGTGAGGTCATTTGGCTTCCTATTGGAATTGGAGCAGGAGGGGGAGGTATGTGGTGCTGGTGTATTGACTGGTGTTGGTGCACTTGTGATTGGTGGTGAGCTGGCTGGTGGCTAGAATACTGGTGTTGATGTTGATGTTGATGTTGGAGCAGGTGCTGGCCCTGTTGACCAAGCTGCTGATGATTCTGGTTTTCCTTCTGTTCGTGTACGCTGAATATCTCGTACGCGTGAACTGTTTGTTTATGCTGCCTCAAGTTATCCAACCTTGAAAAGTTCTTTGAGCAATGTGGACAAGTGAAAGGCCTTTCACCAGTGTGCTTCCTTTTATGTCTAGCCAAATGCTCGGACCTTGTGAATGACATGCTACAGTCTGGATAACCAGTGCACTGAAACACTCTTCCCTTAGGGATCCTTTTCCTGGATCCATTGCTTTCCTTATCATCTAGTAAGTCGTCGTTAGCAGCACCTTCCAGCTTGGCTGGGCTAGGTGTTGTTGATGAAGATGAAGTTGAAGATGCTCGCGACACCTCCCTATGGGGTTCTTCTCCGGCGACGGAGGTCTGTGGGCCCATCAAGTGGGTTCCGCCTACTCGGTCTATTTCTGTAAGGGACATGCTTATGCGGCGTGTGTTGATGTGAGAGAGTTGAAGTGCTGTGTTAAATGGGATATACCACCGTATGTATGTATGTATGTATATGTGTGTGTGTTTCAGTAAACGTGTGGCACTCTTGTTTTGAAAATTTTGGCTGGCGCTGTTCTAGTTAAAAATTTTTGGAAACAAAAAAAGCCGAAATTTACTCAGGAATCCTTCGCCGTTTCTGGTGTCGCTTGTTGATCAGCTGCAAGGTTATATAGAATAGATGCTGAGGGATTTCCTTAATCTAAAGGGTTCGTTGTTGTTGCTGGCTATGTTAAGCTTTCTTTTCCTCCAGTGGGATTTTTCTGTGTCTTATACGAATTTTTTCCTGCTGAGATCTAAAAAATAAATTTTGTTAAGACCGTTGTGCCTGAGTGTAATGGTGAAGGATAGTGTCACAAAATAACGGACTTAGAAAAAGTATGAAGTTGGGGTTGTGGTGAATGAAGATGAGAAGGGAACTGATTATAACAGGTTTCGAATCTCGTTTTTGCTTTCACTACAATACTGGAAAAGAACTGTCGGGTATTTGAAATGACTTTGCTCTTATATAAATGAATTTAAACTACTGAGAGAGCTCAGTGAATTTTTTGTGACCTTAGGTTTTATTTTTTATTTTTTATTTTAATTTTTTTTTTTTTTTTTATGTTCCACCTTATTCTTTGTTTTTAAAGAAGAACTCGATTAGGGGAATGCACCAAAAGAAGTCTCAGCGCAATTTCTTTTTTTTTTATTTCTTCTATTTTTGTGAAGCGGTTTTTTTTTCTTTGTTTCTGTGGGTTCACACTCGGATAGACCACCTGATCAAGAGGGCAGAACAATGGGAGAAAGAGAAATTGATCAACTGATAAACTGGAAAATGGCCAGTTGGTAGGATGACTTCGTTAAGTATTTTTTCGGCTATTGAATTTACCAGCTCGCTTCTAGTGTATTTAATAAGTCCACAAATATATACCTTTTGGCGTTCGGTTGCCTCTGTATTGACAATCTGTTATGTATCAAATGAGTACATGAAAACACTGGGTACCCCTACTCCTTTAAATGGAGGCGTCGGGACGCGCACATACAGTAAGGAACAGAAAGGGACTGTATGCAGAGACGTAAGGCGCTTTTCCTTGCAAGTAGGTTATCAGAAAAAAAAAAAATGATTGAAATAAAAAACAAAAAAACAAAAAAAAAAAAGAAAGCAAAGTGATATGGAAGTAAATATTTTTTATGTACCCTTAGGAAATCGAGCCCCAGTGTCGTCGAAGAAGAGAGAAATAAGAAGAGCTGTATAGCTCCGTTCCAAACTCAGAGAAGGTTAAAAATTGGTAATTGAGATGAGGAATTCAACACAGTAACCTTTTGGGGAAACTTTATTGCCAGGGTTGGTTGAGAGAAGAGTGGGGTGTGGCACCAATTTCACACCGGGTTTAGAAAGTCTTTGTTCGAGAGAAAAAAGCTACTTGGGCTACACTGTGTCACTCTTCTTTCCACATCTCAGAAGTGGTAATTAATTTTCTCGGGTCAATGAGAGGGTTTAAGAACCCTGCTTTAAGGTGGAGCTTCGTTAAAATAAACCACTTTCTCTATTTCTGTTTCTGTTTATCACACACACTCACACACACACTCTACTAATTTAATTCGATTTCGCCAATATTCGATTACTCTTTCATCCTGATGGGGTTTATGCAAGAGTTTAATTAATTAACGATCTTATTGTGTGCCCAAACGTATTTCTGCAATTGTTTTCTGTAAATGCTAATAATTCTTTTTTTTCGCTCTCTTTTCCTTTTCTATTTTTTTTTTTTTTGTTTTTCCTCTCTAATACATTTTCCAAAGCTTTTTTTTTTTTTGGGTCATTTCACCTAATGTTGCATTTCTAAATAACGATAAGGACCAATAAGAGATAATGAAACGGGTATGTTCAATTTCCAGTTCCATAGGATTGAGAATTGCAGAGAAAATATTATTACTGAGCTATTCATCACTATACTCGTGGAACTGTGTTCCTTGGATCATAATCTCATGTATGTACTGTAATGTAAGTGAGTCAAATATTTTTTTCGCTTTCACGACACTGTGTGTCCCTTTATTTTTTGCATGTCTCTCTTCTGTGGGATATTTTCCAAGCCAGGTACAACTACGCCAGAGAGAAAATAATAGGCATATTGAGCCTGAGAGCTTAATCTTAGATTGTAGAAGCAAAGGCTTGGTTGAGCAATCCAAGAATATAAGCAAAGAAAATAATGACCGGAGTCTCTCTGTTCCAGCTTTTCTCTTGTTTATTTTTATGACCATAATCGAGAAATTGGGAGCGAAAGAGCCTTACTCTTAAAAAATAAAGTTAAAATTTAGGAAGGTAAACTTCAACTGGCCCTAGCAATTGTACTAGGTGGCCCTCCTAGTAACCAACTGTTTACAAAAAAAAGAAAGCTGGGATATTTTACCACTCCGCTACCTTTTAGCGTTCACCTTCTCCATTGGGAATTGTATGGTTCTTTTAACCGGTCAGAGGAGCATAGCTAAATCATGAATTACAGAATCGTGTTCTTTCCACATTTATCAAAAAATACCATGCATGAAGATCTTTTGGGCGCCCTCTCACTCTAATTTGGTTCGTATAGTGAGAGACGATTAATGTGCGAATGTCAATACTCGCCATTGTTTATATTTTTCACGAACCAGGACACGACGGATTAAATGGGAATATTAGGTATAAGACCTGCCAAAAATGACGCCATGCCGCTTACATAGAAACGACTTTGATGCTACGTTGACTAGCGTGTGGTCGCATCCTTCAAAAAATCCAAAAGAAAGAAAAAATAGCAGAAGACTGAACCTTTAGTCTCGTAAACTTAATCCTGGATGTTCTTTCACTTTCTCTATTTCATTCATGACGCATAATCTCGAGATATTTGAGGTATTTGCGTATACGCAGGCCATATTTTTAACGGCTTTCATGACAACCTTATCTAATAAAAAAGTTGATGAAAGGGGAAAAAAAGAAAAAAAAAAAAATTAAATCAGGAGGGAATAATAGAAAATACGATTTCAACTCAGAACCCCTTTAAAAATTTCACTTTCACTTCTATATGTGACATCACTTCAGTCTCGCCTAATTAGAGTCCATCCACAACTCTCCCTGACACCACTTGACAAAGTGAAAAATTTCAAGTGAGGTGAATCTGGCAGAGCCTTAATTCCTACCCGTAACTTTGAAAGGCAAGAAGCGGAAATACTAAGTAATGCCCGGACGCAGCGCTCGGCTCACACACTGCTTAATTACGGATTAATCTCGACTTAGTAACTGGCGCCTAGTCGACTGAAATTTTGGTTTACTTCATGCTATTCGGCAATATACTGTGACCCTACCTCCGCTTACTGCCATCAGCCATTCATTTGGATATCCAATTCAACATTACCACTTTGGAATTATACTTTATTTTTATTTTTATTTTATTTTATATTTTATTTTTATTTGTTTTTTGCCTTTTTCTTTGTCTTTTTTGCTTTGTTCGCTTTGAATGGCCATCACTCAAATTTCTTCTCCCCCGCATTTCCAGTTAGGCTCCTTCTCCTCAAATAAAGTCCGAAAAAGTTTCAGTAGTCCGAATTTCCCTAAGTAGTCAAATTGAAATAATTATGTTACCAGATTGACTCTAAGGAAACCTGTCTATTTCAAATTATAATAGCAGTACCTTTTTCATGCTTTAACCCCTCTTACGTCCGGTTAAACGCTTTTCTCCAATGTTAATAGTCTTTTTTTATCTTCAAGTCTAGAATTTATTTTTCAACTTGAATAGCCGTTGCTACATGCTGACTACAAAAGATGAATTTCATTAGTTTTTTTAACCGACTCTCTGTATCTATAATTTTTTTAATGTTTATTTAAACTTATTTACTTTAATTGTTATGGTTCTTTTAATCCACGTTTAGCCCCAAACCCTCTCAATTCATTGAAAATGACCATTTTTCAGTAGAGTGCAAATTTCGTCCTTTGGACGTTTCTACCATGAATATAGGGTCTTATCCCATATCTTGCTTCAGGTTCATTTCAGATTACCACAGTTCACTTCTATCCAACTTGTGGACAGTTTACCTCTTCCTCTATTTCCAGGCACCATTCATAAAGTCCATTCTAAGATCAATTGTAAACATGCCTTAAACTAAGATGTTGTTTCTTTCGATTATATTAGTAGTAACAATCAGATGTACTCATCTCGCTTAACTCTCGAAGTTTACATTTGACCGAATTTAGAATGGAAAAAGATAGCCTTTCTAATCCCTCCCTTCAATGCCCAAACTAAGGGTCCTGCTTTTCAGTTTCAATACGCATACTCAAGCATTCTCTCTTATTCTCAACATAATTCATGCAATAGTTTTCTTTGACTTCAAGATAATTCACTTTTACAGCGAAATCCGTTCAAAATTTCCACCCTTCTGTCTAATTACACATCTAACAACAACTACTGGTATTTTCACTTTGCTCGATGTTAACGTCAATAGTTTCTGGTTCATTCCTCTCTTCTACTTCATTGAAATCTGGCAAGCAAGATGCAATTTTCTTAAATAACAACTTAACATTATGATTGGCTTTTGTACTTGTTTCCAATGCAAATTTAGCCCCGACTTTCTTTACTAATTCATCACACTCTTCTTGAGTAACTTGCCTCTTATTACCTAAGTCTGATTTGTTTCCAACAATTACAATAATCACTTCATCTCCTCTTTCTAACTTCACATCATTAATCCAATTGGTTAAATTGTCAAAAGACTTCTTTGAAGTGATATCATAACAAATCACAGCGACGTGCAGATCACGTATGTACAGCGGAATCAACAGTCGAAATCTTTCTTGCCCAGCAGTGTCCCATAATTGTAATCTAATCGTTTTGTTATCTTCCAAATACATTGTTTTGGAGAGGAAATCAATTCCTATAGTGGCAGCATACTGTTCATCGAAGGTGTCATACATAAACCTCGTTATGAGGGAAGTTTTACCGACTAGTTATGTTAGTATCAAAAGAAAAGATCAATGAAAGGAACAGAATATGTGAAGTATGTCGTTGAGTTTAAAGCATGTCATGACTGTCTTATGATCTCAATGACGCCAAATATTATTGTAGAGAGTACGGCCCAATTCTAAAGTTTGTTCCAGATCAAGCTAAGCTTGACTTGTAACAACAAGAAATCAATCAAGATCAATATGACCTAGTTTCATGAATCTTTGCCTTACGTCTGCTCTTTGTGTCAGATATAATAACCACCCACACAGGCCGAGTTAAAGTTGCTTCATGAGTCAAGTCATCGGAGGTGAATCACAGCCTAGCTTTTTCAATTTAACATGTCACAAGTGTATACCAACTGTCAGGTTGGACATCGCTTCAAGAAAAATGTAGCATGAAATATTGTTTAGGTCTTTTCCATTTCTAGGAACTTTGACCTTCACATCTGAGCATGATATGTGATGTCAGCCAGAGTGCTACTACTCGCTGAGAACCAACGTTCTATATCTGTAGTATCTTGTCTTAGTTACATCTTTGTGCATGGGCATTATATGTGATATCAGCCGAAACATTGCCACTTGCTGTGAACCAACTTTGCATATTTCTAAAATCTTGTCTTAGCTTGCTTCTTTGGGCCTGGGTGGCTTTGGGCTATGGCTTGTAACTGAGACCCGAGCAAGGTACAGTCATAGCTTTGACAAGTAATTCTCACTCAATCAAGACATAGTCTCGCGACCGTACATTGTCTCCTGTAAATGCACACATTTCAACAGCAATCTTTGTGCTTTTCGGCAACTCTTTAGTTCCGTAAGCTATTCGTGACAGTTGTCCTTCAGGAGTGTTTCATAATTTCTTATCTTTCTTTCTTTTTTCAACGTTTTTCTTCTGCTTCTACCATGCTCTGGTGCTACCCAATGAATGTAGTACCACTTTCTCATTAGTTAGCCCTGCACTCAGATCTACATTGACCGTCCACTTCCGACTACTTTTATTTTAGCTCATTATCTTCTATCGCACCCTTTGTGGTCATTCCTTAACACTGTTCATTCTTTCTGTTCCAGAAATTGCATTAGTTATACATACCACTTTGATCTCCGAGAAATACAATTTTGTATTTACGTAATGTACCACTCTTATCAGTACTCATGACTACTTTAACTATTCACTCTCTATGGAAGGTAACTACAACCAGTGCTGAACTTTTTGTTCCTTCTCAGTTTTTCTCGTTCAACGTTCCCCAAAGGAATTTAAAAATTTGCCTATGAAAATGAAAAACGAGCAACGAAGTTCACGAAAGCGAAAAAGCGAGTGAAAAAGTGAAAAAAAAGAAACAAGGTGCAACGGGCAGTACCAAATTAGAGGTAGGGTAAAGGAACAAGCTAGCCAGAGAGATAAATATGGATGACGCTGAATTAAACGCTATTAGGTCTGCAAGATTGGCCGAGTTACAGAAAAATTCTGGTCAGTCTGGATCATCATCAGGATCAGGTGCTGAATCGCAGAAGGATCAGGTGAAAACTTCCATGCTAGCGCAAATATTGGAACCCCAGGCTAGAGAAAGGCTTTCCAGAGTGAGGATAGTTAGATCCGACAGAGCTGACGCTGTAGAACAGTATCTTATCAAGTTGGCAACGACGGGATCGCTTCAAAGAAAAATTGGAGAGAGTGAGTTGGTTGAGATATTGGATAGCTTGAGCAGAGATGAGAAGAAGCAGACCCAGTCTAAAATTGTGTTCAACAGAAGAACCACCGTTGAAGATGACGAAGACGACGACTTTTTCGATTAAAGAGGGGAAGGACGACAGAGTGGAGGAGACAAGAAGTACGCCGAAGTAGCTGAAACATAACTGAAGTAGAGGTGTGGGAAGTAAATAGGAATAATATATTAATAGTAGTACTGAAATGTAGGGTGTATGGCGTTCGCAGCCATACGGTATTTGTTCGCCCTGCTCCCTGAGGAGAATAAGGTGATCAGGTAGGGAAGTCAGCCTACGATTCCAAAAAAAAAAAAAACGACGTTCGCTTAAGTAGAGTCCTCACCTCAAATCTAAGATCCATGAGCAAAACAGCTCAGCTCTTTGAATAAGGACCCATACCAGTAGTGATTAGTGAAAGAGTAATAAAGTGGATAGTTGTTCCATACCATGCCAGAGCAGCGCTTTAAACACTACAACTCAGTGAAATCGAGCAACAATTTCAAATATCAAACAATTGCACACTACACGAAATTCTTACTCTTACATCGTCTCCATATACTTTCAAATAAGCTTATCTACTCACATTTACCCAGCCATCTCTTCAAACTAACCACTTCCATGGCCAGTGTTGCACGGTAGACACTCCGCTATATGCACACCGATCGCGATTGTGAAAATCCTGCATACGCACCCACACCAAAAACAAACAAACAAACAAAGAAACAGAAGAAGTGGAGCACACATAGGACACTGCTGAACTGCTGTATTCATCGTTAACAATGTCAAACATTCAAGTAGTCGTCAGATGTAGGGGAAGGAACTTGCGTGAAATAGAATCCAAGTCCCCTATAGTGATAGAGCTACCGGAAGACACTGCCACAACCCCGTCCATCACGATCAATACTCAAGAGCATCAAGTCTCATCGACTTCACTACCTTCAACCTCAGAGTACTTGTCCTCAATCCACCTGAAAACCTATACGGTAGACCAAGTCTATGGATCTCAGACGGACCAGGCATCAATATACAACCAGGTGGCGGCTCCGCTTTTCAAAGATTTTATGAATGGATTCAATGTGACTATCTTAGCGTATGGCCAGACGGGAACTGGGAAGACATACACCATGTGTGGGGATGTCACCACTGACAGCAGCAATAGCAACAGCAGCAGTAGCAATAGCAAACTCACATTGGGAGAAGACGCCGGGATAATACCCAGAATCTTGAGCGAATTGTTCAATGAATTGAAGAAACAAGACGTTTCGGACTACATGGTGAAAGTTTCGTTTATTGAATTGTATAACGAGGAGTTGAAGGATTTGTTGGATGGAGACAATAACGGTACCAACAATGGCGGAAAATTGAGGATTTATGAATCCAAAAAGAGTGAAAGGGATCTGTCGATCTTGATCCAAAACTTGTCGGAGGTTTATGTCCCCAACAGCAAAAACGGGCTCCAATTACTAAAGAAAGGATTGATAAAGAGAAAGACAGCTAGCACCAAGCTTAATGATGTCTCATCTCGGTCGCATACCATCTTTACCATAAACTTGTATAAGAAAAACGGAATGAATTCGGACTCGGAATTGTACAGGATTTCTAAGATGAATTTAGTAGACTTGGCTGGAAGTGAGAATGTGAGCAGGTCAGGTGCAGTTAACCAGAGGGCAAAGGAAGCTGGGAATATTAACCAAAGTTTGTTGACGTTAGGCAGGGTAATAAATTGCTTGAGCGATAGCCAGACCTCACCAGAAGCTTTAGGTGGCAGGAAGAAAAGCGATGTGAAGAAAATCGACCACATTCCATACAGAGAGTCCAAACTTACTCGACTCCTTCAAGACTCACTCGGAGGACAAACAAAAACTGCACTTATTGCTACTATCTCACCAGCAAAGGTGAATTCGGAAGAAACTACCTCAACTCTCGAGTATGCGTCAAGAGCTAAGAACATTCAAAATAAGCCGCAGATTGGCCAAAACTCTGAGTTGATGTTGAAAAAAACATTGTTGAAAGACATGGCTCGAGAGATGTCCAAACTTAGTAACGATTTAATCGCGACTAGGACCAAGAATGGGATTTGGCTCGAAGAATCGAATTACAGTGAAATGTTGACCTTAAATGAGTCGATGAAAGCTGATTTCAAAGAGCAAAGGGCAAATTTGAATGGCTTAACAGAAAAGGTGCAAAAGTTACATGCAGAAAGACTTGCTAATGAGGAGGAGATTACAAAGTTGAAAAACATCATAGAAGAAGGTAAGGCTGAAGCTGAACAATTGCGGATTAAACAAAAGGCACTGAACTTAAAATGCGCTAACTATGAGCAGCAATTAAGTAAATATAAGGAGAAGGTGTCTCTCCTAGGCGGCAAGCAAACCGTGCTTAACCAATTCATGACTGAAATTGTCCAAAAGAATGTTATAGAGTCTATTGATTCAGTCAATGGTATAATTTCTGGAATGCAAGACAGCAATTCACGCGTGGACAAGATGTCCAGCACCTTGAAACAACAATTAAAGCTAATGGTAAAGAAATTAAACGAGACTGGGGATTCCATCAGCAAGGGCGTGGATATAGTATTTCAGTCCGACATCCCTAATCTATTAAAGGAACTTCAAAATGAAGGTAGTAAATTTTCAGATTCAATTAATGAAAGTTCAATAAACATCAAAAATGGAGTCGAAAGAATAGAGTTGAACAATAAGCAATTCAGTGCTTCATTGAAATCAGATTTACTCACCTCAAAAATGATCAGTAAAAAGGTCGACGAAATAGTGGAAGAAAGGCTTGGCATAGAATTAGAGAAACAGCAATCCGAACTTAAAACTAAACTTGAACAAATTACCATGGAAACTTTCAGCAAGCTGAAGGCTTTCCTACTGAATTCATTAAAGGAGGTATCTACGGAATTCAGTGACATGGAAAGACAGGCAATAGGTTCCAATCATGAGAAATGGTATAAGCAGTCCAAAGAACTTAATCTGATTGCCCTAGATGAGAATACTCGCCTTAAAGTGAAGTTTGAACAGTTTCAGAGCAAAAATTCAGATTTAGTTTCAACCACGAGCGACAAGATGTCCAAGTTAATTAAAGACCAGATGGAGCCAGGATTAGTACAGTTACAAAATTCACAAGAAGGGAAATTCATAGAGGAAAGGATAGACGAAATGAAGGTTGCTGTGATGAAGAAGAATGAAGAGAGTTCGGTTAAATTGAGAAATATCGAAAACGGCTTGAGTAGAGTCAAGAACGGAATGGATACTGAAAGATCCCCAATTAGATCTCCTTCGAAATCTCCAATAAGGGGAGCTTCAACCTCACCTTATAGGTCGCCAATAAAGGAGTCAAATTTCAATCAAGTAACCAAATTGTCGAAGATTCCACAATTGACAAGGAACTCTAGCTGGGATAAAGAGAATGCAAAGAGGAGAAGGGTATGAGAAGGGTATAAGAAGATGTTAATGAAAATAAGAATTGTTACTCAAAGAAGTAGCTTATATTTTGTGCTTAGACATACACTTCGCAGTGTAATAATAACTTGTACTATAACTGTAATATAAACTAATAGATATTAAGAAGAAACAGAATGGCTCACTTTTGTAGCTTATATCAAGAGCCTTGGCTATAGCTCCCCTCTATATGAACTTGCTTTGGCACCTTCCTATGTATGGGGTGTGTTTCCTGCATATAAATCACTGTTCAATAGGTGTCAACTCCACATCGTCACGATCTCACCACCTATGTTCACACTAGGTGTCAGTTAGTAGTGCTACCATTCGCTATTTCTTACAAGAACTATCCAATTGCCATGAAGCGAAGCACTGCATACTTTCTTTGCTATACCGCAGCGACCATTGGTCTCTTTGCATGGGCTTTGTATGATTCACTCGATAAGGCCACAGAGTTCTTCACGCTTATTGTGGATATGACTGATGGGTACAAATTAGGTATACTACTCAACCTTTTGTTCCTCATATTCATAGGGGTCGGCTCGCTATCTTTGCTTTTAGTATTCGGGTCACTTAGAATTATCGAAATTGAACATTTGGTAGAAAAGTTGCCAATATTTATAATCAATCTCCTATTCAACTTAACCTCAAACGATAACCTAATTTTCAATTGTATATTGTTGGGTATATCTGTTGTCTTTAAGGTTTTCCATGTGGTATTAACAGACAGATTCGACTTCGTTCTGATGAAGATAGCCAATTTGGCCAATAATGACTCTAGCATCACAACCAAGAAGGTGTTGCGAGACTACTGTGCCAACTTATACTTTTGGTTGCTCCCACTCAATGTAGTTGCAGATTTAAGTATAGCCAAATTTTTGGTGTATGATGTTTTTAAGGGGATCAATTCTGTTACCTGTTTATTGTTTGGCTTCCAATTTGCTGTACAAGGGGTCGAGTTGTTGACGTACTATTGCAAGGTGTTGTTAAATTTGTACGAGCTTTTGTTCTTTAGATCAACAGAGCTGGAAAGTGACACTGAGAACGAGGAAGAGGCAGGAGAGGATACAGAAATTGAGAACGAGGTAGAGCAGGATATGTTTGTCGACGATGATGAAGATTTTGTATGGGAAAGAAAGGCCTACTATGTTAAGGCTGTTGAGATTGCGTCGTCTTCTCTTAAGGCCATTTCATACATTTCATTTATATACCTCTTGACAGTCACATCGAAGCTCTCCTTACCTATATCTATGCTTCAAGGAACATATTCCTCAGTTGTACAGACTTATAAAGAAATAGTACAACTCTTTGTTTTCATTGAATCATCTAAAAAGTTGGATACCTTATTGCCCAATGCCACCAGAGAAGAGTTGGAGAGCTCTGACAACCTATGCATTATCTGTCGTGAAGACATGCATTCAGTTGAAGAATACCTCCAATATAACCAAACCGAAGCTGGTAAGAAGAGACCTATAAGTTCCAGAAAATACCCAAAGAAACTCGCTTGTAGCCATATTATCCACATGGGATGTCTCAAGGATTGGTTAGAAAGATCAGAAAATTGCCCATTGTGTAGGAGGAAGGTATTCATGACTCCAGAAGAATTACAGAGAGAAAAAGTTTTGAGGGAAGAACAAACGAGGATGATGAATGCCAGGCAAGAAGCCCATAATGCACAGCAAGAGCGCACAAGTAATGGCGATAGTGGTGAAAATACGGACTCCTCACAACCTCCAGAGCTGGACTCCTTCGATATAGTTCCTTCTCCAGACCACGATGGCAGGCAAACACTTGTATTACCAAGCAGCGTTCAAATCCCACCGAATTGGACTCCACTACCCATCGAAAGAGATGGGAACGATTATAAAATCAGCTTTTCCAACAAATTAAAAGGTAAACTTACTTTAAAGAGAAGAGCAAGAAACGGAGAGGAAATGGAGCTCTTGAGGGGCTCTCCTCTTGAACGAAACGGTGGCTCCACTAGTAACAACGCAAATGCAAACGAAGCATAATGGTCATTAGCTTCGTAAATCTAAGGTAGGTAATTGGGTATAGGAATATGTATAAATGTATAAAATATGGTAAATAAATAATATGTATTAGCAGTGTTCGCTCTATCTAATCTAAATCGAAATCGAATTCCATACCCTTCTCTTCCACTGCTACCTTTGTTGGCAGTGACTCTAGTAGATCAGGAATATCTTCCTCAAAATCATTAAACTCATCAAAAGGATCCATAGGTATTGAAACATGATGAATTTCTTGGGTGCCAGTGCCTGAACTTGTCCTTATTACCTCGTCTTCCTCTTCGTCCTCATCAGATGATGCGTCTTCGTTCCTGCTTAGATCAATACTATAGTTATCCTTGTTAAAGACCTGCTTTAACTCTTTTTCTATTAATTCCTTAGGGTACTCGAATTTGTATTGTTTACACTTATCCAAATTCTTTTTAATCAAGGCAATGTTGGTAGCAACATCCTCCCCATCAAAGCATTTAGCCAACTGGCAAAGTGCTAAAAGGAAGTAGAATGCCCCGTCTGTGTTGAAAGGAGGCTCCAACAAAAGCTCTTCAAGTCTTTCCAGGACCTTCAGCACTTCTCCCTTAATCAAAAGGTTCCAAAGCGATGTTATTACGTACAAGGGAGCATGAGTTCTGGAACCTGATCTCCAAATAGGAGCAGCGACAAGTCGAGAATTGGACACAGTCGACCTAGTAATTATATAAAAGGACGACAACCAATCAAAGAATCGCTCGTCTTTGAATAACAGCAGCAGCAGCAGCAAATGTTCATCTTGTGCCAGTCCTTGCGCATTCCTTTGTTGTTGCAATATCTCTATTCCCAATGACCAAATTGATCTGATATCTACATGTGGAAGCCTAACCAATAAACAGAACACCTTATAAGCAAGGTCCCAATTTCTGCGAAGCATATTCAAATGGAGCAAGTTCCTGAGGTTCGTTACGTGATATTTACTAAATCCCGGCGTTCCTCTGGGGTAGCAGTCCTCTCCAGAGTTAGTCTGTGGAAGCGTCTCCAAACCTCTGGTGCGTATCAACAAGTTAGCCTTCGTCCAGCTATCACTGCTGTCAAAGGTACTAATAAATTTGTTAAGCTGGGATTCAATATTCTTATGAGACTCGGTTTCAGCTTCTGAGTCGGAGGTTTCTAGGGACTTACTAGCATCATTCCCCTGCTCATCTATAATATCCCCTACGTCTTTGAATGGCATTTGCTTCTCTAAGTTTACGTTTAAATTGTTCTGCGAGTGCCATATTTCAAATGTTTCCTCAGGCTTTAACCTCTTGGTCAATCTCTCACGGATAAGCTTGGTAACTAGCCGCTTGGATCTTTTACTTTTCTTAAGAATGTTCCTCTGCTGTACCGTTAAGCCGAGCTGATCTATCTTTTGCAACTCCACATACTTTTGTAATAAAAGGTTTAGTTTATACTCCTTATTATTGTTCCGTTTGGATTCGTTCTGGCCAACATAGAAGTTTTCAAACATGAGGAAGCAGACCCAGAGCAGAGTAAAGAAGTGGTTAACCAAGAGGTTGCAGTTGGGTAGGACGGACTTCTTAAGGTAATGAGATGCGCTGTATATGCAGGAACACAAAACTCACTCTTCACCACTGCTTGGGCTACACACTGCCATGAGTAGAGTCCTATACGCTACGATAAGTAAATTTACATGGTTCAACTTGGCTACAGTCGAGATAAGTCGATGAAAATTGAAGTCTAGGGGGTTTTTTTCATTTTTTTTTTTCATCTTTATCTTCTTCTTCGTCTTCTTTATTTTACTTATTACATTACTATTTACAAATTAAATAACCTCTTTCTATTTACGGAGTGTCGCTTAGAATCCCATTCCTGGCATACCACCCATACCACCCATTCCTGGAGGTGGAGCAGCAGCAGCACCCTTTGGTTCTGGAGCATCGACAATAGCACATTCGGTGGTGGCCAATAATGAGGCAACACCGCTGGCGTCAACTAATCCGTTCTTAACAACCTTGAATGGATCAATGATACCGGCAGCGATCATATCAGTAAATTCACCTTTAGCTGAATCGTAACCTTGGTTGAATTCACCGTTATCGTAGATCTTACCAACAATAACTGAACCTTCTTCACCGGCGTTTTCGATGATTCTTCTGGCTGGCTTAGTGATAGCAGACTTAATGATTTCGACACCTAACTTTTGGTCAAAGTTGGCTGCGTTGGCCTTAACTTCGTCTAAGATTCTGGATGCCTTGATTAAAGCAGTACCACCACCTGGAAGAATACCTTCTTGGACAGCAGCTCTGGTAGCGTTTAAGGCATCGTCGTAACGATCCTTCTTTTCGCCAACTTCCACTTCTGAAGTACCACCAACTCTAACGACGGCAACACCTCCTGATAACTTGGCTAATCTTTCTTGTAATTTTTCCTTTTCGTATTCAGAAGTTTGCGAATCGTCTACAGAGTTTCTAATTTGTTCACATCTAGCTAAGATGTTGTCCTTGGAACCTTCACCATTCAAGATAACAGTATCTTCCTTGGTGATGGTGATGGAACCACATGATCCCAACAAGTCTACAGTGGCATTTTCTGGCTTCAAGTCCAATTCTTCAGTGAAAACGGTACCACCGGATAAGATGGCAATATCACCCAAGATGTTTTTTCTGTTGTCACCAAAACCTGGGGCCTTAACAGCACATACTTGAACTTGACCTCTCAATTTGTTCAAGATACAAGCAGCCAAGGCTTCACCGTCAATGTCTTCAGCCAAGATCAACAATGGTCTTCTTTGTTGGTTAGATAATTCCAAAGATGGCAAGATGTCTTGAATAGAAGAGATCTTCTTTTCGGAAAGTAAGATCAATGGGTTCTCAAATTCAACCTTACCAGACTTGGTGTCAGTGATAAAGTATGGGGAAATGAAACCTCTGTCGAATCTCATACCTTCAGTGACTTCTAATTCATCTTCCAAGGTCTTACCTTCCTTGACGGTGATAACACCTTCCTTACCAACCTTTTCCATAGCGGAGGCCAAGAGATCACCGATGTGCTGGTCACCGTTAGCAGAGATAGTTGCAACTTGGGCAATTTCTTCACTGGTAGTGATTTCCTTCTTGTTCTTTTGTAAGAATTCTACAACGGCTTCAACAGCAGCTTGGGAACCCCTTCTCAAGTCCATTGGGTTACAACCGGCAGCAACATTCTTGACAGATTCAGTGAAAATGGAACGTCCCAAAATGGTGGCAGAAGTGGTACCGTCACCGGCGGATTCGTTAGTCTTTGATGCAACTTCTTGCAACAACTTGGCACCCATGTCTTCAAACTTATCTTGCAAGGTGATTGACTTGGCAACAGTAACACCATCCTTGGTGATCTTTGGAGATCCGAATTGTTGTTCGATCAAGACATTTCTACCCTTTGGGCCTAAGGTGACGGAAACTGCGTCAGCTAAAGTGTTGACACCCTTGAGCAAAGCTGCTCTACCTTCAACGCCGAACTTCAATTCCTTGTGGGAGTAATTACGGACGAGCTGAAGTGCAGCCTTTCTTGAAACACGATTAGTAGATCTTAACATAGTGATATATAAAACTTCTTAAATAAACTAAGGAGGGAAAAGAGAAAGAAGAAGAGAAAAGAGAAAAACGACAAAGGGAGAATTATAAGTGGAAAATTTGCCAACGTTGTGAAAAATTTCCGAAGATTTCCAGAAACTTCGACCCCATGCAGGAAACTCATAAAGGACCCCACAAGATCAGATGGGGGTACATCGGGGGAGTGGAGAGGAAACAGGACGCCAATGGTGTGGAGAAGAAGAGTTCAGAATTGCACGAACGGAGGTAATGAGCTGATAAGTAGCACAAAAGAGGCCAAATAGTCGTTCTTTTCGTTTTTTCATGGAGTTCAATTGGGGTGAATGTAATTCATTCTGATTCGGTGTATATCGTCCTGCATGAAACCATAGAACCTTCATTCTTTCTCTACTTGATATTGGCAGGAGGAGTACAGCGCCGTCTTTGTATAACATTGGGGAGAATTATTTGCAGCCTCCCTGCAAGTCCTAATCCGTTAGCAATTAGTAGCTACTAGTACTAAGATTTGAGCTTTCAGATGCATTAATTCACTCTCGATATACTTTGGCGCTGTTTTTATCAATCATTCGTATTGGGTGCAAAAAGGGCTACATAAAATTCATTACTCTTTAGTATTAGTTAATTATTATTTTAAAAATGGACAGTTCACTAGTTTGTTCATGCTATTCTTTTGTTGTGTTTCTGTTTCTTTTTCTTATTTCATAGCTTTCATATTGGTATCTATATAATCCTTTAATGTTTGATATACTCTCTCATCTTCAGCTTCTTTATACTATTTACAAATTTCTGATCTCTTTTCCATCCACTACAAGACAAAGGCATACTTGGACTTTGTTCTTAAGTATTTACCCTTGTAGTAGAAAAGGAATGGAACCGGCACTAAAATAAGTGCAACACATCCCAACAAAGTACCAGCGAATCTAATATGCATAGCTTCAAACATTTGGATTGCAAAGAGCGGGAAGATACCTCCAAACAATGATCTCAAGAAGGTATTACCGGCCAATGCAGATGCAGCAAACATTAAGTAGCAATCAATAATATAATTGAGGCACGGTAAGAAAATTGTGATCAATCCACAACCAATGAATGACAAGGAAATCGTTGGAACAATCCAATGAATCTTATCTGGGTAGTTACCAGTCCAACCGAACCAGAATAAACCAATAGCAAAGAGTATTCCTCCAACCATCATTGGGGGTAATCTATCTTCTGGAATTGGCTTACCTCCATTGGCAATCATCTTAACGTTATACTTACTCTCAAAGTAGACACAAATAGCAGCACCAATTAAAATACCAATCAACATAGAAATATATGGTAATTGCGCTACACCAACTACCCAACCATATTGCCCTTGGAAGACCAATGGGACTGCGGTAAGCATAAGATAAAGCAAACCATAAATAAAGGCATTGTACAAAGTGATGAAGAATAAAATAGGTTCAGTGAACAACATAATAAGTGGTCTTGAAATATTTTTTTGAACAATTTCTTTAATGGTCAAGCGAAATTCTTCATGAGGAGCATGAATTCCCCAATTTCCAGTCCTTCTTCTCAAGGTTTCGGCCTTCTTGACCAAAATTAAGGGATGATGTGTTTCCTGGTATAAAGGAACACTAGAAAGTAAACCAACGACTCCTACAATCCCTGTAAAGTATTCACACCATCTCCATCCAAGGTGGGGATTCTTTACAATGAATCCTCCGAAAATTGGTCCTAACATTGGGCCACCGAATAACACCAGCGCGAAAAGAGCCATGGCTTGACCTCTTGATCCAGCATTGAATAAATCAGCTAATGCAGCAGGAGCGGCCACCATTGGGGCTGCTCCGAAGAACCCAGTAAAGAATCTACAAATCAAAATTGTTTGTATATCTTTTGCTGTGGCACATGCAAATGAAAAACATGTAAAAACAAAACAAGCTGGAATCATAACGGTAAATCTTCCGTATAACTCAGATAATGGACCCCAAATAACTGGACCAGATGCAAACCCAAAAACATAAAATGATGTACCCAAAGTAGCCACTTCTCTTCCGACATGGTATATCCTCTCAAGATCTGCGGAGGCTTCAGCGAAAATAGCAGAACCAACAGTGGATCCAAGTGCAATAATTCCCACACAGAAACAGATCAACACTTTAGTCTTAAGTGGCCAATTGTGAGGATGGTCTGGATCATTTGGTCCATCAAAAGTTACGGAGTAGATCTCTCTATCTCCGATTGGTGGTGGGTAATCTCTTCCACCACCCATTACCGGCATTGGCTCATCTGTATTATTAGCTTCTTCTATTAACTTGTCAGCACCGGTCATTCTTCTAGACAATTCTCTAGAAGCTGCAGCGTTCAGCTCATACCTATCTAAGTCACCGTCATCACCTGCTGCATTCCTGTTTTTGGAGCTCTGTTCCAAATCTTGACCTACAAAGGCTTCTGGTTTATAATCCTCACCTTCTGCATAGTCGGACTTGTTAGGATTTTGTGTGGACGACGATTCCGACTCAAATCCACTCCCGGCCATTTTGATAAATTCGATGCTATACGACCAATAAAAAAATTTAAACTAGGCAATCTGTCCTTTATTTAATGAACTAAGACGTATTCGAAAATTTCCTCAGCTACAATAATAAATCTAGTGCGTTGTTGCCAGGAAAAAACAAAGCTTATTCGAAAAACTGTTTGCACAAGACTGCATTTGGTGGAAATTCCTTTCCCTTTATACCTTCAGGTCATTATGTCGATGCTTTTTTCTCTTAGAGCCGAGCCCAAAGGAATTTTAAGTACTTGTTTTGCTTTTTTTTTTTTTTTTTTTTATTTCCTGCCCGACGACGGAATTAATGCCTGGTGGGTGGTATTTTATTAGGCAAACATGGACATATTATGTGAGGCTGTGAACCTTCAAACCTTTTAGGAATAAAACCGAAGCAATAGTTGAGACCATTAGTAATATACCTAATTTTTGCTTATCAATTATGAATTACACAGACGGGGTACCTCCCTTGACAGCTTAAATGTGTAAGCTTCTATCACCATCCATGTGCAACATGCGTTAGATGGCAAAATCTAAAGATGTATTGGGGTCTATGTCGTCCCAGTAATCCTATAAGAAAAATCTGAGTAGCGAGTTTCCGGCATATAGTTCTAATTTGGAATGGCTGTTGCTTATCTAAGAGCGAAGCTTATGAGCCCTTTGGCATCAGTGCAGATCCTCAGAAGCCATGAAGCCCTATCTTTCCCCTATAAAGAAGTTCTGACAGAGTATTCTTTCTGCATTCAATTCAAATTGAGTGACACATTTCGTTGTCGTTGTACACACAACCACCTTCTGGATTGGATTAATTGCTGCAAAATGCAGCAATTAGGTTTCATCAACTACAGTAATGAGCACTATGAGTAATTAATTTATTAAAAATACACTGGTAGTTAGTGAAGTGTGTCAGTGCTGTCTGTAGTTCCTCTATATTCTCTGTCGCTTCTTTCTATTTTTTGTTACTATTGTTATGCTATTGTAGCTGCTTTCACTTTTTATTTTATTTTTCTTTTTCGTTTTTTTTTTTTTTTTTTCATTTTTTGATTTTTCAATTAGTATGGTGTTTCAATGTGCTTAACCAAGTGAGTGGCAGTTCCTTACTTCTTCTTTCCTCCTTTCATTAAAACAATCTCTCATCTTTTTGGTCTTGAACTTTGATCTACTGAATATCGCTGATAGTGTACTTTGATCTTTTTCTTAAACTTGAACCTTTGTAGTAGAAAAGGAATGGAACCGGCACTAAAATAAGTGCAACACAACCTAACAAAGTACCAGCATATCTAATATGCATAGCTTCAAACATTTGAACCGAAAAAAGTGGGAAAATACCCCCAAACAATGATCTTAAGAAGGTATTACCAGATAATGCAGATGCAGCAAACATCAAGTAACAATCGACAATATAATTAATGCATGGCAAGAAAATTGCTAACAATCCACATCCAATGAATGCTAAGGAAATCGTTGGAACGATCCAGTGAATCTTATCTGGGTAGTTACCAGTCCAACCGAACCAGAACAAACCAATAGCAAAGAGAACACCTCCAATCATCATTGGAGGTAATCTATCTTCTGGACATGCTTTCCCATTAGCAATCATATTGGCATTGAATTTTCCTTCGAAGTAGATACAAATTACAACCCCAATTAAAATACCAATCAACATGGAAAGATATGGCAATTGGGCTTCACCAACTTTCCAACCGTATTGCCCCTCAAACACCATTGGAATGGCTGTAAGCATAAGATAAAGCAACCCGTAGATAAAGGCATTATACAAAGTGATGAAGAAAAGAATGGGCTCAGTGAACAACATGACCATAGGTCTTGCAATGTTCTTTGTAACAATTTCGTTAATTGATAAAACGAATTCTTCGTGAGGAGCATGAATAGCCCAATTTCCAGTTCTTCTTCTTAAGTTCTCAGCCTTACTGACTAAGATCAAAGGGTGATGAGTCTCCTTGTGAAGGGGAATACTAAAAAGCAATGCAAGAATACCGACTAAACCTGTGAAATATTCACACCATCTCCAACCCAAGAGACTATTCTTCACAGTGAAACCACCGAAAATGGGCCCTAACATTGGCCCACCAAATAAAACCAGCGCAAAAACTGCCAATGCTTTACCTCTTGATCCAGCACTGAATAAATCAGCTAATGAAGCAGGAGCGACAACCATTGGAGCTGCCCCGAAGAACCCCGAAAAGAATCTACAAAGCAAAATTGTTTGGATATCTTTACCTGTAGCACATGCAAATGAAAAACATGCAAAAATGAAACAAGCTGGAATCATAACGGTGAATCTTCCGTATAATTCGGACAATGGACCCCAAACAACTGGACCAGATGCAAATCCAAAAACATACAACGATGTACCCAATGTAGCCACTTCTCTTCCGACGTGGAATACCTTTTTAACATCCGCTCCTGCTTCAGCGAAAATAGCAGAACCGACGGAGGCACTAAGTGCTAAAATAGCCACGCACCAACAAAGTATCAATTTAGTTTTAAGTGGCCAGTTATGAGGATGTTCTGGATCTTTTGGTCCATCAAAAGTCACCGAGTAAATCTCTCTATCTCCAATTGGAGGTGGATAGTCTCTACCACCGCCCATCACTGGCATTGGCTCATTGGTATTATTCGCCTTTTCTAATAATTTTTCTCCCCCAGTTAATTTTCTAGATATTTCTCTAGAAGCTACAGCGTTCAGCATATGTCTTGATAAATCTGCAGCATTTTCGCCTGCATCATTTTGTTTTGCATCCAATTCTAAGTCATTACCTTCGAATGGTTCCGGGATATATTCGTCAACATCTGCTGACTCCGATTTATTGTGGCGGTTTTGAGTAGACGAAGAGTCCGATTCGAAAGCACTGCCACTAGCCATATCTATGGTATGTATTTGTTAGAATATACGAGAAGGTGTCAAATTACTGAGCCTACAATAAAAACCCTAAAAAATATTATTTGACTACGGAGTTTTTGAGGTTGAAAGGAATCAAGAAGGAGAACACGAATATGGCAAAAGAAAATCCTTCGACCATTCCTCTATTTATATATATATGTACTAGTCCTATATATATAAACATTGGAATAGGACCATAGACTTCTAGGTTAACCGCTGAGTGGAGGTAATTGCGGCCACTTGTATGCTTTCATCTTTTTATTGTATTATTTTTTGCCTGTCATAAGCTTAATTTAATCTTTCATGCATACTTTGAGGCTCTTCGGAATTAATTATGCGGCTGAGAGTCGTTCAACAATTTAGGAATAAAACCGAAGTTTTTTGCTCTTCCTCCATCGGCTTATTAGGCTTTATTTTTCTTTTCTTCGGAGACGGAGAAACCTAAAGCTAAAGGGCTGTAAGCTTAAGAGTAAGCATCAACTATTGAGCTTAGCAATAATTAATTTGTGACAAGGTTTAAATACAAGTAGCAGGATCACTTAATTTATTTGTAGCCGGATACTTGCGTGCATATGTAAAGAGGAGTTCGGTACTATTGTTCAAATCTCAAGTTTGAATAGAACGATCCTTCAATTGAAATTACCGATTAGAAGCAAGTACTCCAATATCCATAATATAATCGTCAAGAAAATTATTCTGACCACTTGTTAGTACCGCCATTGACACACAGGTTCTTGCAAGATTTATCCTTATTACACCAATTCACAATGTACTACAAATAGTGTGTACGAATAATTGTAGGGCATAAATTTAAGAGCCGATGCGCCGAAAAAGGAAATAAAAGTAGAATCTGTTGGGACTATTAAAAATGTATCTTTGTTAGGCAAACAAACAAACAGTGGTTTGAATCTTCGATTTTAAGCGTTAGAACATTAGGTTACTGATCGATCTATGTAGGATTTACGTTATGTCTAGGTCAGCATATGCATGCTGCAATGTAAAGGAAAATTAAATAGGCAACTTCGGCAAAAGATAGTGTCCTACATCGGTCTAAAGTTTATTTTAGAACTTTTCACAAGGTACTACTGTACCACATAATTTCAACTGCAAAATGAAAAAGGAAGCTAGTTGACTGCTATATGGTCTGCAAACAATGCTAAGAATACAATGGTCAGCGAAAGAACTGAAAAGACAAGAAAAAAAAGAAAAGAGAAGAAGCTAAACATGATTATAGATAAGACAATCAAGTTCATGTGCCTTTCGTAAGAGCAATGATTGTGTTAGTGAATGTATCTGATGTGGGCTCAGATAAATAGACTACTTTTCCATCTCTAACGGCTTAAACACTGTATATATGTAGGCAGGTAGAACAGCTCTTGGCCTCTTTTCGTTCGACTACTTATTAAAGTAACCATTCAAAGAAGTACATCCTGAAATTTTCACACACCACGAAGTAACGGTGAACTATAAATAATATGTATGAATAGTTGTAGGGCACATTTTTAACCGCTAGTGCGCCATAAAAGAGGGAGTATTAGTTGGATCTGTTGGGATTATTAAATTTGTATCTTTGTTCAAGAAAAGTAAACAAATAGTTGCTTGAAGTATATAGTTTTAAGCGTCAACACATCATGTTACTGATCGATCTATGGTGTATTTACGTAATGTCTAGATCAGCATTGCATTCCGTGATGCAAAGGAAAGGAAATAGGCAACTTCGGCAAAAGATAGTGTCCTGCATCGGTCTGAAGTCTAAGTCTATTCTGGAACTTTTACTCCAAGTGTTGCTCAACGCATTTTAAATGAGAAACAAGAAAGGAAGCTAGTCGAACCCCATATGAGCTGCAAACATTGCTAATAATACAATGGTCAGCGAAAAGAACTGAAAAAAACAAGCGTAAAAGAGAAAAGAATAAACTAAACGTGGTGATAACTAAATCAATTGACTTTACAAACCTTCCTGTGAACAATAAGGGTGTGAGTGTAAGAGCGTGTGAGTCTGTGTGTGTGCGTCTGTGTGTGATATGGGCTCGGAAAAAACAACCACCTTTTCCACCGCTATAGCCTCTACTGCTGCATGTCAGCAGCTATAAAACAGTTTTTGGCCTCTTTTTGTCAAATTCCGAGAAATGAGTATACACCACGAACCATGTGGAAAAGAAGCCCTTGGTATCTAGGTGTTAAACCATTTCGTGCTTGTAATCTTTAAGCTTCACTTCTCGTGTTCTCCTCGCCCTCTTAGCCTTTCTCGCTTGCGTGCAGGCAAGTCGCATCAGTAACCTTTACTTTTTTTTGATCGTTAATTTTTGCGGCTGTATCGATTCATGGTGATGATTGACCCCATACGTTAAAGATGGAATCAAATGATGGGTTTGTACCCATTTTGGCTATTTTTTATGCGGTATTCCATCCAACAGAGGGTACCAAAATAGTTCATCAAGTACCCGAGGGCTCAATTTCTTCCAACAGTTCATCATCTACTTTCAGCACTAATCCGTTATTCAATTTTGATACGGTGAAGAATTATGTGATTCCTAAACCACAATTATGTGATCGACTTATAACGTTCAAAATCGATAGATATCGAGTATTAGGTTATCCGGTTAATATTCAAAATTCAGACTATTCTAGAAACTCCTTCAATTTCAATTTTTGCTTCGTATTCCCCTACGATTGTGATACTACTCCATATGAGTTATGCATAAGAAGAACCGGGAAGATGTTCAGAGTGCTAGAGGAGCAAAGCTTCATGTTGTCTAAATTGGACAAAAAATTGGTATATTTCAAAGAAATGCGATTACCACTGAGTGTGCAGGAGGGAACTAAGGACTATAGCCAACAAGCAGCTGGAACTGCTACATCTGGTGAAGGTAGTGGTAACGGGGAGTCCCTGGGTGTAGGAAGCGGAGTGATTGATGACATAAGAGGTATGAATGGAATTGAAGAATTAGGAATTGCCTCTATGCTTGATACCGAGCTAGATCTAAATTTCATAAATACTCCTGGTCATACGAAGACGAAGAAGATTTCTCTTTCATCGATCGAATCGTTGATCCAGCAGATATTCCAAGATTTAAACAATTATTCTGAATGCTGTATCCCATTGGACAGTGCCAACAGTGTAGATATCAAATTATTCCCCATATTACCACCACCTATTAATATTAAGGCTTTCCAAGTGCCATTAGCAACAGTAAACTTGGAACAGTTGGTTGATGTTAACTGGGACCCCACCATGCTCAAGATTTTACCATTCATAAATGGACTCAACTCAATAAGGAAAATAAGTCAATTGGCAGATTCAGATTATATGTTGACAAAGCAATGTATTCAGCATTTGATGCACTACAAGTGTATTGAAATCATAGATATTTTCCAATTTAGTAATATTTATGCTCCTACAAATCATATTGGTAATTTTTTGAGATTGAAAAGATTGGCAGCTGAATGCCAGGCATACGTTATTACCGATTCAGACCAATTAAGTAGATTGCCGTTGGATTTTCAACTCAATAGCGGAACCAGCACAGCAGGAGGCGGAGGAACTACTAGTAACAGTGTAAAGGGAAACACACCATCAGGAAATTCGCCTTCATCTTCCAAAATGGGTTTGTCGGTTTCACCATTGACAAGAAGCTCATACTTTCAACCCTCCAACAGTGCAGGAAAAAGGACCTTAGGTGGAGAACCTGGAACTCCGAAAACACCCCAAAAGTCAATTACTGTGCCTAGCAAGGCCAATCTTTTTTACCTATACCGTTCTTTGAACCAGGGCCAGACCATCAAGGAATGGTATACACAGCACCGTAAACTTTTAAACAACATTGATATTAGAAGATTCATCAATTTTGGTGTGCTACATGGACTTATATATAGGGTGCACTCGTACCCCATTTTGAACAAGTCCATAGAGTCGTCTTCAGATGAGTTGAATGAGCTAATGAAAAATTTGAGGACCGACAGAGTTGCTTCAGTCCTGTCTTACGCCACCTCTGACGGAGGCTCTAATATTACAGGTAAATATGTGAAAAATTCAGTGAACGAGGCCAATTTGAAGACGGGGAAATCCAGTAGAAAGGTCAGCTTCAATTATAACGTTGAGAAATCCAATAGAAACTTGCTAAAGGATATAATAGAGAGTGATAACAGTGACGATGATAACGAGAATGCATTTTCTGAGCTGGATGATGAAGATTTATCCACCATTAATGGACAGCCCATTGGAAGTTCGGTGAATGAGATGGAACAATCTGACTTACATAGAGAATATCTTATCTTATTGAAGCTACTTAGGGGTTATCAGCACCTTGATTCCATATGTACCGAGTTGCAAAAACCAAGAAGTGAAGTTCAAGTTATGCTAGAGAATTTGGGATCTTTCAGTATAATCAACAGTTAGAGTTTAGTATGAAGAATACACAAGTAAGACCAGACTAGCCTAGAGTAAAGTATATCCTTCGACGAAAGTAAGACAACAAAGTAAAAAAGAAAAAAAATAAGTGTAACTCCCAGATACTGCGCCAGAGAATCAAAAACTCAGTTCAAAACTTAGTCGCTTGAAGAAAAGAGAGCTGATTGCAAATTGAACTGTCCCAGAAGCCAGCTCTTTAAAGGTAGCTTATAGTTCTCATCAGTGTGCACATAAGCATTCTTTATTTACTTTTTTGGGCTCTCTTGATATTATTTTCCCTGCATATACACATTTTATTGCAGTTCCTGGCCTACTTCGCGACGTTTATTTGTTTTGATTTGTTTTGATTTTTTCTTTTTGTTGTTTACTTTAGACAACTGAGAAAAAGCTACAGAAAGTTTGTTTAATTACGCTGTTCTAAAAAATTTCTTAGGTCATTATTCTAGATATACTAGGCTTTTTTTGGAATTATTATAATCAAAAATTAACAAATTTTTTTTCTCTCTTTTCACAGTATCATAGTCAATAATGTCAGGAAAGGGAAAAGTTCACGGAGGAAAAGGTAAATCCTCGGAATCTTCTAAGTCATCCACCTCACACTCAGCAAGAGCCGGGTTACAATTCCCAGTTGGTAGAATTAAGAGATATTTGAAGAGAACCGCACAAAACAAGATTAGAGTGGGCTCCAAGTCTGCTATTTACTTGACTGCAGTATTAGAATATTTGACTGCAGAAGTATTAGAATTGGCTGGTAATGCAGCTAAGGATTTAAAGGTTAAGAGAATCACCCCAAGACATTTACAATTGGCCATTAGAGGGGATGAAGAATTAGATAACTTAATTAAGGCTACCATTGCGTACGGTGGTGTTTTACCACATATCAATAAGGCTCTTTTGTTAAAGGTTGAGAAGAAGAAGCAAAAATAAAGAGCAAGGCTTGTTTAGTGTACTATATGTTTTTTTTAATATAAGAAGTAAGATAAAGATAAGAAAGAGCGTAGCATTTTGAAGAACTAGGTGTATGTAGGCATAGGCGAGAAAAAAATGCCATAAGGGCAGGGCCAGGGCCAGGGTCATGAGCTACGAGGATGGCATAGCTTATTGCCACTGGCATAGAGGTAAAGGTAAGGTAAAGGTAAGGTAAGGTTCTACTGTATTCTTTGAATTTTGTTCTATCCGTCATTATTAACATACATATGTTAAGTTTATTCTATTTTAAATGGTAATACTCAAATATCGACCTTTTTCTCCTTCTCAATTGAAGTATTATTATTCTATGTACAGGTTGTTATGCAGATTCTAGCTGAGAAGGAGGCACTTTCTCCTGTTTCTTAGCCAGATTAGTCTCAGGTGCACTATTCACGGGTGGGTTTTCGAATTTTATAATCTTTGGGTTCATTCCAACGGGTGGCTTATAGTCGTCTACTTTCAAGTTATATTCTTTCATTTTCAATTTGATATACTCAATTTCGTCTTGTAACGTGGAAATGTCGTCCGCCAAGGCATCTTTCTCATTAGCCGCCTTCTTCCTTGAACGATAACTTTCGTAGAATATTAAGCCCCCTGCTACACTAAAGATGAAAAATTCCGACAAAAATGTCGCTCCTTGGTCTATTGCTTTATTATCATTAAGAGGTCTGATTTTAATTTTTTCTTCACCCAATAATTTCATTCTCAATCTAAGATCGGTCAGATGAATGGTTTGAGCTATTCGAATACACCCGTTTCGGAACGTTTCATGTTCCTTGGCTTGGCCCTTGATAGCAGTGGCTATCGGCTTGGCAACAGTCCTTACGAGAAGGGACGTTAATTTGAGAGCAATTCCACTCATGGGTGGACTTTGGAGATACGCTGAAGAGAGTCAAGATTGTAGAGGCAAATTTGGTTTTCGCAAAATCTGTGTGAGTGGCCACTACAAAAAAAAAGAAATGAAGACTTGCAAGGACTAGCTTGAAGGAGGTCCCTAAAAAGAGAAGTTACATGCAGGACACAAAGACATATATCGAAATTTGCTTAAGCAGCGGTACATAATACAGATCCAATTATTTTGGATGTATTTCATATTTATATTGATTTAAATATTCGAATCCCCTTATCTCCACTGGAATAAAATCCTTTTGGCCTATCTTTGGGCAGAGGCGAAAAATTACCGACTTGCTTCTACGAAACCGAAAATGAGATCATCAGTAGATAGTGTGTGTTTAAGTCCGAAATATACCATCTGGAAAACCACCCATCCATCCATCCATCCACCCACACCACTACCACAGCAGAGCACCACTCCACTTTTCCGAGACCTTTTTTATTTTTTATATAATAGAGAGCCTCTGTAATCTTGGCTTTCTCAGAATTTATGAAAACTGGACACTTGTGTGAACCACAATTGAGCCGAGAAACGAATCGTGTTAAGGCTAGGACAATTTGGCTCCTTGGAGTGCGAGCAGCTCATGAAGGGAAGGTAGTTCTTCGTCGTTTTAAAGGACTATCGCACGAAATATTTTAAGTTTTGCAGGGCATTTTCGTTCGTATGTAGCTGTAAAGTATTTCTCATAGACTAACCTTTTAGAAAAGTTTCCGGTTCTTCCCACGGAATCTCAAGATTATGAGTCTGGTATAGTGTTTCGGAACGGAGTTCACCTTAAAAGAATTGAAGAAACAACCTTGAAAAAAAAAAAAAAAATAAAAAAAAAGAAAAAGAGACAAACCTTAAATTATCATGGTCTTCCAAGGACAATAGAAATAGTCCAATTTCTGTTGGCAAGTAGAAATATAACCATATGCACATCACTGTCGATTGAATAGATTTACCGACTCAAAGATCTGCACCATCTTCGAAGCATGCTCGTGAATATTCGTGATATATTTTGTGCCAGCAACAGGCAAGCCGTTTGCACAATTTCTCATTTTTTTTCAGCGCATATCTTTTTTCTGGGGTTACCCCAGATTTCGTGGGGTTGAAACAGTTCTCCGAGAAATCGTAGCTAGGCTTTTTTTTCCTCATACCAATCGACGCCCAGAAATAGTCATTCAACTCCTGAATGAGTTCCAAATGCCTCACTAACAACAAATTCATGGAAAAGAGTGATAATCACCGTGAATGCAATTGCATACAGCAGAGGGTACAAAACAATTACAGCAAAGCGAAAATCTCTACAAGTCAAATAAGACCCACACACATTCTCTCCATCTCTTCTTCATCTAAGGAGATTACATCCTATCCAACTCGATGTGTAACCCGCATACTCGTATACTTCTACATCGTAATGATCTACGCCGCTTTTCATTTTGAGCCAATGGATGCACCCTATTTATCACAGCAATGAATTTGCTGCGCTAGCCCCACACTCAACAGTCATGTAATTATTTATTTTTTACTCTTTTTTTTTTTTGTCCTTCCATTTTTTCGTTCTCCTTATGTGCTCAACATTTACACAGCTCCGAAATTTTTATTATTGTTACAATTCCGGAGCTTCTCGTGTGGAGATTTGAAGATTAGGATATTTTAAATTTGGTTACCTAAACTCCGTAGCTACCTATAGTGTATAAATAGGGGATATCCTCCTCACATCCTGATGATTTGGCTCTACTTCTCTTTTCTGCTCTCTGATATATACATTCGAATAAATATAGCGTACTAATTATCTCAATAAAAAGTCCAGGTGACCTCGATTTTGTTTTATTTAGCACTGAACCGTTCGAATATTTTTTGAGTCAAACAAAAATTAGCACACACGTATTTGCTTTTGTATAACCTTGAGTAAACACTAGTAGAAAGCTCAATTTTTCTTCTATTTATTATAAAAACATGCCCGCTGAACATCTCACTCTTGATCACGAAGGGAAACACGCCCCTCCAAAGGGATTTGCTGAAAGATCACTTTCCAAGCCAAATCTCCCAGACTTTGCGACTTACGAGAAGTTGTATAAAGAATCTATCGAGAACCCATCTAAATTTTTTGGTGAACAGGCACTTGATACCTTGTCTTGGTCAAGAAAGTTCGACCAGACAAGATATCCAGAATCTCCAAAGGATGATTTCAAGAATGGTGATATCCCTGCTTGGTTCGTGGGAGGTGAATTGAACGCTTCTTATAATGCCATTGACCGTTGGGCAATCAAAAACCCAGACAAACCAGCAATTATTTACGAAGCTGATGAAGTTTCTGAGGGAAGGATTATTACATATGGAGAATTACTTAAAGAAGTCTCTAAATTGGCCCAAGCTTTGACTAAATTGGGTGTTAAGAAAGGTGACTCCGTGGCTGTTTACTTACCAATGATTCCTGAGGCACTTGTGACTTTGTTGGCAATCGTCAGAATTGGTGCCGTCCATTCTGTTGTCTTTGCTGGTTTTTCATCGACTTCTTTGAAGGATCGTATCTTGGATGCAGACTCTAGAATTGTCATTACTGCTGATGAATCCAAGAGAGGTGGTAAGACTATTGAAACCAAGAAAATCGTGGATGACGCTTTGAAGGACTGCCCTAACGTTCGTAACGTTATAGTTTTTGAAAGAACAGGAAACCTGCACGTTCCATTCCAAAAGGGTAGAGATTTGTGGTGGCACGAAGAAGTGGCTAAATATGGTCCATACTTCCCACCAGTTCCTGTTAACTCTGAAGATCCATTGTTTTTGTTGTACACGTCTGGTTCCACAGGAAAGCCAAAGGGGGTTCAACATAATACTGCTGGTTACTTGTTGGGAGCTCTTTTGACTACTAAATATACATTTGATGTCCATGAAGAAGATATCATTTTTACTGCTGGAGACATTGGGTGGATTACTGGTCATACTTATGTTGTTTATGGTCCATTGCTTAATGGTGCCACTACCGTTGTCTTTGAAGGTACCCCAGCCTACCCTAACTATTCAAGATATTGGGAAATTGTTGACAAGTACAAGGTAAACCAATTTTACGTAGCTCCAACTGCTTTAAGATTATTAAAGAGAGCTGGAACTAAGCACATTGAACCTTATGATTTATCAAGCTTGAGAGTCTTAGGTTCTGTTGGTGAACCAATTGCTGCAGAAGTCTGGCATTGGTATAACGATAACATTGGTAGGGGAAAGGCTCATATTGTGGATACTTATTGGCAAACTGAATCTGGTTCCCACTTACTTACTCCATTAGCTGGTATCACATCTACCAAGCCAGGAAGTGCTTCCTTGCCATTTTTTGGTATCGATGCAAAGATCTTAGATCCTGTCACAGGGGAAGAATTGACCGATGCTAATGTTGAAGGTGTTTTGGCTATCAAGAACGCATGGCCTTCAATCACAAGAGGTATTTTCAATGATTATGCTAGATACATTGAAACTTACTTGAAGCCATACCCAAACTATTACTTCTCAGGTGACGGAGCTGCAAGGGATGCCGATGGGTTCTTCTGGATATTGGGTAGGGTTGATGATGTTGTCAATGTTTCTGGGCATAGATTGTCTACTGCAGAAATTGAAGCTGCATTAATCGAACATGAATTAGTCGGTGAGCTGGCAGTGGTTGGATACAGTGATGATTTGACTGGTCAAGCAGTAGCTGCGTATGTTTCATTGAAGTCTACTCCAACTGGGGCAAGTAGCGAAGATTTAGATGCAATTAAAAAGGAGTTGATTTTGACTGTTAGAAAGGAAATTGGTCCCTTTGCTGCTCCTAAGTTAATCTTGTTAGTGGACGACTTGCCAAAGACAAGATCTGGAAAGATTATGAGAAGAATTTTGAGAAAGATCTTGGCTGGAGAAGAAGACCAATTAGGTGACATATCAACTTTGTCAAACCCAGCAATTGTTGCTCATATTATTGAGGTTGTGAAAAGTTCTTCCAAGAAGAAGTAAAGTTAGTGATTTTGTATATTTATAAGAATTAATTAGCAAAAAAAGAAAAGAAACAAATAAATGACGAATTAAAGAAATAAAATAATGTAAGAGAGTAATGTATGTTCCGTTTTATGGACTACTACATCAATGAATGCTGAAGAATTCTGTTTATTTCAATATGCATGATATATTTTGTATGACCTTTACTCTTGATAATTGTTTATCACCTCTATCAAAGAGGGTGCAGTTGGCTTGGTAGCAACAACACAGGGAACAACTCCATTTTCTTCCAAATATAACTGAGTAGTAGGGCCTATGGATGCTACTTTAAAATTCAATTTGTTTTCGGAATTCACCAAGTACTCTACAAAAGTCTCTGTTCCTTGTGGGCTGAAAAATATCAACCAGTTATCGCCGGTTGGGTGCAAATTGGAACAGCATTCTTCGAAATTGTTCACGATGTCATCCCTAGATTCGGTCCTATACAAAACTCTTTCTTTTAAATCGAATCCAGCCTTTTTTATCTTCTTGGGAATGATATCCTTTCTGATCTCGCCTGTAAAAAACAATAGTTTCTTCTCTCTTGTCGGAGGTGATAGATCATCTATGATTATGTCAGATAGTATGGAACCATTGCCTGCATGTAAACCACCTCTTATATCAAGAAAGCCAGACTTTGCAAGAATGTCAGCAGTAGCTGGACCCACCGTGTACCCAGGTTTATTAAATAATTTTTGTCTTATCTCTTCATCTGTTATCATGGATATACACTCATTGAAACATTCCACCGCTCTTTGACTAGTTATTATAAATGCGTAAGTGTCTTCAACGAAACTAGAAGAAATGAGATGCTGTACAATTTCGCTCTTATCCAAGTGAGAATGGTTTAGCAAGGGAATGAAGTGAGATTTGTGCTCATGACTTGAAATTATTTCTTCGTAAGGGTCGCTAGGTGTTGTTTTATTCTTTAATAGAATAAAGCTCTTAGGCATGCCTGAAATATTTTCTTCTACAGCTGAAAATAAAAAGCTCAGAAGCTCTCACAATTTTTTTCAATGCTTATATTCCTGAAAAATGATTGGGATGCATAAAGGCTGGTATACAGGACAAAAGTTATGCCAATGGGAACTCCAACAGAGTGAGTTCAGCATTTGTTGGAAAGACATACTGTGAAAGACTACAATGCTACAAATTGATTATAACAAGATGAACAAATATATATTAATAAAAAAAATAAAACTCTTAGAATAAAAATATCTCTAGCCATTCACCTTCTCCATTTTATTATCACCATATGTGTCCTATTATTAGGTCAACAATTCTCTTATGCCATTTCTTTCGTGCTGAAACACTCTAATTACTCTTTCGTTTCCAACCATTAAATTTCCAATGATGGATCTGAAGTAAACTTTCCAATCTTCAATGAAATCGAACTTGTACCCCATTACTGATATTGACACGAACAATGCACCAATGACAATCAAAGCTGGAAACCAGAAAAATAACAACATTTTATCATTCTTCACGGTTTTTCTACCATTGTGCAATTTATAAGATATCATTAGATCATCAGAGGAATCTGAAGTTATTCCACTGTCTTCCTCATGTTGTACATCAGTTTGCACATCCTTAGAATTATTAGTAGTGGATCCAGATGTTCCTTCCCTCTGAACTTCGAGAATCTTAGAAGACGAAGTCTCAATAATAGTGCTTTGAGTATCTCTGAATGGAAATAAGTCATCATAAGATGGAAGTTCAATGTCTTCATCGTTGTTGAAGACATTTTTCACCTTCTGCCACAAACTACCATTGCCAGTTGCAGTAATAGTAGTATTACTACTGCTGCTACTTCCTCTTGTTTCATTAAGGCTTGAATTTCTCAACGTTTCAACATCACCATAATCGTCATAATCTTCATCGTTGGATTCGAATTCGCTATCCGCAAATTCGCTGGAATCATTACTATCGTCATAAACATCCAGACACTTTTCATCTGTTGGCTTAAATTCTCTTCTGACAATATGCCTGTCACCACTTTCTAATTTCTTGAAGGTGGAGATCTCGCTTGATTCTCTTCCCACCATCTTGGAAATATGGCGACCGTAACTCATGGTAAACAACGAATTCAAAGAATCCATACTTATTGATTTACTTAAAACACCACTAGAAGGATTGGAATTTGTGATACCTTTACTAAAATCAGCCTCGTTATCACTCAAGTTATTGAAAATATCTAAAACATTAGGATCACAGTAATCAATCAAGTGCTTTTCATTAGCCAATTTCAAGTTATAATTAGATTTACACTCAACAAATAAGCTTATCAACTCTCTGTGTCCACACATAGATGCAAAGAACAAAGGAGTCAAACCTTGGTTATCCTTTACATCAATCTTGCAGCCGTGGGTGATGAGGAACTTAATCAAATTTGAGTAATTCTTCAAGGTTGCCAAATGTAACAAAGTTTGGCCCTGATTGGTACATAATTGCCAGTTCAATAAAATTATTGGGCAGTTGGGTAAATCAACCAACGAAAGGAAATTAATTAAAATATCCTCAGTCGAAAGATCTGACTTAGTCAAGATTTCAACCGCTTTATGAGCATTATCAAACCATTCATATCCCGAGCTTTCCTGATCCAATGCTGCATTCGTTGCGCCAGCAACTGAACCAGAACTTTCATTTGATCCACCTCCATTCCTTTCATCAGTTCCAACAATTCTCTTTGCAATATTTTTAGCGTCTTCCAATTTTCCATTCATCTTTAAACCAACGATCTGTAAAGCCAATTCAATTAATTGTCTATCAGTGTCATCAGTGTATGTGAAAACTTGTTGTTGTTGCACAGAACCTAGCATCAAACTTTCATTTTCAAAACTAACCAAGACTTGCCCTGGTTGAGAAGCAGGTGGTAAATACGTTACAATAGTAGTCTCTGACCAACAATGAGTAGCCAAAGCTTGATTTGATCCAAATTTAACCATCAAGCCAGGACGGAAATTAAATCCTAAAAGAGTTACTTCAATTCCTCCTCTAATAGGACCTTGAGCAGGTATTATTCTCTGAATGGAGGGTACTGGTGGTCCCCCATTGGACTGTTGCAGTTGTTGCAGCTGTTGGTGAGTACTTTGACTCATTAACAGATTTAATGGGTTTAAAAGATTTGCTGACGAAGATGGTTTCATGAAGTAATTATGTGTCGATGTGTTGGTGTTGGTGTCACTGTTGCTTATTGGGGAAAAGTTATTTGAAGATCCATTGAACATTGGATTCGAAGAAGTGTTGAAGGAATCATCCACCGATAGCTTCTTTCTTTTCAATCCTCTATCCGTATCAGTATTGGTAGGTTCAGAGTTGGACTCGCCATCGATTGAGTTAGGCGATAATGGGTGGAGGGATTCCAAGCCAGAATCCGGTATCACGGGATGGGTTGACAAGTTTGAGGAAGAGTTAGCTCCACCTTCTGCACCAGATGCACTGGCAGCCGTCGAACCAAGACCAGCCAAATTCGTGGAAGAATTCGAAACCGAGTTGGGCAAAGAGTTTTCTATTCTAGAGTTATTTCCACCTCCTGTGGTTTTCTTTCTATCCATAATCATAATTGGCGATGATATATTCTTGGCGACAATTTTTCCAGTGTAGTCCTTAACAACAAATAATAATTTAAATCCCTTCAGTTCCTTATGATGCCTACAATAACAGACAATTCTAATCAGGAGCTCCAAGCTTTTCTTAAGATCGTTACTTAACCCATTGGGTGGTGGAAAAGACACAATCTCTTTACAGTTGAAAATGATTGCCTTCTTCGACATATTTTCGTCGGACCACGAATTATTATTGGCTTTAGGAGACACCTCTTCAATCTGTTCTTCCTTCATTGTGTCTTGTTGTTCCCCAAATATGGCAGATTTTCTTCTTGATGCTCTCTTTTGTTCTCTTTTGATACATCTTGAACATATTGTACATGATTTTTTGAGGTCCGAAGTCAATACGTAAGTATCCAAGAACAAGACGTGTTTCTTAAACTCTTCAGGCATACTGTGAATAGAATCCTTCAAGCAAAATTTACTTTTGGATATCAAGTCTTGAGGAATATGTAAGAGGAATGACGATGGTGGAGGAGAGAGAGAAAACTTGAGCTTAATTTGAGTCTCCACTCTTGAATATGTAGGTAAGTTAGAAAGCTCAAGCTTAAATGGAAGGCCGGACATAGTCTGTGGACTAAAATCGAGATATGTCATTGGATCTGGAACAGATACGGAATTAGGTTGGGGTGACATACTTGGATTCCCAAATTTTAACTTAGCCAACTCTGACCTGGCATAGTCGTAAGCGGTGATTATAGTTTTCTCTGGAGGTGTGGAATAATTTGAATTTGATTCAAGCTTCAACTCAGGTTGAACTCCCGGCATAGAGGCGCTGCCTTGTACTATGTCGTTATGTTGCTGCTGACGTTGAGCTTGCTGGAAACTTTGCGGAGACACACCCTCTGGGCTGTGAAAGCCTGAATGATTATTGCTAGCTATCATATAGTCCGGTGATGGTTGGTAAAATGATCCAATATCAAGGTTTTCCAAACTGCCTAAGTTGTAGTTGTTCGAGTTGGCACCAGAGTCTAAATCAAATTGGTCATTAAGGTCATTATTAGTATTATTATTGTTATCATTATTATTATTAGTGGTAGTAGTATGGCTATTGATGCCAGAACTGTGGTTAATTTCATTGCTGATACCAGTATTACTGCTATTATTACTCTGTCTGTTCATGTTGGAGATCGGGCTGGTTCCATCTGTCACTTCGTATACTCGTTGATCAAGAAACTCATCGAGAATGTCTTGATCATCCATAGGAAAGTCTAGCGGGTCCACATTGTTGACATTATTACTGGAAATCTGGTCCATGGGAGGATTTGCTAATGTTTGGTAGGAGGAGGACATATTGAAGTCCGACACTTTTAGAAGTATATGTGCTAGCCGATATTTGCAATGTCTGTAAATGCGATCGGATGACTTCTTGAAAGTGCTACTATTGGTGTACGTGTATGTATCTAGAAAGATTTAACCTCAACTGTATATTTAAACCTTATTAAGTAGCGTTTCTCCTTTGACTACGTGTTACTTTAATGCTTTGGTTCTTCTGCCATATATTTTTGGCCCTCTAATTTATTTTTGTTTTTTTTGCTTTTGCTTTTTGCAATTGGCTCTCTAAGTTGAGCTCAAAAAATTCACAACCTACCGCTGCAGCCTAACGGAATAAGGGCCCTCTGATTTCCTATACAAATTATATGTTGGTCTGCCCAGTGCTCTTAGTGAAAATAGCTTAAAAACGACGGTGTGCAGGAGTCCGATTTTGTTGGGTAACTTTTTTTTTTTTTTTTGTCTGGAATTTTCCAAGCGAGTCGACTAATTGATGATGACTTTTATAGGGACAGCATGAAAGACTGCGGGGATATTGCTGAAAAGAGAAAAATTGAAAGAATAGTATGCACCAGGCCAGAGAATTGGCGAAGAAATTGAGTTAGAGTTGATCACAGATCGTGACTACTATGAAAAAATCGAAAAACGTCGATGCAGTTTTGCCGAGGCTGTTGTAGTTTGAATAGAAGGTGGGACTTTATTGTATTCAACAAATAGAGATAGTTAATTTTTGAGAGTGAATAGGGGCATACTTCAGTGAAAAGTTGTGGGTGGAAGTATCCACCATATTCTATGGGGTCTTCTTTTGCTTAGTGATTTCTTTTTCTTTCTTTCTTTTTTATTTTGCTTTTTTTGCTTTTTTTGTTGTTTTCTGAAGTTATCGTTTTATTGGCTATGTAGCTCGGCTTGTTTTGTTCGCTTCGGTATATTTCTGATTAGGGGTTTCTTATGCCAATGGTGAAATGTTTTAGGTACACTTTTGGGGCTCTCATAAGGAAGATCTGATGTATCGTGGAATCTCTTATACGTAGGACAAACAATGCAATTTTGAAGGCACAAAATCTTTTTTTACTCATTTTTACGTGGGTGGCTGCTTAAACATGCCAGACTAGCGAAAAACAGATCCAGTTGTATTTTTCTATTCAAACTCGTAGCCATTTAGCCATTTCGCCATTTATTGTCGAAAAGTCTTCCTAGACTGGGTTTGTCCTCGAATCTGTAATGTACATCTACTCCTCCCCTACATGCTTCTTGACATTTGTTCCACCAAGTCTCAATCTGCACACTGCTTCCATGTCCTTCACACTTATGCTTCTCCTACATAAAAAATACTTCTGCAATGCCGGAACCTGCATAAAACATAATGCTTACGTTCCTCATCTTTTACTCTGCTTGTATTTGTTATTGAAAAAAATAATTGAAGTTACCCCAGATTCTTGATTTAATCCGAACCTAAGCAATTGGCCTGCATCACTGTTTAAGCTGGACTATAGAAATGTTAAATAATATATTCAATGTTTTGGCTGCCACTGTGTCTATGGCAGTCTTCACCTTTTTGGTTGGATACATTCCCTTGTACATAAAATTGGACCCCGCGTATCTTTCACTCGCGTCTGTTGCCAGTATGGGTCTTCTTGTATCCACTGCTCTCGCTGTAGTCATTCCTGAGGGAATTGAGACCGTATGGGAGGCATCGAAAGCAAATGGAGAGGACCATATCCGTGCCATTGGAGTGCTATTGTTAGCTGGATTCGTATTGATGTACGTTTTAGATAACCTCGGAAGCATTCCATACATTGGGGAAGTCTTTGAAAAATTCTACAAGAATGAAAATGGAAGGCTGGACCAGCAATCTAAATTGAGCCCTTCAACAATCTTTAAATCTATTTTTCTGTCTTCAATTACATTAGGGCTAATCATTCATGCGATTACTGATGGTATATCTTTAGGGACTTCCTTTACAAGGATGAGTGGGTTCCAACTTATGTTTTATTTCAGTCTCTTGGCCCACAAATTACCGACTAGTATTAGTCTTGTAACAATTTTGATCAAGGAAAATTATTCCTATAGTATCATACCCTTCCATTTGGGACTTTTTGCCCTTGCGTCGCCAATAACAAGCTTTGTAACATACTTGGCGCTTTCAATGGGGACTACTGATCCATTAGCGGTTGGCTACTTACTATTGTTCAGTGGGGGGACATTTATTTACGTCGTAATTCACGTAATATTAGATATAAACACTACGGGCGATCATGCAGAAAAGGGTATGCCCATGCCGCAATCAGAAGACACTAGCCAATTCAGCGAATTTACTATTACAGAAGAAGACGAAGAGAATGAAGAAATATTAATCAGAGCCAAATCCAATTCGTTGGATGGATATCAATTACTTGCTTCGTTGATCGGAATGTCCATTCCAATTATATTTGGATTGCTTCTCGAACATTGAACATTGAATTTAGTTATTTATTAATTTATAGATAATGAAATACTTCATCATTCTAGAAAACTTTAGCAAATGCAACTTCATCGGTTAGGTTTCAGGTGTTGCAGATTCCTCTGTGTCTCCATTTTTCTCCTCTTCCCCTTCATTTTCGTCATCCAGACCCTTAACAGTCGCTTCTTCGTCGTTATCTGTTTCTTCCGCTTCTCCTTCTTCTTTTCCCTCACCTTCCTCTTCTCCTTCTTCTTCTTCTTCTTCCAGACTTTTGCTTAAGCCTAAACCTGCTTCTCGGTGCTGTTGTTCCTTAGCAAGCTTGCTCATCAATACAGATATCTCTTCACTATTTTGCCTACTGAGCCCTATTCTGGTGGAACCTCTGTAAGTCCTTCTTATATCCGGGGATGTTAAGCTCATCAATTTCTTTTGATAAGTGCCATCTCCATTTGGACCCATAATTAGCTCGTTAAGATTCGAGTTTGAATTATTACTTGACCTATCCTTTAACCTATTTAAGCCAATATACGAGCTCCTTAAAGAGTTTGAAGCAGAGGCCCTTTTTGATGGTAAATTTGCTTTTGTCACATTGTTGGCATTGAATACTGAAGATGAATTAGCCGTAGCAGTAGGTGATTGAGAATATTGTGATGGTGTGCTGGGAGCATTCACAGCAGATGAATTAGGTGAGTCCAAATAAGGATTGCCTTTATAGTATGGGATCCTTTCGGAATCGTACTTCAATTGCCTAGAGCTATCATAATCATCGGTAAAACTGTCCATGACAAAAAAGTTGCCAGAACTCCTGGCCTTACGAACCTTCTTGACTTCTGGCCTTATGTCCTTTTTGCTACCTGATGAAGTCCCTTCACTATCTTCGCCCAGAGTCCGAGAAGCTCTTTGTGCAGCATCTGGGCCCACGAATGGCTCATATTCATCATGCTCATGTTTTGTGGGAAAATATGCATCCAGATCCAGATCTAGGTCATTTAATAAATAGTTATCATTATGGAAGTCATTGCTATTTTGTTCTTCCATATCTGGGGAATAGAAACTTTTAGACCTACCATGGGTTCTAAAATTTGGAGGACTAGGCGTTGTCTGCATTTCGCTTGGTTTTTGGACAGAATCTCGAGCCTTATTATTAAATCTTACACCCACAGATTCATTATTTTTATCGTAGCTGTTACTAAGTTGCAACAAAGAAGTAGTTGATTTGCCTCTTTTTGTATTAACGTTTGGGAAATTTGGGTTTATCAGCAGATTATTTGTGTTCTTGATCATGTTTTTCAATGATTCTCTGATATCGTTTGATTCTTGGACCATAAAGTTAGAATAAGCGCTGACACTCTTCCTCTTTTCCTTCCTAGGTTGATTTTCTGTAAGCTCGTTCTTTTCGACCAGGTTTTCCCCCCGGGCACTGTAGTTTATAGTATTGTGACGCTTAAACTTCGGTGCTCCAGTCCTTTGATTGACTTTCCCGTCTCCATGATCATGATTTTGGTTGTTGTCTTCTCCAACTTGATCTTTGCCTTCCTCAGGAACAGGTGAAGGTGATTGAGAATCGACATTCAAAATTGGCGATGAGACCAAATTGTATAAATTATTTTCAGCAGCTAGACCATTTCCTAACATTGCACCATGAATTGGTTGTTTGCCATTGGTGTTAGTGTGGCCATTACCATTCGATACCATTTTATTTAAACCACTCTTAGTGATGATACGGCCCCTTAATTTAGTAATAGCTTTGTCAAGGGCGAATTCAACTCCACAATGGTTTTTGATAACAGTAATTTTGGGCCATGCTGCCCTCGCACCTCTTACAATACATTCTAACAAAAATGCAGGTGTCGGGTTATCAAAGATCTTTGTGAAGTCTTTGATATTAAAATCAGGTAAGATAGTAATATCACCAGAATATTGTTGCGAAAGAATCGAAATAAATTTAGTTGAAAGATTCAGTCCTATTCCAGCTTCATGTAGTACTTCCAAGTAATGGATAACCTCACTTGACATAAAGTCGTAAATATTTGTTAAGAAGCTTTTTAATCTTGAACTAACTTCATTTTCAATTTCCCCACCAACACACGTCACAGACATTTTTAAGAATGGAACTACATGTGGATTAACTTGGCAAGCGATAATATGGTCCACATTGAACATTTCCAGTAACCTAGTGATGGGTAAGTCATTGTCAACTGAACCATCAACGTACTTGACTGAGGAATCGTTGTTCCATTCTTGAATTTCTCCTGTTCTCGTATTTTTCTCATATATAGAAGTTGAGGGGAATATTCCTGGAACAGAACATGATGCACATACCGCAGACCAAATAAGGCAATTTGGAGCTGTTAAGTAGTTAAGTAATCTCGTTTGTTCATGAATGGAAGCTGGAGATACTGTGATATTCAATATCTTACCAGTTCTATTGTAGGCTTCTCTGAAGGTTAAATCTCCAACGAATCCAAGCATTGTGGACTTTAAGCCTGAGATATCAAAAAGAGTACCATATTTCAACAAATGAGCCAACTGTTTCAAGGGTCTTCTTAATCCTGGATTATTTAACTTCTTTTTCTTTTCACCATCTGGGATGTTTTCCGAGTCTAGATCTTCTTGTTCTTTGTTGTGTTGTTCAAGGTCACTATCATCACCAAAGATAAGAAACTTCTTTTCGGTCACTGTGCTCAATAGCTCAATAGTTTCTTCGAACGTGCAACAGCATAGAATACTTGCCATAATACTTCCTGAAGAACTTCCACTGACTATTCGGGGTAACAAGTTACTTTCTAATAATGTAGCCAAGACCCCTATGTGGAAGATACCAAAGGTGGAACCTCCCAGCAAAACTAGTGCTGTCCTGCCAATGTTTTTACGCGTTTGTATTAGCATACCCAAAAGGTATCTGTCGTCTAATTCAACGCCTTCATCATTTACCAAATAATCCAAAGATAATTCACATTCGGCTATGAAGTCTTCGATAATCTTTTTGGTCCCCACGTAAGAGTGGCGATACAAGTTGACATTGCCCATATTTCCAATGTTTCTAATCCACGTTGTTCTCACCAAATACAATAATAACTTGTAATCCTTTTGTAACCTTGCTTCTCTCAAAGTTTCAAGACTTTGCTTGACAAATTCATAGTCAAACAAGTCAGACTTGGGGTCCAATTTCCAAGCATCATTATTTAATAGCGTATCTAGTTGGAGACATATGTCATACCATTGTTTATAACTGGTTGCCTCCTTCTGTTGGGTTAAAAGTGACTTTATCTGCTCTTGTTTAGGTTCAATAGTCGGAAGCAATCTTGAAATTATTGGTAGAGAACGGATAATCGAAGCTGCCCCTGCCGCTCCTACTGCTGGTAAACCAGAGATGAACGATGATGACGAGAATGGTTGCTTACTGTCACCAAACTGTAGTTGTTGCTCGCCACTACTACCCACACCTGCTCGAGATGGTAACGAGCTTTGAAGAAAGTCTGAATGCTTAGAAAATATCGACTCTGTTATACCAGATATGTCGTACCTGGAAGATACTATATCGTCCATCGAAACAGAAGGTGTACGAAATTGGTTGCTAAAAATAAACTGAAAAAGAAAAGTCTAACGGAGGATCTAGTTCAAAAATATTGTATTCTAAGATTTCAGGATATAAAAGTGGGAACGTTAGCAACTCGACTGTGCTTCCTACTTGTACTATGTCGTAAATCAAGCCGGCCAAACCTAGGTAGAAATGAAGATCAGTTTCGTAATTCCTGGGGAAGAGGGAACCTTATTTTCGGTTAAACTCGAGGGCCATCACGTGACTTGATTCTATGCATGTGAATATATGTGTAGAGTGTTGCAACGTACAGTTGGATTGCCATGGAGGATTGTATATGGTGAGATGGAGGAGAATACGATATAGAAACGCGGTCAATACGTGTGTTATGCTACGCTAGTATGCTTTCATTCACGATTAGGCTCCTAACTTTTGATTTGTCTTCTTGTTTACCACGGAATCAGAACTTCGCTAATGCGGGGACAATTTTCAGCGTCCGTACCGACTGACCTAACAAACGGAACACATCGGCAACCAAGCACTTCAAGTTAACTTGTGATTGTCTACAGTTGAATCAGTGCATTGATTATTTACCACTAATTTATGACCAATATGCTCATATTACACCCCTATCTTCTCATCCCAGTACCTCGATACGCATTAGAATCTCGGAGTACCAATTAGGCATATTTTTTTTTCGTACTGGCAGCCCCATCTCTCCTGCATATGAGTTCTTCACTTCACTGGTATGCTTCACTAGTCATACTTGTATGATTCAGCTAGATTCTTGTTTGTTGAGTCATAACCAACAAAGTTTACTAATATAACTCAAGTTGTCGTTTTTTCCTTCATTGCCTTGTCGTGCTGCGCGCAAGCATATACGACTAAGTGAACATACCCATTTGAAGAATAGGCAATTAGATCAAAAGAAGCCAGTCAACAAGCAAAAAAGAAAGAATCTACTTATAGGTGCATCTCAACTATATCCGAAAGTTTTCCAAACGAGAGACCACGCCACTAGGTATTTCTCTAAATATATAGATTATAGTAAATTAGGTACTCAAATGTTCTCGTTGACAACAATTACCCATAAAACATCAGATACGGCGCATCCATGCTTGATGCTCACAAACAGAGATGGATCTCGGTACTTATTTGGTAAGATCCCAGAGGGAACACAGAGAGCTTTAAATGAGAACAGATTCAAGTTAGGTAAATTGAAAAGTATATTTTTTACAGGAACCGCATCGACTTGGTCGGAATTAGGAGGTCTACCTGGATTGTTTTTGACAATTAGTGATGCCACTGGGAAGAATATCGATGTCTTCTCAAGTTCTAAGTTGTTATCATACGTAGTAGCTACCTGGAGGTACTTTGTTTTCAGGAAGGGTGTAGAGTTGAAAATAGTTGAAGTAAATGAAAATGAGGTTATTTCAGATAGTAACATTAACGTTACTGCACTTAAAGTTCAATCTAGTAGAAGTTTAGATAAGCTTAAAGAAGATGGCACTGAAAACAAGGAAGTTCCAATTATAATGAATCGTCTTAGAAAGCTTATATCGAGACTTTTCCCTATGGATACGTCTGCCGTGAATTCTGACGATTTGAATTCTTACAAATCTGATCCATCCGAATATGATATGCATACACATGTTGAATTACCAGACCCAAATATCATTTGTATACCTGAGAATGAACCTTCCACAAGCTATCTTGTGGATTTCGTTCCAATAAGAGGAAAATTCAATTCTAAGTTGGCAATTGAACTTGGCATCAAACCTGGCCCGAACTTCAGAAAATTGACAGAAGGTATCCCTGTAGAAAACGAGAAGGGAGAATTAATTGCGCCAGATAGAGTCATGGGTGAATCCAGATTCTTCCCAAAGCTACTCGTATTAGATATACCTGATATGTCCTACTTACGAAATACAATCAAGAAAATATCGAATACCAGCGACATATTATTGGTCTACCATTTTTTGGCTGACGATGTTGACTATGCTAGCGATGAGTATATTAGATTTATGCAATCGTTTGATTCTAATTGTAAACACGTTATAAGTCATAAATCAGTTGCTGCTGATGTCATTGTGTTTAAGACTTCGGCAATAAATATTTTAAAATTGAAAGCCTTACAGGCTGATTGCTTCAATTTACCTTGTACATCAAAAACTACAAAGGCTTCAATAAACAAAGAATTAACTTTAAATTGCACTCCTTTACATCAACTACAGCAATTTGAAATTGAACCTAGTGATGCAGGATCTAGTTTCACTGTGAAAGAGATTAATGGGAATCTTGATGGAACCAAATCTTGGTCTGATCTTTACGAAGAAAATGTCGTTCCTTTGAATGTAAAAAATATATCCAAGGATGATACTATCAACTCTCAGCCTATACTGTTGGGGCCTATTGAAGGAACCTTAAAAGACCAAGTTCAAATTATGACTTTAGGTACTGGTTCTGCATTGCCCTCTATGTTCAGAAATGTGATCTCTACCTTGGTTAGAATACCGTTTGTAGATGATGGAGCAGTTAAATTTAGATCTATATTGTTGGATGCAGGTGAGAACACATTAGGAACAATGGTAAGAAATTTTGGTCATAATAACGAAGAACAATTGACTCAGGTATTTAAAGAAATGGGAATTATTTACTTAAGTCACCTACACGCCGATCATCATTTAGGGATAGTTTCCATTGTCAAAAAATGGTTTGAAGTAAATAACGATAATAAGGAAAAGATTTTATATCTAGTCACGCCTTGGCAGTATAATAACTTTATTAGTGAATGGTTCAAAGTAGAAAGAGACGATTCAGACTTAGTCGACTTCTCCAGGGTATCGTACTTAAGCTGTGAAGATTTCTTATTGAATGAGGCCAAATCTCCAGAGTTTAAGCGTTTCTCAATGGAGGAGTTTGAAAAAGAATTTGATTCCAATAACCTCAATAGAAAAATGCCTAGAGCTCCGCTTCAGCCTACCAAACATGAGATTATCCAACAATTAAGGAGCGACTACGGATTGGAGTCAATAGCCACATGCAGAGCTATTCATTGTCATTGGGCCTACTCTGTTACCCTTAATTTCATTTTAAAGAAGGGAGAGTCGAATCCAAGTGAACATTTCAAAGTATCGTACTCTGGAGACACCAGACCGAATATTGAGTTTGCTAATATAGGATATGGAAGCGATTTGCTCATCCACGAGTCGTCGTTGGCGGAAGATTTGATTGAGGAGGCATTATCTAAGAAGCACTCTACGATGATCGAAGCGGTAACCATGTCTAAATTAATGAGATGCCCCAAGATTATATTGACTCACTTTTCCACAAGATACTCAAATAGAGCTGACTTGTCTGTGGATTCTGAGTCATTGTACAGACTAGGAATGACGTTGAAGAATTACTTGAATGAACATGGGCTCAGAAGGAATATCATGTCATATGACGAAGAATTGAAGACAGGAAGTTACCAAAAGAATTCCGATGCCCTTCTGTATTCCGACTTGGATATTTGCTATGCATTTGATATGATGACCATTAGGTATAAGAGCTTGCAACTGAGCAAATTCAATTACAATGAAATGCTTCAAATGTTCGAATCTGAAGCATTGGAGAAAAACTCTGGTGATGCCCAGACGGTAGAGTTGAAGAGAATGAAACAGTTAGAAAGACATAGGGAGAAGACAGAAGCCAAAAGAGATAAGCGTTTAGGGAAAAAGAAACGCAGAACCAGTGACGATGAGTCAAGCTCATAGTAGAATTGCAACCATGTTCTTATCACTTATGTATAGTTGTGTATAGAAGAAATAGATGTGCCTGTATATAGAAGACTAAATATCAATCCAAGCTCTTTTGACTCTGTAGTGGAGAATAATAACTAGAGCTCTATTCTCTTTCCAAAGAGCTGTGGTTTAATCGTTGTATACCTGTATGGACTATCCTTTGAAGTTACAGCAAAGTTGGTTGGAAGATGAATATACGTCGATCCTATCGTCTACTCCTCATGGTAAGAAATTCACCAATTCAGTTGTAGTGAAAAATTTCGTTACCTCTCTCTTGATCAAATCAACGCCCATTCTATTTGTAGTGAGATTCCTAAAGATAACTTCTGACCTTTCTGTGGTAGCAATTCTATCAGACTCAAAGCATTTGATCCATGGTATCATTCCTTACAAAACATGCAAGGAATTCGAGTACAAGTATGGCAAGAGGATCACCTTTGAAATGTCCGGCACATTGATACAATTGAAGAAAGCAGACTTCCAATTTGCAACCAGTCAGCAATTGCAAGAATTGGGTATGGAACCCCTGAAAGCTGTGATAACGATTCAAATTAACGAGCTACTGGTGTTTCAAAGAGACCAGGTAGAATTAAGCTGGATGGCTGCCAAGCATTTACGATTCTTATATGAAGATGTAGTAGTAGCCAATGAGATGGACTGTACTGAAGAAGACGAAGTCACCTCAAGCTGATGACAATGTATACAAATGAATATATATATCCCTTTATATCTGTATGTATGTATTTATTATGGATTTAACTATGTACACTGTATGTTTTCCGTAGGAGAAAATTGGATCTAGTTCACTCACCTTCTTGGTCTATCCTGGACCTTTAACTTATTGACCTTCTTGAACTTTCTAGTCTTTGCAAATTTCTTAATACCCCACATAGATTGAGAAACCTTGTTAGACTTAGACTTACCACGACCACCACCATGGGGGTGGTCACAGGCATTCATGGCCACACCTCTAACCTTTGGCCTGAACCCTCTGTAACGGTTTCTACCGGCTTTACCCAAGGACTCTGTTTGATGTTCTCTATTTGATACAGTTCCTAAAGTGGCGGTGGAATCGATGTGAACGTAACGGTGTTCACCAGACAGCATCTTCACCACAACCTTGGACTTTTCAGGATATTTTGTCAAGATTCTTCCGAAAGTACCTGCGGATCTGGCAAACTTACCAGGTCCATTAGGCTGTAAACCAATATTGTGCACGATGGACCCTACAGGGATCATTCTGATTGGCATACAGTTACCCTTCTGCATAGTTCTTGAGGATAACAAGGCTTCGTCCACTTCTCCGTTATTATTAGCCTTCATATCGTTGAGAAAATCTTCTGGCAAACCGGATCTGAAACTTTCAATCTCGTCGCCTGCTCTCAACCCAGTAGACGCTAAGATGTACGATATGAGACCCGTTTCGTTGTGCTTGATGAGTGCAATGTGACCAGATCTGGTTGGATCGTATTCGATACGAATCACAGTCTGTCTACCTCCCTCGAGTCTGTGAAAGTCTACAAGACGAGCTCTTTGCTTGTGACCACCACCACGGCCTCTGACGGTGATCTTACCGGTGTTATTTCTTCCGGCAGTTTTTTTGATTGGCGCGGTCAATTCCCAGATAGGTCTACCTCTGTGCAAGTGTTCGTGGATGGGTTGCTGAAAGTTCAAGGAACCCGGTCTGTTGTGACCGTAATGCGAGTGGTCCTTCATCTTGACCGCCTTACTGGCCAACTGACGCTGTCTTTTGAAAATTTCGTCCTTCTTTTCAAGGTCGGTCAACTCAGCTTCCTGGATCTGGATAGAAAGACGTCCAGTAGCAGCACCAGCAGCACCGGCAGTGGATCCACCAACACCCGCGCCGGGCACTTCATTCAAGTACCTCAAGGAAGACGAAAGCCATCTTCTTGAGAGTATACCCGACATCATCTTAAAACGATAAACTATGATTTCACTCTGCAGTTCTCTAGCACTTGCTCCCAACGTAGCATCCACTGTCTCTCTCTCTTCTTCTTTTTTTTGGTGTACAATCAAAGAATTTTTCATCGCTACATGCAGGACAGCCTCAACAGCCCACGTACTGTAAAATACCCACCCAGGTGCTTTTCCGCTCCGCGCACCACGTAATTCTCAGAACCCCTTCCCGCCAATTGAAACCGCGAAATCGGGAAATGAGGAAAATTCGAACACCCCAAGCCAAAAAAAAAGTCAACCGTATGGTAAAGAGTAGTGGAGATTCCTTCAGTACACAGAAGTATAAACATTATCAGAAAATGTCATCTCGTTTGTTTTACCGTAGCTTAGCTACCGCCACCAAGTCAGTCAGACCTCCAGTTCAATTGTTCGGTATTGACGGAACCTACGCCTCAGCTTTGTACACTGCTGCCGCCAAGGAATCATCTATCGACAAGGCCTTCCAATCTCTCAGCAAGGTCAGAGAAGTTGTTCAATCCGACAAGGATTTGGCCGAATTCTTGGTCAACCCAGCATCATCTAAGGAAGACAGATCTGCAGTCATTGATGCCTTGTCTTCATCATTGAAGTTGGACAAGTCCGTCGGTAACTTCTTGAACGTGTTAGCCGAAAACAACAGATTGACTGAGTTCGAAGGAATTTTCAGCCAATTTTCCGTTTTAAACGATGCCTACAAGGGAGTGGTTGAAGCCACTGTCACCTCTGCCAAGCCATTGGACAGCAAGACCATCAAGAGATTACAAACCGCCATCTCCAAGTCATCCTTTGTGGGTGAAGGCAAGACCTTAAACGTTACTAACAACGTCGAGCCAGACTTATTAGGAGGTTTAGTCGTTGAAGTTGGCGACAGAACTGTCGACTTATCTGTTTCAGGTAAGATTGCCAAGTTGAACCAAGCTTTAAATGAATCTGTCTAAATGCATACACGAAGTTAAAGAAACATAGAGGGAGAAACGACAAAAATGATGTGCAACGACAAGTTGCAATAGTGAAAAGTAACCAGAGCGGGAGAGAAGGAGAGAACCCGAATGAAAATATGAAAAGAGTAAAAGATTCATCACGAGATGATAAATTTGATTTATTGGTGAATGGAGGAGGAGCACATTCAAATATATACACTAGAAATAAACAAAATGTTTAACCTGATGTCTGTAGTATGGTATGTGGAGTGAATGAAGTGAACTGAACTGAACCAAACTGAATTGAAGTTGGTGAAGCATTTCCCCATTGTAGAGTGTAGGGTGTAGTGTAGCCAACTGGGAACTTACCTGAGCCAGCCGGACTGTACCAAAACAGCCAAGCCCACCGCGATCTACCACTATCGTAGACTGAACATTTGTGGACGCTTTTTTTCCTTTCTTTTACCTATGTAGCCATTGTCTTCCTTCCCTCCCACCTCCCTCCTCCTCCAATTCCACCTCCTCTTGAACTCCCTCTTCGTGTTCCCCATTGCTCTTCTCATTGTTACACCCGCTCTCGACTTTCCATTTCTCAACCCATTTGGGAAAGTCCCGCGTGTACAAGCGCTAGAAAAAAAGAAGACAGATATTCTCGAACCCAGAGCAAGCAGTACAGTTCATTAGCATAACCAAACTCGTAGGATAGATATAAGAATGGCTACGTTTTTGTTTGGATTCACTTGGGCACTCACTGCCATTGCCGTGGTGTTGAACGTGTTTATTTATTTTTACCCAGACTTCAATGAGCAACCATCTCACTGTAAGTGGTACGCAGCTGGCACTGGCGATAGCCCATCACTTCTCAACACAATAGTCACAGATTTATCATCTAAGATCCTCAATAACCCGCTCCTGACCCCGGCAGACCTATTTCTGCCCTCTGTACTTCATGATAGTGGCGATGTGAAGGATATCCGCATGCTTACGTTTGGAGATCCGCAGATCAACGGGAACTGGCCACTGACTAAGTACATCAAGAGGTTGGACAACTATGGCAACGACTACTACCTTGGCCACATCTACAGCGTGATGAAGAAAAGGATGCAACCAAGCCACGTTGCCGTGATGGGAGACTTGTTTTCCTCGCAGTGGATCTACGATAGTGAGTTCTACAACAGAACCTATAGATATGTTACCAGGTTGTTCCCAAGACCCGAGGCCTACAAGCAAGTGGCATTGGACACTTTCAATAAGCACGAAAACTACGACTGGGAAAACTGGATGAATGAGGAGAATGCTATGGATCCAGAGAAGAGATTTAGATCGAGAGTGTACAGCGATGTGTATGACTGGACTAACTTAACTGCCAAGTACCCTTTACCCTCGGGCCCAGACGTGAGAGAGCCACTTTTCATCAACTTGACGGGGAACCATGACATAGGATACTCCGGTGATGCCACTTGGCAGCACATGGCCAGGTTTCACTTGTTATTTGGCCAAAACAACTATGTCATAAACTATAATAAGGGTACTCCCTATGAATGGAGACTTGTGGTGTTGGATTCCTTGACTTTGGAGGGTCCTGCATTGCAAGAAGAATTCGTCAAGTTCACTTGGTCATTCCTTGAAAACTTGAAAGAAAAGGAAAACCCTGGTTTCAAGGGATCCACTGTACTCCTCACTCATATCCCATTTTATAAACCAGAAGGTTTGTGTACCGACGGGCCACAACATATTTACTACGTGGACAACGAAAAGGAACCTTATAAGAACGGAAAATTGAGATCGCAAAACCACTTGTCCTACGATGTTAGCCAAAAGGTTTTGGATATAATATTCCCCAACCCAGACAAAGAGGGCATAGTGTTGACAGGACATGACCATGAAGGGTGCGATAACTACTACACGAAAGATGGCGAATCTAAGGAGTGGAAGGCTGTCTCTAAGGTAGAACTGAAGAAGGGTGTGGTTAGAGAGATTGTGGTTAGATCCATGATGGGTGACTTCAACGGGAATACCGGGATAATGACGGGAGTGTTCAACAAGGAATCATCCAACTGGGAATTCCACTTCACCTTGTGCCCATTTGTGGTTCAACACTGGTGGTGGGTTACTAAGATTGTAACTGGGTTAACCGTTGTTCTCCAATCATTGTGCTATCTTAAGAGGAACATATCTATATAGATGAAACTTACCAAATAAAGCATATAAGTTTATTATACGTAGAGAACTTTAAGAAACCTTTTTATTAACTTTTATATTTAATTCAGATTAAACATCAACAATTTGTTTTTAAAGTGTCATACATAGACTAGGCAGAAGCAAACTTTTCAACGGACTCCTTGGCAGTGGTGTAACTGACCTCTGGACTAACACCAATTGCCTTGACTTTCAAGACATTGTCGACGAAAATCCAATGCGATCTAATAATCTTCCTTTCTGCCTTTAAGCCTCCCAAAGCTTGCAATAGCTTTTTCGAAGGGTCGGACAACAAGCTATATTGAAATCCATGTTTAGTAGCAAACAGCTTCTGTGCCTTGGGGCTATCAGCAGACAACCCCAAGACAACAGCCTTGGACTTCAACCCATTGTAGTTGTCTCTGAAGCCACAGGCTTGTCTGGTGCAGCCTGGAGTAGAAGCCTTAGGGTAAGAGAAGATCACTACGATTGGCTTATCGAGCTTAGCAAGATGAATTTCCTTCTCGTCTTGGTCCACGAAGAACCAGTCTGGGATCTTGTCACCAATCTCAAGTTCTTCGATTTTGGCGGTTTTTTCCTTTTTCGGTTCACTTACCGTAGCAACAGCATCATCAGCATCAGCAGCAGTACTGGCAGCAACAACAGCATCAACTTTCTTCGGAGTAGCTGGCTTTCCTTCGCTCTTCTTCTTCTTCAACGGTGGTTCAACTGTGGCCTTAGCTGCAGGAGCCAGATTTTCTTCCTTCGTTCTGGAAGCAACTCGGGTGGATCGGCGTAACTCTGGCATAGTACAAGTATTTGCTATGAAGATGGGCTACTGTATATTTCTAGATCAATTTACAATTAGCTAGGTCCCAATTGCTCTGTAGAAATGACGCAACGAGAGTGAAAAATTATTAATCCTGCTTTTAAATTTGGTGTACTTTCGAAATCTTTAACTCCGCAGTTTAGCGAAGGTGAAAAAAAAAATATCAAGTAAAACATGGGGTCAGCAATTCTAGAGCCAACCTTAAAATTGGTTTGGGCTACCAAGTTGGTTCGTTTAGACTGTCCAAGTATCAGCACTTCGTGAGACATTGAAGATAGGTGAATCAAATGACAAAGGTTTCGCTAAGGGGCTTTCCAATGCTTGTTGATCTAAAATGTGTGTGGTAACTGATGCGCCTGTCATTATGCATCTTTAAATAAAAAAATATTTTGCTCTCCGGTGGTTTTTTGATAAATTTTCTATCAAACATTAGAAAACAAGCATAGGTACCAGAACAAAAAGTTCTCCGTGAAGGACGAAGATTTGAGTAAAATAATGAAAAGATAGAACTGGAGTAACTTTATTAATTAGGTTACTGTCATGTATCATCTGTTAGACCATACAGATGTGTGATGAGAAATCTAACGTGCTGGGGGTGAGATCAGATCGTTAAAAATAACCCGTACACCCTAAGGCACACCTATTTGGTTAAGCTTAACCAATTGAGCGCTCAGTTACCAAAGAAAGGCGATGCTCCTTGACGACTTGTCCAGTGGGGCAGTCCATGCATGCTGAAGATTGAATTCACACCTGCTAATCTGTGGGAAGCTGGAAATGTACCCCATTGACAGTGGTGAAGCTTAGATCTAATAATGCGTGGGTGAGAGGACGATTATAATTAAATGGAAGCTTAATTACAGGGGAAGGGAAACAAGCCTACAAAATATGGATTCTATAAAATAATGGAGTAATGAAAACCGGCACAATTGGACTCTCCATAGATAATCTGAAAAAGAAAAAAGGCAGTAAGAACCAATATTTGAAGGGAGGCAAATACAAGCGTAGAGAAGAGAAGAATAGCACTTCTCAGGTCTGGATATTGGTTGTTACTGTCTTTGGAATGATTCAATTCATTAGTCACTCGCATGTAGGAATTTTCCACCTCGCAGAAAATGCACCAGTCGGTGCGAATATTCTTGTTGGTTAGGCTAGTAGAAACTCCTACACAATCGCTTGCACCGATATTTAAATTCGTTTTTAGTCCATATCTAGTTATCTACTCAGACTAAATGATATTGTCTTCGAATCTCTAGCATTACCGCATTGCCATCGTTGATGACTGCTGATGTACTCAAGTACTAATTTCGCGCCTCAGTTCTGATGCTCTTCTTTTTTTTTCAGCCTCGCACCTCGCTTCTCTTCCCCTCAGAGAAGCTGTCATTAAGATAAGACCAGACCGCACAGAAAGGCTACAATTGTGAGGAACTTTGACCTCCAGAGGAGAAAAGCCCTATTAAGGCTCTTGCCACTTAACCACTCTCTACCTGCCACTCTGAAAATACCCCATATTCCACGCAAAACCAAAATATCCAGCTGTTGCTGTCATTCGAAGAAAAAATGTGATTCACAATCAGGTGCGGCTGAATGCGTAGGGATTCCCTGCTGATTAAACATTCCTTTGATTACATGCATTAATACGAAAGAGAAAACCCGCACAGAAAAGACTGAATCTTTCAATTGTTTACAGAGACCACCGTCTACGATATACTAGTAAGTTTTGGTAATCTATATATTTATATTTCTGTATGAGACGGATATTTTCAAGAAGGCATAGGAATTCCGACCTGGGACCTTCCCGACCTTCCCAGTCTTCTACCTCAGGCTTAGGCAATAATCGTAGAAGTCTTGATCATTTTCGCCACGATAGATCGCCGGCCAGGTCTTTTATCGGCGATGAAACTTATCATTTATCTGACCTGCTACTAGATAACCCTAACCTGGAACTTAATTTAGATAATGCAGACGATGGATACAACGATGCTACCTCCGTGGAGTCGGCACCCCTCTCTGAATCTGATACCTTGTTCCTAACTAATCAGGAAAGGCTCCTGCTACAGCCTACCTTTCAAGAAAACTTCTCGTTGTACCTCCCATTTCTCATAAGGAGGCTCAGGTATGAAAGAATGTATGAACATAGTGATCTTGCGTCTTCCCAGGAGACTGTTGCATCGGTTGCTGAAAAGTATTCTGTCTTGGATCAACCCACACACAACTACAATGAAAAACGTAGAATGATATTAGTACATGAATTTATGAAGAACAGTAATTTAGTTTTCATTAGTATGGAATCTTTCACGCTCTATAGGGAGTTGAGAAGTCTCAAAAAGGAAAAACAAGCTGAAATGGCTACAAAATATCAAAGTAAGGGGTTGGCCTTGCCACTATTCAAAATAGAATCTCATTCATATTTAAGGTTAGACGATGGTGCAGATGTAATATTTCATAAATATCTTGAGCTACCTTCCACACAGATGAATTCAAATTCAGGTTCAGCCAACCCTGTGGCTTCTCCTACTTATAAGTTTTGCACTGTACATATTAAGACTTATACTAATTTAAAAAGATTCACATTTACATTCAATCCCCAAGATGGTCGGACGCTGCCATTCAAGGTCATTCTATTCCAGCATAACTTTAAGCCAATAGCAGATTTTAATTACAAGAACACTAGGTTTAGGATATTTGGAAACTCGTTGATTAACTTTGGATTAGCTCCTAATTTAAAGTTGTTGATTATAGACAAGGACAAACCAAGTCTTTGTGATAAGGTCTTCGATAAACCACAGTTTAAGCTCCTGTCAATAGTGAGAAGAAGAAGATCTTCAGCTGTTGATCCCAGTGCGCCTAATTCAAGAAGGGGCTCAAGTGTAGGTAGGAGGAGGAGCTCGGCAGTATCAATTAATTCCAATTGTATAGGTGAAGAAGAGTGTATTGCCCCAGACGAAAACTTTAACTCCGTTGGCGAAGCTGAAGATGAAGAGGGTGTTGAGACTGATCCATTGAAGATGGCTAATCCCTACCCAGACAAATCGAATCCTTTGCTTAAATACGACCAAAACCAGTACCTTCTATTAAACAAGACATTTGTTTCTAATGAAGTGCCTCCTTTTGGAAGTTTCCAGGATGTTGTCTGTTATGCCAAAGACTTCAGTCTATTACCGAAGAAATTCAAAGAGCAAGGCAGGTTCGAAATATATCAAGATCTGTCAAGATTTGTTCCAGGCGTTAATATGGATGCGAACAACTCTCTCGATATGGATACCTTGGTGTTGTGTTGCATAAACCTTGCTATACGTGACATGGTAGTGAAGAGAAATAGTAAGATCTCCTCGAACATGGAGGCAATCAATAGGTACAATTATATGGGAGCAAGCATTTATGCTTCACCGGGACCAGGATTGTTGGGCGGATTGTAATGGTAACTGAAATACAATTTCGAAAAGTTTTAATTTCTGAGGTGTGACGTATAATAATGTTACAAGTTGTGCTATATATTGTTGAAACAAAATTATTATTTTAATCGTATTTCTTCTGTAGTTGTAGTGGGCTTTCAAAGAACCCTTTTTCAGACATTTGGGAGTCAGTAACGCTCCGGAGATCTGGATCTATCCCTTCCTCCTACTGGTGACCTAGAGGGTGAACGAGAGTAGCGGCCTCTACCATAATCTTTACTATCACCTCCACTAGATTCTTCTGGCGTGGGTCTATCCCTATCATCTCTGTAGCTACGCTCACCGCCAGATCTGTAATCCTTCTCTGATCCTCTTGGAGGATAACCTCTGTCTCTGACATCGTATCCACCTCTTTCATAATCTCTGTCTCTGTCGTATCCTCTGTCGTAACCTCTATCCCTGTTATCGTATCCTCTGTCGTAGCTATCTTCATAGCCCCCTCTGTAACCACCTCTTCCTCCTCTGTAATCTCTTGGAGGTGGTGGGCCGTAATCATCTCTAGGATCGTAATCTCTACCGTATCCACCACCGTAACCATAGCCACCTCTGCTTCCTCTAGGGCCCCTGCTTGAGCCTCTACCTCTGAATCCACCCCTACTTCCTCTACCACCTCTAGTTGAATATGGGTCGCTCCTTGCTTCTTGGACTGTCAAGCCACTGCCAATGGAGAACGGCAACGTCTTACCATTTAATTCGAGGGCTTTTTGTGAATCTTCATAGTCTTTGTATTCTACAAAGGCAAACTTCTCTCCGTCATCGGTTCTTGGAGGTGGGATATCTAATCTTACTAAGTCACCGTATCTGCAAATGTATGTTAGTTTCTTGAGTTAATGAATATATGGGGATTGGAAATGTGTTGAAGATAGTCTTAGGAGATTGGAAGGGAGGGAGGGAGGAGGTGAGTAAGTCTAGGGATGCTCCCTTGCTATTAATATTAGGTGGAATTTGGATGAACAAGGTGTGACATTATGGGGAGTGTACCCTCTTTATGTGATCTTTCTCCGGATGAATGCGGCAAATGTAATGACTTCTCAATTTGCGGAGGGACTGAGGTGGAGTGGTAAAGTCAAAGGCTGCGCTACAGGATGTTCAAGGTGTACATCATGCTCAGGTAGAGACTCCTAGTCACTAGGCGAGCCGGTTCCACTACCATTGATGCAAAATTGGTAAAGAAATACGCAAATAAGTATGGTTCTTACTAACTAAAAACAGCTTTTGCTTGAAAGAAGAGAGAAAACCAAAACCAAAATAGAAAAAGAAAACCGTAATCTAAAATATCTTCAAAGTCTCTTCCTTATTTATACTCACTTCTCGAATTCCGGTGCTAGATCAACTGCCTTGGACTCTCTGGTGAATCCTGTTACGTATAGTGTATTTTTGGGCATTTTTCACTGGTACAAAGAAGAAGGCAACTTACCATTCAAGTTCTTTCGAGTTGCCTTTTCAATTTTTCAACGAAAGAAATTTTAAACTTATTGGTGTGTGCAGGACGATTTGGGGTATGGCATTTGTGCCAAAGATAGAGAGAAAGAGAGAGATGGAGGGTGCACTGCATGGAATTCCGTCAGAAATGCTTACTATGATGCTCCTATAAGCACACAATCGTACAAGATCATCACAAGTCCAAATTCTTTCAAAATGGAGAATTTTCCGGTATAGTTATGCTCTTTAAACATGGGCTGCAAATTTTGAACCGAACTCAGTGCACGTATGGAACCCTACCGATGCCTTCTGTCGCTATTTACGTTTTCCACGCGCGGGCGCGCGTGCGCTGTGCAAGCTATTGATCTAGGAAGCCTTCACCCTAGAGCGCTTCCTCTTGATGATGAATACGCCGTATAACTGTTTCTTTTAAGTGGTATCTAGAGCCTAGCGCGTGTGTCTCGATGACATGTCTGTTGACCAATCCCTCAATATAGCAATTGACTGCTTCAAACGTAAAAAATATGCAGAAGCACTCGAGATATACAATCTGATTGTTAGAAAGATTCAAAAGATCCCATCTGAAGAGTTGCAGACGATGAGGGTCAAGAATGGATTGACCCCTACACCAATAATAGGTCCTATAGTTCACCCGAAAATCGGATCTATACTAGACCAAAGAGCTGCAACCTATGAGAAGTTGAATAACCCACAAAGAGCGCTTCGTGACGGCGAGAACTTAATTAAGCTAGAGCCCATCAGCTGTAAAGGCTATCTCAGAGTTGCAAAATTACACACTATTATGGGCAACGAATTGGAAACTTATAAAGTGCTCCAAAGAGGTGTTTACACTATAGAATCGGCAATAAAAAAGTTTCGAATAACTGTTCCTGAAAAGTTATTTGAAAGTTTGAAAAGTAAGTATGCGGAGCTCAACACTAAGCTAAAGAAGAGGAGAAACGTAACGCAGCCGGTTGGTATTACCCCTGGGCATGTTCAAGCTAGAGTATCACAGCTGAGTTTGGACGATTTAATGGGGATCAAAAGAGCTAAGAGAAATGATTCTGTGAGTAGAACACCGTCTTTAAATGCTGCAACTGCTTCGCTAGATCCATTTGATTACTTTCCACTTGAGCTAGTATGCTTAATATTCATGCATCTCCCTTTCTCTACAGTTTTACGGTGTCATTTAGTTTCAAGAAACTGGTACAAGTCTTTAACTCTGATACCCTCCCTTTACACCAACATCGCATTCAGAAACAGGTTGGATAAAGTAGAATTCCAAAATGGTATCAAACTAATTAAAAAAGTCCATCAGAATTCATCCAACAAATTGATAAAATCACTAAAACTTAGTAAATCCTACAGACAAGAATATTTTTGTGATATTATAAAGTTTCTTGCGTTCCAATCGAATTTGAAGTTTGAAAACTTAGATATCGTTAACTCAAGTGTAAGTGTTGGAGAATTGTTGTTGTCGCTAATATTTTCAAAAGTCAATACTTCGAACGTGAGCCCTAATGGGCTTCAACCTTTCGAAACTTCTTTAAAATCTTTAAAACTTGGTGTGACCTCAGAGATAAAACATATTCCCTATTTGTTAGGAATACTGGACAAACTAGAAGAGTTAGAAATCATCCAGTTGTCGCTGCACGAAAGCAACAAGACAGTATACAACCAGCAACAATATCCAAGTATAAAACAGACATTTAAAGATAGAATGAATGCAGATAATTTAAAGAGATTATCTTTTATTGGCTACACTGATGAGGACCTTAAGCAGAATAGTACAAGTGTCATGATCCCAATACTCAACTTCATACTGAACAAAGCTTCGGCTTCCCTAAAGTCTTTGACTATAGTTTCTCAAAATTTAGTGCGCTTCAATTCGTCGAATGTATCGTTCAATCAATTCCCATGTTTGGAAGAGGTCTACTTTGAGGATAATTCCGGCTATTCATTAAGTGACTTCATTTTGGGATTTACCTCAACTGGTTCAGGTCTCAAGAAGTTAGTATTTCGCGAGAAGGAGCTCAATACAGAGTTCGATGTGTCTACTTTAAGAAATTTGGAGTTTCCCAGATTGTCAAATTTGCAATTACTTGATGTGTATTCGTGTAATTTGACAAGAGATGGATTGTATAAATTGCTACAGGTAGTCAATAAAGAAAGTAATCAACTAACGAGCTTGAATATTGGAAATTCAAGAAAACTTTCATTTCAGATTGACACTTTCCAAAGAAGGATAAGTCAATCTAATCCTTCTGGTCATTTATCGATTTCAAAAATATTGAAGCTTTCACCAAATTTAACTCACCTTTACTTAAATGAAATTGAATTTGATAATTTCTCTGCTAAAATGTTTTACCATGAGCTCCAAGAGTATGATTCCAATTTTGAAAATATCAAATTAAAGTTCATTGATTTGAGTTTCGCTAGGTTGGATGGAATTGGTCTAATGAGCTTATTTTGCGTTAGTAGCAAACATGAACCGACATTTAAGCTAGATGAATTGGTGTTACACGGAATAGATATAAAGCTGCAGACAATACAATTACTAATGGATAAAGGCTACGCTTTGAGTGTTTTGAACGACTTCCATAAAGTTAAATGGAAGGAATTTGGAATCAACTCTTTAATACAATAAATTTGTTTCTTTCCAAATCATGCAAAGACTTTTCACAGAAACTATATCTACTACTGTGAAGAGCAAAGTATTATTCACTTCTTAATAAACATATATTAATTAGGTATCTTGCCATATTCATATTTACTTCTTTTGTATCTAATTATCAGCCCTGAAAACAACCTTTTCTCCACTTACCTTGTTATCCATTAATAACGAGAGACCTTCATGGACGCTTTCCAAACCTGGATTCAACACCTTCAAGTTGGAATGTCTCAATTTAGGGAGGTAACCTGGTAAGATGTTATACCAGAAGTTACCATAATCAGCTGCTAAATCAGCATCTGGTGCTACAGGAATGCCAGCAAAAACGGTAGGTTCACCGTTAGCAACATAAGCTAAAGTCTTACCGAACTTAAGATTTGTTCTAGATTTGTCAGTCTTAATTTCCTCAGGATTCAAAAGTAAAAGATTATCAATGGCGACAGTTCCCTCATTGGTACCTGCTGTTGCATCGTAAACTAACTGGAAAGTTTCTAAGGAGGAAATTGTATCTAATGCAAAATGTATCTTTCCACCTCCAATTTTCCTAATCTTCTCAATCACGTCCTTATCATTGTAGTTGACTATATGGTCAGCACCAAGTGACTTTAAGAATGCGTTGTTTCTTGGGGAAGCAGTAGTGATGACTTTTAAACCGTAAATGTCCTTAGCAACTTGAATAGCAAGGACACCACTGGCAGTAGCACCACCCCAAATTAAAATGTACTGATCTCTGTATGATGGCTCATTTACTTTCAACTTTAATTGATTAGTGAAAGACATAGCAATTGTAGATAATCCAAGAGTAACAGATGCAGCACCTTCAAAGTTGTCGATTACTCTCAGCTCCGAGTCTCCGACCGGTTCAACTTTACTTTGATCAAGCTGCAGCTTGTCGAACTTGATTACAAGAGGTGGATCTGCAAGCACCCAATCTTGGAACCCACCAATATCTTTCTCATATCCACCATGAGCCCAACCACTCACATAGTCACCCTTAGCTAAACCTTCTACTTCAGAACCGACAGCTTCCACAATACCACTGAAATCAGAGCCTAAAACTGCTCCTTCTGGTGTCATTCCGTATACTGGATGCTTCCAGTCGGTTGGGTTAAAGGCATATGCGATTGCCTTGACAAGAACCTTACCCTTTGGAACTGATGGAATCGAAAGGTTCTTGATTTCATAAAAGGGAACACTTTTGTTACCGTTGCTTACAGCAGCTCTGTTGTTGCCAGTCATTATTGTTTTGAATTTTCTGTTTATTTGCTTTATTAATTGTAAGATTTTAAGCTCTTATAATCTTAAGGTAAATAAAACCGAAAACTTCAAGTAGCCAGACAAGTTCAATTGTATTTATATAATTGCATTTGGTTTTTAATTTGTCAAGCTTTGAAATGTATTTGGTGCAATATATTTGCACTGACATGCTTTGCTCCACCAGATCAGTTACTAATATTATGCAGCAATTCTTTTTCCAGATATGCAATATTAACTAAGCACCGATATGCCCCAACTGTATGTAAGCAAATTGGATTTCTTTTTGACCATTTCTCATAACCTGGACCTTTAACTTTCGGATATATCGAACTTTAGCACTCAATTGCCTATACTGTTGAATATAGGTGATTTGCTGACAGTGCTAAGGATATTATATGCATGCAAGTGTGTCTATGTGGCTGCTTTTTTTGATATGAGCTTAGATTTGAATAATAATCGATGATGCCATGCCATGTATATACCTTTTCAATAGATGTCTTTCCCGCACTTATCGGTATTATAGTAATTGTAATCAGAAGGTTGGCCAAATAAATTATCACACGCGTTGTTAGTTACTAAAGTTCGTATAGCTCAATTTTATGGATTCGTAGAAGAATTGAACCGCCGATGTCGCTCATATCTGCCTTTTCTTTTGTGGACTTGACGTTCTTTAGGGTGTATTCCTGAACATGTCTGAGAGTATGGGGAAAGATGAAATGAAAAATGATGGAAAAATTAAATGCAACAAAAACAATTATAGAGACTAAAAAAATATTAAGAGCTATTCTATAAGGTTGTTGCTGATGGTATGAGGTAACTGCAATTCAGACTATAGCTTAACGTTAGGTTAGTTCTATTGATAGGGGCTCTTGTTGCAGCCTTCAGCTTGCTGAAAACACACACCTCGAGAAGGTCGTGCAGGATCCATTTTTCATTTTTTGTATGCAACTGTGAATGCGATGAGATGGTACGGTGAAGAGCTAGTGAAGAACACCTAGGAGCACTCTCGTTTGCCTCGTACACTCTAACAATGGTCGTAACTAGAAGCGTGAAGGCGAAGCCTTCGATTTCAGTAGATGCACCTAAACCGAAGAAAATAAAATTTCTGGACGACAGTTTCAATGACACCGAATTCCTTACCGCAGATGAAGCTGGTGAAAAGATAAAAGATGATGAAGTGGAAGGTGAAGGTGAATATCTGGATCTGGATCTGGATCTGGACTCTGATGAGGCTCCAGAAGAAGAATCTACCTCTCAGGCCAAGGAGTTAATAATAAAAAGACAGAAGGAACAAAAGGAACTAGAACTAGTTCAGAAAAGAGAGGAAAAGGAAAGAAGAAGAAAGCAGGATCTTTTACACAGCGAGCAACAGAAGTTGAAAAAGCAGGAGCAAGAAACTAAAGCTGAAGATGGGGAATTACCTGACTTCTTACCGGAAGATATTTTTGATTCCATAGATCAAGAAGAAGAACAAGATGATGAAGACATTGAACAGTCTACTAAGGGTAAGCATTTGAAGTTGTCCGATTTCGAAGATATGGACAAGAGAGAGTTGGCCAAACAAATCAAAGAAGAGAAGCTCAGGCAGTTGAAGTTAAAGAAAAGACTTCTGATTAAAAAGGGCCCAGTGCATGTGAATGTGACATCTGCCGCTGCTCGCCAGATTAACAAGAAACTTGTACCAGTCGCTGAGAGTAAAGTTGTGAACTCGAGAAGCAAGTGGCTCAAGAGAAAATCGCTTGGAAAGAAATAAGCAATTTCAAACTCCTTCGTGTATATTAAACCAGAATATTTAGCATTACATCAGTTCTCTATCTTCTAATAGACAGCTACTATAGACAAAGTATGCGTGAGTAAAGATGTAGAGAAGTGGCTTCAAGGGTTTTTCGACTTGACTTTCAGATCTGCTTGAGCTAACGCAACCTAATCGTAAAATAATATATACACTCTTATGTGTATCAGAATCGCGAGAGGTTATTGAATCGCGAGAGTAAACTTTACGAAAGTGCAAGCAAATGTTTCAACTACTCTGCATTGTGATCTCTTTATTACATGTGCCTCAGTAAGCAGTAGAGCCAAATCCAGTCATAAAGAGTTGTGTGTAACATGTGTGAAACCTCTGTGAAACCTCTGTGAAACATCCGTGAAACTTGTCGTTGCAATTGGTGACCTGCATTCAGTGCACTTCAAGTTGTGCAGCATACTGACTAAAAGGCACGAATTGGTTGTGGTATAGAGCTTTGGCATTCTAGTTATTGTTGGTGCTGTTGTGGCTGTTGTTGCTGGAGGCTTTGATTTTGGCTTGGACCTTGACTAACTTGTCTTCCCTGCCTCATAATTCCTATTCGCTCATCCCTTGTTAAAGATTCTTCTGGTAAGTCTTTAAATTTTAAAATAGAATGATCTTGTTCATCATTGTTCGAAATTCCTTGATTATAAGGGTACTCCTGAGCAGCTTTTGCTAAGTTATCGTCATATTCTAGTATATCTTCAGGCGTGAGCTTGATCGTTGTTGCAGTCCTGCGAAGCATTTCAAGTTATTAGTGTAGAAGAATAGACCAATATGTCACAACATTAAGAGAGGTCTTGATTTTTGAAACATTGCCCAGACATTTGATATTGGATATATGCAGGATCGGTGTTGTACAATTGCAGCCAATTTTTGCTCTGTCCACTGGCTACTAGTAGTAAGCTTCATATACACAGTACTCTCATTATCGAGCTAGGTAATTGGAGCTCATTACAGCTCACATAGAAAGACAGCAATGCAAAATTCAGAGCGAAGTGATCTTGGTTGCTTTCAAAGCACTCGCTAATGCTTACTCGGGATTTCAAATGCAGAGCAATGCGTAGTGCTACTCTGGTTTACCAATTACATAGCGGATAATGAACGGCAAAAAAGTAGTGAAATAATCTAGCCAAAAAAAACTGGCATAACTTTGAAAGCAAACTTAGCTAATGTACCGATATACCCTACTCAATAAGATCGAAGCTCATTGGGAGGGCTTCACATTACTAACTGAAGTGAATTAGCGAATATTAGATCAGATAATCTGCCTTAAATCGTACCTTTCACTTTGCTCAATAGAACAATTCATACTACATGGGAAAATGCATCGACTAAAAGTAATGTCATGAAGCTTACCAAAGGGCTCTGGGCATCTGCCCAGCATCTACCGGTATCTTCAAGTGGCTAGTGCAATCTCAACATGCGTTATACGACTTCGTGGCCAAGTTGGCTAAGGCGTGAGACTGTTAATCTCAAGATCGTGAGTTCGACCCTCACCGAGGTCGTCCTTTTTTTTGTATAGCTATCTACATTGAAATGTTACTTTGCTTCCTAACATATTATAGCATACATAAAGATGGTACTATATAGATACAAATTATTTAGTAGTAGTTCATTGAATATCGTTATCTATGTCTTTAAGCCGTATTTTTGGGCAATATGGACACATCATGTGATCACATCGATGGCAAGTGAATCGCGTGGGTATCTTAAGAACCACTTTAGGCGACGTCCCGTGAGTATTGGGGTATGGGTTATTATTAGATTGGGCGTCATCTGGATGTAAATGGTTCCTAGGACCAGCTTCTCTTTTGAAATTAAAGTCGTAATTTCTGTCGTTTAACTCTAACGTCGTTGTTCCAGGGGAGTTTAATCCACTATTTGGTGTGGGAAGCACTTGAAAATAATCACTATTTTCATCTTCGTTTTCTATTTTATTATTCTCTCTGGTGTCCGTAGATTCAGATTGGTTATATACAATTTTAGAGTAGTACTTCAAACGGTCCATTAAATTATTCTCCACAATGGAGCTGTTTCCAGTGGCTCCTGAGTCATTTGTATATGTAAGTTCTTTCTTCTCTAAATTTTTATAGTAAATTTGTCCAAAGCATTGGCCACACAGGCAGCAATACCATTGGCAGATTTTATTCTGATCTGAAATAGGCGAATTATTACTGCTGCTTCTTTCTGCATCATTACTCTGTATGTAAGTTGCCGACATATTTTGTTGAATGGTATGTATCATTATTTTCAAAGGTATTCTTTAAAACCTATATTCTCCAAAATTACCAATATTGTAATCCAAACATCAAGCAAGTCGTTCAGTAGATATAAATATTCAAGTATAGTTGATAAACTACGAATATTTGCCGTTTAAAATTTTAATGTAGTGGACTGTTCGTGCTCTTGGGGGGGCTAGGCGCACTTTACGTTCTATTTTGTTACTTTTGATCACTGTTGGCTATGTATCCTACAAGAAAGGTAGAATATGGAAAGTTTGCTTGTATAGGCAAAGAATTCTATGTAAAAACAAAATTCGAATGAGTTTCGGTATGTCTAGATTCTCAATATAATGTGACCCTAAGCGTCGTAGAAGCTGTCCACTTTTCTCTCTACTGCTTAGGATTTCTGGTTCTAAAAACTTGGCTGCTGAAGGAACAGAAGGTCAGAATGATATATTATAGGTAAACCAATATATAATTTCGGTGGGGTTCAACTTTTATCCAATAATGGGCACCTTTCAAGCGAATATAGAAAGAAAAAGAAAAGAAAAAGAATAGTCATATTGATTTCCTAGAATTATACTACAAACTTGGGCTTACCCTCTTGGATCCACCTACATTCCAATTATCTTCTTTTGTAGATCGCGCATCATCTATGCATGAAAAGGAAAATTCATAGGTAAAAAAAAAAAATAAAAGAAAAAAAAAGAAACTAAAACAAAGCTAAAGTAAGCAGGGATGAGGTGGTTTGTTTCTACAGTTGCTACTTTTATGTACCGCTTGCCTACATTCGTAAAACCAGCCGAAACATGTTCTATAAACACGGGTACGTACGTTTAGAGCAGTTGCAGGCTTCCAGACTTCGCATTACCACATCCAAATAATAGGAAAAAGCAACCTATTTGTCGTAAATGAATCTTTTCTCATTTTCGTTTTTGTATTTATTTTAAAGCATCTCATACATTGGACAATAGGCCCTAGGCCCTACTTTTTGCTTTTCGATTGTATTTGGCAAGTGAACTTTGATATCCATTTCTCGATTACGAAATATGGCTAGTGTCATAAACTTTTGTATATGAAATGCGCAATATGCATATGCACATGTTGCGGCTCATCATGTAAGCTTATTAGAAACCATCGAATCTAGAAGGGAAAGGTAAAGAACAAAAATTTGGAAAAACCATTCGTGACGAAAAAAGTACTACCATGCGTAATTTATGAAAGTACCTCGTATATAGTACAACCAGCAAAAGGCAAGTGTACTAGTATTATCTTGTGTTCCTCAGCGAGCTGTGGTTTACATTGCTTTTCTGTGCTCTAAAGCCAAGATTAGAACTAAATTCTAGCCAGGCGTTCCGATCGCAATGTGATAACGGACCCTATGAAAATTGAGCTGAGCCCCTGCTAACTTTAAATTCTGGCCCTGCAATTTTTTTTTTTTTTTTATTTTTTTCGTATTTCCATCAGAGCAGATTTCATGCCACTAAAAATACTACAGCATCGGTTTATATCGACTAACGTTTTAGCTAATGGTCCCACATTCTTTTGTGAGCAGCTGGAACGTAACGCACAGCTCCTATAAAACAACCATGCAAGGATTCTAGGTTCAACTCTATCACATTCGCTGCCAGATTCATGTTGTATTTGCCATTTAACGGCTACTTTCCCCATGAAAAGATTATACTCATGAAAAATATGCAATGCCGCCTTTCCGTATTTTCGTCTTCTAGATTTAATATTTTATAGGGAACTTACACCATGCGAAAGTGGAGAATTTATTACATTTATACAACGTATCATGAATGAGTACTATGAAACCCCTCAATATATTTTCCTGCCATTGATCTTTACTTAGATTTTATCGGTAATATTGCATTTTCTTGGATAGTCAAAACGGATTCAGACGATTTCGAATAATTTCTAGTTTAAAATTGTGCCCCTCCTATCGACTATTTTTAAAAATAAGTCCTTTGGAATAAATCCGTTCACATTCCCAGAACTTAGTATAACGTTATTAGAGCTGCGATAGAATTCAATCCCCTCTTTTAGGCATTTGTCGATATCTATATATATTAATACATTGCAACTGGTTCTCATACCGGAGATCACCTTATCTGGAGACTCATCGTATGTGAAATGAATATGATTTCTGTTCATTCTAGAAAGTCCACCGGACTCTAAAATCAATGGTAATTTTTTCAAGTAAGTGCCATGAATTACTACAGGTGGGAACTCATCTTTAGTTTTTAAAGGAAGTAATGCTTCGTCTCCTACCACAGCAGTAATTGAATGTCCTTGGTTTGCACATATAAGCGCTTTACCGCTTTCGTCTGTCTTGATTGAAAATCGTTTCTTGTCATTGTTTTCTACAATTCTCTTAATATCTTCCAACGAAGTCTTTTGCGATTTGATTCGATTGTGGTTAAGAATATCGTTCAACGGTATGTAACCGTTAGAGTCTATATTGAGTTTCTCTTTGATGGCGCCATGGCGGAGTAAATATGAGAGCGATTTGGATATCTGCACGTCACGTTTATCAGAAGTAGAAGACATAGTCAGCTATTTAAAGTCAATTGAGATAATACTTATTGCGGAAGACTTAGGCTAACATTAAGATGAGACAGCGTGAAACGCTTAGGGCCAAAAAAAAAAAAACCTTAGCTAAATTTTCGCCCCACCCAAGTGAATAAAAATACTGTGACTAATCTTCAGTTACAATAATTAAACTTACGCTTTTCCTCTGTCCTACATGCTGATTTGCTTATCGTTGTCATTATGTGCATTTCTATTTACAATTTGTTTTTTCTGTTTCTCTTAATAATAATTTAAAAAAAATAGGAAACATGTTTAATTCAAAGAGCTGTCCTAGCGTACTTTTCTTTAACTGCACCTCTTAGTAGCCTTAGCTCCTGCCAATGATCCCATTTCACTCTTCTTTTGCTTAATTGTTTCATTGTCTCCTAATTCTGTCTGTTCATGAATATCTAGTAAGTACTTTCCTTCTTCCTTTTGTATACCTTGTACTACATTTGCAACTAAAAACTTGGCTACGGCATTAGCATGATCAATTTTCTCTTGCGCTATCTTACTGTCTAACTCTCTCTCCTGTAAGAAATCGGACCTTATTTTACTTCTAGCTGCAAATAAAACTTCTGCATCATTTTTAAATGAGACCTTAGTGGCTTTCAAGAGGTTCTTATAGGCAGAGAGCGCTGCTGATCTGGACATCGTAGCTTGTAACTTGGGTGATGTGTTTAACTAGTGTTCTTAGTCATGAAAAATATTTGAAAGCCAATATGGAGAATAAAAATAAAAAAAATAAAAGAAGAGCATGGACTTGTCCTGTGTATAGAGTGCTGCAGAATGATATACACACAAGTAAGACTCTACCTTAAAACTCAAGATACCTTGCACTTCTCTCTACAATAGCTTACATAATGTGTTGTTTCGTGATGTATGTATTGATTTAATGCTATAATATCAACTTTTCTACAGAATACACAGGAATTTTCTTACTGATAGATATACCATCATCAAGCAAATTTTTTCTCGATGTATTGTTAATAGTCAACATTGAATTCAACTGTTCTTGTTGTTTATTTGATTCAACAATATCTTGTGTTACTGCTCCATTGCTTTGGGCTTGTTGTTGTTGCTGCTTCAATTCCTTTTTCTTTTGTTTCTTACTCTTCTTTTTTCCAGCCGATGTATCAACCAATGACGAGTTCACCAATATAGCCTGGTTGGTCAAAGTTAAATTATAACCATTCAAGTTCAAAGACTCTAATTGGATCTCAACATCTTCAATAACTTTATCAATTAAATCTTTTGACCATCCAAATAACCCACCGGCATCTATAATTGCGGGAATGATTTCCCATCCATTATCCAAAATGAAACATTTCTTTATGCATTCTTCTAAATTGAAGGCGGTTGTCTGCTTCAAAACTTCCAATAATGTTGAAGTGATCTGATTTATTGAATATTCTTCAATTAATCTGCTCACAACGTCCTGGAAAATCTCATCATTGCTGTTGTTAAGTTGCTTAGTAATTTCCAAACATGACAAATTGGGGCACGTTATAAGCGCTTGTCTGAGAAGTCTGAGAGACCCTATGGAAGATGCTGTGGAATCATCAATTTCTTCGGATCTCTTGGCAAATAGACTAAGTAAACCTTTGGTGAATTCCTTTGGATACAAAGGATGTGTGAAAAGGTAAGTCAATGAGTGCTCTGGATTAAACTTGGATTTAAACTGAACGTCTCCGTTGTCGTCATTTGCGCTAAAAATTAATGATGTAATAGAATAAATGAAATTGTAATCTATAATTCTATCTTTTTCCACTTCAAACACTTTGAATTCGTAATCTTTCGTTACAGGTACCAACTTGTCATTTGTGGATGCCTTATTAGAAAGCTTCTTGATAGATTTCTTTATTGTTGTCCATGATTCACCTTTCAAGTATGGGATCACAATTCTCTCCCATTTCTTTAAATTAGATTCCTCAGATGCATTTTTCAACTCTTCATAAATTTCATTGATCTCATTGGTAAGAATAATAGAATTGTCAACAAATTTGTCATCGAGAAGATCGGAGAGTCCAGAAAACTTAGCCACTGCGTCAGATTTAACCTTACTTATCCCCTTACCTAAGCATTCACTTAAGGTACCTAAACCTACATCAACATTGATCACGTTTAAATCACTGACATTGGCCTTAGCATCATGACTGAAGAAAACAGCAAATGTTTGGCTGGTTCTAAGCGAATTCCCCTTAACTTTGAAGACAGTCTCCAAAGAGATCTTGTCTTGGTGACTGAATTTATCTAATATTGAGTCATACTTTGTATTTATGAGGTAAATTATCCCTTCGAAACTTATAAGTAATCTTTCAGGAGCTGGTGAAACCATGGTCACTTCGGTGACACTCTGTTTTCTCTCAAGTATGCTTCCAAACGGTATGGTTTTGAATAGTCTGAAATCAGGAAGTGTATACATCTTCAATGTATTCTCCTTCTTTGAAAATTCATACAAGCAGTTGGCAATGGAATCATAGGTGAAAGCCGAACCTGCTTCCATGTCTTCCTCTAACACTACACTCTTAATTTCAATTGTATTTTCCAAGTCAAGAGAAAGTAATCTCACTTGCACCTTCTTCTTGTTAATGAGTTCAACCAATACCAACACACCATCACCTTTGTTGATTTCGCCGGTTTCTATAAATTGATGGTATAAAGTCCTTGAGTTTCTCAATCTATTCAAGTTTGAGTAAATTGGAGAGTCGTTGTTTTCTTCGTCTTCGTTGTCTTCCAAATTGTACTGGTACACCTCAACAGTACAGTCATCCAAGATAACGTATACATGTCTGGAGTCTTTGCTAAAATGGGTGCTCACCACTTTAGACTTGGTCTTTATTGACTTGGTGCTTACAGATTCTTGCTGGTCTTGATCGCCTTCTGGTGTGGTGCTCAGGTGTTCTTCCGACTCTTGGTTGTATCTCCTCAAGAATAAAAGATTATGATCTTTCTTTCTGTCGGTAGTACCAATCGCAAATTGCTTGATAGAAGTATCTTCTGTTTCTGCTACATCTATGTAGTCCACTATAGTGTTGGGGGATAATGCATAAGTCCATATTAACTTGGGCGTTGGCTTCAATATGATGGAGCAAATGGATGATCTTGAAATCCCAATATCAAGCACCTGTTGTTGAGCCAGTCTTATTCCAGACACAACTGCCTTCTCAGAAAGCTTGATGTCTGAGACTCGAGGAAGAGTCGTGATGGAGAATTGGTCAGATAAAGACATATCCAGCTACTTCTATGCAATGACTTCTTGTAGACTGTTTGTACACCTTTAGTGGAGGCATCGCATTAACAATTTTCGTTCTTTTTTTCAACCCAAACATTTTGCTGCTGAGATGTCTTCGCATTGATTACGTAAGCAGTGATGAGGAAGAAGATCGATGTGTAGAGGTGTCTGGACGGCTGCAAACTATGGACAGAGTAGCGCTTGATGCAATGTTTTGGGTGTGAAAATGTATTGGCGTGAAATGTGTTATATTGGTGCATGGGGAAAGGGATATATTGAAAGTGATGGAAAGTGAAAGGGAAAGGAGAATTTTTACATATTAGTGTTGGAGAATGGGTACTGTGGAGTACGCATTTATGCAGGTGCAACCAAGCTAATCAAATATGTTGATTCTGTGCTTCTATACTGTAATAGATAAAATACCAGCTGGTGTAGGAAAATATTCAACCTTGTATAACTACGGCTTTCCGCAGACAGTTTAATTTCACATGGTAATGAAATGTGTAAGTATGTTCTCTACATTGTTGCTAGAACCGGACTTGTTCTCAATGGCCCCAAATCAATTTTTCTCGAGATCGTCCTGAACCGGCTGCATAATAGTTTAAAACCTGTACCTTCTTAGTAATACTTTGATTATACAACGGAGTCCACTACATAGTTTAGTATCCGATGACGCGGTAATGGAGTCTTCCAATAATAGATAATAGCAGAGTTCCACGGTATACGTTTTTTTTTCTTCAAAACTTACCTACAGCAAAAGTAAATATTCCTAATATATATTTAAATCTAGTGTACAATCTCTATTTATGCTATTTTTCTATAATATGTAACCAATAAATTAATTCAAACTCCGGCAAGCCAAGGGACTTAGGCAAGTTCCAAAAATTCTTCATTGGCGTAATGGTAGTTTTCTACGACAACTTTGAATTCATCGGTTTCCTTGTTGTATGAATCAACACGGAATGATGAAAGATCATCAACGACGATATCAGCCCCGGCATCTCTCACCTTTTCTGGTCCGTAAGTAGAACAGATACCAACAATCATGGCACCGGCTCCCTTACCAGCAGTAATACCTGCAGGAGCGTCTTCAAAGACAACTACCTTTTTGGCTCCATCTTCATATCCTAAGGTATTTCTAGCATTTTGGTAACCCATAGGATGTGGCTTACCCTTGGTAACCTTTTCAGCGGTGATGAAACAGTCTGGTTGTCTAATCTTTAATAATTTTAACCATTTGGTGGCTAATGGTAAAGTTCCAGATGTGACAATAGCCCATCTTTGCTTACCATTATCAGTTTCATTCTTGGAATAGTCATCAAATTGATGCACTAATTCAACAGCACCTGCAATAGGCTTGGCTGCATGTCCAAATGTGTCAGGGATCTCACCTTCCCATTGTGTAACTTGTTCTGGGATGGCATCTTCTGGAGACCACTTTGCGATAACGTCAAAAGTTCTGCACCCGTGAGAAGTTCTGATAATTTCTGCAGGGTTAACATGTGGTCTGGTCTTACCAAATTCATTCCAGAATTCTGAAATAGCACCAGTGGAATTCACTAAGGTACCATCACAGTCAAAGAGGGCAGCGTTAACATAAAAGACAGCAGGTTGTTTGTAGACAGTCATTTCTAATTATATTCTTGTTCTTGGTATTTATAAAATAAAATATATTTATAATTGGAATTAAGATATTGAAATACAAGTGAGTGCTACAGGGGGACTTCCAGGGGTTTATATAAGTGTTGGATCAGCATACACAGTGGTTCAAAAAAAGGAAAAAATTATGGACCTTCTTATCATTTGATGCATGTCCCGAAAAAAGAAACACCCGGGGCTCAAAACTCCCTCAAAATACACATACTTTCTGTAGACTTTTTCCTTTTTTTTTTTTTTTATCAGTTTGCATCTGCTATTCTAATTTTATGACGTAGGTGAAACTAAACACAATAGGAGCAATACGAAACTATACTTGGGCACCCAGGAAGACTCAGTTCCAAGTGAGCTCCCGTAGAAGGATGCTTCGAACTGTGATCTGATCAATGGTGCTTTTAGAGCGATTAGTAAAGTTATACAACTGGTGACAATTATCTTGCTAGATCACATGAGAAGGTTTTTCCGAACGAGAAAAAAAAAAAGACTAATATGCATCACCTTTTCTTTTTCTGCTCTCACGCCGTTAGAAGCTCACGAAATGGTTCACTTGTATTTTCCAACAGCTTTATTTTATTCGTCCTTTTTATCGTTCATTATTTTCTATTCTGATTTACTTCCCACCCCCCTTAACCTTCTTCTTTTTGTCCCTTTCTCAATAGTTACAACCTTATTTCTACATTGTACTCGAATTCCACTTACCTAATTCGATACTGACTTCTCTTATTTTCACAGTCTTCCTGAAACTTCCTAGAGATTATCCTGATAATTCCCGTTAGCCTTGTTTTCCCGATATCCCAGATCCTGCTAAATGCATTCGTGAATAGTAAAAGAAGTGTCGTCATATGACATATCAGATTCGCGCGGACACGACCCGAGATTGCCAGAGAGCAAATCAATCTCAGTTGTTAGTGAGCCATTGCAACCATACAAAGAAGAGGGTAAAAGGCACCATGTGAAACAAAAATGTAAGGGGATGCAAAACTACCATAATGAGCTGGATAGCGTGTTAACAATTGTGTTCATAATACCTACCATTAGGTTTTACTTAAAGCCTAAGCCTAAGTTATTCCGGATGGTTCCTTCTGGCGTTAATGCAGTAGTACGTAATTTTTTCTGGGTGCCAAAAAAAAAAAGTTTTGAAACACCAAAAAAAGAAAAAAGAAAAAAAAAATAATAATAGATAGTTAGCTTGATAAACGAAACAGTGCAACCTTTGACTCTAGGCCCCGGTTATGAGAGTAAGTGGGAGTCCTGTTGTCGTAAAAGGTAATTACCAGATATCAACCTACTTAACATGAAATCGTTACTGCGTAAGTTAACACCGAGCTTGGTATGTTTTGCCATCTAGCTATGGCATGTGTAATTCTCTATTGAGTAGACAACGGTACAAACTATACTATATTGAGGTAATCAGTTTATCTAATTTTAGTAAGATACCAATCCCTATTACTAGAGACGACGGACTTATCTCTGCATTAACAATGCCATTTCTCTCTTTACGTAGTTTTCCTTTCTTACACTGCGGTTACCCAACCAGGCTCTCTTTTCATCGAATTGCCACGTGCATTGGGTGGTGTTTTCCCGATCGCCACACAGGAAGTGAACCATTACATCATACCTCTTCCCTACTACATCACAAAAGTAGCCAGAAACATTGGACGAATCAGAAGAGGAAATAAAATAACACATACATCCATTGTCATGTAAGTTTTGCACTGATTTAATGTTGTTTTGTATAGTTAATGTTGATTGTTAAACTCAATTCTGGTCTACTGCAAACCACTTGGCGATTTGATTGCAAAAAAGTTAAGAGTCTGAAAATACCAGTTAGAAGATGGAGCATTTAGTCAGTTAAGCTGACAACACAGAAAAAATTAAGATTAGATTAAACGAGTTTGCAAGGCCAAATTAGGTCTCACCAAGGAATTGCAGTCCAAACGGGGGTTGAGCCTGACTCAATACACTAGAGCACACTGAAATAAATGGAGAGATGCCTCTTAGTGCAACACTTCAACACTTCAACCAAATCCATCTTCATCCGTTCCTGCATACAAATAGCAAGTGGAAATAGAAAAAAATGCTCTTCTCTCTTCATCATGGTAGCATACTGAGCAAGACGCAAGTAGCACCACTACAAAGGGTTACAGTACATCCTAATCTCTGGTAGTCAGTTACTTCTACATGTTACTTCCGTAAGAATTTGTTTACTATTTTTTTTCCGCTATATTATACTATTTAGATTAGATGTAACCAATTCTGTTAGCGATATCTAAAGCATCGTGGTCAGCAGTTAATCTGATGTAAGCCTTCTTGGTACCGTTTGGTCTGATTAAAGTGTTAACGTATAAGACATCAACATCGTATAATTCCTTAACAGCAGCCTTGATTTGGTTCTTGTTGGACTTGATATCAACTTGGAAGACCAAGATGTTACCGTCTTCAACCTTCTTCATGGCGGTTTCAGAGGCAATTGGGGAGACAATAACCTTGTAAGCATCCAATCTGTTGTAGTGTGGGACAGTCTTTCTAGCGTATTTTGGAGCTCTAGTCAACTTTAAGGTGTTTGGTAATCTGAAAGTGGTAGAAGTTCTAACCTTTAAAGATTTCTTAGCGTTACCACCCTTTAAAGCGGCTTTCTTTGCAGCAGAGGCTTTAGTAGCTAAAGGTTTGTTAGTATTATGAAGAGGTATAGGGGTTATTTCAGAAATGAGGGAGAGGGAGTGAAAGTTAGAGTGTCCACACTCACACCAAACTACCACATAGGCTAGTATGGGGACGGGGCATCATATCACACCTCCATGTTCTTGGTTTTCTGCTTCAATAGTACATCTACAGGGTATAGCTTTATGGTGCAGAGCGGAGTTCGGGAACAGTGCTGAAGCTGGTTGTATTTGGAGTTGGAGTTGACCTCCCATGAATTTTTCGTTTTTTTTTTCTTACATCTACCAAGTAGAGAGACCTCCCTTGCAAGCCCTTCATGTTTCGAAAAGAAAAGACTTTCGGGCCATAAGGGGTCCGCTGGACGTACTCCGCTATATGTACTCTCATAAAGTTTCCTCAACTAGGCGATTTTTCAACTGTTGTTGGGTTGTTGTTGACGCTCTATCTCAGTCTATATTTCTCCTTCTGCTCGGTCTACATAGGACAAACACTTGTTGACCACAAAACACTTCATTTTTATCCAATAAATCGTACGCTAGAGTTCCCTGTGACTTCACCATTAACAATACACTGCTAATATACTATATCTATGTCCATTAGGTACTTACTTGGAGCCATTTTTGTCGTTATTAGTCTGAGTAGGTAAAAGATAATTATTCTCTAGAACAATTTTTCAATAAATTCCTTGTAGTGAGAAATTCGCATGCAGGAGGTTTGGGGGTTTGTGATGGCAGTTAAGGCGAAAGAGAAAAAAAAATGCGAAAAAAAGGAAAATTTTCGAGGAATGAACAAGGTACCGTGACGTGGAAAGGGCAGAGCCCTGGACAGTTGCACGTGATCGAGCAATTGGATTTTTGGCTATACCGGCCACTTCTTGCCGATGTTACAAGGCTTGAGAGTTATACTATTCGTTATATCTATTTTATATACAGGTGGACATAGAATTCTGAAGAAAGTACATTACCAGAGAAGAACCAATTATTGATGCAGTAGTTGATTGGGTAAGCCAGGCATGTGTATTCTTGTTCGTATTCTTTGTTCATGTTCTTCTTTTTGTTCTTGCTCTTGCTCTTCTTCCTTTATTTACTTTTATTTGGACTTCTTTTGTCTTACATGCTCTTCTATCTCTCTCTACAACCTTCTGGCCTTCTTGGCTCTGGTACCACCAAACTTGATCTTGGTATCGTCGGAAATTCTCACAATGTGTGGCTTCACGTATAACCCTTCCTTACCTTGTAAAGCCGAGAGGAATGCTTCTCTACCTTTTCCAAAGTTCTTTAAGATCAACTCGATCTTGTCATTTGGACCCAAGAATCTCTTTTCTTCGATCAATTTGAACATCTTGTTGGTAACTTGGTAGCCTGCTTCGTACTCAGCTCTCTGAGCCTTTCTGAATCCAAGTTGACCGGCCGAAATATGTGCCTTAGGGTGGTGAGGTAAGTTGAGATAGTATAACACTTGTTCATTGTAAGATAAATTGGGGTTCTTGTCGAGGAAATCGAGATCTTCTACCACTGCACTCAAAGTCAAGTGGGTATTGTGCTTGTTGAACGTTCCGTTCAATTTCCACAAAACGATTCTTTCATTTTTTCTATTTTTACGGCTGGTCTGCTCTGATGCTGTTGCTGTGATGGTACTCTTGGCATTTCCGCTGGTGCCAATAGTGCTAGTGGAGTCCAATATGTCCTTGAACGACGTTGGGCTCGAACTCGAATTAAAAATGGATGGAGTGCTTGCAAAGGAGCGGAACGATACGGAACTTTTGGGTATGACTTGGAGAGATTTGTACAATCCAACGTTTGATATAGTTTTAAGCATGCTGAATGTACTGTCTACGAAATAGTTGCACTGAAGAGAACTCTTGCATCGTGAAGTACATTTGTGAAAATTAACTTGAAGATTTTAAGAAAACGTATTGTGTGCAGGATTTTCAAAATTTACCGAATACTAGAATTATATGCAGGTTATATTTGCAGCCAAAGTCCTAAAGAGAAACAAGCGAGAGACACCACTCCACGCTACAGTGAGGGAATAGGTTCACATTCAGCCTAATGTGCTAGGCTGAGAGATTAGTGATCTTAGATTATTTATTGATACGTATTTCTCTCATTTAACGAATAGTCAACTACTTCTTTAATTTTCACCACCGCAATACTGTGTGCAGGATTTTCTTCGTATTGATTGTGATAGCTATATACAGGCCGAATTTGCAGCCAAATACCTGAGGAGGACCAAACGACGTTTAACTTGCCCTACGCTACAGTTACTGGTACAGGATCGTATCGAGCCTCAGAATTAAAGTCTGAATAGCTAATGTTCTTCAATGTATTCATTGATACATATTTTTCAGTACTGTTCCTATTAGTCACCCCTAGCAACCACCACCTCCTCCTCCTCCTCCTCCACCGCATCCACCTCCTCCTCCACCGCATCCACCACCTCCTCCACCGCATCCACCACCACCTCCACCGCATCCGCCGCCGCCACCACCCCATCCACCACATGCTCCTCCCGATTTGCCACAGGCTGCTGTATTTGATCCACAATTAGCCCCTCCTGAGCAACTTGCTCCTCCGTGGTTGCTCACAGCACAGCAGCCTCCATCGGAGCCCCAATAATCACTTTCAACTGCTGGAATTGGAGAATTATAAGGTAAGACATACATCCCTGACAGGCTATGATAGTAGTATATATCATCTCTCCAAGGATAGATCTTACCATTATCGTTTTTTCCGTAATTCCTTTTCATTCTGACGCTAACCAAATTATTCCCCCGAGGAATTGTTATTGCATTATGAGAAGATATATGCGTTAGCCCAGCTCCTTTATCTTCCGTTATAGCATTCTCATCTGTGAGAATGTTTCTCTTGGTATTTTCCTCCAAGTCACCTTTCAGTTTGAAAAGACGTTTGATTTTGCTTCTACAGTTGTTTCTGGCACTCACGCAAAACCAACAGAAGCATAAACTGTACTCTTTACCATATCTTGTCTTATAAATTTTACTGGTCTCTTCAAACCTAGTGGTCAATTTTCCTTCTTCTATCTTATCATCATGATCAACGACATTCTTTCCATTTTTTCTGCAATAATCTAGGTAGAAGAAGGGGGACAATAAGTGGGTATGCCACATTAAGTCGATATCCAATGTGGGAACCAATATCCCATCTGTTGTAATGAGCATGGAAATGAATCTAGTGTATCTTATACTAGTTTCTAATAATGTTTCCTTTAATACAGGAGAGAATAACCATCCAATTTTATTCATTTTATCGACAAACTTTTGCTGGCGAAGAACACATCCAACTAAATCTTCCGATATTTTCACATTATGCTTCATAGGTGGAATGGTAGCATGAATCAAGTTCATTTGGGGATAATTTCTAAGAATGTATTTGGTATTTAGTATTATTCTCTTTTGGCTTTTCAGTGTAGCTGATCCTCTTGCCAATTTCCGTAAAGCATTATCCAAAGGAGAATCTTTGTCTTGTACAATCTTAGTTACAACACTCTCTCGTAAATATTTTTTCACAAGATAGTCAATTCTATTGATGTGCATCTCATCATTTGGTTCTCCCTTCAAGACACTTGAGTAATATCTGTATATACAAGGTAACCGTTTCTTTTCAACATAAACATCAGCGACAAGTTGCCTCTTTCTAAGATTATCATGCGAGAGAATGGTACCTCGAAACCCTTCACAGTAACAGGCACATTCTTTGCGGGAAAATTCTGCAATAAAGTCTTTATCCGCAAAGCCGTGGCCCAAGGCATCCGTGTAAGGTACAGTGGACAACAATTTAAAGCAAATTGGACAGAAAACGCACACCTTTTCTGTTACCAAGTGCTTTAAGTCTACTTCATATTCAACAACGACTCCAGCGTTTTTCATTAGTTCGTGGAATCCCAAGCGTTGTTTCTCATCCGGACAGTATTCAAAGGTATCCCAATCAATTGCTCCAGCAATTTTATCTAAAGGGAATGATGTGAGAGCAAAATCCTGGAGTCCATTTCTAATGCAATTGTCATAGAAGGATTTGGGGTTGAGTAAGAATGCATGCCAAACTAAAACCACATCCAATGGTGGAAGGAGTCCAGGAAGAGCGTTGGGTATTCGGTTCTCAACTTTTTTAAAGTACTGAAAATCGTCATCTGGAAGCAAATTCAAAACAGTTTCCGGATGGTCACCGAAATCACCATCAAAGGGTCGGTATAACGAATCTAATTTCCTCAGAGACTTGAGTGCATTGAGAAAGATAATGAATCTACGAACAGCATTTGTCACATAAACCTTCCAGGGAATTACTTTGTCCTTTTCTTCTCGTATATGACTCGTCACCTTACTATAAAGCCTGTCGAATGCTTTTAATAACAATAAGTGTGCAGTGGCTTCTTGGACAGTTGGAAATCTGTCACCTTCATGGTAGAGTTTAAATTGCCTAAGACTGAAGAACTCAGAACGTGTTGCACCCTCTAATATATTTTTGAATGGAGCCCTTTCCATGTTTGAGTATTTGGGTAATTGAGTATCCTACTATTACTTTGGCTATCAAAATAGCATATGTAAAGTTGTTATCTATTCATGACTTAAGCTTACTTAATTGGGGCAAACCCATGGTCTTATAAGATAAAATTAAACTTCGAAATTTTAGTATAAAACACCGAATGATTACAATTAAATAATTGCCTTCAGTTTCTAAACATGATCAGTATAAGCAAATCTGGAAACTGCTATTGCAGTGGCAACTATGATTGGTCCAGCCCTATTACTAGGTAATGATGTCATTCCATCTTGATAAAGAAATGTTAAAGCCGCGCCATCGGTACTTTGATATAAGATTTACGAGAATTTCGCTTCTTAACTAATGGCCTTATCGGTTATTAGAATAGGAAATCTGTATCATGTAAAAGCTAAAATTGAGAAATAAAGTTAAGGAGAAGGACCGTATTCCTTCCTCAATTCATTTAAATCACGAAGGACGAGACAATAATAGCCGACATATGTCAAAATTGGTAGACTGATAAAAGATATGGGATGGGAAGGAAAAAGAGGAGAGCAATGTGAGTTAAAGTACATGAGGAGAGAAGTAGGAATGCGATTACAACATATGTAGCGCTGAAAATATCAAACGACTGGAATTAGCATGTATTTTGTAGCACTTGGTTCTTCCATCTTTTATAAGGTGTAGTTCTTTTACTTCCTAAACAATTGGCTGCAAAAGTAAACTCATAGATTTATTCCTTAACTGTTAGTCATTACACTAATTACCACCTCCACCGCAGCCACCTCCTCCTCCACATCCGCCTCCACCACATCCACCGCCCCCTCCACCGCATCCACCACCTCCTCCACCACATGCACTCCCCCCTGAGCTACCACAGGCTGCCGTACTTGATCCACAATTAGCCCCTCCTGAGCAACTTGCTCCTCCATTATCACTCACAGCACAGCAACCACCCTGGGAGCCCCAATAATTACTTTCGCCTGCTGTAATTGGAGCATAGTACGGCAAAACATACATACCTGCCATACCATAGAAATAAAATGAATCATCTCTCCAGGGATAAGTTCTAACATTAGTGTTTTGTCCATATCTCTTCTTCATCCTCATGGTAGCCAAATTATTCATTCGAGGAATTGTTACTGCATTGTGAGAAGATATGTGAGTTAGTCCAGTTCCCCTGTGTTCAGTCACTGCGTTCTTCTCTGTAAGAATGTTCTTCTCGAGATTATCTTCTGGGTCAACTTTCAGTCTAAAAAGACGTTTAATTTTGCTTCTACAATGGTTTCTGGCACTTACGCAAAACCAACAGAAGCATAAACTGTACTCTTTACCATATCTTGTCTTATAAATTTTACTGGTCTCTTCAAACCTGGTGGTCAATTTTCCTTCTTCTATCTTATCATCATGATCAACGACATTCTTTCCATTTTTTCTGCAATAATCTATGTATTCGAAGGGAGACAATAAGTGAGTATGCCACATCAAATCAATATCCAATGTGGGAACCAATATCCCATCTGTTGTATTGAGCATGGTTATAAATCTAGTGTATCTTATACTGGTTTCTGATAATGTTTCGCCTAATATAGGTGAAAATAACCATCCAATTTTATTCATTTTATCGACAAACTTTTGCTGGCGAAGAACGCATCCAACTAAATCTTCCGATATTTTCACGTTATCCTTTAATGGTGGAATGGAAGTATGAATCAAGTTCATTTGTGGATAATTTCTTAAAATGTACTTAGTATTGCCTAAAATTCTCCCGTGCTTTTTCAGTGAAACTGGTCTTCTTGACAATTCTAGTAAGGTTCTTTCTAAGGGAGAATTTATATCTTGTTGTATCTTACTAACCACGAAATCTCGTAAGTACTGCTTTACAAGATAGTCAATTCTATTGATGTTCTTCTCATCAGTCGACTTTCCTTTCAAGACACTTGAAAAATATCTGTACATATTAGGTAATCGCTCTTTGTCAACATAGAGATCAGCTATAAGTTGCCTCTTTCTAAGATTATCATGTGAGAGAAAGGTACCTTGAAATCCTTCACACTTACAAGCACATTCTTTGAGGGAAAGTTTTGCAATAAAGTCTTTATCTGCGAAACCGTTACCTATAGGATCTGTGTATGGTACAGTGGACAATAATTCTAAACAGATTGGACAGAAAACGTTCACTTTTTCTGTTACCAAGTGCTTTAAGTCTACTTCATATTCAACAACGACTCCAGCGTTTTTCATTAGTTCGTGGAATCCCAAGCGTTGTTTCTCATCCGGACAGTATTCAAAGGTATCCCAATCAATTGCTCCAGCAATTTTATCTAAAGGGAATGATGTGAGAGCAAAATCCTGGAGTCCATTTCTAATGCAATTGTCATAGAAGGATTTGGGGTTGAGTAAGAATGCATGCCAAACTAAAACCACATCCAATGGTGGAAGGAGTCCGCGAAGAGCATTAGGCACTCTACGGTATTGCTTGTCAAATTGTTGGAAATATTCATAATCATCGTCTGGAAGCATATTCAAAGTAGCTTCATCACTGAGATCACCATCAAAGGGTTGGTATAACGAATCTAATTCCCTCAGAGACTTAAATGCACTAAGAAAGATAATGAATCTACGAACAGCATTTGTCACATAAACCTTCCAGGGAATCACTTTGTTCTTCTCTTCCGGTATATGGCTCGTCACTTTACTATAAAGTCTATCAAAAGCCTTCAATAACAATAAGTGCGCAGTGCCTTCTTGGATAGTTGGGAATTTGTGGGCTTCAGCAACCGTCTCAAAATCTCTGAGACTGAAGAAATCAGAAGGTTTTGCACCTTCCAATATATTTTTGAATGGAGCCTTTTCCATGTTAGCGTATATGGGTAATTTTGTTACTTCCTAAGTTATCAAAACAGGTAGTATATTTTTGTTAGTTAACTCTGATTTTGAATTTGCTTTTCTGGGGTAATCCAATGTTCTTATAGAATATTTTTAAGCTTCGAAAAGAGTAGTATCTAACCGACTTGACTTTAGACCAAACGTGCTTCAATTGATTGCGCTTAGTTTTCGATGATCAAGATTAACTAATCTGGTAAGCAATATCGCAGTGCACCTGTCCATGGTTATATCTGCTCTGGGGTTTGGTAATGATGTCATCCATTCTGGTAAAAAAATGTATCGGCCGCGCCATCGCCAGCGGAGATGTGAGTTTCGAGATGTCGGTTGTGCACCAACCCTAGGCTTGGCGACTATCAGAATAGGCAACTCTTATCATCTAATACCTTAAATTCGAGAAAATAGTTATGAGAAATAAACCCGAGGCAATACTTTCTTCACGATGGATGCCAGGGAGGATGAACTTCGATGATCATTTGCCAATCATAGTAGACTAGGATGGGATATGGGATAAGGGGGGAACGAAAGAAGAAGAAAGAGATGTGAATAAAGGTGAATGGAGTAGAAGTATATTAAAAGAGAGATAGTAGTTTAGCAGAAGAACAATTTCGCGTTGGAGCTACAATCGTCGGAATTGTAACGTATTCTGTGCCATTGGATCTAGCGTTCATTACTTGATACGATTCTTCTATTTCTTTAATAAATGGGTGCAACATTTAGAGCAATCAGTGCGATCAGAGCAAAAGAGATAAGCAAGGGAAAAAAAAAAAAAGAAAAATGCAACAAAACCTTAAAATGACTACATAGCCTCACCGGACAAAATACAAGGCTAACGAAGAGGTGCTTGTACCTGTACTGCTCGCTACACATCCTAGTTCCACATGGATTGCAAGCTAACCATTTAGTGATGAAGCAGCCCTAGTCGCAGCTTCAGTGCCTAAAAGAACAAATATGGAACGTACTGCGTCTGCAAGCTCTGGCACCAGTCCCTCCACCTACTAACCTGTAATGAGCATTTCTCTCATTTCTCTTACTTTCCCTACTCTTCTCTTCCTTTTTCGTTCTTCTTTCTTTCTTTTCCAGTTCCAATTACAAGATGAGGCGAATACTGGGAGAAAGAAGCTTATGCTCCTCCATCATACAGGAGTATCTCCATGCACCAATAGTTCCTAGCATCATCTTCCATGTGTGGAATGCATTTTGTGTACTGTATATAGTCTATGTCCAAGTCCGCCCACCAAAAGAGTAACCTACCCAATAAGCAAAAAGACCACACACAACTCCATGACAAACTGACAATTGCTTTCCCATTCTTTGCATAGCTACATAGCCTCATATTTGTTACAGTGACCCAGGTCCACTGCTTAAGCTCAATTGAACTTCTCCCTCCTTCCCCTCTAGCCCTAACGGTAGCTCGAATTAAGCCTTCTCATGTAGCATTTTTCCTCTATTGTTTACTTTTCGCGTATTATTCTTAATCTAATCAAACCTTGTTAGTATGAGAGTCATGTACTGCAGATAAGAGAGTCTTAATACAGTGCTGGCAAAAAAAAAAATTAAAAAAAAAAAACAACAAAAAAAAAGGGAGCGTACAATCTGAGGGGGACTGTGTTCGAACGCTACAGGTACAAGCAACAACCATTGAGGTACATCAACCATATCTCTTACAGTCCGTCAATTGATCAAATTGGTATACCAGTATCGATAATCAGAATTTAATTGTGTGTGGAATCCACTCTTTTTATATTAATATCGGAGTCAAGTTCGTTCTTTTTTGTTTGACACAATCACAGACGCTCCAACGAACCAATTTCAGTCTGGTGCAATATAACTTTGCTAAGGGATTCTGTTCACTTTATTTTTTTTTTTAGCAGACAATATACAGCATCTGCTCCAGGGCTATAGACAGCAACGTTTACTGAAACGAATAATAGAATTAGATCTCAAAAATGCCTGAGGTTAACGAGTACATGATTGACCGTGTCACAGAAAACACAACGTCGGCAGTGACGCCCATGATTGTAAGGGAGTATAACAAGATTGGAGAGGGTGCCTTTGGGACCGTGGTAGAAGCGGTTTTGAAGCCCTTAGAGCCCAATACCGAAGAGTCCAATGGATCCACTACAACTATAGCCAACGGTGGGGAAAGGTGGCTCGGACCATACGCCATCAAGCGCGTTCCAGCGCAGACCGAATACAAGAGTAGAGAGTTGGAACTCTTGAGAGTGGTAAACCATCCTAACATCGTTTCGTTGAGGTACTTCTTTGACAAGCAATCAAAGAGCGACGGTGAGGTATACCAGAACTTGGTAATGGAATGCTTACCGCTGAATTTACAGAATGAAATTAAGTACTACAAGCAGTCGAAGTACACCATACCTTATCCACATATGAAGGCATATACGTTCCAGTTGGCCAGAGCCATGCTCTATTTGCACGGCTTTGGGATATCCCACAGAGACATCAAGCCTTCCAATATTTTGGTTGACCCATCCACCGTGACGTTGAAGATTTGCGATTTCGGATCTGCAAAGAAATTGGAACCAAACCAACCTTCGGTTAGTTACATCTGCTCTAGGTACTACAGGGCCCCGGAGTTGATCGTTGGGTGCTCTATTTACAGCACCAAGATTGATGTGTGGGGACTCGGGTGCGTTGTAGCTGAGATGTTCTTGGGGAAGCCAATATTCCAGGGTCAAACAAAAGAGTCACAATTGAAAGAAATTTCCAAGCTCTTGGGACCACCTCCCAAGACTTTCTTCTTCAAGAGTAACCCTCACTATCGTGGTGAAATGTATTCTACAAAGTTGTTTAGCTGCACAGTGGAGGAGAGGTTTGAACAGATATTCTCCAACTCTCCTCCCGATGCCATTGATCTTTTAATGAAGATTTTAGTATACGACCCCGAGGTGAGATCATCACCTAGAAGGATATTAGTACACCCTTTCTTCCATGAATTGAAAAGAGACAAGTTTCAAGTTTATCCTAGGGGAGCGCTGGAACCAATAACGTTGAATTTGTTCAACTTTAGCAATTATGAGTTGCAGCTTTTGGGTAGTTTGAAGGATGAGTTATTAACATCGGTGTAGTACGATTTTTGAGAAGTTAGGTATGTTATTGGTGAGAGGTAAACTACACCGATACTGGAGAAGTATTATTTGATACCAAGGAAGAGTCTTAGTGTGAGGCTGGACTGAACTGAGCTAGAAGGTTCTCACCGAGGGGATGAGGCTTAAGAGATAGCAGGGCCTTTTAGCGCGAGTGTGGACTAAAGCTAGAAGTAATTTCTGTGACGAGAGAAGGTTAGGAAGTGAGCATTGATATATCATCATTAATAAATAATTTCAAAAGGAACTTTTATAAAGGATTTAATTTATATTTTTCTTTTATTTTCGTTTCATCTGGGATTCGTCTGAGTTTGAAGTCAATGTTAATATCCTTCTCACTAATACATTACAATACAATACAATACATTATTTATTTATTTAATTCTGGAAGGAAAGCTGACAGGACTGTCTTAATGCCCTTTCTAATTGTTCACCGTTCACCATACATCTGGACTTGTGCTTGCTTTACTAGCCTGCACTTTTTTATTCCATAATAATAGCTATTTTAATTAGATGATTGGATATTTGAGACTAGGCTGTGTAGCTTCTCCTCGCTCGAAAGAGTAAAGAGGAGGTTTGGCTGAGAGATATGGGATATGTAATTGAAGAAGTTATATTATTTTTTATATAGAGACTTAATTATATATCTGAAAATGTAGCGCTAGGCAACTTTTCTATAAGGCAAGAGAGTAGCTGTATTCATCTTCGATGTTTTGGGAGAGCCATAATGTGATACAACTCAACATGATGCACCCATTGCAGATGATGTTCGACACACCCATGCCCAAAGTAGGAAATGTGTAATGCTTCAACAAGAATTTGATGATAAAGACCATGAACAGGCCGGCCAACCCACCAGCTAACAAAGAAAACCCAAAAAACAAGATAACTCTGGCCTGCCAAGTGGTGGAGTTGCTTCCACCTCCCAAGAAGGAACTGTTATTATTGTTATCATTTAACAAGTGAGACTTTTCAATTGAATTGACAATTATCATTCCCAAGGTCAGGCATATAAATGGAATCCAATCCACAAAGGTCACATGAACTATAGAAGCATTCACTGTCTTGGAGTAGATGGCAGCGTCAACCATGGACCAAAATCCAACGGCAAACAAGATTCCAGAGAGGTAGACTCCAATGGATCTCAATTTTTGTGACTTGGGGAGGTTTAAGCCGCTGAAACGGAATAAGCTATTTCTCTGTTCCATTGTAATGTCGCTTGAACAAGATGAGAACGGTGAAGTAACAGCTGAGCGTGTATATCTGTGTCTTTTATTGCAAGGGAGGAGGCTGGGCTGGGGTGAGGGAGCGAGATTGAATTTCATTGGAGTCGGTGTATTATATGCAGGTTGAATATGTAGCAGTGCCAGTGGCTCCAGGCAAGAGGATGGAACGGGGCAAGAATGGAGCAATAATGGAGCAAGAGAAGGTAGATATGGTTAGAAGGGTATTGGGGGGATGTAAATTTACTACAAGCTTAAGAATGACTGATAAAGAGATTGAAATTTATCATACAGTGCACATTGATAAGTAGTGGGTAAGTGCAATAGAATAGAATTGGTGCAATTCCTGCTAGTATCAGTATGGGTGCAAATGCTCATGTTACTGTTTTAACACTCTCTATATATTGCGGGGCCATTAAACTTCGTATTCTAGTGCTCAATATACATCAGCTACTGGCCATTCGAGTGTGAATCATGCGTCTTGGTGTCAACTAGTAGTCATTTGGGTGTGCATTATGCGTCTTGGTGTGATTGACTCAGACACTTCTCTACGTCTATAAGGGTGCAACATTAAGCTTCTCTACGTCTATATGGATGCAATATTAGACTTATCTACGTCTGTAATGGTGCAATATTAGACTTATCTACGTCTATAAGGATGCAATATTAGACTTATCTACGTCTGTAATGGTGCAATATTAGACTTCTCTACGTCTATAAGGATGCAATATTAGGCTTATCTACGTCTGTAAGGATGCAATATTACACTTCTCCTTCTCGTCATTGCTTCAATTGTATCTCACCAGCAGATTATATCATTTCGTAAACTTGGACTGTCCCATCTCTTGTACAACAGACCAATATTTTACCTTGGTCGTACACATCTATATCCAATACTGTGCTGGGGTTGGAATTGCTTTCCTCCGAGGGGGTGTCCAATCGGCTTATAATCCTTTTTGACTGAACATCCCATATCAAAACTCCTGAAGAGTCGCTACCAGATGCAATTAATGGGTTAGGGTGAGAGCTGCCAGTTATAAACTTTGCTCCACAACTAAATTTCTCACACACCTTCCCTCCATCTACACCAACGTACGTCTTCACAACCTTGTTGTCCATGTAGTTCCATAGCCTGATGGTACCATCAAGACTAGAGCTGAGAATGTATTTCCCATTTGGCGTACATTCTACATTGGTTATGGGCACATTAACCACGTCGTTGGTCAGGGCTGTAGCTGTCCCGTAGGAAGAGCTATTGTAGGTCAAAGTCTTAAGACATTGGCCCAGTTCTGTGTCGAATAGTCTCATCAACCCATCGTACGAAGCACTAACAATTATCGAATTATCCGGGGTAAGTGCTATAGAAGAAATTGGATCTGAATGGGCCGCAAGCGTTTTAATTGGTTTCGAGTTCAGTACGTCCCAGATCGTGATATTTTCATCTGCAGATCCCAGAATCAACAAATTACCCTTAGAATTGAATTTAATGGTGGTTATGTGGTAAGTGTGCTTCTGTAAAATCTTGACACACTTCAGCTTCGAGATTGACCATATTCTAATAGTTAAATCATCAGAACAAGACGCAATGATATTGGAGTTCACGGGGGAGAATTCTATACAAGAGACACCCTTGGAATGTCCTAAAAGTGTGGTCACTAGTTTAGGAGGGCTGCCGTCTTTACTGAGGATATCTCCGTATATTCGTACCGACCCATCTGACGAACATGTCGCTAGCTTCAATCCATCTGGCGAGATTCTGATGGTATTGGTGGACTGTTGAGAGTCTACAAACGAACTTTTGAGCGCATACACGTTCTCTAATATGGACGTGTTATCATCATATGTGTCCTCGGTCATCTTGATAAGCCTTTACCCTCTGTTTTATCCAATTAGCCCACAAACAAGGCTCTTCGATCTTGTTATCAGAGTAAACAATTTTTTGGTAGGACATGTACCATTTGTATGCAGGATTTGCACCCACGAAGCACCAATCCTTATGTTACCATTGAGTGAACACTAGTTGTCATGCTGAAATGTCGTTCATTTGTGTTATTTCTATTTACTATGCTATAAAATGATCGCTATTTGCAATCTTCCTTGTCCCTTTGAACTTTCCAATTGTTTTTCCCTTCCCTTATCTCTTTATTCCTTCATTTTTTCTATCCAGCTCTCCATGAGGCTCTGCTCAATTTCATCGAATTGAGTAGGGCCCAGAGAGGACAACTTATTAGAAGAGCTTCTACCTGAGATAGTGGCCAAGCCCTTTGCTTCTATTACCAGCGGTATTATTAATTTTTGTAGCATAGTTCTTCCTTCACTTGGTCCTTCTCTCATTAGTTCTTTGATGAAGTACCTGAGATACAGACATATTAAGACTTTGGGACTACTGCCCTTGTCCTGCGGTGAAGAAGATGACGAAGTAGCTGTTGCAGAAGAATCCTGAATAAACGACACGAGTGAGATTATATTGTCGTTAAGAGCAACAAGCGAGTCATACTGTGATGTGAGTAAGTTGTTCTTAGACTCAAGCTTGTAGAATACCTTATTTATTATTTTGTGAAGTTCCGGTTGAAGGTTTTTCTTGATGTTTTCTTGCCTGGTACTTATCCTTGTAAGCGAGTTATAATGAAGCTGTAAAGGTGTATCTTTTGGCGATTGCTCTTTGGAATGGTTTGGAGGAGGAGTGGATGTTGAAGTTGCAGATGTTGTTTTGGAAGCAGGAGTCGAATTCCCAGTGCCCTCTGAAGTTGGAGGTGTTAAATCTCTATAAGCCAGGAGACTCACCATTCCTGCTTCACCAGCAGCACCATCTACCAGAGGGTCACAAATTATCAGGCTCATGTCAAAGTGTATTGTCTTAGGTTGGTTTTGCTGGGAAGGTTCCGTTTGTTTATCATCACTCCATCGGTTCTGGTTTAATTTTATCTCAGTAGGAACATAGAAGTTCTGAACCTTAGAAACATGATGAGCTTGATCCCAAAGCTGCTTTCTTGTAATTAATTTCTTCAATTCCTTACTTTTGTTAGCCTCTGATTTGCTATTCGAATATTGAGTAATAAATTTATGTTTCAACAATTTCATTGCACTTGATCTTTCCTTCGGATCCACGAGAAAACACTGATAGAGGAAATCTTTAAAGCAATTTGAAATCTCAGTCATCTCATTCAATCCGATTAACTGAATGAAATCTTGATCTGCCTGGCACTTAGATATTTGTCTGAGGGCTTTCATGGGTGTAAATGCGTTTTGCAACGGTGGTTTCCCAGTAAACAACTCATAACTGCAACACCCCAAAGACCAGATATCCGCTTTGAACAGGTGCCCACCGTTATTGTTTAGAATGACTTCAGGAGCCATCCAAAAGGGAGTCCCTACTGTCGTATTTCTTCTACTGAAATTGGATGATAATTGAGTGGAAACTCCAAAATCTGTCAATTTAACCTCGCCTAGTCTATTCAAAAGGATGTTCTGTGATTTAAGATCCCTATGGATCTTTCCTTGGTTATGTAAATAAAGTAATGCAATCAAAATCTCTTTTACAATTGCCAGAATAGCGAATTCGTTCTGTACTGGACCCGGCCTCAACAAGTCAAATAAACTTCCACCATTAACATACTCCATGATGACCCATAACTTGTATTGCTTAACAAAACATCCTTTGAATTGGGTAATCTGGGGTATACGACACTCAGAGATTATCTGGATTTCTTTGTTGACTTCAATTAAGTCAGCATGTTCATTTTCCAAATCTATTTGTTTTATGGCAACTTCTTCATTAGTTGATTTGATCAAACCTCGATAAACGATACCAAATGCACCTCTTCCAACCTCCTCGCAGACTTCTAATTCATCTGCTGAATTTATACGCATGATAGACTATAATATGAGCTAGGAGTATGTCAAGATAAGTCAAGAGATATTTCTATTCTATTTTTTTTTTCTTCTTCTTCTTAATCTTTAGCCCTCTTGCTTCTTTTCTCTATCTATTTATTTCTTTTGCAGACCTTGATACTTTCGTCTTATTAATTGTGTGCAAGTTGCTAGTCTCGAAACGTGGAGAGATGTATTTTCAGCCTACACTCTTTAAAGTTATTACGATAGTCTTTGATATGTATGTAGAGTAAAGCAAAATAAGTTTTTTTTTTTTTTTTTGTGCACAATTATACGATTCTAAATTTGGTGTATCCTAAACTTAGCTCTGGCATCATCACTTATGTTTCATTATTGCTCTTTGTTCTGATACATCAATCTATACGTAAGTGAAATATTTTTCCTTCTGGAACCCCAGACCAAAGCTGATTTAGGACTAATTAGGAAATGGTAAATAGATTGTGTGCAGTACTGGGCAGACAAAAACATTAGAATTACTGGAAGGAGTAGGGTTATTGGAAATATTTTGTAGCTGAAGGGCGGAAATGTGTTACAAAACGTATAGACGTTGCCACCATAGCGTAGGTAGGAAAGTAGTCTAAAACGAAAGGTGTGAACCCTGTGGAAGTGTAAGGAAACGATGTGCCAAAAGAGTGTAGTAGGTAGGCAGCGCTAAAAAGTGATGCTCACATGATCAGTCACGTGAGCATCTCTAATCTAACCTGGGAATTGGATGCTTAGAAAAGCAAATGTACCCTAGGTGTGCTATCTCTGCTCTACTGTAATGCCTTACTTGAAATAGGTACATTCTAGTTAGTGTCTCTCGATATGTGGAAATCTGCTCTTCGCCCCTTCACTAAGCTCAACGTATTTGCTCGTCGACAGTATTCCGAAACTGGATTTCAAGACATACTACTCTCGCATAGCATACATAAATCTAATGAGTCCTCACTAATACGATGTACAATCTTCGATGGTAGCGGGAATATGGTGGCCCATGGGAAGGATTTCACTAAGATAGAATTCATGAAATTGCACGATTTGATTCCCAGAGACTTCCGTAAGTTAAACAAACATAAATCATTTAACTCATCCAATGATAATTCAACCGATATAGTGCCCTCGATTCTAACAAGATCAAATTCAGTTCTCTTGAATTTATCTAACGTAAGAGCACTCATAAAGATGGATAAGGTCATCCTTTTCGATGCAGGTCCACTGAATGGCTTCACAGGACCAGGATTGCTGGTTGCCAACTACTCTCAATCTCATTCAATAGGACTATTCTTGAAAGATTTGGAAAAGAGGCTAAAGGAAGTTTCTGATCATGAACATTTACCTTACGAGTTCCGAGCCCTTGAGGCTATATTGATTCATGTAATGTCAAATCTACATACTGAAATGAAAGTACATCAGACTGTGCTTCAAAATATTATCAATGGATTGGAGACTTCCATTGACAGGCAAAAGTTAAGATACTTGCTAATTCAATCGAAGAAGATTGCTCAGTTCCATCAGAAAGCAAAATTGATTCGTGACTTATTGGATGATCTTTTAGAGCAAGATGATGAGTTAAATGAATTGTACCTCACCGCCAAGGCCCAGGGTGTTCCAAGGCAAGGTACAAACCATGCAGAAGTAGAAATGCTTATTGAATCATATTATAAAACATCAGACGAGATTGTACAAACAGCCGAAAACTTGATCTCTCAGATCAAAACCTCGGAAGAAATCATCAGCATCGTTCTAGATTCTAATAGAAACGAGCTAATGCTACTTGGGTTGAAGTTTTCTGTTGGGTTGCTTTCCATTGGGACAGCACTCTGGATTGCTTCGTTGTACGGAATGAACTTGGAAAACTTTATAGAAGAGAAAGATGGAGGGATGGAAGCTGTTGTTACTATCAGTATGGTGATATTTTTCTTGTTTTTACTTGTGAGTGTTAAGAAGCTATCAAAATTACAGAAAGTGACAATGACTGGGGTCAGAGAGGAAAGAGGTCATAAATAGATTAGAAAGTTATACATCAACTAAAAGTTCCTCGGTATGTATAAATAGGTGCTTGTGTATAGACTTCATAATTAATAAACCTGTAAATAAGATATGATCTATTTCTTAGCTTCAAATTCAACGTTAATATTAGGAGCCAAGTAAGTGTTGCTTGCACTTCTTGGTCTGTTAGTGTCTGCTTCAAAGGCATTCAGAAGATGTTGCTTGGGAGAACCAGATGGGGAGGGATTTGGTGTAGCTTTGGTACGGAACGGTCTTAACGTGAAGTTTTCTCCTGCCTGAGATGGTTTAGGACTTTTTGGAATTAAGCTTTCTGCATTACTTATTGGAGCCAACACTGGTATTGGTAGTCTCATCTGATTCTCCTTTTTGGATTGGTACTTCTGTTCATTTTGTACAAGTGAGGTGAAAAGTTTGCTCCTCACCTGAACATTTAGCAAATCAGAAAGGATAGTGTTGTACTTAGGAAGAGGAGGTTTGAAGCCATATGTATGCTTAACCGCTGATGGTCTTAAAATAAGATGCAAGAAAGGAATCGTCCCTATCAGATCCATTGAATTTAGCTCAGTAGAAACGGTCTCCACCTTCTCTAAGTCCGGATTCTCAGAAATTAATGCTTCAGCTAGATTGTCTGAGAATTTGTAGCTTGGAATTGAATCCAATCCAGATATGGAACATATATGTTCAAGTAAGAATATTAACGATGATAAATTTCCTCTGGGCATGGTCGACAATAAGTTACAAAGCTTCAGATGATTATCGGCCTCGTTCAACAAACGCTCATACATAGTAAATGGAATAAGAGAATCACCAATTTCTAATAGCCAATATTTGATAAAGTTGACTAAATCTGCCGTTGATTGATGCGAGCAGTATGTCAAAATATCGTCCAAAATTTGTCCATGAATAGTGGCTTCTTCATCTGCAATACTGGTGGAAACTGTGAAATTGTTCACCAAGTTGATGATGTCGCTTTTCATCGACCAGTACTTTTCACCGTTCAATGGGTTAGTCCACAAACTAAAAGATTCTGCATCTTCTTTAGTTAAATCATTCCTTTCTTCTTCCAAAAGGGAGATTAGTTTATATAGGAACTTGGGAATAGATCTGATACTAAGGATCTCACTTTCGTCGCTCGAAAGTGGTTGCAACTCAATGTCCTTATATAAATTGAACTTCAATTTCACATTTTGGAAATTACTATTTGTCTGATGTGAGCTATAATGCTTTCTAGATAAATTATCAGGTGATAAAATAGATGGAAAGTATATACCTGTGCTGAAGCTATCCTGTATTTTATTAAAATCCGCTTTGTAATTTTCAGGTTTATTTAAGTTAGTGATTAAGTCCGTAGCAAATTGATGAAGACGGTTGGATGTGGCAAGAGAAGAGTTGTACAAGATCTCCAGAAGTTTAGTTAAACTGTTGTATGTGAGAGCAATTCTTTCTCTTTCGAAAATCTCCAATTTTTGCATTGAATTGAATGTGTGTGTGTCCAACTGATGTCTCAAGTTGTGAAGTTGTAAATAATTATCGTTATATTTCTGTTCAAGTATTAAGAGAATTTGAGGATAATTCGTCTTGAGAATTGTATTTCTCATATTTGAAAGAATTGTTGACCCAAACGAATGAGCGTTGGGTTTCTTTGGAGTTGTCTGAACACCACCAGATACTCCACCACTAGAAGATCTACTTGTGGTAGACGAAGGCGTCAATTCCTGATCTTCCAGTACGATTATTTCCACAGGTTTCCCTGTTTCTGGATTCAACGTAAGATCAACCTTCTCCGACCATTCAAACCACATTCCTTCACTCTTAAACTTTTTGGCACCAATGAACCCCATCCCCACAATAATCTTCAAATCAATTAAGGATTGTCCAAACCTTTCTAAATTCAATCTTGTTGGATTTATTCCAAAGGGCCTCCTTGCACTGACCCAACGACAGAGATTCTCTGAAGAAAAGGTTTCATTTTTGAAACCTGGAATGGCAAATTTCCTCTTAACAGTCTCAATTTCTGACGTTATGTCCGAAAGGAATGTCTTCAATTGAGAGAGTTCCTTGACTTGTATGGGTCCTATGTAAAGAGGAAACGAAAATTGTGCCGCTACAGGCTCAATCAATGCATTTGGGTTATTTAGACTGGTCACCCTCAGTTTTGGAGTAGAAGGCGTCAGGCCATCTCCACTCAGGATATTGTCATATTCTTCATCGCTACTGTCATTTTCTTTATCGTCTTCGATAAAACTTTTCTCCTTCCTGTCTTCCAATTCCTTTAAACTTGAAATCTCTTCAAACTCTTTTCTTATCTTTTCAATTGATTTATAACATGTTTCATAGTCTTCAAATAAATCTTCAAACTCGTTCAAAAGTACTTTTATCATCGGCTCACTTTTCTTTATGAATGATGTGACAGGTTCAAGTACCAGAAAGTCAATTGTGTTTGAAAGAGCAATTAATGACTTTGATTCCTCGGTGATCTCATGGATATGTAATTTATAAGGTGTTAAGCTATGTTCCATGTACTTGCTAGTAGATGTATGCTTGGCGGATGAAGCTTCTAACCTTGTGGCTTCTACAAATTGTTCGCTTAACCTTTTCAAAGTTGATTTATCGGAACTATTCGAGCCAGTGGACAATAAGTCTATACTATTGTTTTGTTGGAATGCATCTTCACTTAGTTTGTTTAAGAATTCACTATTAGAATAGCTATAATTCATATAATTGAAAATCAATTTCCTCAAATCATGTAGCTGATGTAATGATTGGATAGACTGCTCTGAGATCTTGTCAATGCCCACTCTGTAATCCGAAGACCAGTAATTATTAGCAAACATTTTGGCTATGTGTTGCTTATATGTGATCAGCTTCACGAAGTCTAACTAAACCAAACTAAGGTAAAGATGAACTAAAAATAAATACAAAAAAAAAAGAACCGAGTGGCTTATTTTAAAGTCCCTTTCCTCGCTTAATGAAGTTGATTGATCTATGTAGAATCAAAAAAATTCAAAATATTCAAATTCAAATCAGCTCTAAAAAATAATCAATACTCTAGAAAAATAGTCAGGTTAGGTTTCAAAAGCAATTCTTAACCAAAACATACCACAGACTCGAAGTGCTTGACTTGAGAAGCGTTTCACAAACTTATTGCGCAAAGGAAAAAAAGAATAGATACGGTGGTTGACGCGAAACTAAAACAAACAAACAAAAGAGATCAAACACTCGAGTACATTTCTAAAACTAAACATATATTCAGTAAGCAGTGTTTGTTGATATGGTACCAATACCGGATATTAAGTCTCAACTAGAAGATACCAGAAATGATATAAAGTCATTGGAAGAGGAAATTGACAATCTATCTGTTGATAAGAAGTTATTACTAGATCAAATCAAAAAGCTAGAGCAAGGTGGAGACATCAATAATGACGAGCCATTACTTCAACATAAGTACTTTGATGAAATAGTTCAAGATTTCTTTCATGACACGAAGACTAACAATGATGAGACTAATCATTCAAAGAAGAAACCGAAAATCAGTTTCAACTCTTTAAATCTGGCATTGGTAGAGAATATATATCGGTTTGGCGGAATCACTGCATTCCCTATAAACAAATATCTATTTGCAGAAGATAATCTTGTATTGGGGTTGAGATTTGATATTTATTCAATAAATAAGTTTGAAGTTCCACATTATATTATACTAAGAAAAGAGCAAAATGTAAAGGGTACAACGCAGGGAGATGGGATGAACGCCGGAACATGGCACATATTCAAACATACCTTGCCAGTGTTCATTCCAATACGACAGTACGAACAAGAGCATCTTCTTCAGAATAAATTGATTCAATTTGTCAAATCTGTTCGCATTGATCTTATCAAACTACAATACAGGCATAACAAATTTGACTTAGTTCTGAAAGGGTTGGGATTCAGGCTTGAAAAGGATTTACAGTGCCAAAGGGTTAAGCTCAAATACAATGATACCGAATTGTCACTCTTTTGTTCACAAGATTACATCGAAGAAGTGGACGTAGCTAGTAATTCTGGCAAAAGAAAGATTATTGAGAGTATAGTAAGGAATAGTCAAATCAAAGACTTATTGAAAACATTCAGAAGGGTAAAAGAGGAAGTATAAAAGACATTCTAAAACAATATATAATATTAAAAACTAACAATAACTATAAAAACTCTTTTAAATTTTAATTTACTTATTCATATCGTATTCTACTCATGAAATTTCTCTCATATCCCTACTATATCTGTCCGGCAGACTCAGAATGCATTTCCAAATCCGGCTCCAGTAGGTTGATACCCAAGGTTACCATTTGTGATCATTAATGGTTGGCCAATTGGTGTGTCTTCTTCTTTCTTTTCGGCATCCTTTCTCTTCTGTAAATCGAGCTGCAATTCAGCCAACTTCTTCAGATTTTCATGTACAACTGAAATTTCATACGGTTTGATGAAGTTACCCAAATCATGTAACCAAGATAACTCAAGGACATAGTCAAATTCTACGGTATCGTAACAACTGTACAATAATGCAACAAAACATTCACGGTTACCAGTTTCAACAAAGTAATCTAATAATTCATGAGCAACCTTCGTAGATTTGGAAATTGCAGCAGTCTTGAGTAAGTCTGCCCACAATTTATCGTTCTTCAAAATAGAAATTGCCTTGGTGAATTTCTTGTTCTTAGTGAATAAAGTAGCAGAGATTTGTCTGAAAAAGATAATGGAATGGTTTTCCAATCTCTCAGCAAGATCTAAGGAGTTAAATCTATTGCTTGATTCACTTTCAATTGCTGATCTTAAAGATTTATAATCTTCTTCTTCGATCAAGAGATCGTGGTAAGCACCGTTGACAATTGAGTTGTTCTTATCCAATACTGAAATAAGGAATGGCTTAATCATTGGCAAGTTGTCAGATTTCACAAACATTCTAACCACTCTTGGCAAGTCTAATTTAGATACCAAAACGGATAATAAATCAACCAACAAAGATGGATTCTCATTCATGTAGAAGTTGATTGCCTTGTAGTAAATCTCTAAGTTTGGCGCCTTGACAATAATTTCCTTGAAAGAGGAATGTTCAAATGCCACTTCGGATCTTTCGATCATAGTTAAAGCGGCATTGTCCCATTCTTCATAATGACAGTAAAGGAAAATCATTTCTGGATATAAGTGTGCTTGTTCGCAAGCAACTAATACCTTTGGAATATTAATTCTTGACCAGAAAAGTTTTAAGTGCTCCATTACTCTCTCAGGACTGTACTTTGAGTAAATTATTGCCAATTCAGTAAACATACCCATGTGAGCTCTTTCTAATCCTAAACCACTTTCAAATAATGAAATCAATTCGTTGAAGTAACCATTAAATTCGTAGGTATGTACTAATTCAGGTAATTCTTCAGCATCAATAATCAAGTTCAATCCACAAATTTGAGCTAATCTAAATTCTTTGTTAGCGATACATGCTTGATTAACTTGTTTCCAAACGTTAGTATTGGAAGCCTTTCTTGCACAATCAACGGCGCCTTGGTAATCTTCTAAATAAACTAAGGTTGTTGCCAACTTGGAGTATTTGGAGACATTAGAGTACAAGATCTTGGCTGCTTTGTAATTTTTAGCTTCAAACAACTTGTCACCAATTAATTCTAAATCGGCAACGTTTGGTCCAGCAACAAATTTTTCAATTTCATTCAACTTACCCAATGAAGCGTAACAGTTGATTAAAGAACCATCAATAACTGGCTCTCTTAAAGTCTCTCTTGCCATATCTAAGAAGCTAATCAATTCTTCTTCTTTACCACCATGTTCAGAAATCTCAATAACTTGTTCATAATTATCAGGTTTCTTAGACTTCACATAGGATTCAATAGCTTCAGGGATTCTTAAACCATTCAATTGCGCGTTACCTAATTGGTACCATAATTCTGAATCTTCAGAGTGCTTGTTAGCATATTGTTCACCTCTATCTAAACTCATGACATCTTCAACAAGTACCTTCATAGCTAAGTTTCTCAATTCAAACTTATCGTAGATCTCGAATGCTTCTTCATATAATTGATTTTCAATACATAATGGTGCAATTTCTTCAGCATCAAACTTGTCTAACTTTTCAATATAGTTCATAACTCTTGAAGGATCAGCCTTGATAGCAGTTAAAATCAACAAACCTTGTAATGAAGTGTTATCATTGAATGGAGATGGCTCTAAGATAATCTTCTCTAATAATTCAATTAATTCTTGAGGTAAGTCATTTTCCATGAATGCTTTTACTGTAATAGAGATTGGTTCAGGGTCAGTCAATTCTGGGATTCCAGTGGAAATGACTTGATCAACCAACTGTCTTCTGTGAGTAGAATTTTCATTGGCCAACACCTTATTCCATAATTCAAAGTCGGACTTCTTCAACAAGTATCTAGCTTGGTACTTGTACATCTTATTATCGTTAGTGATACTGATTAATTCGTTATCATTGTTACCCTTTGAGTAACAGATGTAAGCCAAGTATGGATCTCTCTTCTCACAGTATTTACCAACAACTAAAGTGTTGTAAATGTCATTTTCTTGCAAGAATTTTTCTGGGTTGTTGTTGGAATCAATGTAAATCTTAGCAAGAGTGTTAAATACTTCTTGATCGTTAGATCCGCCTTCTAAGGTCTTTTCCAAGAATGGTAATAAGATCTTTAATCTGTTTCTCTTTTCCACTTCTGCAACAAGCTCCTTAATTGGAACTCTCCCAATTACCGATTGAAGTAAACCCTTAATAATTGATTCGTCACAATCAACATCTAATAATCCAGCTACAACTTGTGGGGTGTTTCCTGGGTTAACTTGTTGAACATAAACTTCGATAAACTTAAAGTATTGGTTCTTGTATAAGTACAAAATTAAATCGTGAACAAAATTGAATCTATCACAGACAATAATTAATGGTAATTGATCTTCCAATTTGAATTCCTTCAAGAAATTCTTAACTTTTTCACCGTTATAAACGTTGTTATCTCTAACAATTCTTTCGATTTCTTTCGTTTGGTTCATCTTTGCAGCAGCTTCTACATATTTGAAGACAACATCGGCATCTTGAGTCAAGTTTACGATAGAACTCAAGTAGTAGTACTCACCTTCGATACATTTGTAGTCTTCAAAGATCTTGATCAATGTTAATGGACCAATCAAATCAGAATATTTGGTTGCGACTTGAATAACTACTTGCAAGTTTTGTTGGATATTTTGCAGTAACAATTCCTTCAAACATGCAACAGATTGCTGGACATTCAACTGTCCGAAGTAGCTGACCAACCAATCGTTTGGTAAAACGTTAGTGTGTACAATAACTCTTTTGATATCCTTCAAATCATCGTAATGTTCTAAAGCTCTTTGGAAAAGGCCAGATTTTTCACATAATTTTCCAATTGTTGGCTTATCGTAGTGACTGAACATTTGGTTACCAAGAATAGCATCGGCGACTTGTGGTGCGTGAAGCAAATTGATTTCAAGTACCTTTGTTTGTAAATGGCCATCAGCTGGTAAGTCATTCTTTAATGCATCCAATAAGAAAGCAGTACCCTGTTGAATAAAGTTTTGCAGGAAGAATAAGTCACTTATTTGTTCAACATTAATGGAACCTTCAGTGGAAGGTGAAGCTAACAAGCTAGTAGCAAATTCACTGGCCTTATCAGGGCTTACTCTTACTAAGTTTTGAATTAAGTTGGTGAAATCTGGTTGATACCCAACTTTTTCACAGTATGGAATAATCTTGTCAAACTGACCTAATTCAGCCAAACAAGACACAACTTTAATGTTAACATTAGCTCTGATATAAACAGCAAGTGCTAATGCTGGATCATTGTAGCTCTTTACGATATCTCCCAATTCTTCAGAAGAGGTCAACTTATCTTCCTTCAACCATTTTTCGAAAAGTGGTTTTCTATCTTGCTGCAATACTGGCTTTGCCAATTCAATGGACTCGTATTTGTTTAAAGTTCCCTTGTCCATTAAAGTGGAAAAGTATTGTAAAATAGGAGAAATTTGGCCCGGTTGCGCAGTGATATTTTTCAACTTATTGATGGTATCTTGAGTTCTCAACTGCTCCAGCGAAGCAGCGATTTTAGCAGCGTTTAAGTAATCACCTTGGTTAAGGAAATTTTGGAATTGTTGTTGGAACAAGTTTTCGGCACCTGGGAAGCCACCTCTTGACAGCAAGGAAAGGGCAAGACCTACGTTTGATAATTTTTCTAAAACGTATGGAATGATCTTATCCTTGGCAATTTCGACACTTAATACCTGTCCAGACTTATTAATGGTCAAGATACCGGTACCATCATTGTAACTAGAAGCAGTGAAAACTGGGTCTGCAGTGATTCTGTTTACAAACAAATTGGCACCACTCTCAATGTCATACAAATGGATGAACCCATACTTGGTTAAAATATAGATAATACCGTATTTGTCTGAGGCTTGCAAACTGATTGGGAAATCGTTGGCAGCGTCTGGAGGAAAGAATATATCCACTGATTTCTTACTGAATTGAGGGTTTCCATCTTGATGATCAATTTCAATGATGTGCAAGTTACCTTGGCCCTGAGCATTCTTGTTACCAACACAGAACACTTTGGTAGGACTTGCTCCACCTTCCAATCTGACCAGGGCAAACTTACAGACGTGCCCTTCAATTGCTTGGGAAACGTTTCTACTCTTGGAGAATAACTGAATGTGACCAGCAATGCGTCCGTCTTCCTGTGCAATACCAGTGACGGCAAACCAGTTCAAGTTGGTTGGTTCAGCAACAAAATTTATAATCTGGGCATTGTTTAAGGAGTGGTGTCTGTCAGTCAACTTTACAGGGCCATTGTTCGAGCCGTCAAAGATGGACCAAGAGAAGATAGCCAGTCCTGTAACCAAACCCAACACATCAGCAGTTAACCATTTCCAAAACACAACCGGTTCCTCCATGGTATGTGACTTCAATCTCTGCTTTGTTCCGAGGTTGAAGATTTGAATGGTGGTCCCATTGGCTCTCAACGATATAACGTTTTGATCCAAGTGCATTATGGCATTGTCAGCTGACATATTCTTTCTGGTAACGTTATTGTTATCATGAAGGTCAATGATAGCAACAGTATTGCCGGACGCGCCGGTCTCCCTTACACAGACATAGTGATCAGACTCTAAGGTTGTCGATCTAAAATCAAGGGAGGATGCAGAGATCCCCAATGACGTCAATTGAGCGAGTTCAGTGAAATCAATTGGGATATCAGACATGTTGTTTACCTATTGAATTGATTGAACGGTCTCCTTTGATAAATTCTCGATATTAATTTCTATTCCGTGTTCTTCTATCTTTTCGTAATTAACCTCCTCCAATTTTGTTTCTCTCTTTCGTTCTCTTTTATTAGCTTCAGAGATCAATTGTTTCAAGGAGAAATATATAAAATTGTTACTACTTTCGTTTGTGGAGGCAATTGGTCGGTAGCTGATCTCTTAAGCCTTAGTTGTTAATTTTCCAGTCTTGAATTTTGCTCGCTACCAAAAACCTTCCGAATTACGTCCACCCTGTTCAAACCTGTGCACCCCGCGTAGAATCGAGAACATTAGGGGCGCACTATTTTTGGGATTACGCTGGAAAATGATGCTGAAAATGGGAGCTTGCGCACGGTAAGTGGTTGTATGCAGGACACGAAGGTCCGTTGTGGGGTGGGATCATGGGTGGTTGGTACTACAACAGGGAGCTAGTGAGCTTGGTGCAACAGTTATGTTACATTATGTTACTTTACCTTACTTTATATTATTTTATATACCGTTCCCATATGCTCTATACAGCGCACTCATTAGCTTTTTTGCCTTTCCTTTTACTTGTCCTAGATTTTTATCTTTTTTTCCATTTTTTTTTTTTTTTTTTTAATTGATATTTTTTAGGCTCGATTTACACTGGTGGTTGCACCTTATGTAAGGCATCTTCTACAATCACGTTATACTCCTCCTTACCTTTACCTTCACATCTCTGGATGTAGTTTTGAATAAACTTCCAATCTGTTCCATACCAGTCGCCTCCTAACAGTGCAATTTTTAGCATCTCTATTCTTTCTGTTTGCTTGTTCCCTTCTGCCTCGTTTAAGCGATGAATTCTATCATTATCTACAATATATTCTTCATCACCTTCCTCTTTTCGAGCTGATGTTTTCTTCCCAAGGTTCTTTTGCCAGTTAATTAACCAATAACCGACCTTCCTCATCACTATCTTACAAACGTCGGGGGTTACGAATAGAATGGAAGAATCTTCAATCGGGTGGGTTAAAGATGTCCATCTTACATACGTCTCAGCCAATAGTTGTACGCTTTGAATTGTCATGGTCGGGAGCCTAGTCTCCATGGGAGATATCAGGCAAAGTCTATGGTTCCTAGTATGCACTATAAGAGAGTAGATGTACCTTTGTATATCAGGAGCTACGAATACCGTTTTCTGTTGCACTTTTCGCAATCGTGATAAATAGTGTCTACCAATTATATCAGTAGGAGTCCTTAACAAACTATGCCTCGAATAGTATTGGCAGAACCAGAATTTGTATCTTAGTTGTTGAATTATATTTAAATTGTTCTCAATCACAAGTATTATAGTGAGAGGATATTTGTAAGAAGAATTGGAAGTTGCTGGTGTAGTAGTACTAGAAGTCGTAGATGAGTTTTCGATAACGATGGCAGGGACTGAAGCGTTTGGATTAGATTTCTTCAACCTAGATTCATTCGTATCGTACTCATCGAATTCATTCAAAAACTTGACCAATGTCATTTGCTGATCGCTGGTTATTTTATCTGCATTTCTCCAGAAAATAATAACTGGCTCCTTGGTTATCAAATCATCAATATGGATCTCTCCATCATTATTCTCAAAGATCTCACTCAAATCAATGTCAAGAAACCTTAGTGACAGAGGTATGAGTATGTACTCATTTATCGAATCAATGGTTGCCTTGCCATTTTTACAATTCAAGGAAAACCTTTTCTCTGCAATCAAGCTTAGAGACAACGAAGTATATATATTGTCCATAGATTCGGTAAAGTAGTTGCTCCAGTCAGTACTTAACGTTGATGCTTTTTGGGGTTTCCATATAGACTGCACAAAGCACTGCTCCATTTTCTCTCGCTACAAAGCTAAGTGCTGTTTATATACAGGATCTTGTAAAAGTGCTGCAGTTATTTGATGGTGACCATTGGAGTAGGTAATACGGCCGACTAGATAATTCTTTGTGATTTGTATGGTATGGTTTGCTTGCTTAGAGCTATATAGCTTATCTACGAGATTAAAATTTTTGTAAAGAAATCGCTTTGTCTTCATCGTAGTGATGGCTATAACATACAAAGATGAGACTAAATTTTGGCAATGTAGCAAAATATTCAAAATTTGACGCTGACGAAATATGTCAGCTGGCATAGTTATCGAGAATAAAAGTTGCTGCTTACCATTACTACATTCTGAATTTCTATCTACCAAGGAACGGCCTACAAGTATGCAACTTCTCTACGGTTGCAATTTGAACTATACTGAGAGTAACACTGCTCTTCGCAGTGAAGTGAGGGCTTACATATGAGAGTATTCACAAGGTTGACACATGTCTTTATGCACGCGCTGAATATTTCTGCATCCTCCTAAGCTTTCGTGTAGGTCTTTTAATATGTTTCAATCTCATGATTTTGCAAGGCTGATGGTGCAACAGCGAGGCTTCCAAACATTTCTGTCAACAAAGCTCCAAGACTATGACATAATAATAAACAGAATATAGTAATGTGATATGAAAAAAATAAATAAAAATAAACACTAAGCACCATGGAAGCAATAATGGCATCGGTTGGATTGTCTTACGAGCATTGGCGCTGAGAACACCATTGATGAAAATCGGCGTATTCGTGATCTTACAGAAATAAAAACAAACAAATAGTGCTGTGCATGTAGAAATAGAAACAAAGCAACTGAGCTACCATGCCCTCTCTTAGTATAAGCTTATCTTTCATCTCAATGTACTAATACTGTGCTAGGTTCCTATTCCTATTACTATTCCCTTTCTTTTCTTTTTTTCTTTTCGGATTGCCCTTCTCATCCCTGCTGCTACATTCCATACCTTTTTGCGTCTGTGACTCCTCACTATGTCCCAGTTTGCCAGTGCCACCAGCATTCTTTTCCATGTGCTTCACGACTGTACGAGAGCTTAGCTAGGAAAAACACAATTCATCTTGCATATTGAGACGACGCGAATCGCGTATTTTTCGAGCTGAATTTACCCTTTTCAATTTACCTAGCCCTAACGGCAAGCCAAGACACGTTAAACAGGCAGTTGCAATAGTCCAAGAGGTGTGAGTTTTTGGCAGTATCGTGAATGCCAGCCCCTAGCAAGAGCGAAGGCCAGAAAATAAAAATTAAACATCAAAGAAGATTTTATAATCTTTTGCAATCTTGCGCGATACTATACTAGTATGCAATAGTTTAGGCTACGGCTCTACCGAAGCTTCCATACTTAAAGGAAAACTCAAAACTACTGGAACTCAACTAGCTTCAAGCTCCCATTTCCTTTCCATATGCATGATAATCGAAGGCTATGCATGTTTGCGGACCCAAAATCTCCTCTCATCCAAGCTTTCTTGACAGATCTTAGCATAGGACGCTTCTCCTTACTAAGACTGAATAATTTTTTATTCTTCACAATTCTTTTTTTTTTGTACTGTTTTTTTTTTTTTTTTTTTTTTTTTTTTTTAATTCTCTTGCGCTTGGTCTTAGGAATTTTGATCATAAACAAGAAGAAGGAATTTTTTTTGTTTTCTTTGATAGTTGCTTTAGTAAGAATTCTAGTGGGAAAACTTATGAAAAAAGAGATAGGAAGTTATTAGTAATACAGTAACTCAGTCGTACATACATTTCTGGTTTCATCCATTAGGTCTTTCAGACAAAAACGTACCCTCCCCCGACGCTTGTACCCAGATAGTGATCAGAGCCTTACATACCGGATAGAATTCCTAATTACCGAAAACTCGTCAAAGCATATACATTGAAGAAAGAGAAGACATAAAAGTACCTACATTTATTATATAAGCATACCTCTTAGCTCATGACTCGCCTTGAATCACTTCCTAAATACTTTAGAGCGGAGCCTTCCCCCAAAATCATAGACTCTGCATTCCCACCGTTCAAGGTAGAGCACAGATACCGCGGTGTCTACGAGAGAGCAGGATTTGATGTCAATTTGAGTGGAATTGGCAACAAGCCGGACAACTCGTCGATTCGCTCAAGACCAAAGCAACAGCAGCAACAGCATCAGCAACAGCAACAGCAACAGCAATACCACCACAGACAAGATAAGCCAATTTCTCCAACGCGTGACCGCTTTAACCTGGCCCCTTCCAATGGGCCAGCTGGTGGGCATATGGCTGGAAATGGACCACTCAATGGCAATGTTCGCGATGGAGTTCCAAGGACCGGGAGCCAGACTTCCCATGGTGACTCTACCAACTCACTGACCTCACTGGGGTCTGGAGAAAGGTACAGGACCCAGACTTTTAGGTCGCAGACCACAGCTTCTCAAACGAGTTTACCAAAGCTGGGATATCAGAAGCCTTTACAACCATATCAGTCGCAAAACAGCCAGTCAAATCCATCCATTCACTCGGAAACTTCTACGCATAGTCTGAGGAGTAATTTGACGCAGGTTCAGGAACAAAATTATCAAGGTCTGGCTCTACCAAGGCAACCACAACAACAGCAGCCATATGGCGCCTATTCTGATTTTGATGATCCATACTCAAAGCCAATAACAAGCGAAAGATTACCCTATGGCGGCAGTGCACCAGAAATCAATAATCCCTACCCCACTTCTACTGAAAATCCATACGCAGCTTCAATAGGAAATCCTTATGGACACCAGAACCAGTCGTCGATCCTGAAGTCCATACCGGAATCCATTCACCACAGCCATCATGTTAATCCTTCAATGGATGGAGATTTTGATTTTAGTCCACAACCCAATCATTTCCCTTCCTACGAACATAATGATTATAATAACCACAACCAAAACCCTTCAATTTCCTACTCTGATTCTACCTCATCTAGGAATAAGAAGAACCTAATGATAAAGATTCAGGACTCCAACTATAATCATGATGATATCGATACCAATAGCGTGCCTTCGCCCAACATGTTCTATGATAATTCATATAATATGGCCAATACTAATAATTCCACGCAAAACACGTCTGTTAACAGAGATGGAAACGGCCTGCCTGACCTGACTGGTGCTGTAGTGGAGGATGCACCTCCATCTCAACTCACAGAATCTCAGAAGAACGACCTTCCATATCCAATACATAGAGACCAAAGTTTAATCAAGAAAAACAAAAGGCTTTCTTCATCTTTGGACGACTTCAAGAGAGACGTAGAAGATGTTAAGAAACACACACCTCAGCAGAAGCAACAGCCTGAATTTGAAACATTCCAAGACGTCAGTAACCATCTTAATTCGCATGGGAATAATGAATATCAGACTTATTTGAACACTCAGCAGTTGACTCCCGATGGGCAGCGCTATCACCCTAGACACAGTCAAATGTCGATGGTTAGCTCCATTCTTTCCAAGGATTCAATCAATGATGAAGATGCAGAGATTGAAAGAGAATTAGAAAGACAGTTACAAAGCTTGAAGACTGGAGGTGAAAACAGGGCCGAAAGACCAGAAGCTGAAGTGATAGAAAAAATACCTGAGGAAATTCCTGAAGAAGTGGAGGAAGAGCAAGTCAATCATAAGTATGCAGCAGCAACCGTCCCAACGTTTAACATTCAAACAGAAGATCAATATGACAATGAAGCTCACAATCAAGATCTTTCAACTTCTACCCCTTATCCTATGGAAGAAAACCTAAATGAAGTTGATGACGATGTTCCACCTAGGTCAATACCATTACAAACAAATGAACCATTCGACCCTAGATTGAAATCTAGACAAAGAAAGGAGCCACTTTATGATGATGAACCCCAAAGTCCATCTGTTCCTGGTCTTTCTATCAATCACAGTTACGCAGATGAAGAAGTTGTACCCTTGGAACAAATGGATACCTCTATAGAAAAGGAATTGAAATTCCTCAACTTTCCAATTGATTCCGCATCACAAGCCAAACAACAACCAGAGCTTGCAGAAATGCATCTCCCAGGAAAGGGTCCATGTAGAACTTGTTTCAGATCAGTTTTGTCGAATGGATCTGGATCTCAAAAAGCCATTTTCTCCAAGACTGGTGAACTTTCTGGGCAATGGCATAGATCATGTTTTGAATGCAGTTATGAAACATGTTCCATAAAATTTAAGAAGGGAATTCAATGTTACGCTTTGAACGACAATCCATACTGCCACATCCATTACCACGAATTGAATAATACTTTGTGTCAGCATTGTAAGGACGGTATAGAGGGAGAATGTATTGAGAACGAATTGGGACAAAAATGGCATTTAAGGTGTTTGAGCTGCTACCATTGTGGTAAGGGCATCCAAGAAGATTATTATCTAGTCAATGGAGAAGTCTTCTGTGAAAGTGATGCACTTTATAGAATCCAACAGGACCGTAACAAATCCAAGCAGAATAAAATAGAGAAAAGAAGAACAAGGTTGTTGTTCGTCGACTAAGCGAAAGGGAGATTCTGGACATGAATGAAATATAAGTTCCCGATGTATTATAGAGGTCTCCACTACTCCCATTCGAGAAGGAAAAACACCAAATATACTTAAAAAACCATATTCAAATTTATAGAATAGAAAGAAAAAAAAATAAGGCACTACACGCATCGAAGATATAGTAATATACACATAATATCAAAATTTAAACGGCAGGTACTTAAATTGAAGGTAATGTAAATATATGTTGACTTTAAGTTTTTTATCGAAATAAAACTTGTCATAAAAGAATAGTTGAATGTAATTTCTCTAGAATTGTATCTTTATGAAGTGAACAGAATCCTAGTTCGTGACGAGATAGTCATAAGCTGTCTATTTATAATTGTTCATCTGTCTCACTTATTTGGAGATCCGGTCAACGCCGATCAGTCTTTTGCGAGTGCTAAGGGGAATTGGTTGGTGAGGTTGACTTCGTTACATCTGCTTGATCGGTTTCTGCCCTCACTTCGTCGAGCTCTACTTCTTCTTCATCGTCATCTTCATCGCCAATGACAAAATTATCCGCATCAAAATCATTAGAATCCAATTCCACATTATTGTTTGAACTTAAATCGTTATCGTCAAAATTACCGAAGATCATCGCATCATAGTCCCCGTTGGTCTGTTGTCGAGAGCTATGGTATATTTCTAGCTTTCGCTGCATTCTACTATAGATCAACCAGGTGGTCAATGCTGAAGCTGCACCAGTAATAAGAATTGAAACGAAATCAACCACCTTGGTTGCAAATGTCTTTGTTTCGTCACCCAACAGCTTTAACTTCCAGCCCACGTAAACATGTATTAACAATTTAGGCGACGTGATTAATGAAGCAAGCGCGTATGTCCAAGCAGAGAGTTCTGGGATTGCTGCCAAGGCACCATTTGATAAAGAATACGGTAAGGGGCATAGCCTTATCAATATTAAGATGAGAAGACTTTGGTCTTCCTTCAAGATGTCAGAGAAGGCCCTAAACTTTTCATTGGCCTGGATTAGCCTAACCGCCTGTTTATGCAACAAATAACGGAAGACCAAGAAAGATGCAAACAGGCCAGTGAACATGGCCGAAGCCAAAAGCGGCCAACCATAGGGAAATCCGTATACCATCCCGCACAATAGCGACAAAGGTGAGAAGCCAAGCAACGGAGGGAATCCTACCATAAACACCAAGGTAAATAATAACAAGTGACCAAACTTCAAGTCTGCCCACTTATCTGAGAGTTTCACCAAAGACTTAATAATATAAGAGTGGAATATCAATATAAGAACAACAGCTATTACATTGAAAACTGCCAAGATCCACACAAGTATCTTTTTAGTTGGTGTTAGCTCGTCATATCGCTTAGTCAATTCTTCGCTGAAATTCTGAAATTTACTAAGATTTTGTTTGTAAATTGAATTTATGTGGTTTGTGTTTGGCCGTCTGAACGGATCAGTATTCGAGTCTAAACGGGGCATCATGTGGCTGCTAATACAAAAGTACAACGCACAGAGTTTGATGTCTTTCCTTCTTTATCAGAAAGAAGTTGCCATAAAAAATTACGAGCAGGTCCTGCAGGTGGGACTAACTTGCAAAGCGAAAGACCTTGGAAATAAAGGCGCAGGCCATTATGGCTCACACGGAAGACCTGATGCTGAGTCGCTGAGCATGTCTATGAATTCTCAGATGAAGACAAGGCGGTGTTTAGAGTTGGCAGTTGTACTATGTAAAGGAAGAAAAAAAAATGGTAATACTAAATCAGTTCTGCTATACACCAGTGGCTCTTTTGATGAGTATCGTGCAATAAAAAAAATTCCGATACCGGGAGTCGAACCCGGGTCTGCTCGGTGAAAGCGAACCGTGCTAGCCGTTACACTATATCGGAGTATCTTGTAATTGTAGTTTATGGGCAGTTTGCCAAATTGAATCAAGAGAGAGTTTTTACTTTTCTCTTAACTTCTTCTTAAATTTACGGAGACTTGCTTAACTAGGCACGCATTCTTTGTTGGTTTCCCTTTGAACAAGAACTTGTAATATTAGGAAGATCGATTCGCTTTGAGACGTTGCATACGCGTAAGAAATTTCTTTGTTCCCGAGGTTCAATCCATGTTTTGATCTCTTATCTTTCATTACAGTCGACCTCGTGGGTTGCTCCGTCTTCATTGGGAATGTTGTTCCTAACTATTGCCAAAGAAACGTTTTGATTTGTATTACATGCATAAGTTCAAAGCCCCGGCAATTGTACTTCAAAGCCGCAACACCACTGTTTATTGTTAATGCTCACAGAGTGATGTATATGCGACTCGCTCCACCATGCAGCTTGAATCTAAGATGGAAAAGAAAAGGCATAGAAAATAATCAATTAGTGGCACTCCGACTGGAAATCTTTACCACTTTCAAAAAATCTCAAAGGACGTAACAACGGCTACATATCAGAATTCCAGCTACATGCATTTAGCCCGAAATCGGTGCAGAGAATTCGGGTAGAGTCTAGAAGATCTAACTAATACTAATCACAAACATAGTACTCAGTACTTTGATCATACCATATATGAGCACTCTTGAACTTTACTAAAAAAATTGGTGCTGCTTACCTGATGACAAATATTTGGACCACATTGACTAATATGAATATGCAGTCCAGTGATATAAAGCCAAGAAGTCAGCTTAAAATTATTTTTCGCATCAATTATTTTTTTTTTTGGGTTTATCTACTTGTCTGGTCAATCTATAAAATACCAATTAATTTCAAAGGTTGACACAATGGCGTTCTACGGCGGAATCGTGTCCTACGATATTCATACATATTGGAACAATAACAATCCAGATGAAACAAAATTTGCTTTCGATCTTAGAGAAAAGGTTCAAAAGGAATTTGCAACTGAAATAGAAAACGGTGACATACGGGTGTACAAATTTTGGGATAAGCCAATTGGCCCACATCCAATAAACATGTGGGAAATAGACTTTAAAAAGCCTGAGATATTTGCCAGAGTTGTACCTTTCTATCAATTAAATCATGGAAAGTTGTCTGTTTTGATTCATCCAAGATCGGGCTTAGGAGAGCTAACAGATCATACCAAGCATGCACTTTGGTTGGGCCATAAGGTTCGCTTGGACGCTTCAGTTTTAAGTAACGAGGGATAATGTATTTGTTATGTTTCAGTCACTAATATACACTAACTGTATTTCGTCAACGTAAGATTATGTATTAGAGTAGCGAACAGGTCTACGACACATCTAAATTCTATTGTTGTATTCAAGGCGGCCACAATAAATCAGTAAACGCTAAATTATAGTGAAGAATTGAATCGTGAAGTGAAAGAAAAAGAAACTGTAAACGAAAAAAAAAGAGAAAAAGAAACTTAATTTGTACCTGCTTTTCGTACATGATAAGGTTAAATGCAATAAAAATGTGCTGCAACGTGCATCACCAGTAAAATGTAAACAAACCAAAGCAAAAAAAGAAACAATGGAAGCAGCTCCTTTCTAATTACTCTGCATGTAGTCCATATGACTTTCCAAATGTCCTTCCATTGCAAATTAAGGTTGACTAAGGCAAAAGAGAACCTCTCGAATTAACCTTCTGCGCGCAAGTTATATTCTGGGAATTCTTTCTTGTTACATCTCACTGTCTTTCTTCGGATCTTTCATATCCCTTTTCGTTTATCCCCGTAAAAGTGTCTTCGCTAAACCTTATTTCGCGTATTTTCTGCTGCAAAAGTGTGCCACTAAATATTTCAAATTGAAAAAAAAAAGTATTTTCCAGCCCTAAGACACATCATAATACACTTCGTAAATAACACATTTGGCTGTTTTCTTTATGCCGAAATGGATGTATCCATTGTTTGTTGCTATTCTTTGTTTCATGTCGCCGTGTTGATCTGGAGTCGCATAAAGTAACGGAAGGATTATTGGCTTAGGCAGGAATGTACCTGTCCTCGGATGTTACTGGTGGAATATTTTCCAGTAAGATGGGCCATGGCTAAATGATAACACTATAAATATCAACGGGTATGCATAAACAAACTACACAGATCGTATTTGCAAATTGAATTAGCAATTCTGCTTAACTAAACAGTATCAATAATGCAACTCATTCTATTATTTTATGTGTTCACTGTCGCACTCGGTTATTCTCCAAGTGGTACTTATGCACCGAGCTCTATTCAATGTCCATCAGGAAATTTAGTCAGGCCGGCTGATTCAATTTCACCTGAAGAACAAGAATGGTTAAATGGAAGAGTTCCTATTGCTCAAGCCAACCTTATTACATTCTTACAAAAAGTCAATTTAGAAGACTTTGATGCTGAAAGCTTTGTTACAAATGCAAAGAAGAATATCACCATCGGAACTGCGTTCTCAGGAGGGGGTTATAGAGCCATGTTCGCAGGTGCTGGTCAATTGGCTGCATTGGATAGTAGAAATTACGGAGCTGATGAAGCTGGATTGGGTGGCCTTCTTCAAGCATCTACTTATCTTGTGGGATTATCAGGAGGGAATTGGCTAGTTGGTACTGTCGCAATGAACAACTTTATGTCTATTGACTCTATTTTAGCAAACAGTAAACTTTGGGATATAACATACACGATGTTTGCCCCAGGTGGATGGAACTTTATTAAAACACAATTTTATTGGGCTTCCATCAATTTATCTCTCTTGGCAAAGCAGCTTGCTTTGTTTAGAATTTCAATTACTGATATTTGGGGTAGAGCATTGTCATTTCAAATGTTTGGGACCTTCAACAACGGTGGAGATAGTATTACTTGGTCTCAAATCACGGACGACGAAGAATTTTCTAGCTTTAATGCACCTTATCCTATTGTCGTTGCTGATGGAAGGGTTCCTGGAACATTAATTATTAATGATAACTCTACTATTTTTGAAATAACTCCACATGAGTTAGGTTCATGGGACCCATCATTATATCTGTTCACTAAAACGAAATATCTTGGTACTAAGACAAATAATGGTGTCCCAAGTAATGGAAAATGTATTGGAGGGTTTGACAATGCAGGATTTATCATTGGAACTTCATCTTCTCTTTTTAATCAAGTAGCTCTTTACCTTTCGAGTTGGACAAGCTGGGTAAGTTACTTAGGATTAGCCGGAACCATAATAAGTCAAATTGAGAATCATGTTCTTGCAAATATTGACGTTGATACTTCTCTTTACAAGCCTAACCCATTTTATGGTACAAAATATGGTGATAGTTATTCAATATTAAACGATGATACTTTGTTTCTCGTCGACGGAGGTGAAGATTTACAAAATGTCCCACTTGCACCCTTAATTCAACCACAAAGAGGGTTAGATATCATTTTCGCTTATGATAACTCTGCCGATACGTCCGTTAACTGGCCCAATGGAGCTTCACTTGTTGCAACTTTCCAAAGACAATTTTCACATCAAGGAAATGCAACGTTTTTCCCCTACGTGCCTGATGTTAACTCATTTAGAAATTTAGACTTGACAGCTAAGCCCGCATTTTTTGGATGTGATGCAAACGCATTGAAAGCATTGGTCGGTCCCAACGTGAACACATCTTCCAGCAACTTTCAGTTATATACTAATGATTCATCAATTGAATCTGTTTATGACATTCCTTTAATTGTTTATACTGCTAACAGACCATTCTCATATTATTCGAATACTTCAACATTCAAATTGGACTATTCCACTACTGAAAAGCTAGGAATGATCAAAAATGGATTTGAAACAGCTACAAGGTTGAATTCTACTTTAGATCTGGAGTGGGGTGCTTGTGTTGGATGTGCAATCATTAGAAGAGAGCAAGAAAGGCAAGGTGTAGATCAGTCCGATCAATGTAAAAAATGCTTTGAAAGATACTGCTGGAACGGCGAAACAGATACATCTACTCCAGGAGATAACTTTAGCTTGACTTCTCAAACAGTCGCAGATGATGGAAGTATTCTGCCAGCATACCCAAATTCATTCAAGTAATGAGTTTACTTTAAACCCGCATTCTGCAGCAAATTTCCAGATTTTGTGACTAAAAAAGCCACAGATTGTGCACTGGTTTTTTTTTCTCGCGCATATTTTCCTAATGCGGACCACCTCGGCTAAAAAATACGACCAAATGGTGCTGTAATCTAACCCAAGACAACTTGTAACTAAGTACGACAAGATAATATAACCTTACCACTTCACTAACGAATAAATGATTGATTTCGAAGTTTGAGTGTTTTTTTTAACACATTTTGCGATCGTAAAGGTCAAAATCAACTTAGGTGGAGAACACTTTCATTGATCTCTGAAAGGGCTCTTCATGTTATTCTTTTTTCTTTTTTTTTTTTTTTTTTTTCATTATTGATTTTTAATGTGGCATCTCTGATGGGACCGTTCCTCCTTCGCTACATAAAACGAGACCCTTTAATTATCGTAGGTGCCCCCTGTATTTTGCATATGTGACTTTTTCTTTCGTCGACTTCAAACGTAGTTAATTTGAAAATGTCTGAACATCACACTGCTAAGATTTCAGATGATTTAGGACTTTTTATTCCAGTAAAGCCAATAGATGCACCCTTGGATGTGAATGAAAAATTTATTAGATCGTCTCCCTACTACGAACAAGATCATCTCTTAGATCTTGACAAATTGGAAGTAGGATACAAGGCTCTAGCATTAGCTTTACAATCTTTCGAAGCTAGAAGTGAAAAGGATTATGCGTTTGCAGCCTACAAAGAGGCTTTTAATATTGAAAGCATTATACTAAGAGCTAGAGAGTATGCAGCAGCTCTTGGTGCTGAAGAATTCCCTGAGATCAAAGTTTATATAATTGCATTTAGGTCCATTTTACATCTCGAAGTTCAAGAGTCTGCTGAAAAGAGAAAAAAGTTAGCGGAAATAGATAAAGATTCCCATGCTGAAGCCAACTTATCAGGAGGGCTCTTGAAATATTGGTTTGGAACTCCCGACGATGTTCATGCTAAAAACTTAGCTACATGCTGGTGGAGAAATGGAAAAGATGCAAAGGCAGGTGGAGGTGGTCCAGCTCATAGACAAGGAATGAGATTGGTTAAGGGCTGGTTCAAACATTGGCAAGTAGAAGAATACGAATTATTGATAACCAAGGACGAACATAACTTTGGTCCATTGAAGAAGATTTTAGAGAAAAAATAGATGGAATCATTTTTGAGAGTCAACCGCATGTAAGTTGCACTTTCGAAAAGGACCAACACGACGCATTTGTCATTTCCTGACTAAAAGATAAATACCACGTAATATTGTCTTGAGACACTCTCGTCAGGTTGAAGCCAAGAACATTGGTTATCCGCATCCGTGGGTTAAATCACTACCGATGTCTCTTACCAACAATTAGCGGTAGCACCAGCAAATGCAAGTATGGAAATTTTAGCTGTTCTGGCAAAGTCATACTGCGTATTCAAAGATATTTTTATGACAATTATTCTGCGTTTTCCATTTTCCGCCTCCGTAGCGACGTAGGTATGCTCCTACGCATTTAGTATAGGCAACGGCAGTAGCCACACGAGCACAACATATGAACTCAAAAATGCGAATCAAGAAAGTCGATATACATAAACCAATAAAAAATATTTCACTACAGACGAAAATTACATTTTGCAGCATTTGAAAAATCTAAAGCTTATTTTGAAATCTCACATTTGTAGCGCCCGATAAAGTTTAACTCTAATTTGATAAGAATCGGAACAAAAGACACATCAAAAGAACAAAGGCAATCAAATAAAATAGAAGAAAGCTAGGGGTGGGATAAAAATCAGCTTCACACTATACCATGCCAAGTATGTTTTTTTTTTTCTAGCCAAGTCTACCTTTTCACTATATATCTTGGTAATTGCCTATGTTTCGATGCACAACTGTAGGTACAAAGAACTGTGGTTCTTCCTCTCGAGAAACACCTTGATTGCGTGCTTAGTTCGTTTTTTGGCGAAAAAAGGAACATTCTTAGCTGTAATGTAATGCAAGTAATCAACCTTCTTTACCTCTGCGAAAAAAAATATTCGGTGAGCCTTACGTAAGGCTACCCATATCTCCGCTAATTTGCTATCCAGGGTAAAGATATGAACTTTAATTTAAAACAGCACCATCCCCTTAATTTGCTCGTACTTTGATATAAAATTGGACTTGTTTGAAACTTTTTCTTTCAATTTCAATTTCTCTTCATTGCGTGAAAGACAAGCAAAATGACATCATCGATTGAAGAACCCTTTAAGGCATCTCCTCAGCGCACTCTAGATGAGAATGCGAAGGACGCCGCTGTAGTCAAAGCAAGCGAACAAGATACCGCTTCTTTTGCGTCCGAGTCTTCTACACTCTTCGACGAAGGAGATTTTTCAAGAACCTACTTGGCTAAGTCCAAGATCATTACCGATGAAATCAATAATATAGGTTGGGGAAAATATCATACCGGTCTTTTCATTGTATGTGGGTTTGGTTGGTATGCAGATAATGCTTTCCCCATTGCTTGTTCACTTATTATGATTGCTTTGAATGAAGTCGATGGGGTACATCTTCCAAGCTCAACTGAGGGTCCATTTCTTACATTAGCTCAAAACTTGGGTCTTTTCGTAGGTGCTTTCTTCTGGTCCTTATCCTCTGATATTATTGGAAGAAGATGGGCCTTCGTTATTACTTTCTTGTTTATTGGGGTATTTGCGGTGATTGCTGGTGCATCTCCAAATTTTGGAGCATTAGGAACCTTTTTTGCTTTGCTTTCCACCGGAGTTGGAGGTTCATTACCAGTTGATTCTGCTATTTATTTGGAGTTTTTGCCATCAAAATACCAATACACGTTGACTTTACTCTCAACTTATTGGGCATTCGCACAATTGATTACTAATTTGCTTTCATGGGGTTTAATTTCAACTTACTCTTGTTCTGCTGAGGCAACCGTGTGTTACAAAAAGGACAATTGGGGTTGGAGATACTTTATGTTTACTCTAGGCGGTTTGACCTTGGTTATGTTTTTAACCAGATATCTTTTCCATTTATTTGAGTCCCCAAGATATTTCTTGGCCAAGGGAGATGAAGTTAGAGCTGTTGAGGTTATCCATAAAGTTGCAAAGATCAACGGTAAGGAATCACTTTTAACTGTTGAAGATCTCCGTGCCGTGGATGACTTAAAATTAGATGGCGACAATGTAGATGAACCTGTTACTGGTTCAGGAAATGAGTTACTCCAGGCTAGGTTGAAAAAATTCAATTTGAGCCATGTAAGACAATGTTTTGGTTCCAGAAAATTAGCAATTTCTTCAGGGCTTGTTATCTTTACGTGGGGACTTATTGGATTAGCCTTCCCTTTGTATAACGCTTTTATTCCAACTTATTTGTTGAAGCATGGTTTCGTGGGGGATACACTCACAGTTCAAGAAACCTACAGAAATTCTTTGATTGTTTCTGTCTTGGGAATCCCGGGCTCGATCATAGGTGGTTTCTTAGTCGAAACTAAAGCCGGTAGGAAAGGTATCCTCAGTGCTTCCTTACTTATTACTGGTATTTTCTTGTTTGCTTCGACCACTGCCAAATCTACTAACGCAAATTTGGGTTGGACTTGTGGCTTTAGTTTCATTACTGCTGTTATGTACGGTGTTCTCTATGCATATACTCCAGAAGTGTTCCCAGCAAAGATTAGAGGTACAGCAGTTGGTTTAGCTGCATCAGCTAATAGGATATTCGGTATCTTTGCTCCAATCATTGCAATGTACGCCAACTTGGAAACCTCTGCTCCTATATACGTTAGTGGAACCTTATTCTTGCTTGCTGGAATATTGGTAATCTTCTTCCCCTACGAGCCAAGAGGAAAATCCAGTTACTAATTATATGAATATACTTCAAAAATCTAATACAGTGATAGTAATTACAATATTATAAGTGTAAGCGTTTTTACGAGCAAACTTCGTCTGCAGGGTCCTAATCATAATGCATTAACCCGCGTATAGAAAAACTAAGCCTTAGATAAATTGACACACTCCAGAAAAGTTTTGCAATATTTACGAATATTTGTAGGCATATTTAATATTGTATCTTTATCATATATAAGTTTAATATTGAAATGACACTCAGCCAATTTGTTCTTCCTGAGCCTTGAAATCCAAGTAAGCACATAATTATTTGCCCCGCAATTTATAATCACCAGACAACCATGTATTGAATACATCTAAGGAAGCTAACGGCTGATCAAATGGTACCATATGCCCTGATTCATAAACTTTCAAGAATGTAAATATTTCAAAATTCTTCATTTTTCCATGAACTTCATTGTCTTTTGATATAAAATCTGTCATAGGAGCTGCAAGAAATGACTCATGCCCAGAATAATCCAATTGATCAGTCCAGTGGGAGTTTCCTAGCCAGTTGCAATTGAAATCTTTATCTCCAGCATAGATCAAGACTGGAATCCCTGACTCTAATAACTCAGCAACATACTGTTGATGAGGTAACATATAATCCCCTGTGAAAGAAAATCCATTGTAAATATCTTCACTGCAACTTTGGTATTGTCCAACAGCGGGATCTGCACCAACTGCGTTCTTAACAAATTCTGAATCCAAAAACTCATTCATGTAATGCAATTCTTCATAGCACTCTTCGTCCCTGCTTACGCATTGTTTTCTCATGTCGTAGGGGTTACGGTCCGTTTCCCACACCTTAGCTCTAATTCTATCGCAATAAAGCTTTGCTGGTACACAGGCAAATGGATTTTGTATATGATAACATGCCTTAGCTAAGGGTAAACACTTTTTAAAATCATCATCCATTTCTTGACAACTTTCATCCGAGATGAGTTGATCAAATCCACCCTCTCCACAAAGCATTGACCTGAAAGTTGGAATTTGAACAATTGGGTCAAAAATACCATTCCCAATGAGTACCGAAGACACATTATACAGCAAAGGTCCTTCATGCTTTATAATATCTCTAGTAAATCTTGGGATATAATGACCAGCATACAGTTCACCAGCGATATGGAATTTGTTGGATTGGAATTTAGAAAACTTCGTAAAGAAGAGCTCCAAAAATGCAACAACATCCTTGGATGCTGCAGCAGTGCTTGTCACCTTTCCCAGGGAGTGAGGACCTTCGTAGGAGTATCCCACCCCGGTAGGTTGGTCTAAGAAAATGACCGAGGCATTTGAGTTCCATGAATGCGGGTTATACTCAGGGAGGATATCTGAGTTGATCGAAGATGGGCCTAATTCGAAAAACAATCCAGTACTGGATGAACAACCTGGGCCACCGTTAAGCCAAAGGACAATAGGGTCATTAGCTGGATCGTTTCTGGATTCAAAAAACCAAAAAAACAAATGTTTATCTTCTGATTCTATGTCCAAGTAGCCAGTGTATTGGTCTACTGTATCCAATTGAAGCAATTGAGGGTTATTTTGTTTGATTCTAAGAGTATGGTCGGTAAATTTAGTGTTTTTCACCGACTCAAAAGTAACTTGTTTAGGTGATTCAAAGAATAGGTTTTGGGTATCTGACTGGAGAGGTTTTTCCATAGTAGTACCGGGAAAAGAACCCGCATGATAGGAATCTATTTCTTTAGCTAGCTTTTCAGAATCATACTTGTTTAATAAACTTCTCCAAGAAGACAAAAGAAACTCATCGTCAGTTAGGTGGGAGGCAAGATGCTTTGAAAAGAAATCTATATGCTCATTTGAGGAGAAGGGAGATTGCGAGGCAACTACTACTGTCGCAAGTGTAGCCGATACGGCAGCTGATAATTTCATCGTGTACAAACAATACCGAATGGGACGAGAAGAGATGAATTAGTGAACAGTGTAATCGACTGTTTAATGTCATTCTGGAATCTATCTGATATCTCCGAGAATTTTTGCCTTTCTTACCTAATAGGAAATTTGGAATGAGTTCCCTTGAGTGTAAGGCTCCACCAGGTTGCATAAGCCCATAGAAGTATTTTACACTATTGATAAGAAATGCAAATATATGCAATCTTCACTCAGAAATCCACATTCGAATGCATAAATGTATCTGTACACTGTATCTACACTTCCACAGCTAAGATTATTCTTAGCATATAGTTCATAAGTAGTGAAGAGCACTCTGGGTGGTGTACATGGGGAACTTCGATGTTTCCCGTAATTTCTGACCCAATCGGGAAAGAATTTCCGGGCCCTTGATAGACAATTTCCATATAAATTGAAAAATGTGAAGACACCAGGGAAAGAGCAATTAATACCACCTACTAGATCATACAAGTCTTTGTTTTCACAGTTATTTGTTTATTACACCATGTCATTCACAGTCAATGCAGAAATTTCCCAATTCAACGGGAAATTATTTAAATTATCTCATGATTCAGAAACTACTCATACCAAGATGGACGTTAACGTCTTCCTTCCATCTGGACCATCAGAAAAGATCCCAGTCCTTTTATACCTTTCAGGTTTAACTTGTACCCCTAATAATGCTTCCGAGAAATCATTCTTCCAGTATTTTGCAAACAAATTCGGTTTTGCTATCATTTTCCCTGACACTTCTCCTAGAGGGGCTGGCATTGAAGGTGAAGATGATTCGTGGGATTTTGGTACAGGTGCAGCATTCTACGTTGATTCCACCCAAGAGCCATGGTCTAAAAACTACAACATGTACTCATACGTTCATAAGGAACTCTTGGACAAGCTCGCCGCCTACTATCCTCAATTAGACATCAAAGATAACATCAGTATTACTGGTCACTCAATGGGAGGTTATGGTGCTCTTGCTGGATTCTTCAAGAACCCAGGCAGGTACAAGTCAGTTTCAGCATTTGCTCCAATTAGTAACCCACTGAATTGTAAGTGGGGTGAAAAATGTTTTGGAAACTATCTTGGTGAAGACAAAGAAAGCTGGTATCAATACGATCCGACCCATTTGATCAAGTCATACAAGGGACCAACCCCAGACATTCTTATTCACCAAGGTGCTCAAGATGGTTTCTACACCAAGGATGAACAATTGCAACCCGAAAACTTTGTTGCTGCAGCCAAGGAAAGTGGCTACGCCGGAAAGGTTGACTTACATGTAGTAGATGGGTACGATCACCTGTACTTTTTCATCAGTTCATTCGCAGAAGACCATGCCAAATTCCACGCTAAGTATTTGGGATTATGACTAGGACCTCGTCTATAAATAATAAACTAAAAGAATCACAACTATATAACAACTCTGTCCTTGATCTCTCAGAGATCTAAGCTGTCAGCTTCTGGAAAAATTTAGCTTCCCAGGCATCGCACCATTTCACCTTGCTCTCACTCTTCTTATTCACTTGTCTCACTTCCTTGACCAATACCGTGCAACCCTTTTCAATGGAGTTTGCGCACTCTTTGCAAGAGTCGCCGATTTCCATGGTAAAAGTGACTTCTGCAATAAGTTTGTCCACATTAGCTACCACTTTCCTCTGAGTGGAATAGATCTTGTCTACTGTTTCTCCAGATGTCAACTCAGGCAACGATCTAGTGATAGAGGTGAGAAGGAGCTTTATAAGTTTGAATTTCTGCACCCAAGCTGTGGAGTATTCTGAAAGAATGTCCAATTCAGAAGCAGAAAGTCCCAGAGGGGCCCCATCGTCCTCTTCGTTTTCATCTTCTTCCTCTTCTTCGTCATCTCCAAATCCAAATGGATCATCACCCAAATCCTGTGGATCCTTCGCCCATTCTTCAAAATCTTCCAAACCATCATCTATAAACCCAATACTTCTCTTCAACTTCTGACCTAGAACCCCAAGCAGGCCAAGGCTTATAATCTTGCCAATCGAATCACAATGACTCCAAATTTGTCCAATTGACACCAACCTGCTATTGACTTCATTGTCATCCCCTTCATCCCCTTCGTTTTCTTCTGCACCAATCTCTTCTGTGAATTGGCTGAGTTCGTGCACCAAAGTCTTGGCCGATCCAAGCAAGAGTCTCGCTACATCAATCAACTCATCATAAAATATATCCGATATGACCTTGGGTTCTAATTGATGTAACACCGAAACCATTAAAGTTATCGACTCTGAGAGTTTCTGGAATGTATTGTATGCAGTGGAAGTTTCCTTCACCAAGGTAGAAGGTTTGAATATTATCCCAACCTTGGTAGTATGAGCTTTAATGAGTTTCACCAACTTTGAGAGTTCCTCCAAGGGATTGGCTACTTTGGCAGCGGAAGTAGACGAGTTTTCGTCATTTCTACCCAAGCTAAGAAGCCAAAAATCTACAGCTTCGTCAAATGCCTTAAGCAAAGCGTTTATATCGGGTTTGTTGTGTGGCATTTGCTTTAATGTGCTGTATTGTGTTTGTCTGTTTGCAATTGCAAAATTTTGATTCTTTTTGATGCCAGAGATGGTGTGTTTATATGCAGGCCGTGGTGATTGCTGCAATTCCTGTGCAATTAAGCCAAGGTACGAGCCGTTTAAGTTGAAAAAGGAGTATAATTCCATTTACTTAGAAGAGTAGAGTGGGATAGAGCAATACTACTGTAAATTTTAACGTAGTTTTTTATATTTCGTTGTGTAGTATAGTATACTATTTCAATATCCTGGTCTAAAAATACAAATGCTTTTTCATATTTGTACTTAACCATTAGGTCAAGTATACTAGTTTATAATTGCGTCTACCAATCATCTTCGTCATCTTCGCCATCACTTCCTGCGACCTTATCTTTTCTCTTGTTCAATGCCAATGCCAATGCATCAGCAAGACTAGCAGGTTGACCGCCGGCAGGAGGTGCTGCCGCGGCTGGAATTGACACTGGCTCTCCTCTGGCTTCTTGAAGTAAGACGTTTGGTCTTTCCAAGTTAGACTTATCTGTCTTTTTGAGAGCGCCGAGCCCTGCCCCTCTAATAGATGCAAGGAGGGCATCACGGGAAGGATCGACGGAAGGTAATGCAGCTGATGGTTCCAGAGATCCACCCATTGCAGGAGGCGGTGGAGGTGGAGGTGGTGGAGCACCAGAGCCACTGGAGGTACCCATAGGTGGTAGAGGGGGTGGTGGAGGGGCACCTGAACCGTTGGACGCACCAATAGGAGGAAGAGGTGGTGGAGGAGGAGGAACTGAACCGTTGGAAGCACCCATAGGAGGGAGTGGTGGTGGTGGAGGAGGAGGAGCTGATGCATTGGAAGCGCCCATAGGTGGGAGAGGTGGTGGAGGTGGTGGAACCGATCCATTCGATATTGGATTCGTAAATTGAGCTTGAGGACTATAGGGTTGTGTAATTTGTGCTTGTAGTTGTGAAGTAGGTGGCATTGTAACATGTGGCAGTTGCGGTGGTTGGCCATACACAGGTTGAACAGGAGCCGGACCAGTCGCTTGTCTTGCTCTTGGGGGAGGTGGCGGTGGTCCACCTCTCGCAGCTCTAGGAGGTGGAGGTGGAGGTGGAGGTGCTGCTGCCGCTCCTCCAGTTCTGGCAGGAGGCAAGGGCACTCGAGGTGGTGGCTGAACTACATTATTGTTCCTTGGAGGTGGTGGAGGCACTGGACCTCTAGATGGAGGAGGTGGTGGTACAGGTCCTCTACCAGGGACAGGAGGACCCTGCATATATATAGGCAGTTGGGGCTGTTCTTGCAGAGCAGGGTGTGCGATAGGGGGTGGACCAGATTTATGCGGCGGTAATGCAGACATTGGCGGAACTCTGAATTTCAATGGAGCTCCTTTTGGAGGAGCTGACGATTCATCTGGCGACGCCGAGGATTCAGGATGCGGCGACGAAGAATTAAAGGCGCCAGAAGGTGCAGCATGTGCTGGCGGTGCAGGAGAAGTGGAAGCAGGGGTAGGAGATTCGCTGTTTGGTGGTGGTGTTGGAGGAAGCAGCGAATCTCTCGTTGTATGGGGAGCTGGTGAAGAGGACGAAGTACCAGAAGGCGGCGGTGGTGGGGGAGCCTTGTTCTTCTTTCTAGATGTTGAATTGGGAATAGTAATTTCTGTTGGGGTTGGGGCTGAAGCAATGGGCTGATCGTGAATCTTTCTAGGAATTGGAGGTTCCAATCCAACCAATGGCCCGCCCTGTTTACTTATATAGTCCTTGATGAACTCTCTATTATCCGCAATCATATCCTCCGTAATACCAGCAGCAGCCAATTCTGAGTACAAAGATCTCCATTCTGGTGGTGGTACACCGTCATAATACAATACACCCTTGCTTCTCCTAGAACGCTGAGCAGTGTTGACATCCATGAATTCACCTCTCGGACCAGGGGCCATGGGAGAATCGTTCCTCGATGTTTCCCTTAACTTCAAAGCATTTTTGTTGTTTACAGTGGCCTTAGATCCATGCTTCGCACGGCTAGTAACTCTCTTATAGAAATGTACGGCATCATTACTATCTTCAAATAAGAGACCAGCCAAGCAGTCCTCCATTTCAAAGCTATGGAAGAACTTACGGTCTTGATGGTACTCAAAATCAACATAGAGCTCTTGGTCCCACACCACACCCTGATTTCCAATTATATCGACGAGCTTGAGGAAGAATGTATGCCCTACAAGGTCGTCTACCAACGCAATGGCTCCAACCAATTGAGTGTATTTCCATTGAGTGTGATCAGGGTAAGCAATGTAAAGTCGTGCGACAGTGGCATCAATGATTTTGTTATTTGTCTTTGGAATTGCTCTCTTGATTTTTTCCTTGTCAGGATTTGTTAAGATCCCCATGTTTACGCAAGATAAAAAACAAAGAGATCGATATAGCTTAGAACAAGGCACCTGGAAAGGAATCTTTCAGGCTGTGAATCGTAGCTTTCCCTTTGTGCCTCCCGGTGTGAAAAGCTGCGGGATCAATACAATAACGTGACCAGTGGCGCGTGATAATATCGAACTTTGGTACTGAGCCTTTTTTTTTATTTCTGCTTCTTGAATTTTTTTTTTTTTATCTTCCATCTCAACTGTATACTTCCTTTATCTCTGTACAATAATATAAACACTATGTCAGGTCGTCAAGGTGGTAAGGCTAAGCCATTAAAGGCTCCAAAGAAGAAACAAGATGATTTCGATGAGGAAGATTTAGCTTTTAAGGCCAAGCAAAAGGCTGACGCAGCTGCTAAGAAGGCAATGGCCGATAAAGCCAAGGGTAAAGGTCCATTAGTTGGTGGTGGTATCAAGAAGAGTGGTAAGAAATAGTAAGCTCATTGTATAGCACTAAAATAAATGTAATCTTCTGAGTCAACTCTCGGCGCAATGTAGAGATTTAAAGAAAGATGCTTCTTTAAATACGTAGATCTCAGCCATTTTCCATCAAAGTCTTTATCATCTCTCATCTTTCGACTCTATTTCGTAATTTTGCTGGGAGCACTGAAGCAAGTGGTCCCAAGCACTTGCTTAAGTTAAGATCAGGCAGAATCCAAAAAAAAACAAAGGGACGACCTCGGTGAGGGTCGAACTCACGATCTTGAGATTAACAGTCTCACGCCTTAGCCAACTTGGCCACGAAGTCGTATCTTCGAATAAGATGAAGCCATCAGCCGGCTGGAATGTAAAGGGAGCTTGCCAGAAGCTGGTCTTTCTATTAAGAGCATCGAATACGCTTACTTCCCACAAATATAACGCTAGTATCATACGTAGGATAAGATCATCCCGCATGGTGTACTATCTCCTTTGGATATTTGATCAAAAAGGTACAGGTAATTGCTACGTGGTAGTTGCTCCAGTGTCCGAATAAACTGGGGAATCCACTTTTCTATAGTGGCAGTGTATGGTCAGCATCCTATCAACAACTAGAGAGCCAGTACAAGGTGAAGAGCTTTGCGAGCCAAAGATTGACTAAAGGCTAAGATGGGATCTACTTTGGCATTTGGAGAACTCAGTTATAACAAATATAGCATGGTGTCTATAGTTAGTATGTGTGTCAAACATGATTATAAGCGATAATACTGATCGGCATACACAGAATAAACAGTTACTTACAAGAAGAAATCAATCTTTATGGCAGGCATAAAGATAAACTGAGTAATGGTAATTGCAAGCTTTAAGAGCCCTTAGCGGAGTCAAAGGGGCCCTAGCCATCACACCTAAATAGTAATCTCCGTAAAGAGATATGGCTCTTACCAAAAAAAGATTATATTAAATGTGTACAATACAGTGTGCCAATACACTCTCGTGCCAACCAACGGTAGAGTAGTATACATTCAAAGCATTACGTTACTAAAGCCTATAAGGTAAGTATCAAAGCATCGACTAACATACACTCTTCTGCATATAAGCGTTTGCAACCATTCTTGGTATCTATGCAGTACCAAGCTTGGTTTGAAAAACTTTCACCAAAAAAAAAAAGAAAAAAAAATCCACCGAGTATTTCACAGTACTGCTTGCATTCATCATTATATATCATCGCCCGCCATGCCTCCATTAAATAAATTCTTCAATAATGTTCGTGGGCGTAAGAGGGGAATGGACAAGAATTTGACTGCCAACTTAATCCGTCATGAATACATTGTTACTGGAGATGTTAAAGCAAAAAGAGCTCAGTCTAAGATTGAATCGTTTCTTGCGAAAACCATGAACATTGAAAGAACCAAGGAAAATGAACCGTTAACAGCACAAACTCTTAGTCAACGTATTAAGGAAAACTCAGAACTTGAATACCTTCAAGCAGCAGAAAGAGATGAAGTTGCCTCGAAATTAATTTCTAATTTGGCTGGATCGACATTGGGTTACAAGAGAACCCATGGCTTCACCAGAATTTTGAAATTGGAGCCAAGACTCGGAGAGGACAAGGCACCTCAATCTGTCTTAGAATTAGTAGATTCAGAATATTCCATTTTCTTCTGGTACATTGCCAAGACTGTAGCCAGATTGGAGTTACAAGGGTTGCCTCTTGACGAGTTGACTAGCCATAATGTCAAAAAATTAGTGCAATTTAAAGAAGATGGTGAGTCAAGGTTTAAAGAAGCAGTTGAAAAGAGTAAAGCTGAATTTTTCCTGTACAACGCGGAGACAGGGGAGATTGAAAACCAAGAGATCAAAGATCAACTCCTTAGAAATATTCCTAACCCAGTCAAGGGAGAGGTTTCATTATTGGGATCAAAGAAGTATAAGATTATGGAGAGAAAGGCAAAGCCTGAGTTTGAGTTACCAAAGAGTCCATTCTTGAAGTAAAAAGTCATATGATTGTAGGAGAACAAGAAGGGAAGCATTACCTTGAAATGCTGCGCTAGTTAGGGGCAATGTAAAAAAGAAAATGGGGGCTCGCGCGCGCGAAGGCTAGCACAGCACTGGCTGGTACGCTAAGCAGTGAAAGATGTCACTGAGACGGAACAATGTTAATATAGAAGGAACACCAACATTATCATCCGCAAGCTAGAAGACATTTTCGTAAGAGGGTTTATTTGTACATAGAATAGAGTTTAATACACACATATAAAGAATATCGTTTATCCCTAAAGTGAACGTAGTTACCATGGTGATCTTAGATGGCCCATCTTGACATTTTAGCATTTTTCTCGCCAGTATGGAAATTTATAATTTTCGAAGTCTTAACAAAATATCACTCAGTAATTGTTGGATAGCGGAATACGTGTCTATTTATATATAAGTGCATACAGTATGTGGTGGTTTGGCAACTTTAAGCCAGAAGGTAAAACTGCTCTTATAGTGGGAGGATCTCAAGGTGTTGGAGCTGATTTAGCTCAACAATTGTATGTAAGGAACTGTTCTGTAATCTTAGTTGCCAGAACTGAGACCAAGTTAAAAGCGCAAAATGAAAAGATAACTTCAGTGAAAGATGTATCGGAACTGAACACAGCCACTAGTTCATATATTCCTTGTGATGTCGCAGACTATAACCATTGCGTTAAGCTATGGGAGACCATTCAATTAAGGGGCCAGGACCCTGACTATATATTCTGCTGTGCGGGATCATCGGTACCTAAACTATTCAATGACTTGACCGCTGAGGATTTGAAATCAGGAGTTACAATTAACTATAACACTGCTTTGAATGTCGTTCATACTGGATTCAAAAATGTTCTTCAACGATCCTCACTGGAGTTTGAACAAAAGCCAAGACATATAGTTCTCTTCTCTTCCGTAGTGTCATTCTTCCCATTCATAGGATACGCGCAATACGCACCTATGAAGGCAGCTATCCAGTCTTTGTCAATAATTTTAAGACAAGAGTTGGGGCCATATAATTATAGAGTCTCTTGTATTTTCCCAGGAAACTTCCAAAGTGAAGGTTTTGAAGAAGAGCAAAAGACCAAACCAGAAATTACCAAGACCATTGAAGGTCCGTCGGAGCCAATTCCTGGCGATGTGTGTGCTAGGTTAATTCTCAGGAAGCTTGATCAGGGTTTTGACACTGTTACTACAGACTTTATTGGCTGGCTATTGGGGAGCTCAGTACTAGGAGTCCTCCCCAGGTCTTGGGGATTTTTCCAAGTGATCGTGAGCTTAATCTTTTCTATAGTGGCCCCAGTAGCCAATTGGTTTATATATCAGGACATTGTAAAATACTTCAGGAAGAGGGCCGCAGAAGTGAGGAATGGTGGGGATAAGAAAGCCTTGGACAAGACAAAGAAAAAGACTTGATTAGTCTTGCTTTCCCAACTGGTAAATATAATGTGCAATAAATGACTCGAATACAGAACCTCTGCTAGTAGATTGGACCATAGAAGTGTAATTCTTCTTCTTCTTCTTCTTCTTCTTCTCTTCCAGGATGTAGTCGACACATTGCTACACTACCACGTCTTCGCTCTCTACAATGTTATTCTCGTCTATAGTACATTTATTACAATAAATAGTATATAATATCCATTGCTTACCCTTTCTTTGAGGTTAAAATTCTTTCCATACCTATTTTTTTGCTTCCCCAGCTATGCTCTCAGCGACTTTGTTGGTCAAGTCCTGAAACTTCTTGTCAGCTTCAACACCCCAGCTGTACCAATTGATGCTGTACAACCAATTGACCATTTTAATAATTTCGTCGTTCCAAATATCTTTAGCTGTCTCTCCAAATGGTCTTGTACGCAAATCAATATTGTTATCAACCGCAATTGGCTTTGGAATTCCCTTGTTAGAGAGAATTCTATCTGTAACTACTGTATTAGCATGCTGCAATTGTGTGGAGACAAAACGACTGTTTTTTTCAATATATTGTCCCGTGTAATACGTTAAAGATGCAGTAAGGAGAACTCCTCCTAGAAATCCGTGTATTCTGCCCCCCATGGTATGTGTGTAATGTTTGTATCAACGAGCAAAGAAGGTACTCTGAACTGTAAGACATACGCTTTGAAAATTGATCGAGAGCCAATGAAAATTGAAAATTGCGCGGTGCACCAAAAAAAAAAAAAAAAAGTTCCCGATTTGAAACTGTTGGTGTGGTGCCGGTAAAGACTTTGCACCCAAACTGAAACACAGGTGCTGCTATTATCTCTATGGAGGTGCATAGTGGTGAATCTTGGAAATGTCTCGAAGTGCCGCTGTTTGAAATTGCTGCACGATAATGCGATTTTAAGTGTGTTTCTACTACAGTTACGTTGTCTTTCTGGTTTACCTGATTATTGATTCTTCATTCTACTCTCTATTGAAATATGTACACGAAACTTCCTGATGCTCCTTCCAGTTCTTCTTATTCTTCTATTTTAATTCTTATCCTTCTTTTTCGAGCTGCTCCTTTGTTCGTCTTGTTCAGCCTGCTCTTACTCCTTCCCGATGATGTCTTTTCGACTGTTTTGCGATTCTGCTGGTACTGTATTCCTTCATTTCTCTTTCATTCAGTCTTAGATATCTTCAGCTACTTCTTCCTCGATCCCATCTCCTCTGAAGTTACCTATGGCGCTCTTCAAAAATGGTATAACATCAATCTTGTCCATCTTAACATCCACTTCACTGTCTCTCAACTCGATGACTTCCTCGACGGCTTCAGTTGTATCCTTCAACAAAAATGGCAACTGCTCGACGATACTTTTCAATGGTGCCAAATTTTGGCCAGTTTCTTGCAAATGTTTACCCCATTTCAATTCTGCGTTATACTCAACTCCCTTGATGAAGCTGACGTTTATATCATGCTCTAAATCGATATCGTTCAAGTCTGGTTGGATGCCAAATACGGCAAATTGCAACCTGTCCAACTTTTCCTCCATATCAACTTCGTTGGCTTGGTCCACCTCGATGTATCTCTGCTTGAATTGCTCCAAGTACTCTTGTTTTACATCATCCAAAAGCTGAGCTCTCTCGTACGCAGTCTGTCTTTCGAGTAACACTACCTTAATTCTTTTCTGCACCAAAGCTAACTTTTCATCAAAGTCCTTGTGGTGGTGTGCACGACTGTACTCCAAGCTTTCCGCCAAACGGAGTTCGGTACCGATGATATTTCTTTCCTTTAGTACTTGGTACCAAATTTGGTGTAAGTCTACAAAAGACTTTCTTCTCAATTCAGCCATGGACCAGGGTCTTACCTCGAGTTGTGTGATGTCATTACCATCTCTGAGAGCAGCCTTCAGGGTGTTTCCCCCTTCGAAAAATGCCCATAATGGATGATCTGGTGAGACATCGAAATTCTTGTGGGTTGGCGCAATAGGTGCACGCAACTTTATGTCTGCAAGATTGGAGAAGGCAAGAGGCTTCGATCTTGTGGATAGTCTTGAAGCACTCAGAAATGTTCTCACGGACTTAAACATCTTATTATCTAACTAGTCCTCTGCTAAAAGACGTATTGATCCCAGTCTATCCTGGTGCTGCTAAGACTGAAAAATTTCAGACATGGTCAATTTTTTTTCCATTTGTGAAATGGAGCGCGCACGACCCTGGCATTATCACCAACGCTAACGAAGGAAAAGAAAAGCAAAAAACTTGGTTGAAGGATACTGGAGTACTCAACCTCAACACTACATTCCTATCCAAGATGTCACTTCAAACGGAATCCCAGTCACAAGAACCTCTTGACTTAATACGTTTCCAGCTCGACGAAACTGTCTTGGTGAAACTCAGAGGTGCCAGAGAAATGAAAGGGAAACTTCAAGGATATGATTCGCACTGTAACATGGTTATAAGTGAAGCCGAAGAGTACATTTACGAAGTCAACGGTAACTCCGAACCAGTGGTGAAAAAAACTGAAATGGTGTTTGTGAGAGGAGATTCGGTTATATTAATTAGTCCTATCAATTAGAAAGTAAAATCAAAAATGATTATATATGTATTTAAATATGTATAGTGTACAATAGAAGCCAAATAAAAATAAAAAATTTGAACTGTACAAAAAGTAGTATAGTGTTAACTCGAAAACGTATAAAGTGTGCGCTCTTGGTGTTGATAGTCTTCCTTTTTCTCGTCTTCTTTTTTTTTTTTTTCTCTTGTATGGTCTTCTCTCAATTCTTCTCTTGATTTCATTTTGGCTCAGTGAGTTGTTTGGTCTAAGGTCTTACTGGACCGCTTCCTTTATCAAATCCAACTTTTGAGCGTTGCTACTCCACCTCTCTCTGGTTTCCACTCCACTTTGAATCAATTCCTTGATACTATTTTCTACATCTTCGATCATTTGATCATACTCCGCAACTGTAGTGTTACTGCCAATGGTCTTATCAGAGATCTTTCCTGTGGCTGCTGACACATCGTACAAGTACTTACTACCCTCCAAGCGCTTCAACGTCCTGCCATTCTCCAAGTATTCATTCAAGTGTCCTAACACTTTTACCTGTGAAATATTGGCATTCTGTTCATCTCGTGAGGCTAACCTCTCTTGAATTTCTTTGAACACTTCTTTCAACTCCGATTCTTCAAACTCAAGCTGACTTAAGTCTATGCTACTCTTTCCTGTTTGATATTGCTCCTGAACCCTCCCATTCCTTGTCAAAATCGGGAACTTTTTAGCTGTTCTTTTATCCAACGCATCGTTGAATGACTTAAGTAAAACTCTCATATCATCAAGTAACGGCTTTTGCACTTTCGTTAAATTTTCAATCTCTCGATTCAATTGTATCTTTTCACCTTGCAACTGAGAGACTTTCTCATTAAGATCTACAGTATGCGTAAAGGGGACCTTGCTGATTTGATCTTTTCGCAATAAGAGATTTTCTATATGTATTGTATACAATTCCTTGCATTTTACAAGTTCATATTGTAGTTGTTTGACCTTGTGTGACTCAGGGCTGTCTTCAAGTGAAAGTATGGACTGCCTCACCGCGAGATACAGCTGGGCAATACGATCGTAGTTATGAATGAACGTCGAGATCGTTTCATCGATTAATTCCTGCTGTTTAAATGTTAAGGACATCTCTAAGAATAACAGAAGAAATACCACGATACAGAAAGAGAGTATGAAGGTGTACTGAATAATGTTACTCTACTGATGGGAAGTCATATCAGAAAGTGGCTGCTCGCAGACATATTGGTCTTGTGTGCAGGACTTGAATTGTAGTGCATTAATTGCAGCCTTAGTCCCTCTCCTTCATCTATAATTTCCATTACATTTCACGTCTACGGTAATGGGTACCTAATATTCTTACAGACGAGAAGCTAAAACTAATAGTAAATATTTCAAACCTTATAAAATTCCTTTACCTCTTCAGCTACTCCAAATTTGCTCCAATTGCCCAGCCTAATCCTGAGACAAAGAGATTGGACAACTTTTCTGAAGCTTGATGGGTGGTATGAGTAGCCTCGTTTACAATATCTCCAGCGATTGCACCAATTTTCTGATTTTCAAAACTACTTCCACCAATGGAACTTCTTCCCAACGTCTTTCCTTGGCTCTTCCACTCCACTTCCAGCTCATACCATTCTTCGATATCGTAATTTAACTTAGCCAACTGACCCAAGATAAGCCTACTGTTATCTGAGCTGGTGACCTTGATACTACTGTTGAATTTAAGCAACAATGATAAGATTTCTCTCTGCTTAAGTAAAGTATCGATTTTATTTCTTGCAATTCCATCCTTATCACCCTCGTCGTCATACCAACTGGGTGAAACGTATTTCCCAACTTGATAAAATGTCAACCAAGTTTTTGAAATTATACTGTCTTCTTCCACATCTGTCCTGAAGTGTTCAAACAATTCCATCGACTTCGTGTACGCAAATTGGAAGTTATTATCAATTAATGCTGCTTCAATACATGTCGATTTTAGTCTTGCAATTGAACCATCTACAATACTAGATGAATCAATGTTAGGTATACCCAAGATCAAATCATTTAGTATTCTGTACAACTTTTCGTAAGCTAAGTAAGACTTAGGGTTCTGTTCCAAAATTAGTGAAATCAAATCCATGGGCGAATTTGATTCACTGTGGAAGCTCGAATATTGATTAATTATTTGGCCAGGGGTCACTGGAACTCCTCTTTCAATAACAATCTTGAAATTTTTCATATTTGATATGGCTTTAAGTAGGTGCTTGATTTGAATAATTTGAGATGCACACTTTTCATTTAATTTTTGATTTGAAGTAATGGTGTTGAACAACGGGATTAGTTCATGAGCCAAATGTAATTTCCCAATTTTATCATTTAAGTTAGTTGAAAGTTGAAAGAATTCCCAAAATTTCGCTTGTAAGACTTGGAAATACTCATCAACTTCAATCTGAATGGCTCCAGTCTTATACAACTCATCTACTACTTTAAACAAGTTAGCTTGCAAAAATCTATTTATCACAAGTTTAGTCAAACTGATGCTCTCTTCGCTACTTTGGTCAATAAATGCTCCTTTAAATATTTCTAAAGACTCCAATACAAGTTTCCAATTCGTTTCATTGACACCATTCATAATCTTCATAGCCTCTTTCTGTCTTGAAAGCAGATTGGATTTATACTTGAGGTCAATGAAATCGTGAATAGAGAGCTTCGTGGTTGTATTTAATTTCTCACACACATGTATTATATCCAATAATAATGAAGGCGATTCTACTAGGAAGCTTGTTGCTGGGTCATTAACAAACGAATGGAATGAAGTGTATGAGGTAGAAAGAAGAGCAGATAATTGTGGAGTATCCACCACGCTGCTCTCATCAATGCCATTTATATTTGACAATGCCTCTCTAATTGAGTCGTGGATCTTGATATTTTGCATTTGCAGAATTTGCGACTCTGCATGCCATATAGTATAGTAGTAACATGAAGCTATGTAATAATTCATAAGCTCCAACTGACCCGAGTTTCCCCTCAATGTTATCAAAACACTGCTCCACAACTTGTAACTGTTTATTAAGTTTCTTTCTTCTTCACTGAGGAATAGCCACTCTGCTAAGAGGTGGAAGTGACCTCCGTTATAGTCAATCAAAGGTAAGATTACGCTGTTGAGCCATTCCTTGCAGTTATTTTGGTTCAAATTTTGGATGAATAGGCTAAATTTACCATCAAAGTCAAGATCCCAGTACTCAGTGTAAGAAATGGGGAGCTTCGCTGCTCGCTGGTTATAATATATGAACGGCTTGAATTCGCCTATATACCATCTTTCAAACGGTATGTACCCTGCAAGCAACGAGAAGTATGCATCATACTTGTCGATAGTCTGTAAATACTTCAGCAGCCACCATATCTTGCTTTGGACGAACTTAAACACCATTTCTTTCTTATCTGAGTATTTTTCGTCCATACGGAACGCTCCATTACCAACATCCTGGCATTGAAGTGATGTATCTTTTACAAGATCCTTCGCCGTCTGTTGCACTAACTGATCTACGGTCACTAGTTGAAGCGATTCAAAAAATTCAGTAATTGAATCCTTATCAACTTCGGCATCTATCACATCCTCGTCATTGGTCAATTTTTCGACAATATATGCGATTTTCTCCAGGGAAATTCCAATGGCTGGAGTGTAGCATAGGAGCAATCCCAACACATTTGGAAGTGTGACGTATTCACCTACTGAGAATTCATTTCTTACAAAATTCAAAACCGAATCATCGAGCTTCTGATTTATAAGACTAGAACATGATAAAAGATTGGCAAGCGATATATACAAAGAAGCATCTGACATGCTACCTCAATTGTGTCTCAAACTAGAGTACAAAGAAACTACCCCCAGCATGTACTCCCCATTCCTCTAAAATTGGTGATCTGCTCTAATTTAGTGTGCCTGCATATAATTGCTGAAAATCTTGAGTTTGCAAGTTTTTCAAACAAACAAAACACCAGGCGTGAGAAATGGAAACACTTACGGAGATAAAGGAAAGAAGAGCTCACAAGGGGTTATTTTATTCATTTTATTAGTAGTAGATCAGTGTGAGTCGTGCAGACCCAAATCCTTACACTAGCAGATCAATTCAGTAGCATATTTGTCACTGTCCGGCTTGACTTTCTAGTCCTTTACTGGCATCGCGTTCCTTGACCATTTTTGCAACCCTTTTGAATACCAATATTGAATCAAGACGTGGATTTATGTGTCTTAAGCTGAATTATGTTAAGAAAATCATTGAAGATCAACAAAAGCACACTTAATTTAGGAGCAGTAATACACCAGTACAATATTCAAACACTTCAGATCAAATACTCAACGTTAGCTATGTCCTCCTCCGCTGATACAAGCTACTGCTCAGAGATTTGCTCGTCGCCAACTTATGCCCGCCCTTCGACACAGGTCAAAACCATAATAAGACCAGAACCTAGCAATACATTAACGCCAGGGTTGATAAACTATATTCAGAATACCCAATGGAGCTCGACTTTTGATGAGAGCCAAGAGCAACCACAACTAGATGAAGTACGACCACAGACTGAAATACTTTTAAGGGAGTTCGAAATGGACGCGATTTTCTCCGATGAGGTGCCCTTAGATGGTCCGCTAAGTACTTCACCGAGTAGTTCTAAGGAGAAGGTTCAAATACCGCATCCAGTACAAGACGAACCGCAGTCAGTTGTGAAACCTATATCTCCTTTGCGCCTGTCTCAAGTGCAGAATATACCCCCACAGAGTAAACTGGTGCACAGAATTACTTCTCCTATATCATCTCCTTCATCGAAGAAGTCAAAAACTTCGTTTGTTTCCGCCAGACAGTTTTCTACAGTTACCAGACAACAAGCTGCTACCTCCAATTCAAACCATACGATACTACTCGCAACTCAGAATGCTCCGAACGATATACAAGATCAGCATAATAAAGGAATTTTGGCCCCAAAAGTAGTCAAGCCAATTATTTTATCCAAAGAACAAGAGCATGTCTTGAATTTAGCATACCATGGCACTTCACTTTTTTATACAGGTTCTGCTGGAACTGGTAAATCCATCTTACTTAAAGCCATGATTAAATCGTTAAGGAAAAAACATGAACCAGGCACCGTTGCGGTTACTGCATCTACAGGATTAGCTGCATGTAATATTGGTGGTACTACTCTACATGCATTTGCAGGCGTAGGATTGGGTGACATGGATTTACCTAAATGCTTAAAGAAGATTAAAGCGAATAGATCAGCTTATACAAAATGGCTCAAAACAAAAGTGTTGATTATTGATGAAGTCTCTATGATCGATGGGAAATTCTTGGATAAGTTGAATGAAATTGCAAAAACTTTAAGAAAGAATCAAAGGCCATTTGGTGGAATTCAATTAATAGTGTCCGGAGACTTTTATCAGTTACCACCTGTAACTAAACGGTCTGTTCAGGACAATTTAAATGGAGATTATTCCTCTCTTATAGAAGAAACAGTGTTTGCGTTTGAAAGCATGGCGTGGAAAGAAACCATTGCCTGCACAATTATATTGAAGGAAGTTTTCAGGCAAAAGGGTGATCAAGAATTTGTAGATATGCTTAATGAAATGAGAACTGGAAAAGTCAGCAAGACTAACGCTAAAAAATTCCAATATTTACAAAGACCTTTGGCTAGCAACGATGGAATTGAACCTGCGGAATTATTCCCAACTAGAGCCGAAGTTGATAATGCTAATCATCAAAGGTTGCAGACCCTCACAGACAAAGCACTTGTGTATCAAAGTGTAGACACTGGCACTCTCCCCGCACAAAAGAGATTCCTTGTGCTTAATGATTCTCTTGCCACTCCTAGATTGTTTTTGAAAAAAAATGCTCAAGTGATGTGTATCAAAAATTTTGATGACACTTTGGTGAATGGCTCGTTAGGTCAAGTTGTTGACTTTATGGATAGAAACACGTATATGGCCTACAGAGAGATGAAGGAAACAGATAAAAGTGCTGAAGAAATTCTGGAATTGGTTCTGAAGGAGAGGAAAGGTAAAGTTGTGGACCTACCTGAAGATGAAGATACTAATGGTATTCTGGAAAATATCCCCCTTAGTGAATCTGTTTTCAGCTACATTGCCGATATGAAGGGTCCAGATAATGGTTCACTGCAAGATTCAGGGGCATCCACCTTTGAAGCTAACAAACAAAGAAAATTGGAGTTGTTAAAACAATTACACGAAACTTCTACGCTTAGAAAGTATCCATTGGTTAGATTTTTACTTCCTGATGGATTTAATCATAGAGAGGTTCTTGTCGAACCCGAAGAATGGACCGTTGAAGATGAATCTGGAACTGTTCTTGCAAGACGTATTCAACTCCCCCTTATATTGGCGTGGTCTCTTTCAATCCACAAATCACAGGGTCAGACACTTCCCAAGGTGAAAGTAGATCTTAGAAGAATTTTTGAGAGAGGACAGGCTTATGTTGCTCTTTCCAGAGCATCTTCCCGTCGTGGGTTACAAATCCTCAATTTCCGGACTGATAAAGTAATGGTGCATGAAAAGGTTAACAGGTTCTATATGACTTTATTGACTGCTGAGGAAATTCAAAATGAAGAGCAAAATGGCAAGGAGAATATTGAATTCAATCAAATATCAGGAGGGTCTGCGGCGACACCAATTGCAATTGAAAATAAACAACGACCCAAGCGGATAGACGATTACTTTTAATGAAATAATATACAGGTAGAATTTGAATTTATATATGGGTATATAGAGAAATTATAAATATATAAAATAAGCTATGTACAAGATGTATTAGGTATATATATAAGTTTACTCAGTAGACAATTTTTTACTTGCTGGGCGTGTGCTTGCTTGTACTAATTTACTGTTGTATTCAATGTGGTCAGGCGTCAATCCATACTGCAAGATGGTAGGATTCAGCTCTGGTACCACACGAGTAACGTCAACATGTTCCAAGATTTTGTTATATAATATAACCTCACTTAATTTTTGCATGTCAAGTAAGTCACCATCCATCATATTGATGATCATATTTTTATCTTTATCGTTCGATGAACTGAGCTTGGATAAATAGAAGTAAAATAAGTCAGCCATTGGGTCTTCTACTCCCGAAATGTACTTTAAAATACCAGGATTTTTCCATGATTTTGTCATTGCTAACTGAGGAACAAGCCCTTCTATTCCAAAAATAGCTATATTCAGAGTGTCATGTATTTCCATTCCAACTAAGTCACTAGCAGTGACTATCATGTTGGAGATAAGACCTTCTTTAGGGCCCTGGTCAATGAAGAAATTAGGCACTTTCTTCCTATCGATATCGGAGTGAAGAATAAACCTATCCTTGCCAACTTTGTATGGGTACTTCGATGGGAATTGGAAGAAGGAAGGCACTACTAACAAAAATGGCTTTTTATTAGAGGGATTCTCCTCCCTAAATTGCTTAATAGTTCCTTTAATTGCTTTTTTTATTAGTACATTTTGCTTCTTTAGTGGTTTAGCCAAATATTGTGAAGTTTTTTGCTTCAAATATTGTTTTTGATAATTCTCTAAATTTTGTTTAGTTGTCTTAACATTCTCAAGAAACACTCTTATTGAATCGGAGCTTGTTGGGGGATGTTGTGAAATAATGTCTATTCCTTTGAAAACACCCTTTTTGGAATAAGTGGAAAATGATACTTTGACTGGGGTCTGTTCCTTTTTGATGTTGAAAGAACCAACTGAGAGTATCTTCCTCTCTTGATTTCTATAAAATCTCTTGGTGTCATCAAACCTGATCAATTTTTCAATGTATTCGATTTGAGGGTCAGAGTTCTTTTTTTGTACACTGTGTCCCTTTTCGCTCAAGTACTCAACATAGTTCTGTTGAAGATTGGTAAGATTTGTATCGCTTCCTCTCTGTGGGGGTGCAGTAACCATTTGTTCAACTTGTGTGGAAATATTGTTCAATATGTCATCCATCTGATTCCTTTGATTTAACTTCCTCAACACCTGATGCATTGAGTTTTCTGCCTCAGTGACGAAGCAATATTGAATAGGCTTATAAAGCACTTGACGCTTTGCCTTGATTAATTTTTTCAATAAGGCCGTGTTTCTGCCATCTGTATCACCAACTGTGGATGTTGAAAGGGAATTATCCTCGAAAACATGGTTTGAATAACCGAAGTGGTCATTCTCCATTTCATTAATCCCATCAGATTCCTCACTTTGTCTCCTAAAGTTCTTTTCTATGGAGTCTAATCTAGACTTAAGGTTGATATTATATTTTTCTATTTGTAGGTCTTGCAAATTCTTGATGATCCTTTCCAATTTTGGAGCATACTTACCTTTTTGTCCATAAGTGGTAATATTCTCTAAATTAGGGTCTATATCTGTACAATTTATCATATAGTTCATATCGTCAACAGCGAAGAATTTAACTTCCAGCAAATTATGTCTTGTTGCTAGAGTCCCGGTCTTTTCTCCATTCATAATGTCGTACAATCCACTTGGGGTCGTGACCAAGACATGAGGAGCTCTTTTGACATTAGTTTTCAAAATATTATCTTCAGGCCCTTGGGAACTCTTTGTAGTCAATACCACACTAGCTTTGGATTTGGAGAAAAATTCCACTTTCAAAGGTCTTCTAGTGAATCCACTCTGATCATCAATAAATCTATCTGGACAACAATCCAACGGCATATCCTGAGTTAAAATTTCCATGAACTCTTGATATTTTTCTACTAATCTCGATGTCGGCACAACGATAATACTATCTATTGAATTGAATGCTGAATGGTGTCTGCTCAATACACCAAAGTTGGGGAATCTACTGAGTGACAAATTCAATGCATATGCAGCAATTGCCAAACTCTTTCCCTCTGAATTCTTAGTGCTACTACCTTCTACCTCCTCGTTACCATCGGCACCTTGGTTTATATTGTTACTCCTATATATAACACTGTGGTCAGAATTCAAAACTGTCAATATTATTCTTTGAGCAAATGTGGGGCTAACATTGAAATTTGGTACTGAAAGCATTTTGTGCATCCTAGGGAGTAAATATTTGTTTAATTTGTCTTGAATAAATGGTAATATCCCAAATCCATGGAATCCATTAGGATTGTCATTATTTTCAGGGTCGTATTTCAATTGTGTTAGGACTTGGTGTCCCTTTAAAAGCGGCACCTTGACTTGAGATTTTACACTGTTAGGCTGCCTTTGGCGGACATTAGTCTTTTCATTCCGTGGTGAAAGATTTTTATATTTCCGTGTTTGTTGGAAGAAAGCATAACTTTCAAGCCCCTTTAATCTAGCTCTCTTTAGAATATTATTTACAAGCATGACGAATCCAGGATCTGGGTCGACTTGAACTTATTTGCAACTGATTCAAGTGGTTCTCATCTCTAAATTATACTTCATCTCGTCTATATGCAGGATTATCAACGGTAGTCCTAAGGTATCAAAATAGAGAGAGACAGAGAAGATGGCAAATTACATATGTTAGGTCATGATATGGTGTTTATATAAAGAAGAATGGGATCTAAATGATGCAGGTACATATTTGTAAGTTTTTTCTTAAATTGAATTTCTTCTTTGCAAGAAAGTATTAGGATCCTCTACTTTTTTACTCTTATCAGCTCTACCAGCAATTTGGGGGAACTTACCGCTTCTGTCTAACTCTAAGAAGAACTCCTCAGCATAGTTCATACCAACATGATATATTTCATCAAATTTTGCAAAATCTAAGGTAGCATAATTTTCAATGGGAGGTCTCAAATAAATTACTCCGGGTGTTCTTTTAGCTATCTCCAACGCATTAACACTGGCAACATATGCTAATCTGGATTGAATGTCCATCATGTTTGGAACATTAGGATGTTGCAGAAATGGATTCCAGCGGTTAAATAAAACCCAAAATCCTGAAAGAGTGTCTCCGTAATTCATAGGCGTTCTATCATCTGCAGATCCAACATCTACGGCAATAATATACTTAGCACCTTTCTTCTTCATTTCATCAACTGGCAAGTTATCTAAGTACCCTCCATCTAATAGCATACAGCCATCATACGCAATTGGTGGAAGAAGACCAGCTAAGGACATGGAAGCTCTAATGAACCGCCACAGATATCCTGTTTCATGTATATCCATGGTTGAATTAGTGATGTTGGTAGAGTTACAATAAAATTTCAACCAAAAATCTTCAATTTCACTTGATCCGAAAGTCTTCCAGATACCTCTGTTAAATTCATAACCAGTAATGTATGATGTAACAGGATAAGTTAGATCTAATATTGATCTCCACAATGATGATACTCTCATTGAAAATATCTTTGCTCTACCATATATGGAAACGCTATTGTAGTCCTTCGCATACAAACCACCAACGAAGGACCCAATAGATGTACCCCCAATTAAATCTATTGGTATCCCATGTTTTTCTAATGCTGCTACAATTCCAACATGAGAAATTCCTCTTGATCCTCCACCTCCCAATACTAATCCAACCGCTTCATTGGATAAAATTCTAGCTAATCTTAAAAAATCGTTCTTATGTGTAGCAACGCTAGATGTTATGCTATTGTCTCCATGCCTTCTCAGTCTTCGTTGTATTCTCCTATCATTAAGGTTTTTAACTAAGGAAGTTAATGTTTTAGAACCTAACTTTAATTTCAAATTTGGGTTGGCCATCTTAGCTGCAAAGTCTTTAAGTAAGTTCGAAGATGAATAACTTGCACTTGTAGAATTAATATTTTCTTCTTCAGTGTTTTCTCTCGTAATTTCCATTTGAATATGGTGATGACCTTGTACCCAGATTCTATTTTTCAACCAAAAACTGGTAGAGCCAGCTTCAACGTATTTCTCAGGGTGGATTAGGCATAGATCAGTCCTGGCTGTTGTCTTCTGCCTTAGCAATAACTTTTCATAATCTCCAACACTTGCAGCAATTTCTTTATCCTCCGCATCAGCTAACAATAGTATACAGTCACCTTGAGAAATACACGTTGATGTCCAATTTGATCTTAAAGGCGAATCACATATATACACAATAGTCTCATATTCTTCTTCTAAAAATGCAAAATACCCAGACAATTTCAAACGAGAGAGTCTCTCGTCAAAAGCATGGCGACCTAAGTGAGTCAAAGTTGAAGCCTGATCTAAAGAAATAACAGTACGGCCAATACTCTTTAATGCGTGAACCAACTTGTCTGCAAACTCTCTTACAGGAAGTCCAGAAGTAGTAGGTAAAATAGTTATAGTCTTATAGTCAGTAGATATGTACCTGGAAGTAGATGAAGATATGGTGGTTGATAGTACTTGCTGCTGTTGGAGTATATTATTGTTGGGATTCATTAATTTATCAGCAACAATTCTTGAGACTTTAATCATAATTGATGGGTTTTGAATAGATAGAATTTCAAATAATGTTCTTGGGATCCTGGCTGTTTCCGAATCTCTGACTGCAATCAATGAACTAGTTCTACGCGAAGCAGTCAATACCTCAACTTCTCCAATAGATTCACCATGACCATACTCACCAAGTATAATGGTTTCGAGTGGTGCGTCCTTACTATTTTTAAGACGTTCACTTGCTGTCTGCCCCTTCTCTGTCCTTACAACTCTAAATCTACCGCTCAATACTATGTGGAAACCATTTGCCATATCCCCTTGTGCGCTTAAGACATTTCCTGCGGGAATGTGACACCATTCTAATGCATAATCGATCATTAAGATCTTTTTAGATAACAATGACTTTAGCTTAGTGGCAATTGGTAACTGAACAAAATAGAACTTATCACTTAGCATAGAGAAGTTTTTTCTCGAAATATATGCAACAATGACTCCTTTTTCTTTAGGAGCTCTAATCGTCACTAAGGATCTAAAACCAACAATGGCACTAAGGTAGCCTGCTAGTCCACCTTCCTTTACTGTGTATAACTTTCTTTCATTCTTTCCAGAAACGTTAACGATATCTAAAGATCCGTCTATAACATAATACATTCCAGACTCAAATTTACCTTGTTCGACGAGTACTGAATTTGAAGAATAGTATTTCAATTCCAAGTATTTAGAAAATTCATGTTTCATATCAACAAAATCATATTGCAGATAACTGGATCTCTTCTGTTTCTTAGTATTTTCTTTGTCCTTGTTTAAGCTTGGCGAAATCTCCCTGTTATTAGAAGATGCTTTTAGGCGTTCTTCGATTGAGAAGTAGTCCATTTTGTTTATCGTTTCATACTTGTAAGAATGGTTTTTATGAATCGATCCTTTTGCCATTGATCCAAGTCCTACATTTCTTCCAATAGTCGACAAACTTGTTCCCGCATCCATTGCATTCCATAAGCCTGTTAAGTCATTAGTAGATGATGATTTTGACAGCAAAACGCTTTGGCTCGATACCAGAAACCTGGTTAAAGGATTTTGCATAATTTTTGAAAGCTCTAATTCTTTTATTCCTAAGTGTTTGAAAAGATTTTCAATAATTGCAATACGCAATGATGTTTCTTCAGTCTCTTCTCGATCCGAAGAAAAGGATAACTCTCTTATTGAAGCTGAGGACTTTGTTGACGCTTGCAGAAAAGTTGTGAAGCTGTCTCCTTTCTCCACGACTTTTTGTGGTCTACTATCCGGCCTTCTCGAAAGAGGCACCGAAGAAAGTAAGTCTCCTGGATGAGTCGATTTGCTACGAGAATCTAAGACAACATATCTTGAGGAAGAAGTTCTTGTAACCAGAGGGGGGAAAATTCTCACTGACGAAGGAACAGACTTTATAGACTTGCTGTTAGACCTCCCAATGCTTGTTGAGTTTGCGGTTGTGCTTGAAGGTGTCTGTGAGAGAGATGTTAGCGAGGAAGGTGACATACTTGCATCTTCATTGTGCTTCCTTTCATTTGTCGTAGAGAAAGTATTCTTCTTGAACCTTTCAATTACCCCATCTCTCAAATATCTTGGTAACTTACTATCAGTACTATCTATGTTTAGCTTAATCTCAGAGTGAATAATTTCATTTGTTAGTCCCAAGTAGTTATGGATTGTATTCATGGTAACTTTATATAAGCGAGTAAGTACCATGATTACTATATGCGAGCTGGCCTTGGGGTATTTGGATTGAACTCTCTGGAACGCCAGTCTAGGAATTATAGCTATAGTAGCAGGTGAGAAAGTTGAATGAGAAGAAGAGTGGCCATTTTCGACTTTAGGTCTGGCAATTATCTCAGGGTAGACAATAGTCGGTGCTACGTATATGTTCTTCTCCTTGGGAATCTCATTTTTGAAGAGATGGTCACCATCGAATGGTGATACTCCTTGGTCACTAATCGGACTTGCATTACCGGAAACAGTGAACCTTGGGCTCAAGATAGGAGAGTTTAATGTAGTATTTGAAAATTCAATGCTGTTCACACTATCTTCTACTTTGAAAAGATCTAATGCACTCATCAATGATGAGAGAGGAGCTCCACTCTTAACTTCATTTAGCAATTGATATTTCTGTGTGCCAATGGTAATGGTGTCACCCTTGTAATCATCATTTTCCAAATCGAAATTCAAACCGTCTCTGTCATCAGAGCTATCGTTGTCGTCGTCGTCTTGATCACCATCATGTATAGCTTCTTCACTGCTGCTAATCTTACCGTCCAGTTGTTTCTTATTAGCACTTTCATTTAATTTTATAAATACTTGTATTGTTCCTTCAACTACGATCAGGAACCCTAAAGATTCATCTACGTGTAAAATCTCATCTGCTGCCACCCTCTGGGTGGTCATATTCTTAGTCAATTCATGGAATACTGGCCTCTCTAAATAACCGAAAGATTTAATTGCACTCAAGAACTCGTCAAGATAGTTAGTGGATCTTGAATCTTTCTTTTCTTTATTCTCTACAGAGTCCACCAAATTAATCGACTTTGTCTTCTTATTATCCGATGACTTAGTATGTACCCCACCTTTTGTGTTCTTCAGATAGCCTGTCAAATATTTATATCTAACTACAAGTATACCAATTACCATTAGTATTCCAATTGCCATCAATATCGAAGATAGTGAAAGCGTCACTTGGTAGTTTTTAGAAAGCATCTTTGTCACAAATGATGGTGCTAATAATAGTACTAAGTTTACAATTTTAATTATAATGGTTTGCACTAATTGTAAGAATGCTGAGACAATCGACGAGGGACGGTTCTCACCTTCAGCTAAGACGACGTACTCCTCCATTGGCATTAATTGAGAGCAACCAAATAACGAGAATGAAACTTGGGTTGTAAAGTAGTAATATGAAGGATATAAAATTAGAATTACTTTACCTTCTTGGGCAAATCATTGAGCAATTCTCAATTTTTATGTCAATACAATAAAGTTAATACTCAAAAATGTTACCCAGTACAAAAGAAAGTCGATTAGAGGGAGAATTACCTAAAATGGCCAAGTATCAGGAGGTGGCTAATACATAATAGAAAAAGAGTTATAAGTCCCACTGATAGAGAATTTAGGTCAATTAGTTACTTAGATATCTCCACTTCTCCTGCTCAAGTTCTTTGTTCTTCATTATCTGTCACTATATATATTTCTTTTATGTAGTATTCTACTTTAATGTCTTTCAACCTTATATGGCAAGCAACCGAATCTTTCCAAAATTCTTTCAATACCATCCATTCCCTTCACTATTTGATCAAACTCAGGACCATAACTGATTCTTACAAAGTGGTACCAAATAACATCTTCCAATCTGGAAAGATTCTGTGGGTTAATCAAGAAAAAGAATCCAGGAACAATGATAACCTTTTCATGTAAACATTCATGGAAAAACCCTAAGCAGTTTGACAATTTTCCTGGTAAGTGACTCAAATTCAACCATAAATAAAAAGTAGAATTAGGGATATTTCCATGCTGCCCATCGGTAAAGTGGAATCCCATCTTGCTTAATCTTTTGATGATGTAGTCTCTCTTCATTTTAAAGTGAATTTGTAAGGCCTTCATTTCAGCTTTGACCTTCAATGGCTCTAAAAAGTCTACAGCAGCATATTGAAAGGGTGCATTAGAACCACCATCTAAAAAGGAGCCTGCTGAACTTAAAGCGTTAATGTAATCTTCAGGACCTAAGATCCAACAAATCCTCCATCCTGGTAGTCTAAATGCCTTGGTTAAACCGTTCAAGATCAATACTGGATCTGAATTAACATCTTTTACGTACTCAGCAGAAGATATGGAAGATCCGGAGCAGTTATCATCGTAATAATAATGGGAATAAAATTCATCCATAATCAATAAACACTTTTCCTTGCATAGCTTGTGTAAGTTGTGCAATTGAGTCCTTGTCATGCACTTACCAGTAGGATTTCTTGGATTAGAAGTTAAAAGGGCCAGAACCCCTCTATCCAATTCTCTTTTGATAAATTCCAAGTGCATTTCATAATTGTCCAGCTCATCTAAAGGAACAGGGATTGGTGAGAAATTCTTAAATAACGATAACATTTCAGCGTAAGCTGTGTAGTCAGGAAGAAAGAATGACAAGTAGCAGTCGCTGATAATTGACGCAATTCTGGTTAAACCAGCTCTACCTCCTGGAACAATGCATACATTCTTGTATGTATACTTGGAAGGTTTGTCCTGACGGTAAGTTTCATTGTAGTAATTGGCTACGGCTTCTCTCAACTCCTTTATACCTGCAGTAGGGGCATACTCTTTACTGTAATCAGGTACAGGAACCAGAGAAGGTCTCTTAAAGGAACCAGGAATTGTATCCCCATGTTCTGGTGCACCTTGGCCCAAATTTGCCCAGTCTAAGTCTTGCACATCAAAACCATATTCAGTGGCTCTTTCTGTAACCCAAAGCACACCAGTTGATGATTGTGAGGTGTTCATGGCAGGCTTATGAATTTCTTCATTGAACTTAGGCTTTGGCATTGGAATTGGAGATGAAGATCTAGAGTGTTCAGAATGCTGGAGTCTTTGGACTAAGTGATGGTGGGCCAGTTTGGAACCACTTGGGATTCTAGGGGTAGGAGTTCCATCATCTCTTCCTAGTCTAGACTGTTGAAATCTGTTTTCATGGGCTTGAGGAGTGGAAGGTAATGGTGGTGTGCTTGTTCCTGAAGCTGTCCCAATAGCCAATGACTCGAAAAGTGAACTGGCGGATCTACGGAGTGTGGGCGGAAGGGTCGATTCCAAGCGTTCGAACTCTTCCAAGTTCTCTTGGGAAGGGTTGTTCGACAAATACAAATCAGGCATACTTTCAATGGGTTAATTGACAACTCGGATCTGAATTCACTATGAAGCTAAGAAAAAATAGAAAGAAAATTTTTAGAGTCTACACCTAGGTTTTAAACTTTTCCTGCTCTCTCGGAGTTTTTCTACTTTGCTTCTTTCGATGAGAAATTAACGGCCAATATAATGGATGGAAAGGTGTCCTAGATTTATTTTTCTTGACTACAAGATAACCAAATCTGTGACGCATCGATGCGTTTTTTGACATATTTAACCGCAGTCACTTGGAATGAAACAATAAACGTGTGCAATATATTTAGAGTTTCGACTACACCTTTTGATAATACAAGACTCTTTTAGACACATGGACCTTCTACAAGCAGCTTTACATTTTACCTTAAAAGCCGAATTAGATATAATAACGAGAATTTAAATACCCCATAGAAGATTGACTGACATAAAAGTAATACTGATTACTAGTTAGAAGCGGTAGGTAGTTATGAGGAGCTGGTTGGATATCTGAGAAATTGATTGGATATCTGGAGAAGGATTTAGCTAGAAGAAGAAATTTAAGCGTAAGAGCGGAAAAGGCGGAATCCCCTGCAGAAGAACAGTATAAAATCCACCAGACAGCCGAATGTGTCAGTGTAGATTACTGGATTTGTTCAACTGAGTGGCTTCGAAGCAAATAATACAAATTCATGGTTGGGTTTGATGTTGTTGAGCTGACTGACATGTAAAATATGTCACGCTGTAGTATCTCTCTTCCTCTTTCCAGAATTGGACTTCATGTACAAGACCGCATTTTTTTTCTGGGGTAATGATCTACACCAGCGATCATCATCTAGGAGCAACGTGCTCAAGGCTGGATTAACTTTTGGCATTTGGTAACCTTCTTTTTTCTAAAACATATGTTGGTGGTTCCTGTGTACTTATTACATCCTGCTCTATATCTAACCTGCGGTACTCAATTGAAGAGAATGTCACTTCCGTGATTTCCCAAATTGTGTGCCTCAGTTTGCCTCACAACTCCGCATTTCTTAGGAGGGCCGTTAAAATTCAGCGCCGCTCCCTACCCAACCCCCAGTGGAAAATGTAAGACGTCTCTATTCATAAAAATCTCTTCTTTCTGAACACGGAATTAGTGGGGAAGACAAAAAACAATAAACGAGTTATAAATAAGAATTTGCTGACTCGTATCCTCCAGTACGAGAGAAGCTTATTAAAAACAAAAACTTCTGTCCTTCTTTCTTCACTAATAGGAGTATCTTGCACTAAGTTCTATACTGAACTAGACTAGTCTCACGCAATTCGATCCCGGCAGCTAGACCCTAAATCACCGAAGCTTTCCCAAAAAAAATAAAAAAAAAAAAAAAAAATATTAACAAAAGAAAGTTCCGTATCGGAGTTACTATACAGCAAATAGAACTTCAAGTATATTGTCAAAATCTGTGGTAAATTCTATACAGACGACTTTTACTGGACGAGTACCGCTTCCTTCGATAGCACATAGTAGTTGAGTTTATTGTTACGATAATTTTACAGCGAATCACCGGTATCGTTTTTAAGCAACCCTCCTTAAACCACAACCACGCTCATCTCTTCTGTGCTTCTAATCCAATTTTATTATTGATATGAAATACTTGGACCCAGGTCAGTATTTGTTATCACCAACACCATCCAATGAAGAGCAGATACAAGAAGAGAGCTTCAGAAATGGATTTTCAAAGGTAATGGCTGCCCTTTCGGGAAGGAAGCTGAGGAGAGGCGAAGAATCCTCCGAAGCTCCAGAAGTTAATCACTTGAGCCAGTCTGTGCTCCCGCCTCCATTCTCCAAAAATCACCATCTGCAGCTTATTCTGGAATTTAGACAAGAGGAAACAATCCCTGAGGACTCGGATATGGAAACTGACACGGAAAGGGATCTTGAAATCAATGTTGAGAGAAGTGTCTCTCCTGAAACAAGCTCATCGGATTTCTCGACTTTACTCTCTCTTCCATTGGAAATCTTGCATTATATTATTGAGCTTGTTTACTATGATAACAATACTGCCTCGATCTCTTCGAATTTAGAGAACTTTTCCAAGACCATGCCCTTACTCTCCAAAACAATGAATGCATTGTCCTTAAGATTTTTGTACAAGTACGCAATCTTCAACAGACCACATTCATTTGACAAATTTTTACACAACTTGATCTCCAACCCAGATCTCGGTTATTATGTGGAATTTATGGATTTCCAACAATTCACGTCTATTGGATTGGGCAGAACTGGAAGAATGAATCAAGAAATTCAAATGGTGACATCTGATACAATCTTCACAGCCTTGTCCTTGACCCCAAATTTATTGGAATTTTTGTCCTCAGAGAACATTCAAGATGATATGGATGTCAGGGTATTAGACTGCCTTTTCAATAGACTCAAAAAGCTCGAAGCTATTGATTTTTGTGGTGCCAGTAGTGAACAATTTGCACGAGCATTCCAAGAATTGGTCATCACCACAGGAGATGAGAAGGTGAGACCTACGTCGTCCACTTCATTGAGTTCGCTGAACAGAGGCATTTCTTCGACTTTCTCATCTTCGTCTACATTGAATCGTCATAATTTCAGTCAATCGCAACCTTCATTGGGACATCTTTTCAAAATTTCGTTCCACGATTGCTCAAACTTAGTTCCGGAAACCTATTCTAAAATATTGCCACATTTGGTGAATTTGCGTCGTTTAGATCTTAATCATACATCTATTACTTCTGCTTTACTCAATCAATATATGCCAACCACTGCAAGATTAACTCATTTATCGTTGGCAAGATGTTCCAAGCTCACCACTAGAGATTTAATCCAATATTTAACTCAGCACCCTAGTGTAGCCAGCGGACTGTTAAAGTGGCTTTCATTGCAAACTGATTCAAATGTCGTTTCTCCATTAAGTGATACATACCTATTATTTACGCTTCGTAACTTGAATGCGCCGGATCTCAGATTTATTAATTTGGGTGGGTTGCCTGTTGATAAGAAACATTTGCAAATTATCAGACAAAGATTCCCTAATTTGAGATCATTGGCAATTCTGCATGCACCCGGAGTTGACATTAATGATGTTAATGAATTTCTTCATAACAATGCCAATATCAGGTATATTGACTTAACAGGCTGTAAAAGAATTACTAGAGCTGATATTCCCAGTATTCTTAGAAATTGCTTCTATTCGGCTGAAAAGTTAATAGCAATTGAATTTGATTACAAGCTCTTGATGGACTTGACGGCCGGAGACTACATCAAAATCAGTCCCCAACAACAATCGTTTTTAGATCCTCCTGTAGCACCTCAGATATGGAAATTTTATGATAATGAGGGCAGAAGATCATGGATTTATCAAGTTGAGTCGACAGACCCATTTTACAAATCAATTATTAATAGTAATGGGTCCTACCTGGCAAGAAATTCGTCAATTCTGAATTTAACATATTATGATATAGAAACTGGTAAGAAGATCACTCAAAAGTATAAGAAACCTGACTTTTTGAAGTATGTTTCGAGGAAAATTTGTTGTTCCATAGGATATCATAGATTGGATGATTCCAAGAAGAAGAGCTATATTGCAGGAAAGTTAGAAGAGAGTGTTTGGCCCGCAGAGTTCAGTCAGAGAGGTATTTACAATTACTACTCTTTGAACGTGAAATAATACTGAAAAAATGATATAAATATAGATAATTATAGAAAGTTATGGATGAATTCCCCTGGTGGGAAGACATCCTAAAGTCCCCATTATATTAAGATAATTTGCATGAGGCTTGTTGAAAATCTTCAAATTTAACTAACTGAACAGAACACTGCACACGATTTAATTTCACTGGTAAAACAAGATCAGGCCACTCAATTCTATTTTGGGTGAAAATGGATGAAGAAAATTCATATAATGAATAAAATATTAGCATTTATAGAGTAAATATATGATATCATGAACTTACCTTTGTAGTGCTTGTGTGCTGCTCATTTTTTTCACAGGAAAACTCTTAGAATCAACCGAGGTGCAGGAAAATGTGGGGTTGAAATCAATGCATCCGGTAATAAATTTTATCCGATTTGGTAATGGAGAGCCAGTGCTAAGAGATATAAAGCATATCTGTTCCTTCTTCGTTGTATTTTGGCCCAGATTACCCTTCCTTATATTTATCATCTTCATATATATTTAGTTTGATTTTTTTTTTTTTGAAATGGTTCTTGACGTTACTCCAATTAGAAATGAGTTCGATATTAAGGGACTTGAAAAATTCTTATCGAGCACCTCTTTGCCGGAGAAGACGTCTTTAGGTGCATCTCTTGACACATGGCCACCAAGTTCAATAATGAAACCTTCTTTGAAGGTCCAGCAGTTTAGATTTGGACAGTCAAATCCAACTTATCATATTTTAGGAAGTAATGGGAGAGAATTTGTATTGAGAAGAAAACCCATGGCGAATGCCAACCTTGTCAGCAAGACTGCTCATGCAATCGAAAGAGAATTCTTTATGCTCCGAGGAATCAATATCTGTAATAGTAAAGTTTCCAACCCAGTAAGGAAGGTACCAGTACCTGAAGTGTTCTTGCTATGTGAAGATGAAAGTGTCATTGGATTTGTGTTCTATCTAATGGAATTTGTAGACGGTAGACAGTTGTTGAATCCGGAATTGCCAGGGGTACCTGATGCTGAACAGAAAAAGCATTGGAAATCTATAATGGAGACAATTACTGCAATTCATTCCATCGACGCGGAATTACTTTGCAGTGAGCTCCCAGCTAATCACTTTCCTCAATTCCAACTTGACAAGATCAAGGCCAACAAGGGGAAAAGCTCATACTTTCAGAGACAAGTTAAATCCTTGACCGCAGTACAAGCTAATCAAGCCAAAGTTGTCGATCCTATTCCAAATTTCTCTGAATTATGTAATTGGATTTCAGAAAAAGCACCTCAAGACCCTGATAAGTTAACCCTTATCCATGGAGACTTTAAAATAGATAACATCTTGTTCCACCACACTGAGCCAAGGGTCATTGCAGTGTTGGATTGGGAGTTGTGCACCTTTGGTCATCCAATATTCGATTTAGGTAATTTTCTCCAGGCATTCCAGTTCCCCAATCAATTGAATTTGTTACTCTATAAACCTTTCAAGACCGATATGGGTAAGGAGAAGCCAGGATCTATGGAGAGTGTCAATGCCAAATTGCAACTTTATGCGGACACTTTGGGCTACAAGTGGTCGGAGAACGATCCAAAGAATAACCCTGTTGATCTTTGGGTTCTTGGGTTTGTATTCGGGTTACTTAGATTGTCTGTAATCTCTCAAGGAATTGCAATGAGAGTTGCCAAGGGTAATGCAAGTTCTGGAAATGCCAGTGGGTACGCAAGAATGTACCCAATCTTATCCCAATTGGCAGAACAGTACATTGAGGAGAGTAAGACAGAAGGCTCCAAATTCTAAGAAAATTCACTTTGTTATACATTTATTTAACTCAAGTTTGGACATACCAATAGGTGTGTAAGAATCTCCTCGACCTTACCCCAACTGGCGGAACAGTACATCGAAGACAGTTTGACCGAAGGTTACAAATTCTATATCGTTATACTATACATTTATATATTTATATATCTTAATTATAACTTACACGACCAACATAAGTAAAATAAAAGTAGATTCAAAACTAGGCATGGTTGCACTTCAGGGTCAAGGCACAAGCAGGAACTTCGACTTTTCAAGTAAAAAATTTCGCAGCCATTTAAAATTTTTTTATGCTGGAGAGATTTTGATTTTGAAATCTTGATTTCTGAATCAGTGACTACTTCTAAGTCATAGGGCGTTTTTTCTGTCGTTATTTGAATGTCATACACTAGTTATACGGACTTGAAGTCTGTTGAAGAGTCTACAATTGTTAGATGCCCCTTCAAGAATTGCCATGCAAGGATTATTCAGGTTGGGACTCTTCCTAAAGTCAATGTGGAAAACTCTCCTGATATGACTAAATTATCTGAAGATGATAACATGAAACAAACTGAAACATATTTTTATCAAATTGATGATGTATGGGAATTTGATAACATAGGGGTCTCTAGGCCTGCCGCAGAATTGAAAGAACCAATAATAACTTCAGACACAAATGAGAAAGTAGATATAGCTGTAGAGAGGTTGCTCATCTGTAGTGAATGTGATAAAGGACCCATTGGATTCGCAGGGATTCCCAAGGGCTCAGAGAATCACCACCAAAATTTAAAATACTTCCTCAGTTGCGCAAGTGTGTTGTACGAAGTAAAGTAGAATGGTAGAATTGTTTACATTAGATGTTATCTTATTTTATTTTATTTTATGATGGAAAATAGATACACTACATCGAAAGTGTAGTCGTCTACTCACTACACTTTTTCATACTCTATTGTCTTCCATCTTCGCAACTTATAGCTCTTAGAATATAAAGCTGAAGAAATATATATCCAAGTACATTTATTATCCTAGTATCAGTTAGGTCTACTATTTTGTTCGTTCATTTAGTAATTTCAGAAGAAATATACATTCAATTACACTTATATCCTACTATCTTTCACGTTTGCTATTTTGTTCATTCATTCAATAATTCCTACCTTGTTCGTAAGCATAGATAAATATTCTATTTATATTCTAGTGTATACGAGTCTTCATGTCCTGCACGTCCTCTAGATCTTCGCCTTAGGTTTCAAATCTTCGATAACATTCAAAGCAACCAATCTAGCAATAGACATAGTAGTAACCATCGGATTTACTCCACTGGCGGTAGGCATTGTACTCGAATCAGCTACATACACATTGCTGGCTTCAAATAGTTTACCATTACTATCACAGGCACCATATTTGGGACCCTTTCCTGACATTCTGCAAGAACTCATTTGATGAGCACTGCCAAATGTTGTTTTATAGATAGTAAGATCGATCTTCAGAACCTTATTTCTCCAACTTACAAAATCTTTATCGTCGATGGACCTAGATTCTTTTGGCTTCTCTGATTTGAACAGCTCGACTCCATTCTTAGGATGAATGATTTCCTTTGCACCTTCAATATACAAAAGATCGGCTGCAATCAAAAGAGATTCCTTTATCGCATCACGGTCGAATTGATTTGGTGAATAATCAAGAATAAATGATTCTGGTTTGTACGGATCACTTCTAATTTTTCCACTAGTCACATCTCTTGTAATCAAAAGAATAGCAGACATATTGTTATACTTCATAATGTTCTGTCTTAAAGAGGTACTGGAATTCCATGGCAAGAACGAGGTAGTCAAATAAGGCGCATGTAATGTAGTCTCGATCCTTGCTCCATGAGCTTTACCATCTAAATCTGCAACTTCAGAACAAACTGTAGTCAAGATTGGATGATTGTAGGGTTTGGTAATCTTGTCCGTTCCGAAATCTCCGAAGAGTAAACTGACAGGATGTAATTTTAAATTGGATCCTATATTTTTATTTTTGAAGCCGGAATTCTGTAACACTATTGGTGTTTGTAGTGAGCCACTGGCAACAATAAACTTTTTAGGACCAGTAATTGTGAAACGGTTACCATTAGCAACATTTTCACATAAAGCAGCCGTTGCCTTACCACCTCTGTGAATTAATTTCAAAACTTTTACGCCAGTCATGAACTGCGTTCCTTTGGATTGAGCATCTCTGAACCAGCATTCAAGACTACCCTGCTTTACTCCAAACTTGCAACCTAAGTAACAAGACCCACAGTCATGATTTTCATGGTTCCCGATGTTTTGTGGCACCACTTTAACATCATAGCCTAGCTTTGAAGATCCATCCAAGATAACTTGATTGGAAAATGAATGGTTCACTCCTTTTGTAGTTACACCCATTTGATTCAAAACATAATCCATAGCATTATCAAACTTCTCACTAGCAGCCCATTCCAAGCCATAATCGTCATACCACTCTTTTCTAACTTTGAAGGGTGTCTTCAAAGAAGCAGACCAGTTGACAGTAGAACCTCCTCCAAAAGTAGATCCAGCAAGTACTGTCGTACTTGTGTCTGAAGATGAAATACAACCACCTTGGTCATACAACTTATCTATCCCTTCCTTATCAGTGAAATTGAAGTCCAGTCTAGAATAGTACTGACCTTTCTCAATGACAAGGCATTTATAGCCTTCGTTGGCTAAAGTGTGTGCAACAACTCCGGCACCAGACCCAGACCCCACGATCAATACATCCACACCGGGGATATACAATTCATTCCCATCTTGCAGAGGTGGCGAAAGCATCTCGTACCTAAAGGTATCATTCTTGGCTAATTGCTGACCTTCATACAATACTTCTCTGACTTCTCTACCTGGGTAACCAATTGCTTCGTTGTGGATTTCAGGAACGAAGAACGTGAACGCAAGGATCGATAACAGATAGAAGAGTTTGAATAATTTGTTCTTTATTGAGAGCGGTGACGATTTCCAAGAGTTTAACAAGTCTTCTCTTTCCTTCAAAGTCATATCTCTGATTGGAGTTAGCGAATTGGTTAATATTGGACCTCCTACTCTAGAGTCCAAAAGCGTAACCAATATAATAAAGTCTCTTACGTCATTGGATGAGTTCTTATTGATAACCCCCATAACATATTCCTTAGCTCCCGGAAAGTCGGAAAGTTTTGTTGCAGTTCTGCAATATTCATCCAATTTTTCCTTAGGAAAATCTGGACTCACTAGCGAAGCAATGTCTTCAGGAGCTATTTCGTGTGCAATGGCATCTGCCAAGAGAAGAAATATATCGAGATGCTTTTCTTCAACTTTCTCAAACATCTTTTACAAGCTTTACAATTATTATTTTGTTAATCAGAGATGAGTGCGATATTTTACAATGGAATAGAGGAGATCGTATTGCTTTATATCATTTTCAATCGCTATACGGTTAAGCTGCCATGTGTTTTTCATCCTTTTCAAGACATACAGCCGCAAAGAGTCTAAAACTCCATTATTGTCACCTACTGATTTTGCATTTCGCGGGGTCATACACTAAATTAAGAGGGAAAAACTGCATGTGCTAAATAAGAATAGGTTGGGGCTCGGATCTTCAAGATTGCGTAGGAATTTTGCACCCAATATCATATGAGTATGCAACGAGATGTAAATTGGATTGAATGATTTTTCTACATGGTGGGGAAAAAAGATGCTACAGCAAGAGTTCATCATTTTACTTATAGAATTCATACTAGACATTAATCATTAAATATAATCATCTTTCAATATTTGACCTCCTGCAGATTATTTTTGGTGTAGCAAAGAAAATGGTTCTTGGAATTTCTCTCTCATGGGTTCATTTTCCATGGCACGAAAGATTGCATATACATATATTTCAATTCAAGTACATCTTCATTGCACTATTCATTTTCTGTTTTAACTTCAACTTCTGATGCGGTTGATTCATTGGTATTATGCTGTAATTCTCTCTTTTCATATTCTACTGAATACTGCTCTAAGGCATATTGTCTACCTCTCCAAGCTGGAACTTCGAATAAGTGATCAATAGCCTCTAATGGAACACCCTTGGTCTCTGGATATAAAAAGTACACTACAACGGGAAATACACACATGCAAGAAGCAAAAAGGAAATAGATCCCATATCCCATTTTGTTGAAGGCATTTCCAGTAAATCTCCCCCAAATGAAAGCCCAGAACCAGTTGGATGAAGAATTGATGGCTTGCGTAAAAGTTCTGATATCTTGTGTAAAAATCTCCGAGTTAATACACCAGGGAGTACCATTCCACGATGCTCCATAACAGATGGTCCAAATGTAGAGCATCGCCTGTGCTGCCTTACCTCCTGCGTCCATCTTGGTGTCACCATTAGCAAGCTTGGCTGCAGGATCGGCAACCTTAATGTAGGCTCCAATGTACCACATACATAAAGAACATGGAATTGATCCCCAAATTAAAGCAGTCCTTCTACCAAAGTTGTCTACAATGAAAAAGATCCAAACTACCGAGGCAAATCCCTTCAATAAACCAAAAATCCCTGTTGATTGCAAAGTTGCATTGGTTCCACTGACCCCCAAAGATTTGAACACCGTAGGAGAGTAATAAGTAATCGCGTTAATCCCTGAACCATTTTGCATGGGGAACAACGAGGTGGATAATGCCATTCTGTATAGTAACTTTCTGGTGGTCAAGACTTTCTTAAGTGGGGCGAAAAACCCGGTCCCTAATTTTCTTCTCTTGTCATTGATATCTATTTGAATCTTTTCAAGTTCTTGAACCAAGTATGGGTGATCTTCCGGCAAATTACTCAAATATGATAAGTTTGATCTTGCCCTATCAATCTTGTCCTTAGAAATAAGGAATCTAGGGGACTCTGGGATGAGGAAAGAACCACCCCAAAATAATCCCGAAGGGACCAACTGAATGGCAAATGGGATCAACCATTGCTTTCTTGTGGCCGGCAAGTTTTGCAAGACCCCGTAATTAATCCAATACCCAATGATCCCACCAACTTGCCATGACACTTCCCAACACCCGACAAGCCTTCCTCTAATCTCAGTGGGGGCAATTTCAGATACATAGATAGGAGCTAATCCGGAGCAGCCACCGATTCCTACACCAGTCAACACTCTACCCGCGTAAATTGCGCCTAACCCGTTGCTCAGCTTGGAAATCAACGAAATGGCAGCACCTATGGTCAACAAAAATCCAGAAATGATCAAACCAACCTTCCTGCCCAAAATTTCCCCAACAGGGTACATAATTAAGGAACCGAAGAATGCACCAGCTTGGAAAACTGAAACAACATTCGATGAGATCAAAGTAACTTCGGACGTGGACATCTTATCGAAGCCAAATTCGTCTTGAAACGATGTAAGGGCAATAGTACCACCAATGAACCCAGCATCATACCCAATTATAACAGCTGCGGCTGCCGCAGTGATAGCGCACATCACAAGTTTCCAGTTGTAGATTTCATCTGGCACTTCGCTGAGCACTCTCTTCTGCTCAGCTTCAATAGATTTTCTTATTTCGACATCGGCATGAGAATCCTTTTTTCGTAATTTCTCGAAGACCATGCTCTGTTGTGTTATTCCCTTTCAGATCAAGAACAAGTGAACCTGAAATTAGCAGTAAAAAAAGAACGAAAAAGAAAAATTAAAATTTCTTTAGATCGATGTATTTTGTTCGTCTGCCTTCAGTCTGGGGATATTAAAATTTTCCCGACTTCGCTCAAGTGAAGGCTATTGTCTTGGAAAAAAATTTTAGGAACAGGCAGTGACTAATCCGTAAAAAAATGGAGAAAAATAATAATAATAATAATAATAATAATAGTGTGTGTGTGCTAAATGGAAAACCGATAATAAAGCTTGGAGCTCGACTAGGGATGTGATGAAACTAAAAAGAGAGAAGAAAAAAAGTCGGAGAAGCTCTGACGCCGGAGATCTTCTATAAATAATATATATAGATTTGTGATATGGGCGATGGGTAGCGATAAAAGATAAGGTAAATTTCATGACACACGGCTGCAATTTGAGTGAACGCGTGCCCACTAATTTGGAATGTGATGAGCATAAAAAAGTTACGAAGGAGATTTTCTTTTCATTTACCCCACACATTAGGGAAGTCCAGTGAAAAGTTGAAATACGATTTCAGGCTAACCTAGCGAGATGAGGCACTTGGGGGAGGTGGTTGTGCTATTAGTATTTTTTGATTCTGTTTTTGTCTTTTAAGCGATGTACCAAGTATAACAGGAGGTGGTTCATTCATCGCTCTCTGCTGTTACAACTCTGCACCTCTGCGTCCTAACTCTTTAGGGCTCTACCGTGCAACTTTAATTTTTTTTGTCCCCTCACCTCTTCCAAACACAACCTAGATCGGTACTGCATGTTAGGTATGCTCTTGAAGTACTCTTCCCTAGCTATATAGTACAGTGGGTACGTACACAAGAAAGGTGACTTCACCCCCGTCATCGACTAGGTCTAAAATTGAGCGAGACAAACTTGATGGGTGCCATTTCTCTTTATTGGATGACGGGTTTTTGGGAGATTTTATTCGGGGAGATTTCATTCGCAGGGAAGACTGATAATACATGTGAAGTCAATTGGGAGTTCTAAATAGATAGAATAACCAGAGCGAAGTGACAATTGTGTGATAGATATTTACTGGTAGAGCTCAGAATTTAGAGAATGTATTGAAAACTGAAAGTCCCACTTTTTCAACACGTCAAACTCGCTCGTTACTAAAAATCGACACCCCATATATGTAACTATGCTCATTCTCTTCTCATTCTCAGTTAAACAAGAGGTAGAGAAAAATTAAATAAAAAAACTGCAACTGCTTCGCTCATCTTTTCATTAAAGGTGAATGGATATCCTACAGAACTACTCCTCTGACGACGAAGAAGAAGAAGAAGAAGAAGAAGCGATCGGTATTGAAGTCGACAACGTGGAAAATAATAACTACACTGCTTTGCCCCAACCAGAAGGATCTTCAATTTTAGCGAAACCATTCTTTGACAGTTCAGATATCTACTCACAAAACTATTCGAATAATATGCAGAATTTAGTAGCTTCTTTCATCTATATACCATGGAATCCCTCATTGGCTGCTGTGAATCAACTTAAGAAAGTATCACAGAAAGCTATCCAGCAAATCAAGAAAAACTATCCTGAAGAAAGTAGCCAGTTCAATTGGCACTATGTGGGTGCACCCATCGCCACAAATCATGGGAAGTTCAGCGTAACCAATAAGCATAATTTGTCAAATTTCCATATAACTTTGGCGGACAATGTCCGAGCAGATAAGCATGTAATGGAATTATTCATAGCTAATTTACAAAATGGAATCAGTGAAATGCAAATAGATAAAAGTTTGATAAACTCTGATAACGAAGAAATGATACGAAGAGAAAAGTTGAACAAGATTCTTGGGCTCTCCAAGAACAAAGATTCAAAGGAAGGTTCGTCAGTAATATCTTTGACATTCAGAGATAAGTTAGAAATCTTTCGAAACCACAAGACTGGAAATATGTTTGTATCTGGTATGTTGAGTGCTCAAGGTGGCCAAGGTAACTTTTTCAATAACTTGACAAATATAATAGACAAGAATAAAGAATTATTGAATTTGGGCAATCAGCACGCATTCAGATGGCATATATCATTCGTAGTTGGAGAGAATTTGGGGTCTAAGGTAGGAAGAACGAAGGGTTCTCCTAATCCTAAGAGCCGTAACAACAAATTGATTGGCGAATTAGAGTTGGAAGATACAGAAATATTGAAAGAACTCAAAGTGAACGTAGACAAGTTGGTAGTGAATGTTGCAGGAAGTAATAGAAGAGACATAGAGATAAAGTTTCCAACAAAATAAATCAATGAAAAGAAAATAGAAGCGAGGAAAGAAGTTGGCAATTACTTGTACATATATATCTATATTAACGTAATAAAATAGTAACAATATACACTTTGGTGATATTGATCTTGACCCACTGGTTCTCTGGCTGCTCTCTTACTGTTGTACGCTCAGCCGGAATTAGCAGGACATAAGTAGTCCAGGTTATATACAGGACGCCATGTAATTCGGACCCATTGGATGAAAATTAGACGTTCCAGAGCTTATACACCTAATCTACAACATATATCAGCTGTTATTGGTAGTAGGAACTTATTATTAGTTTATTAGACTCGCTATGTCCAAGAAGCATCAGAAGCAAGTCGAAAAAAGGCTTATTGACATTGTTAATAGCCACCTGAATGAAAATAAGTGTGGAGAGTGTTCAGCTACGTTTCCTACATGGGCGCTGTGGAATTTAGGGATTTTACTTTGTGGAAGATGTGCCTCTGTGCATAGGAAAGCATTGTCAGGGGTATCTAAAGTGAAATCATTGACTTTGGATCAGTGGTCCAGTGAACAAATAGAAACCCTTAGTAGGATTGGGAACAAGAGGGCCAAAAAGGAATGGAACTCTAAGCGAGTACCCTTTCCGTATGCAGATGATGACGATCAGGGTCCCATTGAAGAGTACTTCAGGGCAAAATACATAGAAGGGAGGTATAGGGATGAGAGCTTGGATGACTTGGATGATGTTAGACTGCTGAAACTGAGACTGAGACTGTCGTCTATAGCTACCGGTGGAGGAGGTAGATCCAGAAGGAACACAGTGACGCTGGCCAGAGGAAGGGACATACCAAGATTGAGTCACAGAAGGTTGACTCAGTATGAGCAGTCTCAGCATGTTACCCAAGTACGTCAAATTCTGAACTTGGGATACCACAACCATGACTCTGTTTTGGAGGCGTTACTTTTGAGTGGAGGGAATGTTGAGTATGCCTTGAATATTTTGGATGAAGACCAAAAGGTAAACCCTCAGGAAGATGAATTACCTCCAGCTTTGCCAAGGAGACCAGCTAGTAATTCTGGTATTTCGAGTACTACTGGAACCACTGGCTATCTGGAAAACAATCCACTTGCTGCGATGGCGACAGGGCAACAGCCTCAACAGCAAACTCAGAGTAACGATTGGTGGAAGGCATCAGGTACTGGACAGCCTCAGCAACAACCATTGCAAACTGTCATGATGCAACAGCAGACTGGAATTATTCAGCAACAACAACCTCAAATATACCAGTACACTGATCCAGTTACAGGACAGGTGTCGTATATTGATTCTAATGGTCAGCAGTATATTGATCTGAATAATCCACAACATCAGCAACAGCTTCTTTTACAACAGCAACAGCAGCAATTAGCTCAGAATCCGCAACATTTGGCTCAACAGGCAACGAAAAGGGACATCATGACCTTATACAACCAACCAGATAAGTTTACTACAAATGTTGTCGCCCCCGTTGGAAGTAATCAGTCACAGCAACAACAGCAACAGCAGCAACCACAGGCCACTGGCTTCGGATTCCAACAACAGCAACCCCAGCAACCCCAAGCTACTGGCTTTGGATTCCAACAACAGCAACCACAGCAACCCCAAGCTACTGGATTTGGATTCCAACAGCAGCAGCCAACTGGTTATGCCTTTCAGCAACAGTATGTAGGCGGAGCAGCTCCTCAACAGTTCACTGGGTTTACCCAATACAACGGACAACAGAATGGATACCAACAAAACGGACAATATCAGTAAAAATAAGAGATACAAAATTACAGGATTGAAGAAAAGTTTAATCGAGAAAAGATGGAAAAAGGAATTTAAGCAGGTGTATATGTTGAAGATGAAATTTGGCTAAGAATGACGTTGAGAGGGTATTTAACATTAGGAGTAGAAAAATTATGGTGAATCTAAATAAAATATAATATATAAATATGTTGTAGCTTTAAGTCATTCTACTTCAGAAATCTCAAAGCTGTAAGATCCATTTACAGGTCAATTGGGTTTACTTTCTCGGACTGCAAGAAGTTCTTGATATAAATACCTAAAATAATTATTCTATATAAAGCCGAAAGACGTATTCTGAGAAAAGATTGGCGTTTCGGATCAACTTTGAAGCCTGAAAGTATTTTTGTTTCGTTTCATTCACTTAGACAATATGGAAATATAAATCCTTGCTTCTTATGAATATATCTGATGAGAAGTATACCCTGGCAATGTTTGATATGGAGAGTAAGAGCTTGGAAAAAAATAAAAAAATGCCTTCAGCCAGATTCGAACTGACGATCTCCTCATTACTAGTGAGGTGCCTTACCAACTTGGCCATGAAGGCTACTTCATACTTGAATGAACTTGTAAAAACATCAAGAAAGGAGCAAGTATGCCAAGTAGTGTTTAACTTTGATGAAGCCTGGCAGGCAACACAGGTATAGAGAAAGAATACAGGGTAGGTAGGAGTTCAGATGTGAGGAGCCTTACTCAATTGACCGTACTAAGGGGGAAACTAAGTGAAAAACGAAAAACAAAAATAGGAAAAACGGGAACACTTGGTGCTAGCATGGAGATGTATCTCATCGCTGCGCAAGGGAAGTGACGCATGAGTGGACAGTAATCATGCCTACGAACGATTCAGGCCATCAAATAAAATAACGCATTAGCTTTATGCTGATATCGCTTAGTATCTAATTCTCACCCTGATTCAGAAGCTTTTGGCTAGTAAAAATCAACTAAAAAGAACTAGACAAAATTCGATCTCACGCGATTCAGAGCATGGAGCTAAGTGCAGTGGAGTAAAACCATAATGACACCACCAATGGAATATACCATGCACTATCCATTAATCGGAAAAATTGAACGAATTCCTTACCACATACTGGGTAGAATTCTCAACTTAGTGGTAACTGAAGGTCATAGCATGCTTTTGCTCCGCAACCGGAGAGCCATCTATTAGCAAGGTGAGCTGTGGGGAACACCTTAATTGTGAGACCCCAGATCAGTCCAATAAAGAACAAACGGTTCAAACGGTACGTCTTTTCTTCTTTTTTTTAACACTTTTGACTCTATTATCCCTTCTAATCTCTTCCTTGCTACTTGTAGCAATATCACCTTTCATATCATTGGTCTATCCACCACTTGTGCAATATAGAACATACCACTTTCCATTAAGGTTCCGGAATTTTCCAGACTGTTCTAGAACTTTCGCAACCATAAAAAAATGTGGTGAGATGATAACCTTGCTTTTATATAAAGAGGAGCAGAGAAGTGAACGAGTCAGTGTAATTTATACATTCTTGACAAACCAGAGTAATAGTAATCGAATCACATAATGGACGAAACACAATACACAGACAATGCTTTGCGTATAATCACCAATGCCCAGCAATTGGCAAAGGATAACTCAAACACGCAGTTGGTTCCGCTCCACTTTTTAGCAGCTATGGTTCCAACTGATGACGAAAATTCAACACCATATTTAAAGACTTTAATCCAAAAGAGTCGTAATGAGTGGGCACCATTTGAAAGGATTGTTAACAAGCATCTTGTGAAATTACCCTCTCAGACCCCTGCTCCTGATACACCCCAACCTTCGTATGCCACAGGACAACTCTTGACCAACGCTACGAAGATCAAGGCTCAACAAAAGGATAACTATGTGGCACAAGATCACTTACTTTTAGCATTGCTTAAGGATAGTTCGATCCAAGCGATGTTTAAGGAAGCTGGTATCAGCACTGATGTCATCAAGACTCAGGCAATTGAGCTTAGAGGTGACCAAAGAATAGACTCCAGGCAAGCTGATCTGTCGGCTCTGTATGAATTCTTGGGAAAATACTGTGAAGATTTGACCGAAAAGGCTAGAGAAGGTAAAATTGACCCTGTTATAGGAAGAGAGGAAGAGATCAGAAGAGTCATTAGAGTTTTGGCTAGAAGAACTAAGTCCAACTCTGTTTTGATAGGGGAAGCTGGTGTTGGTAAAACTTCGATCGTTGAGGGAGTCGCTCAGAGAATCATTGATGGCGATGTTCCTACTGTTTTACAAAACTCCAGATTGTTTGCATTGGACTTAGGTGCATTAACCGCTGGTGCCAAATATAAAGGGGAATTCGAAGAAAGAATCAAGGGAGTCTTGAACGAAATTGAGAAATCAAAGGAAATGATAATTTTATTCATCGATGAGATACATATGTTGATGGGTGATGGTAAGTCAGATGCTGCCAACTTATTAAAGCCTATGCTTGCAAGAGGTTCTTTGCATTGTATTGGTGCTACTACTTTTTCTGAGTATAGGAAGTTTATTTCTAAGGATGGTGCCTTTGAAAGAAGATTCCAAAAGATTGACGTTCCTGCTCTGACAGTGCCTGAAACTGTTGCAATTTTAAGAGGATTGCAACCACGTTATGAAATCCATCATGGGGTCCGTATTTTGGATAGTGCTCTTGTGGCTGCTGCACATTTGGCTTCAAGATATTTGACTTACAGATCTTTACCGGATTCAGCAGTCGACCTTATCGATGAAACAGCTGCCGCAGTCGCAGTGGCTAGAGACTCCAAACCCGAAGAATTGGATAACTTAGAGAGAGAATATCATTTATTGGAGGTGGAAATCAATGCATTGGAAAGAGATAAGGATGCTGATGCAGACTCCAAAGATAGATTAGAATTAGCAAGAAAGAAGAAGGAAAATTTGGAAGAGAAGATGGGACCCTTAAAAGAACAATTCAACCAAGAACGTGCGGGTCATGATCAATTAATTGCTGCAAAGAGGAAGTTAGATGAGCTTGAAGTTAAAGCCCAAAATGCCGAAAGAAGTCATGATACGGGTGCTGCTGCTGATCTCAGATATTTTGCAATTCCTGCAGTTAAAGAGCAAATTGAACAGTTAGAGATCAAAGTTGCTGAAGAAGAGGAGTCTAATAATGAATCTTTGTTGAAGAATGTTGTTGGACAAGAGCAAGTTGCAGAAACAGCTGCCAGATTAACTGGTATTCCTGTAACTAAATTGACCCAAGCCGAAAATGCCAAGTTGATTAATATGGAAAAAGAATTAGCTTCTGAAGTGGTAGGTCAAAGTGAAGCCGTTAGAGCCGTTTCCAATGCAGTTAGATTGAATCGTTCAGGTTTAGCTAATCCAAACCAACCAGCTTCATTTTTGTTTTTGGGTTTATCTGGTTCAGGTAAAACTGAATTAGCCAAGAAGGTTGCTGGTTTCCTTTTTGCAGATGAAAGAGCTATGATTAGAATAGATTGCTCCGAATTGGGTGACAAGTGGTCTGCTTCAAAGTTGTTAGGTGCTGCACCAGGTTACGTTGGTTATGAAGAAGGTGGTATTTTGACTGAAGCTTTACTAAGACGCCCATACTCTGTCATATTATTTGACGAAGTTGAAAAAGCTGCTCCTGAAGTTTTGACTATTTTGTTACAAATTCTTGACGATGGAAGAGTTACATCATCACAAGGTAAATTGGTCAACTGTTCTAATGCAATTATCATTATGACTTCCAATTTAGGTGCGGAATATATCAATGCGTCTAAGGGAGCTAAGGTTGATGAACAAACAAAGGAACTTGTGATGACATCAGTTAGAGCACACTTCAGACCTGAATTCTTGAATCGTATTTCTTCAACTGTTGTTTTCAACAGATTATCGAAGAAAGCGATTTCCAAGATTGTTAGAATCAGATTAGTGGAGATCCAGAAAAGATTTGAAGCTAATGGCAAATCGATCAAATTAGACCTTGACGATCAAGCAATTGATTACTTGTGTAAATATGGATACTCGCCTAATCTTGGTGCTAGACCTTTGAATCGTCTCATCCAAACTGAGTTGCTTAACAAGTTGGCTGTCATGTTATTAAAGGGTGAAATCAGGGATAAGGAAGAGGCCAGAGTTACTCTTGGCAAGAAGGGTCTCGAAGTACTTGCTAACCATGATGCTGATGATGTTGACATGGCTGATGTTGATGTGGAAGATTGGAGAGACAGTGATGATGATGATGAAGTTGCAGGGGAAGATTTGGATTGAAAGAATTACAGTTATCTATCCTGAATAAATAAAAAAATACGTTTACTTCTTGTTTATATACATTTAATAATTACATTACAAAAAAATTAAAAGAAAAGAAATGTAGGATATGTAGAATACATTTGGCTGAAGCTAATAATTCTTGTACTTGCAAATTCCTTGGTGAACTTACTATGTTTAAATACTTGATGATAAAATTAGGAAAGTGTTCATTTTAAAGCCAGAAGCAGTCTAAAAGAATGCGAATACCCCCAAAAGGGCAAAAAAAATACTTCTATAATTTAAGAGGTCCATAGATCGAGCTGTTCTGATGTAACAAGCCAAAAGTACTGGTCAATACATCTGCTAGGTGTTGCATTAAAATACAGCACCCGTACACCCAATACTAGGATACCTACGCAATTTATAGCTGATAGATGGAAATCTCCCACATTAAGGTAGAAACAAAGAAAGCCTACCATGAGGATACCCTCAGTCCACTAGAGAAAGAAAAGCTGTACTAGTACTATCTCAACATATTCTTCGAAGGTGTATGGGCCTCAACATGACTCACCCATAGGAAGAGTAGGGCAGAAGTGGAGCATTTTACCTGCATATAGAGATCATTATTAAAGAAGCCCTCTGGCACTAAGAGACAATAATCTAATGATAGCAAGTTCTGAGTAGTTTCCCAGAGAACAAAAGGCGAAAAGGAGAGGAAAAGAGCTCTAATCTCATCAACTCCCTTCTCAAGACCACCTTTAGTACTCTGCAATGAGCTCAATGTGGCGTACACCTGAAAGGTGAACTGTTGCACCTTAATTTGTCAGGTGTGCGCTCACCAATATAACTCATCTCACGTATTGCCATCAGGAAGGGAAAATGGAAAAAAAAAAAAAACTCTCTAGCTTATAAGAGCTCCTTTCTTTCCTTCAATATTATAGTATAGTTACTGCATTACGAATAGAAACCATGGCTACTAGAACACAATTCGAAAACTCTAACGAAGTTGGTGTTTTTTCCAAGTTAACAAACTCTTACTGTCTTGTTGCAGTTGGTGGATCTGAAAACTTCTACTCTGCTTTTGAAGCTGAATTAGGAGATGTTGTCCCAATTGTTCACACAACCATCTCAGGTACTCGTATAGTCGGTAGAATGACTGCAGGAAATAGACGTGGATTGTTGGTACCAACACAAACCACTGACCAGGAATTAATGCACTTGAGAAATTCGTTACCAGACTCTGTGAAGATTCAAAGAGTTGAAGAAAGATTATCCGCTTTGGGTAATGTTATCTGCTGTAACGACTACGTTGCATTGGTACATCCTGATATTGAAAGAGAAACTGAAGAACTTATCGCAGATGTTTTGGGAGTTGAAGTGTTCAGACAAACAATTGCTGGTAATGTATTGGTTGGGTCTTACTGTGCTCTTTCAAACCAAGGTGGGTTAGTTCATCCACAAACTTCCATTCAAGATCAAGAAGAATTATCTTCATTATTGCAAGTACCATTAGTTGCTGGTACCGTCAACAGAGGTTCTTCTGTTGTGGGTGCTGGTTTAGTTGTCAACGATTGGTTATCAGTTGCCGGATTAGACACCACTGCTCCAGAACTTTCAGTTGTAGAATCTATATTCAGACTTCAAGATGCTCAACCTGAATCTATTTCAGGTAACTTAAGAGATACCTTAATTGAAACTTACTCTTAAGTTTAACGAAAGCGAAAAAAAAAAATTTAGAAAATTAAAAAAAAAAGAAAGGAAAACTAAAATAGATAAAAACATTTTTGCATCATATTCCATAAAGAGGTCTGTACATTAGGTTAATACATGAAAAAGAAGGAAAAACTCAAGTAATATCTGTAAGTCCCAGTTCTTCTTTAGCGCTGCTGAGTAGGCTCAACCACCGGCCTTTTTTTTTCTACTTAATTTTTCAATCCTGCACACAAACCATCAATTAATCTGAACTACTCCAAGATTTTTTTATTTTTCCTTCGATTTTACTCCATTTAGTCAAGACAACTGCACATGCTTGGTGGCTTATAAGCGAACTAGCGTTGAGGAAGAGAGAATTGGAAGAAAAACAAGAAGCTCAATTACAATAACCAGGGAAAGTTGTACTGTTATAAAAAAAGAGTAGCCCCAAGAAAAAAATATAAAAATTAGCAAGAGCTTCATAACTTGCTTCACTTGTACTATTACTTTTCACCTCTAAGACACCTACAATGGATTATTTTGGCATTCCAAGAGGTTCAATCCGAGCCCAAGCTTTTAAAAAGCTTGCCAGAACGACCTTGGAAACTGTATCTTCAGAAAAAATCGAAGGTTCAACAAGTCAAGCTAATTTTCCTAAACTTTTGCGTGAAACATTTGACGAAGAAGACCAACATAACGGTTCAGCGTTCTTGCCCAGCAATGGTAAGAGCAAATTGTCGAAAGTTGCTATCACCCTGAGAGAGTTTGAAGTTCTTGTTGCTCTCTGTGAGGCAACGCTGCCCAAAATCCAGTCTTTAGATCATGCTAAGATTCTCTTGCAGAAATTTAGAATGTACTTGGTTGAATTGCCAGACCAGAAGTTTTCCGCCTCAATTTTATCCAAATTAAACGGGATCAATTCTTCGCCATGGCTAATATTAGCAGAAAAATTGACAGATGCTATTGTAAACATCGCCGTACAGTTTGAAGACAAATATTTGTTGACACCGGCATTGGACATTTTGCAAGAGTTTATTACCGAGTTATTTAAGATCAAAGAAAATGTGACTATAAATGGCGACCTCAATGGTGTTGCTAGTGGCGGGTTTCCTGAAGAAGATGCTACACTTGAACACTATCAGATGTCCCACTATTTATCTTTATTGGGTTACATCAGAGCCTTAATCAAGAACTCTAAAATTTTAACTCTTAGTCGTGATTCTTTCAACGTATTTATTTCATTGGATTCTAAGATTGATAATCCTAGATTTTTAAAGGGAGTAGAAATCTATTCAAACAAAAACTTTTCTACTTTACATGATCATGAATTCGCCATGGAATTCAGTCCTATCTTATACATCGAAAGTATGAGTAAATTGATGTGCTCCATTGCTAGCTCTATCTTAAGGATTGATCAAGATGAAGAGAGTCTTATGGAACACATTTTAAACAAAGTGTCTTCTTCAGTTGCGGAACAAAACAATCCTGATGAAGTTAATGGAACTGTCACCAATGGAGGAATTAAAGAAGAGTCCGCTACTTTAGACATTTCTTCTAGCCACATGAAAATTATTAAGATCCTCTCCGATATTGCCATTCAAAAAATGGATTTCTTGGACCGTGGTGAGACATATGTTGTTTATTCCACCTTCAGCAGATTCAGAATTGGGTTATTGGCCAAGTCCTACAACTTGCAAATTATTGGATGTGGTATGTTCACCGATAACCTTGAGTTTAAAATGGCCAAGAAGATTTTCAAAAATTGTTTGCAAATCTATGATGTCATGCTTGACGGCAATTTAGGACCCAGTGTATTACAATTAGGTGCGCTTTCTGTCTTCAAAGATGATCGTATCGGATCTTCATTGACGAGATCATTTACTTCATTAGTATCAAATCCTGAATTTTCAAAAGAATATTGCAGAAAATCATCCAAGTCTGTGGGACTAGCATCAAGAGCTTTAACTCAAGATGCTGTCTACACAACTATATATACGTTGACTAACTTGTTGTTCGTAGGTAATGATGTCCAAAGCAGAAACTTCAAGAGAAATAATACTGGAGGGCTTAACAGTAGCGCCAGTAGGGATGTGATGAATTTATCAAGAATTCCATCGTCAACATCATTTGATTTTAGAGATGGTACCAATAGTATTAGTAACGATGGAAATATTACATCTGATAATAACATTTATTATCCAGATGGAAATAAACCAATCGCAAATTCTGGAAATGATTACTCCGACTCTGAGTATGCAAAAGTCTGTGAAAATGCCATAATAGCAATCAGTGAAATTACACAGGCTAGTAGAGATGAATCTGTCACAACACTTGCTGTTACCATTTTATCACAAAAATTAGCTAAGATCGATAGCGAAGTTACAATTACTTTGTTGAATGGACTTGTCTCCTGTGCTCCATATTTACCTGAACGTGAATTTTTAATCCTTATGAGATTGTTGAATAGAATGACTTTAGAAGCTATGGAATCCAAAAAGTGGAAGATGTATGAAGGCATCATCGAAGCAAAAGTTAATCTCTCTCTAAATTTGAAAAAAAGGAGAAATGAACCAAATTCTTTGTATTGGGTTTACTTGAAAGATATACTTCAATCTATTATCAGTAAAGGAGACGTGCAAGTCTTAGAACACCATAGATCACATGTTGAAATTAATGAAATCGGTGAACAAATTGGGGTTTATTTAAGGCCACTTGCAAATTTATTGCCAAATATTGAACTTGATGAGCCAAAGCTTGACCTTAGAGATACGAACATTATTAACCTTTTCAGAAATATTTGGTTTAATATGGTTGTTCACGGCTATTCAATTAACTCTAAATTTGCTGAAAAGTACAATGTAGAATTGAAAGCAATTGTATACAATACTCCTCCATTAGCTTCCGAGTTATCTTGGGATCACACTGAAACTTCCTTAGAAATGAATACTGTATTGAGAAGGGGCTCATCCAATCATAATGTTAAGGATCACAAACACATTATTGGTGACATTTTTGATTTCCCAAGGACTATAACATATCCTAAATTGATGTTTTTGTCAGCGACGGTTTTTGTGGAATCACTTAGAGTCAAATCTTGTGGTGAATGCTCCACAATATTAGAGTACTTTTCTGATCCTTCAATTAAAACTACTGGAATTGACAAGTATATTGGCCATATTGCATTCCAGATCGTTAAGGACTACATATTTCTAATCGGATGTGGCGCTAATAAATTATTTACATCAGCTTCAATTGCACAACAGTTAACTAACATGTTGACTTTATGCTGTCATAGGATGGAAGAGTTACAAGATGCAGCTTTACAATGCTGTGACTTGTTAATCAACAAGGTACCTTCCGCATTGTGTAACACTAAGAGTTTATTCAGTGTGTTTGATATTTTGACATTGTTGTTTCAAAGTTTGATAGACGCAGACAAAAATCAATATGAACCTACCACAACATACACTGCACCTAAGAATTCTGGTATTCAATTATCCTTGTCTGATTCATACAAGTGGAGAAATGAAACGTTCAACAGATTTCATGAGAAGAGTAGAAATTGGGTAAAATTGGTCTTACTTAAAGCGAACGATGAAGCAAAATCTCTAATTCAAAGTTATGTTTCCGACATGGATACCTTCCAGAACAACAAGAACTTGCAATTCGGTGTACTGTTTAGTTTGGAAATGGCTGGTCTGATTTTGAGTAACGATAGGGAATTATCTAACTTGAGTCAAATTTCGACTACTAGGTTTAACACTTTGCCTATATTTTTATCGCAATTCAGCTGGAGGCTGAGTTTTATCAGTGCACTTAGTGACAAGGTTGATACATATACTAGCGAATATATTGAAAATGCATTTAATAACGTTAGAGGAAGGATTCAAGAATTGAATATTAGAATCAATAGAGGAAAAAATTCGTACTCTACTCAAGAAATAATTGACGTATTAACAGATTGTGCAGGACTTATTCTTATATCAGATTCCAACAATGCAGAAATGATAAGGCATTTAGTTGGAATACCATTTGAAATTTTCGAAGAGGAATTAATGATTGCTGCCATCAGTATTTGGTATTCGGTCATGAAGGATCATAAGAATTTGTCAATTTTGATCATGTCAGAAATTTTTAAACATTGGGAAACGTCAATTGAGTTAAGGAAGGGGATTTTCAGCAGTGCTAGAGATTTGACAAAGCCAGAATTTTCGGTAATGGAGTATGCACCAAGTGATAAAAGATCTATTAATAATGCAAGTCGAGTAACATCAAAAGCATTTGAACCCCATTTGCTAATCATTAAGCTAGTTTCTTCGAACTTTGAAACTACTTTAAATCAAAGTGATCACTTACTCAAATTGTTCACTAGATTTATTGAAGTTGGTTTGTCAAACTTAACCATAAGTGCATCATTCCACCCTTTTGCGAGAATGGCAAGATTTGAATTGATTAGATTTTCTCTCAAGGTTTTAAACTATCATGTTAAATTGGGCTCAAGAAGCGTTCAAAGCTTAACAATGCTTATCCTTGATGCTTCATTATCTTGGTTTAAGGGTAGAACAATTTTCCCTTATGGACACAATGCTTTGAAGATAAAAGCAGACTACTACATACTTAAAGAGGTAGCCAAGCTCATTAGCCAGTTGGACACTTTTAAATCAGAACCTTTTGAGCTGAAATTGATTCTTCTCATGTTTTTCCTTGATGATGAAATTTCAAAAATATCTGTTTGGTTACAACCGTTAGATCCTCAAGACACTAGAGGTTCTTATATTTCCAATCACATAAACGAAAAAAATATAACAAAGGCTTATCAAATTGACCCCATCTTGGCAATAAATTTGTCTTTAAGGTACAAAGTCAAAAATTTGGATGAAATGTTACAAAATTTGATTAGTAGTAATCCATTGGCAGCTATTTTTTATCCTGAAGCTGTGCAATATTTTATTGGAATTAATGCAGGTACTAATATGCCGTCGTATCAATTATTATTCTGGGAGCCATTATCACCAATTGATTCGATTACCTTATTTTTACCTCCATTTGGGAACAATCCATACATTTTGCAATACACTATGAGATCCCTTGAAAGTCATGATGTTAATTTGACATTCTTCTATGTTCCTCAAATCGTCCAGTCGTTAAGATTTGATGCAAAAGGGTATGTTGAAAGATTTATAATAGAAACGGCAAAAGTTTCACAGTTATTTGCTCATCAAATCATTTGGAATATGTTAGCCAATAGTTTCAAAGATGAAGACTCTACAATTGCAGATCTGTTAAAGCCAACTTTAGATAAAATTCAGCACTTGATGATTAAATCGTTTAGCCCAGAAGATTTGAGCTTCTACAGAAAAGAGTTTGAGTTCTTCAATGAGGTCACCGCAATTTCAGGAAAATTGAAGCCCTTTATAAAAAATACTAAAGCCGAAAAGAAAGTTAAAATTGATGAAGAAATGGCAAAAATTGAAGTTGAAAAGGGTGTTTATTTACCAAGTAATCCAGATGGAGTGGTCATAGATATCAACAGAAAATCGGGAAAGCCATTGCAAAGTCATGCAAAGGCTCCATTTTTAGCTACATTTAAAATTAGAAAGGAGATTGAAACCATTGCTGATAATGGCGAACTTACGAGATCTACAATTGAGAAATGGCAAAGCGCAATTTTTAAGGTTGGTGATGATTGTAGACAAGATGTTTTGGCCTTACAATTAATTTCTGTTTTTAGAACTATATGGGCGAATGCTGGTTTGGATTTGTACGTTTTCCCATACAGAGTTACAGCAACAGCTCCTGGATGTGGAGTTATTGATGTATTGCCGAATTCCGTTTCAAGAGATATGCTTGGTCGTGAGGCAGTTAATGGATTATATGAATATTTCACTACAAAGTTTGGCCCTGAGACTTCTATTGAATTTCAGCAAGCAAGAAACAATTTAATCAAATCTTTAGCAGCTTATTCAATTATATCATACATTTTACAATTTAAAGATCGTCATAATGGTAACATTATGTACGACGAGCAAGGTCATATTTTACACATTGACTTTGGATTTTGTTTTGACATTGTTCCTGGAGGAGTTAAGTTTGAAGTTGCTCCTTTCAAATTGACTCATGAAATGATATTGGTACTTGGAGGTAATAGCCAGACTCAGGCATTCCAATGGTTTGAAGAACTATGCGTCAAAGGGTACTTAGCTTGTAGACCATATATGGAGACTATAGTGAGATGTGTCAATCCTATGCTCGAAAGTGGGTTACCTTGTTTTAAAGATACTACAATTAAGAAGCTTAGGTCTAGATTTGTTCCAACTAAGTCAGAGAAGGAAGCTTCGATTCACATGAAAGGATTGGTAAAAAAGGCAATGGAGAGTTATTACACGAAAGGTTATGACGAATTTCAAAGACTCACCAATGGAATACCTTACTAGTGCGGATAGGTGTAGCGAGTCCAAAATAAAAATAGTCAGGCTCCTAACCGAAGTGCGTGCATGAACTTCAAGTAGATTTCTAACCAAAAGTTTAGACACCGTGCATAAACTTTAAAGTAAAGTTTTCTAACCGAGCACTTGCGTCAATTGTGTGTACGATATAGCGAAATAAATAACAAACAATGCAAAACTCGTGAAAGTGTATTTTCGAGGATTATTCTTCAATTAGGGCATTATTCTCGTAAATGAATTTCTTAAAAATATCAAGTAAATAGGTTCGCTCTAGAACTACCTCTGAGGAAGTCTATCATGATCATTTTGAATAGAATCTTGACACAGAAGTATGTATCCTCATGGAGATGGTAATCAAACAAGATATTTAGCACGAGATGCAGTTGTTCCTTATTCGTCAAAGTGTAAATAGGCTCTGGTCGCCAAAGTTTACATGTAGTGGTAAGCTCTTTCGTTCTCTGTAGTTTTTCTTGCCAAAGTTTACAAATTACCCCAATTCTACAACTGTCTAAGGTTACATTTTTTTCCAAACTTTAAGGTTTCAATTATGAGTGGAAATAGTTCGTAGAGTATAACTCGAATTGAAGATATTGTAATCGATGAAGCAAGTTCGGTATTCCTCAACCATTGTCATTTAGGAAGAACAAAACTAGGGACAAATGCTCAGTAATATTACATCTTCCAATATTTGGATATAGATCATTTGGTACTAATTATTCCTTCAGTTAACCTCATCTTCTGAAATTTAAACCGAGTCGGTGCTAAGTGTGAGAATTAAAGTTTTCTTCTTATTGTTTTGATTCGGCTTACCATTATAACCGAAATCTCTCTCCGAGGGGTACTGGAAGAATTAAGGTTTATTTCCCCTTTCTTATTGTCTTCGTATTGCCATCATCAACAAGTTAATTGTCTTATTGTTAACCCTGATCTGAATCTTGCTACTAGTTTTCGTATAACGTAGCATTATATTAATTGAAAAGCTGATCAAGTTTGTGGGTCCGCTATAGTACTCACATATATCATCGAGTAACTGCTTAAGAGTTGTTGTGAGTATTGTATGAAAATATCGCGAATTATTGACCCAGAGCTTGAGCTTAAATATCGTACATATTAACTTCTCGTCAATTTGAATACGAGGCGTGAACGCTAATAATAGCACATGAGCCTCACAGTTGATCTACAAGTATAATTTCTATTGAAACTAATCTTGCCAGTATACAGCTAAGGGTAGGATTGTGCTACGTAGGTATCAAAAAATTGAGTTAGGCAGAGAGACCTTCGAATTCATATAAATTATCCCACGTTAATAATTGACTGTTCTCTCTTCGTATGAGCCTTCGAATTAACGGTTTGGGTAGCGAAGCGCATTATGTAGGTACAGCATGTAGGTACCACACTAGAAATTCAGCCATCTGCAAGGTTTATGCATGTCGTGCAATATTTTTCGCGTTTTTTTTTGCACCCAACATGCAATTTAAGGTTTCGCTATATATTTGATGTCATTTTATTTGCATTCACCCCATGAATAAAATGTATAAGTACGAAGTAATTGCTCCATTCGAACATCCTTGTTATATTCTTGTCTTCTATATCACAACTGTAAACTTTTACACTCATTACCTCTAACTTTAGTCCTTCGTTATGAAACTTTCTGCTTTAGCTTTAATTTTGGCAGCTGCAAAATTAGTTGACCTGGCAAACATTCCAGGTTGCTTGCCAAAAGGCTCCACCAAAACCTCTGGATTTACAGCTAATTTCTACCCATACGCTATGGGAGATTCAACGACAATGTCGGATTTAGACTACGTGCTGGGTGGTTACAAAAACAATGAGATTCTCGCCAGTGCAAGTGGTATTCAGGATATCTCTTTCGACTGGGTTAACACAATTAATCCTTATTCAATGGTCCCAACTACTTACAACCTCTTTGGAGTTCCTATTACAATCACCAACTTCACTGTTGAACTTACTGGGTATTATTACGCTGCTACTGAGGGTGATTATACATTCAAGTTAACCCAAATCGATGATTCTGCTGCTGTCTTCCTTGGTGATGGTTCTGCATTTGATTGTTGTAAAACCAATCCTTCCGTTGATCCCTCGGATTTTATGATTTACACCTACAAGATTTGGAAAGGTAGTAAGAGAGACAAGGAAGCAACTGTCAGTCTCGCTGCTGACACCTACTACCCTATTAGAATCGTTTACACTAATGCCGAACAGAGAGCTATTCTTTCTGCTACTGTCACTCCTCCAAGTGGTGTATCTCAAAGCATTGAAGCTGATACTTACTTTTTTGGTGACTTAGGTTATGATTGTCCTGCTCCACCTGTATCATCAACAGCATTTGTTTCCCCTTCATCCACCCCAACTCCACTTGCAGCACCAGCACCTTTATTAGAAGTTGTTGAGACTTCCTCGTCAACTACTTCATCGTCAACTACTTCCTCGTCAACTTCCTCATCAGCTACTTCCTCGTCCGTTTCCCCTTCATCCACCCCAACTCCACTTGCAGTAATAGAAGTTGTTGCGTCTTCCTCGTCAACCACTTCATCATCAGCTACTTCTTCTAGTTCATCTAGTAGCTCATCATCTTCATCGTCTTCATCAAGCCCAGTAGTTTCATCAACAACTATCCAAGATGTAACTTCCACTGCAACTGATATTTCGACAGTAGTGGTCACAATCACCTCCTGCTCCGATGATAAGTGTCATGAAGTTCCAAAAACTACCGGACAAATTGTGGTAACTGAAACTGTTGACGAAACTGTCTCAATTTATACAACTTACTGTCCATTGACTTCTGACACTACTGTTGCCACTGTTACCGAAGCCTCAACTGTTGTTGTTACCGTCACTTCTTGCTCTGACAACAAGTGTACTGTTGTTCCAAAGACAACCGGACAAAAAGTTGTAACTACCACTATTGATGAAGTCGTTTCTGTTTATACCACATACTGTCCTTTGACATCTGAAAGCCCAGTCGAAACGACTACTTTATCTTATTCTAGCTCCCAACCAATTGTCGTTGAAACTAGCACTAAAGCACCAGTTGTTGTTGCTGAAACTAGCACTGAAGCACCAGTTGTCGCTCAAACAGTAACTATCAGTAATACCCCAGTTTCTCCAACAACTACCGCAGCCGTCGCAGTCGTCCCAGCCACTGAAAACGAGTATACTACTTCGTTTGTGACTTACACTTCTGTAGTACACTCCGAGTCACCAGCAACAGTCGTAGCTTCTTCCTCTTCTAAAGGAAACTACACCAGCCCTGTTATAGTGTCTTCGGTTGAGAATAGCTCAAATATCATTAGAACTTCTGTATTCACTCTCACAGCAGCACTTTTGACTTTCTTCATGGCTTCTTTGTAAACGCCATCATAAATATAAGAAAAATGGAATTTGTTTTATAGTTATCTAATCAATTGAAATTGTAAAGTTTATTTATACTTCGTAGAGTAGAAGTTCTTCTGACTCGTCGCTCACATACTTTGGTAATGAATATCACTCGTGGTAAGGACATAGGACATAGCATAATTGCATTGACTAAGCAAGATGGACAAGATAGTTATCTTAAATCAGCCAGAGAGTATCTTCTGCAAGGTCGTTCAAATAGAATTGAATTACGAAATATAAGACTTTTGAATTAGTTTATTAGTCAAAGTTGCGGCACTACCGAAATCTATATACAAGGGTTATTACTTTTCTTCGTTTACTTTTTTTCTATCATTTTCTATTTTTCATTCAAAGTTGATTAAACGGTAAAATACTCGAAGGCAGGTTCGACTTGGGCTCATCTGAACTGATACTTTGTGGGTTAAAATATCCAAAAACATCATCTGGACTTTCATTTTTCCCGACATTATCTACCTTCATATTATCTGGCGATTCCTCTTCATAACCTTTTGATGCGAGCCAGTTACTTTCAACATTGGAGCTTACTTCGAAATTAAAAACTCTGCTGAAATCAACCGATTGGTTCTCTATTAATTCTCTATTATCTAGCAACGGCTCAATTGCAAGATTATTGAAATCGTTAAACTGGAAGTCATTTAAGTTTATATGGTAATTAGTACGTCCATCCAAGCTATTGATATTATTCAGTGATTGTGGGAATAAAGGGGTTCTTAATGACGAAGGATCCTGTGGAAGCACCTTTCCAGGAGGTAACTCTACCAGAGCAGCACCTACTCCAGTGACTGGTGTGACAGACGAAGATTCACTGAAGAAATAATTTTGCATCGTATGAATATCAAGAGTATCACTACCATCTGCAACAACTTCTGCGAACTTCTTGGAATGGTGTAAGACGTCCACTAAATCAGCTTTAAATCTTCCCATCACTTTTAATATTGCTGTTATAAGGTCATAGTATTGATGTCTATTCTCAGGGATTACTTCTTTTATACATAATCTGAGAACAATGGCTATTTCAAAAAGTTTAATGCAAACACCAGGTCCATTGCATTCAAAGGCAGTTAAGTTCAATTCACCAGTGGCTTGCAAAAATTCTCGTGCAATTGTAATGGGAAACAAGAACCCCATTGGGTCCAGCTCATCAGTGCTTGGCTCAAGCATTTGTCCATTATAGCACATCTTCCAGGCCACGGCCATCATCCAATATTTTGATAGCAATATATTTAATTTCTGCAACTCTTGTGTCAATACATAGACTCCAATTCTAAGTAAACCATTTTGTAATTCTCTCATATGAATGTCGATGGAGGGAGGAGCCACATATGTAAGCCCACCTTTGAAATAGACACTTCTTGGGCTTCTTTGTTCAAGTAATTGATCGAAAAATTGCTTGCTTGGAATAGAAAAGACTTTGATGAGTTCGATAAATGCAGCGATTTCTTCCGGGAATTCTTCTTCTTCAAACATTGGTAAAGGTAAGTTCAGTTCTAACAATACAGGCACTTCACTTACAATGCACATATATCGTTCAGTTACCAATAAAACGTAGTATATCTTTACAAACCGATGCATATCTGCGTTGGAGATGTTTGCAGGCTCCTTCTGCTTCCGCTTTATGATGGCAATTATTTGGATCATAGTTATGGAATCACGAAGTAAAACAACCGCCAGGTTGTCTCTTCCCTTGACATTTACACAATAAGCATACAAGAAGAATAAAGTCAATGACTTCTCGACCGTGGGTTCGTTAAAGAAATCAAATTCATTTTTGATCTTCTGAGCTTGATTTGCAAATGACAGAGCACTTATTGATTTTGGTACCTCCAAATCCGAAGCTTCCTTTGATACAAACGAAATTTGGCATCTTACAGCTGCACAGAGTGCATATGCTAGACTGCAATAGCTGTAGTTTTCTTTTGTTATTGGAATATCTTTTGGGAGACCTTGACCAGGAGTTTTATCATGATGCTCCCCCACAATATTTCGCATCAACTCCTTTAAGCTCACTACGGGCCAGATACTGTAAAAGAGCTTCTGATATATGGACAAAAACGGGGCCAATTGAGATAAATTGATAGTCAAAGTCAGTATCTGACTTTGTTTAGCTATGTCTGAGTCCGTCCTACTTTTAAATTCTTCAATCCCCTTCAACGTTCTACCATGTAGAGACTTGGGCCCAGGATTCTTACGGGTTCTCACATTGGTACAAGCGATCTCATGCTGGGAGCACCTACTACAAGGGTTTTGTTCATTCAAATTACATTTAACTTTCCTCAAAGCGCAAGCATCACAGGGCCTAGGCTTTCTCTTACTAATCTTCGCTTCTACCACATTGGGCTTCGATGAAATAGGCGCTTTCGAAGTCATCAATATCTCATAACCTCGAGAGAAAAAAACGGAACTCTACTTCAGTACCAGTGATATATGCTAAATTTTTTTGGCGTCTACTTTCGCCTGAGATTGTGATGATTTTAGGGATATTTAAGTAATTCCAAGTTGTTCAAAAAATAAGAAAATAACCAGCCTATGGTCCTACAAATTTGCAATACAACGGTATTTGATATTTGGCACCTTTTTTTTTTATTTTCTTTTTTTTATTTTTTTTTCTTTTTTACGAATGAGAATAAAATAACCTCTTAAGCGGGGTACATGCAGGAGTAAAAGCTTATATGGCCCGCACAAAAATGTTGTGGAGATCGGACTTCTGGGGTTTAGCCTTTCCACAAACGTGTTTCAGTTAGATCCTGCAGAAAGCACGCCTGTTTTAAGTTTGACTGGTTCGAATGAATCAAACGCTTTGCGGTATCGGGCAATCTGTGGCCAGTTACTCGATTCGTCAACTATGGTTAAGTAATCGTGCAGATGATGAGGATATCTTCCTTGTTGGCACAATTGAAATTCGAGCAGTTAGAGAATAATTGATGCTTGGAAGGAGTCGTATAAAAAAACTAAAAAGGGCAAAATTTCGAATGATGACTCAACAAAGCCGTGGATACTTGCCTCAGCGAGAGAACCTTCTGATATCAAAAAGAGTTTAACGTATAAATCAGAAAGAGATGTGTATGTACAACGAGTAGAACCACTGTACGAAAGTTTGTCTCACATGAAAACAATAGTTTTAGAGCAGATGGGGATCTTGGCAAACAGTAGAGCTGGAGTGATTTTCTCTTAAATACATCAAATCGGTATAAATCAACACTTTGTCCGACACCCTCACGCTCACCCTCATCCTCACGCTCACCCTCACCTCGTAATACCGAACTTTGATAGCCATCTGCAGAAATGCAGAAAAAAGAGATATCCCTACGGCACATGGTATCATTCCCAATTAAGCATTCCAAAGACGGAATGTGCAGTAGTGAAGATATCGGAAGTTAGACCGCATTGATACTACTCTTTTGGGGATGGGCAAGGAGCTAGCATAGTCGCTTTAAAGTGCTCTCTTATTCCTACTCTTTTAAATTTCGCATAGGCTTTTTTTTCTTTTATTTTTTTGAGGATGCTAAATCTGAAGCCCATGAATTAAAAAGAAGCTTTTACGGAGAATGGATCCACGCACAAGAAGAATACAGGACTTCCATAGCTTACATAGATATCGGTAGCTAATATTACTAGAAGAAGCTTACGGACTTGAACATGAAACTATAATAGTAAATAGTTGAATTTTAAGATATTTTAACTAAAAAGCTCCCATTGAATTTCTTTAAATTGCCAAGCTATCGTATTGTTAGTGTTTTTCAATTCGCTAGCGTACGCTGTACACTTCAGTGCAAGTAGTGCAAGTCACTATGTGGGGCGGTGTGCTAAATTTTCTCTACCAGCAGTCTATTTTTATTCCTATGACGTGAGCACAGCGTTGCTCTGCACAGCCGGAACCGATGCAAAATTCCAACTGGCACAGCTTCCTCCTGCATATAGCACATATGCGAATGCTTTTTAATTTATCTATTTATAAACGGGGGTAAATTGAAGTGGAGACATAACTACAGTATAGAACGCAATTTGTCGATTTGAAATCAGAAAGAAGACGTGCGAGCTTATTCGACTAATATTATTGTACCTGGGCAACAACAAATAGAAATAATCTATTAAAAGCTTCAATTTACAACACCCCAGAGAAGACAGGCCCATACCAGATCATCTTCTGGCACAGCTCCGTTCCAGCTTAAGCCTCCTTCTATACATTTCTTTTTTTTTTTTTCCTCTTTTTTTCTTGTTATTTTCTGGACCCTCTTTTGTGTCACTTAGGTCAAATCAGATAGACAAAAAAACGAGAAATAGAAAAGTTAAATACTTGACAGCATTGACGTTTCTATCTACAACAGAGCACGCTACACCTCAACTACATATTACAAGGCTGAAATATGTTGTTTTTTGATCTACCATTTATATTGGTTTGTGCCTTACTCACGTCGCTGGTACGTGCGGTTTCTCACATTACATCGTCATCCCTTTTGACATGTATGGACAATTCACAGTTCAGTGCATCGCACTTTGAAGTTACATATTACCCCCATAACAGTTCAGTGACATTTGATATCACTGCCATCTCCAGTATTAACGCTAATATAACGGCCAATGTTGAAGTCATTGCCTATGGGTTAAATATATTAACGAAGAACATTTCATTGTGTGACTTGAGTTTCGATACCACGTCGTCGTCAGTTTCTGGACTCTGTCCTTTCACAACGGGGCACATTGAACTCTCATCATCGTATACGCTTAGTAAATCTGTCACCTCGCAAATCCCAGGTATCACTTTTGGTATCCCTGATTTAGATGCAAGAGTAAGAGTCTTGTTGATCAACGATGATACCGGTGAGTCTTTAGCATGTGTTGAGGCCATCTTGAGTAATGGTAAGACTGTGCAGACCAAGTACGCTGCCTGGCCAATTGCTGCAATCTCTGGTTTAGGTGTCATTACTTCGGGTGTTGTATCAGTCATTGGTCACTCCAATACTGCTGCTCATATTGCTTCCAACTCCATGAGTTTGTTCGTCTACTTCCAATCGCTTGCTATTACTTCAATGATGGCCGTTGCCTACTGTCCACCAATTGCGGCAGCTTGGTCTCAAAACTTCCAGTGGTCCGTGGGTATCATTAAGTTAGGATTTATCCAAAAGATAGCCAACTGGTACATGCAGGCTACCGGTGGTACTCCAACTGATGTACTTGGATCCACTTATTTGTCTGTTTCCGTACAAAAGAGAAAACTGAAGAGAGAATTGACAGCAGAATTCATTGGTAACATCTATGAAAAACAATTGAAGAACAACTTCTTGACTGTTTTCGACAAGAGAGCCTCTATTTCCTTGGACAGTGATACTTTTGGATACAGTGACAACTTGAATTCAACGTTATACACTACCAACGAAAAGGATGCCAACGTTTCAAGTAAAATTTTAGTGTTGAGAGGAATTCAAAGAGTGGCATACTTGGCAGGAATTGAAATTACCTCGTTATTTATGACCACGATTATCTTTTTAATTTTTTTCGGTTTTGTCATGATTGTATTTTTGATGCTTTTCAAGGCCGTTATCGAGATTTTAATTAGGTCGAAAATGATGAACGAAGGGAAATTCAATGAGTATAGACAACAATGGACCATCATTATTAAGGGGGCTCTTTACAGATTGCTCTTGATTTCTTTCCCTCAAGTGGCTGTTTTATCTATTTGGGAATTTACTGAAAGAGATTCTGGTGGAACCATTGCAATTGCTGTCTTCCTCTTACTTGTGAGTGTAATTTTGTTATACCAAGCTGCAATCAGAGTATTTTTGATGGGTAGAAAGTCAGTTAAACAATTTAGAAATCCAGCATATTTACTTTATGGTGATGCCAAATTTTTAAACAGATTTGGGTTTATCTATGTTCAATTCAGAGCAGATTGCTACTACTACGTCTTGATCGCACTTTCCTATATCTTCTTAAAGTCACTTTTCGTTGCAGTGTTACAAAAACATGGTAGACCTCAATCCGTGCTCATATTTGCAGTGGAATTATTTTACATGATCGGGTTATGCTGGAAAAAGCCATACATGGATAAGCGTACCAATGCTTTCAACATCACAATCTCCGTGATTAGTACATTGAATGCATTGTTTTTCATGTTTTTCTCGTACATTTTCAATCAACCACACGTTGTTGGTTCTGTCATGGCTGTTGTGTACTTCGTGCTTAATGCAGTATTTGCATTGTTTTTGTTAATTTTCACGATTGTAACGTGTGTATTGGCATTGATATACAAGAACCCAGACACAAGATACCAACCAATGAAGGACGATAGAGTTTCGTTTATTCCAAGGTTTGATAACCCTAAGGGTGGTGATAAATTGAATCTGCCAGATGGTAGAGACGATGGAATGGAATTAATGGCTTTGGGAGCAACTGCCATGAAGGGACATGAAAATGCTCAGTCAAATAATAAGAATTATGAAGATGATTCAATATTTGAGGAAGACTCAGTTTATCGTAACCATGCTAATAGGTTCAATTCCAATAGTAACTCCGCACTGACCGATTCAGTCTTGAACAATCGCGCGGCTGGAGAAAGAGACTCATATTATGAATCTTATGAACCAACTGAACCAACAAGCACAATCACAGGGAACGGAGCCGGAATGAATCCATATCAAAATTATTTAGGGAATAGGAACAATCAATACGCCAATCATAATGTTGCCTTCAAACATTAGATAAGTATATGAAAATGCATATTTAAAAAAAAACTGGAAACACATGAAAACGATATAAAGGATAAAAAGAAAATGATTTAAAAGGGCAGAGATTTAGGTATTTTTATATAAATAGCTGTTGTGTATTTTTTGAATTAAAGAGTAAAGGATTATGAATTAAGCATAGTTATTGCCTGACTTAGTAGTATCTCACTATCTAAAAATCTCTTTGGTACTTGTTGTTGCATTTGAAGTTGAATTGTTCTGTTCATGGTGAAAAATGACTTGAGAATAGTCTTTTGATCTAGGATAGGACAGTCTAAAATTTTCTTTCGCAACTAGTATCAGTCTCTTTGATGGTGCTCCTCTATAGTACTTAATATTTGAATTGTCATACGGATCATACATATCACAATCTTGAACTTCAATAATAGATTCGGTTTTACCAAAAACATCTGCGGTGACTAGCTTAGCTTTAGCATCTGATAATTTGTCTCGAAAGGTGTCAGTAGATTCCTCGACTTTGTACTTTAGAGAGTGTAGAAATTTTGAAACATCGCTTTCAACCCCGAGCAGATTGAATGTTGAATTAGAAGTTAAAATGTTGCTTTCCCTGTTATATGTCATAGCAATTGGTGGAATTAATGCCGCTAGAATAACGTGCGTCAACGCTAGGATGGTTAATGTAAATTTCATAGGGCAAAGGGCCAGTTAGCAGTTTACCGAAGTAGTGAAGTGACCTGTTACAAATCAGCAATTTGTACGTTATAAATTGAAAAGTATGATTTAAAATACACAGAAGGAAACTTCTTTTTGATGTTTAGGAGAACTACTAAATATACACTATTATAATGGATTATCACCCGCAATGACTCAGATTGATAATTTACAGGGTGTAGACAACCATCATCTTCCTTCCTCTCACTTGATTTCTGTTGTCAATTTCAAACAACTCACCTCGTTCATTTAGAAGAAATTCCTTAACTGCAATCCCAGTATGTGGATCGATAATGGGTTTAGAAACATCTAGCTCAGTGTAAGGAGTTTGGGATCTTGGTGGTTGTTGAGGAATTATAGGAGGCTGTACTGGCTGAGGTTGAGGTTGAGGAGGTGGCTGTGGAATGTGTGCTGCACTATGGGTTGTAGAGGGACCCCAAACAGATTCATTTCCGTACGGGGTGGATCGCCTCATCATATAAGAACCGTCGGGCTGTAGCTGAGCAGACCTTCTCATGGATTCCTCCCTCTGAATAGATCTTCTCATGGATTCTTCCCTTTGTAAAAACTCTTGCCTTTGCTTTTCTAATTCTTGCTCTAGCTGATACTGGGAGACAGCAGGTTCAGGTTCCGGGAATTCTTGTACGTATTGGTGATTCAAACCTCTATCACTGAAATCAAAATTGATATCGCCCAATAAATTCAATCTGGAAATGTAATATGTTGTCATAAACATAACTAAGTTGGAAAACCAGACAAAAGTAGTAATGATAATGAAGGCACTGATGGCCTTTCTGATTCTGCAAAAACTGGCAGAGGAGCATGAGTCGTCCTGGATGATCGTCGATACATCCATTATAAAGGAAATCAAGCTGAAAATGAATGCCAAGAGACAATAAAATCCCCCGTTTCTCTTTTCATAGTTGATGATATTTGTAGCGAACAAAATCGATACGAACAATGTAACAGACCCATCTGCAATGAAAAACTTATATATCCCCAGGTATTTTACTAGCTTTTGATTAAGGATCACCCCACAAAGAGAAAGGACTGCTATAGAGAATACGATTTCAAAAAGGTACAAGATGAAATTCAAACTGATAGTAAACTCACCTTGCTCATATTTGTTGAACCCCACAAATTTCTTAGTTGGAACGGCAAATATGGGTCTTCCCATAACGGATTTCATGAGCTTGATTTCTAGGTCTTTTTTACGTGAGTATATACTTTGAGCATCTGCTTGTCCTGCAGCATCCATTGGAGGTATTGGCGGATAGAATTGACCCGGTTGCTGCAATGGGGGTAGATCATTTTCATGGAGAGTGGTGACGCCTGTATTGGCAGTAGCGTGGGACGCCCTATAATCGTACTTGAGATCTTTGGGCAAAGGCACCGGTGGAGGGCCTTGGGGAGGTACAGTACTTGGTCTGGAGTTGGGAGGAATATGTTGGTACGAGGGATTTCCAGGGATCGGTGGAGCTTGCTGGGATGGAGCAGCTTGAACAGATTCGGGGTAAGGTGCAAAGGAAGGTCGACTGTCATCAGGCTGTTGCGTCATCTGATGTAATGGAGTGCGTGGGTTCGTGTAGGGAGTAGTGTGTGATGGAGGAGGATATTGGTTTTGGGGAGGGGCCTGAGGATGTCGATAAGATTGCTGTGGTTCATCAGCCGTCAAGCGCTCGCTCGAGCGGTCCATATAGAAATCGTATATAGCATTTTTCTCATCTTCTTTATTATGCCTCTCTGCAATTTCGATCATTGTGGGCTGTCTATGAAGGGTATCTTTCCTAACAAACGATTCCATGGTATCTGTGTTGCTCATATGATCATGTTCCTCAATTGAAGTAGGGGTAGGGTTTCTGGATCGATTTCGTGGCGTGGGAGTAGCGTATTCAAACCTAGAAAGGTCACTCACCACCCTGACATCTTGTCCATATGGGTGGAAGGTTGTCATTTAGTAAAAGGTGCTTTTTTTTTATCAGGGGAAGTTTGAAGTAGGGGAGTATAATCAGAAGAAGAAGAAGCTATTATGACCAGAATCATATATATGTTGTTGCTATGGCTAAAGTTTGAATCAATTAAAATCGATTTAAGAATTTTTTTTTATTTTTTCTGAAACTGATCAAAATTACCCCTTTGGTTTAATGTTGCAATTTTGCATGTTTCCTAATTTGGGCGAAAAACAAACAGTCTGTTCGTATTTTAGGAAGTTATGCGTCAGACGGCAGGGGAGAGCTGAGTAAGATCAAGTGATTGGAAAACGAGCGAAGAGTGCGAGGAACCGTGGGGGTAAGTTTAAGCCAAGGGGAAGAAAGTTGAAGGGGAAGGAAGTGGGTGGAATACCGTTGACGCTGGTGGTGTGTGAGCAGCAAAGAGACGAAGATACGGTTGAAATGTACAGACATAGGAGGCTACTAGGTCTAAATCCTCGTAACATTCCGGAGAGAACACCGTAACTTGTTGGAGTGACAATCTCAGGTGAGGCGCTACAAAACAGTGAGTAAAGACGACGGAGAGAGTGCTAACTGAGACGACGACAAGATGTGGTTAGATAAACCCACAGCTGAACGCACTACAGTAAGGCAGTAGGACCACACGGGAAGAGATGCACTTCATCTTAGCCAGCCGGGTGCAGCCACACACCATTTGAGCTTTTCAGAAGTAATACAGTTTCTCTTTTCCGAGTTCAACGGTACCTAGCCAGGCTGGAACATCTTCCATGGCGCAGCTATGGCAAACGGTCCTGGAGCATATAGTACTGAAAAAAGACCACGAAAAACTTAACTTCGAAAACGGCCTGGTTAGCTCAATCGGTAGAGCGTTTGACTCTTAATAGAGTGCGATCAAAAGGTTGCGGGTTCGACCCCCGCATCGGGCTTTTCTTTTTTTTCTTCAATCTGAGTTCACCAGACGCAGGGAAAACGCCCGCCCACTGCACACTTTGCCGTATCTTTGCTCTTCTACCAGTGCCAATTTTTCACTGCGGTTACCACGACAGCCAATTTCAGTCATAGTAACCACGATAACCATACTAACCATACTGACCATTTACACTTTTTGATTTTAATACTTTTCCTCTGAATATCTGTCTTTTGTCCTCTCATCGTTTTTTTTTGACATTGTGTCCTTTGTCATCCATCTCATCCCGCTCTACCTACACTACCTCTACCCCCATAGTCTCAAACACACCCCACCAATCTCTCAAGGCACTCAAACAATTTGGCTGCAATTTTCTCGCTGACTCTCCCCGGGATTACTTTTAACCCGGCTAAAAGTGGAACCCAGGCCAATCAAAACTACTCCCTCCCCCGAGCTACCCCAAATCGTGACACAAAATGCCCCGACATGCTTCTCTTCTTCCAGCCCGCAACCTTAGGCGTTCGGAGCCCCGGCGCCACCTAGCAAATGAGAACACGCCAAAAATTAATTATACATAAAAAAAGAAAGAGAAAAAAGAGTGATTGGTATAAAGGAAGAGAGAATTATACAATTAGTAATTCATAGTAAGAATATAGAATTAGAGAATATGTTGTCTATTGCTCGTATCGCCACCCTTTCAAAGAGACCAATTGCACTGGTTGTTTCCAAGTCATTAGCCCTTCAATCTAGCCCAGCATACAATGCAGTGAGATCCGAATTGGCATTCCAGAAGAGATTTGCTTCTGTCACTGTAAAGGTGCCAGATATGGCTGAATCGATTACCGAAGGTACTTTAACCGCATATACCAAGGCTGTAGGTGACTTTGTGAAACAAGACGAAACTATTGCTACTATCGAGACCGATAAGATTGACGTTGAAGTTAATGCCCCAGTATCCGGTACCATTACTGATTTATTGGTTGAAGTTGAAGAAACCGTTGAAGTTGGTCAAGAATTAGCAAAGATCGAAGAAGGTGACGCCCCTGAAGGTGGAGCCGCTCCAAAGAAGGAAGAGTCATCAGCTCCAGAGAAGGACGAAGCTCCAAAGAAGGAAGAATCATCAGCTCCAAAGAAGGAAGAAGCTCCAACACCAAAGGATGCCGCTCCAGCCGCTCCAGCATCCCCAGCCTCCAAAAAGGACTCTGCTCCAGCCAAGAAGGAATCTGCTCCAGCCAAGAAGGAATCCCTGTCATTCACAAACTTTTCGAGATCCGAAGAAAGAGTTAAGATGAACAGAATGAGATTGAGAATTGCCGAAAGACTTAAGGAATCTCAAAACACCGCTGCTTCATTAACCACTTTCAACGAAGTTGACATGTCCAACTTGATGGAAATGAGAAAGCTCTACAAGGATGAATTCTTGGAAAAGACTGGTATTAAGTTGGGTTTCATGGGTGCATTCTCCAAGGCTTGTACCTTGGCCATGAGAGACGTTCCTTCTGTTAACGCTGCCATTGAAAATAACGATACCATGGTGTTTAGAGACTACACTGATATTTCCATTGCTGTTGCTACACCAAAGGGTTTAGTTACTCCAATTGTTAGAAATGCTGAATCCCTTTCTATCCTCGATATTGAACAAGAAATTTCCAACTTGGGTAAGAAAGCTAGAGACGGTAAGTTGACCTTAGAAGACATGGCTGGTGGAACTTTCACCATTTCTAACGGTGGTGTTTTCGGCTCATTATACGGAACTCCAATCATTAACTTGCCACAAACTGCCGTGTTAGGTTTACATGGTGTCAAGGAAAGACCTGTCACCGTTAAGGGACAAGTTGTTTCCAGACCAATGATGTACTTGGCATTAACCTACGACCACAGAATATTAGATGGTAGAGAAGCTGTCATCTTCTTAAGAACTGTCAAGGAATTGATTGAAGATCCAAGAAAGATGTTGTTAATGTAAACCGGCTTTCTATATAAAGTAGATTACATATATAAAAGAATAAAGTCATGTTTTAGAGTAGAGTAGCATTACTGCTTGTATTGATATGATGTATAGAGAATGAGGAATTTGTAGTTTGTGGTTATATATATGTCTTTTCTGGGCACGTGCTTCCATGCTGCTACGACACATCCCACCCCGTCTCCCTTTGCTGGAGAAATAGCGCTGAAAGCAACCGGTGTGCTCTCGGATAAATAGGAACTACCGAAAAGTCTGAATTTCACCTATCAGAAAGTTCCGGCTAAAAGGTAATAACTACCGGTAAGACGTGCGTGAAAGGTTAAATGTGTTCTTAGTTGGCCATCTCTATTTTTTGATATATTGATGTGTAACTATGAGAAGTGAAGCCCACTCGTCAACTCCCCTCTGCATAGTCAGCATTTGCTATCTTGAAACAAAGAAATGCAACACTTTTTCCTCCCTAGCTTCAACGCACATAAATCTACCCATATACGAAAATCATTTTCCGCTTCAAATTCCTTGTAGAATTCTTTCAAATATTGTTCTCTAGACCTTTATTTCACCCATCACCACCGTTGCAGCATGCTCACTTATTCTCCTCTACCAATTCGAGTTTGACCGTGTGGGTCCTTTTTTTTTCGTTTTGATTACATGCATACAAAGCTAAATTCGCTCGTAAAAGTACATATTTGTTTACGTTTTGACTAATTGGGTAATTGCAAAATCATATCATCGCTCGAAAAGGCAATTTCAAAATTTTGCATCAATCAATAACATTAAGTGGAGGCTTCTTATGTCAACCTGTTAACCTATGCCATTTGCATGTAAAAGTTATAGAAAATAAAAACGAGAAAAAGAAGGGACACTAGAGGTAGAAATACAATTTTTAACTACAGCTTTATTCCTAAGTCTTTTCATATTATATTACAGTACTTATCAGTATCAACCAGGACAAACTATAGAACCAAAAGGGCAGAGGAAAGCAGAACAGCCGATTCATTAAAAGAAAGAAGAAAGTTAGAAGCAGAAAAAAAAGAACATTCAAAAGTAGAAGAAGGATAGAAAGATTCAATCTTATTTTCTTTTTAATAAAAATACTATAAATTCGTCGAATAACAAAAGGTTGTCAACTATGGAGTACGCTAATTGGGATGAAGGTAACAGTAAAGCCATCCCATTACCAGAGGACGATTTTGACCAATATTTTACTGGCTACAATGAAATTGATAACTTGTTCAACGAAACTTTAGCAGGCTTACTGGATCTTGATGTGCCATCGGGTTTCGCTCCTCAGAACGAAAAGCATCTGCAACAATTCCAGTCTTCATCATCAGATACTTCCTCGCCACACCACGGCAAGCATAGTAGAAAGATAAGTGGTACGGCTATTTTTGGATTCACTGATCATGGGAAGAGCCTTTCTATTAACGGTGGGATCCCACATAACGATAATAATGATCTCAACACTGCAGATCTAGGTTACAAACTCAGTAAGAAACCGGAACCAGTTAACGCATCGGTGTCGCCAGATCAACTTCTCAAGCACCAACATCAGATCTCGATTTCGACTAGGCCCATTGATTTCGAATTGCCTCAGCATCCTCTAGAAGACGAGGAGGAAGAGGAAGCTGAAGCTAACATCGGTCTTGGAGCTGCGAGCCAGAAGAAGGTCGGTGAACAGGAAAAGTCAGAGGAAGATTTCATTGTTACTAATGAATCTCCAAAGTCTTACAAATTTCCACCTTCACCGCTTGAGTCAAAGCAACCTATAATGAACAGTTTCACAGCTAAATATTTACAGGAATTTAATCTGACGAATGTTAAAGTCGAATATGTCGACGATATCGAGCCACTCTTAGATGAAGAGATTCCAACGCAATTTGAAGCGCAGTCGTCACCTTTCAACAACCAGAAGGTTGTTTCCAATAACATTCTAGGAACCTCTAATGCTTCTGGTCATCAACAGGGATACAAGTTTGTGCCCATACCTGTGCAAGATCCTAAAGTTGTTGCTTCTAATACTCATCTCAACAGTAAGAATGCATTCCTTCCACCACCATCACCACCCACCTTGTCGAATGGCTCACCAGAATGGTCATCACCTGAACCACAGTCTCCTTCACCTTCCAGGATGTACAATCATCAAAACAGCAGTGATCGTGGTGTGTCCGCAGTTCCATACAATAACAATCCAAACTTCTCTTCACCAATTCACCCACAGCAGTCTAAAAACTTTTACACTCCACAGTTCTTCTCAGACAATAATGCAGTCGGATACGAAAACACTAACAATCTTGCTTACCAACATCTAACTCCCCAGAACCAGTCACCTGTTCGTCCGCAGCAGCAACAACAGCAGCAACAGCAGCGCTTCCAACAGCAGTACAACCTTCAGGCATTACAAGAACAAGCAGTGGCTCCTCCTCCTACTTCTTCTCATCAGATTCATTACTCACCACATTACGCTCATTTAAATCATCATATACCATCTTCACCAGTTGTGAATGCATCGCTCAACTCTTCGCCGGTAAGATACTACAATAGTCCATTGAGGAATGTAGCAAACAGTGGAGAACCTTCGAACGATGATAGCGTAGTTGATGTAAATGCAACTATAGTTCAGCTCACTCCGTTAAAGGAAAACCAATTCCAAACCACCCCAAATAGAAACAGCAAATTGGACCTTAAATGGTCACCTGTGATATCACCAAACGCCAAATCTTCCCGAGACGTGAGAAGAGCCATACAGCAGTTCACCCCAAAGAGGAAAATAGAAAAGACTTCTTTGCTTCCTCCTGGAGAATTGGACCAATATTGGGAGGGCCCTGATGAGAATAAAGTATTTACTTGTACTTTTAATGGTTGTGGTAAGAAGTTTACCAGAAGATATAACGTTCGTTCACATATTCAAACCCATTTAAGTGATAGACCGTTTGCATGTGCGTACTGCCCAAAGAAGTTTGTTAGACAGCACGATCTCAATAGACATGTCAAGGGACATCAAGAAGCACGTTACTGTAAATGTCCTTGTGGAAAAGAGTTTGCCAGACTTGATGCCATGAGAAAACACAGAGCCAGGAACATATGTATAGGAGGAGTCGCCAGTAACGAAAATCACTGTATAGTGAAACCAAAGAGGAAGAACTCTCAGTTATTAATGGACGAGTTCACATCTGACATGTTATCAGAAGAACTTACAAGTATTGGAAGATAAAATAAGTACTAAATGACCGCTGTTCATCTCGGACATTTAGTCCTTTTCAATTCATGAAGCAGTATAAACAACTGTACTTGCTGTGTTTAATATATATTTTCAATTTTTTTTTATATCTCTTGTTTTTTATTTAGTGCATGTTTAGGAATCTATAATAATAACATGGAGTTTATTGTAGTTCTTAAGTTTATATTAGTTTCGTATTAAATGTATATATATATATATATATATGTATGTACTAAAGTACATCGTGAAAAGTTTTTGAATTCATATTACCCAGTTGAGCCCGCAACATTAGTGAGATAACTTAGGTCATCTCTTCCTCTTTAATTTTGTTCCAACCCTCTTCTTTCATCTCCCGTTCATCATCCGATTCTGCGCTATTGCCAAGTCCAGGTAGAGGTTCCCCAGTTAAAGTAAGACCTTGAGCTGCCATTTCTTCCTCTTGCTTATGTATTTTTAAATGCTGATTCAAGTTATCTGATCTGCTAAATTTCTTTTGGCAAATTTGACAATCGTAGGGCTTCTCAAATGTATGCAAGGATCTAAAGTGTCGCTTCAAATGTTCTTGTCTCTTGAACCTTCTTGAGCAATAACTACATAAAAATATTTTAGACAGATCCAGCATATCAGCTTCCTTGTTTTCTTTACGTCCTCTTGTCTTAGATTTTGAATTAATTATACTGGTGGGGAAAATTTGGGTGGTGGGTGGTAAGTCTAATTCTTTAAGATTAATTTTGACTTCCACTCCGCCCTTTTCTCCAAGCTCGATTTCCTCTTGAGTATTAGACTTATAGTTGTTACTAAAGCTACTATTATTTGTGTATGAAGTCTCTAAATCAAGACTTGAATCTCTATGGACTTCTGCACTGACTTTGTTATCATCTAAACCAGAGTCAAATGATCCTATTGAATTGCTTGAGGGGCCGGTAGCCGGCATACTCTTTTTCTTCAATAGCTTAGAACCAAGAATCCTCTTTGAAGCATTTGCCAATGATGAAGATTTTGCACCATTTATTTGCTCGTTGCTAGAACCATTTAGCTCGTTACTTGGAATTTGATCAATTGGCTCTTCTTTGATTTGCACAGAAGCATTCTCGAAGGAATTGTTATCAAAGCTATCAACAGGGTTTGAAGAAATATCGCTCTCAGAATGACGAAGCAGCAACAGCTGCGGTTGTTGCTGTTGCTGCAGGTCAGCCTTAGTGACTTTCCCTTTAGTTTTAATAAACAGGGATGTGTTTACAATATTCTTACGTTTTCCAACTCTTTCGAAAAGTGCCGCATAATCAGGTTCACTAGCGTTAATGTTGCTATGTGAAGAATTCAGTAAAGTCGGGTCTACCAGAAGTGCACCTCCTGTATTGGAAGTAGATGAAGGAATGCTGACGGATGAGTGGTCATCTCCAATCAATTTTTCTTCCATAGAGTCCAAGGCGACATTTTCCTCTTTAATTAGTGAGTTGTTCTCTTCAGGGTTCAGCGACTTGAATCTTGTAAATAAACTTCTTTTTATTTTCTTAGGCTTTTTGTCGTCAAGATCAGTTCCTTGATAGCCATTTGAAGAATTTGCATCGAAGCCTGGTCCGAGGCCAATACCCTGTCCTTGCAGTTGAGCCATGTAATTTTCACTAAAATCGCCAACTCCACTTCCAGTCCCAGTATTACCTAGAGTGCTAAGTAAACCTTCCATTCCATCATAGTTTAGCTCCTCTTCACCACCATCAACATTTTGGCCATTATTACTTACATTATTGTCGATACCTTGCTCATTAGATGGGAAGAGAGTAGGGTTCTTATTTTTGAAAATGCTACGAATAAGGTGTCTCGAAGCCTGAGGTGGTGGGTTTTGAAATTCTTGCTGTAATTGCTGTCTTTGTTCTGATTCTTGCTGTTGCTGCTGATATTGCTGCTGTTGTTGTTGCAGCAGCTGCTGGTATTGCTCCAGTTGTTGGGCAAAAGGAGGAGAATTAGATGAAGGCGACGTTGGGCCAGAATCAAGCCTTTGATGCGCACTATTCTTGTCACTCATGAAAGGAATGTAGTTCGTGAACGAAAAGCTGGTGTATCTTCCAGGCGCCGCAGTTCTATCCCTCTTGCTATTATTGTTGCCACTGGAGCCAAAAAAGCTGGTGGTATTAGAATTCTTCTTGTTAGCACCGGAATTGCTACCATTCATGTTGATATTGTTTGCATTGTTATTATTATTACTGTTATTATTGGTGTTAACACCATTATTCATGCTGAAATTGTTATATGACTGTTGGCTGTCAATAGATACCCTACTCTTGGAATAAACATCAAATGAAGCCCGATGATGGTTAGTTGACGGCGGATGTGATTGGTCTATGGAGTTTCTGGTAAGATATTGATGCGCCGAGAAAAACGATAGCTGTTGCGAATGCACAGAGCTTACCGATGGAGTATGAGAGTTGACAGTGGTGAGCGGCGAAAGCTCATGGAATCCAGACCCATTGTTAAAGTTCAATCCAGGCATGTTACCATTCACAGGCAATTGCTGTGAATTGCTATCGATTGAACCACGATGGTAGACGGGGACATGCAGCAAGAGCTGCTGTTGGTACAGCGCCGAAGCAGGAATTTGACCCTGTGCTTGACCCTGGAGTTGCGTTTGAGATTGCGACTGAGCGTTCTGTCTCTGCTGGTGTTGATACAGCAGCAGCAGAATCAGGTGCTGGTCGAACTGATTCAGCAGTGGAGTGTTGTAATCTACAAATACACTCTGGGGGGTCTTCTTTGAGTTTTGGTCGTCATCAATGGTCATGGGATCAAAGAACATATCCAGCTCTATTGTGAACGGCGGAGACTCGTCGATCTCGTTCACTCCTGTGTGGGCAGAACCGCTTCCCATCCTTCCTACGCCATTGACAGCTACGTCTGTGGCATTTGAAGATAAAAAGGGGTCCTCATAGGTCTCCAGGAACATCATATCTTCATTGATGTTTTGCTGGGGCTGAGCATTATTGTTTTCACCACCAAATTGCCATTGGATGTTTGACGATGAATCTTCACCCAACGTATTCTCAGCGATATCTACAAGTTGCAAAGAGTTATCCCTGTCCTTGGTGAGGAATTCCTGGTTGAAAAACATCCCTAGCTCCAGATTCAAATTCTGGGGATCACCTGAGTTGTTCTCCATGTTATAATTTGTATACAGTTTTCGTTGTTTGGTATGTCTGTGGAGCTTATTCCAGATATGAGAAAGGAATCGACCTCAGGGCATATACATATGCTGAGTATGTAAGGCGTATATGCGTGTGTATATAACAGGGGAGAAAGCTAGCACTGGTGTTTAAGCAGTAAACAGATGTTGAAGTATTTGTAAATCAGGTCGAACTTTTGACTGCTTGCACTTTGGTAAATTTTCTGCGTTTTTGTGGTGCGCTTAAATTTTTTTTTTTATATTTTCCTTCAATTTTGAGATTCTTTCGAATTGCGTTGGGGACCTTATGACACTACGGTAGATTAGCGATTTAGGCGCCCCAAATTTACCGAGAGTAAGCTCAAGAAAAATTATTTACAGAGTCAAATTAAACTCGCGAGATGAAGAAATGGTAGATTCGGGAATTAGGCGTAATTCTTGCTAAAAGGTAAAATTGAAAGAGTGCAGCACGTTTTGGAGAACGCCAAATTTGCTTAAGATTTACACATTCTGGGCTGTATTATGAGTGTTGCGGATCATTTATCGTCTGTACACCGGAGACAATACATTGGCGTAGCAATTGAATGACAGGCATTTTTATGGGTATTTTGGTGCAGCGTTACTTTTTTTTATTTTATTTTATTTACTTTTATTTTTTTTCCCTTTTCCACACCCCAGCATGGCACCAGTGCAAATTGGTTACCTAGAAAAAGAGCTAGAAGAAGAGGGCCCTAAAAAAATATAAAAAGATTGAAAAAGAGAAATAGAAACAAAAGAGAAAAGAGAAGCTGAGGAGGTAGATCGTGGTCAACCATGCAACCGTGTTGTTGTCCTGAAGTCCTGTGCTATCTGGCTAAATGAAGATTCTAAGCTATATAAGTTAAGGTAGTTTGGTGTAGTTTCCTCTCCCACTTGGCCACATCGTACTCTCCTGAGATTGTGTGAGATTTCCTTTCCTAGTTAATCCAACGGCATGTACGTTAAAAATCTGCACTTAGCACTTCCCTCATAGTTTGGCAGAACCGTTTTCTTCCCCACATTGCTTCATATTGCCTGGTTCATATCCAACTGATGTCTGTAGAACTACATTGTCGTTCACTCCTCCTCCTCCTCCTCCTCCTCCTCCTTATCCGAAATCTTCTAAGTCTGCAGTATGCACCTAAGTTCTAGATTGTGTTGCCGGATCTTCCACGAGAAAGTCATTTTTTAGTGGTGCAACACTATGTCACCCAATCTCTTACATAATCGCAACTCTGCAACATAAAATTTCGCACCCATCTGCGCTTACACAGCCATCGATTCTAATTTACATATATTACAATCCAATAGGAATAGATAAACAGAAATAAAGTTAAAAGAGAGAATGCAGGTCATTGACTGAGCGAAGTGCTGCATTATTTAATTTCTGATCTTATCCTCGCTGATTTTTTGTACCTAATAGTTTTCCGATGTCGCCTATTCGACTTAATAAAATACTGCTCTCTGGCCAACTGATATATTTGGTGAACTGGGTCTGTTTCTTCTAAGAAACCCAAGACTATCTTTGGTTGGTCCTCTTCTTCCATAGATTTGTGTTTTCTTATATTATCACCTATTTCTTTCTCTGTTTAATCTAGATTTCATCCCCCTCCTTCCCTCCAGAGGGGACTCTTTGTCTCAAGGATGCTTCATCTTCAGTGTCTTCTTGAATATCATTAAAATCAGGATTGACAACCCTGAGTACGGATCTTCTCTTGGAACTGACCAACACCTGCACGTCTAAATTGCCATCCACAGATTCTTCGTCGTTTTGTCCCATTTCATCATCGTCATCTATTTCTTCTCCTTCTTCTCCGAATGCTCCTTTCCCAAGTTCTTTATCCTCAGATTCATCATCAAATTCGTCGTCGAATAATGTAGGACCTCTAGATGGCACTGTTTTCAATCTTAATGTAGACAGTTTTTTCTTTAGTTTCCCGTACTGTGAGTTCGTCGTATTAAATGAGAGACTCTTTTTAAGAAGCGAGACAGATTTATTCACCATGGATGGTGAAGACAATCTTGCTGCCAATGGTGGCGGAGGAACCGGAAGTATTGGCAGGACCTGAACAGAGTCTTCGCTTTGTCTTTTTGTTGTTTCTTGGAATGGATTTCTGGCATCAGACATCGATATTACAGTCGCAGCACTACTAAGTGTCTCTGAAGAGGCCGAGAAATTGTTAGCGTTATTAGTATATGCATAATTTTCTCCTCCTCCTATCTTCTTTGAATCTTCGAATTCTTGTCTCTTTCTAACCCACAGGTCTATAGACATTTCTTCCAAAGTAGAATTAGTGTCATTGTTTGTTCTGAAATGCACCGCATTGACATTACCAGGTAGATGGGATTGAGAAAAGTTGATCTTTTCATGATGTGTGCCGAACTTTCCACCTCTGCCACTTCCAAGTGTACTCAGCTCGAAGTAGTTACCGATTTGGTAGTCATATTCTTCTACCTCATCTTCTTTATTCGTCTTTCTTCTCTTCAAGAAGAAAATCGCTGCACCAATTACCATACCTAATGCACTGAGGGGAAGAATAGTTCCAAGGATTGCTTTAGTCAGGGTCGATGTACCACTACTGCTACTGCTGCTGCTAGTAGAGGTAGAAGTTGAAGCACTACTTGCGCTAGACTGTGTATTCTCCTTCAAGCTTTTCACTAACTCAAGGCTATCAGTATCGTATAAGTTTACAGTATACTGGCCATTTCCGTCTGCTCCTGCAGTACCGTTTACAACGATCAAGGTATTGAAAATGGTTGCAGCTCCTAGAACATTTTCTGAAGTGAAAGTTGAATTAACATTGGTCCAAGTCCAGGAATTTGAGTCAGTATCTAATTTTGATATAAACAGCAGGCTTTTAGTCAGAGAAGATTCTCCTCCTAACAATAAAACGGCAGTTGTTCCAAAATAGTCTGCTATGGTTGCTACAGAAGTATTTGCAAGCTGCAGAAATATAGGGAGAGCCAATGCCTGTTTCCTAGAGTTTATGGTGTCGGTGCCGCTCGATGAGCTACTCTGAGCTACCTTTTCGAATGACCAACCAGTGGAGAACCCCCACGTAGCCAACTGGAACATACTTAACCAGCTGTTATCGGCTTCACCCTGACCACCTATCACCAACTGAGATTGTGGATCGGGGTTTATGTTGGCAGCCCCGTAGAATTGTGAAGGCTTCGTCGAAGTAGATATATTAGCAAAAACACCTGTTTCTGGGTTAAATGACAATAGCCTGTTAGACACTTCCCTAGTGCCATTGCATAACCCTCCATAAATATACATTTCAGTTGCGCCGGAGAGCATGGGAGTTAAATAAGATGCATATTGATAATATGAAGAGTCTTCAATAGAGCTGAAGTTTAGCGATATCTCCTCCCAGGAGTTTGATTCCGAGACATACTGAGATAGACTCAAGGAACCACCTCCGCAAAGGTCCAAAACTTCGTTATCATAGTCCTCCTCATTTGCGTTAAAAGCATAAAGATTCTCATTGAATAGAAACACAGACGAGCCAGACGGCGATGTAGTTAGCGTTTCTATTTGTTGGTCATTCACCAACAGTAAGTCTTTCCCTGTCAACGTAAAGTTTAGTTGTATTATATCATTATTACTGAGATGAAGGTATGCCTTTCCCGATTCGAAGGCATACAATGTATTCCATATCGCTTGTGCTGTTCCGATGGCGTAAGCCAACTGTATTATTCTCATACCTTAGCTTGGTTTATTCTTTTTCGCAGCCTTTGTCAAGTAATTGCCGATGTAGTTCAATGGAATGCTTCTGCCGGAATGCGTAGCGGAACCCTAGTGAAATAGAAGGAAAAAATAGAAGGTTGTTTTAATAGATAATATTGTATCAAGTGAACTAACAGAATGTGTGTGGTATGGAATTTTGTTCAATGTAAAATCAAATTTACTTCTCGCTGCATCTACCCTGGCAAAATCTATTTTCTGGACTGTCGGGGATTCTTTCTGTCACTTCCAGTGTGATTTATTATTATTACCATCTAGTTCAGTTTATGCTTCTGAAACAGATCCAAATGTTTACATAATAGTTCGATGTTCCGCACTGTGTTTACAAAAGTGCCGAAAAGAGAAACGATATGGCTAGCAGGATGGACTTCGCATGGTGCAATGCGCAGGCAGAGCTTGGGCTGTTGAGACTGATGATGCGAGTGCGAGGATGGGGAGGGGGAGGGCGCGAGCAGCTGTAGTCGGAGTGGAGAGTGAAGAGTGAAGAGTGGAGAGAAAAGGAAATGAATGGGGATCTTAGGTACTATGGCACAGTCGAAGGGGAGACAACAGCTGACAGATAACTGCTCCGTATTTTCCACTCCGGATTTGGCTCTATAGTGGGACCGTTTGGTGTACCCTAGAGCAAATTGATATGAAGACAAAGGCTAAACATTTCTTTTTTTTTTGGTATATTTTCTTTTTACTATTTCATCCATTGTTCGGTCTGCTTGCTTTTCTTGATTCACCCCTATACAACATCCAGGAAGTAGCACTCCTTCCCATCCACTTCCCACTGTTCGTCTACCTCCTGCGCTGCTCTCACCCACTGTTCCTCTTCTTGCTCTCTCTCCACTGTTCACCGTAGACCTCTTCACATCTCACGTGACCACACATCAAATTGACTCATTTCAATTTTTTTCTTTTTGTGTCACTCTGGTGAAAAATTCACTACCATACAAATGAGTAAGAGGAAAACTCCAAGTTACTGGTGTAGTCCGAACGAAATCACTTTAGATAGTAGATATCTTTGATTATTTCTCTTCATTATGTCCACTTACGGTAAGCTCTTCAAAGTCACCACTTATGGTGAATCACACTGTAAATCTGTCGGTTGTATCGTCGACGGTGTTCCACCTGGAATGAAGTTGACTGAGGATGACATCCAACCACAGCTTACCAGAAGAAGACCAGGCCAATCAAAGTTATCCACTCCAAGAAACGAAAAGGACAGAGTCCACATCCAATCGGGAACTGAAAACGGGTTAACTTTGGGCTCTCCTATCGGTATGCTTGTTGCCAACGAAGATCACAGACCCCACGATTACTCAGAAACCGATTTATACCCAAGACCATCTCACGCCGACTACACCTACATCCAAAAGTACGGTGCCAAGTCCACTTCTGGAGGAGGTAGATCTTCCGCCAGAGAAACCATCGGTAGAGTTGCTGCTGGTGCCGTCGCTGAAAAGTTCTTAAAATTGGCTGCTAACGTTGAAATCGTTGCCTTTGTCAGCTCAATCGGTGAAATCGCCATGGATAGAAACCCACAAAATGAGACTTTCCAGAACATCTTAAACACTATAACCAGGGAAGAAGTCGACGCAACTGGTCCTATCAGATGTCCTGACGCCAACATTAGGGAGTCAATGGTTAAGGTTATTGAGCATTACCGTGACTCCAACGATTCCATTGGAGGTGTTGTCACCTGTGTCATCAGAAACTGTCCAATTGGATTGGGGGAACCATGTTTTGACAAGTTAGAAGCCACCTTGGCACATGCTATGCTTTCACTCCCAGCAACTAAAGGTTTCGAATTCGGTTCAGGATTCCTCGGAACTCAAATCCCTGGTTCCAAGCACAATGATGCCTTCGTACTGGACCCTTCACAACCTGGTAAACTCAGAACCAAGACCAATAACTCTGGTGGAATTCAAGGAGGTATTTCCAATGGTGAAAACATCTACTTCTCTGTTGCTTTTAAGTCTGCTGCTACCATTAGTCAAGAACAAAGTACTTCAACCTACGAGGGTAAGGACGGTGTATTAGCTGCCAGAGGTAGACATGATCCATCAGTCACCCCAAGAGCTGTTCCAATCGTTGAATCAATGACTGCCTTGGTCATCGCCGATCAATTGTTGATACAAAGATCAAGAGATTACTCGAGAGCCGCTGTTTTTGAGAATTAAAGGAATGCGAAGTATTAATAAAATTACCATACTAATAAATAAGACAAAGATTAGATAACGACCTCAATTATATAGTAACTAATATATAGAACGTAATGGAATTGAATTCTTGTACTAAGTTGGACACTTTCCATAGGCTAACCCCCAGTCCTTTTTGCAGCCATCGTCCTGCATACAACCTAGCATCAGCTGGACATGGATGGAACCAAAAAAAAAAAAAAATCATTCAACTAGCCTATTGATGTTGCTTTAGACAGATACTCAAGCAAATTTATAGTATGGATGGTGTTCAGATTACTTTGTTGACCCTTTTATTAGGGTTGTTAATAACATTGGGTGTTTCATACTTCCAATCGACCACTTTCGGTAAGATAGGTGTAAAGTCTAAGCATAATAGACCAACATTTATGATCTTGGGGCCAAACAATGCTGGAAAGACAGCCCTCTATTTCCGATTAGTGAATAAGCTTGATGATGAAGATAGTGGTAGTGGTAGCAGCAAGATATCGCCTACAGTCTCATCTATTGAGCCAAACTTTGGTGAGGTAAACTTACCGTTTTCTAGTCCCTCCATTGGGAAGCCATTTCAATTGATTGATTTCCCTGGTCATTTAAAATACTCTCAGTTACTTTCCAAGTTAATGCTCGAAGAAGTCACTTTACGTAAGATAAAGGGTGTGGTATACGTTATCGATTCTAGCAGCGAACTTGTGGAAATTGCAAAGAACCTTTTCAAACTCTTCCCATTAACAGAGAGATTAACCAATGGTATCGACTTCCTATTTGCTGTTAACAAGAATGACCTTTTTAACAGTAGACCGGTTTTCAAGATTCAAGAAATTTTGGAACTGGAGATCTCAAAGTTGATAAAGCAAGAACTCAGCGAAAAGAGTAGAGTTGGCGGATCGGGAATCGATCAAGGCGACGATGACGATGATGTAGAAGAAGGTGTGGCAAGTTTCGGTGACACTAGAGACTTTTGGTCTTCTGTGGTATCATCCAAGCAAGAGTTCAAATTTGAAATGTTGGAAGGTAACATGGACTTTTACAGTGGGTCTGTACTTAAGAATAAGATTAGCCCTTGGGAGAATTGGTTTGATGAGAAGGTTGTTAATACTACTTGATAAGTTAATATATATATATTAAAAAAAAGATGCATTAGGTATATATATAAATGTCACAAGTACTACTGTATATCATGTGTTGGAGCACTGGGGAAGAAGCCCGGTTTCTGTAATTCTTGTTGTCTTTTTTGGTTAGCTTTCACCTGAAGGTATGCTCGTACACGATTCCTGTATATGTCTTTATCTAAGTTGTACTGTTTGAATGAGAATTTCAGTATACTTTCAGACATTTCATCCATTGAAGATTTGGCCTTCGTTAAGTCTTCATTGAGGGATTTGGATGTTTTAGTAGGAATCTTAGGTAACTCCGATTCGCTCTTAGCCTCTCCTTCACCAGGTTTCTCGGCCTTTTTTGAGAATCCGGGAATTTTACTTACAAAATCCCAATTGTAGCCCAAATTCTTCAATTCTGCTTCAATTTCCGCGATTTTTATCACCAAGTTAGCTTTTTGCTTTACTAAATCCTGATAATCATCTGAATGAATGGGTGTGGCAAAACTTGGATCTTTCAAATGTGACGGACAAATGTAGAAGAAGTCTACCTTATTATCAGAAATGAGGACCTTATTGCTTGGTTTATAGCAGACATAACACGATTTGGCGTCTGACTCGGCTACAGTTCGAAGGTTATACGGGTTTACAAATGGAGGTGCAGACATGATAAGGAGGTAGCGTATGGTTTGATGTAGGTGAATTGATATCACCAATGTAAAATCGTACTGAAAAAAAAAAAAAAAAAAAAAAAAAAAAAAAAAAAAAGAAAAAAAAAAAAAAAAAAAAAAAAAAAAAATAAAAAAAA